ATAATAATTTATATTAATAATTAAATTATTTAATAAAAATAATATTAGTACGGTATAATACCAAAATACCGAACTTTCGAAAAATTCATACTGATACCGTACCGAAAACTTTAATATACCGAAATTTTTGATATTTTCAACACGATACAATACGATAATGCATTATTTCAATATATTCAATAAATTTCTCCATCTCTAATAAGTCCAAATTCACATGTCACACTTATTTATTTTAATCTTTATATAGTGTATTATATTTATTAAACATAAGCTTTTTTTTCTTTTGTTTTTTTTTGTCAAACTACAACATTATATATTTATAAAAAAAAATAAATGAATTGTTTTCAATTCGAAATTAATTAATTAATTTTATTTTTTAGAAACTGAATTTTTAACTTCATTTGAAAAAAAAAAAAAAACTTACATAAAATATTATAAAAATACTATAATCATTATTTAACTAATTTATTTTTAAAAAGAATAATTCTAATTATTCATATATTTTTTTCATATTAGGAGTATATAAAATACTAGTTTCAAAATTTTACATATAAAAAAATAAATAAATTGATGTATATTTATGTAGATTGTGGTGACGGAGAAGACCATATGAGGTGGGGTAGGGCGGCAGCCAACCAACCAACCCCCTGGCCCAATGGCAGTGGAGTTGGTAGCTATGCCGATTCTCAAAGCCCATCATTTTCACTTTAATTACAATATTACCCCTCCACTATCCCCTCTTCCTATCCCATCCTTATTTATGCACTCCTATTAAAAAATGAAAGAATTAAAAATATTATTAAAATATTATTTAAAATCAAATTTCAATAATTATATGACCGATCATCCTCGTCGTTAAATAGCTGGTTATGATTTATATATCATTATTATATATTTTTGACTTGGTGGCTTAGTTATCATTATTGTTTTTTCAATAATGATTGAATTTTTTTTTATTATATTTTTTTCTTTTTATAGATTTTTTCTTTTTTCCCTTAAATTTGAAAATTAAAATATTGAAGAAATTAAATGGAACATGTTACGTCTACAACTTCAGATTCAAATGGTCTATTTAAATTTCCTCTGCCGGCCACATTGTGTTGATTGTCAAAAATTATAGGTTGCCATGCCATTTTGACATGTGACTTGCACGTGACCACACACCGAAGCAGATTTGACTTTTGTGGTTTTATTATATATTATACTCGCCGTTAAAATGTTTGATTACATTTTGAATAAAAATAAAGTCTGTTTATTTTGTATTTTTATATAAGTATATTTTTATTATTAAATATAGAGAATTATTTTAATAATTTTTTTCTTAAAAAGTATATTGAATTGTTAATTTTTTCAAATTCATAGAATATATATTGGTAATATCCCGTGAGAATTTTATCATTTAAAAATCATTCAATGAACAAACTCGTAAATAATAATGATAATTTTTAATTGTTTATAGTAAAAATATATTGTTATTATTAAAAAATAATAATTTTTTTTATGAAACTAAAAAAGAAAATTAAGCATTGATTTAGGAATCGATGGAATATATATTCTAATTTTCAAGCATGAGTTGTATATATATTAAGTTTGGATTTGGGCTTAATGTTAAAAAAAAAAATGATTAAAAATTAAAATTAGTGTAATATTTAATGTAGCATATTTTAATTAAAAATATATATTAAATAAATAATAAATATATAAATAATAGTACGTACAAAAACCGAAGTTAATTTCGTGTAATATATTGGGCTTAGAATTTTGGAAGGATGGGCCCCACGAGCATACCTATGACCTATCTAGTTACAGTGTTGGTTGTGATTAATTTTTTAATTATAATTAAAAGAATAAAATAAAGGGCGAAGACAATAATAATTACAGCAAAGTCATGCAGAGAGAAGCAATATTTTTATTTTTATTGCGAAGTGGTGACTCGTGTCCCTTTTCAAATCACTACTGCGTGTGTTTGTGCGTCTACGTTTCTAATAAAATATTTTATTTTTTTATTTTTAATCTATATATAAAATATATTTATAATTTATATAAAAAATAAAAGTTAGTTTGATATTAATTAATATGAAGTTTTTTCTAATACAAAAATATATATATATATATATATTTATAAAATAGATAAAAATAATAATAAAATATACTCCAATTTTTAAGTAGGATGAGAGAGTATTTATAAAACACAAAAATAAAATTAAAATTTCCATTCATAAGTATTATTTTTATCTCTTTTGCTCAAAAATATTAATTTTAAAAGTAATCACATGGTGATGTTAAATCATTTAACTTTTATATAATTTATAAATATACAGTAATACATACAATTAATTTATATATAAAATCAATTTTACATATGAATTGGAATTGAGGAGTATAATCTATAAGGTTCCGATTAACAATTTATAGTTGTCTAAGTATCAATCTTATCATAACTCCAAAGTTAGCATTATAATGACATTGGATTAAACTGACCCCACACGTCAATTTTCTCTAAAAAAAACCTCAGCTGTTAGTTATCACCACCGTGACCGCAAACTACGTATATCGAAAATAACAGGATTAAATTAAGTTCATAAATCAATACGAGTCCTTTCATTGCAAATGCACCCTAAGAAACTTCTCAGAGTTACCTATTTTCAAATTACCTAGAACAAGCTTAACTAGTTTTTTCAAATAGACTTTGAAAAGGATTGACATTAGTAGCCAATTCAATCAACTTAATATCTACGCAATTTCAGATGACCTAGCACTATATTGCATCATAGGGATCCATCAAATGCTAAACCCCACAACACTTCGGCGAACGACTATGGGCTGCTGCAGCACTCCAGCCCGCAAGCTATGCTGACCGGACATGTCGGAATTAGTTGGTTAAAAAGTCTCGTACTAGTAAAGTTTATATGAAACTTATAAAATGTAATTTTTATTTTTCAAATCTTCTCATTCCCATGCATGATTTGGGTTTCCACCCAAACATAATTCAGGATTTTATTAGACTAGTTGTTTTCATTAAGAAATTATTTCTTGGTGTTAACAAATTCATATCAAACATCTATGTGAGGCATTACATATATATATATATATATATATCCAATGTTTACCATTTTTAAATCAACCAAAAATTTCAAAACAATTTCAAAATATATTTAAATGCATCCTAAAATTAATTTGATTGTGTAAAAATGCAATAAGCTTAGAGAAATTTTGATAAAATTATTAAATCAAACATATATATTTCATTTAAAATATTACACAAATTATTAAATTTTTATTTAAAACATCATATTATATAGTTATGTATATCATATTTAATACTTATTTTGAGTTGTTTGGTTGTAATCTAAATTTAAAATTATTAATATTTATTCCGTATTGTTTTTAATAAAAATATCCTTTCTCTCTTGAAATTGTGTTAACTTTTTATTTTTATTTTCCTATTAGTAAAATATTAATCATTTTTAGCATAAATGACAAAAACTAATATCTAGAAAACCCTATACATAAAAACCTTATACATTAAAACTCGAGACATCAACTGAAAATTCATTCAGTGTACACTTTCGGATAGCCATTGCGAATTTTTATGTTATAAACAAAAAAAAAAAAAAAACTAAAAAAAATTGAGTATAAAATTGAGAGAGAATGTACAATTTTTATTTTTATATTTTTCTCACAAAAATATCACATCAAAATTCTCTGCGAAAATTTAAATGAATTTCAAATAAACTCTTTAATTCACAATTTTAGTGTTATCGAATGACTCAAATCCAAACGCACCCTAGTTGGTGAAATAATTGGATGGAAGGTTCTAAAGTCTCTACCTAACACATTTCATAAATAAATGGAAAAAGTGAACTTTTCCAATGGCAAAGGGTCACTTTGCTCTGCAAATTTTGGGGGTTTCTTCATTGTGTCACTTTTTCCACTGTCCTTTTTTTGCTTAAATTGCTTTCATATATTATTTTTTTGGCCCCCTCTTACCACTTTCAATTCTCATTTCATAGTTTCTACTACACACAACATTTTTTGTTGACTCAAACTTGGAATTTTCAAAATCATAACAATAATAGTAATAGTTCATTCTTGTTGGTCGATTTGTTTGTTCACTCATCAAGAAGTGATGAATTATTGAAATATAAATAAATAAAAAGATGATCATAGATCATATATAGATGTGTTTTGACTTGTTGATTGATACTAGCAACATAATAATGCATGTAATGTAATATATATATATATATATATATAATCAATCAAGAATTTCATATTATTTGACTTCCCTGCCTAACACACAACAACACGCCCGTTTTTAATTTCCTCAAAGCTGACTTCCTTCCTGTCTTTATCTCCACTTGTCATAATTGATCATTACTTTTCCATACTTTAATTTTCAAGAACTCAAAACAATAATGCAAAAGCAGAGAGTAGGCAAATCAAACTGGGTATTAGTAAATAATGTTAGATTAATTTATTTATTTCTGTTTCCATGTTTATATTATGAACAATGGAAGAAGTGGTGAGTGTATGGCCTCCCATCTTGTTGTTTCCTTCTCATATATTTTTATTTTAGAGCTTACCCATGACCCCTCATTCATGCCTTTTACTATATATGCCACAACACAAAAAGATTTACTGAAATCAAGAATCATTGCAAGAAATAAATAATTTAGGCAGGCATAGACAGTTAGTTGGTTTCTTTGTAATTAATGTTGTAGGGGTTCATCATATCATATCCTTCTTTCTTTCTTTCTTCTCTGAAATCTTCTGTTTGTTACAATGAGATATTTATTTGATCCATACAAAGGAACCATACCATCAGTTTCAAAATTTAATGAGAAGTTGGACCACTCTTTACCAGAATTTGCACCCCACTGGAGAAGTAAATTAACTAACACCCACAAATCTCAAACCAAACTTTCTGCACCAGATCAAAAGTGGAGAAGAAAGAAATGAAGAAACTAACTCATGGCTCAGCAATTTTCAGACAAGAATATGAAACATTCACCAAATCCCAACAGAAACCATTAATTAACCAAAGGGCACCACTGTCTTGCAGATATAATATTAATACCTCAATTGCTTTTTTACCAATCTCTAATTACTACAGTTAATCAAAAAAGAAAAGAAGCATCATCATCAAGTTTCATTTCAACTCCAGGCTTCTGTAGTCCAATTTCAAGCCAAGAAAGTCATAACCAGAACCATTACTACTATTATTGTTGTTATTGTTACTGCTACTGCTACTGCTGCTGCTGCTGCTAATTACATCAGTATTGACCCCATTACAACTGCAATCTTTGCTCTTCTGTATCCCAAGGCTACAGGCAAAGCACAGATTGTTGTTGCCACCACCACTCCTCATCCCTCCAATTGGCTGCTGCTGATGCTCATCATTCTGGTGGTGCTTAGTGAGCCGAGGAGGGCTGATTCTGAGATCAAGGTTCAAATCAGGGCACTTGATCATGATTTCTTTAACTGGAATGGAGTTATCCTTCTTTGGGCTTGAATGAACTCTTTCAACAGATGGCTTCTCCTCCTTTGGATTTGGAGCAGTGAACGAAATGTTGGTTGTTGTTGTTGTTGTTGTGAGAGACAATTGTTGTGAAGAAACCGAAGGCTCATTTGTTGGCCTATGTGTGGTGGGATCAATCCCTCGACTCAGAAGCTTTCTTCTTATGTGAGTATTCCAGTAGTTCTTGATCTCATTGTCTGTTCTTCCCGGCAGCCTCCCGGCAATTAAAGACCACCTACATCACAGAAAATTAAGAAAATGGATCGGATCCATGGAAAGAAGGAAGGAATCAAATTGATTAATAGTAAGTGAGCAAGACTTACTTGTTGCCGAGATGGGCATGGAGTTTGATGATGAGTTCATCTTCTTCCTCGGTGAAGTTGCCCCGCTTGAGATCGGGGCGGAGGTAATTGATCCAGCGGAGGCGGCAGCTCTTGCCGCAGCGGAGGAGGCCGGCGGCCTTGGGGAGGGAGCGCCAGCAGCCCTCGCCGTGGGCGCGGATGTAGGCGATGAGACGGTCGTCTTCTTCCTTGGTCCAGGCCCCTTTGTTGGTGTGGGCTTTCTCACAGCAAGGAGACCTCCCCATTAATGGATCAATCAAGATCAATCACGAATCGATTGTTCTATAACTACAAAAACAACAATTCTCTCCTCCTCCTCCACAACAACAATCAACTCAAGCTATTACTTCTTCTTCTTCTTTAATTAACTATATGCAGCAGCACCAGTCACCACCATTCTTCCCTTCTGTAAAACTTGAGAGGACACTCTACAGTGGAGGTCTTGTTGGGAATTAAGATATATAGATTCAAGGGCTTCAACTATATATCATGATCCGGCCTTATATATATCTATGTGTGTGTGTATATATGTTTTATATATAAAAAGCTATATATTGACTGAATTGTGGAGAGGGGGAGAGAGAGAGAGAGAGAGAGGAGAGAGAGTGTGTGTGTGTAAATGCTTCTAGATGTGAGTTGGTGAGGCAGGTTGGAGTAGAGTGGGAGTTGTGTTAATTGGTGAGTATTATTAATTAATTTATTTCATATATTAATAATGATAATAGCTGCTTCTATGCATCATCATCCACATTAAATAATATCATATATATATATATATATATTATATTTACATATTGATAAGCCGTTTGTTGAGGTTAAGTAACAGTGGGGATATTATTGTTCATTAATATATGAAATGCAAACTTCAGGTAGGTATGTGAGTCTAAAAAAAATTAATTAAGTACAAGCATACAAATACTGGTTTTCATGAAAACATTTTCACAGCAGCAGAGGGTCACCTGCAATGTTATTTGGCAGAGCAATTACATTACTTGTGCCTTGATCCATAAAATTTTTAATTTTATTAATTATGTGTGTGTTGTCTTCATGCAAGAGGAGAGAGAAAGATTTTCATGCAGTGATGGTTGTAACACGTGCAGAGAGAACATAGAAAAATAAAATAATAAAAAGAGGGTTAAAAGGTAACCAACCCCATTTGTGGGGGCTAATGATCAAGATGCACACACCATACACAATAATGTTCTTGTAACAATACATATCTATATATCTATATCTATATATATACATAGTTAGTTGTGGGTGGGAAGGATTAATTAGGCAGAAAACAATTCTCCAAATAACTTTTTATTTACTAATATTTATTCCATAGTCAGTGATGATGGCATATTTAGACTGGACTTTTGGTAGTTGTTGTGCTTTATCATTATGGAACAGGAACTACACAAAATGCACCACTATGTTCTTACATACATATATATACATATATACAAAGGCTTCTAGAAGGTTTGGAGAAGAAAGCAATTGATGTGGTTGTAGTTAGATTTAGATTTAGATGTGGTCCATAAACCTTATATTCCAAGTAATTCTTGTGGTTGATGAACCCAATCCTTCTCCTTTTCCTGTTGCAATATTCATACACACATATATATATATATAACCTTATATATGTGTTATGTCTTCACCAACTATCTAGTAAATTTTACCTGTCAAAATAAAATTTATACTAATCACGTGCTTCAAGAAGAAGCTGACATGCCAGCACTCATGCAAGGTTGGTCTGTGTGCGAGTCATGAAAAATCCCCTACCTACCTTTGCTCCTTATTCCCATGCCATCAACAAACTTCCCACTTAAAACTTATATTAGAACTAAAAATATTATATCTAGTTGCCTAGTAATGAGTTATACTCGGAACTTGGAAAAATTCCGGAATAATTCTTTCTGGCAACGACTATTTGTCAGACATAAAGCAAGGCATAGTGAGGTGCGTAGCAGCAGAGGAATGGATCTAGTTATCAAGTAGTGTCAAGACGAACCATTTAATTACAAAATCATCATCTATGTAAAATTTTTCAATTTACAGATTATAAGAAACAATTCCAGCATGATTGCCTACCATAAGAATGGCAAAGCCTTTGTTCTTGTAAAATCAACAGGTGTGGTGGTATTAAATGACTCTTCTTTTATTGTCATCATTTTAGCTTTAGTATGTCTTTATGAAGAAAAACTAGTTACTGATAGGTATTTCAACTTTGACTAATTGGAAATCTATGGAACAATTCAGAGGCAACATGTCTGCCATTGCAGCTCAATTTGGATTTATTCATTTCTTCAGTCTACGATGAGGTTAAACTTATCGGATATTCTAACAAGATCTGCCAGCCTGATGGCGATACTGCTGAAAGCAACAGAGTAACACTTTGATATCTATCTACCTAGCTAGCAAGCTCATTACAATTACATTCCCTTAACAGCACGATCTCCATTTCCTATGTTTAATTAGGACATCTATCCATTTTAATCACCGCATATTAATGAAAGAAAGATTCGCAATGAATACCTTAAGAGAAACAAATAAATTTTGTTGGAGATGCTAACCACCTCAATGCTGATGGTCCTTAACAGGAGGCTCTTCCAACATGAAAGCAAACTAGGGAATTGAATTATATCAAATCGAACTATCATTCAACTAAACAATTAGTGTTGAAATAATGATTTATCAAACAGAAATAGACATCACAAGGAAATTCATGATACAAGTACCCTTCTCTCAATTATCATCAATGTCTTCTTAGTTTGTCCTGCATTTTCTTTCTCTCTATTTTGCAAGTCATTGGAAATTTACTAATCCATTAAGTCTATAGTTTAATCAGTTTCACTGATATTGATTCGCTATCCGCTTACTTTACTTTAGATTTGTTGGCAACTTGGCATAATATATAGATAAATTCAGTAAGCCATTCAGACCATGATTCCACTGATATATTTTAATTTATGTTCAACCAACAATTGTTTTGCTTATAAGATACTTCAACAATCATATTAGAGCCCCCTCCATTACAACCAGCCTAACATATCTCACTCATTTCACCACCAACAGCAATAATAAAGAATCAAGTAATCATATTTACAGTGACTGTGTGAGAAATTACAAATATACCTTTTCAAGTCATCCCTAAAGAACGCCGTCTGCAACTTTTTCAACATTTCCTAAGCTCTTATTGCTCCTCATTTCCTCCTCCATCTTGACATAATTAAGCACACCTAATTTGACATAAAAAGGAAATTAATTTTCCAAGGCAAACATGGGCAAAATAAGTTTAAGGCATTATAATTCTTCCGATTTGTTTCGACATCAATCATCTTCAACCAGAAGTAGCATTCTAGTCTACAACACCCAGAATGATGCATTCAGGATGTCGAGACATTTCTAAGCATGCTCATATACCAAAACGACACCAATCAAGTTTCACTAAATCCAACTCTTACATAAACAACTGGCCTTGATTCTGTCGCCATTACAAAAGCACGCAACGGTGATCCCCCGTTAAGTACGTAACAGCCAGCCCAAACCTCTAATCTTCTTCCAAATCAAGCGGGGGTATGGAATGAAAAACGAAACCCCAAATCGAAAATTGCTCATCTCCACCTCAGTTTATGAACAGCGCCCAAAATTATTAAAACCCTTCTTACTTTTGTCCACAGTCCAGGTACGGACATGGATCTTGTTCCAATTCTCTGAGCCCACTTTTAAATGGGCCCAATTTTCGCGCCAAAATTTTGAACTGGTATAAGATGATGGATAGGCCCAAATCGGACTAGATAGACCGTAATAGGCCCAAATCGCTTGTTTAATGTAATAGTTCAAATGGAGCCCAACTCAGTCCAACGTGCACAAACAAGCCTCTTTTGTATATAAGATTTGTTTACTTTGTACTTTTTTTTTTTTTATATCTTTTGATATTAGATATAAAAATTTATATTAGTAATATAAAATAAAATAAATAATTGTTAGACATAATAAAGATGAGACATTGAAACAACAATTGGCCATTTTCTTTTATTTTTCTTGAAATTTTGTCTTTTGGATTTTTATTTCAATTATGTTTTTTTTTTTTTTTTTCACTGTAGGTTTGTTTATCCAATTTTTTTTTTTATTCCAACATCATTTCAAAATATATTTTATTTTTTCAAAAAAAATTCACATTTAACATAAAATATTATTTTTTATATGTTTGTCCAATTATTTTTATCCGACATTATTTCTAATATAATATATATATATATAACAAATGATTGGTTTGGTTTTGATTTTAAAATTAGAATAGTGATTTGACTTTTTAAGTTAAAATATTATTAATTTGATATTTTTGTAAAAAATAAAATATTTTTATTGACATAATATGATGGAATATTTTTATTTGAAAATAAATAAATAAATACACCCAAAATACGATCAAAATGCGTCTGTCATATTTCATTATCCAAATTAATCATATTTTACTAAAAATTTTCATAGATTTTCAGTTATTTAAATTATATTTTAATAAACACATATGGAGTTGAGTAGTTGTTTAACCAAATTTCATGCGTGGATAAACCAGTACTAGGCTATTAAAATTTGATTAGAAATTAAAATAAATCGAATATATATGTTCGACATTACATCAGTAATCTTCTCCAACGAACAACAACAAATCCTTTCCACTATTGTATATTATAGAAGATTTTGAACTCTAGTCATTTTTATTTTTTTTTATTTTTTTTAAGAATATTTACAAAGAATCTCACATGAAGAAAAAAAGTTCATACACAAAAGCTTTTGTGAAAACTAACTGAAAATTCATTGTATACGCTTTCTGATTTAAATCATCGAAGAAATCGTCACTCACGTCTTTTGAAGAGTCGTTTGTATATTAAATTTTATTAGTAAAACAATATTTCAATATTTTTAAAGAAAATGAAAGTAAATTTCAAATAAAAAGAAGTTTAATTCATATAATATACCGAGTTTGTTCACTTTAATTTATTTATTGGAAAAAAATTAATTTTGGTTCCAATATAATCAAAATTTATCAATTTTGCTTCTAATATAAAAAATTCATCAATTTTGGTCTCAATATAACCAAAATTTATCAATTTTCGTCTCAATATAAAAAAACTCATCAATTTTAGTTATAACATAAACAATTTCAATCAATTTTGGTCTCAATATAAACAATTTTAATCAATTTTGGTCTCACAATTAAAAAACTAACGGAAATTGCTGACTTGGACATGACGGGGTGACGTGACAGTTGACCTGGAAAGTACACGGCCATGTACAATTATACGTTGTTACATGGCCATGTATATTTCAGTGTATAATTATACATGGTCATGTTATTATACGATCATGTACAATTATACACAGTCATGTTGTTACATGACCATGTTGTCATGACCGTGTATAATTATACATAACCATGTTATTACACGGCCACGTATAATTCTGCACTGCCGTGTACCTTTCTGTTTCGGTCTAAAATTTTAATTTTTTGTTATATTTTAATTTTAATTTTTTTTTATTTTTTGAATTTAGAATAGTTGATATATTTAAAATGGAAAAAAAAATCAATAATAATCAAAATATATTTAAAATATATCAATTTTAGTTCAAATATAAGTATTTATCGAATATGCTCTTTGGAATTATCTAAAATTCTACTATTTAGCAACAAATTTTTTTTTATAAGCATCCAATTAATGTATTAAAATAATAAATTACTTTTTAATACTACTATAATATACAAAATTTTAAAATAGTTATGTAATTGGATGTTTATAAGAGAAATTTTTTTATGAATAATAAAATTTTAGACAAACTTTTCAAAAGAATATATTTTATAAATTTTTATATTTGAATTAAAATTGATCAATTTTTATTATATTATAATTACTATTGATTTTGTTCATTTTAACTGTATCAACTATTTTAAATTCAAAATATTTTTTTTTAAAAAAATTATAACAAAAAAATAAAATTTTAAACTAAAATATAAATGTACATGACCGTGTATAATTGTACATGGCCGTGTAACAACATGACCATGTATAATTATACACTAAAATATACATGGTCATGAAACAACATGCCGTGTACTTTTTAGGTCAACTGCCACGTCATCTCCGTCATGTCCACTTCAGCAATTTCCGTTAGTTTTTTAACGGTGAGACCAAAATTGATTAAAATTGTTTATATTGAGACTTAAATTGATGAGTTTTTTATATTGAGACCAAAATTGATAAATTTTGATTATATTAGGACCAAAATTGATTTTTTTCCCTTATTTATTTTTCATAAATATAAATTTCTATATATATATATTATATAGAGTAACGGAACCGATAGTAAAAGTCTAGGGCAAAATCGATTTTTTTTTTATAGATTCAATGTTGTTTTCATTATATTCATAGTAAAATTTTTTTTTAGAAAATTACATAAAATTTAATAATTTTTTTACTATAAAAAATAAAATTTAAAAGACTAAAAATATAAATTAAGGAACGAATAAAATTTTTATGATTTTTTTACATTACAAAGTAAAAAAATCAAGAGAAACAAATTATTATAAAATACATAATTTTATTATTTTATATAAAAAATACATATATTTTGAGGATTGGGGGTTCAACTGACCTCCCTAGCCCCATATAGTTCCGCCCTATCTATCTGATTATATATACATATTAATATAATATATATAATATATACTTTTAAACATTTAAAAAAATTGAACAAATTAATATAAAATATTATTTTTTGATATTGACAATACAATTCTAAGTATCTAATATAAAAATTAATCTTTAAAAAAATACAAAGCGAACATCCAATATTTTCGTTCATTTTACCTACCAATTTTTATTTTTTAAAAATTCAATTATTATTTAAATTAACAAAACATAATTAATAAAAAAAAAAAAGACATACTCTACATTAATACATAATTGTTGTTTAGGAATGAGAGGATATTGATTTAATTGAATAAGTATTATTCATTAGGGAAGCAAGGCGTACGTGCCGACAAAATAAGGGAGAGAGAAAAAGAGGACCGAGTGACGTCGGTGAGGTGAGGTGAGGAGCGGAGCGGAAAAAGGGATAAAAGGGGCCAACACAGGGCGGCACCTTCTCCTTTGGAGTTTCATTTCATTTCGTTTCCTACAAACAAAATCCCCTTCTCCTTCGATTAGGGTTTCCCCTTCCTATTTTTATTCCATTCCTCCACCTCCCCTTCCCACCCCATCTCATTTTTCTACATTCTTGATGACATACGCCCCAGCCCTCCTCGCCTTTCGATTCCGCCTGATTGCTTGAGTTTTGCATCGAATTGGGTTTCTTTCTTTCTTTCTGGATACGCTCGCTCGATTTGCGTTCTCGGAATTAGGGTTTTCCCGAGGTTCTGATTTTTTGTTTGATATGATCGGAATTCGTGGATCGGACGACTCTCTGATCGCCGATTAGTCGGCGACTTGATTGGTCGGTTTTGTAAGGTTCTTGTATGGAAACTCGAAGCCGGAAGCGGGCGGAGGCATCCACCTCAAGAGCGTTATCTGGTCCAACGACCCGGGCCTCCAAACGGGCTCGCCAATCTGCCACTCCTGCCGGTACCTCTTCCGCCACCGCCCAAGCTCCTTCGATCTCTACCCGTTCTCAGACCGCCGCTCGGCCCATTTCCATGGACCCCAATCCTGAGCCATCGACAGCTTCTGCTTCCACCACTCGCAGCCGCCGTGGTAAAAACCCTAGCAACAATCAAAATTTGGATGGCAGTAACAATAAAGACAATAACAACTCGGACAAGGGTAAAGAGAAAGAGTCCGATGTCAGGCATAGAGAAGCGGAGAGGGCCGCAGCGTTGAACATTGATTCGCATAACGGAGATGACGAGGACAACGACAGTGAGGGCGGAGGTGGTGGTTTTCATCAGAATTTCACTTCTGCCAGTAGTGCCCTCCAAGGTCTTTTGAGAAAGTTGGGTGCTGGATTGGATGATCTGCTCCCAAGTTCCGCCATCGTTTCAGCTTCTTCTTCCCATCAAAGTGGCAGGTTGAAAAAGATCTTATCGGGCTTGAGGTCTGATGGTGAGGAAGGAAGGCAAGTGGAAGCGTTGACACAACTTTGTGATATGCTTTCAATTGGGACAGAGGAGTCTTTAAGCACTTTTTCTGTGGATTCATTCGTTCCCGTGCTGGTGGGATTGCTCAATCACGAAAGTAATCCGGACATCATGCTATTCGCCGCGAGGGCGCTGACACACTTGGTTGATGTGCTGCCCTCGTCTTGCGCCGCTGTGGTGCATTATGGTGCTGTCTCTTGCTTTGTTGCTAGGTTGCTGACCATTGAGTACATGGACTTGGCTGAACAGGTGAACTCTATCACTGTTAATGTTGGTATTGCTCCTAATTTTTAACTGAAAGTGGACAATTTGTGAATTAAAAATATAGTAAGCAGTTGTTTCCTGTCAATTATATATGCTACTTTCTATGTCACAAGTTACATCTTTGGCTGTAGAGAATCCTTTTTGTGCTTCTGTATCTAAACTTGGTGTTCATTTTGTTTGTCTGGAGCAGTCCTTGCAAGCCCTGAAGAAGATATCTCAGGAACACCCAACAGCTTGCTTGCGTGCTGGGGCTCTTATGGCTGTGCTTTCCTATCTTGACTTCTTCTCCACTGGGGTGCAGGTCTATATTTATCCTAGCATGTAGATAAGTTAGGCTGTGTTGATATCAGAATGTGGATGATGCATTGTATCTTATTGTTTTCCAGAGAGTGGCTTTATCGACTGCTGCAAACATGTGCAAAAAGCTTCCATCAGATGCATCTGATTTTGTTATGGAAGCGGTTCCATTGTTGACAAATCTCCTACAGTATCATGATGCAAAGGTAAGGTGTAGCAGTGTATTTTTTAGGACAGATTATAAGATAGGTTATGTAATCCTGAACGTTTACGTCCTCTCTGAATGTTCAGGTTTTAGAATCTGCATCAATTTGCTTAACAAGGATTGCGGAGGCCTTTGCATCTTCACCAGAGAAACTTGATGAACTTTGTGACCATGGTCTTGTAACACAAGCTGCTGCCCTGATTTCATCCAGCAATTCTGGAGGTGGTCAAGCTTTGCTTAGCAGTTCTACATTCACGGTGAGGGTAGTGCAAAGGTTTTCTTGGATACATTTTTTTGGGGATGGATAATGAACCTACATGCGTGCAGGGCTTGATCCGGCTTCTGTCTACATGTGCGAATGGCTCTCCTCTAGGAGCAAAGTCGCTACTTCTCCTTGGAATCAGTGGCATTCTGAAAGAAATATTATCAGGGTCTGCAGCTGGGCAGAGCATGTCTGTCTCACCGGCATTAACTAGACCCCCAGAGCAGGTATGAGGCATTACCATCCTCAGTTTCTCGGATAAATATGACCTGCCTTGCTTATATGCTTGTATAATTAAGAGCCATTTCCTTTGTGATCGTTATCTAAGCTTGTGTGATAATATCTTTGCTAGGTGCTATGCATTCCTTTTTGTCCTACTATTTATAAATATTTAGAAATGTTTAAGAATATATATATATTTCTGAAATTTGGATCTGATGGTATTTCCTCGACACTAGCGACTAATGAATATTTATTCTATACCAGGTTTTTGAGATTGTGAGCCTTGCCAATGAACTTCTTCCACCACTTCCTCAAGGAATAATATCTCTTCCAGCCACAACTAGTATGTTTGTTAAAGGTTCTCTTCCTAAAAAGGGTCATGCAGGAAACAGCTCTGGGAAGCAGGAAGACTTAAATGGAAATGCACAAGAGATTTCAACTCATGAGAAACTGTTGAATGATCAGCCTGAACTGTTGCAGCAGTTTGGAATGGATCTTCTTCCTGTTTTGATCCAGGTTAGTTTCTCAGTAGCTTATGATGTCTAGTCTACATGGATCTACATAGTTTATATATTAATGATATTTCCTGCAGATATATGGTTCCAGCGTGAATGGCCCTGTTCGCCACAAATGTCTTTCAGTTATAGGGAAGCTTATGTACTTCAGTTCTGCTGAAATGATACAATCTTTAATAAATGCTTCAAACATCTCAAGGTATTTTGATATGACACTCTGCTAGATATGTCACTTCTCCATCTAGCTGTACTCATATAATGGTTCGGTTATGCAGTTTCTTAGCCGGTGTTCTAGCTTGGAAAGATCCTCAAGTTCTGGTTCCTGCTCTTCAAATAGCAGAAATTTTAATGGAAAAACTTCCTGGTACTTTCTCTAAGATGTTTGTTAGGGAAGGTGTAGTACATGCTGTGGATGCTTTGATACTGACAGGATCTTCTGGTAGTACACAACAAACTTTAAGTGAGAAGGACAATGATGCTGCTCCTATATCATCATCACGGTCTAGAAGGAATCGGCGGCGAGGTGGTCATTCTAGTTCTGATGCAAATCATGTTGATGATTCTAGAACTTCGATTCCAAATATTGTTTCTCATCCAAATTCAGCTGAAATCCCTACTGGAAATTCTAGCCTTCGGATGACAGTTAGTGCACGTGCAAAAGCTTTCAAAGAAAAGTATTTCCCTCTTGATCCAGAAGGCGTTGAAAATGGTGCTACTGATGATCTTCTTCGTTTAAAAACCATTTGCACAAAGCTTAACCGGTGTACTGATGAACAGAAGAGTAAATCTAAGGGAAAATCTAAAGCTTATGCTTCCCAGTCTGCTGATATTATTTCTGTTAAAGAGGAGCACTTAGTTGAGGTGATGGCTGAGATGCTGCAGGAGCTTAGCAGGGAGGATGGCGTGTCAACTTTCGAGTTTATTGGTAGTGGAGTAGTCGATTCTTTACTTAATTACTTTACATGTGGTCATTTTTCTAAGGAACGCATATCTGATGTTAATCTTCCTAAGTTCCGACAACAAGCCATGAAACGGTACAGTTATTTTGTTTCTGTTGCCCTGCCTACAAGTATTGGTGAAGGGAGTATGATCCCCACAAGTGTTTTAGTTCAGAAACTTCAGAATGCTCTATCCTCACTGGAAAGATTTCCTGTTGTGCTGAGTCATGCATCACGATCATCGGGTGGAAATACTCGTTTGTCTTCTGGTCTAAGTGCTCTATCGCAGCCATTCAAGTTGCGTCTCTGCCGTGCACAGGGAGAAAAGTCTCTCCGTGACTACTCTTCAAATGTTGTACTGATTGATCCGCTAGCAAGTTTGGCTGCCGTGGAAGACTTCTTGTGGCCCAGGGTTCAAAGAAATGACTCAAGTCAAAAACCTTCAGCATCTGTTGGGAATCCAGAGTCTGGGTCCACTGCTGTGGGAACTGGTGTTTCATCACCGTCTGCTTCAATTCCTCCTACTATGACCAGGCGTCATTCAACAAGGTCCAGGTCTTCTACAGCTAATACTGTCAAAAAAGATTCGCTGCTAGAAAAGAATACAAGCTCAATGAAGGCCAAAGGAAAAGCAGTGTTGAAACCTAATCAAGAAGAGGGAAGGGGACCCCAGACTAGAAATGCTACCCGTAGGAGAGCAGCTCTGGACAGAGATAATGAAATGAAGCGAGAGGAAGGAGAAACCAGTTCTGAGGTATGTGTTTTGTTTCTCTGATAAAATTTGTTGGTAAAATGACTCGTGCAGTTTTCTTCTCTTTGTAAATACTAATATGGCCGGTTTTTGGTCAAATGATTTTTTGGTGGGAGAGTGTGAGTATAAATCTGGAGACAGGCCAACAAGGTTTTAGTGTAATTTGCCAATTACTACATTGATGTCCTAGCTAATACAAACTTGATTGATTAGATTAGGGAAATATGTTTCCTTGTTGTTTTCTTGACATGGGATCAACCTTCAATTATTGCTCATTTCATGGCCATTTATGTTTTGGCATTGACACACATGATATCCTTCACTAATTATGCTTTTGAAACCGTAGGGTGTCACCCCACACAAATCCTTTTTAGATTACATTGTTGAAGCTATATGCTCCACTGGTGTGGGTCCTTTTTGTTTAGAGTATTGATTCTTGGTGGGAGCAAGGAATTTCTAATACTTGTAGTGGTGTTTGAACCTTCGCATTATTTTGTAGAAAGTCCAATTTTGTCCTTTAATACTCATTTTTGTGATATCTTCGGACATAATGTCACTGTTTGTTATGTCTGATTTGACTTCTGAGAAAGGAAACACTTATTCATGTAATACTAGTTGCTATTAACTTCTTGTCATTCCTCCCCCTCCCCCATGTCATCACTCTATTTTATTTTTATTATTATTATTATTTAACTTGTTAAACTATACATATATATATATATGTGTGTGTGTGTGTGTTCTGTTTTCAGTACCATCTTGCAAGTTTCAATTAATTTTAGTGATTGAGAATTATTTTCTGCATGACGCAGGATGATGAATTGGATATTTCACCAGTTGAAGTTGATGAGGCTTTGGTAATTGATGATGATGATATATCAAATGAAGATGACAACGACGACGATGATGTATGCAGCCTTATGTGTGCTCAAATATATCGGCTAGTTTCAAATTTATGAGTTGGTTAAATATCTTCAACTAAATTGACTTGATGATATTTGTCTAAGATGCCTGAAGCCTAATAACATGGAATCTTTATGCGAAGAATTTCTTAATGAATTTCCTGAATTTCAAGGAAGCTCTAGTTTACACTTTAAGATTGAGCTATCCTTTCTAGAAAGCTTGACAACTTCTTTAGCATCCATTAAACAAGTTGAAGTATGCCCTTCTTGGATGAAGTGTCAGAAATAGTTGAAATAGCTTGAATTTTTTTTTTTTTTTTTTTTTTTGAACTTTAAAAAAATTGCCTAACTAAACCATTAAATTAATGGTTTTCAGGTTCTGGGTGATGACACACTTCCACTTTGCACACCAGACAAAGTTCATGATGTTAAATTGGGTGACTCTGTAGAGGACAGTCCTATCCCCACTCCAAATGATGGGCATAGCAATCCGGCATGTTCTAGCAGTAGAGATTCAGCAGAGTTTCAGAGTGGGAGTTCTTTTGGTTCCAGGGGTGCAATGTCCTTTGCAGCTGCTGCAATGGCTGGACTTGCATCTGGTAATAATAGAGGTGTCAAGGGAGGTAGAGATCGGTATGGACGCTCCTTATTTGGCTCTACGGACTCGCCCAGGCTTACGTTTACAGTTGGTGGGAGACAGCTTAATAGACATTTAACAATTTACCAGGCAATCCAACGTCAGCTTGTTTTGGATGACGATGATGATGACAGGCTTGCTGGTAGTGATCTTGTATCTACTGATGGAAGTAGGCTCTGGACTGATATTTATACTATAACATATCAACGGGCTGATGCTCAAGCTGAGAGGTCTTCACTTGGAAATGCAAGCTCAACAGCACCATCTAAATCCTCTAAAGCTAATTCTTCAAGTAATTTGGTATCTGATAGATCAGCACATCATGTGTCACTGCTTGATAGCATTTTGTTAGGGGAACTTCCTTGTGATTTGGAAAGAAGCAATCCAACATATAATATATTGGCACTATTACGCGTTTTAGAAGGGTTGAACCAGCTTGCACCTCGTTTGAGAGTCCAAAAACAGATTGATAGTTTTTCTGAGGGAAAAGTTTCTAGTTTGGATGAACTCAGTGATACAGGAGTCAAAGTGCTTTCAGAGGAGTTTATCAATTGCAAGCTTAATCCAAAGCTTTCTCGCCAGATTCAAGATGCTCTTGCACTTTGCAGTGGATCCCTCCCTTTATGGTGCTACCAGCTTACTAAAGCCTGTCCATTTTTATTTTCATTTGAAACCCGGCGGCAATACTTCTATTCGACTGCATTTGGATTGTCCCGTGCATTAAATCGGCTACAGCAGCAGCAAGGTGCTGATGGTCATGGAACCACAAGTGAACGAGAAGTGCGTGTTGGGAGGTTACAACGGCAGAAAGTTCGTGTTTCCAGGAATCGGATATTAGATTCAGCTGCAAAAGTTATGGAGATGTATTCTAGTCAAAAGGCTGTACTTGAAGTTGAATATTTTGGTGAAGTGGGCACAGGATTGGGCCCGACTCTTGAGTTTTACACACTTCTAAGCCATGAGCTTCAGAAAGTTGGATTGGGAATGTGGAGAGCAAATTCTATTGGTAGACCTTCTATGGAAATTGATTTGGATCATCATTTGGTTGGAGATTCTCCAGCTGGGGTTGATAAAGATATTATTTATGCACCTCTTGGATTGTTTCCACGCCCTTGGCCACAGAATGCTGATACTTCTGATGGGAGCCAGTTCTCAAAAGTAATTGAGTATTATAAATTGCTTGGGCGAGTTGTGGCCAAAGCTCTCCAAGATGGAAGGCTTCTGGATTTGCCACTGTCTTCTGCTTTCTATAAGCTTTTACTTGGTCATGTAAGTGGATTTCAACCCTTCAAAATCATATCTACCTCCAATTTATTTATTTATGATCAGTCTTCGTCTGTAGGATAATTAACCCCCCCCCTCCCCCCCTCATTTGGAACTTGTTCAGGAGCTGGATTTACATGATATAATATCTTTTGATCCCGAGTTTGGGTCTACTTTGCGAGAAATGCACGCCCTTGTATGCAGAAGACAATATTTGGAATCCACAGGAAGTTACAACACTGAAGAGCTTCGTTTTCGTGGAGCTTCCATTGAGGATCTCTGTTTAGATTTCTCCCTTCCGGGCTACCCTGAATATATTTTGAAACCAGGCAATGATAATGTATGCAATATACTTTGTTTGACCTTCAGACATTTATATTTCCCACACTCTAATCATGCACCTTTTCCAATTTCTATTCTACTTGGTAGATATTTTTAATAATGCATTTCTTGTCTGCTGAAATTCACAGGTGGATGTGAGTAATTTGGGAGATTATGTTTCTCTTGTGGTTGATGCTACTGTAGGGGCAGGTATCAGGCGGCAAGTAGATGCATTTAGATCTGGATTTAATCAGGTTAGTTGTTTATTTTGCAACCAATTTTGTTGGCAGTATTTATCTCCTTGTTACACTAACTCTTGAGTAGTATCTTATAATAATATTGAATGGTTTGATGGATGGCACCATACGAAGGACACTTGGGCATTCTAGTAAACAATCTCCTCTACCTCAGTCGTAGGTTACCACTGCTAAACATGATCAGACTTTGGGTGAAAGATGAATGTCAAAAAGGTTGACTGAATATGTAGCATTATATCGACAAGTATGACCTCTTCAGGCTCTAACCTGTAGCCTGATTCTGTCCATGCCACTTAAAACATGATCAGAGTTTTTGGGGTGAAAAATATTCAAGCGGTTGAATGATTATGTACCATTCATTGTTGTTTTATAAATGTTGACAGTTATTGCCTTGTCATGCTCTAACCCATAGCCTGATTCTTTCCATGCCACAAGTGAGCAAAATCTGCATTAATCTCAGATTGACTGTTGGAACAATTTTACTTGTTTTATGCACCAAACTTACTTGCATGATGTTAAACAGTTAGATTTGGGTTTTTTTGAAATATAGGTGTTTGATATATCAACACTGCAAATATTTTCTCCAAATGAGTTGGACTATCTACTCTGCGGCCGCAGAGAGCTCTGGAAGGTAATGTTTCTTTCTAACTAATCCTGTAAGGAATTTTATAAATGCCTTTGTTTTATTAGTAACGACTTTTGGGGGATTTCTTGCAATTCAGGCTGAGACACTGGTTGATCACATTAAATTTGATCATGGATACACTTCCAAGAGTCCTGCTATTGCCAATGTACGTGTACTTTAGCAAAAAGATAACAGCTTCAATGTATTGGTATCTTTAAGTCGTTTTAGCCAAATTATTACCTGTGAACTTGATATATGTACTTTTCCCTTGTATCATTTGATCAGCTTCTCGAAATTATGGGTGAATTTACCCCTGAGCAGCAGCGGGCTTTCTGTCAGTTTGTTACTGGTGCTCCTCGCCTTCCACCAGGTGGTCTGGCTGCTCTGAATCCCAAATTGACAATTGTTAGAAAGGTATGCAGATTTTGATTCTCTTCTCTTTTCTGATGCACTGCCGAGCATGTGCTGATGCTGATACACTATGTCCTTGGACCAGCATTCTTCGACTTCAAGTGGCATTGCAAGTAACGGTTCTGGTCCATCAGAATCTGCAGACGATGACTTACCCAGTGTGATGACTTGTGCAAATTACTTGAAACTTCCGCCATATTCCACCAAGGTTAGCTGCGATCTTTCATGTCTTGCCTGCATCTGTTTGAATGCTTGTGATGCTTTAGTTAAGCCTAAATACAAAGGAACAAAAGGTTACTGATTCTACTCTTCATGTTATAGGAAATCATGCACAAGAAGCTACTCTATGCAATCAATGAAGGACAAGGATCCTTTGATCTGTCGTGAGTTTTCCTTCCATTTTGCCACCGGATTTCAAAGAAGATTAAAGTTGGATACTGGCTAGCAATTACCTGCTTAATAAGGGGGACTTCTCCTGGTCCCCATATCTGATGGGCCGACGTTGCAAGGTCAGTTGTTTATATGTGCGAAATTGAAGTTGGTATAACCCTGATTGGCATGCATTTTTGGTTTATAAACAACATGGGATATAAATAAATATCTGAAATCCATGATTTGGGAAGAATTGGCTGAAACTGATTAGGGACTCCGCTGCTGTTTTGTTTGTTCAGGTTTTGGATGTTACTTGTGGGACGACTGGGAATTAGCGACAGTATTATGGTGATCTGCTGCTACTGCTTCATATTGAAGATGATGATGATAGGTTGTAAATAAAAATTCCGAATGTTATGCTTACCTATCTTATTTTATCCACACCCCTCATCTCCTGACTGAATTTAAAACTCAGCTGAATAATCGAAATCCTTCTTTGTGCTTTGGAAATCATTTCCCTTTCCCTTACCCTGTCTAGAAATTCATGGGTTAGGACATGTTAAGACTTTCTTACTCAAATGTTGTCTTAGACTTGCATTTTCTTACTACATTTCTCAATTAGATTTGGAGGGGCTGTGCCTTGTCTCTCTGTCTAGTTATATACACCAGTGGTTATGACTTATGAGCATTCTACCTGCTATTGCTACTCTGCTACCCTTGCGCTTATTGTTTTACGAACTTTTCACAAAAAAATCAGAACAAACAGGGTCTTCATCAAGTAGTAGAATTCCGAGAACTAAGTTTAATGGTATTTAGACATATATTGAATAAGAGTTGAGCATTTTTCTACTATATATTATGATCTTTATTTTGGTTCTTGTTCTTATATGAGTTATGTGTTGCAAGTATAGGCAGTATTTAAGATTTTTTTATTATATGCAATTGCAGGTACGTAGATTTTACACTTTTTATAATTTTATACTTCTGTCTAGTCATGATGATTTTTTTGTTTGTCTTATAACAAATCGCCAATTTTTAGTAAATTTATTTATTTTAAATACTGATAAATATAAATTAATTTAATTAAATTTTTAATTTTTTAAAATATTTATTAAAAAGAAATTATTTTTATCATTATTTTTAATAATAAATACTTTTATTTTCATTTAAGAAATTTACTTTTTTTTTTTTTTTTTTTTTATAAAATTCATTTAGGGTGATTGTTTGGGGGTTTGGATTTTGAGTTGAGATTTGAATAGTAAAAATTTTGAATTTGAATAGTTGTATGACCTGATATAAACATGATATAAACATGTGATGATGTGATGTTTTGAATGTAAAATTGATTTTTAGTATAATATAAAAAATAAAAAATAGGTGTTTGATTTGATGTTTTTGGGGGGAAAATTTTGGATGAATAGTGAGATTTGGACCAAATCTCTCAATCGAACACACCCTAAACATATATTTTATATTTTTTTAATTATGTATATAATTTATATTTTAAAAATATTAACACTATTTATATAAAAAATAATATAATTAATTTATATTACCTAAATAATGGTGTCTAAAACAAATGAATCATGTAGAGAAAATTTAAACAGAAAATAATTGTTGAATAAAATGTATTAAATAAAATTAGGGGTTTGTTTAGATTGGGATTTTTTTGGTAGGTTTTTGGAAATTTGAAAGTTCGAAAAAAGTGAAAAGTTAGTATTTGATTCGATGTTTTGTGAGAAAAAAAAGTGTATTTGGTGAGATATTTTTTGAAAAATAAATAGTGTCAAATGAGTGAAAGTATGTTGTGTAAACAAAATTAGATTTTTGTATACTATATATTTTTCAAAAATATTATTTTATTAAATATGAGAATAAAAATATAAAAATACACTAAAATTTTGTTACTGGACACATATGTTATTCCTTCCATTTCATTGAGTATATTAATATTTTCTTGGCCCTTCTACTTTGTGTGAGAATTAGAGGTTTGTTTGATTTTGGTCTCAAATCAAATCAATCTTCAGTTTAGTTTAGTTTGTGGATGGAATTGGGTTTTGGGTTTAATTTGAAATTGTAGGTGTATAGGTTTTGGAATTTGAGTTCATTTTGGTTAAGAAGGTTTGAGTGGGGTAAAAATAAATGGATTTGATGGAATATGTTTTCAGACAGACTCCATAGCAAGTAAATCTTCTCTATATTTGCAAAATTTAAATTAAATATCTAAAACTAATAAAATGTGAAATATTATTTATTAATTTTAAAAATTATATTCTTTTCATCATAATTATATATAATATATATTTTTTTGTCCCGAAAAGTTTAGGCTATGATTTAAGATAAATTACTATAATATATTCTTAAAAAATAGAAAAATATATTAAAATTCTAAATTACGTGTGTGTGTGTGTGAATGTCTTGCCACTATTTTCAAGAGTTATATTTTCGATTCTTATTTTTTACTCTGTTAAGAATTTTGTCGTTTTCGATTCTATTGAAAATTCTTTTGCTAGAAACTTCGATTAAATTTCTATTATTTCTGATTCTATTGAAAAAAATTTTATTTTCAATTTTAATTGAGTTGAGAATAATTTAAATTTATAGACTATTTTGAAATGATAATTGTTAAATAATTAATAATATCAAAAAATTTTAAAATATTTAATAATAATAAATTGAGTACAACATCCCCGTACCCTTTTATTAATTAGGTGAATCAATTGATTCACATCATAACATATAATTAATTAAATAAATAAAATAATTAATTAACAGGAGGGGCACATGCCACTTGAATTGCCAATGTCTTCGCTATCTGAGGACACCCGTCGGCTTTGTCGACAAAACGTTCCCTCTCCATTGGGATTCTGCAACTCTTCTTCCCCAAGCACTCCTGCAATACAATATACATATATAATCCATTCATCAGCCAATTCCACGATCGATCGATCTCGATTAGTAATTATAATTTCTTCTATCATACCTGTTCAACAACTTGGCGCGCATTGGAGGAGGAACTGGTGCAGTTTCCATGTCGGAATTGGCCGCAGGCGCCTTCGATCTCCCCGAATCCGACGAACTCGACTTTGCCGATGACCTTGTTGTCCGGGCAGGCCAGCTGCGCAGCCTTAACTGGATTGGCGATGTCCCCAGACTTGAATTCGGAAATCACACTGCAGATTGTGTCGCGATTCACCGTCACGATTTCAATCTTCTCCGGATCGCCGTCGTTGCCGTTGCCGCTGTCCTCGAACACTACGAGGAGATTGCTCGTTGGCTTCAGGTACGCTCTCGGGATGTGATAACTGGATCCAATTTAGACAATCGATCAGTCAATTGATTAATTAAGATGAAGATAAGATAATTAGGTTAGATTTGGATGAGTAGTAACATTTGTTGAGTGGGGGCTTGGAGAGCAGAGAGGTAAGAAACCCAATAGCGGCCAATGCTGTTGCCATTGACCCAAACCATGCCTTTGCCCATGCTGCTCATTCTTATGGCCACTGGATCGTTGCCTTCTGGGGCATCGAAGTATGTCTGTACATAATTAATTTGTTTGATTTATTGATGAAGATGAAGAAGAAGAAGAAGAAGAAGAAGAAGAAGAAGAGTTAATTGATTAGTTAATTACCTTGTACCAGGTAACAGGTCTGGGGGTGGCAGTAGTACTGTTGTTCATTAATGGAAGCCATTCCACTTTCTTTGAACCTTGTTCTGTGAACACTTGCAACCTCTCACCTTTCATCCCGACCTGTCGCGTTATTTAATTTAATTTAATTAGTTTAATTTACATGAGACAATTAACAGTTAATTAATTAATATTAACCTGTTGAGTCCAGGTGTTTTGCGTAATGTCAAGAGTTCCAGACATCAAACCTTCGATTGTTACAAGTCGTGGCCCTGCAAATCTCTTCTCCATATACGCACCGCTATTCTGCATGTATATATATATATAAATTAATGAATATAATAATGATTAAAAGCAGTAGTAGTACCGGGAAGCCAACGGTCATGGCCAAGAGCGTGATATTGTTGAGGCCACGCTTCAAACTGCTAATGGGATTCCTCAGCACATGACTCTTCTCAATATTGCTACCGTGCCCGAAACCTGCACACCAGTATATATATTATATATATATATATATGTCATTTCATTTAATTAATTAATTTATATATGGATAGACTGACCAACAAATTGTTCATTGACGAAAGCAAGCAAAGCATGGCCGAGAGTGGCAACCCGAAGGACTGGGAAGATGTCCGCCCGCATTGGCAAGTCCAGATCATCCAACTCCATGCTATAATAATAATTAATGGAATTAATTAATTAAGCTATATATATATATATTATAAATGTGGTTAATAATTAATTACCTGGTGCTGTACCAAGCATAATCGGAAGTGTCTTTTGTGAGGGTGTATAGCTCCATGGGTGCCTGGCTTTTGAGTTCCAAGTCAGCCATGGTAGGGATGCTCTCTCTCAACATTTCCCATTTGCCCATCTTTGCTCTCTCTGAGACAACCAAGTTTCGAGAAGTATGCTGAGCCACAACCTGCCAATTCATCATCATCGTCCATCATATCTAGATTATTGATTGGATTGGATTGGTAGACGACAGGCAGACGTACAGTTTGGGTGTTGTAAACAACAGTGTGGCAGTCAGGGAGGATGCTGATGGACTTAGGGGGCAAGTAGTAACCCACGCCCCTAAAATCAATGGTTGCACCTTCCCTCGTCTTGTTGTTGCTCAAGAATGCGCAGCACACTTTGTACTTGTCACTTTCATATGTTATGATCTGAGAGTTATATATTAAATTAAATTAAATTACCTTAATAATGTATATACATAACAATTAGGGTTTTGTCATACCTCCAAGTCTGGGGTGGGTTTTTGCACTTTGAAGTCGCCCCAAAGCAACGGCTTCTTGCATAATCTCAAAGCCTTGTGCAAATCCCTCAGATGACCAAATTTAGGTTCCCTCTTCAAACCATATTCGTCAAGTGGGGCCTCGTCGTAATAACGGGTGGTCACGAACGACGAGCTTGTTCTCCCAAAGTTGGTTCCACCATGGTACTGCATATGATATAAACATACATATATACACAATCCATTCATCAACATCATCACTTCACTTCACTGTGATAAATAATTGATAGTCAGTAAGTATGTCTGTCGGACCATGTAATAATTGTTGAGGGTTCCGTTTCTGGCAAAGAACCTGGCGACAGAAAAGGCGATGTCTTCAGCGGCACGTTGAGAGGGTGAATCGCCAAACACTCTGTACTGTGCTGTCCAGTTCTCAGTCCAGAGTGTGGGCTTGTCGGGGCCATTCGGACCAGGGAAGGTATCCCCGCACTGCCTTCCATTGCAAGTGCTTATCTGATATGATATCATCATCATCATCATCATCTTCATCTTGATCAGATGATCAGGAATTATTATTCAATTATCAGCTATGAATGAATGAATGAATTACGACTGAGGGAGGGGCATTCTTCTGCTTGCACATGATCCAGGGCACGCCATTGTAGAGCTCCACAGCCATTTCTGCTGCCCACTTTATGTACCTCTTACCCTTTTCCCTATATGAAACTTGCACATTGTTGTACTCGTTCTCGATCTGCATCCATCCAAATCAAATTAAATCAATTTATCATAGATAGATCATCAGGCAGATAGAGATAGAGTTATAGAGGTAATTAAAATACTGGCCTGAGCCAAGATAATGGGGCCTCCTTGGTCTGCCCAAAGCTTCTCCTTCGTCATCAAGTTGACGATCATTTCTGCGTACCGTTTCATGTGATACTGCAAATGAAAACATTTATCCATCGATTATTAACTATTTAGAGTCGAGAATTTTATGCATTAATCAGATTGTTGCCATCTACCTTAAAAGGCTCGTTATCAGAACGGAATACGATGCCATTCACTTCTCTCAGCCAGTAGGGAAACCCTCTGCATGCTACAGTTTATTAGCTAATATAGATTCAATTCTTGTTCAGTAAAAATATAATCAATCTCTTTATATATAACAGAAATAGAGCAGTTAAGGCACCCACCCCATATTCCATTCAGCTTCAATGTAGGGTCCAATTCTGAGGGTCACCCACAGGCCACTATCCCCAATCAATCTTATGAACTTCACCAGGTCATAATTACCCGAAAAGTTGAACTGATCCATCCACAATCAAGTTAATAATAATCACAAAACTCATAATATTGTTTCTTCATCATCAAAACAATCAATCGATGCAAATTAGTTATTTATATCACCTGGCCTTGAACAGGCTCATGAATATTCCAGAAAACATACGTCTGGATCAGATTCAGGCCCCCTTCCTTCGCCTTGTTTATGATATCCGGCCACATCTGCAAGATCAATTAATTTTAAAAAGAAAATATTTTTTTTTTTTCAAAATTAAACAATGACGATCATCGACCAAATCCAACAAATTAATTACATCTGGGGTGCTCCTGGTGTAATGCACAGAGCCAGAAAACAAGAGCTCCCTGGATCCATTGACGATGATGGAGCGGCGGTCGTAGGTGACCTTAACTGGCATCCCCGCCGTCGCTCTGCCGTAAGTATGCGCCACCAGCAACATAAACGCCGCGGCGCCAAGCAAGAAATTACTAGTCCTCGAGGAACTGGCGGTTTCCGCCATTGATGATAATTCTTGATGTGCAGGTGCAGCACGGTGTTTAGGTATGGTGTACGAGTATTGCAGGTGGCGGTATTGGTTGCAGAGACGACGTCGTCTGGTACCTCTTTACCAATCTCAGGCGGCACCAGACAATAATGTGGTGCCTGCCGATCGATTCCCAGGCCTGAATCTTCCATTCGAGCTGCTGCTCTTAATATAAGCACGAAAATTGCTGCATCGTGAGCTCTTTCCGGATCATCTCCAGCAAACTTGTCCATTGCCGGATTCTTGCATGATTTGGTTGGTTGCTTCTTTTGTGGCCATTGTTAACTGTCTCTCCCTTATTAACAGCAAGATTGACTTTTTCTTGTACACTGACTTGTTTTATTTCTTGTTTGGGCCGACCCACATTATTTTTAATTTTACATGGGCTTCATTTGACAAAAAGATTCAAATTTGTTGAATTTGTAATATATGGCTTTAAAGAATGGAATTGAATTATTAGAGTCATCACTTGGGAGAGAAGTAAGAAAATAGGTAAGAATCATTATAGGCCAACTAACTAACTGAGGGTTATTAATTAAGGGCATCAATTCAATTCAAGACTTGAAGTGGAAGTTTAATTTCAAAGAAGCCATAATTTGGGAAGAAGATGAAGATGATAGTCTAATAAAGTAATTTACTGAAATTGAGGAAAAAAGGAAAATTGGACAGTTAATCGTGATTGGTCGTGTCATGTGGCGCCACTCGAGTCCTGGCTGTCTGCTCCTTGCGCTATTTCAGATTCAGAAATTTTTGTGACTTGCCGACTGACTCACTCACTGCATCCACAAGACCCCAACTTTCTGCCTCCATCCTTCTTCTGCTACTCGGTATGATGAGCTCTCGCGCGCTTTAATCTGGTGGGATTCGTCGAATCATGAGGGTGCCTGTTTGATTAGGTGTTTTCGGTTGTATAATCATGAGCTAGCTGTTTGGGTTTTAAAATATTGGGATTAGGGATTTGGTTACTTAGTTTTGAAGATTTCTTCCCTTTTTAATTCTACCTACTAATCTTTGCAGTTGAGCGAGCATTTGATCTGGTTAGCAACCAAGGCCGCGGAAGGGTGAGGAATTTGGAGCGAGTTGGGTTGGGGATTACTAGCCGCCGTCTAGGGAGGAATCGCCGGCCACCGGATGAGCGCCTCGAGATTTATAAAGTGCGTCACCGTCGGGGACGGAGCTGTGGGGAAAACTTGCCTGCTCATTTCGTACACCAGCAATACTTTCCCTACTGTTAGTTTTCTTATCTCCCGCTTTTTTGTTCTGTTTGGGCTGTTCCCTGCCCTCGTTTTTTCTCTTCAATTTGGGGATTGCTGCTTCACGCAGTTATACAAATATTTTGGGCGTTTAGGATTTTTGATTGAGGAGGGATTTGGGGGAAAACACAAACCCTTGTATTTACATCACCTCTCTCAAATTGGCTACTATAATCAAGTTCCTACAAATTTGAAATGTTAGGATTGTTCTAGGATGATCTTTATCATTTTTGCTTTTGCTATTCCATTCTCTTTGTTTTCATCATAATTCTACTCATTTTCTCTATCTGTACATTTGTAGGTTTGCTTCTTAGCAAACCTTTATTCTTTTCCTCATATGATCTTTGTTGATATTTATATGAACAGGATTATGTCCCAACTGTGTTCGATAATTTCAGTGCAAATGTTGTAGTGGATGGAAGTACTGTTAATCTAGGATTATGGGATACTGCAGGTAAGCGGATAAGAATTTGCTTGTACATCTTGTCTTTCAACAAATTATGGAATTAGACAGTGAACTTACTTCATTTTGCAGGTCAGGAGGATTACAATCGATTGAGACCATTAAGCTACCGTGGAGCTGATGTTTTTATACTTGCATTCTCTCTTATAAGCAAGGCCAGTTATGAGAACATATCTAAGAAGGTAAGCTATACATCGATAGTAGATAAGATAACCATCCTATCTCTTGATGATCATTGTTTTCTTTTCTTTGATACAAATAGTTGGTTTAATATATTCTACTAATAGTAAGTGTATTATTTGTATAATGTAAGTGATTCATCAGTTCTTACCATGTTCTCATGTTATTTACTGAAAATTGGCTAAAGTACTCGCCTTGATTGCTAAATTGTTAATTTGTTATACCTTCCTAATGTTGTACTCAACTCCACAATCCTCCTATTCACTTATTTAGTGGAAAGACATTAAAAGCTTTGCCATTACTGGGGTCTGATAGATTTCTTTTAATATTCTTTTCAGTGGATCCCTGAATTGAGGCATTATGCTCCTGGAGTTCCAATAATTCTTGTGGGAACAAAACTTGGTAAGGTTCTATATCTATGTTTCTCTTCCAATGCAGCAGAGAAGAGTACTATTATCAACAACTTTTTTTTTTTAATCTCTAACTATGTGAAATGACTACAAGAACAACTTAGGTGATAAAATATTATGTCCTTTAGAACCCCAATTGATTGCTTCTTGTCGTTAAATTGTTCGACAACATGCTAATGGTGATAAACTCCGAATCAACATTCTTAATCTTGGCCGCTTTTAGTATTCATTTTTTATTAGCCGAACAATTCTTGATTTCTTAAATTAGATCAAACAACCAAAGGAATAAAAAATATGTGTATATTTTTGTATTTGATATAATGCCCTTGATATAGAGAATTGCTGAATGTTAAATAGTTGGTAAGTTTGTGCACAAGAACTCTAAGAAAACAAATGTGGTTTCAAGAGAGTACCTTATTTTAGCTTGTTATGACCATAATTCCGTTGGCGCACGTGCACACACACATTAAATTTCTTGTCTTATAACTCAATTTGATGAACTACCATTTTCTGCCTCCAGATCTCCGTGAGGACAAGCAGTTCTTTATAGATCACCCAGGAGCTGTTCCGATCTCAACTGCACAGGTAATATATTGCATCATTTCCAAACTCTTCTTCTAAATACGAACAAAATGGAACTTGATTTTGTGATTTGAAGGGAGAGGACTTGAGGAAATCGATCGGAGCAACAGCTTATATAGAATGCAGTGCTAAGACACAACAGGTGACAATATTTTTTTTCATAAAAAACACATGGTTTGCAAGGAAGGTGCATCTCCTAACGTATATCAATTCATCTGCAGAATGTGAAAGCTGTGTTCGATGCCGCAATCAAGGTAGTCCTGCAGCCACCAAAGCAAAAGAAGAAGAAGAAGAGAAAGGGTCAAAAGTCGTGCAGTATCCTGTGAACTGGGAAAGAAGGAAGGACTTGTGCTGAAGATCTCACTGTCACTTTCCCCTGAAGAATGCAATATCACCCCCCAGCCCAGGAGTTGTGTTCTCCTCTGACCACCCCTACCCCTACCCCCACCCCCACCCCCACCCCACACCAGCTAGCTACTTAGTTTGTTGGTTACTCTGCAATTGTCGTGATCTATCTAGTGTTGATAATATCAAAATTTCATCCATTTAGGGCTGGATTGAAGAAGAAAAAAAAGAGCTTGTGTTTGTCTTGTCTTGTCTAATACTACATATGCATCTCCAGAATCTGGATTTTTATGAAGGGCTTTAGATGTGTTGGGGGTAAAAACAGATGCAGAGTTTCGAGTATTATTTACTTGTTATTACAACCAAGTGAAATGAATTGACACTTGCTCCACCCTCCATCAGATCAGATCATTAAATTCTGTTTTTTCTTTGATTGTGGAAATGACGTACCAACAACCTCCACCATGGGCATGGCAGGGTGTGTTTGTATTTAGGCTCACACTGTTGTGATTTCATTTCACATCTCCAACACAAATATCCAATCGCTATAAATATAGTCAAAAAGGCAATGAAACAAACGCCGTTATAGCGCCGTTACAGCACTAGTGTCGGTGGATGGATGAATTGAAATGCCTTCTCGTGAAATGACCTGATTGCCCCTCTCCTGTCTTCTTCGTCCCCACTCCCACCGACGATTGTCCTGTCCTTCCCATGCTCCATGCATAACCAACTTTCATTTATTTTAGTTGATTCATGGACCCAGTAGACCAATCATGTGAATTCAAAATCCCTCGATTTAATTAAGTTAGTGCTCTGTCTGTCACTGCTCTCGTTTACTCTATTCTGGAGGGGACCCTTTTCGAGTTTAAACAAAGTATTCTGTTTGTTAGTTCAGAGTAGGTCGCCCTTCCCGGCATTTTCTGGATTTTTAAATATCCTGAATTCAAAACCTGTAGGTAGTCTTTTCCTTTCACGCCCAGATTCTTTTGCTCCCAAACAAATTGTTTTACATAAATTGATTTGCAAATCCATTGCCTTGCTGGTTTTCGTTCTTGAAGCTGACTTTAATGGACCCAAAGTAGTTCATCACTTCCCACTACTCTTCTGAATTCTTTTCTTTATTTATTTACAGAGGAAATACGCTTTTGAACTAGAGTTTGTTTAGATTTTTGTATCTCTCTGGTTGAGGACATTTTGAAAACAAAAATTACTCAGAAACCGTATTCTGGGGAAAGCTGCAAACCCTCTTACCCTGTTTGGAATCGCAAGACACATTCGCAGAAATACATACGGATTCCGACACTTTATATGGGAATTTGCGTGTTGCAAGAACTCACGCAAGTGTAGCTAACCAGTTGTATTAAGTTAACAATGGCGGTTGATATGATGATGCCCAATTTAGGAAGAAAGAAAGTGGTTGTGGGAATTCGATTCGATGGGCACGCCACAGAGCTGCTCGATTGGGCAGTGAAGAAAGTGGCTGCGCCGGGAGACACCGTGGTGGCCATCCATGTTTGCCGGAATTCTGGTAATGCAGGGATGGAGCAGTACGTGAATTTTCTGAGTAAGATCAATGGCGTAACTTGAATTCAATGTTTTCAGGTAGCGTTTTGGAAGAAAGGGCGTTGCTGGATGAGCAATTGGAAAGCCACCAACGTCTCTGTAAGCAAAAACAGGTCTGCGTTTTTAGATCATGAAGTTACAAAAGATTGACATGTAAGAAAACTGGCAAACTAATTTTGATTTGGGGGATGCTCAGATTGTTCTTAGTGCAGAAGTGGTGAACGGTAAGTCAGTCAGAAAAGCTCTTGTCCGAGAGGCGACGAACTGCTCCGCTTCAGCAGTTGTTTTGGGGATAACTAAGCATAGTGCCCTTATCAGGTGAGCCAAAATAAAAACATAGTTATGAACTTCTTGTCTTTGTCCATTCTGTTTCGAAGATCTTAACTTCAGTTAGCTTCAGTGGATTGGCTTCGGTCGCGAAATATTGCGTAAAGAGACTTCCTCCGACTACTCAAGTTATGGCGATTTACAACGGGAAGGTTGTCTTCAGCAGGTTTTCTAGGCTTGAATTCAGAGGTCTGTAATCTGTATACTAATCCTGAAGTTCATCTATCTAACCCCTTGTTTAGAATCTCCGGCTGGACCGAGCTTTGATCATTCCTATGTTGTTAGATGATGGATTGGAGCTCGAGGAATCCGATGGAAGAGACAGTGTCGCGAGTTCTAGAGATGACGATTGTTTAAGTCCTTTCGGAAGACACAAAAAAGGTTCTCTGAGTACAATTTCATTCCCTGCCGCAGAATTTACAAAGCAACGACCTGGTTGGCCTCTGCTTCAATCGTCAAGTTTAGCCACTCGACCGGTGCAGGAGGCACGAAAGATGTCAGTCGTGCAGTGGGTAATGAAGTTGCCACGGCGCTCTGTGTCTGAAGTTTCCGCATACAGCTGCAATACAAGAACTTGTCGTCTAGGAGATGATCAAGATTTGGAGCAAAAATTTACTAGCTGCAGCAATGTCTTTAGCTATGATCTTCTCCAAATGTGCACTTGCAACTTCTCCTCAGGTTGTTCGCCTCGACAACGTTTCTTTTACACGTATTCGAAAGATATGAATGCAGCAGTTTTATTGCAGGGCATCTTATTGCAAAGGGAGGATGCAATTCTGTGTACAAAGGAGTTCTTCCCTACGGTAAACCAGTTGCCGTAAAGGTTCTGGAATCCACGAGAGAGGCGCGGAAGGATTTTATTCGAGAGATGAACATTATGGCCGCGGTGAAGCACAAAAGAATCGCGCCGTTGCTTGGAATCTGCACGCAGGATTATAAACTGATATCGGTTTATAAGTTCTTGTCGAAAGGAAGCTTGGAAGAGAATCTACAGAGTCAGTTTGTTATAACTTATGTACACCGATTCAAATATCGATCTGATGTGTTTTTGAATTCATCAATGTTGTTGAAGCAGATAACATAAAGCGAGAAAAGCGCGAGCTGTCGTGGGAAGTAAGATTCCGTATAGCTATTGGGATCGCCGAGGCGCTGAATTACCTACACAACGAATGTTCCCGGCCCGTCATTCACAGAGATGTCAAGTCTTCGAATATTTTACTAACCGACGAGTTCGAGCCACAGGTTCGGCACGCTGAATTAACATTTTGTTGCATTTTACTTACCGGGATTAATGTGGTTGACGTTACTTTCGTTTCCTCGAAGCATAGTTATGTGACTTTGGATTGGCGATGTGGGGACCGACGACAACATCGAGTATGATTGTGATGGATAGTGATGTGGTAGGAACTTTCGGATATCTTGCCCCGGAGTATTTCATGTATGGCAAAGTCAGCGACAAGATCGACGTGTATGCGTTTGGCGTGGTTCTGCTAGAGTTGTTGTCGGGAAGGAAGCCTATCGTCAATGGCACAGAAAATGCAAAGACTCAACAGAGTTTGATCATGTGGGTAAGATATATTAAACGCCCATTTTAATTAAAAGTTTAAGCTTACAGGGATACTGGTTACAAATTTAGTTTACTTATACTTTTTATAGGCAATGCCTAAACTAAAAAATGGAGACTTAAGAAGCATATTAGATCCAAATCTGAATGAAAATGTCGATGAAGATCGAATGCAAAGAATGGCTCTAGCGGCGCGGCTATGTCTCACTCGAGCAGCCCGGCTTCGCCCCAACATGAGACAGGTTCGAAAACTCGGCATGTTTGCATCACCACTACTTTATTGGGCTAGCTATCGATATTCTTGTTTGTTTGTAGATACTGCACATTCTTGTCGATGGAGTGGAGTGTTGCGACGGGTGGGAAACTGAAGAAGACGACGACAATGATAACGAGGATGATGAAGTTTATCCGGAATCAAGTGCAGAATCGCATCTAAGCGTAGTCCTCGGTTTGCTCGATGACGACGACAAATCTACGTCGTTTGATGGCGGGAGCAGCAGCAGCAATACAGATCCAAACAGCCCACATCTTTCCCATAGACAGTGTGTGGAAGAGTTTATGATGAAGAAGAGATGGAGCAGATGATCAAGTGTATGTGTATGTGTATCTGGAGTAGTATTGTCAGGTCTCTGTATTGTAAACACTGTTGCATCAAAAGGCCAAATTTGAATCAAGAAAATGATCATTGACAATAAAGCATCGAATGGGCTCAGTAGAACATGATCAACAAGTAGTCCACTAGGCCCATATAATGATGTACTGCTCCCTTTCTATTAGATTCCCAATGTCGTCAGTGCGTCACACAAGTCGCATTAGCAAATTTTAAAAACACGCTTTTCAGATTCTACATATATATATATAGTAGAGTATTATATACGACCGCTTTTCGCGAAAGGCCACCCATTTTCAGTTTCAGGTATTTCGATTTCGATCCCATTTCCAAATATCGAAGCCTCGCAGCGCACCCAACTTTGCCTAGGGTTTCTGGAAATCATGTCGACCGCGGATTCTGGAGCGAGGTTGATCGTCCTCAAGAGTTCTGATGGCGAGACATTCGAGGTTGAGGAGGCTGTTGCCCTTGAATCTCAGACTATTAAGCACATGGTCGAGGACGATGTCGTCGATACCTGCATCCCGCTACCTAACGTCACCTCTAAGATACTCGCCAAGGTCATTGAGTACTGCAAGCGCCATGTGGCTTCGGCCGCTGCAAAATCGTCTAACACCGATGGTCCGCTCTCGTCAGTTGACGAAGATTTGAAGACTTTCGATGCTGAGTTTGTAAAGGTTGATCAGAGCACGCTGTTTGACCTAATCTTGGTAATCTCTAACCTCTGTTTTACGCTTGGGATTTTGTTGATTAATCGGATACTTATCGCTTCCTGCGTTTTGTTTTTGTTGGGTTGGAGAATTTCTGTTTTTAAGATTTCATTTGTACGTTTGCGGAATTATTTAAGATTAACTTGATATTGGATTCGATCGTGTGGGTTGCATTCTTTCGTTACTGGGGGTGGATGCCAGTGAATGTAATTCCCTTTGGCCGATTTTTGGAATATTCATCATTTGTGTATGTTAGTTAATAGTTTATCGTTTTAGTTTCCACAGACTTGTCAATCTTGGCTCTCGCATTTTACTGTTGGAAGTGTGTTCAACCAAATGTTTTGTTGCTGTTTCCTCTATTAAATAGTACCTAGTATAGGTTCATATTGGACTTCAGCAATCTATATTCTTCCTTTGAGAAAAGAGGCTTCCTAGCCTCAAGCCTCGTTCCATTGGAGAATTTTTCTTTACAAGGACATAACAGTGTTATGTGCATGACCTTAATTCATTTTTCTTAATTGATACCTTGATATTCAAGGAATCTCTTTTAAAATATTTTCATTTGCAATGTGAACTGATGCAGTTATGTAGAGAGGTTTTGGTAATTGTTTTCCTTCTTTGTTCCTTCATATGCCCTTAAATGTACTATTTATTAATTTATTATTTTTTTTTGTGTGTGTGTGTACACATGTACTTGTTAAACATTTTCCATACCATTTCTATTTGTGTTTTGACTTATTTCCTGCAAAGATATTGATCTGCTCCAAGCACTGATGGAATATGTTGTTCATGCTTGATGGATTTCATTTTCTCAGGCTGCAAACTACTTAAACATCAAGAGCCTACTTGACCTTACTTGTCAAACTGTGGCGGACATGATCAAAGGGAAGACCCCTGATGAAATTCGCAAGACATTTAACATAAAAAATGACTTCACTGCAGAAGAAGAAGAGGAAGTTCGCAGGGAGAATTCATGGGCCTTCGAGTGATACATAAATAATATCTAAATAACTATAATGCTACCATGTTCCTGCTAGTTACTATGACATGTTGCTGTGATGTTATTAGTAAATAGGCCTTTGTCTTAATTGGATGAAGTTACGTTCACCTGTGGTACTCTATTACACTGTCACAACATGTCTAGATGTTTGGTGTGGCCATTTTGATGACTATGTTTTAAATATGTTGTGTTTTGTGCCTTCTCATTTGCGTGAAACTCCCATCAGTTCACAGTTTTTCTTGATGAAAGATCAGAACTTAGATGCCAGCTTGAATGACAAAATTTGTGGGGTATTGGGCTCTTTGACGATATGATACTAGTGCATAATAATTTGTATGTTCTGCACAATTATTTAGTGTTTTAGTAATCAAGAGGTGGTGTTTATTCCAAAGTTGGGTGAGATGAATAAAATGATCCAAGAAGGCTCCTATGTATGATTGGGGCCCTTCAGCGGTTGCTTTGGAGTCTTTGAAGAAATGTCAGTTAAGGGAATATATGAGATATGAGACTGCAAGTCTTGACTTGAGCTCAATAAGAAATGGTAAATGATCTGCGGTTGTGCCATTAATTTTGAGGATGTTGTATTGTCCTATCCTGAATCCTGAGTTGGGGAAGAAGAGAGCAAACAGTGCATGTGGAGGATATCAGTTTCTATTAAGTATTCACCGTAGCAACAGGTAAAAGTTACATTATAAGTAATGGATAACATCAATTTTAGGTACCCGGGTGGTTCATCTCTCTGAATTTTGAATCTGTTTGTCTTTTCAGAGATGTATACTGGAAGTGCTCCCAAGATTGGTTCATTGGTTGGGTTGCAGATGAAAGAAAATTCCATACCTTGAAAATGGGCAGAAGTGATATGGTATTTCCTTCTGGGCTAGTTTGTCTCCTTGTTTCTAATGATTAACTACTTGATATGGTTTTCGCATGAAACCCTCATCTCCTTCAAAGTCCATGTTATATTCAACTAACGGTCCAAGTAGCAGCCCTTGTTCAATACTTTCGAAAAACTTGCATGATCAACTACCTATCCACCTACCAAATCTGATTAAATTTTTGTTGCTCTGTTTGATTAGTTTCTTCTACTTGTTTATCAATGGCCTATTGTTTGCAACTAATATTGCGTATAGACAAGTCTTGATTGATCTAGTGAGAAAACTCTTATATAAAGTATGCTCATCCTCAATTTGTCTTTAAGTTAGTTCTTGGTAATCTTATGGCTGAATTTATTTCCAGTTGCGTGCGGGTAAATAGTTTTGGGACTGCGGAATAAGCATCTATCGTCCATGGATATCCCACAGAAAGAGCTGTCAGCTGAAAGCGAAAGAGCTCAGCCCTGCCTGGTAACATGTTTTTTATGCCTTAATGAAATTCTTAATCTTCAATGATTTAAGTGAGGGACCACCAGCCTGCGAAAGGTCTGTGATGATAACTAATTCAAGGGTACAGAAATGTTGGTCATAGAAAAATCTGGATAACTCCTAAGTTAGCTTCCAGACAAATTATTATAATATATAATTTATTATTACTATTATTTTTATTGGACTATGAAAGCTTCATTTAAGAAAAGACAGAAAGTTGAGAATACGAATACGACCAACAAGATTTAAACTTTTTCCCTATGTATGGTACATTAATTATGCCCATTCTACTTTAAACCTTTTATCTTTTATTCTTTTTTTCTTTTGGTGTCAAATTGAAAATTGAAACATCATTATGGTTTTTTTTTTGTTTTTTTTTACATCATTATGGTTAGTGTCTTAGTGATATGTTATGTTGCAGATAAACCCTAAACCCTTTACAGGTAGTGTATGCATTGGAAACATCCAGCTTCTACCATTTCACCATCTAAGTGGCTCTAGGGGAATCAATGGGGGAGGCCCAATACATTAGAATAAAAAAAAAGCTGCTTTTGACTAGCTTATGGAAAAAAACAAATGCTTTTCTCAATAATAAGAAAAACTAATATGTCACGCGCCAGGTGTGTTTTTGTTCCTTTGTGTTCATCTGGGTGCAAATTATTGGAATGCTGTGATTATTGCCTGGTGGAAGTTCAATTGCCCATTTATATATTCCTGTAAATGTTCAATATCTGGGTAGCTATGCTGTGCCATGCTATTTTATCTGTGTTTCTTTAGTTTAAGTTGCCAAAGAAAGTAGTAATGAAAAGAAGATTCCTTTCTCCCCCTCAATTAGTTTGTTGTTGAATATGCATGAATTGGATGGAGTTGGCAATGCAATATAAATAGGTGATATTGCTAATGGTGTTGAGATTGTTTATATCTTAGAGTGACAGCTACTCTTCTTCCTCATACCCTCTGTTCTGCACATGGAGTGCCCTGCTCTGTACTGCTAATAATAATGTTAACACACTGTCTTATTGAGTTTAGCTAGCAAATATTGATTATTCTGTCTGATTGAGTTTAGCTAGCAAAGATTGATTATTGTTTATATTATATTCAGCCTGTTATATGTGACATGTATACTGTGTTAGTAGGTTAGGTAAATGAAAGCTAATTCGTATATAGGGTGAAAAATCACATATATGGTATGGCACATGTTATGGGGGGGCATTAGTGTCATTTGATAAGTGTAAATAATAGAGAGGCTGTGTATTTGTTGGAGTAGGAAAAAGAGAAATTGGTCACTTTCATTGGAGGAAAAAAAGATGTGGCCAAGAATCGAGTTGGGTAGTGTGCCGTTTAGCTGTTTTGCCCCCACGAAATCGAAAAACAAAGGGCAGAGAACAAACTTTTATTTTTATTTTGTATGCTTTCTTGGAATACTGTATTGATTTAGGAAATAAAATTCCAAAAAGAGAAGAAACCCCACCATTTATATGCAGACAGGCTGGCTCTGGCAGGTGCAGTAGCAGTAGCAGGAACTCGCTGGAAACGGCCATCCCCAACAATATGAAGAAATAATAATATAAAAGTAAGTTTTATGTATTTCATGATTTTGATTACTTCTTTATGGAGTATTTACTTACCTGTAATTCTCCAAGAAAGTAATTTTCATTGATGAAATGGAATATTTGTAGTTAGTGGCCCTTGCCTGACGTGTCGAGATATCTATGGCTCCTTTCTCTCTCCCCACACAGAATAGTAGTAAGTGTTTTATGTATATATATATTTTTTAAATATAAGGTGTCTTGTCTCATTCGATGTATGTATAATGTAAGACTTGTGGGAGTTTTATTTAGTGATCATTTTTAACCAAGAACTAGTTTACATTATGGATCACATCATAATAGGTATAGTCTAACCATTATATAATATCCATTTCATTTCTACATTATCTTTGGTGTGAAAAATAATAATGAGCTTCTAGTTTTGAAAGTAGGACGTTAATTAATAATGTGCTTGTTGTAAAGGGGGGTGTGTGTGTATGTGAGAGAGAAAGAGAGGGGGAGAGAGAGAGAGAGAGAGATGGGATGAAGAAAAAAGAAGAAGATTGGTCCCACTCCTTCCCTCATATCATTCTCAATCATGCCAGCTATTTCCCACTTTATTAAAAATGTATGTATGTATGTATGTATTGTGTGTATATGTGTATACATATACTCTAACGGCTATGTATAGTGTATTATTGATTTTATAAGCATAAAGTGGTTAGAGAGTGGGACGTAGATGATTGATGAGATATGTAATTGTTAACATTATCTCTCTGTTTTATTACTAAGAGGATAAGGACAAAGGCCAAATGATAGGGTTAGGGTCATATTTGAATATAATATGACTGGTTTAGTATTTATTTATTTAGTTGAGAGTGTATTTTATTGCATTGTATTGAAGGAATATGGAATGTTTGGTTGGTGTTCTTCTTCCTTCCCTTTTGTGTGTGAAATTTAATTTATGAATGAAGAGCTTGATTAGTTATAGACAAGGTTCAGTTATTGTTGTCTATTTGTCCACTTGTAAATGTAATAAGTAATACCTCTGTATAGAGGTAGGGAGAGGTCTTTGTTTACCTTTGTTTCCAAACCAAGTGAAAAGTGTTGTTGAGTAGGTTTTAGGTTAAGCAAAATAAAATACCATAAACCCATTATCCCTTTGTTTATTTTATGTGCATTTTACTCAATTTAAAATATAAGAAAATATATATAATTCAGGGGGTTAGAAAATCATAGTCTGTATTACATCATGCTAGATAAATAAATAAAATGGAATAAGGGATAGAGTACTTATGAGGTATGCAAATATTTGCATTTGTTGGATAAATTCATTTATACATATCCATGTGTAACCTTTTTGCCGCATTCCCACTCATCCAATCTCAAAATAGGGGTGATTGGTTAGCTAATTTGCAAATATACGATTATTTGGTATTTAAATTGAACTAAATAAATACTTGAAATTGTCTACTCACAATTTTGGTTAATCAAAAAGTATATTATTTGCAAATAATTTAAAATCGAATCTAAAAATAAATATAATTTTAATTAAAAAAATATTTGTAAATGTTTTACACGGATTTGAATTAAATATAATTATTAATATAAGTTTTAAAATACATAATATAAATATATTCAATTCAATTAATAAAAAAAATTATATTAAAAATCAAAATTGAATCGAATAAGTATTAAATATAAATTATTTATATTCGATTAATTAAAGATTTGATTCATATTTTTGGCCACCCCTATCTCCAAGATAATATTCAAATAAAACTAGAGAATCAATATTTTATCCATATAAGAGTTCTAGGATTTTCTGAAAAATTTTTAAATAGCAGTATATGTTTAATTTAATATTTTATTAAAAAAATATATAAATATATTTTTTTAATAAAATATTATCAATGAATAATAACAAAGATTATAAAAATATATGTAAATGCCGATGTTTGATTATGCATATGATTTTAACTTTATATAATTAAATTAAAATATTATTTCATATTCAAGTTATTACATCATAAAATTATTACTAATTTTAAATTCATCAATGCACTCACAAACAAAAGAAAATCTATAAATAAATACATATGGCATGATAAATAAAAAGTAGAAAATAATTTTGAAATCCATTAAAATAAAAACCGAGAAGCATAGGAAGGACATTTACGGAAAATTACAGGTAAATATAATACGAGTACATTATGGTCATGATACTGATAATGATGATGCATCCACATGGGCTTTGCTGTCTTTTTATTCCACACTTTTCTTTTCAATTTTCATAATTAATTTTTAAATTAGATTTAATCATTATAAACAAATGTTCTCGATCATTGTAGTTTATGGTAGACTACACCCTGGACCAAGACCGGGACCAGTAGTCCATGGAGCTATCTCACTGAAAATAAAAATACATGGTAATACAAAAATGGGTTTGCTTTTTTCCATGTGATTTAGAAGCAGCACTACCTGAAATCCCTAAAATACCCCTCCCCTGTCCCTGCTCTTATAATACACCTCCCCCGTCGCCTGCAAAAAGCTACACACAGTCACGCCGAAAAGCAAAGCGAAGCAAAGCTCGCAGCCAGTAGGAGAGGGGAGGAAGAAGACGAGGAGGAGGAGCAGTGCAGAAGCAGTAGCAAAAGGAGCTACAAAGAAGAAGAAGCATGACGAAGGAAGTTAGTGAAGAGCCGCAGCTCCATCACCAGCCCAAGGACTACGAGGACCCGCCGCCGGCGCCGCTTTTCGACCTAGGCGAGCTTTCTCTCTGGTCATTCTACCGCGCACTCATCGCCGAGTTCATCGCCACACTCCTATTCCTCTACGTCTCCATCGCCACCGTCATCGGCCACAAGAAGCTCAACGCCGCCGACCAATGCGACGGCGTAGGCATCCTCGGCATCGCCTGGGCGTTCGGCGGCATGATCTTCATCCTCGTCTACTGCACCGCCGGAATTTCAGGTCTCCGTCGCCCTTACTTTTAACATCCTAGCTGCTAACTCATTTTTAACGTCTTCCGACCTCCGATCGGCCTGGATCTGGTTCGATTATAACCTCCGGCGACGCTGAATCCTGCAGGTGGCCACATTAACCCGGCGGTTACGTTGGGGCTGTTCCTGGCAAGGAAGGTTTCTCTGGTTAGGGCGGTTCTGTACATGGTAGCACAGTGCTTGGGAGCAATCTGCGGCGTAGGTTTAGTAAAAGCGTTCATGAAGAACCCCTACAACCGTCTCGGCGGCGGCGTGAACGTGGTGGCGTCGGGGTACAACAACGGAACTGCGCTGGGTGCGGAGATCATCGGCACCTTCGTGCTGGTCTACACAGTGTTCTCAGCTACAGACCCTAAGAGGAGCGCGCGTGACTCTCACGTCCCCGTAAGCACAAGCAATTTCTAGAACACCGGATTAACTAACTGCTGCTGCTACTCTACTAATAATTTCTCTACTTTCATCATCTTTGCTGCAATTAGTTAAATAATGGATTATTATATGTGTGTGTGGGGTGTAGGTGTTGGCTCCACTTCCGATTGGATTTGCGGTGTTCATGGTCCACTTAGCCACCATCCCCATCACCGGAACTGGCATTAATCCGGCGAGGAGCTTCGGAGCTGCCGTCATATTCAACAACGATAAGGCCTGGGATGACCATGTAAGATTCATAGATACATACATACGGTTCTTGTTTTCTCTGTTTTATAATTTCTTCCTTCGATTGTGTATATATATATTGATTGATGAATGAAATGGTGGGGTGGGTGCAGTGGATTTTCTGGGTAGGGCCATTTGTGGGAGCACTGGCAGCGGCGATATACCACCAGTTTGTATTGAGGGCTGCAGCCATTAAAGCTTTGGGATCTTTCAGGAGCAATCCCACCAATTAAGCAGCTATCATCATCCTTAGATTGAGTCACTCACAACTGCCATTATTATTATGATTATCACCATCGTCCTGTGTTGTTAATTATCTTGTCTCCTTTATTTTAATTTATAATTTAAATTTGATGGTTGGGATGTGGTCCTGGCTGGCTGGTCATGGACCAGTCAGTGGAGTGGTGTGGTGTGTTTGTGTAATGTAACGAGAGGAGAATGGATGAATGAAGAATGATTGTTTATTAAACTCCCATTTTATTCTCCCAAGTGGGCTTGATGATGATGATGCATGTGTTTTAGTGGCTGCCTCCTGCCTGCATCTTCATCTTCACCATCACCCTTTTCATAATTAAAGATGTCCTGTGCTTGCCTGCCATTTGCAGCAGCAGCCAGCTCTAAAGTGCCAAAGATTATCCAGTCTTGGAAGATTATTAATTAATTAGTTATAGATTTTCACTTCCTAATAACACACACATTTGTTCCATATGTCTAAGGGAAAAACACAATTAGGATATCATCATCATCATCATCTTTGGCAGAAAAGGTGAGTGAGTTGGATGGATTATTATATTATGAGCAAGCAGGCGGGCAGGCAGGGGTGGTAGTAGTATAGGAGTAATGACTGGATTCTACTTGTGGCCCTTATTCAATCCTTGAAACCCTTATCCAGAATTGTAAAACTTGTCCCTTTCGGACATGACAAGACTCCCTTATATTATTAATATTTATTCTTTTATTTATCATCTCTCCCTTCTCCTGAGGACGAACCAACAACAAGAGGGCTATTTCCATATAGAGAAGAGGGGTATATGGATGATGGAAGATGGAAAAGGGTAGATGGTCCAATCCCCTCCCTGGTCTTCTGCATTTTTCAGACCTGTCTGCTTGCCAGTGGCAGCAGCTTATTACCAATACTTGAGGACAGGTCTGAGTTGATAACACCAAAAACAAAAGGTTAGGGTTGGATGGGTGGGTGTATGATTGTACATCAAGAATATCGATCTTATTATTGATCATCATATAATAGATAGTAATACAGGCAGGAGGAGGGCAGGGCAGCTGATGTGTTGTTGGTGATGGGTATGTATAGCTTCTCTCTCTCTCTCTCTCTCTCTATCTATATATAGGTGAAACAAGAAAAAAGCAATATCGATTCTTTCCCTTTTATAATCTCATTTTTGGTCCTTGTGCTGCCGTTTCCTGTTCCACTCCTATTCCTAGTAAATAGGGTCACACCCACCCACAATAGTATTTTTCTCAACACCCATAGAAGAAGGGAAGTAGCCCATCATCATCATCAACTCTATAACGTGCATGAACAAGCTTTAGTAAACCACCAATTGAACTATACCCACTCATAAGCCTTCATGCAATGCATTTAGGGCTGAACTTAATTGGGATGATAAAGCCCATATATCTTACGAGAAGTAACCGATTAAGGATTAAGGTCCAGTACGTACCGATGATGATTGGCCAGATATGCCCGATTTTTTGAGGATACAGCATTTAATGATCCCGAAGAACCCTAGCTAGCTGTTGTGCAAAGTGCGATGAGCCAATAGTCCTCTCGATCCGACCCTCACCGATTGCAGTTTACTGACAGTCGTCTCCCCTCCGACCATTCCTAATTTGTAATTCGCCTGAGGAAGGTAAATAAATGGCTGGAAAATTCAAAGAGTTGTTGATGAAATACGGCAAAGTAGGGCTGGGAGTGCATTGCTCGATATCCGCCGCATCAATCACCGGCCTATACATCGCCATCAAAAGCAACGTCGACGTCGAATCGCTGCTCCAGAAATTAGGTATGCACAGCCTCGACAAGTATAAGGACGCCGCTGCCAATCAGGAGGCCTCAGAATACGTCGAGACGACGACGACCACGGCCTCTGGTTCGGTAAACGATCCAGCAGCACAAGCGAGGAACCGAACGGCTGAGCTGGCGGCGTCCAACGGCGGCGCTCTGGCTTTGGCGCTGCTGATCAATAAGGCGCTTTTTCCTGTTAGGGTTCCCGCGACGCTAGCCCTTACGCGGCCTGTCGCGAGGTTCCTTGTGAAGCGCAACATTATCAACAACAATGGCATTGTATGATCACGCCGCGCGGATGATTGATTCCTGGAGCGTCTCTGTAATTCTCTACACTGAATAATGTGTGACATGTTGCCATTGATAGATCTGTTTCATCAATCATCCCACCGTCTTCTTATCCTTCCTGCACAGCAATACTGAACAATACAATACATATATATATAGTGACTCAAAAACATTGTAGCTTGATCAAATAGCATTTTCAGAAAAACCAAAGTAAAGAATGCTATGAAATAGACAGAGACACGTAATGGAATGAAATGTATAATAAAGGAGTGTACACAACCAAATGAGTAAATGTGACGATAAAAGGATGTGTAATACAGAAACAACTTCCACCATAAATATCACAACCCATCCTTTATTCCCTTCATTCCCTTCCCTTCCCTTCTGTTAGTTAGTTTCATTAAATTTTACAATTGAACAGTCGACTGTACCATCCCTATCGACGGAACACATCACTCTCTGCTGGTTTCCATTGACCAAATGAGGGCTTGGAAAGATAGCTTGCTTGCATCAACAGGTGGCAATTTAAAGAATTTCTATGATGCACATAGATAGGATAGCCTCAAGATTGCTGCTATAGCTGTATCGAATTAAGATGTTTGAATTCCCCGCATTCAGCTCCAACCTCGGTTAAAGCTGTGAAAAGTTTTGGCACAATTTTGGCGAGCATTAACTTGAAACCAACTGAATTTGTGTTGGTATTGTTAGTATCACTGATGACCGAAGCATCCTTTGCGAGGGAGCCGATAAGATGGCCTTTCATGTATGCATCACATGCCTTGAGAATGTAACGGCCGCGCTTTCTGAAATGCTCGGCAACCAGCTCTTCAAAATCCTGTCAAAAACATTGTATGATAACCATATTAGCTCTACAAAAAACTTATTGGTTCTGTGCAATTTCAAATTACAGACAAGGATGCATAACTAGCAACAAAGATCAAGAGACTAGAGAATGGTAAGTACAGGAAACTGATGTGTGCAATAAATTCAAACCTAAGAAGCTAAATGTTGCCTAAATTTTACTTTGTATATATGTCATAGGTTTCATCTAGCAAGAATTCAATCCCCTAGTTTATTGTCATTCCAATTTCCTGGTTCAAGCATGGACAAAATGCTGAAATCATAAGCCGCTAACATAATAAGTTAATGGATTGACCTACAATCACCCACCTTAAAAAGAGCAGACAAATTAAACGGGAAAAGAAAAAAAAAAAAAAAACTTCCATTACAAGAAATGACTCAAAGAAAACCACAAAGATCCTATCCCCCATACTGAGTAAGTAGGCAGGCAGAAGTATCAGATTTTAACTTATTTACCTTTGGAGGCCTCCGCATCAGATACATCATTGTTTTACAGTTCAATATAAATGAATTCTCGTTGTAGGACAAAGAATTTTTCTCCCCTTCAGCTGTCCCAACTTGTTTATCATATCCAGCTTCATTAAAGTAAGGCTTGGAATTCAATACTAGTCCCTGCAGTGAAACTAGTACTTGAAGAATGCTTGAGGTCGAAGGATCCCAAACTTCATTTCCTCTACCAGTCCAGGTATTTAAAAGACTAAGGCAAACTTTTCCTTCCTCATATAAATTTGGATTTATGCGCCAGCCTCCAGAGTGATAGTGTGCTGACTGCAAACACGAGATAGTTGAGTGAACATTAAGTACGAGTTAGTCAATATAAGTAAAAGAGGGCAAATCAGGTCAACAGGAGAATGGAGACAAAAGATGCCAATTAAAGTCACTTCAACATGTTCACTAAGAACTGAGATAAATATATATATCTAGGGGCCGGGTTTCTTACAGGTGGAACATCTGGATACTCTGGTGGAAGATGAAAATCAAAGAAGAACAGCCCATCTTGGTAAGGTGTTCCATATGCTCCAACTATCACAGCCCTTAAAAGATCCATTCTATCTTCATAGGCACGTACATATATGTCCTCTGTTTGACAGTGTTTTGGCTTTAAACAACAGTTGTAATTTTCAACAAAATATAAAGAAATAAAATTTCAGAGAAGTAGGAGATAGGCGGAGCATACCAGGGAGGTTATTCTGAAGAATGTCCCAATCCCATTGAACTTTCTTAAGCCACTTCCTGGTTGCATTATTCTGTATATTTGAAACAACAGGCTAGTTAAAAAATCAGTCATAGAAAAATCAGAAGTGAGATTTGTTAGTAAATATGGGATAGACACAAGCAGTGAAAGAGAGAGCACAAAGACCAATCACATGCAACATTCTCATCACGCGTTTTCTAAAAGCGTTGCTTACTAACCTGTCCCTCAGCCCCAAGAAAGTAATGGTCAGATGGATCTCTAACAATGTCAAAGCCTTTGAATGATGAAATAATCTCTTCCTGTGAATTGCCATCTGATTCTGGGGATTTTAAATTACTAGGGATTTCAATAATTTCTGACATATCAGAGCCCCCCGAAACCTTGTGTTCATCCATAGAGTTAATATTTAGCTTAGAAAGTTGATTATCAATTCCATTAGGCTTTTGTGTGCTGGATTTATCACCAAGATCACAACTCTGTGACGACTCAACACATTGAAGATCATCATCACCACTGATACTTCCACTTGATGGATCCAAGTGCCTTCGTCCCATTGAGAATATTCCAGAGGCTATTTTGGTCACAAACCCAATTGCTGCCATAGGAATTGATAGAGCTCCACTTTTTCCAGAATTGTTTATATCAATATCATTATCTTCCATCTCGGCTTTGACATCATTTCCACCATCAACATCCTGAATTCACATATAGAGCAGACCTATCAGAGACACTTGAGAAAATTTACTAAAAACAGAGAGATGAATAGTGTACTATATCATGCATTTCAAAGCTAATTTTCTACTTTCTGGGGCTTCAGAGATATACATCACTTTATAGTTCATATCACAACACAGCAAAGTGCAAACAAGTATTTAGATAAGCTAATCTAACACAATATATCATGGATTGATGGGCTAGTAAGATTACATTTGTCATTTAGTTCTGGTTAGATTAGAATGCTGGTAAATGCAGAAATAGACTACAGTTAACTGCTTAACCAGGTTGCACTTTTATTGACCACTGCTTAAGGTAACTTAGAATAAAAGGCAGAAACATGAAAAGAATACACATATACCAACATAAAGTACATTCTTTCATGGCTCCTCAAATAAAAGGCTTCATACCTTTAATTCTAAGTATGGATTGGTTCAGTAATCATTAACCAGACATAACAAAGAAATTAAGGATTTGGCCGAAGTTATCACCCAAGAAGGGTGATAAGCTTTCAGCTACTTTCAACCATGATATAAAACATCATTCAATCATAGCATGTAAGCATCTTCACTAGAGTCAATGACTCGCCAGTATTTCATGTTGTGAAAAGTGAAGCTCTTATGACAACTTGTTTGTTGCTGTGGGGAAAATCTAAGAACAATTTCATCCGCTAGTCAACCAAAGCTTACAATAAAGGTGTCAGAGGATACCAATACAATACTGATTAAAAATATAGAGTACTTGAGGTGATGCTACCCTAGCAATTCATTTACCTTCTCAGCATAACCAATGGTTTCTGCGTCATCTTCAACAGTTTCCCAGCTTGCTGCATCATCACTAGCATAACTTCCATCTGCAACAGAATCATCATCATCCCGACCAACAACATATATAGCTTGAGGACCAACCTGATACAGAAACATAGTGTTTACTTAAAAAACATCATAGAAATCAACAAGGAAATACAAATATTTCAAGGTATCAAAATAAATGTAAAAATTAAAATAAGTCATTAGTAGAAAGATTACAGTCGATATCATCCCATCAGCCCACGTGACTTCTATATCACCATCCTTCAACCCTGTGATGTTCCCAACCCAAGAGAGATCTGAAAATTCACTAGATTCTTCATAAGAGGGTGCATCTTGCATATTATCCCTTTCATGATGCCTCTCCTTCTCATGTATAGGTTCTGAATGGTTTAGTGGCATATTTTCAGTAGAGTGCACAAAAGGCTCCACCTTGGCAGGCAAAGAAATAGGTGACAATCTAACGACAACATCTCCATAGCAATAATCAAAGTCCGGATGCCCCTCTAATTCATATACACTCACCACCTCTTCTTTGTCAAATTCCCTGGGGTCCTCTGCTCTGGTAACTGCCTTCAACCACCTCACACAAGCTGTCCGATCCTTAGCATTTACATTTTTTACAACACCAACACGTCTGGTGTCAAGAGAATCTTCAGTGTCATTAGCTTTCTCCACAACATATTGTTCTGCAACAAAGTCATGATCACCGGGGCTGTCAATGGGAATCAAAGATGCAGAATCAATGCCATTTTCTCGTGTGCCATCTTGCCATGCAACATCAACTTTTGTTCTGACATTGATAATTAAAAAAGGTCTTTCAAAGTATTCTAATTTCTTCCGGGCTTTTTTGTCCTTCCTGACCACAACTTTGCGGATTCTTTTATGGCGGAAGGGCCAAGTTTCATGAGCTTCCTTTGCAGATGGAACTGAACCATTGCATGGACTTTCCGCAGGGGCAGCATCATCTGATTTTTCAACATTCTTGCCCAATGAAGCCTCAGAAACATAATCTATTGATTCAGGATTCCCTTTTGAATCCACAACAGTTGTCGTGTCTGCATCAGATTCATCCCCTGTTTCCATTGATTCAGATTCGTCCCTAGCAGAATCATTTAAATCTAGTTTAGGCAATTCTTTGTTCGAGGGTGTATCAGACGAATCCTTTGTGGATGGGAGTAAGCACCAATCCCCCAATTGCCAATTTGCATGTACAAAACAAGACAATAGCTTTAAATTCTTGGGACTCTGCTCTTCAGCTGGCGCACTAGCAGAGTCGGACCCATACCCAGCAGAAGCAATCCAGTGAATTAACACAGATCCCACAGTGACTTTGGTCACAGTGCCTTCCAATCTATTGGCTTTCCATAATCCAGAAAGCCACCTGGAATTCTTGAAAACTGAGGAAGAGCTTGCCTTCACACGCTGACCTGGATAATACGGAAAGTGTCCATCTTCAAGGATATTCTTAGTAATTGGTTTGAGGTGCAATGGATCAGCTTTAATCACTTTGCAGACAGAACCATCATCAAGCTGAACAGTAACATTATCAAAAACATCTTCAATCCTTCCGAGCCATGGCCCGAGGACAATATGATCACCGACAGTGAAATCTCTAATTCGCCTCAAGTCTCTAGATGGTATATCTTTTATAACAGATCCATCATGTGCTAGCAAATCGACATTAATATTAACATCAATCACAAGACCAATTTGACCGGTTGGATCAGTAGCCGAAGCTACGTAATCTCCATGTAAGAATCCTCTATCAACAACTGTAATGCCATTCGCACTTTCTGTTGTTTCAGAACCATTCATCCAAAGCACTCTAAGTTGGCCGGGATTAAGTGGGTTGTGCTTGCCGTCATTATTTTCAACATTCATAGCAGCACTCTCATTCAACTTTTGGCCATTATCTGCATGACTTTCCTCAGAAGAAGCAGCCTCATCATCTTTTTCATTTTCATACTCATCCTCATCTTCTTCTTCATCTTCATCATCTGTAATGCTACTATCAGAATCTGAATCACCAGCAACTTCAGTCACTATTCCAATCTCATTATTACTTTTGCTTCTCACAACATCTTGTCGATATATGTCCAAGACATTCTTTAAATTCTTGAGAGCCTCATTAGGGTTATTTTCAGGGTTCGAGGTTGGATCTATATTAGGTATACAGGATGAAGAATTGTTCTGTTCAGAGGAGGCATTGTTGTTGACAATTTTGGAGTTGCAGACGTCTGCTTTATCTGGATGTTGTCCACATTCCATCTGCAGAACAAACAAGAGTCTAATAACAAAGTTGCAAGTAGTTTCATTGAAGGAGAGCTATTTTTTTTCTATCGAGAAAGATGTAATAAATGATTCGGCTAAAATAAATGCAAATGAACACGGAGCTCAGGCATATTAATTACCAGAGAAGATCATTTACCTTCACACTTGGGTGAAAAACTGTATCTCAATTCCACTTGTTGTTTCTTTAAAGAGGGAGGATATCACAGACAATATTTTAGCACATCCCTATGTAAAAATAGAGCAGTATCAGCTTTCACCAATCGAAAAACATTAAAATTTCCGAAAAAGCATGCAGCTAACTATATGTCGTCACAAAATTACCAAACTGCACCTATTGCATTGGACACCTTTAGCATATGAAGATACATTTGTAATGTGATTATGCAGCCAAAATCGACAAGAACAATAGTTTCATCTCTTTAAAGGATAATTCTTAAGGTTGTTCACCCGATATACAATCCGGCGAACCATTACACAAGCTCCCACCCAACGGTTTGCAGACACTCAATCGAGCAATACAGGAGAATCTAGAAAACCTTCTAAAAACTGGTGGCCACTTCAATCAAATATTCACTTCATTACATGAATTGAGTCATTTAAGTCCACATAGCAATCATAAAAAGATAAAATCCAACCCTTATGGTTTCAGTCACTAAATGTAAAGAGAGCTAAGAACCTAGATTTAAACAATATTTGAAATATGAAGGTAGAAACGCATATAACCCTTTAAACTATCAACCATCCGAACTCGTAACAGCTTAAAGCGTAAATAGCAATCATTCTCCACCAAAATCAGATCAAATGAATGGTGGCGCACAGAAGCCTTCACCAACGACCGCGAGTCAAAAAGAGAAACACAAATAGGGAGGAAAAAAAAATCGAAAACGCGGAGAGAAATACATATATAGAATCAAATCGAATGGAGAAAAGAGGTGGTGACCAACTACTCTTGGAAATCCAGCTGAAGACGAAGGTTGATTGGCTCAAAGTTTGTAATGAGCGGCTCCTGAGTTGAGCCTGTTGATGGCGGAACGAATATATGTATACGCCCGTATGTATCTCTCTCTCCTCTCTCTCCAGATATATATACACACACGGAAAGAGAGAGGACAGGGGCATTTTGGTCATTGCGTGGCGTATAAGTATCACATTTATATGTTCTTGCTCCTTCAATAGCGCAACGTCCTTACCTTCTTCTCTAATTATTCCTCTTCCAAAAGACGAAGAACGAGTTTGACGATGAATGATACGTTCCCATGTATAAATGAAGAAATCTCATTTTTGAAAATGGAATTTTCCTTGGATGGAATCCATATTCATTTACTTCTATTGCACCCCTCAAAGAATCATCATCTTTCAAAATTGTTTCCAGAAGTAATAATATGAGAAAATCCATAAATGCTTTCTTTTAATGAGAATGAAATCAATCTTCAGTACTGAATAGGTAATGTGCAGATCATTTAGGCAAGTAATCCACAAGCAACTAAGAAACATTTTTGGGTGCAAAAATGTGCAGAACATAGAACAGAGGATGAAACCACCATCTTTATTTCTTGTCTCAGAAGTTGTCGTAGTCATCATCCGCTATGTGCTTGGCGAGTTCTTGCTCCTGCTGTAGTCTCTCTCTTCTTTTCTCGGCAATTTCCTTCTCCTTCTGAGAGTTTGGTGGGAATCGGAGGGCACGCACTGCTTCATTGTGCATATTGAGGCAAAATGCAATTCTTGAGTTGAATACAATCTGAGGCTCGTTTGTTGAGTATAGATCCCCCATTCCCTTGGACACCATCCATTCGTTGGCATGATCTAAAGTGGCATCGATTGCGCCATCACGTATTGCTTTGGATACAATGCTTTCAGCATCAGCGATTGGATTGGTCGAATCCAATCTCAATTTCTTGGCAATATCTGCAAGGGAGATCCTTGAGTATGAAATACTGATGTTGCGCAACCCAGTCCTGATAACGTTGTGTCTTAGCCTGACTATTAAGTTGTTAGTCCGGTCAGAACTGAAGGTGCTCCCAAACTTATCAGCTACCACTTTGAACTGCTCCAAATCTCCAATTCGAACAGCCTGAAACCAACCCATCCACAGGAATAACGTAAGCTCACTGAACACCACTTCAAGCACATCGAAAAACTTTCAAACAGCAGACTAGAACTATTATCCAAGGATAATGGAATATTATCTAAGGATTTTCATATATTATATTCAAGTGGTAAACTTTTTTCTCAATGAGCCGAACCAATATATATATATATATATATATATATACTTGAATGCCCAAAGCAACACAAAATTGGTAAAAGAAAATTTCAAGCATACTGTTACTCACATTTGTAAGTTCAAAGTAAGGTCTCAGAGCCTTTTCCATCCCCTTCTGCATAAAAACAGTTCTTTCAGGAATCTCTCCAAGCAGCAGGCGTACAATCACAGCCCACTTAATGCACTGAATTCGGAATCCTGCGGCAGAAGCAGGTGCTTTCCTGGCAGCTTGAAGTAGAGATTCTTTAGCATCAGTGTACTCTAGCTGTATTGTTCTGATCCTGCCAAGGTAGAACAGGTATCGACAGAACTGCAGAATGCGGAGCATACATGCAAGGTTAAATAGATCAGATCTTGGAGACACAGGTTTTTTTTGAATAAAAATAATAATAATAATAAACTCAAGAACAAAAATCCTAAGAGATGTTAACTAAAGCTCATTTTCATTTCCTTAATCAAGGCTAAAGTAATCAACAAGTGCATTTAGAATAGAATGGGAAATGAAATATCAAGGATATTAGATTAAGTATCATGTAATCAATATTGAAACGACTTGTATCAAATAACACTGCTTGGTAGGAAGTTTCCAAAGATTGGCATCAACTTCAAGGCATATAGTTATAGGTGCCTTGGAAGTGCCAGATAGGCATTTTTACATTATTGTCTTTCCAACCTCTATAACTCAAGCATTACGCTAGATCGGTATTGTTAATTTCCAGAATTAATACTCAAGGCTATTCAACTGCTGCTGACTGCTAATACCTACAAAATTCTCACTATTTCAAGTCTACTGAGGATTATCAACAAAGGAACTCGCTTGGTATTCTTCTTTCCTTTTTCAAGACAGCTTATCTACTGGCAGTGACCAATACTTAATTGATTCTAGTCTTATAATCATTATCTACAATAAAGGACAAATAGGTATAAACAGAAGAATAAGGTAATCTGTGTTAGTTCAATATGTACATAACTTGATGCCCTACAACTCACAGAGAATGAATGGCGTGGATATCCAATGATCTCAAATCAAATGAGCAGCCAAAGCCAAAGTTACATATTAGGACAGATCAATCTTTAGTAAAGAGTTCTCAGACTGACCTGCTGATTAGAGTGAGCTTCAAACCGAGGAGCCTTCGATCTCAGTTTCTCAGCTTGATCATATAAATTGTAATGGAGGTAATTTCTCAGCAACAAATTCAAAAGGGTTTCCTGCACTCTCCGTCATGTCATCAATAACAAGAAAATCAGAAAATAACGTAATCTTTGTATGCATATCAGGAAACAAACCTGTCCCAGCTCATCATGACGCAAAGTAGCAGTCCGGTGTAATCCAAGCAGTGTGCTGTTAATGATGTTAATTTATATCAAATGTAAAAGTTTTCACAACATAAAGAATGGAAGTAACAATACAACGTGTACATCAAATCCTAGGTCTTTCGTTTAACATAACTAAATTCACAAACTTAATATATGAAAGATTTTTGGTATTATATTTGTGGCAAGCTATTGAAGCTATGGATAAATAGGCATGCATACCCTCGTATCTCAGCAAGATCACCGGTGAGTTCATAGCTTAAAGAATAATAAAAGTAGAGCCTGGATGCCAACACATCAATAGTTCGCCTGTTAAGGCTCTTTATCCTGTCAATGCTTGCTGATGAACATGCCTTGGCCTGATGGATGCAAAGAATCAACAATATTTACGCATATGCATTCATAAAGCACGATGACAACTTCATCACACAGCCATACCTCATTGTATCTTTTCTGATCAATCAAAAATATTAAAACAAGAAGATAGCAGTAGATCTCAAGCTCAGGTAAGCAATGCTTTGTAGGTGCTTGAATAGCAGATATTGCTGTGTCGACTTCCATATCATGCTCTTCATCCTGCAGGCATAAAAAAACCACAAGTGAGCATTAAGAAATAGCATCAATTCCACTTTCACACAATAACAAACTTATTTTGTGGAATACGATGATATCAACATAAACTGTCGAAAGAGCTGAATGAATGTTTTCCAGACAAGATGACAGTTTTCAACACCAAATTCTACAGAATAGAATACAGATTTACACAGCATTATACTCTGAAAGAAAATAAATAAACTAATAAACTAATACTCCATAAAGCAAGTGGCATTTCTCATACAAATACACATACACAGAGAGACACAATAAATAACTCCTCACAGATAAATGAGAATCAAATTCAAGATGATTTTACATAAAATTCAACAAATCTCTCCACGTCTGGGCTTTCTTACCTTGGGAACGTATGAGGATAATTGAGAATGCACTTCAGATCCAGGTACTAGTGCAAAATTGAGGAATGAGGAAACTACAGAGGCACTAAGATTCTTCCTCAGCTGAACTGTCCACCTGACAGCCCTCACAATTCTCCTGACCTCCCGAGTATAGGCCCCCGTTTCAATCATTGAAGCTATGCTTTTCAAGTCTAGTAGAAACCCCAAAAAAATGCAACACTGCAGTCAAATCTATGGTGCATAGGAAATTCAAAAGGAAAAGCAGATTGAGCTAATAAAAGCATTCTTAGAAATATATATATATATATATAGTTAGAACAATAGGTTTCAATACTCTTACATGTTTCGCACTACTTAAGTTAAAAAGCTACGTGGTAGCATCACAATTCAACAAATTCACAGAAAAGATTGACAATCAAAGTAGATAATTAATCACCAAAAAGAAAAAGTAGAGAAATAATCGTGCAAGATAAAAACTCACGATCAAAAGTGGAGGGCGAGCTGGATGAGACGGAATTGGATGTAACAGGCTGCTGCTCCTTCATCTCAACGTCTTGAGTCATTTTCGCTAAAATCTGAAAAACAAACGCAAACAGGATGGATATGTAAAATACAGAGATAAAAATATGAAAGCCCATCTCGAACGTCGGCTGTGTAGATTCAGTAAAACTTACTCGGAATCAATTTTAAGCAGTGATTCCCGAAACAAGTAGAGATCGGAAAAGCTAGGGTTCCGATTACTTTCTTGGGCCACAAGTCAGAACATACGCAAGAAATGAAGGATTCTCTGACGTGAAGAGTAAAAGAGAAGAAACTTGGTATGTTGAGAAATATATTGATCGTAATGCAGGCGGGCGGCGAGATTGATCTGAATACGACGCCGCCGACGACGACGAGTTTGCAGGGAGAAGAGACTGTATGTAGCAATAATGGATTTTTTAGGAAAATTATTTTCCAGTGCACAAAACAAAACAATAAAAAGTCTGTCAATATAACCAAAATATATTTAGGGCGTGTTTTCTTATAAAATTTTATCATCATTTTATTATTCATTAATTAAATCAAATATTGTTTTTATTTTTTATATTAATTTTTTTATTTAAAAAATATGTTTATTTGTTTTATGTTAAATATATAATAATATTGTTTTTATTTTTTATATTAATTTTTTTATTTAAAAGATATGTTTATTTTTTTTTATGTTAAATATATAATATATTACTCTTGTTTAAGAAATATTAATATTTTGATTATAATAAATTGTTAAAAATAATATAATGATATTTTTATTTTTAATTTTTGTATAAAAATAATGATGTTATGTAAAATAAAAGTATTTATAAAAAAAAATATATTTAATGAAATATTAATTTTATAATTTAATGTTTCAAAATAAAAATATATAAATATTGTAAATGAATTGAACTGTGGATCAAGAGAATATTAATTTTTTAAAAAAATAACTGTAGACTGAGACAGCAATAATTTTTTTGAAAAAATATATGTTCCTGTAATTATTTTGTTATGTCACTTGAGACGATCAGACGATGCAGCAGATCTGGACAAATTGTACTGCCGCGTACATACACATGGCCATAGCCCATAGGGATGTTGTTAGAGCACACGACCATGTACTCAAATTTTCATATAATTTTTTTATTATTTAAATCATGTTTTAAAATAAACATACTTCAGTTTAGTTTGGTATTAAAACTTTTCAGTTTTATATTTATATTTTATATATTTTATTAAAATATAATCTTAAAAATATTTAAAATATTTAAAATATTATTTGTATAAAAAATAATAAATTAATATCATAAGTTATTATTAATAACTTAAAATCTATCTTACCTAATTCCCCTAACCAAAGAGTTAATTTTGTTGGGACGAAGGGAGTATAAAATAATTTTAATGATAAATAAGTTATGTCTTTTTATAAAACTGTGCAAATATATAGTATTTAATAATTTTTTTAAAAAAATATTAAATTAAATATTTATTTATTTAGATAAATATCTATTTATATCACATTTATAATTATTATTTAAATTTTTTTTAAAAATATAACTATTCAAATCTATCCTTAATCCTATATTATTAGAATCCAACTCGAAATCCGAACTCCATCAGACATATTAACACCGAGTAACCCATTACCTATTTATTGCCGCCCGCCCCACGTTCTTTCTATTATTTTTCTTTCTTTGTCTTTATTTGGTTCTGCGTCTACTCCATCTTCGTCCCCCTTTGTTCTTTTTCCATATCCTTCTCTTCCCTTATTTCGATTTTCTGTCTCTTCTTCGTCCCACTGCGGTTTCAAAGGTCAAAAGGACAATCGCCCTGATTTTATTTTTCTAGTTGACAAATGGAGATTGAGTGTGACCATTACGATGTTTTGGGGCTGCCATCTGATGAAGAAGGTGCCAAGCTATCAGAACAAGAAATAAATAAAGCATATCGATCAAAGGCCAGGGAACTGCATCCAGACAAGAGGCCTGATGATCCCAATGCACATGCTAATTTTCTAAAGCTCAAAACTTCGTATGACGTTCTCAAAGATGAAAAGGCTAGGAAGCTATTTGATAATTTACTCAAATCAAAAAGGGACAAACTTCTTCGACAAGATTCAAAGCGACGAAAAATGATGTCAGATCTTGAAGAAAGGGAGTTGTCTGCTTTCAATGCCGATCCCAACTTGAAAGCTCGAGATTCAAAGCGCCGAAAAATGATGTCAGATCTTGAAGAAAGGGAGCGGTCTGTCGATCCCAACTTGAAAGCTAAAGAGGAAGAAGAGAGGATATCCCGGAAACTCAATGAGGAGATAACGAGGATTAGGAAAATGTATACGGAGAAAATGCCAGCTACATCGCATGCAGTGGATAAGAAAAAAGACAATGCATTAAATTTAGATAAGCGAAAAATTCTCAAAGTGTCGTGGAAGGAGACTGGTGGGGATTACACTGTACAGCGACTTCGGAAAATATTCGAGGAATTTGGTACCGTCGAGGATGTAGTCATCAAGAGTCACAAGAAGAAGAAAGAATCAGCTCTCGTAGTAATGGCAAATAAAGAAGCAGCTGTATGTTTAGTCGGTCTTAACTTCGATTTTATACTATTGGCCTTTTTCGATTCTCATGGAAAATGTGATTGGTGCATGCAGGCTGCAACTATCGGGCATGTTTTGGGCGATCTTTCAAATCCTCTTCTAGTTCTGCCTCTCCAACCAGCTTCACCATCGGCCATTTTTGGCGCCGAGAGAAAGGCCGATTATTCCAAGTCGGAGAATCTGGTTGGTGTTGGATATCGGGCATTTGAAGACTTGGTGCTGGAGAAACTGAAAAAGGTAAATACTTTCTCATTCTTTCTTTTTTTTCAAGCTATCAAGAAGTGTGTTAGTTTTATGAATTTTTTTTAAAATTTTTCCGTTCATCAAATTTTTATTTTTTATATTATATTAAAAAATAATTTTAAACGATCGTATTTTTGTATATTTTTTCTTCTACTAAAACACAAATTTACTGTAACAGGCTGCTAAGGAGAAAAAGTGAAGTGCCGAAACAGTTTAGGAGATGGGAGCATTGCATTGAATTGAGTTGCAGTCGAAGTCGAAGTCGAAGTCAGAAGCATATTCAGAGAATTAGAAAATTAGAGTAATTCATGTAACAATGTTAATCGGTACAATAGAAGGAAATTGAATGAAACACATTTGTTCTAAGTATTAATTAAAATTTTTGCTGTCGAAATTGGACATGTGTGGCCGTTTAAATTGGACATGTGTGGCCGTTTACAAACCTTAAAAATTTGTATACAAACTAATTTCATAGATGTAATAATTAAAATGAAATATTATACTATTATTTGATTATAATATGTTCGAACATAAATTCATAATAATAACGAAAAATAAATAAATAAAATTTTTATATATTTTAAGGGTGTGTTTGTTTTATAAGATTATTAAAAACATTTTTATTTTTTATTTTTATTTAAAATATAAAAAAAATTGAATAAAAAAAATATAAAAATAATGAATATAATAAGTCTATATTTTTTACAATTAAATTTATGAACATAGTAACAATATTTATAATATTATACTATATAAATTAATAGATTATGTTTTTTAATTAATTAAAATTATATATTATTATATTTATGTTTTGGGTAAATATTTTTTTAGTCTAGTACTGAAGTCGAAAGACATGTGTCTGCCATGTAAACGTCACTTGACGGATATGCGGAAAATATAGACAATAGGTATAAAGTAAAATGTAAATGATTAAATTATCTTTGTTCGAAAAAATTGAAAAAATAAATTAAAATGATAATTATAATGAAATTTGTGTAAATATTGTAATTTTTTTTTTGTATAATGGAAACCAAAACAAAATAATTGTTTTAAAATAGACGAAAATAGAAAAATAGAATAATTATTTTAAGACGAATTAATTTTTTTTAAGATACTTTAATTTAAAATTTAATCATACTATACTCATCATATATTATATAAAATATTATTATTTTTATATTACACAATAGTAATAAATATATTTTATTCCTTTTACTATACTTTAATATAATATTAATATTTAAAAATTTAGGTACATAAATAAACACTACATTTTTCAATTAGACGGATGAATTATATTACATTTTTGCCCCGATCAATTATCATTTTTTTACAGCCGCCGCATCACGTACCCTTTGTACCACCTTCTTCTTCTTCTTCTTCTTCCCCGATTCTCTCATTTCTTCCTTATAAAGAAGTCTTCCTTCTCCTTCTCCTTCTTCTTCTTCACCCACCGTCCCGACTCCCAGCTGCTCCATCGTCGTCCCAACTCGGCCACTACCAACCAAGTTAATATACTACTTACGTCCATCTATAAGGTTACAAGGGTCACATTTGTCCAGCGTCATTGTATTAATATTAAAAGTATTATTATATTTGTATAATTTTTTTTATGAATATCAATATAAATATTTTTGCTATTTTCTCGAAAAAAAAATTAATGGTGGCATTAGAGTTAGACGGGAACGAGTATCTTTTTCAAAAAGAAATAGTAAAAATTACAAAATCGGTTTCGATTTCAGTTTGACGATGGTTCCTGTTCGTTACAAAGCCGTTTGAGAAAGTCTATATATATGTAATATAGTTTACCTTTACCCCTTTTGGCTTCATATATTCTCTTTGTTTCTTCCTTTTAATTCTTGCTTGTTTGACCAGAGATATCAAGCCTCTATTCTCCTTCAAAGTAAATGATGCGAAATGCTTTTGTAGTGTGATCCTATAACTTGGTCAAATTGGCAATTTCTGTTTCAAACTTGTTAACATCATTTTATATATGATCGTGTTCAACTCTGAATTATGTATATTATGAATTTGGGTGCTTATTCCTCTTATAAAAATGATATCAACCACATAGTTTATTAATATTAATTTGGAATCTTTGCTGTTTCATTTATCATGTCGAAGCCTGATTAACTGTGGGAATAGATGACTTGCCAAATTGCCAGATCCCATAATTTAATCTCAGTCAATATAGAAAGAGAATGCTGCATTTTGAATTTCATCTTTCCTCCTCTACAATTGCTTGTTTATTTTCTGTAGTTGAAGAATGGAGGTTGAATGTTCTGGGGCTGCCCTCTGGTGTGAAGAAGGTGCCAAGCTTTCAGAACAAGAAATAGATAAAGCATATCAATTTTCTAAAGCTTAAAACTTCGTATGAGGTCCTCAAAGATGAAAAGGCTAGGAAGCTATTTGATGATCTACTCAAATCAAAAAGGGACAAACTTCTTCGACACCGAAAATTGATGTCGGATCTTGAAGAAAAGGGATAGCTGTTGAGTTGAAGTGAAGTGCCGAAATAGTTTAGAGGAGATGGGAGCATTGCATTGCATTGCATTGAATCGAGTTGCAATCGAATCATATCCAAAGAAGTAGAAAATTCGACTAAATCACATAACAATGCTAATCGGTACAATAGAAACACACAAGGAAATCGACTGAAACACACTTGTTCTAAATATTACCTTAAATTTGTTGCAGTCCAAATAGGACAGGGATAGCTGTTTACAAGCCTTGTCGATGAACAGATCTAGACTTATTCCATCTTGTCCTCTCTTGTAATGCAAATGTGATGATTCGTCTTGACAAAGAACATATATAAACTTAGGTAGGTACACATACATGCATATAAAGTTTGATACTCGCTGGTCGATAAGTTAGTTCATCCTAGAGCGTAAAGCCTCTATCAGCAGCAAAATCTACAAAGCTGTACAATGGCACAAGCTTGTCTCCATATCTGTCGAACACATTTAGCGCTTCCTTAGCCTCGGTTCTTAGATTCTCCGCCATCTGCATTGCTTTCTCTACGCCGTATACATTTACATAGCTTTTCTTCTTGACCTTACCCTCAGTGATCATTTTGGCTTCCAAGATGTCATCCACCACTTGATACAAGACACCGACTGCTCGACCGTATTTCCTCAGGCTCTCTATCTCATTGTCCGAGGCGCCCCCTAGCAGCCCCCCGCAAACAGCAGACAACTGCCCCATTTCACCAAACTTCTTTTCTTGGATGAAGTCGACTGCATTTGGTCCACCCTCGAGGTCATAGAATTGGCCTGCAGCCATGCCTGTGGATCCTACAGCTCTTGCGATCTCGGCTATGACTCGTAGGAGGCGAGTGTCTGGGACGAGGCCTTTTGGAGTCTGTGAAACTATGTGGCGAAAACCAAGTGGGAACAATGCATCGCCTGCCAGTATCGCCATGTCCACGCCAAAGACTGTGTGGTTGGATGGCTGACCTCTTCGTGAAGCGTCGTCATCCATGTATGGCAAGTCGTCGTGGATTAATGAAGCGGCGTGGACCTGATCAAAGGCAGACTAGATGTTAGAACAGAGAAATGGAGAAAACAGATGAACCTGCGCCCAAGCCGGACGAGTTAGCAAGCCTAGCAGTGTCGTTTTGCACACCGTGATTCATACATTGCTATAAGCTGCATTTGTGATGCAATGGGGGCAGAGTTCTTACAGACTACAGGGACAACACAAAATATTTGTTAACATAATAAAAATGCAACATATAAATTGACGATACATAACAATATTTTTGTACATCACATCCTACAATTGAACTCATCACATAAGGTATATTCATACCGCACACCCTATAACTGTGACTCAACAGAGCCAGTTAACTGAGACTGTGTGCTGATTCAAATGTCGTTAATCCCGACATCTTTATATTCACTATTCACTAGGTTGCCAGTTTGAAAATGTGATCACAGATAACAACAAGAAGAATGCATTTTCAGAAACTGAAACCTATAATATACGAGCAAGGGATAGCATAAACATCAGCAAACAGCCTAAATCAACATTGCTAACTCACAGAAGCATGATAGAATATCTGAAGGACCTCATAGTGAAATTTACAACAAATCATGGAGACAGTATTTGATCTTTTTAGCATGTATTATCTCCATTTTGCAGAAGAGGATATACTGATTGGCTACGTAGCAAACACATTAAAATCCAGTTCACAGTTTAAAACAACTTACGCAGGAAGGCTCAAGGCTGTTTGTTATTTGACGAGAAACTAATGCAGAAACATAAGTATTAATCTCATTATCTCAGTTGCCAGGTCAAGAACCCTCTAGAGCAGAAACTGTGGTTGTCCCATGTCAAAAACTGGTGTACCCTTAATTTAAGATACTTGGAACGTTATCGCCGACTAGACTACCTGACAGAAATCATGCTCTTGAAAAACCACACGGAGAAATTCAAGTGCATAGTCCGAAATGCAATGAAGATGATCTAGCAGATACAGTTATAGGCAGATGAAAACTTTGATGAAAACATGGATGTGCATAAAGCTTATACAAGAGCCAAGAAAGGAGGGTAGGTGGAGGTGCCAGATAATTCAGATCTTGCAAATACATAACACAGAGTTTAAGGAAATCACAAGTCAGGAAATGTAAAATTGTCAAAACTCGTGTAGTATCAAGGGAAGATACTTGTCTGGTGAATTCGGACACAAGCAGAAACGATTTCCCAACAGAAGTCATTCAATTACTTGCTGCCTTCGCGTTCCACATCCAAGTTAGTTTACGATTCAAGCTATGAACTCAGCATGCCAGAATCTAAACAATCCGATCTAATCGATGTAAAATGTCAAACAAGGAAATTTTGCAGAAACTGAATGAACAGAAAGTTCCTTGCAAGTTACAGATTGCCGAGACATTCTAGAGTTGCAATGAGAGATCAAATCGGTTATGGCAAGCAAAATAATCGAAATTAGAAAGCGAACCATTTCAAGCGCGCAAGCTGTGGGGAAGGCGGCAGCGCGACTGACACCAAAGAGTTCACAAGCTGCAACGCACATAACCGGCGGTGCTCTCTTAGCGCCGTCCGCCAAGACCGAGTAGCGCATGGCCTCGTAGATCTGCTCCGGGTACTTGACCGGTATCGCTTGGTCGAGCTTATCATCAATTTCTTTAATGAGCGACGTCCAATACGTCTTGAGATCAAATTTCGGTGAAACCGTGGAGCCGGCGCTGCAGCGGATGGCGCGGCGGCGACTACTACCAGGACTGAGAGTGGGAGAAGTGAGCCTTGGGAAGGAAACCTTGGGCAGAGCGGTCGCCGAGACAGCTAGAGCAGAGAAAACCATGGCTGAAGAGGAGATGATGAGGATTCCTTGGGCCGTCCTCTGTATTTGATGTAGAGAGTGAGGGCGGGCAAATGGGTGGCGCCGGCGGTGGGGGGAAGATAGAGAGAGGGAGATAGATGCGGTGTTGCAGGCGGAGGTTTGACCGCGGGGGGGCCCATTTACACGTGGGGGTTTCTCATTGGCTGCATGATGTCGCACTTCTAAAACACGTTTTTGTTTTTGTGAAGTTATTGATATTTAATGAGTGAATGAGAATCAGAGAATTATTATGAACGTGACTGGGCAGGAGAATGCGATTTTATTTATTTATTTATTTATACATATAATATATATATATATATATATTTAATGTTGTGTGTACGCTTGGTTTTGATCAAATGATTTATAATAATAATTGAATTTAAGGTGTGTTTGTTTGGGGGTTTGGATTTTGAGTTGAGATTTGAATAGTAAAAATTTTGAATTTGAATAGTTGTATGATGTGATATAAATAGGCGATGATGTCATGTTTTGAATGTAAAATTGATTTTTAGTATAATATAAAAAATAAAAAATAGGTGTTTGATTTGATATTTTTGGGAAAAATTTTGGATGAATAGTAAGATTTGAACCAAATCTCCAAATCGCTCAACCGAACACACAATATTTTGTATTGGGAGGCGAACAGTGGTGTGTGGGAGCGGGAGTTGGATTAATTAATGATCCATTAGTTTAATTAAATTGGAGATTATAATTGGGATTGTTGCGTAACTTGCGTAGCCCATACTACCTAATTTAATTCAATATATTTTTTTAATGATATTTAAGTGATAAAATAATTATTGGATTTAGATATCGAATATATATTTTTTAAATATAAAATTGAGTAATTTAAAAAAAAATACTACCTGCATCCACGAATGGAGTATATCCTTACCAATGTAGTAATAATAATAATAATAATAATAATAATAATAATGTTTTGTTGTGTTCTAAAAAATTACTCTCCTGTATTAATTTTAAAAATATAACATTCTTTTTTATTGAAAATACTCTATTCGAAAAAATAAATACTCATATTAAATATTTATTTATATTATATGAATATTTTTTTTTTTTTTTTTGGTAAAATTTGGGTCGATGAACAATACAAAATGTAGCTTAATCACAGAAATGTACGGATGCAATATTGCAAGTGCCAGGTGATTCACGTGAAATATTAAAACATATAGGTGCTATTCCTATTTCTATTCCAATTAATATTAGTATTAGGTAGATGCATCTAACCTACTTATTTTATGCTTTATCAAAAGTGTGTTTGCGCGAAAATTAATAATATTCAAGTATAATTTTAAACAAAAATATATTATTTTTTTAATAAAAACATCATATCAGTTTACATAAAAATTCAAATTAATTTCAAAATACAATTAAACAAACTATTATTATACATAAATTGTGCAATTTACATTGTCAGATGCATAAAACGATTAATGTGCAATTCAATCAGCTCAACAAAATAATCATTTTTCCCCATCAAACTATCGTTGGTTTCTTCTTAGTTTCTGCACGCTATTGTACACAATATATAGCTCGGTTATTAGAAGCTTTGTTTTAGTTTTTAAATAAATTCTCTATAAAATTACACTATTTACTATAATAATACTTAACATGTCATTCAAAAATCAATATTTTTTATTTTTTTATTATAAAATAAAATAATTATTATTATTCACTTTTATTAAACATATGCCCAAATAATTTTTATTTTTAAATTTTTTGAAGACACTAAATCAAATGAATCAAGTAACTGTTCCAAATCAATGTTTTACAATTCACAATCTAATCCCAATCCCAATTTAAGTGATTCAGAGTTATTACTTTCCAACATAAAACAAGCAAACATTTTTACCGAAATATGCAGCAATGCAATTCACCACAAATCAAATGAGAATAATTATCAACACAGAGGACTTCAAAACCCTTATATATACACACGCATATATATATAATATATATATGTATATGATAGTCATTTATTTAGCATGAGATAGAGAGATTGAGATTGATTACCTGTCCTGCCTCAGCTTGTGGCATTTGCATCATCCACCAAATTAAAGTTACTCCAAAATTTCTTGATCGATCAGCTACTACCATTGCCTCTCATCCCAACAAAAATAAACATCCTTCCATATTGTGAACAAAAATCAAATCAAATTAAATAATCAAAATCAGATTAGGGCTCGGACACCGAGCTGCTGCATCTCCCTAAGCTTCCATATAGAGTAAGGAGCACCATCTCCAAGTTCTTCAGGATCTAGTTGCTGCATGGCCCACGCATAATACACCGTGTGAATTGTATCCTGTTTCAATTTATTCGTGGGTACAAGTACACAAATGAGGAGGATTCATGTTTTTTAAAGTCTACAAAGTATGTGGAGGTTTTTTGTTCTTTTACCTGACCACCTTCCGTTATGGCGCCAAGTCTATCTCGAATACAGTAGACTTGTTGTGTCTGGAACTGAAATAAGATGCGTTCGAGGACCAAAAAGGTAATCAGCTCTTGAAACAAACATTATTAAAAGCAAACAATACAATTTTGAGACCAGAATGGTGGGAAAATATAAACTATATGCATGGAAAGAGCAATGGAGTGCTATTCTCTTACTGCAACAATGATTATGGGAGTCTCTCCCATCATTTTGGTCTCTCGAACTTCGACATCTGATATGTGTAAAATCTGCATGGAAGGGTATGAATTAAAATATTGTGATGAACACAATACTAGAAGACACTTAAGTCATACAATTATTCACTAGCCCAGTTCCAATTAAAGTATGCTGTTTCCTTGCACCCTCTCATTATCGACGACCAATAAAGTTAATCCAAATACCATCAGGTCCAGGACCTCCCAAGTCCCTTAAGAAACAAAATCACACACAATGCACAAAACCCAACTATTGTGGGAGTATAATCATCACACTGAATAAAGAGCATCTCCCGAAACCATTTAGCATGAAAAAGAAAAACCTTCATCCTTGCAGGCAATGACAGCTAAACAAGAAGATTATTCAAAAGATTATCATGGTATTGCAGTGACAAGAGTGCCATATTTGTGATTCAAAAAATTGTAGGTTTCTGCAAGCTGCCTTATCATGCACCACCGGGAACGGACACCCAAAATAATTTGTATCTAGAAATTGAAAATGTTCCCCTGAATGAGTAGGGAAATATTTCCAAGGTTTGTATGATGCAAGAAGAAAAATATAATGCAACAGTTATTGCACCATCTAGAAGTCAAAAAAAAAAAAAAATTGAAGGAAATTGGCAGTAAAACAAGAAGAGCACGCAACATCCTCACCTTATTGTCAAAAAATATTCCCTGGCTTTCATAAGCCTTGTGCTCCGCTTTGCAGCGCTCAATGACATGGGATGTACAATATTTTCCCAAAACTCCAGTATCCCCCTGGGTAGAGTAATTAAGCTTGTCACAAGTTAAAGACAATATTTCGAGGCATTACATTGCCTGTGATTCTGTATATAACATCATAAGATCCAACACCCTAAGAGCAGTAAACAAAATTACTTTGAAATATGCATTGAGGACTGGTTTGATTACTTCTTGAACCTCAGCAACAAATTCTGGTAAAGAGAAAGTCCTACCAGATACATTGTTTCAGTTTTGACATATGATCTGTAAAGGAAAACATTATATTATTTAAAGAGATAAAGCAGAGTATGAGATCTTACGGATCCCTGCGACGGATCTCTTTAAATGACATGGCAGCATCTGATTCTCCAAGAACTGTCTCACTAATACTGCAGCACAACCGAGATATATATATATAGAGAGAGAGAGATTGCAGGAAGATGATTAGTTAGTGATTGTTCTGGTCAAGTATAAACCAATTAAAAGTGGTAACATATAACTTGGTGAAAGATACAATGATACATACTCTTGAATCTTGTGAACAACTGGGTGATCACTAGTCTCCCATCTCTCCCGCATATCCTCCGCAATCTGCAATTATGCATAAAGAATAATAATAATTAAAAGAATATGAAGTTTTCAAGATGCATCTTTAAAAGGTTTCTTTTTTAAAATAAAATAAAATGAACTAGTCCTATAATAACGCTTCTGCAAACCAAAGATAATTTTCAAGAGAACGATGTGACCAGCAAACCAGATGCAATTAACAAGTGCATTAGCAAAGCTGACATATACGAGTAAGCCTATGGCTGTCTGAAGCAGAACAAAACATACACACACACACACAACTGAAATAAAAGATACCAGTAACATGCTAAATCTGTAATACTTTTTTCATGGATAATGAGAAGTGCAAGAAACTATTATAAAGGCTATAAAATAGTGGATAGCATGTTGATATTGCCAATGTCAGGGCATGCCATACTAAAGAAAAAAAAAAAAAACACAAATATTTAGGTGCACATACCTCTTGGCTTTTTTCAATTACTGGCTCACCAATCCTACTAACCCGCTTGAATAGAGGATGGCCTTGCATCTGAGACACAAGACAATAACATTAGTTTCAAAGGAAGCTAAACCAATTTCAATCGTAAAACTAGAGATATTAATATAGAGGGCATATCACCTTAGTCTTGAATGCCTCCCACTTCTTATTCCATCGCGACTGTTTTGAAGGTAACACCACAATATCAGTCCGTGTACTTTTCTGTATGTTAGGTGGGGGAGTAGCTGAAGACACATCATACTCCAGGCGCTTTCTCCTATTTGGATTACCTTTCAATTCATCTTTCACAATGTCATAGCCCTTCTTGGCGAAGTCAAGTGGTTTAGCTTCTTTCAATCTTTGAAATGCCAGTGAAACCTTGGGAGAGATCGAAGAAACACCAAACTTGACCTTTCCAAATATTGTTTCAGCATTGTCAGTTGATTGAGAATGCCCCTGCCCCTGCCCCTGCTCCTGCCCCTGCCCTGGATTCTTTTCTTCCCCTGATGAGTCCTTGCTTCCATTTTCTGGAGACTCCTTTCCAATACCGAAACTTTCTTTGACCTAAATCAATGTTAGAGGAGTTCTGTCTCGATCAATTAAATGATTTAGCAAATATCATTGACTGAGTAGAGAACATATTCACAAACCTCTTCTTTAGCAGCTGAAAGCTTTTCTTCCACATCGGCGTAAACCTCCATGAAGCAAAAGGAATCCATGAGTCGGATTATGGAAATAAAGATTTAATAATTCAACTTTCATAAGACACTGCAATTGCATCAGAGGATGATTTACACCTTCTTTGCTTTCCCTTCAGCTTCGTTCCAGACGCCATCCACTCGCTTGTACAGCTGCTCAGTAGTCTGCTTTGTTCTGCATTTCGCCAGTTCACCATCTCAGAGGCTCCCATTGGAGAGGTCTGCTAGCCTTGACATACAAAAGTATGTCTCAGCCTCTACACGTTAAACAGACAGACACGGACGCCCCAAATAACACAATAATGAAATTCTCAGTACATTACCTAGCCATTAAATCCTCTTTTACACCTTTTAACTCCTCGGCCTTGTTCTTAATTTCCTTCATGGACTTTTGAAACTCTTGGTTCCTGAAGCCAAAACAGAAGGCGTTTCAACGACAAGTATTTAATGAAAGTCCCCGCAATAAAAACTAATACACCAACTACAACAAATCGTGCCTTTTTCACGAGTCGACAACCAACATAAATCCACAAATACATATTGAAACGCAATATGGAATTAGAACAAAAACAAATGAGAAGAAACCGAACGAACCTGTCGACTTCACCTTTAATCTTCTTGGAGAACTCATTGAATACACTGTATTCACGCCTACACCAATGGCGGTTGGGCGAAGACACCAGGGATCTAGGGAACACCTGCGAAGAACAACGATCAGATAAGAGCATAGGGCTAAACATCCCTCCCAAGAAACAACAAAATTGGCAATACCTGCAGACGATGGGGAGGCACCAATAATCGCTGTCGGCGAAGAAGATAACACCTCGAAAGGAACAAATCCGCGGCGATCTTTCTGCTTGCCATGAGAGAGTACCAACTTCCCTCCGATTCAACACGCACAGTGCAAAGAAAGAAATGAAGAAAAGAATGAACCCCAGAAGAAAATAGGGTTTGGGCCTCTGAAAGAGAGTATGTGGAAAGGACACCAGCCTCACTAATGTAAAAAATAAATAGTTTCTCAAAAAATATGTTACGGGTGTACTTTTTTTTAACATACATATTTTTATAAATAAATAATTAATATATACACATATTTATTATTTTTATTATAAATAAATAATTAAATAAACAAACCCTAATCGATTTGCTAAATTAATTTATCGTCATATATATATATTGAAGTGATTATAAATTTTATAAACAAACACTGCAAGTATCGCATAAATAAATAAAATATCTGCTCATCATCCAAAAAAAAATAAAATAAAAAGACAATTTACTTTAAATGAAATGGTAACAACCACTATTTAGTCATTAAGACTGACCATAAATTGGGCAAAATAAATATTCATTTTCCCATCATCCTCTTCAAAAGAATTTCACTATAACAAATATCTTTATGGCACCGTAGCACAGTAATATCATTATTTGACTCGCTCAGAAGATTAACAGCACTTTCTGGGCAGATAGTCAGCAGCAAAAGGGAAAAAAAAAACAAAACTCAATCACTGCACATCAATGGCGACTGATTGTTGGTTGGGTTCAGTCAAGATTTGCAATGACAGCATCTGTAACTTCTTGTGAGGTGCTGCCCCCGCCGAGATCTTCTGTCCGGTATTTACCTTCCGCAATGACTCGCTTCACTGCAGTTTCTAGTCGATCAGCGAATGACGGGAACTGCAAGTGCCTCAGCATCATAGCTGAAGACAGCAGCAAAGCTACTGGATTTGCTGTCTTTTGTTCTACCAATTTTTGGTTTCCTACATTGCCTGCAGAAGCACCTTGCTCGAAAATTGCATGATCAGCCCCCACGTTCCCTGAAATCCACCAAAGCGGGAGAATCCATTGTTTCGGTTATTATAATTGTTGAGTGGGAAGGTGCACAGGTGCACTGACTCGACGTAATATGAGATTTAGTATGAAGTTAATCAAATCTAGGCATTATACATACCCCCAGGCATGACACCAGTGCCCCCAGCGATTCCAGCAGCTGTATTTGCAACTAGATTCCCATAGAGATTTGGAGTCACCTGCCAAATTAGAATTTTTATTAATCAGTAGCCCAAATGCCGAAGAGGGAAATGAAACCAATATCAACTATGAAGAGAACAATATCAAGGAAGATTAAATTAAAGAGAACAAAAATATCTGAAATTTACAAAGCCCATGTTGCTATAATCATTTTCCTCCAACAGAAATACGCTAAAAGATGCGCAAAAGGTCAAAGTTCCTAGCTACTAGTTGATTCTTGCTCAACTCTATCTTCACATGCGAAAGTAAACAGACAGCTCATTGAAAACTAACAATTATTTTCCATGCTTAAGGGCAAGTTGTGCTTCATCTTATTACTAGGTTGTTTATAGCAACAAAATAAGGTTGATCAAGCTATTCTCGAATGAGAAAAGAAAAGAAAAAAAAGTCACTATAGCTCATGCTACACAGTCTCACGTGAATGAGGGCATTGAGCAGAATGGGCTTTGTGGATATAGAACAGGCAGGAGACAAAAACAAACAATAAAGAGAACAGTTATAATTCCTTTCCTAGTAGCTCATATATCCTAATTTCCGAAGACAAGAATCTTTAACTGCTCTTATAGATATCCATATTGTTTAATCCTCTATGCCAATAATCTGACATCTTAATACAAACTGAAAAAAGCCAAGAAACACAAGTTATCAGGGCTAACAAGGTCTGTGCACCAGAACACAAACATCACTACAAAATGAAAATACAAATTTAGTTTGGTCACTTACCATAACATCAAATTGCTCTGGCTTGGAGACAAGTTGCATAGAGCAGTTATCCACGATCATCTCATTATACTGGATACTAGGGTACTTGCTGGCAATTTCACGACAGGATTCTAAAAATAAACCATCGGCAAGCTTCATAATGTTTGCTTTATGCACAGCAGTTACTTTCTTCCTGTTGTTGAGATATGCATACTCGAATGCATATTTTGCAATCCGTTCTGAACAGAACTTGGTTATCACCTACCATTAACTTTAAATGAGAAATAGGTCTACACAACAACATTTCAAAATTTACAATATGACGAGGAAACAAAACCAAAATAGAAACAGGAAACAAGCAGATATACAGATAGCCCGTCAGGCGTCATCCCAAATAGCTTTCCAGTTGCCCCAACACACATAATCACAAACTCTAAAACTAAAAGAACTTGTTAATAAGGAAGTAGGGCAGACAAGATTCGAAATTTTTAATAATCTGCTTCTGCACATAGGTTCAATTATGCATCGAAAGTCATCACAATTCTTTAAGCAGAACTTTCAAGAATTTCTGTTACTTTGATGAAGCTCCATGTTAACACATAATCAAAACATAATAGCCAAGATAGGTTTTTCACAATCTGAAAAACCATTATCATTTCTCTGGACCCTATGCTCATGATTATACATTACATAATGAAAATAACAATGGTTGGTCAACTATATTCGATGGATGCAATTAAAGAATCCTTTTTTTTTCCCTGAGAACTTGTATCGGATTCCAAATAATTTTCAATTTTTCCAAATGTTTTAACAGGAGAGTAGCCCAGCATAAATCAAAACTTCAAAACCATGATAGAAAAAAAAAGAGATGAGATCTATCTTAGAAAGGGAACAGAGATCCACCTTAAGACTCTCCACAACTCCAGGAACAACCTCGTGCTCCAAACCCGAGTATTCGCCCTCGGTATTTTCCCGAATCACGACAATATCCACTTTGTCGTGCCTCGTTGGGAGGCCTTTCAGATTAAAGCAATGGACGAGTGACGCATAAAGGTCGAGCTCTTTCCTGAGCAGCACGTTCAGCGAGCTGACACCTCCACCAACGGGCGTTCTCAGACCGCCCTTGAGACACACCTTATTCTTCTTAATCGATTCGATCACCTCGGGAGGCACGCTCTTCATATCCCCATGGATGTCGTATTTCTCGAAGTAAACCGGCGCGTGCATCGCCTCCATAACCTGCTCGACTGCACCGGTGACTAATGGTCCGACGCCGTCCCCAGGTATCAGAGTGACTGCACGAGGGGCTCCATCCCCGGGTCGAGGCATGTAGGTCACGGATCTGGACGTGATCATCGTGGATCGCACGCCAGGAACGAGCTTCTTCAGGAACGGAAGTGTTCGCCTAGACATTTTTTACATGCAGCAGAGAAATCAGCAAAAGAATATAGATTAGGGTTATGGTGGTGAGAGATCTGGTAAATGAATTTCAGCTCTGCTGGATGGATTGATATGCGAATTGTGATCGGGAGGATGAAGACGAAGAAGAAAAAATGGAAGCGGGGGAGGGGAAGGATGGCTAGGGAATGGTCAACCTAAAGCACTGTAATTATTATTTGCAAAGATACCCCTCCACTTCTTTATTATTATTTCACTCGATGAGTATAAAGTCTCATCATGAGTAAAAAAATTATCCGATGTACTATTATATGAATTTTGTTATAAGTAGAAGATATTCTCTTTAAATAGAATTGCAGTAAAATAAATTATTTTGACATAAAAATATACATATATAGAAAAATTAATAAACAAATAACTCTTTGGTTATTTAAAAGAAGAAATACATAGAAAATGCAATTTAAACTCATCTTATAGGAGTTTTGGCCAAGCAAGTTGTTTACGTTTCATGGATCAAAATATTCACTACTTTTTTCGTCATTTGTCTTTCAAGACTTTATTAATTGAAAGTCATCATTTTGAACGAATGATCTTGATCATCCACTTGTTTATAAGAACATATTGATAAATTAATAATTCAAAATTTTATGTTAAGTTGGCATAAATAAAGAGGGTTGCTCACTTTATATATTTTGTGCTATAATTCTTCATAAATTTTATTAAATATTGGTGTGTTTTTTAAGCCACCAAACCTTGAATTTATGTTTGTATTTTCTTTTCTTACAAAACATTTTATTATATATTATTTTAATATTAAATTCAAATCAAAATTTTCTCAAAATTATCGAAAGAAACACACTCATCCACAAGTTAAAACAACATATATTTTATTTATTCATAATAAATATATATAAAATATTATTTTTATATTACTAATATAATTCTTTATTGTTAACATTAAAAACACATTCACTAAAAAAAACACAAAGTGACCAAATTCAAAGTATCGAGCCCCATCTTACTTCTTAGAATGATACAAAAACATTATGAAAATAAAAGCTTCAATTTGATTTAAATTGCTTATAATTTGTGCAAGCTTTTTATATTTATAAAACCATAACATGTACGTAATTATCTTTCAAAATGAGATTATAAATATACATATATACACTTTCAATTTTTTTTTATATTTTTATATTATATTAAAAAATATATTTTATATTCAAAACATCATATCTAACATCTATTTATATAAACATAAATAACTATTTAAATTAAAAATTTTACAATTCAAAGATTCAAACCCCAAAGAACACAGTTGTTTGTTTAAATAATTTTCATTTGTTGCACACATATAACAATACCATTTGAATTGTAACTCAAATGGATAATAAACTATACATAAATCAACCATACAATATTTTACTAATATAATACTAATAAAAATACAAAATGCAAGTCCACAACACATATTGATCACAAAAGACATGTCACACCCTGTAGTAAAAACTGCCTGACGCATGATTAAAATAATGTGTTATCTATTTAATTTTTAAGAATAATCACCCTCAACATTCCCACTTCTTCTGTTCTGTAATTTTAGATTACTTACCATCAAAGAACAAATATAATTGAGAAAAACACAGAGCCTCACATTCCAGGGGGAGAGGTTTTACCAATTCATATTCATTACATATATGAAAAAGGTTAGCCACAATACAAATATAAAACTGTACTTAATCAGAAAGAAACACTACACAGACTGTTGATGCTATTCTCTCTCTCTATCTAAAGGGCATTACCAAGAAATTAAATATCAAAAAAAGCACAAACCAACCTCATCAAATCAACTTCCAAAGCCCACTTCTGTTCAGCCACCACTCCAAACTCCTCACAAGAATTCATCAATTATTTCTTGAGCATGCTTCCCCTTGCAGGAAAGAAAAACGAAAGGAAACACAGACGTGATCGTGTGTGTATATATCGAAGATTACTACTACTGCATTTACCTGTATTAGATATTAATCATCTTTCAATGGGCTGGAGGAGGAGCACCACTGCTAGTTCCAAAACCAGTTTTCTGCCCCAACAATGCAAGCTGATCCACAAACTCAGCCCCTGTGAGGATCTCGGTTGTTCCATAAATAACGTGTTTTGCTGGTTGCTGCCGGAGAGCAAGCTCTTGCAAGCTACCATATTCGACATAATTCCCACCGCCAATCATGAAAACAATGGCTTCGTTGAATGGTCCCCTGAGGTGGCTGCCACTTAACCCAGGGTTGTTGGACTTTGGTGCGCGGGGATCAAATAAGAGGTAGGATTCGATTTCAGGGCTTGGTTTACCGTCCATTAGAGCATCAACTGTTCTTGTCAAAGCTAGCTGATGATCACTAGACAACAAATTCTTGACCCCAGCAGTAACTGCACTGATTGACTGCCCGTAGAGTTTTTCAGCCCAGTCAACAATATTGCTCCGGCTAGCAGAGTTGGCAGATGCCAACGAAACATTCAGTGACTTTATTTTCTTAACATACTGAAATGCACTGGCATCTACCTCGGACTCCCTTAGAGCAGCCTCCACTGCTTCTATTTCAGATGAAGGAATATTCTCCGCAGAAATAAGATACATGATAGCAAACCTCAATTTGTCCATCTTGCTCCCTTTGCCCTTGATCACAGTAAGAAGTTCGCTGCGATCAATGCCTCCTTTTATCATCATATCACTCTCTTTTTTGGCATAAGAATCAAGAGACCTCTCCTTGATCTCACCCAATAAAGCAGTAGCAATATTTGTGTGCTTATCGATCACTTGCTTCCGCTCAGTCAATTCAGGCAAAGAGTTCACAGCATTCATCAGATGCTTTGTATTACCAACTAAATCTGTCCCTTCAAACTCAGCCCCAGAATCACCACCTGTACGTCTATTAACCTCCTCAACATCTTTCTTATACTTATTCAATTGCGTCTCAATTTCCACAGCCACTTCTGGAAACTCCAGTAACCCATTGGCTGCCCAAAATGGGTCTGAGTGATCTAACTCAAATGATTTCATCCCACCTTTCTCCCCTCTCACATTCAACCTATTCAACCTCAATCCAAGCACATCATGCACAAGTGGCTTGTATCGGAAGTCGTGCTGTATAGCAACAGAGAGCTCAAAATTTCTATCAAATATACATAATAATGGCCTTTGAAACGAACTAGTAGAGCTGGTGAATTTTGCACCCTCTGTAAACAAATTGTTCTTTGTCAACAAATGGTCCCTCAACCTCTGATCAAGCAAGGATGCTACCATCTCTGCCGGCCCACCACGAGGACATCTAATGATTGGCACCACGGCAAGCGTGGCCAAAACACAGAACAATCCTCCCACGATCTTTTCTATTATTTCCTCAATTTCTTTATCACCAGCAGATGGATCATTTATCTGGACATAGCAGTTCGAGTAGGCAAGTGAAAATAAGTTGTCCTCCAGCGTCACAAATTCCAAATATTGGTCATGCACCTTGGAAATCCTCTGAATTGAATCGGAACTAATTGTACCTGAAACACAAATACCCACATACAAAAGAACTAAGCACTATAGGTTGCGCCCCAATTTCAACAGGAACAGTATCAGGAAATCAAACAGATGATCGATTTTTTCACCAAGAGGGCCATATCACACACTAGACATCTTTTAATTAGCTTTTGTGTGTAACTTATGTCGCATGCATAAACATTGAAAATTGCAAGGGCCTCATTCTAAAATAATGTGTAAATCTTCCATGCCTTTAACTTTGACCTTATCATAAGTAACTAAACGACTGACAAGGCAACAATAAATCATTAGATATTAAGAATCTTGACACTGTCCTATCATATTGGTATGAACAAGAGAAAAAGAGAGCAAAGTAGGGGCATGCAATCATCATCGATGGTAAAATAGTAAAAATTGGCTAAGAGTAAGGAGAAGAGAGAAGTGTACTACATAGGCAGAAACAATGAGAAGTGGAGATGATTCAGGTGAGGAAAGTGGGAAAAAAAACCTATAGAATTCTATATCTTGTTTGCTTCAAACTGCTGAGAATTAGGGATCTCTTTGGCTCACTTGCTATTTCTAGTTCGGATTTCTCCCTCGCCAAGCTCTTTCAGTTGCTCGCTGGGGTGTAATGTGATATTTTAGTAGAAAATTCAGTTCCAACTATGTTATCAATGGCTAATCCTACTTGTTGAGTTGTTACACGGATCAAAACTTGGAAACTAAACTATTTAATCACTTCCAGAAATTACGGAGTTCCCAATATATGGCATATTAAACCAAGACAGGGTAAAGAATTAATTAACAAGAGCAATCGAAAAGCCGAAAAGAGATCTTACCGGTGGCAAGGTCCTCCAGGAGCGGCCTTGGAATGGAGGATGAGAAATTGAGGTGAAAGGAATCGTAGAGGGCTCCAGAAGCGTCGGCGATGACCCGATTGATATTGTGCCGCGTAGGCCGGATGAAGTAGACGGCGGGAACGTCGTGGACAGGGTTGCGATCCTTGTCGAGGAGGAAGTAGAGGGTAACACCGTGTTTACGCAAGTCCTTGACGTGGATCAAGGGCGACAGGATGTCTTGGCAGAAGCGGTCGTAGATGAGGATCTTGTAGACCTCCTCGTTGGCCGTCCCGCCGGGCACAGACACAGCTTGATTGAGATTCAAAATCCGGATAATCCATTCTGGAAGCGTAGCGCCGGTGAGACAAAAGAAGTCCTGACGAAATAGGATTGTAGAAGAAAATTGATGGAGAGATCTAACTACCTGTTTGCTTCTGGCGAAGGTTTAAGGCGGCGGCCATCCTCTGTGTCCGGGAAATGCTCGATCGAGTGAAGAAACGCCGGCGATGGAGGATCTTATAATTATGGAAGACAATATAAAGATTGGGATAGGGTAGATGGGGGTTGTTCCGGTGGGGAGCGGCGCCACCAATGCAGGCAGGGGTTGATTCAGATCGGGGAAATGGAACGATTCAGAGGAGGATGTGAATGTGATTCAGGTCGTCTGTGTCCTGCTCCTCAGCTCTGGCTCGCAACGATGTCGTTTCGTGTGCTTAGCGGTGATGCATTGCGAACCCTTCACAATTTTGACACCGCAAGACACAAGTACTATAGATATTGGATTTGTTAACCGTAACAATTTATTTTTATTTAATACTTCTCTCATTCTAACTGCACTTTATTTTTTTATTTTTATTTATATTCAAGCACACAAAATATTATTACTGTATAATTTTTTATTTAATAGTAACTATAATTTATTCATATTACAAATACTTATTTTATATTTATTTACTCATCGTTAATTATATTTAATATTAAAAATATTATCATTAAATACAATATTTATTAAATTACTTGCTAAAAGCAAGTGTTTTTTTTTATCGGAATCGGGTAGCGATGGAAGGTTCCCACGCCATTCAAAAAATAAAAAAATCAATTTATATCAAATTAAATTATTTATTTGTGTTTCTTTGGGTAAAATTTGGGTTTGAGTTTGGTTTTTATTTGAATTTTGAATTTTGTTGTTTCTTGTGTTTAGGTTTGGTTGGGATTTTGGGAGTTTTGATGTGTATTGATTTGATGGATAATGAATAAAATAATATAAATGTGTATTAAATTTAATTGATAAATTTTATATTGTATAATTTGATTATGAATTTATATTATACCCAACATATATATTTAAAAATTTATTTATTTGTATTATAAAAAATTTTAATCTCTACAGAATGACATATATATTGTATATATTTTTTTCTCTTATAATTATAATAAATATTTCTTTACCCTAATTTTGCCAAATTTTACTATTTGGACTATGAATTTCCCCAAAAAAAAGTATACCCTTTCCACTCATAAAATATTTCATCAAATATTATTTTAATATCAAATTCAAACTAAAATTTTTTAAATTCAACCAAAAAAACACACATTATTAAAAAGCTGCTAGCGTTGCAGCAGTGCCGACCAAGAGGGACAAGGATGGTTGGAGAGATTTTTATTGTGCGCAGTAACTCCACCCTAAAAATCTCCCAAACCTGCTTGGAAACAATGATATGATATAAATATAATATTTTAAACTTAAAAATTAAATATAATATAGTAAATATAATAAATTAATAATATATTTTTAATTTGATATTCTTAATTTTATTTTGAATAATAAAATCTCCGTCTCACATAATTTGTCTCTATTTTTTATTTTCGTCCGTCCCACATAATTTGTCATTTCTATTTTTAGAAATATAATTATGCACTTGCATTTTAAATTTTATAATTTTTTTAATTTTAATTAAATTATTTACTTATCTTAATCTTAATCTATAATTATTTTTATTAAATAATAATTATTTTTACTAATATATTTTTTTAATTATTTACTAATTATATTTTACCAAAAATTATAGTATCTACCGTAATAGTCCCATGTTGTTTTTGGGAGAGAGTAAAATCAATCAAAATGCACCAATTTTTTAATATTTTAAAATTTATCCGGCCAATTACGATGCGAATACAGTCCTGGGCGGGTATTTACTCTAGCAAATCTTGTGTTGGGTCCGGCCCAATTGATACCAAAGAATATTCGATGACTTGATTTAGGACGGAGCAGAGGATCCGATTTGGAACCGGGTCCGGACTTAAATAATCCGGAACTCACCCACTCCTTTCTTTCCTGCTTTTCTTGTCAAAAAAGTCATTTTGGTTTTCCATTTGCATTCTTCCCATCGCTTTCTTTTTGCAATTTATGCAAATTGCATACTCCGTATGTTTTCATCGTTATTCCCAATCCAATTTTCCGATCCAATTCAACATCATCCTGCCAATCCTTCCGCTATAAACTGATTCTAATCTTTTTCTTCTTGTTTTAGGTGGTGAATCTGTTTCAATACTAGGGTTAGCGTTTTTCATTTCTTTATTTTTTTGTTTTTTTCGGAGAAAATCCATGGGTGCGGAAGGTGAGTCCAGCGTGCCTGCAGTTGAGGCGGAGCAGGTGAACATAAACATTAGATGCTCCAACGGTTCCAAATTTTCGGTCAAAACAAGCCTCGAATCGACCGTACGGGAATTTAAAGGTGTGTTGGCGCAGAATTGTGATGTGCCAGCTGAACAGCAGCGGTTGATTTACAAAGGACGGATCTTGAAGGATGACGAAACCCTAGTCAGCTACGGTATATCATTTTTCTATTAGCTTTCTATATTTTTTGGGGACAGGTTACTTTGGTGGGTAGTTGAAGAAGTTTCATGCCAGTTTGGTGGGTGCTTTATGTTAAATATTGCGAAAAGAACTATTTTTAACTCGCAAAAGGAAATCCTTTCTTATTTGGACAAATAGTGTCTCTAATGATTCATCTGTAGTTTGGGATGTTTCTCGTCGCCAACATGATTGTTGATCTGGTTTACTAATCAATTTTTTATCCGGGTTTCAAATGATTGTGCGTTAGATGTCCGCATTCTGGAATGGCTGTTCACGGGACTTGGAATATTTTCTCTACTAAGATTTGTTGTGCTTAAAAAATCAGGGTTGTCTTGCGTGATTATAATTCAAATGTTGAAAATGAATCTTTATGAATAGATTTAGCCACTTGATATGGTTATGAATATTAGCTAGATGGACATTCAGTTTTGGTAAGTTTGCTCTAGGTGATGCTGAGTAGGAACTGAAATTATTGTTAGGGTACCCTTCCCATGATATTTGGTTCATAGAAACATTTGGGCTGTTTGACATCTTTATTGGAAATCTCACATGGCTTACTTATCAGTGATCATCTGCTGTCGAAAGCATGATTTTGTCTTTTTGTAGAGGATAGTAGATATTTCTTGATATGGAAAGCAATGATTCTACTGTCGAATGATTCATAGCGAATCTAAAAACTTTTTGTCCGATTGAATGGCGTCTCATATTATAATGGGATTTATCTATTGGATAAAGTTCAGATTTTGTGGAAGTCCACGATGATCACCTTTATGCTTTAGGTAATGATTGGATGTATATCTGTTGCTTTTAACTAATTAAAAAGTTTACTTATTTTTTAAGTCAATGCTTCGAGTGTATGGCTCAGTGACATGTCATGGTTGTGCTTTCTTTGGATTTTTGTAAGTCCTTTTCTCTGTGATTGGGGATAGAATTGGATGAGATTAAATTAGAAGGTATCATGACGTAATTGGATTTTCATTGCTTTCTCCCTCATGACGGCATTGAATTTTTCCTCTATTTAAACAGGTTTACAGGCGGATCACACAGTTCATTTGGTTCGTGGTTCTGCACCAGCTGCATCTCCTCCTGCCGCTGTCCCTCCTAGTACTGAAACTACCAACAATGTTCCACCTGCAACACAAGGTATCAGCGCCGATACTGGGGGAGCTGGACTGGGTGGTACGGGCGCATCGCTATTTCCAGGTCTTGGTTTAGGTGCACTTGGTGGTACTGGGTCATCTGGATTGTTTGGTGCTGGACTTCCTGAGTTTGAGCGGGTGCAGCAACAATTGACTCAAAATCCTAACATGATGAGAGATATTATGAATATGCCTGCAATTCAAAACCTGATGAACAATCCTGAAGTTATGCGTAGCTTGATTATGAGCAATCCTCAGATGCGAGAGATCATTGACCGGAACCCTGAGCTTGCCCACATTCTTAATGATCCCGGCATTCTTCGTCAAACTCTAGAGGCTGCAAGGAACCCAGAGCTGATGCGTGAGATGATGCGGAACACTGATCGGGCAATGAGCAATATTGAATCTTCTCCTGAAGGATTTAACATGCTGAGACGCATGTATGAAAATGTCCAGGAACCGTTCTTGAATGCAACTACAATGGGTAATCGAGCTGGTAACGAAGCAGGATCAAATCCATTTGCAGCTCTCCTGGGTAATCAAGGTGGCTCCCAACCCCGAGAAGGGTCTAATACTTCATCAACTGGTGGGCCTGAAATGACCTCAGGGACAACTGTTCCAAACACTAACCCACTTCCCAATCCATGGAGCAATACTGGTAATGTGAAATATCATTTAATGCCAAAGGTTGATTTTCTTAATATGTTATGCTTCCTATGTTATCTCAATAATTTTTCTGCCTGTTTCTGTTTCACATGCCAAATAACACTCTGTTAAATTGATCCAAACTGTGTTCCTTACTAGTAAAGTTAATATTTTTTACTTTTTAGCAATGGTTATTGTTTTGGCACATGAAAAATTCTCTGTACTAAATTATAATACCATTTTTTCTGGCTAAAATTTTTAGCCCATTTCCTTTTCATCTTTGAATCTAAGGAGTCGGAGTCCATTGAATGATTCTGTTGAATCTTGCATAGAAAGATCCCCATATTTCTCCTTTATCTTTTCCTTCTGCATCTCTGCTTAATGTCCTAATTTCTCAACTTACAGCTGGTTGGCCAGTTAATCAGTTGCTTGTGCTGCAGGGTTGTCTTGAAACTTAGTCATCTATTATTCCGTCTAAAATAAATACTTTACTTATATGCTATAATCCTTTTCAAGAAGCCTTGTTTTGGTCACCTTTTGCTTTTTGATTGATGCACACATATTCTGTTCTTAGAGTTTGGTTCACAGGTATGACTCTTCTATGGCCTTGAATGAACCATTCCTTGAGAGCAATTTATGCTTGATTTTTTCCCCTCTTTTAGTTGCAGCATTTGAAGTCTTTTCTGATTGTTTTTTTATTTCGATTCCAGGAGGTCCTCAAACAAATAATGCTACAAGAACCAATCCAACTGGTGAAGCAAGAGCACCCCCTGTTGCTGGGTTAGGAGGTCTCGGTCTTCCTGAGTTGGAGCGCATGGGCATTCCAGATTCCTCTTCATTCAGCCAATTATTGCAGAATCCTGCTGTGGGACAGATGATGCAGAGCTTGCTTTCCAACCCTCAGTACCTAGATCAAGTACAACAATAAATTCATTGTAAACTTGTCAAGTATTATTCCTTTAGCTTTGAATTATACTGGAATTGCAACTTCGTTGCAGATTCTTGGTCTAAATCCTCAACTTCGCAGCATGTTTGATATGAACCCTCAATTAAGAGAAATGATGCAAAATCCAGAAGTTCTTCGAGAGTTGGCATCACCCAACACCATGCAGGTAGTGTTTGGTTCTCTTTTCTCTTATTTCCGTTCATATAGTACTTTCTGTAGGGCAAGGCACCATACTATTGACAATATTAATTTAACATTTTGATGATTTAGTAATGTTTCTCAACAATGTTAACAGACAAGAATGACTTGTTTGCGGTGTATTTTTCAGCCACTAGGGAGTTCTATTTTTGGTTTCGTTGATGAAACATTGTTTTCTTTATAACTACGGAGTTGTTAAGTTCATTTTAATTGCTTCACTTTGTCAAGTATCTGCTGGATACAATATTTGCCATTAATCTTTTTTCTAGGCACAAACTATTTTCAGAAAATATGTACATATATGCCTGTAGCTTATAGTACCATATGTCATGCTTCTTCTTCTTTTATTTATTATTACATTAAGTTGTTTAACTTTGTTGTCACAGCAAATGATGGCTTTGCAGCAACAGCTCTCCCAGCTCACCAGACAGCAGCCAAACCTGTGAGTCGGAATAACTATTGACTACTTATTACCGCTGATGAATTTGATATATGCTTATTGCATTCACCTACGTCATTACATATGTAAATGTGTTGCTTAGATTTGGAAGCCGGTGCTTTTGTTTGTCTTTTTACCCTCACTTTCTTATATTTGTAACCACACTCCGTTAAACATGGATGGGCTGATTAATTATTTGCAGTGCTATGTTTATTAGTTGGTATTCACTGCAATATTTGGAGAAGTCATGATAGGGATGTGAGCCTGAGATTGTTTCCTGAATTTCTTTTCACGATGTCTGCTTTTATTTATTTTTCAATCACTTGAAAGTGTTCCTGTGCATTCAATATCTCGAAATTGTTCTTTCTTTTTTTTTTTTCGTGAAAAACTATTATGCATCTTATGACACTCTGAATTGATACCTGATTACAGGCCTGGAGCTGAGACTGGTCAGCCAAGAGGTATAAAGCAAAAGTTTTGTGGATTAAAAACTTCATTTATGTTTCTTGTTGTTTCAAAGCTATGCCTATGGTCACTGACTTTTACTTATTTTTGCTAAATGTAGGCACTGATAACAATCTGAATATGGACTTGCTGATGAATATGTTTGGTGGACTTGGAGCAGGCAGTGTTCCCAGCACTCCCGATGGTCTCAACTCTCTTCTTGCTGATCAACAGTATTTTGCAATATACTTTAGTTTTCTTCTTTTACTTTTACTGTGATGTCATTTTTTCTTGTTCTTGCAGTTCCCCCAGAACAGCTATATGCTACTCAGTTAACACAGCTGCAGGAGATGGGTTTCTACGATACTCAAGAGAACATCAGAGCCCTCCGAGCTACTTCAGGAAATGTTCATGCAGCTGTTGAACGACTTTTGGGGAATTCCGGTCAATAGTACCCTCGGCCTGGCTGTTTGCAGACATTTTTTTGGTGATGCACATTGTGAAACTAGTCGTTAAGTTCTTTAACAGGCATATACCGACTTTAAGAGCGCCATTACCATTTGAAGTGTGTGAATAAAGATTGCATCCACTTCACTTCTATGTTAGTACCGTAACTTGCTGCTGGCGAAGGTTTTCAACTATTATGTTATTATTCAGTGCGCGCTCCCTTTAACTTTTGCCTGTGTACATACAGATGTTTTAAGAATGTTGGTGCGGAAATGTTCTATTTATTTTCACATTGAAATCATATGGCTTTGTTATTACCTTGCCGTAGAAGGGATAGCTAGCTTGAAATGACATGAGAGACATAGCGGGTAACAATAGCGCGTGCAAGGTTGTGATTCTTGGATGGATCTTGAGATCTTGTGATTGAATGGTAATAGTAGTATAGTACTAGTACTAGTTTTTACCGGTTGGGGCGATGATGGAACATTATGGCCTATCTAAATACCCGGACTTGTGAGATCGGGACAGGGGTGCCTTAGGCCATAGGTACAGTGTTGACAGGACAAGATATGTAGCATAATATAACTTGGATTGATCTCAGCATGTCACAATTAGAGTTGTTAAACAAATGAGTAGCTTGCCAGTCAAGTTCGATTCTGCTCATTAACAGCTCGATTAGGATTGTTTTTAGAGATAAATGAGCATTAACAGCTCGATTAGGATTGTTTTTAGAGATAAATGAGCTAAGCTCGAGTTTGATTTTTTTTTTTTATAAATCCGGCTTAGTTCAATTGAGTTTGTTAGTAATAATGTATTTATATGATTTATATATTAATATAATATATATAATTTTTTAAAATATTAATATACTTCTATTAATAAATTTTGAATATTAATTATAAAAAGTTATTAATAAAATTAAATAAATTTAATTTATATATCAAAAAAGATATAAAATATATATAGAATTTTGAGTTTGAACCGAGCTCATCTTGAATTTGAGCCTAACAAATCGAGCTTGAACTACTATTTTTGTTCGAATTTTTAACGAAACGAGCCTATACCATTAATAAATTTGAATCGAATTCGAACAATCGATACTCGAGCTGACTCGGCTTGTTTAGCAACTCTAGTCACAATATGAGCTTACCATTCCTATAAAAAATGTGTCTATATCATATTTAAGATTCTTGGATCATAACCCTGATGAGCCTGCAAAAAAACCTTTCCATTCTGAATTAATAATATAGATATTAACATCAAATACCTCAACCAGATTTAGCTAGCTAGTAGTATTAATAGATCCATACATACAAGAACAAATCCTTCAACACTTTCTGTGTTGAAATCTACGACAGGAACATCTAATAGCCACCATGGTAAAAAGAATTACAAGATGAAAGAAACCATTCGACGAAAATGATCGAATTACGTGAGCGATGGTAACGGATAGGCCTGATTTTCTTGCTGCAGGCTCCTCGGAGGATGATGCCGCAGAGGAGATTGATGATGCAGTTGCTGCTGTCTGCATGATGATCTGTCAGCCGCTGCTCGGTGGCTGGAATGTTGCGCCCTTCTGGGCTCTCGAGGCCTCTCGTTGGCAGAATCTATGTTCGCCAATGTCTCAACGATTTCTTGCATCGATGGTCTGTTCTTAGGTTCATTTTCAAGACAGTTGAGAGCAAGCTGAGCTATTTGCAGCGCAGACCTCGACGGATACCTTCCTTGCAGACGCGAATCCATAATGTTCTTCAACTTCCTCCTGTCGGCTAACAATGGCTTTATCCAATCAACCAGATTGTGTCGCCCGGCGGGGCGATTTGTGTCGAGCGCGCGCAGCCCTGTCAGCGCTTCCACCAAAACCACGCCAAAACCATACACGTCGCTCTTCACGTACAAGTGGCCTGATAATAGACGATGTTAGAAATTTTGGGGGAATATAATGATTTTGTCTGATCCATCGTCAAAATAAAAGGCTTATATATAAGACTTAAATATAAATAATGTAATCTACGAATAATACCAAATCTAAATGTAAATTTATAAATCTAAAATCGAATATCTAAAATATCTCAACAACAGAATTAGCGTACATTGTCAAAGAAGTATCAAATTAATCATAAAGTTTACAATTGTACCTGTGGCAACATACTCGGGAGCTGCATAGCCGTATGTGCCCATGACCTGCGTCGTCACGTGCGATCTACTAGCTGTCGGGCCAAGTTTCGCGAGGCCAAAATCCGATATCTTGGCATTATATGACTGATCCATCAAAACCAAAAATTATCGATGTTATTTACAGTAACGCAATACAGGTTATGTGTAAATTGTGTGTGAACTTGAACTTAATTACCCCATCGAGCAAAATGTTCGAAGCCTTGAAGTCTCTGTATATAACTTTCTTATCCGAAGCGTGCAAGAACGCGAGACCGCGAGCCGAATCAATCAGTATCTTAAGCCTAATATCCCACGAAAGCGGCTGCACTGCCGATCCCCCTGAAAAAAAACATAAAAAACATCGATCGAAAGCTTTCGATTTTAAATGGACTCATTATACATAAGAACTAAACTGCAGCAGAAACTCTTACTTCCAAAAAGATGATTCTCTAAGCTTCCTTTTTGCATAAATTCATAGACAAGAAGCAATTCCTTATCCTCCCAACAGTACCCCAAAAGCTTAACCAGATTAGGATGTGAAAGCCTCCCAAGAAAATTAACCTCAGACTGCAAAATCAAAAACAGCTAAAGCTAAAAACACAGTCATCAATGGCGACGGGGAAGGAAGGATGACGACGAGAATGAAGCACCTGCCATTCTTGAAACCCCTGTATACTTTCAGAATTGAGCTTCTTAACAGCTATGACAGTTCCACTGTTACTACTTCCATTTTTGACGTCGAGCCAGCCTTTGTAAACCCTACCGAATCCGCCTTCTCCCAAAACGGTGTCGCTTCGGAAGTTCCTGGTGGCGGTTTTGAGTTCGGAGAATGAGAAAACCCTTAAATTCGGCTGAGGCAACATCTGCCCCACCGGAGCTCGGCTTTGATCGCCGGTCCCACTCGCCGCCGAGAATTTGCTGTTTCCAGAAACATCGATGCTGCTGCTGCTGCCTGATGAAGAAGATGTCGTGTTGCTGCTCACTGTCGTCGTCGTCTGCGAAATTGCCCCTGCCAATTGGGGGAAATTGATTACAGACAGATATCATCGATTATTACTCATTAGAGATCAGATTAGGTAAATTGAATTGAACCTGAAGTGAATTGTGTTGTGGAGGGAGGGCCATGATCGTGATCTACGGCAGCTGAACTGAAGCAAATCCCCATTGCAGTTGCAGGTAGCTAAGCTCTCTCTGATTAGAATCCAGAACAGACAGAGCATCAATGATATGAATTCGATAGATACATAGATAGATATGGCTTGACTTCGTCGTCGTCCTCCTCCTCGCTGCAGTTCACATAGCAATGTCCGGTTTGTCTGTTTCTTTACATCTCTCTCTCTCTCTCTCTCTCAATGAATCTGAAAGCTAAAGTCAAGTCAAACACCGCGTTCCATTAAAATATTATGAATGCCGACCCGCGACGGTCACAGTCAACGCATGGATGGATTGATGAAATCCAACGGCCCTTTCGCTTCCATTTTCAGATTCTGTGTATCCCTAAATTAAAACTAAACAATTGACATGTGTTCTATTAGCTTGAATATAATTCATTAGTTGTATGATAACACCTAACACAGAGAATCAAATTTTATATTAATATAAATGTAACATATAAATTAAAATATATTAAAAGAAAATAATTGAATAAGAAGAAAATAATTATATAAAATTATCTATGAAGACTTTTTTTATAAATAAACAAAAAATTGGTATATTATCATTGGATTTATATCGTTCATTAATAAACTATTTATTTCTTTTTCCGTAACATTACAAACAACTTTCCAATTTACAATATATTATACAAATATATTAAGTTTATGTTATAAATACTAGTAAGGTTATCTGAGTCTTTTTATTACTATTTCTATAATATACACTTTAATTTTATTTTTAAAAAATTAATTTATAATTTTTTTAATCTTAATTAGTTATCCTACTTTTTAATCGATAATTATTTTTATTATATGATAATTATTTTTAGTGATATATTTTTAATTATTTATTAATTATGTATAACATAGTACTGTGTAAAAGACAGAAAGAAACATAAAATGTGAAGCAGCTAACTTCAATTAATAAAGTTATTCTGTTATTTTGAATAAGGTTATTAGAGTTAATTAACACAGTAAGTAGGAATAATAACTAAACGTAATCAACACTGAGAATGCCTAACACGCTTAGCTTGCCTGGTCAACACAAAAAGATGTCGCTTTTTCCATTTGTCTAAGAGTGACGATCGATTGATTTTCATGGAAGTCAACATATACGGATGCAAAGTACTCGTAGTAATTATGACCCACTAATGGGCTGGCAGATGGCTAAGCTATATTTGAAGGGTTTGGATAAATTTGTCGTTATTTGAAGCGTGATTGAGTCTAGTCTAGGGTTTTGTAATTGATGGCGTCAGGTGGGTGCATTTATTCGATCCAAGTAAATACATGGCTCTGAAATTTGGGGGTTAGGGTTAGGGTTCGAGCTCGAGCAATAATCTACAGTCTCGAATCAGCTTTAATTTGTTTTTTCCACGTTCTTCTTGCTGTTCTTTAATCGCGATCATAATACCGATCACCAATGGCATACACACACACTCTACATCAGACTCGATCCTCCCGTCGACGCCATGTGCATAGCCGCGTTCCTATGGAAGTCTCATCCACGCTATCCTTTCGTCCTCCTCCTTAACCGAGACGAACACTACAATCGGTATGTGGATTTGGATTTTCCCTCGCCATTTCATCGAAATCTCAATTTTCTTTTCTGATTCTCCTTTCGATGTCGATCGCAGGCCTACGACGGCGTTGGCGTGGTGGGAGAACGGCGAAATTCTGGGCGGAAAGGACGGCCTCGCCGGCGGAACCTGGCTGGCCTGCAACCGCACCGGAAAGCTTGCTTTTCTTACCAATGTCAGGGAAAAAGCGACTTTACCGGCCAGAAATAGCAGAGGGGATCTCCCTGTTCGCTTCTTAAAGGTAATTTAATCAATTCACTTTCTGCATTCAGATTCGTTAGAGCAAAGAACACATAATTTGGGCGAATTAGGTCATGTAAAAGGGCTTCCTGAATTGAAAACCCCTTTTACAGTTAATTGAATTGAATTGTGTTCCTTTATTTGGGCTGCTTAGGTTTAGCAATCTGTAACAGATTATGTGCCTTGGGCTTCTTGCAGAGTGAGAAGAGTCCCAAGGAATTTGGTGAGGAGCTTGTGGGGCAAGTAGAGGAATACAATGGATTCAATCTCGTCGCAGCTGATCTTCGCGCGATGACAATAGTTTACATAACCAACAGGCCGAAAGATAATGGTCTGTCAGTAACAGAAGTTTCTCCAGGCATTCATGTCTTGTCAAATGCAAAGCTGGACACGCCGTGGCCTAAGGTACACTATCACATATCGAACTCCTCTAATCAGTTGACTAAATCTCGAAGAGCTTCGATAGAAAACTTGTCCCAATCCTTGTCCCTACTTAACAGTGGACTCTTTTACATCGTCTCGCCCAATAAATATGTTGAGCATTGTCATAAAATAAGCTTAATTGAATTAGGTGCATATTGAATGGCGAGTAGTCCCACCAAATAGAGACTTAGAATAAGCTTTGTAAATTCTAGGCTCTGGACTCATATATTGATTCCGTTTTATTGAGTTCTTTGATTTTCTCATATCACATTCTTAATGGCTGCGAAAATAGGTACAGATCTTGATTATAGGTTATATAAGAGTTAGCTTAAGACAAACAAATACCATTAGTTTCCAGCTTACTTTGGGGTCTCATAAATTGGTGGAGCTGACTTTAGAAGGCGTTTTTGACTAATAATGGAAGCATAGAATAATTGGTGCATAGTGTGGAGAGATGTAATAAATGGAGGCCATAAGTGGAGCTGACTTTAGAAGGCTTCTTGTTCTTTGACTAATAAATTATCTAGACATCCATTTTGTGGTTTATAGCCCTTCTGTAGACTCTGTTCTCTAGGATATCTTAGATGTTTCGAACATCACTCGAGGAATACGAAGCATACATTGTTGATTACGAAGCTCTTTTGTTATTTGTTATGTGACTTATAAATGGCAGCAGCCATGCTACTAATTCTTCCGACTTTAGAAGGCTTCTTGTTCTTTGACAAAAAATATTATCTTGACATCCATTTTTGTGGTTTATAGCCCTTCTGTAGACTTTGTCCTCTAGGATATCTTAGATGTTTCGATCATCACTCAAGGAATACGAAGCATAAATTGTTGATTACAACGTTCTTTTGTTTATTTGTTATGTGACTTTTCAATTGCAGCAGCCATGCTTATCATCCTTCAAAGTCTCACACGGTTAGTTGCACTACAGGCTCTAAGACTGCGGCGCAGTTTTGAAGATGTTATAGGAAAATGCTTTGAAGGTGAAATATCAGTAAAAGATATGACTGAAGGCATAATGAAGGACACTAATAAGGATGATGAATGTGAGTTACCAGGCATCCTTTCACCGGATTACGAATACGCTGCAAGTGCCATTTTTGTGGAAGCAAATCTACCTTCGGTAATTGGACTTGTTCATCTACTCAATATATTCGCACGCTTCAATCCCTTCATCATGCCAAACATCGTCAAGTACTGTTTCTAATTCACAGGGACCATACGGAACAGTAAGCACTTCTGCAGTGACTATGAAGTATGGTGGGGAAATATGCTTTTATGAAAGGAGTTTGGAGAAAGACCTGTGGCGCGAGCAGACAATTAGCTATCGGATTGAAACAGAGAAAATTGCATCACGACCCATTCGTGGTTAAATGAATCCAATGGCAACCGAAATGATTAATATGTGTTTGATTAATCTATTCTGAAGTAAAACAAATCAACTCTATATTTGTGGATAGCATTAATAATCTCTTAATGCTTGTGACATACAGTTTCACATTCATTTAGCAATCAATTTATAGTTTGCATATGTAGTCATAATTTATCATCATTATCCTCAATGACATGTTCAAAAAATACATCTTAACAAAAATTTCAATAGTGGACAAACCAGCTGCTGTTCTAAGTATGATCTTGACATCTAGTCTGCCAAAAATCACCTCAGCAAAACTATTTTCAACCTACCAACAGAATTAATATCAAAATTGCAGATATAAAGATAAGACTAGCAAAAGATCAACCCAGAGTTATGCCAATCAGCATTGATAAATGTAAACATATGCTTGTAAGTTACCGTCATTCCCCCTCATTTTGTCCCCTTATCTTTCATCTGATTCCACCGGGTTTGAATTTATCGCGCTGTCCGCTTCCGCTTTTCAGATTTTACAGTTGTTTCTCCACCATCTATCACATTGACAGATTCCTCGGCTTCGGGCTTGAATGTCCAACCCTCAAAGTCAGACTCTGAGAACAAATGTGTAGGAGTTGCTTTGTAGAATGCCAATGGTACCTGTCTGACCCTCGGTCTTTCCTGTGTAAATCAACAGAATAAGCACCAAGGCATGGCATCAGAACAAAGTAATGACACGTCTGTTGTGATTCGTATCAATTGTAAAGGAAAAATATTATATGGAATTCCTGCAAAACCATTGATGATAAACCACAATACCTCAGCATTGAAAATTGTTGCATATGAGCCATGACAAAAATCTTTAATAGCAATTTCAGGTGTTCTAGTCCTGAATGCTAAATCATTCTCCATGGACAAAACAAATCTGGCAAAGCTCAAAGGATTAGTTATAATTAGAAAGACCAAGTTCAGCATGTGACAGCATGCTACAAATAAGTACACAAGGTGAATAAATGTGATACCTGGACACAGCAGGGCAGTAATGATGGCGAAGAGATTCTATTTCCCAGAGAGAGCTGCCTGTTGAATTCCGGCATGTGCACATATTAGTTATATTTGAAAATACGAGAATAACGTCGTCATTTTCAAGATGAAACAAGCACAGGAGCGTAATCACTGCTAGTAAATAACGTCGTCATTTTCAAGATGAAACAGTGCAGGATTGATGGCTTGAAATCGAATGAACAAAAACATGCATTACATAAACAATGAGATTGATGCAAATAGGGTGTCAATTTAGATTTTCGAAGGAAGAATTTGACTGGGTTAAAACTAATAATTTTCTAGCACTTCCTCCGATTCTGTTAGGGAGAAAAAAACTTGCACAATGATAGCAGGCAAGATATCAACGATGTCCAACACTATGCTTGATCGAGCATGAGTACTAGTACACATTCATATTTATTGCTATCATGGTATATACACCACATGTCAGAGAAACAGGGTAACTCAATATTTGTGAGCTGTCAACATTTAAGATACAATCTTTGCTGTAAAATTTTCATTGCAAGGCACCACTTCCAATTCTTTGTTTCCCATTCGTTCTTAGATTGACAACTTGGATCAGCTTAAGCGCAACTTCATTTAACTTCTCAATCAATTTAACTTATAAATTAGAATTAGAATTTTTTTTTTTACAAGAAAGTAGGAGGCTAGGAGCTATATACAAGTGCAACTTGGATCAGCTTAAGCGCAACTTAAGATAATTTAACTTATAAATTAGAATTAGAATTTTTTATTTTACAGGAAAGTAGGAGGCTAGGAGCTATATACAAGTGAAACAAAACTAACAAATAATATATATTAAAATAAAGGCAGGTGCTCATACAAGCACAAGAAGAAACCTTTGTTTACTTTATTCATAATTTAACTTTAGAAGGTGGGTGCCCCTTATGATTATGGTCCTAGTCTATATTATTCTTAATAGCTAACTGGCAAAAGGAAGCAAGTTAAGTGAGAGAAAAAAACACTTAACTGAATAGTAGTTTAGGACCATTGTTGTTTCGTTCATGTTATGTGGAAAACAATAGATGGCCATGTAAATGCAACATAAATATAAATCATTAGAAAAGAAGAAAAAAAAAAACAAATTGAACTTACGCATGGCATTAGCATCCTTGGGATTATTTTCCTCATTGTTGAAGTAATCAATTCCAGCTTTATCCTGCGACGTCTCCTGGTTGGCAATGCCATTATCTTCTGAAGTTTCTGTAGTAGTTTCAGTGCCACCTTCCTGCATTTTCACCGTGTCCATTCTCAAGCGAACTTTCACATACATCAACAAATGCAGAGAAGAGGTATACACTAGAATCCCTGTTTTTCTATGAATTGCAAGTTCTGCTAAAAGTAAAAGATCTATGAAGTACAAAATCTCAATGTCAACACATGCTCTTTATGTTATCAGTGAAAACCCTACAGACAATACATGAAGAAACAATTTAAAAAGTTTACCTAGCAAGCATGATATCTGATAAGGCTAAAAGTAAATACACGTGTTAAGGTGCCTAGGTTGTAGTTCCATGATATCTATAAGATTTATAACAGCAAGGATAATTCTTCATAACAAGCATAGCATATATACTATAGAGACCAATAGTTGTAAGAAAAGAAAACTACTCACTCGATGCACCAAAAAGCTAATTGAAGGATGTCTCAGTAAAAGGTTGTGCACCAAAGCAACAATAACTAGTGCTCCTGAAGGAGGAACAAAGAGTGCAAGCCTCCCCAACTTCTTGCAAAAGGCAGCAACCATATAAGCAGGGAGGAGTGATGATTTCAAGCAGGCGTCCAGTAGCTGAGATTAACATTGAAATTATTAGCCAAAAGGAGAGAGTGTTATTCAGTGCACCTTGCCAAAGATGCATTCTAATAGAAAATTGAATTTTATAGAGAGAACTTATTACCAACCGCCACAATTTAATCAACTGCTATTAAATCTTATAATATACACATCCATTGAAACACGCATTCTACCACTTTACAACACAGCTTTTGAGGGAAGATCCAAATCCGTCTCAATGCATTCGCTTTAGTAAAATGTGTTTACTTGTGTTTTTTCGGGGGCTTTTTTTGGATGTGATTATTTTGGTGAAAATATAGCAGACTAAATAGTACAAATTGAAGAAAAAACATGTGAACAACAAGTAGATTTCTGCCATGCATGCCTGAATGCAATCTATGGAACTTCAAAAAGACTATATACTTACCTGGAAGAATTTTGCACGATGTTTTGCCAAAAAGATAGAGGGCTCCAGCAGAGCATAAAGTTTATCATAGAAATTGGGATATTCCAGACCATGTTGTGTCATGAGAATGAACAGACTACTTAGAGCCATAACACTGACTACGTTCCCAATGTCATAAGTTCGAGTCAAGAAATCACTGCATAGAGACGAAAACAAGGCAGATATGTCTTCAAACATGCATGTATAAAGAATGATTTAAAGAAAGGAATTTCTAATACATTTACCATAACATAATTGGATTGGAGAGGTAAGGGATGACATCCTGATGAAGGCTAACAAGAACCTGTTTACAAACATACAGGGTAAGTCAAGAATAAAAATAAGATTTGCCATCCCAAACTACAACTAATATCAACACAAAGAACAAAGGAAAAACTAAAGGGTTGTTAGTTAAGTAAACAACAAAATCTTATGAAATTTTTTCAGGAAAATAAATTTAGCAGACTTCCTAAAAAAATTAGTAGAGACATAGGGTGTGTTTGTTTGGGGGTTTGGATTTTGGATTGGGATTTGAATAGTAAAAATTTTGAATTTGAATAGTTGTATGATGTGATATAAATAGGGTTTGATGTGATGTTTTGAATGTAAAATTGATTTTTAGTATAATATAAAAAATGAAAAATAGGTGTTTGATGTGATGTTTTTGGGGGGAAAAAATTGGATGAATAGTAGAAATCCTTCAAAATCCTTCAAACAAACACACCCATAGTAGAAAAAACGTAAAATCCTCTATCTCAATCTGTACTTCAGAACTCATATTATTGAATATGTGAATCTGATTCTTACTGGACTAACTCAAGCATGGATTATTCTTTCAAATGGCTAACATACCAAGAATAACCATTAAAGAATGAAAGAACTGTGGACAACCAATGGATCCAATAAAAATCATTACCTCCTTGTATACATCAAGGGGAAGAGGCAATCTGAGGAATGATATCCATGCTTTGGTAAATTTTAATTTCATTTTTTTCCATATGCTTCGATGTGGCAAAACCTGTAAATTGCCAAAACGTGACTTAAAGGAAGCTCAAATTGCACACCCATTTAAGACAATGTATCCTTGAAATACTTCTACTACCTCTATAGAACGAACTTTGTTTTTGGCCCCCTGAGACTTCCTCTGTTTATCTTCCAGGTCAACACATTCTTTGTCATTGCTTTTTCCAGGGAAAACACCTATCATATACAAAGAAACCACAATAAACAAAGCTGTCAACCAAAAATCTACAGTAGGAGCTGATTAAGTTAAATTGTAGAAAAGAGTCCATGCAGCTATGAAATCATGCAAGTTAAATACAAATGCTTGAGAAGGCACATGAGGAGATTTTTGAGTAAATCTCTTCGTTTTATCATTACAAACACTTTCGATGAAGACAAGGAAATTACTGAATGATCAGTACAATGACAACTAGATATACTCTCTCTGTTTATTCCAATTCCAGAAGTGAACAATGAAATGCAAGGGAGGACAGCAATAGTAAGTTCTTGTGAAGCTTAGATACAACAAATATTACCTGAAGCACTCCATATATTTAACTCTTTCTCTGAATCTTCCAATGACGGCATTTGAGATAGTAAATTATGAATTTTACGAACTGAGAGTTCCATGCTACATAAAGAGAGAGAAATCAGAAAGGGTCCCCTATGGGGAGTCTGGAGGAAAAAAGAAATGATAAAATGGAAATCAAGCATCATAGTGTAATTATCATTCAAAAGTTACACCAGAAACAAGTTTAACGGAATTAAGAAGATTATGAGAGTTGATATGTAAGTACAACTGTTACACATCAGTTCAGATATTTATTTCTAAAGTACCTACTGACCTTGATTGCGTCTGGATACCATCCTTGCCATCTGAACACAAACTTTTGTCTTCTGAGGAGAAAAACAATAATTTTCTCAGAAAGGAACTGATTTGAACAAAGAGCATGGTAACTTATCAATAATTTTAAAAACTGATGAAAAAAAAAAAAGGAAACGCAAGGAATACCTTTCCCTTCCAGAGTCCGAGCCAGCTTTCCCAGACTGATGTAAGTAAAGTAACTGCATAAATACAGGGGAAGCTGAACCAATAAGTGGGCATAGAATGACACATACACATGTAAAAAAGATGTCCAGGAGAACTTTAAAGTTAAAGTTTAGCAAAATAACAAAATCTAAACAGTATTTCAAGATCTTAGAAAAAGAAAGTATGCAGTGAATTACTCAGTGAATTATTCAGATTTTACGGAACCAATCCTACAAAAAGTATGGCATTCTTAAAACATCTAATTCACTTTATATATATCATAGCAAAATTAGTATGCAAGAATATAGTAAATTGCTTCAGAGGTGGTGTAATGATCAAGGGCGGTGGGTCATACCATACATCAATGTAATTGAAATACTTTGCTACAAGCAAATCAAATAAAACGTCATCAGAGCTGATTGTTGAGTGAACCTGTCCAGCACAGAGCCATGGAAAATTATTAAAGCAATCAAGTAGGAAATAGCAAACAGATAGCCATTAGCCACCCTGATAAGCTTGGGAAATAAAAGGTTAAAGAGGAACCCAATCACAGGAGTAGCAAAGGGGAGACAGACTCCAAACTTACCAAAACATCAAGAAGTCGGTGATATATAGCAGAATGAAATTTTCCAGCATGCCCCACTTTCACGAACTCCATTATCGCGTCCAGCACAACTTCCTGTCCCATAAGAAACAACCAACATTCAGCACAACCCGGAGTTTTATCCGTTTACTAACATTCAAAACTATTAAGTAAATAACACATGTGAAAAAGTAAGTGAACAAAACAACATAAAGTCAGCTAAAGGTACCCGAAGAGCATCCTCGCACTCAGACGCGACGACAACGTTAGTGAGGCGCAGCATAAAATCGTCGAACTTGGATCGCAGCCATGTGCGATACTTAAATTCAGGATCAGGGTGAGTTTTCGGAGGTTCCGAGGAAGAGGACGCCGGGAGTTGAGGCACAAGCGGAGTAAAAAACGACTGGAGGGAGAGGAGGCACTCAAGAACGAACTGCGGAGGCGAATCGACGCTGATGAATTTGAGAAGGTGGGAGAGGTTGTTGACGTGAGCTCTAGAAGTCAGCAACTGTTGCCCAAGAATTTTCAAATCAGAAAGCTCGTCCCCCTTTTTCTGCTTCTTCTTCGCCGACGGAGCGCCCGCCATGGCAAGGGCTGCAAGGGTTTAACGAATAGGGAAGATGATTACTATTTGCGGGTGGGTATTTATAGACATGAGAAAATTGCAATTTAATCCCTATATTTAAGAAGTTTTCAATTTCAGTACTGTAGATCTTTTCTTTCATCCTGTATTTATTTTTCCCATTTCAGTTTCCATGGTGTCTTTAGGGCTTCTTCAGAGAGAAGTCAAACGATGAGTAGCTAATTCCTTCGTCTTATCCACGCGGGCAATTCGATTGCGGTGAATGCACTCAACTGGCAGCACCAGCAACAGTAGGAAAGCGATGGATGGAAGAATGGAAGGAAACCAAATTAAGAACACTTCGTACAACTGCTCTAGGTTCGATGGAGTGAGAATTGCGGAGTTAGAGAGGACGCCGCCGGAGCTGTGGTGGCGCTCTGTAGATCTTCTTCCTCGATCGATCAATTTCAATCGTGACCCCAACCAATCCCCACTTATTACCCAACCATATGTTGGTACACGCGCATGGTGGTTGGTAGGTACATATAAAAATACGTACCTTTGACTCTGTCTCCTCCGCTTAACGTTTTTCCGGGTAATAATATTTACCATGCTTCCTTCCAGCTTCTTGTTTCCCTTTCTTATTGCCTGTGGTCTTCCTTGGAAATGGAGGCGCCTTGGATTTCTGCTCTTTGATCTCTTGTGTACGCACTTCTCCTTTTTCCCCCAATTTTCTTCTTTCGCTTCATGATTGGATATATATATATGTTCTTCGAGTGTTCTTCTTTCGATTTCCTCTTGAAAAATCATGTCTGTATTTCTGGATCGGATCTGGTTTTTTTTTTTCATACGACACGTCTCATCTATTGTCGTTTGTGCAGTCCCTTTGTCCATCTATTTTGCAAGCCCTTTTCCCCTTTGCTCGTTGTAGCTGGATTTGGGATTGAAATTTTCATTAATAGCATTTATTACTGTGAAATTTCTTGTCTAATGACGACAGTTTGGAGGTAATGGTATGATTCTTGATTTCATTGATCATATTTGTTGCAGAGTTATGGCATAGTTTGCTTTGCTGCGGACAAATTATTGGATGTGTTGGGAAGGAAGGACAGTGAAGGTGTTTGATGGGCAATACATGCCGCGGATCAGTCGGAGGCAAACCTTTCCAGGGCTACGCCGAGCCCCATGAGCAATCCGGCTCGAAGCACAGGGCATCATCCACCCATTCCAGCTCAAATTCTTCTGATATATTTTCCCCCAACAGCCTGATCTCAGGTCAAGAGTTTTCGAGGGATTCGCAGCCAAACAAGGACAAGGATCAACTTTTGGCGAAGAAAGATAGCATCATGAACAGGAGCACCACTAACCAAGCTTATTTTGTGTTGGGTCATAAAACTGCTAATATCAGAGATCTTTACACACTTGGCCGGAAATTAGGGCAGGGGCAATTCGGGACGACTTACCTGTGCACAGAAATCGCCACAGGCATTGATTATGCTTGTAAATCTATTTCGAAGAGGATGTTGATTTCAAAAGAGGATGTTGAGGATGTCAGGAGGGAGATTCAGATAATGCACCATTTGGCCGGTCACAAGAATATAGTCACCATTAAGGGAGCTTACGAGGATAATCTGTATGTTCACATTGTCATGGAGCTTTGCAATGGAGGCGAATTGTTTGATCGAATTATACAGAGGGGGCACTATAGTGAGCGAAAGGCAGCAGAGCTGACTAAGATCATTGTAGGAGTTGTTGAGGCATGCCATTCACTTGGAGTTATGCATAGAGACCTTAAACCCGAGAATTTCCTTTTAGTTGATAAAGATAATGATTTCTCACTAAAAGCTATAGATTTCGGACTCTCTGTTTTCTTCAAGCCAGGTGGGAATAAAGCTGTTTTCTTTTATGGCTTTATTCTCTTGATGTGATATGCTAAATTAGTGAGCTTTGAAACGATGTACTTCTTCAGGTCAGATCTTCACGGATGTGGTTGGAAGCCCGTACTATGTGGCGCCTGAGGTTCTTTTGAAACATTATGGCCCAAAGGCTGATGTATGGACAGCAGGGGTCATTCTGTACATATTGTTGAGCGGCGTTCCTCCGTTTTGGGCAGGTAAAGTTTTTTGAGAAGTCAAGTCTATAATTCATTTGGCAGGGCAATGAACTGACCATGCGTTTCGTAACTGTTCAGAAACTCAGCAGGGAATATTTGATGCTGTTTTAAAAGGACACATTGATTTTGATTCTGACCCATGGCCGCTGATATCAGAAAGTGCCAAGGATCTCATTCGAAAGAGCTTATGTATGCAGCCTTCGGAGCGGCTAACTGCACATGAAGTACTATGTATGATGCTCTTCTTTCATTTAATTTTCTTGCCGGTTCTTTCTTTTTAATTGATAGGATATTCATGTTTCATTTTTGTGTGTCCAGTTGAGTAGTTTGGAGGTTCAGAATAGAAAGAAAGATGGGACAAAATGCAGAGGAAGGGATATAATTTTCTCCCAAATTGAGTTGAAAGTATTGTGGGGAAGAACTAAATCCATCCAAATCCCACCCTTTTACTTCCCATTTAAAACTTCCAAACTCAAGATTTCTTTCAATTCCGTATCTTCAATCAAACTAACCATTGCTTTATGGTGAAATCTTTTGATTCCAAAAACTAAAAAGTTATAATGGGAATGATATTCTCAAATAATCCATCCAAGAGATGGTTTTAGTGCAACATGGATTGCTGAATGCTTGTTCTTCTGCCCTGAAGATAGATTCCCCCAAGATATTTTTTTAGGGTTATCGACATCTAGAACTTGTGATAATCACTGTAGTGATTTTTGGGAACATCAGTTGTGTAGTGATTTATATGTGTTGATAGGTTTTCTTTGCGATGCTGTACTTAATTATCAATCCTCCTCTATATCGTAAACTATATAGGTCATCCTTGGATATGTGAAAATGGTGTGGCACCTGACAGAGCTCTCGATCCAGCTGTGCTCTCCCGTCTCAAACAATTCTCTGCAATGAATAAATTGAAGAAAATGGCTTTAAGGGTATGCAACAAGAACAAGCAGAATTTATCGGTTCTTGCTTCACATAACTTTTATTTTGTTATCAATTACAATAATGTGTAGTTTTTCATAACTTATAACGTGGCACTTCTTGTTTTTTGTCTAGTTTATAGCTGAAAGCTTGTCGGAAGAGGAGATTGCGGGCTTGAGAGAGATGTTTCAGGCCATGGATACTGACAACAGCGGAGCGATCACATTTGATGAGCTTAAAGCCGGTTTACGAAAATATGGCTCCACGTTAAAGGATACAGAAATACGCGATCTTATGGATGCGGTACAGCTACTTTTAGTTAAGGAATACGCCTGTCTGATTTCTTGTCCTAATTCTTATGACATTTGAGAGACGCTTTCTAATAGACCAGTTACCGGCGCCTGTAGTTGCTGATTGATTGTTGCTGCTGTGGTTGCAGGCTGATGTAGACAACAGTGGAACTATCGACTACGGAGAATTTATAGCAGCAACGATCCATTTGAATAAACTCGAACGCGAGGAACATCTTTTGGCGGCTTTTCATTATTTTGACAAGGATGGCAGTGGTTACATTACAGTTGATGAACTTCAACAGGCTTGTGCTGAACATGGCATGACAGATGTTTTGATTGAAGACATTATCAAAGAAGTTGATCAGGATAATGTTGGCCATAATTTTTTAAGTTGAATTTTTGCTGGATGATTAAATAGTATGCTGTTGTTAACATTCTATTTCATCTTGTTTTCCAGGATGGAAGAATCGATTATGGCGAATTCGCCGCCATGATGACGAAAGGCAATCCGGGCATTGGAAGACGAACAATGCGAAAGAGCTTGAAAATCAGCATGAGAGATGCTCCTCCGGAAGCGCTCTAGATTTCCGACTTTATGTTAACAGGTAAATACCCTAAACTCGGTTTTTTGAGCATATCTTGGAAGATTTGTGTCGAGTATTATGCCGTGTCCTGTGTATTGAATGTGTATTATAAATACAGATTATATACACTATACACTGGAGATGATGCTGTGGCTAAAAGCAAAGAAACTTCATGTATTGGCAGTGGTACGGCGATCAAAACCTGGTTCTGAGTTATTTGAGCTATGTTACAGTATAACTTGTGTATTCCAAAACTTACCTGCAATGTTGTATTGCATATAATAACAAATTCAACAGTTCGCTAGCTTAGATCAGTTATTCTTCTTCCACACTTGTCGATCTTAGAAACGGTGCATGTGATTATCTTCCTGCATCTATGGCTACCTTTTTTCATTTTCGCAATCAATTGTGTCTAAATTTCCCCGTCGGATTGCTCGTGTTTTCTTTTTAACCATCTGTAACACGATAGGAGTAGCAAGATTTCATTTGTAAGGGGCATGGATGATATTCGAGAAAGCTCTGGTAATGGAATAAATTATGGAGTACGAAATACCTGGATTGTAACCTGATCTTCTGCCATTAAAGGGGCACTATAGTTTCTGTTGCTACTGCAATCTCCTGCAACAGAAATGGAGGATTGTCACCAAATAGCAAACCATGTGGTGAAGGAAACGATAGCGAAAGAGAACGATACCTTGAGTTCTCCGGAGTTTGAGAAGGTGCATTTCGAAGTTATGGCGTGGCCGGGAGATAACAACCATCCGGCTTCGCAGCAAGTTTCCAGGTCCTCTGTCTTCTGCACCGAACACCATAGTTGCTTCGGGAGTAATACGATGCTATCGACATCTCGGACTGATTTGCGCACAGATACGCCCCGGAGTTCTTCAATCGACTATTGATGAATTCAATTTCGTTATTCTGTGTATATTGTTTGGTGTTGTGTGCAAATGCAAGACAGGAAATGCAGAATTACTAACATGATGCCGTGTATTGTCGAAGGCGGCAACAGCAGCGGCGCCCTGCCATACGACGGAAACCTGTGAGGCTTCGAGGGGCTGGGTGGCGGCAAATGCAGAGTCGCGAATGGCACATCCGCCCAACTGATCGCCGTTCCTGAATGGACCGTACCATTGCTCGACAAACACAGTGATTTGCCGCAGCTTCAGCTCGGAGTTTCCTGCCTCGAGGAGCTGAATGATTCGAACTCTCGACTCTTTGTCTTGGGGATCAATCAAACAGTGCTCCAACTCCATCAGTCGATAATCTGCCATGGAAATAGGCTGCGGAGGCCACAATGCTACATAGCAGCCTGAAGATTGGTATGCGAAGGGGAAGGATTCGCACTCAGAGGATGCATTTGTTACACACCTCTCCTGAACGGCGAATCTGGTGGCGGCGTCGGCTTCGCATCCGACAGTTGGAAGGAGCTTAATGGATTTGTAGATGAAGGAGATGAGATGGCTACCGGACTCGGTTTGGGCGAGGGTAGGACACTGCGTCTGCCAATCGAAGACTTTAACCTCCCATTCTCTGTAAGCCTCCGGAACTACATTCTCCGGCAGCTCGATAGGCTTCCCCTCCGCCGTGAAATCGGCTCCGAATCCGTCCCACTCACCGGACACATTATCCGAAAATTTCGCCCATCCTTGAGGGATGGAAACAAAGCAGTTAATCAGAAACAGTTAACTGCACGAAATCAATTTCACAATATGGAATTGAACTCTGGTGAAGGATTATCGGAGAGTTAACAAGAGGAATTCGATCAAATTACCACTGCTGCTACCACGCGTGGAAGCAGGCGTTTGGTGAACGTCCAGATCGGCGGAGGAGACGGAAGAAATTGGAGGAACGGCGGCAGGGTTAGAGCGAGAATTCTTCGGCTGCTTACCGTCGAAATACGGTAGGAGTGTATTTGAGAAGCTGCGAAGCCGATTTCCAAGGAGTTGCGGCGGTGACGGCAAGTAGGATGGCCGGAGATTGTTGACGGAGAAAACGGCCATAGTAATACAATACCTCTCCGGTGACGATGGAGTACAGAAGGAATTTAATAATTAATTAAATTTAAAATGGTGCTAAAAAAAGTTGGTGCTAAGATATAAGCACGCGCGCGGCGCGTGCGCGTGTGTGTGGTGCAGAAGACAAGGGAGAGAGGTTGGACAATATTAATTCCCACGTCGCGGCCAAACATGACATGAATAATAAATAATAATAATAATAATCATAATATTCGATTGAAGCACTGTCATCCATATGCAGCATTTGCCGACTATACCAAAACCACGTTCCATTTGTGTTGGATGTAAAAGATGTTCTACAGTTAGTTTTTCCTAATTAAAAAATAAGATTCAAACTGACATTTGAACTTTAAAGTTGAGACTTTAATAATGTTCAAATATGTTACATAGAAAATGTTACCAAGGAGATAAATTGTGAATTAGTTAATTAATAATATGTGAGTAGGTGTCCCGGACCGATTACATGAAGCCCGGCCCGGTTAAGATGATTGGTGACAGCACACCAACCAACCCGACCTTTCTCCAAGAAACACGGGGAGCACCGACACGACAGACACGTACAAAATCATCATACAGCTAACACCACCACACAGCCATGGCGGCGGCGGCGGTGACGACGATGATGATTGGAGGATGATTCATTACCACAACCAATTGCTAATTAACATACACAGAAGACAGAACAAAATACATGAATCAATAAATGAAGAAAGCATCATTAGATCAGAGAAGGTACCAAAGCAAAACAATAGCAGCAACAGCAGCATTCCATTCCGCCATATTCGTTCGTTGAAGGTATGTGCTGTGCTTATTTAGATACATACATACATACAAATCCCCCCCCCTCTCTCTCTCTCTCTCTCTCTCTATCTCTCTAACTACAAACGAATTCAAATACAATAATTGAATGAAACAATCATCATACATTTCATATACGAATGAATCACACACGCACAGATAGTAATAGTATAGTACCGTCGTCGATTAGCCAACGCCGCCACCGTTGATGCTTGAGGATCTAGAATAAATCGAGGACGCCTGGATGAATTACACAAAACACCGTCCTTGATCGTGTACCGTTGGCTAAAGAAGCATAAGCATAGTTGTAGATATATATATATATATATATATGTGGAGGAATTGAAGGAGACTGGATTGGAGGCTGCTGTATATATTTATATCATATAATCTCAGATATGTATGCATGTATGTGTGTATATATTGATAGCGATGAATCAGTAGACGAAGGAGGCGGCTGCTGGCCTTCCGTCGTCGAAGTTCTTAGCGTAGCTGACGGAATCGTAGCGGCAAGTCTGGGGAAGTCCGACATTATCGGAGTTTTTGAGCTTGCGGCGGAGTTGAGAGGTGAGCTTGAAAAAGACGTGGCGCCAGCTTCCTCTGTTGTGGCCGCCGATTGCGGCAGTTTCCTCCTCGTTCATCTCCAGATCTGCAGCAAATGTAGGCTTCCGAGACAAGATCCAGTCCCATCCCCATCCCCACCACTTCCGGATGGAATTGCCGGCGGAGGAGAAGGACTTGGAGTGGCGGAATTGGAAAGTTCCCCATTCAGATGCGGAGGAGGGTTGGATCTTGAGTGATAGAGAGGAGAGCCTTCGCCGGATTAGACCAGGACGGCCTGCCTCCTCCGTCTCGGCCTGCGCCTGCGAAAGTGGAAGCCACTGCTTGCTCTGAACCATCATCGACCTCATGATTGCTACTAGCTAGATCCTCTTCCTCTTCCTCTTCCTCCTGCTGAACACTAACTAAGCTTATGCTTATGAATGGAGTGAAAAATAGCAGATCCTCCTCTCTGTATCTCTGTCTTTTGCCTCTGAACAGAGAAGAAAGAAGAAGGAAACAGAGAGAGAGAGAGAGAGAGAGAGAGAGAGAGAGAGAGAGAGAGGGGAGAGGTGGGAATGGATGTAGATGGAGTTCACAATCACAGCTGCTTTACAGCCTGTTATATTCAGCTTAACAACTGTGCTACTCCACCGCTATTCCCTTCTCATTCTCACCTTTCCCCCGCCCACGTACTACAAGTAAATATATCCACGGTTACTTCGTAAGGTATGGCCAAAGTGTAGAGGCCAAGAGTTCAAATCTGCTTACCGTTTTATTTTTTTTTTAATATGAAAATTCACAGCTACTACATAATTTTGATTTTTTTTTATAATATAATATTGTCACAGTAATATGAGGCAAGGATCACAAGTTCACTCTCCATCCTACCTAATTTTGATTTATTTTTTATAATATGATATTGTCACAACAATGCGTGGCAAGAATCACAAGTTCACTCTCCATCCTACCGTGATTTTGATTTTGAAGAGTACTAAAGTTCGGAAAAATTAGAAACACACATAAAAATCAACAAAACACACATAAAACATTTATTCCCCTACCATATTCACAATTCTTTATCATCTTACAGTAAAAAAGTATAAAACCAACACATTCGTGGACGACGACTTCTGCCTATTATATTCTTTTTTTAATTTTCGTTCTTATATTTGCAGTATATTTTTGTTGTTTTTTCACAATTCAATAATATACTATCATAGATACGTCCAATTAAACACAACCACCTATGTAACAAGTGGTGCAGATGGTCCACCGTATGATTACCCTCATCAATATTATTATTATTAGGAATTGGGGGGTATAATTTAGATGGTTTTAGCTGTATGATGGTCCAATGCAAGTCACACAAGTTATTTTTAGTTTAAAAGGATAATCCAATTGTGTACCATGTGAATTGCCAGCAGCACCATCAATATATATATATATATATATATATATATGACGAGAGCTCCGTGTGAATGTATTTAACTCCGTCTGGCCGACAGTCTACACCACACTCCTCTCCGCTGCCGACACCATACATGTCTCATGTCCATTCAGACAAGGAAGACGACGACAACCGAGTTTCGCTCGTCTGGAAAGAACAGTGCACTGCACAGACAAGAGAATACAAATTAATCATAACCTCAATAACTAATAAATAACAAAAAAAAATACTCTCACCCAAACTTACACCCGGTGTTCCACAAATTCGATTCGATTTCCCGGCTTATAGGAATCCAAAGACACCCAGTAGCCACGAAGAAATAAAAGGTGTATAGTCTACATTACAAAAAAACCTCATTTCACTATAATCGATCCTACACATGACCGGAATATGTTGCTCAAAACAACTTGAACTTCCAGGGAACTATGCTCACTTCTAACGAGATCCACAAATAGTGGAAATAACTGCGAAAGATACTGCCTGAAAAAAGCTCGGTCTTGACTGCCCAAAATCTGCATCACCAAGAGAACTGAAGGGGTGCGAGCAGCCAATTCCTCCTTCTTGGCTGACCCCAATGGAAGAAAACAGTGTGTTGAAGGCTTGTTAATGACTTCCGGGAAGGCATTTCCGGGTCTGCTACAATCAAGGTATATTTGCAACACTTTCTTGCATACAGATACAAGCTCTGCTTCGACATTTCTCTCCTCTGACAAAGATGAATTCTTGGTGAGTATCTCATGCAAAAAATTTAAGTAGCTTTTGCACGACTCATTTTCAAAATGAACCAGGGGAGGATGGGAGATCTCCATGATAGAGCATATCTTCTCTAACTTATGCATCAACATAATTTGACCGTTCAACTCGTGCGAATGAGAAGAAACTGCTGAATAAATTTCGAGAAGGATGGTGGTAATGCCTACGGAGGACAGCTGATGCATCTTGTAAAGATCTGTTACAACCTGTGAGCAACAAGGTTGGAATAAGATTAAATACTTTCTAACCCACCGATATAAAGCTGCAGGAAAATAATATAGTAGCGAACTTGCTCACGCTCAAAAAAGCTAGATCTGAAGCAACTGTAAAACCGTACTGTAAAGCATACCACAGCTTGGGAAATATTGCCAAATCACATCTTTCTTCACAAGACACACAACAAATTCAAGACATGGAAACAAAGAAAGTAAAGATGATAGAAAGTATGGGCAATGTGCTAATAGGAGGTGATCCTCAAGGGCAGTGCCATAGGAATTTCCCATGGCAACTTATGATTTTGAAAGGATGCACACACCAAAGCATTTGAGACAGAGAGTTTCTGTACGGTAAACAGTCAAACTGGCTTGGTACATGTCCAAGGAATTCTAAAAGAGAAAACAAGAAAGAAGACGAAATCTATATATGTGGAAGAAAAATTGCCTCCATAGTTTTTCTCAATCTTCCAATGATTTTGCAATCTTTTTCATCTAGTCTAATTATCTATCCATATAACAGATATTGCAACATTGTCTTTTTGTGAGAAGATATAACTGTATAATAGAAGAACTAAAACCGAACTCCAAGTAAACATAGACAGAAAAATCATATTCACATTAAACAATTTTCACAATCTTATGCCAACTAGTTTTTTTTTTTTTTTTTTTCTTTTTACTTTTCTATGAAATTCTAAACACTTCTATGCATAATGTCAAACAATAGAAGAGGGTGCCTACAGCTTTAACTTCAGAAACATGGGTTATCAAAGCATGTATTATGTGATTGGAAATGCACATATGACAAGGTAACGGTATGCATGTGCAACATGGGAATAGAGAAAAGAAGTTGCACCTGTATAATGAGTAACTGTGCAGCAATTTGGACTTTCATTCTTGAAATTATATACCCCACAGCTTGCAAGTGATCATCATCCAAGCCATAATTAGTTACTCCATCGCCAGAAGAATATTCTATTTCATTACTGGGTAATGCAATATCAGGGACTTCAATGCTGTCAATGGTTTTCAGAAGATTGATAAAACCAGGCCATGTAGAATCTACAGCCACTTTCAAACAATGAAAGATATCTTGCCATTCTTCTTCCAAAAGTTTGCTTCTCAAATCAGCTGCTAAACGCATCAAAGCAGCCACACCTGCAGTTGAGGGACCTTGACTTGGACTCCTCATGAACCCCACAAATATGGATACTACTCCATGTAGTTGAGGCCTTACTAAATCAAAGAAATGAACAAACAAATCAACCAGACATTCTGCAGCCACTATAGAAGTTCCAGAGTCCCATATGCTTGCATCATGTGAGGGTCCAAACGTTGGTGAATAATCCTCCTTATGAGGCTCTTTACCATCTAGACTGAAACGGAATATAGGAAATATTGCATAATTGAATACACTGGCCCAGAATGGCTGTGAAAAAAGATGGCCATGGTCTTTCAAAATATTGAAGAGAACTTCAAGAGCACTCTTTCTGATTGCTGGCCTAGGATCTGATGTCAAGTTTGATAACCCTGAAACCGATTTGAAATAATACTCTACTTTAGAGGTGGTACTAAGGAATAAACTAGTTTGCCACCAAAGGAAACTATAATTATGAGTCGAAGGTAGCATGGTTGAGGTAAATAGGCAAAGAACAATTTAAGAGTGCCTGTAAGAACAAAGGGAAGAAAAAGGAGAGATGATAATTTCTAGTTCCATTAGTCAAAACTTCTCAACTAATTGAATACCTGAAAGCAAAGGCGCCCAGAAATATGAATGGTCGTCCCTATCTAAGCATGCTTCACCATCCAGAGCATTGTCCTTCACCATGGGATCATCCCCCATTCTTTTATCATTGCAAACAAGTCCACCATCTGCAAGTTTGAAAGCACAAAACCGAAGAAAGGCAATAGCATTGAGGCTAACGTCGCTGTTGAATCTACTACTTGTGAAGGTGATTAAACACTTGACACAATCAGTAAAAGTCAATGCTTCCGTTTCAGTTATGTATGGGAAATATTCCCGCACAATTTTCTCCATTGTTTCAAAGGCAAGCAACACTATGCTCTTTCTTTCGTCGGCTGCAGCTGCAGTGAAAACCTGCAAACCAAAAATACTTCAATTGGAAGCAAATTTGCGACTTGGGCAATACTTTACTTGAGCATGTATCAGAAATTCAATTTGAAAAGCAAGCAACAGCCTAGAGAGGTAAATTTGAAAATTCAGGTGACTTTCTTATGAAAATATAAGTATATCCGTTTACAATATAAATATATATTATATGAACAAATAATTTTTTGCAAGAATAATATATCTGTGGTTTCTGATGATATTAAGTACCAAATCGAAGAACAAATTTAGAAGAAAAAGATAAAGAAATGATCAACTGAAAAAATGCAAATGAATATAATATATTAAATCCCAAAACACCAACTCAAGCAAGTTTTAGTCGGGACAGTCCAGAAAGGCTTAAGGCTCACTTGAAGAAGACTAACTAATATACAATGAAGACACTGCCCCTATAGGAAATGTACTATCAATCTATCATACAAGATGCTATTTAAGACTGGATGGTTTTCTCATCCATGATTGGACATTTCTTGGTGATGCTAGCTAAATAAAGTGAGTAGAAGTATAAAGTTTTACTCAGACATCAACATTAAGATGGCAGTACTATTAGTGGAAAAGTTATGGAAGAGCAGTAAAAATGTTTTGAAGTAAGGCAATATATCTTTCTTTTAGACATCCTCTTGTTTTCCACTATTTCACTGTCAGTTATATCAAGCCTTTTTCTTCTTTTTGCTTCCCTGCATCAAATTCCTCTGTATTCTGGTCCTATTCATTTCTAGACTCTCTGAATCCTCAATCAGGCAAACCTCAGAATGCACGCATAATCCCTCAGAGTGTATACCTTGCATCATGATCACTTGAGATTACAATCCATATCCACGCATTGGGCTCTTTCCCGAGTCTTAAGACTAACAAGGATATTTTGGCACAAATATTCAAGGGACTTAAAGTTTGATAGTATGGTTTGAGTTGAGCAAAAGTTAATACACAAGGCCTCAAGACATCCATCTCCCATAGTGAATTCAACTGAAAAAATCACAATCCTTGCAGGCATATTCTATCTTAGTCGCTGTCCCTATGCATATTTTGGCCTCAGGCAACATGGATTGGGGATGCAAGAGAAAGCAATTACACACCATGTTTTTATTAGTTTGCCAAATATGTTTGCTAATCAGGAACTAGAGATGTTAATCCACAATTCCAGGTGCACAGCTTGTTGGATGAATCAGGTAATTTCATTGGATAAACTAAGTGTAAGTGGGTAGAAAACCATATCAAGAATGGAATATAAGAGGAATAATTACCATGAAAACACTCTTCCATCCAGATTTTATATTACTGACGCGGCTAAGGACCATCTGCGATATACAACGTACAATTAGCTCTCTGATCTCGGCAGAACAGCTTTTCTGCATAACAACCGCAAAAGGTCTCAAAAATTCATTTTGAAAATTATAGTTTGCCAGCTCTTCTCGCTCTAAGAACTTCATAGCAAGCTGCCGCAGTGAGTCCATCACAAATATTGCAACAGAGAGATTCTCAGATAAACCAACTGCAACAAAAAATTCTGAAAGGACACTCCATATTCGAGACCACACCAGTCTTATGCGATTCATGTTGTAGTGCCTGAAAAACACAATAGAGTGATTATATTCAAATCCAAGTATTCTAGCACTAAATTATCGGTGAAGAATTAAATCAAACTCAGGAAAGAATCTTACGCAACTTCCACGATTTTTGTAAGGCTAAAAACGCGTGGATCAGTTGGAGACTGCAATTCTAGCATGGAGACTTTGCAAAGCGCCTTTACAAAAGCCACTATTGCCTCACTGTTTAGCCTTTGGCTATGGGCAAAAATATGGTTCAATTCAAAATTCCCAATCTGATCAAGCAAATATAAGTTTGAAATAAAGTTATTAATCTGCTCTGGTGTAACAAGACCAGGTGCATTGACTCCAACTGATGTGCTATCATAAGAGCCTCCTCGAACAACTGCCATAACAGCTGGATTCTGGAGTGTTCCCTTTTTCTTGTAAGATGGATAATTTGCAGGTGTGGTTGCCTTCTCCTCAGAATCAGAATTAGATGTGCTAAGAAAGGATGCATCAGGGGGTGCTCCCTCCCCAAGGAGCTGTAAATGTTCAAATCGAGATAAGCATGTCAAAATATGTTCCCATGCTTCTTGAAGGTAATTCCCATCTTCAATAGCAACTGAAATGATGGCCTGCCAAAAAAAAAAAGTTAAAATCCCCAATGACTTCAGCAACATGGGAATTTTATATACAATTCAAAATAAATTGATAAAAACTGATTGAGCTTAAACATTTGTCAATATACAGGGGAAACCGTTCATCCTGAATCCTGATGCAGATTATGTCACTCTGATTGTTATTTGAGCATAGATGTGCTTGTGTCAATGTTTCAAACAATGAGAAAGAACTGACGATGGCACATAAAAATACCTTAACAGCATCTACATTTTTTTGCTTCATGTCAGCAGCACAATGGAGGTATGTAAACTTGGCCATAGTAGTTACAAAAGCATCTCTCTGGGTCTGCATACCCATCACAGCAGTAATATGTACAGCATGTCGAAATCCCTGTAAGCACTGAGAAGTAGCATCCCTGTCATCACTCTGATCCAATGTTACGCTAAATGCAGCAAGCATTGGACCCCAGCAAACTTCAACCATGAATCTTAATATTGCAGGATCTGCTATAGCATAATAAACAGTCCTGTGGTGGGAAAAAACAAAAGAATTGAAAACAAGCACATATGCTTTAGCAAAACCAAGAAGCAATCATAAACAGATATTACAATATTATAGACAAAGGATCCTCGATGATTATATGCATCAAACAACCTCTTTCTACTGATTGAGATAAATGAAAATATTTTAACAAACAGGGTAAAAGACACTAATAACAGCAAAATCATAGTAAATTAAGAAAGATGGAGGAGCTTGGTCTTACTCTGATTTGGAAGACTTTGCTTTAAACTGCTCTTGGATATTCCTTATCAGATATCCATTTGTCCCTAACGGTTTTTCTTCTGTCTGCTTCCAAACCAGATTGAGTATGCCATCCAAACCCAACAATTTATTCAGGCTGTTTCCTTGTTTGCTTTGGGGAACACATGACTCATCTCTCATTTTAATCTCATTTTTCACAATATGATCATACAATGCACCCAAATAATCTTCAGGTAGATCCTTCCCATCATCAATACCTCGGTTATTCCGGATGAAATCGGACTTGGTCATCTTAAGAATCAAACCCAACATCAGTATAAGTCAGAAATTACCAAGTACAACTAAATCATTAATATGCATAAACATCAAGAATAAAGTAGTTGATCTCACGCAAACAAAGAAGTGGAATCAGCAACACTATGATAACAAGGATGTCAATATCATTCATAAGTTTCTTAGCCAATCACAATAATTTTGTTATCATTACTTTTTACACCATATTCCACTCAGCAACACTTAATCAAATTATCACTTTTGATAAAAACAGAATTGCAACATCTAATAAGGATTTCAAAGAGAGAGAGAGAGAAAGAAGAGGAAGGAAAAGGTGGACATAAAATCGAGGACAGGCTTAATAGAACGTACATATCAACAAGTAAAGCACTGGAAACACACCTTTTCCTTAACCATGCTATTATGGGCATCAGTGTTCAGCATGATCACCGAATAAGCAAGGACATAAGCTGTATCTGCACTGGTGAATGAGCTTGGGTTACATTTACAATAGCGTTCAGCAAATTTTTCCATGATACGGTCAATTTTTTGGGCTTCTCCTGGTAACCTGAAACCTCTTAAAAAGAATCTGATTGCTTCACCAAATCCCATTTTCTCAAAGTTGAAAGAATCCACATATGCATGCATAACCTTCATAGGAAATTCATCTCTTTCACCAAAATAATCACCAATCATACTCTCATTCAGGCCAGAAGTATTTTTGAGAAAGTAGGCCACTTCTTCAGGGGAGCTGCCAACTTTGTTGGTGCTTATTAAGAACTCAATTCCTTTGGATGGTTTTCGATTAAACAACTGAACACCTTTCTGCACGTAATTCCAAGACATAATTAATATGACATCCTAAATTATTTGAAAGTTTCCATATCATGATATTCTAGGAAATACAAAATTAGTCTCTAGATTCATTATTATTTTTATTACACTCATCACATGACCGATGTTTATTATAGTCATCACACAGACAATATTCACTTGTTGACTAGCCAACCTAAAATCAAACCATGGTTCAATGAAATTCCAACGAATACATGTTATTTGCTCACTATTATTTATAAGAGAACCTGAATTTCCAATTTATAAGCTCGGCGCTGCTCCAGCGTTGCAGCTTCAGAAACAGAATTCGCATCTGAGTGTAGCTCATGATCTGCACTGTTCAGATCATCAACGGCATAAGTTGGATTCTCCATAGAGTTATCATTATCATCAAGTGCTGGTTGATTTAAGTCTCCAGGTTTCAGCTGCTGGTCCATCCATGATCCCATAGACTTAATAATTCTGACTAGACACTTCACTGATTCATATCGAAATGTCATATCTTGGGCGGGAGACAAAGAGGATACAGAACCAGGTGGTGGACCAAGTGCTGTTTTCAGAAGACCATTGACAGTCCTGAAAATATCCAAAGGATTAAATAGGTTTAAATACAACTTATAAAACAATGCAAGAGTCCATTGACGGTGCTGTAAAATATTTAAAGGAACTAGAGAAGCATGAGCACAATCTTTTAGGAACAAAAACGGTATAACTATAGGTACTAAGATAAGCTGTTACGTAAAGGCAATAAAAATCAAAAGTATGTGCCAGTAGATATTCCGAAACTTGTTGCATCATGCAAATACATTAGTAGATTATTGCTGATCCAGTAACTTTCATTCATCTCATAATAACATATGTTAGTAACTAGTAAGTAGTAACATCTAATAATATTGATTGCTCCAAATAGATCAGCAGCACCTCTGAACAAGACCAATTGAACTTAACCACACAAACTCATGGTATCAAAATTTGCTAACCGGGATAATAACAGCAAAATAAAATGTGGATCATGCAAAATACAAAATTAAAACAAATAATTTCCTGTAAACACCTTGCGAAGAATTACCTCACTAAGTTTTTCCTAATCTTTGCAACTAAAGCAAGAGACAACAATGTAGGACCTCTAAGAAGACAATATATTTAACAAAATCATATTCAGATTTGATAATCTGGTCACAGCAAACTTCAAGTGGCGAGACAGTTATTAAATGGGCAATCAAGATCTGTGTTTCCTAAGATATAGTTCCAGAAAAATAAGTAAATTGTTAAGAGTATTAATATGGCATACATAGAAAGAAATCTCATTTTATGACTAGAACCTTTAACCTAAAGCTAATCTGAGTCAATTTGAGTTTAGTTTGCCCTTTGATTTTTATAGCTGCAGGCTGCTAGGTGAATGATGCATATAAATCATGAAGTACGAACTCATGATAATGCAAAATTTATCTTCATGGAGAAAATCTCTCCATCGAGAAGGTTTTCTCATCATAATATCATGTAATTCCTCAAAAACATTAGGGATATATGGATATAAAGTTCAGTGGCCCGGTAGAGAATTATCTGCCTGAATAATAGTAGAAAGCAAATGAAGGATAACTGGTGCAGCATTAGAATCACTATACAAGTGAGAATCTATTGAAATACTGTCAATTAATCATGGAAAATAGTAATAATAATAAATAAACCTTCAGCAAAAAGAGTACACACAAACCTTATTTCTTTACCTTTCAAATATGTTCGGAGCCTCCACATCACAGTCATAGTTCACAAAAATATCAATAATGATATGAGAGTCCTGAGAAATTTTCTCCAGTAAGCTCAAAACAGTCATCTTCTGTAAGAAACTAGGTTGAAGTACATTCTCCAGCACACGAAGAATAAGCATAGGGAAAAAAATTCCAATTTCCGATTTCAGTCCTGACCTAAACTTTGATATCAAATTCCCAAATATTGAACAAAGGAGTTGAAAAATAGTCATCACAGACAACGCACTGTTCTTCAACAAGGACAAGCATAGGTATTGCTTGACCAAATTTAGAAACCTGATAAGAGAATAATATATTAGCTATCAAGTATCAAACTCCTTATAAACTTACATAAAAAAATACAGAAATGCACAAAAGAGCAACAATAATGACACTTCAAAAGCATTTTTCACTATTCACTTGTTCCACAACACTAGTTTTCACCAATGCTAAAAGCAGAATAAACTGCAAAGAAGATTATGGCCATCGAACTGCATCTATCTTCCTTAAGCATGGAACACTAAAAAGTATGTCTGGCCAACTCCATATACTCGTGTATAACTAACATTTTGGCATGAGCATATACTATGATACTGTATAACCCAGCTAAATTGTCTCAAACACAATCAATTAACCTTCATAAACAAACATTTCACCCTTTTTCCAGGTGTGCTGATCAGTTGATCTTACTTAATATAGGAGTGTGTTTCTTCTGTCTGATGTTATAATCCCAAATGATTATTTAGGTGATAGCCGCCGCCGGTTTGACTTTTATCAAAGAATTTAGTTAAATTGTGGCAAGACTCATTTAAGCATGACCCTAATCACTCATACTAAAAAAGCCCTTTCCATTTCAAGATTTCTACAGTCGCTTCTAGGAAGCAGCTAATCTGCATGTAGGTATTTCAATTTCTAATAATAACAGCAACAATGAAAAAATAAATAAATAATTTTCCCCAACTGAGCACTTGCCTTTCATTGGTGAGCCAGATTGGACCTGCATTGTTCATGATAGCATTCAAAAGCTCCAAGGATAGAATTTTCCCCCTGGAAAGGATCTGGTCATCCGGATTTTCTAGTGAAGAAAATTTCATCGATAACTTGCATAAATTCTTGAAGAGCACAAAACCGTCCTCCCTAATCTTACTGCAGCCACTCGAATCAGTTGAGTCATCAGCAGATTTGACACATACTTCATCATCATTTTGTTGGGAAGGTTTGTAACTACTTCTCAGGTCCATGGGACAATCCTTTGCCTCAACAACTTCTTGGATGAAGCTTTGAGCGAACTGTATAGAACTTCCTTCATTAATATTCCTATCAACAAACTCCAGCAACTCAGAAACAGAAACATTCTTGAATTCAACAAACATGGAATTTTCCTCCACTCTGGTGAAAACAATCACCATCATCTGCGCAAGAACAGACTTAGCACATATCTGATTGGTACCACTGCGGCCACCCAGGTATACATTGTAACAGGACTTGACTATATATATAAGGCAATCACCCCGAATGTAGATGCAAGGAGACCGAACAGCAGCCAGCAGGACCTTGAGCACGGCAAGTTCAACTGCTTCCTCACGAAGGTCAGCACATTTGCAGACCGAGTCAATCAAGCGGTAAATAACAGAGGAACTGTCCTTAATTTCACAGCCACGGATGAGGCCGAAGGAGAAGAGTCGGAAGGCACAATCTAGGGCAGGCTCGAGAACTTTAGGAGAGCCAGATTCAAGAGCCAGGATGATAGGTTGAAGCAGGAACTCGGCGTCGGAAATAGATAGGCCATACAGTGGGGAACAGGAGGCGGGATCGGAAGCATCATCGGACAATGAAACGAGCTTGTCCAGAGCAGATTTACAGGCGGACACGAGATGAGAATGTTTCCTCCAGGCTACATTCTTGATCACCTTGTCCAGTGAAGGACCCAGCACCCATCCGCAGCGGGATCCTCCGCCTAGGGTTTGCAACGCCGACATAACCTAGCTGCTACCGCCAACCTCCCCAAAGACGAATGGTCAATTTGGACAAAATTCACCGGCTGAATTAAGCAAGAAGACAATTAAAAGTTGATGAGACTAATTTGGGTCGGAGAAAGTCATCGGCGCCCATCAACGCGTATGTGAGGGCATGCCATCCCGACCGACACATGCGATGACGATGACCATGACCATGACCAGCAGTTGCAGACTTGCAGTTGGTGGTGGTTTAACTTTTAAGCAACGTCGTTGGCACGAACTGTCGTTTTTTTTAACTTGGCATTTTGGGGACGAACCATTTTGCTTTGTAATTTTATTTTTGTATTTTGTTAGGAGTGTTTATTTTTATACAAACATTACTATTTTTATATTTTACAGTATTAAAATTCAATATAATATTAGTATTTAAAAAATTATATGAAAAAAATAAAAAAATAATTTTTCTACAGGCTGAGAAAGTATTATGTAGGTTTTTTTTAATATTTTATATTTTAATTATTTTTTAAATTTTTTAAATTTATAAGTTTTAAAATTTTTATTAAATTAATTAATTATTTTAATTTTAATTTATAATTATTTATATTATATTATAATTAATTTTATTAATATTTTACTCGTGTGTCTTAAAACGATTGAGACATTTAAATTTCACATTGAAATTTAAAATTATTAATATTAAATGTAAAAATATTTGTAACATACATAAATGATTACTTTAGTAATTAATTATTGTTAAAAAATAAAAATAATTTTGTAAAAATAGCAATTACGTCATGCGTTTGTCACTGTTACAAATCTACTCTCCAGACCGGCCATTCCATACGAGAGTTGTTTTAGGACGTGTAACTTTGGTGTTTGAGTTAAGATTTGAATTGTAAAAATTTTGAATTTGAATAATTGTATAATGTGATATAAATAGGTGTTCATGTGATATTTTGAATGTAAAATTAATTTTTAGTATAATATAAAAAATAAATATTTAATTTAATATTTAAAAAAAAAAAAGATAAATAGTATAGATCCAATCTAATTCCCCAAACAAACACGCGCTAATTGAATTATAGTTTGTTATTTTAAAGATTGAATTTTATATTTAAGAGTTAAATAATAAATTTTTTTTTTAATTTGAATAATTGAAATAAATGTTTTGAAAAAGAAAATGGATGAATAATAAAATTTTCAAATACACAAGCAATCACTAAAAATAAACCCTAATCCCACGCCGCCGCCGCTCCCCCAATTTCTTCATCTCTACGTTGCGCCGCCGCTTTGTATCGAAGACGAAGTCCGCCGCCGTCCGCTGGAACATCGGTGAGTTTGTTTTCTTTTCTTCCCCATTTTTTCCGTCTGATTCTTTCTCTGGTCTAGTAATTCCACCGTATATCATGGAAATCGAGTTTATTTTAGCATTTTTGTTACCTCTTTTCTCATTTATTTATTATTATATTAATATTATTTTGCAGCTTCTTCCGCCGGTTGTTGCCGCCGCCGTCATTCCATTGTTCTTTCGCTTCTTCGGTATTTTAGTGGCGAAAAAATAAAATAAAATTGAAAAATGATTTGTGGCAGTGTAAGTGGGACCTACCGGTAGGGTAGGTTTTTGTAGGTTTTGTAGGTTGGGGTTTTGAATAGTAAACGCACAGTAAACCCTTTGATGCGGGAATAAACCGCAGACGGTCAGGGTTTAGCAATTTCCAGCCGAACTCATGGCGGCTGATCCTGATTCAACGCCGGAATATGCATCTGGTAGAACTTCCCCAGGCGTCGAAGGGCAGGGACTAACGTTGTCAGAATGCGAGAAAATGATCCAGAGAAGTTTAAGAAGTAGATTCTTATAATCATTGCTTCGCATTTTATATTCGGTGTTTACAATTTTCTATATTGCAGCTCCCATGGTAAGATTTCTTAGAGAGAATATCGAAAAATCTGGATGCAGTGTGGGAAGCAATTTTATTAAGGCCGTTGATTGCGGAACTGCTGGAGCAGCAGGTGGTTATGTCCGCGGTGAAGGGGTACTTCAATTATAATCCCATAGAACTGTGGCAATATATTCAATTTTAGTAATAAAAATCCATGCGTTGATTGCAAAGGATCTTTTGCATTGTTTGACTTTGTGAGTGATCTTGTGAATGCGTAAGTGTTTTTTCCTGTTTTGGGCTCCATTGATGATTTTCTGGACACCTTCTATTGTTGTGTGTATAAGTACAGTGCTTGACATATTTTGAGTTTTGTTTTGAAAATATTTGTCAAATGTGAATTTCCAGTCTGGATTATCTTCTTAGCTGCATGAGTTAATTCCTCAGATTAATCTGAGCTGCATCTTTTTATTTGAATTTTTTTTTTTTTTTTTTCCGGTTTATTGGTTTTGTAATGAAAAGTGTAAGGTTTTGTCACCTATGCTTTGCAATCCAGATAACCGTATGCTACAATAATGTGCAATTCCAAGATGAGGTGACTCAGACTATAACTCATGAGCTAGTTCATGCTTATGATGAATGCCGTGCTGCTAATTTGGACTGGAACAATTGTGCTCATCATGCCTGCAGTGAAGTATAGTCTTGTTAAACCTTGTGGTTTTATGTTTGTTTCTGTTTGGAGAAGGGTCTCAGAGAATTCATAATGTGTTTCTTCATCATGGATTTATGGTATTTTCCTGATTCTACTGTTTTAATGATCAGATTCGAGCTAATCATGTCAGTGGTGATTGCCATTATAAAAGGGAGTTACTACGTGGCTTTTTTAAGATAGGGGGTCATGAGCAGGTAATCTTTATATTATGTGAGACTTATTGTTTCACCACAATCAGTTAAATGATATGCTTTTTTATATTTTGCTTTTGGAAATTGGAAACACACTAATTTGTGAACTAGTCCACCTTAGCTAAACACGCTCTTGCAACATATCGTTGTGACACAATTTTATCCTGTACTTTAGGCAATTGTAAAAGAACGAATATAGTCAAAATGAAGTATAAAAACAAAGGATAAATATTCATGAAAATCTATACCAGTTCACATTGATCAATCAGAATCCTTGGGTCTGCTTCTTTACATGTTCACTTCTAATTATTATTAACTTGAAGGTAAATATACACTTCTTATTCTAGCTCCCTCCTATTTGTTGAGTATTTGATTGCTATTGAAGTTGTGTTTGTGTTGTTAGATTGAATAGAAGAAGTTGACATTTTATCTGTCACTGAATTATTACTTAAATATCTTCTTGTTCTTCAGATATTATATGGTATTTATTTTTCTACTTTTGGTTTTTGTACAATTTTCATTTATTGAGTCTTGGTTCATTAGTTAGAATACACACACACATTGAAGTTTCCTAGGACAAGAATGCTTGTATGCAACTTCTACGTGCACATGAACAAGAATAATAGAAAGTGAATTTTTTCTGACTAATTCTGCATGTTGTACTTCCTTTGAATATAATTTAGATTTATGATTATGATTGAACAGAGTATGTAGCTGTTTTGTTGGTGTAGTGGCACCTCATGACATTGTCATATCATGTGTTCAAGATGGGGCATGGAACAAACTGGATCAAAGTAGTAGGCATTAACATAATCCTACTCTTATTAAATAATATAATAAAAATCATCTATGTAGACCACCATAAACTAGGATTGCACCCTCCGGGGGAGCTAAGACATCATTGTTCTGGTTCAAATTACTTAGGTATTTAGAGGTTAATACTTTATATTTTCCAATCCTTATACCTTATTTTGTAAATTTTCTTAATCAGGCTATATCATGTATAGGTTCATGTCTCCCATGCAATAAAGTGTTCCCACAATTTTCAAATTGTTCTGTTGATTTTTCTCAACCTTTAGTTCATTTTCACATCTATTAGTGTTTCTACCTCTCTTAGTATCAATGCGGGGCAGATAGCAGAAAAGGTTAAATAACATATATTTATAAGGAATTATCAACTGTATTTACGGACTCCTTTAATTTCATATCAGCTTGTCTGCGATAAATCACATCTTCTACTTGTTTGAGTTGAAACTTAATATTGTCTGCATAATCTGATGCAAAAGGAATGCCTGAGGCGAAGAGTTTTGAAGTCCCTCTCTGTAAACCCAAACTGCTCTGAGACAGCAGCAAAAGATGCCATGGAAGCCGTTTGGGATACATGTTACAATGATACGAGCCCGTTTGACAGAGCTCCGTGAGGTCACAGGATCTACCAATGATGGCCTACTTTTTTGTTCCGGGTATTTGCATTTCTACTCAACATTCTGGGGAGGAACGTTTTCATTATTTATACCCGATTCATATTTTTTGAGTCAATGTGCATGCTATTGCACAGATCCAGAAATAAGCTAAACTAAACCCGGATAAAAGCGCAATGATTTTTTTCAGATCCATCTGCCATTTCTGTCTTATATCAGATTTACTTTGTATGCAATGATTTTAATACATTTGTTTAATGTTTAGTAAGCTGCATCTTATTTTGGGCATGTTATTTTTTGTTTGTTTTTGTATTTAAATAGTAATGTGATGTGATATTTTGTGAGGAGAAAATCGTGTATTTTATAGGAATCGTGCCGGTTGCAAAGATACTGAACAAGATCTCAAAGAGATAAGTTGAAATTTCAGTAACAGGATACCTAGAACAGTCCTATAGGATATATATATAATTTCAACAAATTAGAAAGCTATTTCGAAGGCTCATGTGTATCTCGAACTTGAATAATTGTTTCCTTGATGAATAGTTTGAAGAGAACGTGTACTTACATGATATGATGGAATTCAATATGCAACATTTGTTGATGATTTAACATTTCAATGCATCTCAATTAAGAGTTTTGGAAGCTGTACGAAAACCATAGAGAAGAATTAAGGATCATTATATTGTGGATATAGCACTCCCTATTTGCTACCATGATACATTTACATCATGTAATTATGTTACATAGAAGTTACATTGCAAGTTCCAGCCCAGTGCAGCACATCCATACATTTTTTGACTTACAAATGAGACACATTGATAGTTCTAGATTTATACAATTATTTGGTTTACATTATCCACTTTTAGGTAATTTGTAATTTTGTTTTCACTATATTTATGTGTGTATAAGCTAATGTTGTTATTTGAGTAAGTGGCATGATTCTAAACAAGAATTTGTTGGATTTTGTAGGAAAAAGTGCCAATTTTCGACTTAGACTGTGTTTTAGTTTTAGATTTTGTTTGATAATATGATTGGATGTAGTATATCTTTGGTGTAATCAAAGTAATCACATATTCACATGTGATATTTAGGTAAGTAGTTAAATTGTTTAGGTATTGTAATATATGATCTCACTCTTCTTTTCACGTGCAAATCAATGCCAAAAACACTTTGTTTCGAGAAATGCAATCGGTTTAAAAATGCTATGTAATTTATATTAATCTATTAAATCAATGAACTGGTTAGAAAAATGACATCCCATCCAACTGAGTTGTAAGGAACATATTAACTATCGATTCTTTATCCACTAAGTTTTACTTAAAAAAAAAAAAAAAAACCAACAATAATGAAAAATGTAAAGAGTTGAACTCTATTCTGCCTTGCTAGATAATTAAATTAAGTTAAGATTTGAACACGAGACACTTGATTTAATTTGATTCCAAAAATAGCTCTAGTTGGGCATGTATCAGCTGATGCATGAAAGGCTGGCTCGACCGCGATATTAAATAGTAATATTAAATAGTAGAAGGTAGGAATTGAACCCATAATCAAACAAACCAAATAAGTCATATTTCAATTTTTGTCTATTTTAAACATATATATATTTATTAAAATTTAAATATTAATTTTAAAAATTGGACCCGGTCAGGCACGACCCGATTTATTAGCGTGTCGGACTAGATACTAATTTGGTCGGATCAACTCATCTTTGGCAACGGCTATAATTAGTACAAATTAATTTAATGTGAATGCATAATTATAACGACGAGTATGTCGAATACTATAATTAATAGAATAGATGCATGTATTTATATATGCATATACTAAGGGTGTGTTTGTTTGGGGGTTTGGATTTTGAGTTGGGATTTGAATAATAAAAATTTTGAATTTGAATAGTTGTATGATGTGATATAAATAGGTGTTGATGCGATGTTTTGAATGTAAAATTGATTAGGTGTTTGATTTGATGTTTTTGGGGAAAAAAAATTGGATGAATATTAGAAATCTTATTAAATCCCCCAAACAAACACACCTAAATATAAATTAATTTAATGTGAATGCGCAATTATAGTATACATAAATATTGTTTGAATACATTGTGAGCGTGAGCCCGTCCATCACGCCGACATTCATTCATCGCTTAAATTATCATAATGGAAGATGTATACACACCCACCCACCCACAAACTGCCACTCCAAACCCAAAACCCTATTAATTAATTATTTTAATTTATCTACTCTCTCTCTCTAATCACCATTACTGTCTCCATTCCCACTTCCTTAAATCTCTCTGTCGTCCTCAATCATCATATTTCTTAACGGGCGGATGGGCACGATCATGGATGGGACACCATTCTTGCTCACCTTTCAACCAACTAACTCTTCTTCATCATTAAAAATTAAAATCAATCAATCAATTAACGAAAATGAAATGGAATCCCAACTAACCAGACACTGGTCCAGTTCAGTTCAGTTCAGTTCTGCAGTTTTGCACAAACGCTTCGTGACAGAGTTATTACATCCACAACTAATTTTCTTTCATTTATGAACGATCGAAAAGGAAGAAGAAGAGCAAAGGGAAGGTGGGTGTGGCAATTAATCACCCAATTGGTGCCTGGTCATGGAGGGCATTCGTCGTTGCCAGTTGCCATTTCCATTCTAAGGACAACAGACCTAAATTCATCCTAAAAATGGTTTCTTGATTTTCCACTGTCGGTGTGAGAAGTGGCCTGGGCCTACCTTCCCTGATCACCAGAAACAGCACTTTTTACATGATGGATTGATTAATTAATTGTCTTAAAAAAACAATCAATCTCATGATAACCTGCCCTGAATTCCTCCTAATCTTCCTTACATGTGACCACCTTTAATTAATTAGTTAGTTATCATCATCATCCCTGTTGGGCTCCTCGGATTCGTCCTTGCTCCTGCTTCTCTTTTCCCCTTTGCCCTTTTCCTTTACCCTTTTCTGTGTATTTTGGATTCTTGTATTTTCCCTTCTACCTTTACCAGTATTAGAATATATATATAATAAATATATATATCTAGAGAGAGAAAGAGAGGAGAACAGAGGGAGAAACAATGGCTTTTTACAGTCAAAAGTCAAAGCGGCAGTACCCAACTCTGCATAAAAAAAGAGATTCACACTGCCATTTCTCAGCTGCAATGCCCTAACTTGTGCTCACCCCCACACTCAAACCAGCCCCTTCTGATAAGCAGAATCCAGTCCATATCTATGCCTGCATTGTTCGGGAAGATTAGATAGCCCCCGAACAATCCAGAATTCTGTAGATGGAGAGGATGAACACGAAATTCCACTCAATTTCGCTGTGGTTTTGCTTCGCATGCATAACGGTGCTCCTTGGATGTTCCTCGGTGAAATGCACAGTGACTTACGATAGAAAAGCTATAGTCATCAATGGCCAGAGAAGACTCCTCATTTCTGGTTCCATACATTACCCCAGAAGCACTCCTGAGGTACACTAAATCGAATCCTTTTTTTTTTCTTTTCCAGTTCTTCTTCTCTCTCGTTCTTCGATAACGTTCATTGATGTTCTTAGATGTGGGAAGATCTGATTAACAAAGCTAAAGAAGGAGGTCTGGATGTGATTGAAACTTACGTTTTCTGGAATGTTCACGAGCCTTCTCCCGGCAATGTAGTACTTTTTCTTTACTTATTTTCACAATTTCTGTGTGAAGTTTGGCTAATTGTGAATCTTATCTATGGTGGTTTCAGTACAACTTTGAAGGAAGGTATGATTTGGTGAGGTTTGTGAAAACTATTCAGAAAGCAGGTTTATATGCTCATCTCCGCCTAGGGCCATACGTTTGTGCAGAGTGGAATTTCGGGTAACAATTTCGAAGGTTTGTGTCTTAATTTGTAGAAACCAGTCCAATCAATTGAACCATTTCTTTGCTGTTCTTGTGCAGGGGTTTTCCTGTTTGGCTTAAATATGTACCTGGGATCAGCTTCAGGACTGATAATGAGCCGTTTAAGGTAGTTATCATCCAATATTCGAATCCATTGTTGTCTATTCTTGTGTTGTTTCCATTTTTTATTAGTTGGGGGAATTGCTCTTGAGCATTTATAATGTTATTTTCACTGAGACAGATGGCCATGAAAGGCTTCGCTGAGAAAATCGTCAGGCTTATGAAGAGTGAAAATCTGTATGAATCTCAGGGAGGGCCTATCATACTATCGCAGGTGAAGTTTTTTAGCTCGATCATTGGTAGATATTTTGCTTTGCCACGTAACGTTTTTTGAGTTCTTGGTATTGTGTTTCGCAGATTGAAAACGAGTATGGACCTCAAGCCAAAGCACTTGGTGCTGTCGGCCACAAATACGCGTCTTGGGCAGCAAACATGGCCGTTGGGCTAGATACTGGTGTCCCGTGGGTGATGTGCAAGGAAGAAGATGCCCCAGATCCTGTGGTAATAAAAATACTTGCAATGGCAAGAACATATGTTGTTTGAAGTTTACATATATATACATATGTGCATTTATGTTGATTGCGACTATTGTTGATAGATAAACACGTGCAATGGTTTCTACTGCGATACTTTCTCCCCAAACAAGCCTTACAAACCAACAATATGGACTGAGGCTTGGAGTGGCTGGTAAGCTATTTGCGATCGCCTCCTAGAGCCAAAAAATTATATGCAGTAATTCTAATCCTCTCCTTCGCAAGCAATTTAGGTTTTCAGAATTCGGAGGTACAATTCACGAAAGGCCAGTTCAAGATTTGGCTTTTGCTGTTGCTAGATTCGTACAGAAAGGAGGCTCATTTGTAAACTATTACATGGTGAGCTTCATAATAAATCATTACCATGGTTTCTTTCTTTTTGTGTGTTTTTCCCATTAAAACTTTAGGATAATGTTGTTTGATTAAGAACAAGGGCAATGCTGTATAGTCGTGAGAAATAACCTGCTTTAATATGCCCTTCGAACAGTACCATGGAGGCACAAACTTCGGCCGCACTGCTGGAGGCCCGTTTATCACTACAAGTTATGATTATGATGCTCCACTTGATGAATATGGTAAACAATTCTTTACCCTTGTTCAATTTCATTATCGAAAACTTTATCTAGTTTACACAATATTTTCCTTTAATGAACTCGGAACTTTACCTTGATAGGTTTAATCCGACAACCTAAATACGGTCATCTAAAAGAGCTACATAGAGCGATTAAACTATGCGAGAAAGCTCTTGTCTCAGCAGATCCTACAGTGACTTCTTTAGGGAGTCTTCAGCAGGTTTTTACAGCCGATTTTTCCTATGCATTTGTGATTTTTGACCTCAATCTTCTGAAGAAGTTAAAAATCTTCTCAGGCTCATGTATATTCTTCGAACACGGGAGATTGTGCAGCATTTCTTTCCAATTACAATACCAAGTCTGCAACAAGGGTGTTCTTTAATAACATGCATTATAACTTACCTCCTTGGTCCATCAGCATCCTTCCTGACTGTCGGAACGTGGTCTTCAATACCGCCAAAGTATGTAATATAGCTACTCTGCCTTCGATCTATGTTTTTTGCTGTTCTTTAAATGATTTTCTTGTATGAGCTGCAGGTTGGAGTTCAAACAACAAAGATGGAGATGTTACCGAGTAATTCCGAAATTTTCTCTTGGGATACGTTTAATGAAGATTTATCTTCTTTAGACGAAAGCTCAACATTCTCTACTATTGGACTCTTGGAGCAGATAAATGTAACGAGAGACGCCAGCGATTATCTTTGGTACACAACCGAGTAAGTTGATTCTCACAGGCTTAGCTATAAGTCGCAACTGCTACATAATGTGCCTGATTCTGTTCGCAAGTGAATGTTGTTCTTTGTTGTTGCAGTGTTGATATTGGTCCATCCGAGTCGTTCCTGCGTGGTGGGGAGCTTCCAACTCTTATTGTTCAATCGACTGGTCACGCATTACATGTTTTTGTGAATGGGCGGCTTTCCGGTAGACAATCCATTCCCTTCTTGCATACCTTTGGAGATCAAGACTTCATTGATAAATGTGTTTTAATTCGGAAACCTTTTGGTGTGGGATTAACTATGAAATGCAGGTTCTGCCTCCGGGACGAGGGAAAATCGGAGATTTACATTTAAGGAGAAAGTCAATCTACGTTCCGGATCGAATAAGATTAGTCTTCTTAGTGTGGCCGTTGGATTACCGGTGAGTTCTATATCATTTTCAGTGCTCACTAGTTTCATTTTCAGTTCTATATGACACTTTTGTTCATCTTCCTCGAAGAACATTGGTGGACATTACGAGACATGGAACACTGGAGTTTTAGGCCCTGTGGCGCTGCTTGGTCTTGACCGAGGAAAACAAGATCTTTCTTGGGCAAAATGGACATACCAGGTCTTAATCTGGCACCGTATATCATCGATAAATAGTTCCTGCTTTAGATGAATGGTCTCATCGATGGTGTTTCTCAAACAGGTCGGGCTCAAAGGGGAATCTCTGAATCTGGTCTCTCCGAATGGTATAGCTTCAGTAGAATGGATGCAGGGTTCACTAATAGCCGAAAAGCAGCAGCCATTAACATGGCATAAGGTACAAACCGCAAAAGAATCGTACAATACGATGTCGCCGCATGTAGAATTGTTTTCGAACTCCATTGAAATTTGCAGGCTTACTTCAATGCACCCGATGGAGACGAGCCGTTGGCTTTAGACATGAGCAGCATGGGTAAAGGCCAGGTGTGGGTTAATGGCCAGAGTCTTGGACGGTATTGGACTGCATTCGCTACCGGCAATTGTAACGAGTGCAGTTACGCAGGAACTTTCCGACCACCGAAGTGTCAGCTCGGGTGCGGGCGACCAACTCAAAGATGGTAACAAATTACCTGAAAAATGCTGTCGATCCATTCCATACTGCCTATTCATTTTTTTTTTTACCTCATGAAATTATCTTTGCCAGGTATCATTTACCGCGTTCTTGGTTGAAGCCGTCGCAGAATCTGCTGGTGCTCTTCGAAGAACTCGGGGGGAATCCCACAGGAATCACTCTTGTTAAGAGATCATTGACGAGCGTTTGTGCAAACGTTGCAGAGTATCACCCGAATATTAAGAACTGGCAAATCGAGAGCTACGGGAGGCCGGAGGAGTCTCACCACAAACCCAAGGTCCATCTTTCTTGCGATCCCGGACTGGTTATCTCTGCTATCAAGTTTGCCAGTTTTGGAACTCCTCTCGGAGCCTGCGGGAGCTTCCAGCAAGGAACTTGCCACGCTCCTATGTCGCATTCCATCATAGAGAAGGTACATATATCAGTCAATGTTTAGCACAATACAAGATCCATTTCGAGTAATCCTTCTTCACATGACAATGCAGAAGTGCATCGGGCAACAGCGATGTTTGGTCACAATATCAAACAGTAACTTCGGCCGGGATCCATGTCCAAATGTATTGAAGAGGTTATCCGTTGAAGCTGTATGCGCCCCGAAAAATTAACCTACGACAGCTACTGGGAGCATGGTAGGTAGTAAAGAACTTACAAAGTTACGAAAGCTTAAAGATTAGAGCATTGGGAGGTTTAATTATGCAAAGGCAGCAAGCAAGCAAGCATCAATCTTTTCGTGTGGTTTTTCCTGATTTCTGCAATTAGAATTGGTTTGTTCTCTAATTGATATATGGGATTCCTGGACTTGAAGACGAAAATGGCCTCAAGTCCAGTGAAGAGATGTCGATTTCAAATGCCGGTTAGCTGTCTTCTTCTTTTAACTTGCAGGAGATGCGAACCGATTCATTTTCGTTCTTTCTGCTTAGTTTTTATCGAGTCTTTTTAGAGTCATCGAAGTGTAGTATGTCGCTGGGAGACGGGAAAAAGCGTCGTCCCGGAAGGAATTCATTATAGGAAACGGTTCCTAACTAGCTCGGCCGAGGTGTGTGCAAAACCACTTCCCAGCTGTTTGTATCTTCAAGTTTGTTGTAATCACATACTTACAAGTTACAATGTATTGCCTGGAATTGATCATCTTCTTGAGTTTGTAGGGATCTTGTGATTAGTTTACTTTGAAAACTCATAATTTCATAAGATGGATTAAAAAAGATAAATAAAAAATATATATATTTATTGTTGAGTGAGGTATTTAATATCGTTGAAGGATTCATGGAAATGAATGAATTTGTGATCATCAAGTCTTGGTCTTCTCTATCGATCCATCCGTCCATGTGTGCGCGAAAGTGCAGGAGGGTCCATTGAAGAATAGGCAGGAAATTTCCTAATCTTAACATCTTGTAGAATTCGTCTTCTTAAGTATAGACTAAGTCATCTATCCTATAATTCATCTTGATCGTCTGTTCTGTGCTTCTGAGTTTCAGGATGCAGACAATCAACGAGAGCGATCGACAGGCCGATGATCGGAAGATCGACGACTTCGTCAAAATCGATCGACTGGCCAATGATTGGAAGATCAACGACTACATCAAAATCGAAGATAGCGATCGACTGGATGATGATCGGAACATCGAAGACTATGTCAAAATCGAAGATAGCGATCCACTGGATGATGATCGGAAGATCGACGACTACGTCAAAATCGAAGAGAGCGATCAACTGGAGGATGATGACCAGAAGATCGACGACTACGTCAAAATCGAAGAGAGCAATGTCGATGATCGGAAGGTCGACGACTACATCCCGTTTCCTCCCTGCTCGAAAAAGAAAGAAGACATGGAGATCAAAGACGTCATCAAGGACCACGTCCTCTGTTTTCTTCCCGCGAAGAGCCTCGTCAGATTCCGGTCAGTGTCGAAGGACTGGGATCACCGCATCCGGAGCCCGTTCCTAGCTCACCAGCAGAGCTACTTATTCGACGATCTATCCGGCTACTTTTATCAGGACGGCTTCGGTAGTCCTTCATTCGTGCCTGGTAGTCCTTCATTCTTGCCTCTCGACAGCGCGTACGGAGTCCCGGCGCCGTCCCTCGAGTTCTTGCCCGAACCCGTCTATGTACAGAGCGCGAGCCACGGATTACTCCTCTGCCGAGGCTACAGCGATAACAACGCGTACTACGTCTGCAATCCGGCGAACATGGAATGGACGGAGCTTCCCGAATCGTTGTACTATCACGGCATGTGTGCGGATTCGGGGCAAGTTCTTGCCTTCGAGCCTTCGGAGCTCAATATGGGACCGAATTATTGGGTGATTTCCGCCGTGCCGTTGCTCGATCAGCCCATCGTCTGCTTCGAGCTCTACTCGTCTCAGACGATGTCGTGGAGGCGCTCGAAAGCGATCTGCTACGACTTGGGGGGTTCTCCGAAGTTTGTCGGCGGATTGTATATCGACGGGATGGCGTATTGGCAGACTTTAGCGGGCGAAGTATTGGTTTTCGATCTGGGCCACGAGGTTTGCGGCGTTGTTCCGTTACCGGACGGCGGGCCATCGGAGGGTGTGCTGGCGAATGTCGACGGCGAATTAGGATACATCGGTGTGTCGTCTTACACCCGCAATGTATGCCATGTTAACGTTTACGGCGGCCCGGAATTGAGCTTGAGACGGAGGATCAATGTGCAGCTCCAACCGGTGACGTGCAGGATTGTGTACAGCTACCGGATTCTGCCCTCCGGCGAGCGGCGGAGCAGCGTCGTGAGGATTCTCGGCGGCGGGTATTTGTATTGTTACAACTTGAAAGCTCGAGCATTGGAAATGGTGGTTCGAGTTGAGGAGATTGCTGATTCAGAAACGTCGAGATTCCTGCCTTATGTTAACAGTCTTGTCCGTTTGGCCTGAAATCGAGATTTCGTCTATATATATATATGCATTTTATTCATTATGAATCTCTGAGGAACATGAAAATATCATTACTGATTTATGATCATCAACAATGGCGGAACAATCACAATCGACGAACATAACCATCAGGCAATAGAGAAGAATTATAAATCGAAAGGATTGAAAAATTCTTATCAATTTAGGGTTGTTTGTAGAGCTTGTTGTATTCGTCGAGCTCCTCATAGTAAATATCCCAAACGCACCTGACGCAGCCGCTGCCGCAGCAGTCGCCGGGAAAGGGCTTCTCCGGCGGCGGAGGAATGGGCGGCGACTTATTCTCCTTGGAGACGTCATCTTCTGCTTGGGGCTTTTGATCGTTGTTCTTGGGTTTATCTTCGGTGCTCATTTTATGGAGGTGAACGGAAACCACCGGTTTGGGGCGGCGATTGAATCTGAAATCGGATTGAGAAGCGGCGGTGAAGCGTCGAAGGGACAGATCGGATCTTAAAACTAAAAGCATGATATAGAGAGAAAGAATTCAATTATGGCGGGCGTAGGATTGGGGAAGACGACGACTTACCAAAACAACCCAGGAATGAATTATCCCAAATCAGAACGCTGTGATGGTGTTTCTTGTGCCCTAATTCAGTAATTCCACCATTTTTGAGCGTTGAATAATACCTGGAATTTTATTGTTAAAAACTATCGTCTTTTTTTCTTTTTTTTTAAAAAAAATTGCTTTTATTTTTGTAAATTATTATTTATATTTAAAAAATAACACTCGACTTCTAAAATAGGCGAGTTTACCCTGAACTTTTTTTATTATTAAATTTAATTTAATTTTAAAAGAATTAGAAGAAAAGGTAAGAACAAAAAACTACTAGTAGAAAATAACTGACCCGGGCCGTGATCTGGCCTGAATTTTTGGACCCAACTCTGGGCCGTTTTTATTTTATTTTTGTCAATTAATTACCAACAAATGTAAAAAGTGTATTTATTTTGTTTTTGTCAATTTGGGTACCAAAATGTGGAATGGAATGGCCCATATATATAGTGGGCCCGAATATTTAGACTTAGTTGATGAGGAAAACTATTTATTATTGTTGGGTAAATTGATGAATAATGTGTATTAACCTATATCATATACGTTTGTTATGTGGTTAGAATAATATATTTGATCTAAACTTTTTCTCCAACTATCCACCACAGAAATTCTTCAAAATGCATAAAAATTTGTTATGTGTAGTGTATAAATTGATGTTATTAATATATAATTTTATTTTTTATTTTAAAAAAAAGAAGACAAATAGAGTGGGATGAAAAGAGTAATTTCTATGTATATATTAAAACTCTAAACTTTAGATAGGCATATGATACGATGAATCGAGATATAGTAAACGACAAAAGCGTGTTTGAAAAAGCGTGAAATTCCAATCGAGTCAACAACAAAATCTTATTATAGGATCTAAATGATCAATGACATGGCGGAAAAGCAATTGGTGAATTGTGATGCTCTCTCTCTCTACTGTTCACTCCATTCTCGGCCATGCAATTCCTTCTTCCAATCATTGCTCCCGACCCGCAAACCCACGCGGGTCACTGTACCCATTACCCTAAACATTCACAGCACCCAAAGACCCACCCACCCACCTAACCCAATGTGGGTGCGGGTCGGGACCAGTACGCCGCCCCACGTGTAACTCCTGCTTGGGGCTACGTGGCGTCTTCGTATTTGACTCTGCACTTTTTGTGGGGGTCACCAGCGCAGTGCACTGCAACGCACCGCACCGCACCGCACCGCACTGCACCACTCAATTATTAGTCCTTCTCTTTCCCACCGCCCATTCATTTTCCATCATGGAATTTAATTCGCCTTATCCACACGGACCTCAAAAACACACCTAAATGAATGAACGATGAAATTACATACTTATTTTTTGGATTTTTTCCAATATATGCGGAATGTAATCTGAATAATAATATATTTATTTTTTATAATTATATTACATAAATTAGGTAATGAAGTTTGAATTCGAACCATAAAAAACATTTTAATATTCTTTGAGAATTTTGTATTTTATAAAAAATTATGATAATAAGAAAACCGAAATTAAATACAAAGGAAACAATTTTAAGGGTTTGCATGATTTCAATTTCATTTTACTTTTAAAACAAATTTAGTAAATTTGTGACCGCAAAGTCCATTTGTCGTACATAAATCGCTTAATTTGATCTATTTTAATAAATTTAATTTTTAAAATATTAGATTTAATCGAAATTTATTGTAAACACATTTGACTACCCTATTATAAAAAATAAAAATAAAATAAAATAAAAAGAAAAAGAAAAAGAAAAAATCAGCATGTGACAAACCAAGCCTGTATACTTTTCAGGTCCCCAAGATACAGACCATACCATCGCCTGTTATTCAGTTGTTTTTATCATATATTTTAATGTTGTGAAAAAATATAAAATAAAAAAAATTGCCGACTTCGCAATACGTGGCTTGTAATGAATGAGGAATGTGGGGCCCAACAATAATTTTATCCCTTTTATTTTTAAATTAAACCGACTCCGACTTATCCGTTGACCATTCAATAATGAAATGAATAGGCAGGCGATCAATAATTTGGAGAGGTTCTCATTTTATGGGAGGTTCTCATTTTATGGGTAAATTATTCCTGAGATTACCATGAAATTTAAAGAATATTAATATTATACTGATAATAAGTATAAAATATGGGTAAATTTTTTTTTTTTACTTTTGTGAATATATTAGTATAAAAAACAGTGGCAATTGTGTAATAATGATGAAAAAGTGATGATAATTTTGTAATAATATAGTTATTTATGAAAATGAAACTATTGTTTTGAGATAGACAAAAATGGTAAATAGGACTATTATATTGGGACGGAAGAGTATTATATTTTTATTAATGTTTGTGAGAATGGAATAATAGGAAAGAAATGATTATTTGTGTTTTAATTATAGAATATTATGTGTGTTTGATAGTTGTTTTTAATTTTTCTAATTAAAAGGTTTGTTAAATATAATAGTAGTATTTTTTAAGAAAATATTATGAAATATTATAAAGTAAGTTGCATGAAAAGAAAATCAACAAGTAAATAGAATCTAATGTTTATTTTTTTACTCAAATATACATGTTAATGTTTATATTTAATTAAACGTTCAATCTTGTTGTGTAACTTCCAATAATTCACATCCAAAATGTGATAAAAGGGTAGGGGGCATTGATCCTATAAATTGATCCATTTGGATCATATTTTAAAATACGACAACTAGTTTTTTTTTTTTTTTTTTTTTTAACTAGAAATGGTGAAATTAAGATTTGGTGAGTTGTTGTGAGAAAAATTTTACAATTTTATCCGTAAAAAATTTATAATAAATATTTTAATAGATTATCCCGTTTTGGGATCGTGGATGTAAATATGTTGTGAGACCGGATCATGTTAAATTATCATGTCTTTTATTTAGTTTTATCTCTCTCCCTTGTGTGTTCCCAGCAAATTTAATACTCTCTCAGTCCCAATATAATAATCTTATTTACCATTTTTGTCCGTCTTAAAACAATAGTCTCATTTCCATAAATTCTCGTATCATTATAAAATTATCCTTACATTTTTATTATTATTACACAAATGCCACTACTTTTTACAGTAATACACTCACAAAGACAAATAAGTCTTTTACTCATACTTTTTACCAACTATCGATATAATAACAATATTCTTTAAATCTCGTGTCCAATTCAAATAGGACCATAGTTTTGAAACGGATGAAGTATATTATTTTATTTAAACAAATCAAATATATATTAGTATTAAACAAATTTCCAAATACTTGTACAACACTGACGAAGAATGCGTTCTATTTTTCTTTGTCAATATCACACTGAATCTTATATTTATATGCATTATAAAAGATTATATTAAAAATATATATATATATTTTTATTAATTATTAAGTACAGTTGATGATAGAGATTAGAGAGTAACATTGAAATAACTTTAAATAAAATATAAACATATTTTAATTAGTATGCTTAAATTAGAATTAATGATTATATCTATTATGAACTACTAAAATGGTAAGAGGAAGTATAAAAAATATAGAAAAAGAAGCCCATAATTTCAATTCAAACTTTATATTATCCTAACTATATTTAATATGTAAATTAATATACTCATCATTATTAAATAATTTAATAAGTTATCCAACATACATTCTCTCAAATCCATCGACGTCCCGGTCAAATGTATATATATAATTATTTAATTAATTAATTATTGATTGCTAAAGGTCAGTTCTGATGTTTATTCTAATAACGTGTGGATCCTATTTTTAATAATAATGTATGTAGGGGACTGCTGTTAAGGCTTTGGAACGAATAATAGTATTTAATTGAAAGTAGGTATAAAGTATAATATAAATGACTAAAATATTTTTATTTTTTTTGAAAGATTTTAAAGGGTATGTTAGAGTAATAATTAGGGGTAGTATGAAAAAGTAGGAATAATTTTGTTACAAAGTGGGGATCACGGCTACTAAATAAGGAAACAAAACAATTGTTTTGGGACGAACGAAAATTGAAAAACAAGACAAATGACGGAGGGAGTATATACTTTTTCACTTAATAAAATTTATATATTTTCTTAGTAATTATACTATCTATTTTATATTACAAATACTTTTTAATTTACAATATATTACACAAATATCATTACTTTTATATTATAGGGTAATTTAGTCTCTTTATTTTTATTTATACTGCATCATAATATAATAATAAGATAGATATAAGACGAAGAAAAAATTATTTTTACTATATATAACGAACAACTAATATATTTTTGAATATATTAATTTAATTTTAAAACAACTAAATATATATAAAAAAACTCATTATAATCAAGTCCGTAAGAAATACACGATGATGTGAAGTAAAGTTATTTGTTCAAAATTTAACGCTTTCAAATTTGATGAGAATTTCTTTAAAAATTGCAGATTTGTGTGTCACACATGATTCGTCGCTTAGTATGACTTATCTTGCCGAACTTAGTTTGCAAACTATTAAATTCGATCGAAGTTTATCTCAAATGTACTTGTAGAGTCGAGGTTATAATTTTCCTTGTTACCGAAAAATAATAAAAAAAATAAAAAATCATTGTAATAAATGAAAATTGGAGTGGGACCCCATTCCTTGTGTAGCTATGAAACATATATTCCCTTGCACCTAATCTTAATTTAGAAGGTTAATTATTTATTATTTATTAATTTTACTTTTATATGAGAGGATAGTTTTATGAATCATATAAACATATTATACACGCATGTATCAATAAAATATAAAAAAAAAAAATTGTTTTTTTTTTTAATGATGACTAGGAATTTCAATTATTGAGATTTCTACTATTTTCCGAGCGGAAGATATTTCTTTGTGCACCAGTCAAATGCAGCCACGTGTACTTTCATACGTAAGGTACCAGGAAGGAAAATAGAAATTGATTATGTAAACATATACTACTATTTTTGAAACATGTACGCAATATACTACATATTAATTTACCATAATACCCTCAAGATTTATGACATCTGACGGACTTATTGGGTGCATTGATGTCCTTTTGTTACTTACGTATGTATATGTAGAAAATAGAAATTACCGTTGGTTCGTTACAATTTCATAAGTACTTTATTTGGAAATTTTAAATTAAATTAATTATTACTATTATTTTTTAACAGTACGGATATACATACATATGCTCCGTCTGTATATCGTCGTTGTTTTCTTCTCCTTCGAATCGCATTCAAATAGCGTAGCAGCGATGGATTTCGATGCGTCTGCAAATTCGATCTCTCGAGATTTCATCTCGATCCGTCGTCGATTCCCGCCGTTACCAGGCGATTGACGTCGTCTGTTTTTTGGTAATCAAGGTCGGTTGTTTGTTTTGAGTGGAGTTGTTGATATTAATCCTTTTTTCTGCGGTGCCGGCGTGTGTTTATGTTTTTTGAGAATCGATTTGGTGTGTGTTTGTGTTTTGATTAACTTGTTTGTGTTTAGTGCACTGTCTGTAAAAATTCATTGATTTTGTTTTTATGGTTTGATATATCGGCGCCTTTTAGTTTTTTGATCGGACGCTTATATTTTCGGAATCACCAAACCTAGTAGCTTTTATTTATTTATTTATGGAATTCCATGTAAGGATGTAATGATTCTGCACTTTTTCTTTTTCTTGCAATCTAGATCCTTTGGTTAGTTTAAGTTTTTAATGTTATCTGCCGTTTGTAACTTTCTGAGTCAGATTACATCTTTCCTGAATTGTTTTTGTTCCACTGGATAGGCTGCTTTTGATCATTGTAGTGGCGCGCGCATTAAACAACTGAACGTTTTTTATAAGTAGTGATGGTTTGAGTATGATGTGAGAGCTTATGAATAAGTAATTTTGATTGTGTTAGGTTCTCAACTAGAGTTCCTGGAGGCACTATGGGGCATTTATCGTCGATGTTCAGATCACTTTCAATCAAGAGAAAAAACTTGACTAGCATTTGTGATGGAAAAGAGGCCGTTGAAACCATGGCCAAGAATGCCAAAAGAACCGATATGATATTGAGGACATCAGGTGTTGTTAATGTCGAAGGATCCAACAATTTAGCCTCCGTTTTTTCGAAGAGAGGAGAAAAAGGTGTGAATCAGGACTGCTGCATTGTTTGGGAGGTATGCTCTCCAAAGCTAATCCTAATTTGGGTATTTTCAGCGTTTCATTCTTCGATCTTTTCAATGAAAATGTAGTCTTGATATCCACATTGATGTGTCCTTAGGAGTTTGGATGTCAAGAAGACATGTTATTCTGTGGGATATTTGACGGGCATGGACCCTGGGGACATTATGTGGCGAAGAGCGTCAGAGAGTCGATGCCATCATCTCTTCTCTGCAACTGGCAAGAGACGCTGGCTGAAACTTCATCTGATTCGGATTCAGAGTTGGAGTCGGAGAAATTGCTCCATAGGTTCAATATATGGAACCGCGCCTACACGAAGGCGTGTGCTGCTGTGGACCAGGAGCTGGAGCATCACCAGAAGATCGACACATTCCACAGTGGAACCACCGCATTAACGGTTGTTAGACAGGTAAGCAAGCTGCCATTCCTCTTCGCATAGTTTGATCATTTGTCGGTTGCCATGGATTAATTGCTAATTTTCCTTAAAAAGTGATTTTAGTCCCTTCAAGAATCAAGAACATCATTGACTTTCATCCATTCAAGTTTCAGCATGACTTTTGGAACACTTGAGCAACTTGTGTTCTGTCTTTAATTATACAGCAAGGAAATCTTATGCCTTTTCAATGAGCACAATAAATTCCATACGACTAAATTGGTAAATGCATTGAACTGTTCTTTATTTTTGTGACGTCTTGTGGTCCTCCAAATCTTGCAGGTGGATTATTGATCGTTTTACAAATGAATACACAGTCTCAATCCATTTTCACAACTTTTACTTACCATTGCTTCCTAAACTACGATGTTTTTCTTTTTAGGATGTGAGCATAAAACTTATGATCCTAGCCAGTAGAAATTCGATTTTTGGATTAGCATGATATATTGTACAACTTTTCTTAAAATGCTTTGGATGTTCTTTCAGGGAGATTCAATTTTCATAGCAAATGTAGGAGACTCTCGGGCCATACTCGGCACCACTTCAGACGATGGAAGCTTGGTAGCAGCTCAGCTTACAACCGACTTCAAGCCCAATATACCTCGTTAGTTAAATTTGTTCACTTGGACTATGTCAACTGAATTACATACCAGTCCATTTCCAGCCTCTTACATCATTGTTTTCATTGTCGCAGAGGAGGCTGAGAGAATAACTCAGTGCCAAGGCAGAGTCTACTGCCTAGACGACGAGCCAGGGGTTCACAGACTATGGCAGCCCCACAAAGAATCACCGGGGCTAGCAATGTCCAGGGCCTTCGGAGACTACTGTGTGAAGGATTTTGGGCTCGTATCCGTGCCTGAAGTTACTCACCGGCACATAACAGAGAATGACCAGTTCATCGTGCTGGCAACCGACGGCGTATGTATATATATATATATTATGCACATATTATAAGAGCATTGTCTCAGCAGCACAGCAATCTGAAGAAATGTATCTTATCTATGGTTTTTTTTTGTTAAGGTTTGGGATGTTGTATCGAATGAAGAAGCAGCGGAGATTGTACAGATGGCTCCAGACCGGGAGAAAGCCGCGAAGCAACTGGTGCAGTTTGCGGCTCGGGCGTGGCGGCGCAAGCGGAGGAGCATAGCCATGGATGATATATCGGCCATTGTAGTGTTTTTGCATCATCAGAATGAGAGTGATGATGATGGCCATTGTAGTAGCTAATACAACTACACCTGAGGTACTGAGTGAGTTTATCATTGCTACCCAGTGCTTTTTGTTAAGCAATGTGGTGCTCTTCCTTAGTTTCTCCACTGTTTTTACATTATTATTATTGCCTGAATGTAAAGTTTATGTGAATTTATTTGAGGTAAAGTAGTATTTTGAGAGAGAATAATAGTTTCTTATTTTATTGTGAATAGTTTTGAAATTTAGAATCTATTGATGCAACACATGATCAAATTAGAGCGTTTAAGAGCAAGTGCAACACAAATCTAGGTGGCATTTATATGTAAAAAAATAAAAAAATTAAGAATGTTCTTGCAGAATAACTATGTAAGGATTAGGGGTGGCCACCTAGCCTCACCCGTTTCAAAGTGGGCCTTATAGACACGACTCAATTTTGAACTGAGTCTGAACAGTTAAGCCCGATCACGGTCCAATTTTAAATTGGGCTGTGCCGGACCAATCCATTTTATTTTTTATATTTTTCAATTTAAATTTGATTTAACAAAAAACTTTATCATTACACTATATCTAAATTTTTGTGACTATTTTATTAGTTAATATATATATTAAATATTAATTCTAAAAATCAGGGTGGACCAGACACCGCATGAAAAAAATATTGGACCTATTTATGGAGATTCAAGCATAATTATTTTGTGCCGAGTTCAAATAGGATTTTCGAGCCGTGCCTAATTTTGCCTAGTGTCCAAAGATGAGTTTGCAATGTTAGGTCTGTTCAATTTTAGGAAACATTTTCAAGTGGAGGTATTGAATCTATTGATTATATTATGAAGAGTAAATTACGTATACTGCACATTTGCACAAGTCATAAGTTAGGACCCATCTCCAAGTAGGAATTAAGAGGCAACAACCCGAATTGAAAAAACGGTATGCATCAAAACTCTACCATAACACTAAAAGCTTCTAATACCATTAGTTGAATCATCAATACATGGTACATAAAATAAGGATAATATACACAATATGTGGATGAAAATAAAAACACTAGCAACAGCCTAAGAATAGAAAATCCTATGGCCCTAAACAAATAAATTGAATGAACTAATAATGCACATTGAAACTTAAGGCCACAAAGGGAATGACATGCATCCCTTTTTTTATCATTTTAAATAGACCAAATTTTGTCCATTTTTGTGTGAAACACTCATATAATTTGTGTGAAAATATCATACCTTCTTATATGTGAGAGATTACTTTCTTTCTCAATGGCGAATAATTCAATGGAATACCTGAGAAGATGCATAGAACTCACCCTCGATGAACATCGGTCTCAGATCATCTTCCTCGCTCATGAACTCCAACGGGAAGGTGACGAGATGTCCCTTTACTAATTGCAGCTTCGTCATCGGGTCTATAACTATGTTTTCCCCATTTTGATCCAATTCAAGTCTTTCAGGAGCCACACCTAAGTCGATAGTCGTGTGCTGAAGTCTCTGTTTCCAATGGTTCATACTTTGCCTGAGGGCCGATCTATTATCACACAAACATCATTAAGAATTCAGACATGAGGCGAGATATGTTAGATCAAGTTGCAAAGTGTAAGGCACCTGGAGTGGATTGTATCATTGGGGATGCAAGAGAAGATGTCTTGATAGATGGTTGTGTTTAACTGTCGAAAGGGAAGCAGAGCCATTAGAGAAAATTACAGAAGAAAAAAAAAAAAAAAACTGAACAAGATGAATTATAAAACTATATGCAGCTTCAACATCTATGCGCAAATATTGGTATAAGTTTTTCATAGTTTACGAAATAGGCAAATATGTGTGTTCATGCATAATGAAACTATGCTTCCAAACAAAATACTATAAACTAAAACATTAAGACATTTCATCTTCTAATATTAGTCTCACATTCGACAAAAATTTTGATGCGAGACAAAGTAGTAGCAATTTTAACTCACTATATTTTCCCTTGAAAATATTGACGATTTCACTACACCACATCAATAATATTACAATAACTTTTTGTGCGCTAAAAAAAATCATGAGTTTAAATTTAGAGGAAAGATTGTAAATTGAAATTTTTGTAAACAGTGGAGAAAAATTTCAAAGTATTGTATTGAAGCCTAATTCAAAGTGGGCCTTTATTCTAGGATCAAACATTCTATTTTTACCACAATATATTTCAGTGCAATAAATATGAAATGAATCTTACCCAGGCAGTTTGTAGCCACAAGCTTGTGTATGTTGCATCAGCTATGGGGTCATGTATTTGAGAAACCTGGATTCAAGGAGAAAGATTTTAGCTACAAGATGGATGAAAATATTTGATATAATAACTTGGAAGGGAGTCGCAAGACATGTATCCACTCAAGACAGCAAGAAGCTGGTGCATAGTTGTACTAAAATTAGGTTCGACTCTTCATTTGGATGCTAGACAGGTAGGCTTATGAATCTAAAGTTATATTGACAACTATGGTTACCTCATTGGTATTTAGCCCAAGGTGCTCGGCCCACAAAGACAACCTGAGATTGAAAGCAAATTTTCCAGCCTTCCATTGTTTCCCATTCATGTGTGAATCGACAAATTCTTTATCTTTTATGACAACAGCAATCTGGACAACAAACAATAATTAATTAATGTTAGCTATCTTTTCTTTAACAGTGCCAAGGAAAAGAAGAATCATGAGACTATCTTCAAGTTCGGGGGAACATGATCACCTCAGAATCTCTCGATCCCAGCAAACTCCGGTCATTTATGTTGGATGATCCAATCAAAGCACATCGATCATCTATGATCATAACTTTACTGTGAACATATACCTGTAATAAATATGATTTAATTAAAAGGGAACAAAATTTATAATTGAAGAAAACTTGAGCTTGTACTAATGTAAACAAAATATACCTGGCTTGTAACAACCGGACCGCCTGAAAAAAGTTGGCCATAAGTTCTCAAACCGAAGAATGATATGAAATTCTCTGTTAAGTCACCCAGCTTCAAGAAGAGTCTCTTCAGTATGGAATTTTCTCCTCTGCAAATTGTACGATATTGCCAATGCATTATTGCTCGAACTGTGGCTGCCCCGCTATCATCGACACCGCCCTGTTTAAGGAAACCTGATAAGAACCGCAAAGAAGCATATAGAGGTCAATGAAGAGGAAACACTGATACCTGGAAACCTGGTAAGAGTGGGATGACAATAATGACTCTGAAACAAGAATTCTCTTTGTATGCCCTTATAATGCGATTGTATAGAGATTCAAGCACACGATTTTGTATGACTTCATCTTCCGAAAGACCCGATATAAAAAATTGGTTCTGGAAGATATAGACAGTGGATAAGCATGAGATGCATAAACAAATCACTCAGAGATTAGGAAAATATGGATTTAAATATAGTCAACTTATTTTGTCATCCGACACAAATTTCTGTGCAGATCTAGTGCTCGAAGTGAACTTCCATGACACTGATGCCGATAGTAAGGCAGTGATGAATATAATGTCACCTCAATATAAATGAAGTGCTCGGCTTCCTCAATGAGATCACAGTAAGCTCTATGGATGCTATCTTCAGGTTGGCTTGTTCCAGCAGACCATTGACTCACACTTCTGACAACCTATACCAAAAGAAAGAGCTAATCATAATCGAGTCTGAATATAATGGCTTTTCAACTTTCTAATTGTAACTAACCTGGCAATGGCATGAGCTATGCGGTCCAACTTGATTTATTTCATTGGCTGACATAACCTGTAAAGTTTGTCCTTGTGATTCCCACCAATACTCCGGTGGGTACTGTAAATCAGACACTGAGATTGCTTCTGATAGTGTCTCACTTTGGGCATCTCTGTTATCATGATCATCCAAATAATGTACGGTTGACATGCAAGAAGTTGGATAGTTGGAATCCTGGCAGGGATATGAACTACCTGAAAAATGACCAGTCAGAAAGTATTTATTGTTATATTTAATTTATTAATAGTTTCAAGGAAGATTACAAACCATTTGATTCATGAGGCAAAAGCAGTGGAATGTCTTCTGGTGGTGTTTGCGAAGAACAAGAATCCTTCCGACTTATTTTCTCCCATGTGAAATCAGAAAGCTTCCCCTCAATGTCTGCATCCTGGCTTCTCCCCAAGTAATGAGGTAAAACCATGTGATGCTGAGGCATAAGTAATGGTATATTGTGTTCATTTGGTGCTTTGCTTTTCTGTAACAACGGTGGAGATATATCAACAACATGTTCAGAGGGTCAGAGAAACAAAAGCTAGAGGTGAGTCCAGAGGCGAACCTTCGCATGGTTCCAGCGCTGCACAAAATGTCTGGCAATGTCACAACATGAAGGACCCCATATGGCGCAGTGAACATCATGCCATGGCATCCGAGGATATTTCAATCGATCCAATTCATCTTTCATGGTGTCTTCCCAAGAATTTGGCTCCGATTCTCTGCACAATGCATGGTAGAAGTAAATATATTGAAAACTCCTGTACTGGTTAATATTTCCATATAAATTAAGGCTGGATCTTATTAAAGAAATTGGTTTTGATTTTTGCTGGTATTTCTGTTTGCATACTTCAGAGATTCTGCCATGGTTTACCTTGGATTATAGTAATCTTTTCCTGGCCATAAATAAGGTGGAAAATCACCTACTTTGTGTTCCATAGTGTCGTAGCGACCGAAACATAAATCCAGCCCTCCAATGAAGGAAATCTTGTGATCAATGATTACAAGCTTTTCGTGGTGAGACCTACACACGTGCGCGCATAGTTATTAATTTTCCAAATGGAATTGCACTCCCCATTTTTCATTCAGTAATCCTAAATTTCTGAAGCAAAACTCACCATAAGTATATGCCAGTTGACAAATGATCAGGATAGCGAAGAACCTTAACATTTTCATGAACATCGAGAAGCTTCCTCTTACTGTATAAGCTGTTGATTTTTAATGCAAGCGAAACTTCCTTGTAAAGAAGAATGTATATCTGTATTGAAAATATAAGTAAATCAATAAACATAGTAGTGAAATTATTCGATGCGACCAGAGCAATATTGAGTACTAAAGAATTTACCTGAACTCCTTCCTGTGCTTTAGCCTTGAGTAAAGCATCAAGCCGTGAGGAGTTGTGCTCGTGAAATGGACGCCGTAAATACAGCTCAGGGCAAAGCCACCATCCGGTCATGTATATCTGCAGATAACAGTAAACTCAAACAATTTAATAGTAGATTACATGTTTAGACTAATCATCCTATCTTTGTTAGAATTACAGTAACCTCTGATTTTGCATTCTCTATTGACAAAGCAATTGCTTCAAATGCTGCTTTTCCATCTATAAACCATTGAGCTTCGCTTCCATCTTCAACCTGGCCTCTTATAGGGGCGAAGGAGTTATAACGATGAGGATGGCACCATTTTTCAGAGTTCTTTGATTTGACATCATTTATGGCAGAAACCCAGCAGTGAGCTTTCCCTTGGCTTGTAGTCCTAATCTTTAGGTCTTTGTTCCCGCAATAAACCTTGTGAACATATAAAATGTACAATTACAACTAAATATTCTTCAGCATGGCAATGCTTTCATATAAAATGTACAATTACAACTAAATATTCTTCAGCATGGCAATGCTTTCATATGAAAGAGAATGAATACATTTGATGTATGACTCTTGGAAAAACACGGTGAAAAAGAAACATACCTGAAATGAGTGGCGCAAAGGATTTCGATCTTTTATTACTTTTGCCAAAGTTATGCCGTTGCCTCCTTTAGCACTTGAAGTTGGCAGGACATCAAAGACAATAATGTCTAAGAGTTTGGTGCTGAAATGATCTTCAAGGAAAGCCAAGAAACCCGGTTTCAATACAAGCCAAACCTAATTGCAATACAATACAACGAGCAGAGGAGAAAAATGAAAGAATCATTTAATGTTATCAGAATAAACTCCTACTGTAAGCAGAAAGTTTGGAGCTTAATATGAAGATATCACATGAATAGTATGTATAAAAAAAATATCAACATTCTATAGAAAGGCAGCTGAAGAAAGAACCGAAAGCACTGAATATGTTTTGAAAAGGAAAATACCTTTTTCCACTTGCTTCCGAAGCAACAGGAGCAATGACAAAGGCAGCAACGTGAGCATGTATCATCCTCTGAAAACATTGCCAAGTGTTTAACCATCACATAACCTTCTTTCAACTTTGGACCATACTCTTGAGAAAATGAAAACCTAGACACCTCCAAGAACCTACACACCTGATGCAAAGAAAAGACAAGGTTAATCCGATCAAAAAAGAAAAAAGACAAGGTTAATCCGATAAAAAAAAAAAAAAAGAAAAAAAAAAGACAAGGTTAATCCGATAAAAAAAAAAGACAAGGTTAATCCGATAAAAAAAAAAAGAAAAAAAAAGACAAGGTTAATCCGATAAAAAAAAAATGGAAAAATAAAAAGACAAGGTTAATCCAATTAAAAAAAAAAAAAGAAAAAAAAAGACAAGGTTAAGGTTTCCAAAATTTGTCAATTGGTGAAGATAAAGTGTGGCACCAAATATATCCGTTGCAATTAATCTCATAAAAATGAATTTATTTTTTTTCAATCTTAGTGTTGTTTTCATGAAATAACTCTACCTTCTAATGAAGCATAGAGATCAGCAGAAATGGATTCCAACTTCTAACAATATGTGTAATTTGAAAACATTGAATACTATAAAGCAATAAGTTTTCATTTTTCACCTCTCGTGAATTAATAATGTCCAAGTTTCCCAGAAATTGATTTAGATAACCTTGCATGGAAGCTTTTGCTTTGTCAGAAATGGCCTGCTGTTTGCCAATAGATGGACGGATGATAGATAGAGCAGCTTTTGAGGGAACAGATCTACAAAGAAAGTGGGGAAAGCATCCAAGAACAAGATTACGATGGATGAAAGCCATTTTCAAAATTAAAAACGAAATTAAAGGAATGAACATAATAGGCACCGGTTTTTAACACTATCATCATGGTATATTGGCATAGCTCCATCGTCAGGTTCGTCCTCATCATGCACAACTGTTGCATGATCACCTAATCCTATGTATTGTAGCCATTCCCTTACCTTCATGAACATAAAGACAGCAACCCGTGCTAAAAATTTCACAATTCGCCATTTATAAACATGTTGAAAAATATAAGAAACTTGATTTTCAGAAGGAAATGGTATATGAAAAAAGAACCTGCTCTTGCTTTTCATGAAATTCCTCAATGATTGCTCGTTTCTTCAGTGCCAAGTGTAAATATAGAAATTGGGAACCTTTCTTCACCAAACGCCAATTAAACTGCCAATAAGAATTGCAAATTACACTTCAAGTTTACATAGCATCTTCTAGAAAACAATCTGTACTTCAATTCTCAATATTTGAAGACATCATCACTACGTACACAAAAGGTTGAAAAAGTTTATGAACCATAAAGATCAAACAAAAGAAGCAAAAACAAAAGCAAAGGAATGAAGAAAGAAAAAGATAACAGAAAGCAGAGAATCAGTTTCCCTGGTGATTCTTTGCTTCATTTTCACTCTTAAGAACTTCAGTTTTTGTGATGTAATAGCTCAAAAAATTGTCTTTCTGTTTTGCAATCCTTACAACCATTTTAAGTACCACTCCAAGTAGTAGCTTCTACTGTATTCATTGTGTTCTTTTCCTTTTTAAAAGTAATGTTGAGACATAAGCACAAGTGTTTGATTTTATCTAGAACATGTAGGCTGTAGCCCCAAAACTTATAAAACAGTAGTGATTTCCTTATATTTTTATTTATTTATTTTACAAATAATGTTGCAACGTCCAGCTAGGGGGGAAAGAACAGTGATGAAAATAATGGCCGATACACAATGATGTGAATGCAGCAGTCCAATCCACCAGCAGCAGATAATATGTAAAGGTGTGCATTCTCCATTCATAAGTAACTCCATGTTACATAGATAAGCAATCTACTTGCAAGACAATGTGAATAAATCTCCAATTCACTTATCTAATTGTTTAACAATTGAAGGAAGCTGATCTTCAGTCAGGTCCCCAAAATACAGTATAATTGCTCTAAATTTGCTAAAGTTAACCTCAGTTAAAATATACTAAACAAATAGTAAAACTGAACTATAATGAACATACCCAAAGAACACAGTAGACTTCAAACAAATAATTACTCTCACGTTTATTTACAGCATAAAGTTCCAAGTATAGACCACCATTCTAACAAAAGGGTGAGCCAAGAAAATTCTAGAACGGCAAACGCAAAAAACAATAACAAAATCGTACTTTAATGCCTAATTAATCCTATTAACAAAGTAATTAATCCTCTTTCTTCTTCAACTAGACAAAGGCAACAGTAGAGTAGACTAGCAATTGAAGTCAGTCTTCCAAGTTTTTCAAACATTCAAATTGCCACTACAATCAGCAAATTAAGTTGACCAGAAACTTGCAGAGTCCACATCGCATGTACTTACCAAATATAAAATATATATCACACACAGATACAGAATGCATGGAATGCACATATTAAATAAGAAATTCCCACACTTCCCACGCAACATCAAAGCTCGTGCCACGCACGCGACAGCCGGGGACGACCGGGAAAATCAACCTACCTGTTTGTACTGGAGCTCAATAGTGTAAGACAAAAGCAATGGCGTGATGTCGCTCGCATCCGGCCGCGAAACTGACACGATTGTCCCCGTCGGAAGCTCATCGAAAATCCCCTCAGCCGCCTCGCTACCGTATCGAAGCGAGTGCGCAGACGAAAACGCCGAATGACCGCCGCCGCCGCCGCCCGAAATCAGCCTCTCCGTCGACATTATCCCTCAGAAATTGCCCAACCTGCCTCCTTGCATGCCCCTTCCCAATATTTCCTACCAAAAACTCACGAGAGGATCAACCTTAGCTCCGCCTTCTTCAGCCGAACGGAAGTTTCCATTGATTTCTGCAGAAAGCTTAATTATAATATAAACGGGAATGAGAAAACTTAGGAAGCGAATGATATGATCACCAGCAGTTGCACAGAACTCCCGTGCAATGCTGCATTTCACTGGTTGCCACGTGTCCGTGAGGGCACGTGGCAGCACTAGATTGGTCTGTCACGAGTAAATCAGTGGCGTGCTTTGGTACTGAATATAATTAATCAATTAAATTATCTTATGTTGTTGCGTGGCTTAGCAAGTGGGCGATGAAGAAGCAGAATTTGTAGTCAAAAAACGGTTACGTTATTTTTGAAGTAACAACTATACCCCCGAGATTTTGAATTGGTTTTTATTTTAAGGAGCATTTGGGTAGGGGTATTTGAGTAATTTCAGAAAGAGAATGTGCTAATGGAATTTGGGAGGGGCACGGTGCTGAGAGGCATCATCCTATATGGGAATACGAATATCCTTTGAAAGTGATGGGGCCCACAATTAGAATATGCCATTAGCGCTAACACCTTATACCTTTTAGTCTCATTATTGAATGGACTCCACCAATATCCATTAATCTTTTAAATAATTTCCAATTTAACTTCATCATAATTTATTTTTCATTTTTTACAAAATATATTAAAATACTAGATAAATTATGAAATTATTTATCACATTATTCACCACTTTTAATCAACCTTGTTTTCTCTCACATTCCCTCAATTGATTGTTGATCTTGTTACACTTGTTGCTATTGCTTCTTGCCATCTTTCATTGGCAATATGACACTAGACGAACAATCTGTGACAAGTAATTTGAAGTGTCGGGGGTTTGAACCCATGACTTTACGATTGCAAGTTCAACCCTCACACCACCCGTTCATCTTTCATTGTATTTTATTACTATATGTTGTCATTTTGCTTTGTCCCATATTATTGGCCTCCATTTATTTTAATTATATAGTGCATCATAAATAAATATTAATTGGTGTGTTTGATTGGGGATTTAGATTTTGAATTTGAAGTTGAACAAAAAAAAAAAAATTTAATTGAAATTATTGTGTGATATGATATAAATAAATATTAACTTGATGTTTTAAATATAAATTAATTTTTAATTCTATAATGATAATTTTTAAAACCAAATAGTCAACAATAATAATAGCAAAAATGCTCAAATCATGTAAAAATATGGAGTATTGAATTATATTGTGGGTTTGCTTGGTTATGATTTGAAATTAATTTAAAATAAAATATTGATTTCAATTTTTATTTAAATAGTATTTTGATATAATATTTTATGAAAAAATATTTTTATTAGAAATTATACAAAATACTATTTTATAATAATAATAATAATAATAATAAATAAATAAATAAAAAACAGACCCAGTGACATGTCGAATTTTACTTGATGTCTTGAAATACTTGTATAATCTATTGAAGTACATTAGTTAAGATTTAAGTATATAAAAGCATTGAATATACCATTTTTTCAAAAGAAAAGAAAAAAAATAATAATAAAAAATAAAAAATAAAGAAGAGAGATTCAATAAGAATAATATGAAATAGATCAAACCTAATTAGGGTGTGTTTGTTTTCTAAAATGGTTTGATAAATTTTTTTTTTTTTTATGTAAATTATAATTAATTGTGTAAGTAATATAAAAATAATAAGTGTGTTATATATTAATTTTTTGGGAAAAAAGAACATACCCATATTCAATTAGAAAAAAATAATAATAAAAAAAAAAAGAAAAAGAAAATAAGACTATCTAGTCCATGTGTTATTTAATTTTTATTTTTAAAATAAAATAAAAATTTAATATGATATAAATATGAATAATAATAATATATGTATATTGAAAACGATACCAGAAAAATGAAAACCTATAAAACAAACACTTTCAATCTACACACGTCCAAACATAATAACAATAATACCAATCAAGAACACACTTAGGGAACACAAATATTAACCATCCGCATATATGCACAAATTCATACCAAGATACACTATCTTAAAAAAACTTCATTAAATTCGATCTCAACTGCATACATGTATTAAAATCAGCTTTGATATTGATATTTTATTTTATTATGACTTTAATACATTTATTATTTTCCGAATAAAATATTACATCAAAATAGTATTTGAATAAAATTTAAATCTAACACATATGGAGTATTTTCTATTAAAAGCATCATAGCAAATCTCAGTGTTACAAAAACAGTGATAAATACATAGAGTGTGTTTCTTTTGAAATCAACTTAACAATGAAATCAATTGCATGCATACATATATAAACCTATTGTGTATATAATACTATTATATATATATTTGTTTTTTTTTAAAAAAAAAAAAAAATCAACTTTAAATGTGCAAGAATACAGTAAAAAAGCAAGCACAACCTAAGGTAAATTAGACAAGCCAAAAGAAATATATAAAACATAATCTACACACATATTAATAATGAAGTCAATCCAATACAAAAACTAATTATAAACATAATAAATAAATACAACATAACACAATCCATCAACACAGCATATATACACAAACAACATAACATATCAACACAACACATCAAGAGAACACAAACAGTACAATATATATATACATATATATATATATACACACACACACAAATAACACAACATATAAATACAATACAATACAACACACCAACACAACCAATTCAAGATATAATAAGTACAATACAACACATTAATACTTACAAATACAATGGATGAATGTATTATATATGAAAAGATACACACACCACACATTGCAATAGAAGAAACTTAGGTTAATTCAGACAAACCAAAAGAAATATAGGAAACATAATATACACACATATATATATTAACAGTAGCTCAAACTAATGATGCAAACACTTTATACATATATACATATGCATTCATAAGCTTAATGTACACCTACAATAAGATATTATAATACTTTCTTTCACCCAAAAAATCAATCAATCAATCAATCAATCAAGAAACTCTCAATTTTTTTTTTGTAAATTTAAATCAGAGACACAAAATATATATTATTACAGCATATTTTAAAAACACACATACCACATAAATACAAAAAGTTAGCCAGGTATTCTTCAACTATAAAGGCATAAGAGTGCAATACATGTACACACCATAACACATCAACGCAGGCAATACCACATAACACAATACATCAACACAAACAACACAGCACACACATTGCCACCTACAGGTCCATGTATAAATGAATGAATGAATGAATGCAATTAACAAAATTTGCATGATAACAATAAGTGAAAACTTCCTGAATTGAAAGTGTACTCTGTCTGGCCGTACTGTTTAAATGAAAATCAACAAAAAACACAATACATTGCATCAACACAACATATAATAAATAAAATACACCACATCAACATGTATAAACACAATCTATGAATGTGAGGATGCACACATAAATACAATGCATGAATGTATGAATGCAACATGCATGAATAAAATCAATGTATGAATATACATAAATATAGAGCAACGAATTCTACCTGAATTTTAGGGCATTGAAGCAACTCATTTGCATTTAAATTGGAGTGTCGAGCCGTAAGTCCAATGAATTCTATAGTTACTTATACTCCAATTGAATGAATCTGAAAAAGATTGAAAGGAAAATTGTAATGGATAAAATAAAATACATAAAATGAAATCAAGGAATTCAAATACGAAAGCACCTACGAAGACAATTAATGTATATCAATGCAATGTGTGATGCATGAATCAATGACAACTACAGGGGAAACTTCCTTAACTTTGGGTCATTTGAAGCAACTACATTTCATATCAATTTGAATGTGTTAAGCTGCGGTCCAAAATGTGTTGGTTCTCTTTCCTACATTGGATACATTTGAAAAATATTTGAGGGGAAAAAAAACCCATTAAAATACATACATAATTAAGTTAACAGAATAATGAAAGAACTTAACTTTTAGTGCTCGAAATCCATCTCTAAACACTCTATCCTTGACCATTGTCCTTTATTGAATTATCATAAATATTTAAATACTATATCCTAAATACCATCATACCTACGGTCTGTTCTCTAAACCATTAAATCCTCATCTTCTAAACAAATAAAAACAGGTGCTTGTAAGACATGAGCCAAAAAACAATATGACTCGGTCAGTTTTGTGTCCGCGGGGACCTTCGAAAATCTGCTCCAACTCCTGTCCATATTTATCCATTCAAACAAACAGAAAGTTTAGTAACAAAACAGGTGCTTGTAAGACATGAGCCAAATAACAATATGACTCGGTCAGTTTTGTGTCCGCGGGGACCTTCGAAAATCTGCTCCAACTCCTGTCCATATTTATCCATTCAAACAAACAGAAAGTTTAGTAACAAGCATGAGTAATATATACTACAACTAATGAAAACGTGGTAATGTATAATAGCATGGAGATGAGCGTAGCTAGAATCATGGACATGAAGTATATGCCAATCAGCTTCAAAATGGATTTTACTTTTCATAAGTTTCGATGCAGTAGGATCTAACTAACATCTGAAGAAAATTCAAAACCAAAAGCACACTACCATCACTAGGAAGAAAATTCATGATTCAATGAGAAGAAAAATGACCTTCACATTAAAACAGAATTAAACTACCAAATGCCTGGAGAAAAACCTGTTTCTAGTGTATTATTTATAAAATAAATATTGAAAATGATGTTTAAAAAAGGAAATTTTGATAATGGGAAAATAAAGTCGAAACAGATATTTAGATTATCAAGTCCCATACCCAAATGACAAATAAGAATTTGACGAAAGCTTGGAGTGGAGTTGATTCAAAGAGGGATAGAAGTAGTGCTTGTGAGGTGAGGATCATTTAAAACTTAAATCCAACCAAGACTCATAATAAGCCTGATTTAAATTAGGACCCAAGTCTAAAATCAACTCGGAATCACCCGAGTTAGATTCAGACCAAGATTCCAACCAAGCCTTACCTAAAGAGGAAAATACAAGTCTTAACCTAACTCGGAATCACCCAAATTACATTCAGACCAGGACTCGAAACAAGTCCGATCCAAAGAAGGATTATAAAGAATTCAAGTCTCAATATAACCTGGAATCACCCAAACATATTGAGACTTCACATGAACTAGATTCACACCAAGACTTCAAACAAGCGCAATGTAGAAAAAGATTCAATTTTGAACCCAACTCGCAAAACACCCAAGCATATTTAGAAGTAGACTGGAAACAAGCTTAATTTTAAAATAGATTCAAGTTTGAACCAAACTCGGAATCATCAAAACTTGCAACAAGCCAAATCTAAAGTAGTATTCAAGTTTGAACTCCACCCGGAACCACCCCAAGCCGGATCCAATCCTAAACCCAAGTCAAACCTAACTTAGAACCACCTGAACCAAAACAAAACCAATCTAGACTCCTATACCATAGCTTAAAAGTAGACTCGAAACAAGCCTAATCTAAAAATGGATTCAAGTTTGAACCGAACTCGGAATCACCCGAGCATATTCAGATCAAGACTTGAAACAAGTCAAATCTAAAGTAGTATTCAAGTTTGAACTCAACCCAGAACCACACCAAGCCGGATCCAATCCCAAACCCCAATCAAACCCAACTTAAAACCACCTGAACCAAATCAAAGAACCAAACCAAAACAAAACCAATTTAGACTAACCCATACCATAGCTTAGAAGTAACTCGAAACAAGCCTATCAAAGAACGGATTCAAGTTTGAACCCAACTCGGAATCACCCGCGTATATTCAGATCAAGACTTGAAACAAGCCAAATCTAAAGTAGTATTCAAGTTTAAACCCAACCCGTAACCACCCCAAGCCGGATCCAATCCCAAACCCAACTTAGAACCACCCGAACCAAATCAAAGACCCAAAACAAAACAAAACAAAATCAATCTAGACTAACCCATACCATAGCTTAAAAGTAGACTCAAAACAAGCCTAATCTGAAAATGGATTCAAATTTGAACCCAACTCGGAATCACCTGAGCGTATTCAGATCATGACTTAAAACAAACCAAACCTAAAGTAGTATTCAAGTTTGAACCTAACCCGGAACCACCCCAAGCCGGATCCAATCCCAAACCCAAGTCAAACCCAACTTAGAACCACCCAAACCAAATCAAAGACCCAAAACAAAACAAAACCAATCTAGAGTAACCCATAGAAGTAGACTCGAAACAAGAATAATCTAAAAATGGATTCAAGTTTGAACCCAACTCGGAATCACCCGAGCATATTCAGATCAAGACTTGAAACAAGCCAAATCTAAAGTAGTATTCAAGTTTGAACCCAACCCGGAACCACCACAAGCCAGATCCAATCCCAAACCCAACTTAGAACCACCCGAACCAAATCAAAGACCCAAACCAAAACAAAACCAATCTAGACTACTGCATAAAAGGCCAGAGCAATAGCCAGACCAAAACCCAAAGAAACACCAAACAGACCCAAACAACTAAAAGGATTGAAGAAAACTTGGACTGGATTCAAAGAGTGGTATAGAGAGTAGCTTTGTGAGGTGAGAAACATCTAGATCCAAATTCAAATTCAGTATACAATTCGGTCTCATGCAAGGAGAAGAAAACGCAAGAAAATTTATAGATAGACAACTACTTCTAAGTTCTAGCACATTCATATAAAGGTTACAAAAAATATTAGGTCTGTAATCACCAGCTTCCTTCATTACAACAATCGAGAAAAATCTAAAGATAAAATTAATAAACTATCATCCAAACTTGCTGCAAAACCTTAGCAAAACCTGATGTTAATATTTCAAAGAGGAACGACATACTACTGCATACACATGTTTGTATCTTTTCTACAGTCGATAATTGTTGCAACCAGTAATCATTCAAAAAAAACAGTAAGCAAATTTCCAACAACAGCAGAAACAGTTTTACAGAAATGGCCAACCAAGACAGAGAAGTGGAACTGGATTAGGTGAAAGTAAAACAAATGTGAAGTCCTTATACTTGAGGAAAGATAAACCCCTTATCTAGTCTCATTCGAATCCCCTTATCAAAAAGGAATTGCAATTTACGATAAGTTCGCTAGCCGCTTTTAGCACAATAAAATAGCGAATAAACCCTAAAACCACAATCAAAACAAAATTTAACATGATAAAAATAAACCAAACCGAGGATCCTCAAAGCATTGCCTTCCCGAAAACCGTAACTCCCTGTGCGACATGAATACATATCCCACGGCTGAAAGTAAGAGCGTCCGGAAATGCGATGCCGGGTGAGGTGAAGGAAGGATTTCGGAATTCGAATGAACTGCGAAAAACCAGAGAGAAAAGAAGGTAGGAAATCTGGGGTGAGGCGGTCACAGATCTCTCCTTTCTAACCGTTAAAAGGAATTTGAAAAAAATAAGGCGGTGTTTGTTTGTTTAAATTACTTTCCGTTAATTTCAATCTATTTGGAATTTTTATCATAAGTTATTTATCAATTCAAAATCAGAGCATTTACTTGAGTTAATTTCTGCATTAAAATAATTTTATAAAGAGTCTTCTTTTTTTTTTTTTTAATTTTGAGCGATTTTTTTTTAAAAAAAATACATATAGAATATATATTAGATATTTTATGTAAATATATTTGTATATTGTATTTTTTAAAATACCTTCTATTTTCCGCCACAATTCTTTTTTTTTAAAAAAAATTTTATGTCCCACAATGAAGCTTATCAATCTTAATTATCTTTAATCAATATAAATTAATTTAATTAAATTTTCATCGTATAAATAGAAATTATTAAATAACTAAATTATTGTGCTCAAATAAAAGGTTTCATCTTGGTCGGGTAGGAGGATTAATTAGGTCGTAAAAAAATTGTTAAATGAACACAATCATCATTTTAGTTTAATTTTTATTTTAGAAATAAATTTCAAATTTATAGTTAGCTAAAATCTATTCATAATTGGGTAAATATGTAATAATAATAATAATGGTAACTCCCCTCTCTAACGTCTCACTGTACACACATATATATATAAGATTGATCTCTGTGCTGCTGTGCATATTCTTGAAAAGATTATATTCGATTCGATTAGATTGAGCTGGAAATTAAAACACCCATTTCTTTCTTTCTTCCAATTAATCGCACATGCATATATGATCTTGAAAAGTTTAGATAGAAGTAGAATTGATCGATCATTAACCAGTAATTCCTAATTAGGGTTAGGGATTTCATCAACTGTTCATTAATGGCTGCCGAGGAGACGCCGCCGTCGTCGTCGCCGTCGCCGTCGCCGTCGAAGTCGAAGTCGAAGAGGCGGTGGACTAGAGACGAAGAAAAGGAGATGCTAAGGCTTGTGAAAGAACACGGCACGTACTGGCACGTAGTAAGCGGGAAGATGCCATCGCCGGGGAGGACGCCGGATGCTTGCCGGAATCGCTTGTACTGGAATCGAAACTACCTGGAGCTCGACGAAAATTACCATCTGATGATCAATCAGCCATGGTTTACGGATCATAGCTGGGAAACTGTTGCCAATTTACTTCCACCTCCAGGGAGGAGGCCCTACCATTTGAAGTTTGATTTGAATCACCCTCCATTAGTTGGAGACGAGGACGAAAACGACGTCGCTTCGTCGTCACTTGATTTTTCTGCTGGAGATGATAAGAAAAAGGTCGTCAAGAAATTGGATATTGATCATCACGATAATGTGTATTTTCCATTGACGCCTGGTAGTAGTAGTGGCGTAAAGAAGGATATTACTGTGAAGAATGAGGACATGCCGATGGTGAAGAGGGAACAGGACGACGACGACGACGTCGACGACGATGGTAACACTAGTCTTCTAACGGCTCTGACTTTAAGAACGCCGCCGCGAACTCAGGATCTTAGACGAATTTCGAAACATCGATCGATGAAAAAGATCAAGAAAGAAATTGATCTGTAGTTTGCATTCATTCAAGAAACCCTATGTTGAAGAAGAAGAGGGATCAGATAAGATCAGATCATCAAGAATTACTATTTGTACTTAACAAAAATATAAGCAGATGTGTTTCTTGTTTTTTCAGTTTTTCCTTTTTTTTTTTTTTTCTCCTTATGTGAAATTACCTAGCAAGCAACAATAGAACCAATGAATTTCCCTTTTCTATATATATATATTTTTTTTTTGCATGTGGTTTTTTCTTTTTCTTTTTATTTTTTTTTCTTTTTATTTTTTGAAATACATTGTTGAAGAAATTTAATAAAAAAGTGTGGTTGGATGGGCTAGATGTGCCGACGGACGTTACGGGTGGGTCCGCGGGGGGAGAGTGTTGAGGCATGGCAAATAAACATCTGATTTCTATTAAATTAAAAATTTAATAAAATATTATTTTTTATATTTGCTCAGTCCATCTTCAATTTATCTATTTTGACATTTTAATTTATTCATAAATATATCTGTTTTCATTTTTAATAAATATATTTCTATTCAAATATAAAAATACTTTCGTCCTTCATATAATATTACACAAATGCTTTCAAATAATAGTATAAATGTTGGTATAAAATAATCTTTATACATGTAATGGTACTATATATCAATATAATATTAATATACTAAAATTTACAAGGCAAAAAAAATAAACTAATACATTGGTGGTAGATGGAGAGAGTATTATGATTCATATGCATGCAAGTGTGTATATAACTAAAAACATCATATAAATAATCTTTTAATTGCAAAAATAAAAAAAAAAAAGTCAAATAATTAACATAGATGATTTAAAGATGTCGAGTTTAGTAACTCGACTTGAATTAATTAGTTTAACTAAAATTTAAGAAAATATAAATTAAAAAAATAAAATAAAATTAAAGTATATAATTTTTTTAAAAAATAAAAGTGACAAAATAAATTTGACGGAAGATAGAAATATGAATATAATAAGCGGAAAGAGAGAGTAAAAAAGACTATTCGTTAATCCAAACAAATGCTAACTACCAAAAATCGTTAATAGCACTGTTTGGATAAGTTTCAAATACTTAGTTAGTTACATATCTATTTATATGTGTAAATAATAATAATAAAATAATAATAATAATAATAGTTAAACGGTTACTCCCCGCTCTAACGTCTCTAGCTTGCAGTTAATTAGGTCAACCGCAGGCTTCCCTGCAACTGGAAACACTATACACACAAACACTCCTTTCTTTATATATAAGATCCATCACTGTTCTCTGCTGTGCATATTCTTCAGAAGATTAGATTCGGTTCGATTCAATTAGATTGAGCTGGAAATTAAAACATCCAATTGATCGATCAGCAAGTAGTTCGTAGCAATTCCCAATTGAGAGGGTTAGCTAGGGATTTGATCAATTAGTGATCAATGGCGGTGGAGCTGCATGCGTCTCGGCGGTCGAAGGTGCGGTGGACTGACCAAGAAGAAGAGGAGCTGCTGAGGCTTGTGAGAGAACACGGCAGGGACTGGTTCTTGATCAGCGAGCAGATGCCGGGGAGGTCGCCGGATGCTTGCCGGAATCGCTTGTACTGGAATCGAAACTATCGGAGGCTCAACGATAATTACTATGAGATGATGAATCGCCCCTTTGCTTCGTTGTCGGCGGGACGAGTTCGTAACTGGGCAACCATTGCCAATTTGCTTCCACTTCCTTCTGCTGCACTGAGGAAACCCTACGACAATTTGAATTTTAATTTGAATTGCAGCGATGGCGACGACGACGATGACGATGACTACTTTTTATCGTCATCTACAGATGATAAGAAGAAGTTCGTCCGGAAATTGGAAATTGCTGTGAAGAGGGACGACGACGACGATGATTACAGTAGTTTTCTAGCAGCTCTGACATTAAGAACGCCGACGAGAACCGATTGATCGATGAAGAAGATCGAAAAGGGAATTGATCTGTAGTTGCATTCGTTGATTCAGGAAACCCTACGTTGAAGAAGAAGAGGGATCAGATCAGATCAGATCATCAAGAATTACTATTACTACTTAACAAAAATATAAGCAGATCATGTGTTTCTTGGTTTTTAGATTTTTGCATCAGTGTGATATATGTGAAATTACCTACCAATAATAGAACCAATGTGTTTCCCTTTTCTAGATTTTTGCATTTTTTTTTTGTTGTTGTTGTTGATGTTGAGTTTTGATCAAATTATCTCAAAATCAATAATTCTTAAAATGAAAATGAGTAAAAATTTATTTAGTTATAATTTAATTAATAGACTCCAAGCCGTCGAATGAAGCAACACTTGTAAGTAAAGATTGGAGGTTTTTACAGCTAGGAGGCAATCTAAACCCCAAAGATAAAAAATCCATGAAATTTGGACGCGACACAAAGGTAAAACAAAAATCGATAAACACAAAGAAAAATAAATCGTAAAGAAGCCGATGACAATCGTATCAAGTTGATATCAAATTTATATAAAAGTGTATGAGAGCAACGGCACTATGAAGTTGAAGTTAATTCATATACATCTCAAATATATATATTCTATGTTGAAAATTCATCCGATCAAATTTATGTCGAACTAAATGTTTTATATTTTATTTTTACATAACTTTAAAATATAATATATATATTAATTTTTTTATTTTTTTTTTCAAATAAATAAAAATTTAATACTAAAAAAAATATTTGAGTGTATTGATTGATTGTGCTTTTATCTTCATTGTTCTAGTACCTCCAATATAATTATTTTAATTTATATGATTAAAGTATATTTTTATCTTCATTGTTCTTGTACCTCAAATATAATTATTTTAATTTATATCATTAAATTAAATTATATTATCAATATAATTAAAATAATTAATTTTTATAGATGTTGAATATTTATTTTAATATGTGATCTCTACCATGTATATATATAGAGAGAGTAGAGAATTAGTCTCTTCACTCGGCATTTTTCCAATGAACAATTATCTATAAATATTATAAAAAAAAATAATTATACATATACATTAATATAATATATATATTATTCATTTATAAAAAGTCAATTATTCAATTCATAATATTAGTTTTTATATTAGAAACACAATTTTTTATACTTTATTTAGATAAAAGACTTCTGAAATTTTAAAATTTTTTATAATAATAAAAAATAGTATTTAATTTAATATTAAAAAAATTGAATATTTTATAAAAATAAGAATAATATCAAACACTCAAAAATTTTGTCTAAACAAATAGAAAATTAGGGTGTGTTTGTTTTGTAAAATTGATAACAAGTAAATTTTTTGATATAAAATATAAAAAATTGTGTAGAAAATAATAAAAATAATAAATATGTACAGTATATTAATTTAAATATATATATATATATGCGAGAAAAAATAGTAGAAATCACAAAAGAAGTGTGCACACTTGGTCAACTTTTGATATAAATTCGTCCATACTGTAATTTTTAATAGCTCATAATTCACCAACTTTTGAGTCACGCGGATCAATATAATACTAACAAAGTAATATTCCATTAATTATTATTCTTTCCAATAATTATATTTGTTTTTTTATTATTATTCCCTCCGTCTCATGTAATATGAGTGTATTACTGTAGACACAGAAATTTAAGTAAAGTATAATTAGTAAAAATGTATTAGTAAAAATAATTATAGATTAAGATTAAGATAACTAAATAGTTTAATTAAGATTAAAAAAAATTAAATTTTAAAATTTAAAATATATAATTAATTTTCCATAAAAAAAGGACAAATTAAGTAAGGTTTATCGTATTGCACTCAAACAAAGACAAAAACAAACTAAACAAAACATTTCCTTTACTCCCATTTTCTTATGCTGTTTTTTTTTTTTTTCTTCCTCTTCAAATATATTAAAGAGTTATTTTTGCCCTATTATATTACAATTCCTCTGATTCATAAAAAAATATTCATTTATTTTTTCACGTAATTTTAAAAATATTAGTATTATATTGAAATATAGTAGGAATAAAATATAAATTATTAAAATAACCTTTTTAATATGTGTAATATAAAAGTAATAGCATTTGTATAATATATTATAAATTGTAAGGGTATATGTAATGTTAGATATATACTACAGTTACTATAAAAAATGAATATTTTATTATGAGACGGACTATAATAGAAAAATAGATATTTTATTATGGGAAGAAGGGAGCATATCTCTTAGCAAAGTAATCGTATACTTAATTTTTTATTATTAATAAAATTTCAAAAATACCCAAATTATTTTTTTTTTAAAAAAACATAATAAAATCATATCTAAATCGTGGAGCCTACTATCAATTGATTTTATTATTATTATTATTTTTAAGGTATCAATGTATGAGTTTTGTTTTAATTTGTAATTAAATATTTGATATTCAAATCCAATATAGAGGAATTCTAACTATCCAATATAGACAACCACTACCACCAAAACTCTAATGCATTTTTAGTCTTAATATGTCAAGGCAAAGCACGAGAGAGGTGGACGAAGAAAGAAAGAAGAGGAAAATCAAATGACAATTTTGTCCCTATTGTCATAACAATTATTAAATTTAAATTTAATCCATATATAATCAACACTAATCTTTCTCAAAAAATAATACTACCTTTGTCATTTTTACTTTTTTTTTTTATTTATTTAAAATTTATTTTTATTTCTTTTATAATGAAAAAATAATATTTTTTCTACTGTTTTTTTTGCCCTAAATAATTTTATTTATTTATTTATTTTTATCTATTTTAAAAAAAAAATAAAATTGTATCAGTACATAATTAGATGCAGAAGTAATAGAATAAAAAGATAAATTTCAAAATCCCTGAACCACACACATTTTTACAGGTACAGTAAAAATTGCACATAAGTGGAGCCCACCTGGTCAGTCCACCAAACCTCGAAATTGGCCACGTGTCGTCTTCCCCATCGCCCCCATAGACAGACAGACAGACCACCACTGCACTTTTCGCAGCGTTTTCTTCCACCACTCTCTCTCTCTCTCTCCTCTTTCTCACAGTGCGATCGGAAGTCACCGTCTCTGCTTCCTTCACTCTTTACTCTTTCCTCCTCCCTCTCCACTCCATTTATTTATTTATTTATCTTTCAGCAGGAAAAAAAAAGGTGGTTATGTCTGGTCGGAGCCTCAGCGAGATATCGGAGGACGAAAGGGCGTCGTTCGCCGTCGATCTGGTGGCGGCCGCCAGAAGATTCCTCGGCTTCCTCCGCCTCGTGGCGGCCTCCCATTGGCTGCACCGGAAACCCGCCCTCCTCGACGCCGTCAGAAGGTTAATTACTTCCTTAATTCATTACATAAAAATGGAGTATAATATTAATTCAATTCAATATATTTCCTTTCGTTCTCAACTCTTGTCCGAATCGAATCACCATCGTCAGATACGACCAGCTCTGGATGCCGTTGATTTCTGATCTGACGACGGAGCAGCGGCCGCCGATGATCCTCCCCCCCCTCGACGTCGAATGGGTTTGGTTCTGCCACACTCTCAATCCAGTAAATCCCCAATTGATTTTAATTTTAACATTTTTTTTTTTAAAAAGTAATTAATGTTTTGTTTGTTTCGTGTTTTTTAAGATCAAATACAAAAATTACTGCGAGTCGAGATTCTCGAAGCCGATCGGGAAGGCAGCCATATTCGACGAGGAGAACGAGGATTACGCGGTGGAGAGATGCAGGGAGATCTGGGAAAGTAGGTTTCCGACAGAGCCATTCGAGAACAAAGCCGATGTGGATGAGAATGTCTGTTCATCGTCCTCGTCGTCGTCCTCGTCGTCTCCGAGTACTAACATCGAAGGTAGTAATGACTGTCTGTTGCAGCAAGTTTTGGTCCATAGAGATCTCTGCAAGGGGTTTAGGGAGCCGTACTATTCAGAGATGGTGTATTTGGTGGCAGCCAAGCAGAGGTACAAAGCTTTCATTTACATGGTCCATCGATTTGGGGACGAATCTTCTTCCCTGGTTCCCACTTCCGACATTCTTCTCATGTGGATTACTCATAAGGTCAGTTTTGCAATGTTCTTGATTTGCTTTTGATTGTTAGAATTATTACAAGACTAATTCAACATTGGAAAATGCTGGTTAATTTCGACTAAACTAGACACACTTAATTAGTTGCGAATCACTCTCATCGATGATCAAATTCGAAAGATTGTGGAATAAAAGCAGCCATGGTTTTGGTGGATTTAGAGAAATGAATGATGAGGATTGTAGTTGTAAGAATCTAGACAAAAGTTCATGGATCAAAGGTTGTTTTGTTGTGTAATAGAATAAGGGTTGCGGCACATGGACCATATGACTTGTTGGTGCATTCTTGTTCTCTAACTTTTGTCCCCATTGCCTCTTTGTTTGTTCGCTTTTGGCATATGCATGATTCTTTACAACAATCTCGTAAATATATATATATATATAGGTACGTACATCTTAAGTTCGGGTGATTAGTTAAAATATTGGAAGTTAGTACATTTCATTTCATTTTTAACGTAATCATGTCCTAATTTGTCGGTTTATTAGAGCTATCCAACCATGTACGCGATGGATTGTAAGAACTTGGACAACAATATGGAGAAAATAATTGTTTTGCGGGATACCGTTAAGGAAGAGGACGTCGAAGAGACAAAAATGTTGTGGGACCGAACTTTTGATCAACCGTATGAGAAAGCTGGCGGAGCGGCCGTAATTGCGCAGCCTACCGTCAACGAGCCTCCATTTTATTGGGACACGACGGATATCGACGTCAACACAAAGTACAAGTCGTTGATGCCCCGGTTCTTATTTGAGGTTAGTTTAACTCGCAATTTCGCCACCGGTTTCTCGAAATTTGACATGAAAATTGATTGAATTTTAATGAAAATTGAAATAAGGTGTTGTAATTGAACTAAAGTTACTATCTTTTTAGCTGATGTTGTGATGTTATGTATGATCTTAGGTATGTTTGTCGATAAAAGTAACATCGAATATTCGGCCGGGGAAAAGAGACCCATCGAGAGAATTTCTTCGCCTCCGCACTATGAAGTGTCATCGTGAGCTGAAACTCGATCTCCCGTTGTCATGCTTCACGTCGAAGTCGTGGCAAAAGGCATGGCATCTTTATTGCGAGTTCGGGACTAAAGGGTTGATCGTCGAGCTTCGTTACCGCGGGGGTCGTTTCTCTAAAGGCAGCTCGTTGCTCGAGAGTGTGTCGTTTTCTTGGAACGATGTATTACGAGCGCAAACGCTCACGTTAGGCAAGGAGATTGACGGACGATTACGGATCATGGTTTCGATAACTCCGCCGGTTCAAGGACCCTACTTGTTGAAATGTGTGTCGGACCGAGCGACGGACGACTCGGGAGCAATGATATCGGATGTGATTTTGAAAATGAATCACTACCGGCCTCAAGAAGGACGGTGGTTATCCCGTACCGTTTTGGATCATGCCGGGAGAGAATGTTTCGTTGTTCGGATGAGGTAAAGAAATAATGCGTTGTGACATACTTCGTTATTGTTACATTGTTTTTCTCGTTATCGATTCTTTTTTCGAATGCAATAGAGTTGGAGAAGGCTTTTGGAGACGAGGTGGCGAAGTTCCTAGAGCCGTTAATTCGAAGGATCGGGTTATAGAGATAAGGGAAGGTTCTTGGTCCTACGTTGTTGGTTCGACTTCAATCGGGAGATCATCTGGTGCGTAAAATATAATTACCCTTTCGATGCGTTATACACTCGAATTGGAATTTACGATCGTCGTTTTTTGATCGTTAAATGCGTTCTTGCATTGTGACGAATGTCTAGTACAGGGAATGTGGTTGGAACCGCGACGCCAAAGGAGGCACGGGAAGGTTTCCAAGCGTCGTGGAACTTATCGACGGGGCACGAATTGCTAATACAACGAGACACATCGAAACCATTTCCGGCGTTGAGATTCGACGTCGTAAACGAATCAACGGTAAGATTAAAAAAAATGCCAAATTCGGATTATTCGACCGAATCTCGATATTTAACGATGATCGTCTTGCATATCGATAGGAACCTTCGCTGAAACTACTGCAAGGGAGACAATTACAATACGGTCTCGACGAGAAAGAATCAAACAATGACGACGACGAATTCGCGACGCTGGTCAGAGTTTCGGACGAAAACCCGATGGGGAAAGCCACTGGTGTTTTGAACTGGAAGCTACTCGTGGTCGAGATACAGCCGGAAGAGGATGCGGTGACGGCGCTTCTTCTGTGCCACTCGATCCTCCGCAGCGTATCGGAGATGAAGAGGGAGGACGTCGGGGGGCTCCTGGTGCGGCGGCGAGTGAAGGAAGCCAAGATCGGGGACCGGGACTGGGGGTCCGTTATCGTCCATCCCTCGTCGTCGTCGTTTGTTTCTTCTTCGCCGTACGTCGGCCGGCCGTGGTATCGGGACGCGAATCGGGTGATGGCCTTGCAGGAGAAGGATGGTAGTATGGGTCATCCTCAGAATTCTTGGAATTATTCTCAGACAGAAGGCGGGGAGAAGCTGTACAAAACTTTGATTTCGAATTAGAATCGACCCATGTTGATTGTTGATGTTAATTGGTTTGGTTTGATTGGGGTGTGATTGTGAATGCGATCATTTTGGGGGACTTGAATTGAATTGAGATTTTTTGTTTGTATTGCAATTGCAATTATCTTCATTTAGTTGTTGGACTAGTGAAATTATTTTAACTATAGAGTTTTGTGTGATCTTTGGGGTAAAAATGGATTTGGGTAGCAGACCCGACCCGACCCAATTTGGCTCCATCTTGGCCCGGCAATGCTACAGCCAGGACTGTCAAACGAATAAGGTGGATTCAGGTAAGCTATTAACAAGTTGGAAAATATTTGATATGAACCCCTTTATATATATATATATTAAAGCAAAAAATATTTATTCATATCATGAAATTGATGTGTAAAAGTCGAATTAACAAAATTTTAGCTTAATTTTTTTTATATAAAATTGGCCATGAATATTTAAATTGAATTGGTAAAATTTTAAAAAATATATTTAAATTTAAAATAATAATAATTAAATAGGTTAGACAGATTTTTCCAAGTTAAAAATTTGGATATAAACTTTACTCATTTAAACGGATTTAATCCAATTATTAATTAGATCAAAAATTTCAATTCAAACCCAACTATTTGGAGTCAAGGTTCAAATTCAGATTAAATTAATTTTTGACAATTCTAACTATAAATTTAATTTGTTGGATCCGGGTCAGGATCCATAACCGTTTCCATTCCCGTCCGTATTTTCAACGCGCAACCAAATCCGTACTATCCTACATTCAGTAATGAAAATTGTTACATTTGTCCCAAATTAGCAAAACACCCACAAAGAAGAAGGGTGACCACATTTCCAAAACAAAATTCAACACTCCAAAAATACCAAAGCAATATACATTTAGTGTATAATTTCCAAAAAAAAAACAGAATGGCTGCAATTCAATCAAATACAAAATAAAGTGCTATTAGTATGGTCGACCGTACCCTAACACAGGGCAGCCCATATAATTTGCACTCCTAATAATTCCTTAAAAAAAAAAAAAAAAAAAGTTGTCTTTATAACAAACCCCACAGCTCCCAATTCTCCCTTGGAGTTTCAAGGCTTGTAGTTAATGCACGCGCCCCTTACATATTCCTAACCAAGGGGAGAATTGTCCTCTTACAGGCCTTTCTCCATCGTGCTCAATTCATTTTTCACACATATTAATTTAATTTAATTTAAACATACATTCCATCTATAAAAATCTAAAAAATTAAAAAATATATAAAAAAAATATAATTTTTATTTAAATTATTATGGATGAGAGCAAGAAGAAGATTGCAATAGTTACCGTGTGCTCCCTCATCCTGGTGGCCATGGTGGTGGCGCTCGTGGTGGTCAACCGCGACGCCGGCGAGGAGTCGGAAGGCCCCGACGTCTCGTCGTCGAAGAAGGCGATCGCCGCCGTTTGCGAGACGACGGATTATAAAAAGGCCTGCGTCGATAGCCTTAACGCCTCCGGGACCAATGCCACCGATCCGCAGGAGCTGATCCGGGTCGTCTTTCAGGCTACGCTTAAGTACATTCAGGAGGCCGCCCAAAATTCGACGACGCTCCAGGACCTCGAGAAGGACCCGAAGGCCAAATCCGCCCTGGACACGTGTCGGGAGCTGGCTGCCAGGGCCGGATACGATTTGGAAAGGTCCTTTGCCAAGTTTAATACCTTCGACATAACCAATGTCGACGATATCCTCCTGGATCTCAAAATTTGGCTCAGCGGCGCCATCACCCACCAGGAGACCTGCCTCGATGGATTCGACGACGTCGCCGGCGAGGCCGGGATGAAGATGAAGGAGGCGCTCACCACGGGAATGCAGATGACCAGCAATGCCCTTGCCATGGTCCAGGAGCTCTCGACGTTTCTGGAAGGGATGGGGATTCAGAGCTTCAAGAGCCGGCGGTTGCTTGATTTGCCGGACTGGATCGACGCCGGTGAGCGGAGGCTGCTGGCGGCGCCGCCGCAGAAGATTAAGGCTGACCTTGTCGTCGCCAAGGATGGAAGCGGCAAGTATACCACCATAAACGCTGCGCTAAAAGACGTGCCGGAGAATAGCGATCACCCGTTTGTGCTTTACATTAAGGAAGGTGTTTATAATGAAATTGTGAAGATTAACAGCAGCTTGACTCACCTGATCGTCATCGGCGACGGCCCTACACGGACTAGGATCACCGGAAACCTAAATTACATCGACGGCACCAGCACTTATCACACCGCCACCGTCGGTACGGACACACACACACAGAGAACCCTAATTTTATCGATTTGGGGATTTTATTTAATTTTTCAATTTTTTTTTTAATTTGTAGCTGTTCAAGGAGACAGCTTCATAGCGCGGGACATCGGATTTGAAAACACCGCCGGAGCGGCGAAGCACCAGGCGGTGGCGCTGCGCGTCAGTGCCGACAAGACGGTGTTCTACAACTGCCACATGGACGGGTACCAAGACACGGTCTACGCGCACACATACCGGCAGTTTTACAGAAACTGCGTCATCTCCGGCACGATCGACTTCGTGTTCGGCGACAGCGCCGCCGTCTTCCAGGGCTGCACGTTTCTAGTACGGAAGCCGCTGGACAATCAGCAGTGCATCGTGACGGCGCAGGGGAGGAAGGAGGTCCGGCAGCCGACGGCGCTGGTTCTCCAGAACTGCACCATCACGGCGGCGAAGGAGTACTACCCCGTCGCCAGGTCCTCCGTGAAGACCTACCTCGGCCGGCCATGGAAGGAGTTCTCCAGGACGATAATCATGGAGTCGTTCCTCGACTCCCTCGTCGAGCCGGAGGGATGGCTGCCGTGGAACGCCACCTTCGCCCTGGACACGCTGTTCTACACGGAGTTCAACAACCGCGGCCCGGCGGCGCCGAAGACGTCCCGCGTCAAGTGGACCGGAGTTAAGGAGCTGCCGCCGGAGCGCATCCAGCGTTTCACGGCGGTGCCGTTCCTCGACGGCAATAAATGGATTCCGGTGGCTCAGGTCCCCTACGCCGGCGGGTTCATCTTCCCGGTGCCCAAGGAGGATCCCAACATCAAATACTCTCCCGTCTCGCAGGAGGAGAACAAAGATTTGGGATCGGAGGCCCACCAGCCGCCGGCCGCCGCCGCCGCACCGCCGCCCAGCCATGCCGTCCCCGTTTCCGACACAGTCATCGTCTCCCCGCCGGCGAGCAGCCCAGCCCCCAGCGCGTCGCCTTCCGATCTAAAATCGAGCATTTGGGAATTATGGATGTCCACTGACTCTCCGGCGCCGAGCCCAATCCCGACTCTCAGTCCGGCGGCGGCGCCGAGCTTAAGCCCGAGCCCGGCAGCATCACCGAGTCCCAGTCTCACTCCGGCGGCCGCACCAAGTCCATCCGGCATTGCTGCACCACCAAGGTCGGCGGCGTCTCCGGCTCCGGCACCGAGCGTCAGACCGGCGGCGAGTCCAGTGGCGGCGTCACCAGTCAGCGCCGCGCCGGCGACGGCGCCGTCTCCCTACTAGAGTTGTCGCTTCATATATAATATTTTTAAAAAATGCACATAATATATAAAATTATTTGACATATATATATATTTAATCGATAACAAAATTAAATATTTTTTAATTAATTCTCAAATATATATATACATACAAATATATGTGTATGTAATGCTGCGAAACCACCTGATAGTGTCCTGGTTTGGATGTGTTGATCATCATCATCATCGTCTTCTTCTTCTTCACTTAATTTGTAGCACTGTACTAGAAAACAACACATTAATGTTTTCACTATATACGTGCAAAGTGAGTTGAGTTTAGAGGGGAATATTATATTTTATTATTACTATTATTATATTACTATTATAATATTTTAATATTTTATTATTATTATTATTATTATGACTTCTTTTTTGTTAGGGAAGACGGAATACAATAATAATATATTTTTGTTGCAAATACACATTTGTGTGGTGGTACTTATATCTCTCGAATTTGTTTTTCTTTTTTCTTTTTTTATTTGGATTTTTATAGAAAAATGGTTAAAATAATCAGAATATATATATATATATATGATCGTAAATAGTATTTTTATATTATAACTTAATTATTCATCTAACTACTCATATCTTAGTTGTGTAATAACGAAAGTAAATCTAATAGTTCCTTCGTCTCTGAAAATTAGTTTCCAAAAAAATATAATTAAATTTTACTGACGGGAAGTAATATACAATAACACTTAAGTCATTTTTTATTTGGCACATGCTTCAATTTTGATGTTACTAAAGTATTTGCTGTGATGACAGTGGAGTTGGCATAGGTGCCGAGAAATTTCGATGAGCAGTAGTAAAAGACTCCAAAAATACAGATATTGCAGTTTTTTACTTCAAAGAGAATAATTTTTAAATATTTTATTTTATATGGAGTATTATTTTAAATAATTTTTTATATTTATATTTTACACTCAATTTTTATTTTTATTTACACAATTATATATTATTCCTTCCGTCTCAAATAAGGTACAATATTTACTTTTGGCACGGGTTCTTAGGGTAGTATTAAGTAAGATAATTTAAAAATTAGGTGATTTGATGGAGAGAGAAATATATATTTTATTTTTTTATTTGGATGATGTGAGGGGATAAAGTGTGAAGTAGAGATTAAATATAATTAATTATTTCCTATTTTAGAAATGTTGCAAGGTGTTTGGGACGGAATGAGTATTATTTAATAGAATGTTTATAATATAAAAAATAATACTCCCTCCGTCCTGCAACAAAAGTGGCGTTCGCTTTTTGCACGTAGATTTTTTAATATTAGTATTATATTGGATTGTAGTAAAAAAAACAAAAATACCCCTATTAGTATGATGTAATATAAAAGTAATGGTATTTGTGTAATATATTGTAAGTTGAAAAGGTATTTATTATGTGAAGTAGGTAGTACAATTACTAAATTAAGAAATGGTAAGTTGGTAACCTTGTTTTGGGACGAACGAAAATGAAAAATGGTAACCTTTCAATTGGACGGAGGGAGTAATTTTTTTATTTTTTTTATTTTTTACAAGTTAAATATAAAAACAATTACTATATTAAATAAAAAATTACAAAATATTAAATTAAAACAAATAGTACATTAAATATAAAATTTATACAAGACTAAATTAAAAAAAAAAAAAAAAAAAACTTTAATCACTATGTTGATAAGTACATAGAATTAAAGCATGTATAATTGTAAAATGAAATATATATGACCGTACGCTATCATTATCGTGTATAATTATAAACGATCATATATTTTCCAGGTTATTTGCCACGTCAATTTCGTTACGTCTACGTCAGTAATTTTCGTTAGTTTTTTTTAACTGTAAGACCAAAATAAGTGAAAATGGTTTATAATTAGACCAAAATTGATTAGAATTGTTTACAATGAGACTAAAATTTATTGAAATTGTTTATAACGAGACTAAAATTGATGAGTTTTTATATTTAAACCAAAATTGATAAATTTTGATTATATCGAAACCAAAATTAATTCTTTTCCTAAATATTAATATGATATTTTAGTTATAAATTTAAATTTGAATTTAAAGTTTTTATTTTATACAATTAAAAAATAAATTTTATGTTTATAATAAAATAATTATATCTATTTATATTTATATTAAATAAGTATTAAAATACAGAATTTCATTTAAGGTATATTAATTCGAGTTGATATATTTATATCGTGAAATATAGAAAATTATATATAAAATATAAAAATAATTAATATATATATATAATATTAATATTTTTAGAAAACAATTAGGTAAGTTTTATTAAAAGATAACACCCTTACTATTTCACCATTATATCTACAAAATTCCAAGAAATTTGGGCCAAAATTACAATCTTGAAAAACTCTTTATTTAGACGACGTCGTATCGTACATTTTCCTGCGTCTTTAAATCCACCGGAAGCTATTTGGCGTACAATTTGACCTAGCGCTGCAGACGAGATATTAATTTTCCATGGCGGTCACTTCGTCGTCCCCTACGACATCGTCCTCGTCTTCCGACTCATCCGATGGGCGCCGGCGCCGCAGAAGACAGAATCGAAAGATTAAAACGAGCAGGGATTCCCACAAAATTAGCAAGAAGAGTCGATCTCACTCGAAGCGTCGCCGTCGGCGTCATTCTTCGTCGTCATCGGAAGGCCACGCTTCTTCATCCTCGTCCGGAGACTACAGGTTCCGTTCTTAGGGATTCTATTCTTTATCTATATTCCTTGCGTGTTCTTGAATCTCTTGTTTCTTTTATACACCTTCGGATTTAGGGATTATTTTATGTTCCCCCCTTTTAAATTTAACGAACCGATCTGTGACTTGGTTTGAGATGATGTTATTCGGATGCTGTTTTATTGGATTTATATTGCTAATATTTGAGTTGTAATTCCCGATTAGAAACTCTAGCAATGGGATCTTGCAAGTTCCACATTAGTTTCAATCTTTTACCCCAGATTCTATAGTTTGGTTTAATTGTTTTTATTGTGCAAGAATGCAAAGGGCTCAACGATGCTATTCGACATGAATTTGAAAAGGGTTAGTCTGATATATAATGTTGTTCTAAAACAATCAAGCTTAAGACCTAAGCAATTAGTTCAGAATGTATCCTGGTAAAGTTGGAAGTATTAATTTTCATTAAGTGAAATCTGCATCATGGTTAAAATTTTGGTGAAGGAAGCCACATTGCATGAAAAGATGCGTTTTTTAAAGATCTAGCTTTGTTTTGTGTTTATTTTCTTATGGATTTTTTAGTGGTTTCACTTTCATTTATCTGATCCATCTCCATATCTCATAACCTTGCTGTATTTGATGGTGGAAGATCTGTCACTTAAGGAAAATTTGGTCGTTAAGAAATCAGGAGCACTGTAATGTGCAAAACTTATTAAAGCAAAACCGTCGCTTTTACACCCTTCTGATATTGTACGCTTACGTAGAACTTAAGGATAGCACATTTGACATCTGCAAAACTTCAAAACATTATGTCATATATAACGCCTTCAAAAAAGTCAGGATGGTTAGACGTAAAGCACCATTAAATTGGACCTGACAGACATATAAAGAAAAGTTGACTACATGTATATCTTTTTCCATACAATAAATGTGACATATTTTATTGAGGTTCCATTGCAATCTGATCAGCTCCCAGCCGCATTCGTATTAATTCCAAAAGCATGTTATTTATCGACGCACAAAGAGAAGTGCTAATGTGCGCATGTTTTTCCTGTGCCTGTATACATCTTCATTATTTAGAGAGATCACATCATTTAATAGGAATCTAATCTATACTTGCTAGTTTGAGTTATTTTGTGTTTTTGTATTCCAGTTCCTCTGACAGTGAACATCATGCATCTCACCGTTCAAAGAGGCATAAACAGAGTGATAAATCAAATAAGGTGGTGATGCTAGCAATTTTGTTACTTGTTCGTATATGCATATCAATCCTGATGATTACTTATTAACTGTTCTTCTCCATTCCAGAAGAAAGATAGGGTAAAAATTCACAAACACAAGCGTGATAAAGAAAAAACAAAGGAGGTACACCACTGCAATCTCTTCGGCAGTTTCCCTGTTACAGTTACTCACCAAAATTTCATTAATGATTTTTTGCCCCCCTGATATATATTTTAAGTTGAAGGATATTGAATTTCATTATTGTTTTCCTCAGAAAAGATTCTTATTTATCCACACGATTGTTTAATGTATTGGGATCTAATAGTTCTTTCTGCCTTTTATGAATGGCTCTTGGAAATTGGAGCTGGTGTTTGTGACATGATGACTGGCATCTTGATTGGGATGGATGCTTGATGTTTCTGGCTTGATTTTGTCCTGCCATTGTGAGTCACATACAGAAGCAACAGGAAGAGCTCAGTGGTCCCGTTCAACTTTCGAAGGTTTTTGCTTTTTTTGGAGTGTTGAAATTATTTACCCAAGTAGATTTTGAAATGCTAGAATTTTCTTTTAATTCCTTACCTACATCTCATCCAGTTTCTGGGAAGGGACAAAGAGAAAGACGACAGTGCTCGCCGCAGTGCGGTTTCTGGGAAGAAGGTATGGCTACCCCTTTTTCTCCTAAAATTGAATGTATCTCTTCAATTTATTGAATCAATAATCTTTTCTCCAATTAGTTATTCAAACAAAAGTTTTAACTTTGATGAAGATTTCATGAGTTATGATGTCGTAGATTTTTGTTATGGTGAGCTAAGAAGGGGGCAAGTCTTGCTCTATGCTTCTTTCGACTATTTTATAGTTAATGTGTTGAAAACATTTTTTACAAGAATTTCCTGAGGTTTATGATGCTATTGAGCAATTTGCTGCTTTATTTTACACAATTCTTTATGTTGGTATGGATTATAGTATCGCCAACATTGACAGTATTACAATGTTATCATCCCCTTCTGTAGATACTATTAAAGGTTGAGAAAACAAAGGAAGACAAAATGGCAGAGAGCAATCGGAATAAGCTCTTGCAGTTCTTGAATGCTAGCTACGACTGATTTGCAGTCACATTCTCCTACCCATCAATGGCGATGACTTATTATTGTTGTTTTCCTTCTCTACGTGACATTGTTATTCAAGGTTCTTCGCCTGAATGCAACTATTGCTGGTGCCTGGTAAGTGAATTCGTCGGCATTGCACTTTCGGGCGATTTTCTAACTATAAGTTTCTCTTTTTTTCTGTAAGCATATTTCTGTTATTGTTGTTGGTGGCTTTTCTTGTTTGTTCTGTCTTTCTATCTTCTGAATTTTTGTTTGGTTGGGACTTCCAAATAAAATATAGCTTTCATTATTAGAAAATTTGGATTCGATTTTTTTAAGAAATTAATGAATTATATGCTTTTTTTTTTAAAAAAAAAAAAGGACTCGAAAGATGACAATCTTTTTGTGGGTTTGAATCAAGTAAATAGGTGGGGATTTGATTGATTAGTGAAGTAATGAGAGAGCTTTTGCATGTTTGATTTCTTCTAATCCATTCAGGTATGTTAAAAGGGTGCGTTTGTTCGGGTTTGGATTTTGAGTTGGAATTTTGAATAGTAAAAATTTTGAATTTGAATAGTTGTACGTGATGTGATATTTTGAATATAAAATTTATTTTTAGTATAATATAAAAAATAAAAAAATAGATATTAGATTTGATGTTTTATAAAAAAAAAAAAAAAAAAGGATAAATAGTGGATTTTCGTCCCACGACGGCAAGATGACCTAAGACATGGAGGGGGTTTGAATTCATGATCTTATGGTCAAAGTCTAATTTTACGCCACCAGGCATAAAATATAATTATACATTTAATCATATTTTAAAATTTATAATTTATAATTTTATTTTTTTAAGTTTGATTAGATTTTTTATTTATTTTAATCTATAATTATTTTTATTAAATTATAGTTATTTTATTAATACATTTTTTAATTATTAACTCTGAGACAAAATACTGGAAAGAGAGTTTTACTTTATCGGTTTTAGTTTAAAATATTGTTTCTGTTTTATTTAAAATATTTTTTAATAAAATTAATTATATAAGAATATTAAATACTATTGACTTTTATTTTAATTATAAATAAATCATTATATATAATTAATTTTAATATAAAATTAAAGAATAAAAATAATTTCTTATACACATTAATTACTTAATAAATATTATTATTTTTTAATATAATATAAAACAATAAAAAAAATATTAAAATCGTATAAATGGAGTTTATTTATAATAAAAAAAAATTAAAAACATGCAAAATTGTCTAAACATAGCCTAGGGGTTTCCCAAAAGATCGCAGCGAGTAATATTCGTGAACAAAAAAGGGTAAATCCGTAAATTCGGCGTACTTCACACGTCAGCCCTAAGGTCAGCCGGAGTTTTGTATAAAAGGGCAAGCAAACGCCCAGAACCGCCATTCCATTTCCACTTTGAGGCGAGCAAAACTCATCCATTAGGGATCTGAGATTATCATTCCTATAATGGTGTTTAGGTTTGAATATTTTGTGAATGTAAAACCGCACATAGTTCTTCTCCGGAGTCGATCTCGCAATGACTTCTGAGATTTTATCTGTGCGCAGAGTAAACGACCATCCTTTCTGCTTGAGCCTTCTTCTCTTCGGTATCCATGGAGTCGAGCTTCAATGTTATTGGATGACATTTCTCTATATTTACAATATTTGCTTTCATTTTTTATTTTAATTTGACGAATCTGGAATCTGTAGATTTCTAGTCTGGTTGTTTACTTTTGTTTCATTTGGATTTCCTAATTCATGATATAGTGTTTTTCCCCCTCTCTTTTGATTGGATCCGTATTTTGATCGAGAGGAGTTGGTTTCTATATTTTACTTGAAACTTTACTTAGTGGTAGTATTGAGATTGGGGGATTAATGTGTGTTTTTTAAAATCTGTTACAGATCTTTTGAATTTGAATCATTTTTCACCTAAATGCTTATCTAGCTGAAGAATTGAACATGTCGTTATTGTTTTAACAACTAGCACGTTGAACTGCTCCACATTTCCTCTTTGAATATTTTTTTTTTAAAAAAATTGTGAAACAATGTTTATTTTGATGATTGATGTTGCTCTTGCACTTGTTGTTTTTTAGTTAGACGCACAAACACGTGTGATTGTGAGTTCATTTGCATCTTTTTTTCCCCCAATCATCTTCATCATCGCTGCAACGGTGCGACAGTTCTTCACTAATCAACCAACTACATACTTTTTTGCATCCAATGTTTTGATAATTTAGGATGTATTTGGATATGTTTTTGGAAGTGCTGGAATTTCGAATAACAAAGGTGAAGCCGTAGAACAGAGCATAACACTACTGCAAATCCTGTTAGGTTATTGGTGGCTACAGTTCTTTTGGGATTATTTATCTCTACTGGGCCGGGCTTGCAAGTTTCTATATCGCTTCCTCAGTTAATTTATAATCTGCATTTAATTTGTTAATATAGTTTAGTTTTAGCCCACGAATGTATTTTATTTATAGGGGGAAATAACTTAAATGACAATTTTTAAATGATAAACGTAGGGCAGCTAAGTATTATAATAAATCGATATATTTTTTTTTCATTGGAAAATAATCATTTTTTTTATTAGTTAGCAAAATCGAATTACATAAATTAATGTAATATTTTGTTGTAAAAAGATATTAATTTTTTTATTTAAATTTGAATTCAAATAATATTTTGATATAATGGTTTTTTAAAAAAGATAATGTATTTTTTTTTTTTAATTAGGAATTGTACAGATTATTATTTTTTTTATTTGATGAAGTGGTTTTTAATTCAAATAATTTTTTTATCTAATAAATTTTTAAGGAAAAAGTACTTAGGAGGTATGTTGCACATAGTTCAAATCGAGGATCAAATAATAATTAATACGCCATTTAAAATAATAATAATAATAATAATAATAATAAGCCATTAGTATCCAATTTCTTAATCATCCCATTTTAAAATGCACAACAGAATAGTATAGGAAATGAACAAAGTGGTGTATTTATTTTATGAAATAGTTTGAATTAATATTTTTTTTGTGAGATACACAATGTATAGATAATATATAAATAATAAATATATTAATGTTTTAAAATTTTATATTGAAAAAATATTTTAAAAGAATACACATTGTATCAGTTAATATATTTTCTTTTTTTGGCATCGGGGGTTTGAACTCATAACTTCATGGTCACACGTTCAACTCTTACACCACCAGGCCATCCCTAACGGGATTTGTATCAGTTAATATTAATAATACTAATAATAGTTTATACAGTAGTTAGTGGTACTTTTTTGTATAAAGATTTTTCTTGTGCTTTCTATTCTAATTTGATGTAATTATATTAATGTAAATAAGTACTATAAATTTTAAGAGTATTTGCATTTACTTAAAAATAAAATATATTAGACTTATCATAATACGAATAAAAATGATAACATGAAATATTTGATTAAAAGAAAATATGACTTATAATTTTAGATTTAATTCAAATAATAATTTCATGTGATATTTTATAATATAAAAATAAAATAATATATTTAATTAATTAATTAATTTTATCTATTTATTTATTAAGTTTCTTTATGGCTAGTTTCAAATCAATTCATAGGTTAGGAAGACATCGTGATCCAACAATTGGGTAGGCAGGGCAGGGCAGGGCAGGGCAGAGAAAGGCAACTCACTTAAAAGCTGTGCCCATAATAATATATAGATAGTACTATCACATAATTTATAAAATCCCTAGAAGGCACTGAAAATGAAACTTAGCTAATCTCAATCAATCAATCAATCATTCATTCAACTTATTATTATTATTATTTACATTTTAATTAATTAATATACATCTAAGTTGGTTTATTTAATTTAATTGACTTCTTTCTTGTTTCTAATGCTCCTGTGAAAACAGTTAATTTATGGTATCTAATTTAATCATCTTAATTTATGTAATTTTAGGTGTATCCGATTGGATCTGATATATCATCCCCACCCCCCAAGATACACTGCTGCACTTAGATATACAAATCCACGTGTCACATTCTTTCAAACAAAAATTATTTAACATTGTTCCCAAAAAAAAATTATTATCCAAAATAAAAATAAAAATAAAAAATCTATAACATTATTACAATATTTCATACATAACAAACCAATGCGCATTTATAAAATTTGCGACTTTAGTTATATATGTACACATATTGTGCGCGTATATCATCAAATTTATTTATTTCTTTTTAAATTTATTGTTGTCACTAAAATATTTAAACATGTATATAAATTATCGCAACACAAATTTTTATTGAAAATATAATTTAGACCAAAAATTTTGTTTAAACTATCGTGGTGCTTGTCCCATGCAAAAAAAATAAATAATAATAATAAAATAAAAGAAAAGAAAAAGAAGAATAATTACTTTAAAATTGTATTTACACGGTAGATTTAAGGTTCGTTGCATACAATCGAGAGATTCCAATCCAAGTCTAGACAACATTAACTAAAATCTAATAGATATCTAAAGATTACTCAATCGACCATGGTAAGTTACTCAAGCTAAAACTCAAAAATTCGACTTGCAAACCTCTTAAATTTAGATTGGATTAATTGCATCGTATCTATTCGATCTTTCTCCTTATTCCAAATGTCTTGTCGCGCTTTTTTCGTGTATTATTATTTTTTTATAATGAAAATAGAACAAGAAAAAGAAAATTAAAAGTAACTCTAAAAATATTTTATTTAATAATAATAATAATAAATAAATAAAATCCATTGTGGTTCCAATTTGAATTTGAACATTGAGCTAAGTCAAAGTTTAAGCATTTCTTTCAAGTCACCTGCCACACATCGTTCACCTAGTGTGATTTGCCTGTCGGGCCTAGTTTGCAGGGTATTAGGTCCGGCCGGGGTTTACTGAGTGCGCACTTTCGGGTAGCTGCTGGGCTGCAGGTTCCTACGTCATTGGAAAAAAAAAAAAAAAAAAAAGTTTAAGCATTTCTTTGCTTGTGATTTGAAGTAATTTTTTATATTATTGAGTTTATATACATACATATATATATATATATAAACAAACTATCAAATCAATATTTGTTTTTTATTTATAATATACAAGAATTACTTTGAGTTCAAAATATCAAATCTTGAAACATCAATTTTTATTTTTTATTTTTTAAAAACGCATAAGTAATAATAACAATTAAATGTTTAAAATTTTTTATTTAAATAATATTTAATATGATATTTTTTGGGGAAAAAAAAAATTATGTGGACAAGCCCTGAATTTGCTTGAAACAATTCAACTCTTTTGTGTTATCATTCATCAATCCAACTTTTCATTCTATGAGATTTTATTTAGAAAGTGCTAGTAGAATTTGCAGTAGCTATATATATATATATATATATTTTTTATGTGAATAAAATAGTTTACAAACTACACTAACTGAAAAGATCCAGTCAACAAATTCCATTAATAAATATATTATCATTGTTATTTAAAATTTTGTAGTGTGATAATATATTGGTTGTAAATTTAGTTATGTTAAATTTTACATTAATGTCACATAAACTATTTACTTGTGTAAATAAATAAGCATAAAATTAAAATATGACAGTATAAAACTATAAGAAGTAAAATTAATAATTTATTAAAGATGCATATGTAAATTTAATGTTGCAATTGTTGGGTGGAAATAATTATGGAGATTAATTTTCAATGAACTTATAATATTTTATATTATAAAATATTTTTTATATCAAATCTTAAATAAAATAATTAAATTCAAATAAATCAGAACCAAACAAATTAACCTAATGTCTAAATGGGCATAAGGAACAGAGAAAGAAGTCATCAATGATTGCATGTGTAATATAAAGGCAAAAAATATTCATTATTGTATTTGTAATAATAGATAAATAAATTTAAATCAATAATTGCTTGTACACTTTTATTTCCTCACGTCTTATTTTATTTATTTATTATTATTTTTTTTTATTTGGTTTTAGTACTTTTTGAAATATCTATCCTAATATATATATATATATATTTATATTGATTTGATGGCTACTTTTGCCCTCCCTAAAATAGGGAATTTGAAAAACTCCTTTTTTGGTTACTAAAAAGGCTTATCATAATAAAATCTTGCACCTTATCTCATTTCTTTAAAAATATATATTTATTATTACTAAAAATAAAATAAAAAAAATATAAATGACAAAGATTTCGACATAAAAAATTTTAAAAAATATATATTTATTATTGTGTCGAATATTCCCATCAAACATTGCAGCTTTTATTATATAAAGTTTATTACGTAGTTTATTTTGCAACGACTATTTTTATTATATTCTCAGTCCTTTTTTCAAAGTACTTTTTGAAATATTACTATTTTGTTTATATGATAATTAGTACTTACCCTTGTCGATAATTCATTATGTAGTTAAATTATATTGATTATATTTTTTTCATAATATATATGATATAAAGAATTTTAGTATATTTGAGGACTATAATTTCTAAAAAAAATATAAATTTGATATATTAATTTTGAACAAATTAAAATAATAAAACAAATCTTGACTGTGAATGGAGAGAGTAAAATAATAATTTGAAGAAGTAATATTTAATTTATCTATAATATTAGAATAAAAGTTGGATTTTGAGTTTTAAATAGTATAATTTTAAATTAGAATAATTATTTGATTTGATATTATATTATATTTTGAATGTAAAAATAACTTTTAATATTATATTAAATTTTTGATTTTTTTTTAAATAATGAATTTAAAAAATTGAGTGTAAAATCCACAACAAATAGAAGCAAAATTATCAAATAGTGGTCCTTGGTGGTGTAGGGGTTGGATTTGTGATCATGAGGTCATAGGTTCAAACCCCCGACACCTCAAATCACCTGCCAAACATGGTAAAAATTTATTTAATTTTGAATAGTAATTGTAAATTTAATATATATGACTGAAATATAATCTTTTTTATTTATATTTTAAATTAAAAAGTAGATAAATATGCACAAAAAATGCATAACATAAAAAACATACCACATGACTCATGAGACATTTGGTATTTATTTTTTTTTTTTTCCGTAAATTTTTATTCCATATAGCTTTAATAGTTGCCGATAAAAATATAAAATTGAAATAAATTTAAAGTTTGGTAACGGGTCGAGGTAAAATTCCGATTTTATCCCTAGAGAAATGTACAAAAAGGTTATATGTATCAGTTCATTTAATGCTGTGGCCAACTCTAAAAAAAAGCTCTTCAAAAGCTACACACACTTACTCATCTTCTTTAATGTTTTTTATTATTTACTTATTCAGATTATTGCATTGCTTTCCTCTCCATGGCCACCTTAAGCCTCATACTTGGGATAATTGGTAAAAAAAATTTAATTTATTTTGTTACAACTAATTAAGAATATATATTCATAAAAAATATATATATATTTTTTTTAATTTTTATAATGAATACTGAGATATGTTAATTTTTATTTGACAGGAAATGTGATTTCCATACTCATGTTTGCCGCTCCACTGTAAGTCTTTTATATATATATATATATATATATATATATATTATATTTAAATAATTTAGTAAAAATATAAATTCTGAATATAAATTGCAGGAAGACATTCAAGCAAGTGGTGAAGAAGAAGTCGACGGAGAATTTCAAAGGTCTGCCGTACATAACGACGCTGCTGAGCACCAGTCTCTGGACGTTCTACGGCATAATCAAGCCCGGCGGACTCCTCGTCGCCACCGTCAACGGCGCCGGAGCGGTTATACACATCGTCTACGTCGCTATTTTCCTCGCCTACGCCCCCAAATCAGTTAGGGTTTCGTCAATCAAATTGGTCGCCGCGCTCGACGTCGCCTTCTTCGGCGCCGTAGTGGCCGTAACAATGGCCGCCTTCCGGCCGGCCATCCGCCTCACCGTCGTCGGCCTCATCTGCACCGGATTAACCATCGGAATGTACGCCGCCCCTCTCTCCGCCATGGTAATGTTATATATACATCTGTACATAGATAGATCGATTTATATATAATTTTAATTACTGAATTGAAATGGTAATTAATAATTGTTGGAATTGATAGAGGATAGTGATAAGGACGAAAAGCGTGAAGTACATGCCATTTCTGCTGTCATTTTTCCAGTTTTTGAATGGCGGCATTTGGGCTGCTTATGCTGTGCTTGTTGCCGATTACTTCATTGGAGTAAGTACTCTACTCTACTATACTCTCTTCATTCTTTTCATAATTAATTATATATATATATATATGCCTCTATACTTTCATAATAAATTCGTATATCATTTATATTAGTACTCCTTCCATTCCGTCCCAATATAATAGTCTTATTTACCATTTTTGTCCGTTATAAAAACAATAGTCACATATTCATAAATAACCATATTACTGTAAAATTACACTGCTTTTTACACTAATTGACTCCCAAGGACAAAAAAAAATATTGTATTCATATTTTTTACTCATTACCAATATAATATCAATATTTCTTAAATCTTGTACCTAATTCAATTAAAACTATATTTATGGGACGGAGGGAGTATAATATAAATATGATGTAAATCTACAATATATCCTATTACCATCCAATTAATATAATAACCATCCAATATATATATATATATATATATATATATTTAGTGTTGAAATTTTAGAACTGGTACTATTTTTTTAAATTGAAGATTCCACTCTATTAATTACTCCCTCCTCCTACATAATTTGTTTCTATTTTTTTATTTCGTCCGTCCCACATAATTTGTTATTTTCTTTTTTTGGAAAATTAATTATACACTTTAATTATATTTTAAAATTTAAAATTTAAATTTTTTAAATTTTAATTAAACTATTTAATTATCTTAATCTTAATCTATAATTATTTTTACTAATATATTTTTTAATTGTTTATTAATTATATTTTACCTAAATTCTCGTGTAATAAACTCATATTACATGAGACGGGACGGAGGGAGGGAGTATCATTTAATTATTAACATCATAGTTAGTCAATTAGTTTGGTAAATTTGTTGCTAGACTCAAAATAGATTTGCCAATGCAGCATCGAAATATCCAAAATATATATATATATATTATTGCTTGAATATTAGTTTGACATATATTTTCTCTGTTCAATCAGAAACTATATATATTTATATTTTGAATTGTTAAATTACAAAGTATTATTTTATTAAATATTTTTTTTTTTTTTTTATAAAATATTTCTACTTTATCATCACATGTTATGTTTACATAGAGAGGTAAGGGCAAAAATATTTTTATATTATTTTTAACTATAACCTATAATTAAAATATTATTATTTCTTAAATTTTATGTTAAAAATAAATATTCCTTCCGTCCCATAAAGAAGTATTCATTTATTTTTTGCACGTAGTTTTAAAAATATTAGTATTATATTGGGATATAGTAAGAATAAAGTAGAAATGACTAAAATAACTTTATTAGTATGTGTGATATAAAGGTAATGACATTTGTGTAATATATTGTAAATTCTAAGGGTATTTGTAATGTTAGGTAGATAGTACAATTACTAAAAAAAAAAAAAAAGAAATAGATACTTTGTTATGGCATAGACTAAAATGGAAAAATTGATACTTTGTTATGGGATAGACTAAAATGAAAAAATGGATATTTTGTTATGAGACGGAGGGAGTATTTACTTCGTAGCCTGACAAAAGTAATACTCTCTTTGTCCATATACAAAGTATACATTTACTTTTGGCGCGATGTTTAAAAAATATATAATAGTATTTTAATTATACTGGATAGTTAAAAGTAACTTAATGATATTTTTGCCACTGCTTTTTTGGTGTAAAAGTAATGATGTGATGTAAAGTAAGGGTATTTGTGAAAAAAAAAATAACGTATTTAATAAAATATTTACTTTGTAATTGGATATCTCAAAATAAAAATATGTAATACTTTCTAACCGGACGGAGGGAATAAAAGAAAATATTACATTTTTTAAGAAATTAAAGATTTTATCATATAAAATATACTCCCTCCGTCCATTTGTAAAAAGAATTTTTGTTTTGTATGTGTTGATGACAAAAATATTCTTAATACTGATAGAATGACATATATTAAAAAAAATAAAATTATTTTTTTACAAAATAAATAAAACTCCAAAACAACACAGCTATCATTATTATATTATAATTTATAAGATATTTTTCTAATAACCGTTGAAAAATTAACTACACTTTCATAACTCCACCTCAAATGAATCTTTTTATTTCCTACCTCTATAATAGTTTAATTATTTTTTTTTAACACTTCAATAAATCAAATACTATCCTTACTAACTAAAATTTTTAGGTACCTAATGGCGTTGGATTCTTATTGGGCTCTGTCCAACTGATCTTGTACATGATCTATCGAAAAAAGCCGGGTTCCGAAGAGCAACTACAAGACGACGGGTCGGCCCATCTCTACGGCGGGGCTATTCAAATGCACGGCGAAGAGATGATTGTGAAAAATCGAAGCCTTAGCAAAGGGAATAGCCTCCCGAAGCCATCCGTTGTGCGAGAATATAGCGACACTCTCGTTAAAGCCCGCTCGTTGAGCCCGTTTGAGTTGGAAAATTTTGGAATTAATGATATCGAAAGAGGTCTCGAATAAAGAAAGCCCGGCAAAGGTTTTGGGCCTCCACTTTGTTATTTATAGGCCCAATTTCCTTTGAAAGGGAAACTTTGTTAGTTAAGAAAAATGATAATAATAAAGGTAAATTATACGGCACCTCACTGTGTTTTAGTAAAAATGTATAAAACACTTTGTATTGTATTTATTACGAGAAACTTCTTTGTATTAACGTAAAATTTGCGGAAAATATTTTTTTCGTTCAAAACTGATGTTTGAATGTAAATAAGAACGTAATTATACAATGTTTATACAAATAAAAAAAGTAAATATATTAAATGGTTTTTTTTTATATAACAATAAAAAATAATTGATTAATTATTTATTTTATAGTTTTCTAAATAAATTGTTATCTAATTTTTATAAAAAAAATATAAAAATAAAACTTGATCAATTATTTATTTATTAATTTATTTATTTTATTCAAAAAAAATTATTTAAGATATTTATTTTTTTATTTGTATAAATTTACATAATTTAGATTTTTGCACAAAAAGAGTGTTTTATGCGACTTTAAATTAACACAATCTAATTACTTCAATATATTAAAGATCGTGATTTGTTCAATTTAGTGAAATCATCATGAGTCTGTTGATCTAATGTCTATAATTTTTTGTATTTTTACAATTTATCGTTATTTGGAAAGGACCGAACTTAACACTAAGCAACTCTAGAGGGATTAAAATGAAAATTTACGAAATACCCATTATCTATTCACCTTCGGTATTTTCTCCCCACAAAAATCGGGGAGAGGACGTATCAACGGGGCGACATGGATGATCCATCCAGATGATCAGCTCGTCTCCACACCCCAAACAAGGCCCATTGCATCGATCTGTTAACCTATCAATTTGAGGCGGAAAAACAATCATCGATTGCTTGAATTGGAATCCCCCAAGAATCTGTCGAATTCAGCGCTGTCCTCTTTCTGAATTGGAAGGAGGGAATTGGGAATTGGGAAAGATGATGTCGATAGAGGGGATGATGGACGCCGCGGCGTTGGATGACATAATTAAGCGCCTTGTGGAAGGGAGAGGAAAGAAACAGGTGCAGCTCTCGGAGACGGAGATCCGGCAGCTCTGCGTCAACGCCAGACAAATCTTCCTGTCGCAGCCTATGCTTCTCCAGCTCCATGCCCCGATCAGGATCTGCGGTTCGTTTCCTTTATTTTCTCCGCTATGGTTTTGTTTATCGCCTTCTTTATATATAAGTTATTCTGTGAATTCTTGTTATTGTATCACGTTACCGTCGTTGGGAATGTCCTGCTTTTTGGGGGATTAGGGTTTTGTTTCGAATAGAGATTATCTGTAATATCTACAGGCTCAAAACCACAATCGTTGAATTTTTAATTCTAATCATATGAATTTAAAATACGAGTTGCAGAAAACGTGCCCTGTTTGCACTTTGAATCATAATATTCTACCACCATTTGCTAATTTTGCTTTGATGTTTAATTTGATTGATTCACTTGCGCCATTGGATGGGATGGGGAGAAGGTTGTTGGTATTTGGGAATGGCGAGTTTGGCTGTTTTCTGATAGAGATTCAATAGGGATGTGAAAAATTTAGTGATACTTCTTTGAAGGTCTGCAATTTCACGAGGTTTAATTTGATTCCACTCATGGTTATTGATCATTCGTTAAATGGTTAATCATGGTTTTGTTACAATTGAATCAGTTTGTTTTGGATATTCGATATGATGTTCTTGTTATTGCTGCCTGCTTTAATGATGCTAATGTGTCGAAATGGTTTGGTCATGATCTTCTTTTTCGATTGTTTTTTGTGATTCACCATCATTTTTTTTAAAGACTTTGCATGGCATGATTTAGAATTTCAAGTTTCAGATCCCTGTCGAAACCATTTCTACATTGCAGCTGGATAAGCAATGTTACAATATGATTATTTGATATTGTTTGCGACGCTATGATGTTCTGTTTTTCTTCAAAATGTGAGCATAAGTGAAATGGTTAAGGCATTCTTTATGCGCCATCCGTCGTGGTTCTCAAGCTGGGAATATCAAGAAATTGTAAAATTGTTTATAAACAAGTGTTATTCAATGGAAGAAGGTATAGCTGTTGCAATGAATATATAAATCAATCGAGTTTTCTTTCTTTAGCACATCGATGGCTTCATGTTTTTAAGTTTCCGAAGTTGAAATGTGGTCACATCCATTGAAGATACCTACTTTGGGGTTAAGTGTCTTTTTCATTTTGCTTTTCATGACATTCATAGATATATAATTTTTGCTTCTTCTGCAATTCAACTTCACTACAATGTTCCGTGTTAGTTCGTCGTAATTATGCTATATTTTTGACTAATTTTTTTATTTAACCTACTTTCTCACAGGTGATATACACGGACAGTACCAAGACCTTTTGAGACTCTTGGAATACGGCGGATACCCGCCTACAGAAAATTACCTATTTCTCGGAGACTACGTCGACAGGGGCAAGCACAGTTTAGAAACGATATGCTTACTATTGGCTTACAAAATAAGGTATCCCGACAGAGTCTCCCTCTTGCGCGGCAACCACGAGGATGCCAAAATCAACCGCATTTATGGATTCTACGACGAGTGCAAGAGGCGATTCAACGTCAGGCTATGGAAGATATTCACCGAATGCTTTAATTGCTTGCCCGTGGCCGCACTCATCGATGAAAAAATATTGTGCATGCACGGCGGACTCTCTCCAGAGATGAAAGATTTGGATGCAATCAAAGAGATTGCGAGGCCAACTGAGATTCCTGACGGCGGTCTCCTCTGTGATTTGCTTTGGTCCGATCCTGACCCCCGGGTGTCGGGCTGGGGTGATAGCGACAGGGGCGTCTCGTGTACTTTTGGCCCCGATGCCGTTGCCGAGTTTATGGAAAAAAATGATTTGGACCTCATTTGTAGGGGTCATCAGGTACATAATTTCACATATTATCACATTTGAATCGCATAAACGGTTTAGTTATCTGCTCGACGGATTATTTTCCTGCAGGTTGTGGAGGATGGATATGAATTTTTCGCTCAAAGGCGACTTGTGACGGTATTTTCAGCTCCAAACTATGGCGGAGAATTCGACAATGTCGGCGCTCTTTTGACGGTGGACGAATCGCTGGTCTGCTCCTTCGACATACTAAAACCTGCAACAGAAAGCACTTCGAAAACACCTCTTAAGAAGGTATCCATCCCGACATCTTCGACGGCTATTAGTTAGTTTGTTTCGATGTAAACTTTACGACGATCATCGATGTTGATTTGAGTTTCTATTTAAATCGCAGCCTCCGAAACTCGGCGACCTCTAATCTGATCTGGGGATGCATGGATGGATGGAATTTCTTGGAGCATCGAGAATGAATCAGATTGTAGCTGTGAATTGTGATGATGGATGGATGGATCGATGAAGATCCTGGTACAGGTACACAAATTGTTTGTTGGTGGTGTGTGGTTTTGTATATTGGTTTTCCATTAATGTATAGATATATATATATAGTTGTTTTGTATGTATATGTATGTATGTATGTGTTCATCCTCCATTCACAGGAGTTCACTAATCATCCCAAAGGTAGAATGAATAAATCAATGTACTGATACTAATAAACTCTTTTTCTTGTAGGATGGATACATAGATTATAGTATTATTGTTGGTATTTATTTTATTTATTTTTAGTTTGTTAGATTACATATTTATAGTGTTGTTTGTATTGATCCCAACATTGAGGTGACTGTGACTGCATCCAGTAACAATAATAAGAATAATAAGAATAATAATAATCAAGTACAGTACAGAAACAGTTTGGTTTGCTTGCGGATATGTATATTCTTTTGAGTTTACCAATAAACACATCTCACTGTCAATTTTTACAGCTTCAAATTACCAATTTAAATATAGTAAAATATTAAAATGGAGTAATAAATATTTTTTTTATTTTTTATTTTTTATAATGATCATTCTATGTTAACATTTAGAAATTAAAGTTGTACATACATTCAAATATAACATCTTTTCTTTATTTTGTTTCTTCTTTCAAAACATAAAATAATTAAAGAAAAAGAAAAAGGAAAACAAGACAACGACCTTAACAGTGCATTTCCTTAAATTTTTATTTTTTTTAAGTAGGTTCAAAATTGATGCTGCATGAGAAACTTATTTTAATAATAATAATAATAATTAGTATTATTATCTTATCTTCAAATTAAAACGAGTACGAACCGCGCGCACGCCATTGGCTGGGAGCACTGCTCCCGCCGCAGGAGATCATCGGTGAACGGCAGGCAGCCGGAGAGAGCGAGGAACACGTGTTGGAGAAGGGGAGCACGTGCAGTGCAGTGCAATGCAATGCCAATCACGTGAGCATGCACGTGCCCTGCTTCTCCAGCAAGAATCCCTCACTCGTCGTCATCACCACCACCACCACCACAAACGTACACAGAGAATACTTACATACACTGTATATGTATCTATCTGTGTATGCGTAAGTGGGAGGCGAAGCCCATGTATTTATAGGCACCCAAAATGGAGAGAAAAAATAAAGGAAGAAATTAAACCCCGGTGGAAATGGAATGGCGTGGGGTGGGGTGGGGTGGGGGTGGTGATATTAGATTTTTATTTTTTAAAAAAAAAAATATTGAAAATGGTAATGAATGAATTAAGTGAGGAGAGCACATGAATCGGTGCTTGCAATGGAGTCTTGGAGTGGCATTCCTTAAAGACACACATTTATATATATATATATATATATCTATTCTTTTCTATTGTATCATCGATTGTAAGCATAGTGTAGTGTGTAAATGTTGATTTGATTTTTTTCTTATTTTTCTTTTTGAAAAAAAAAATAAAAAATAAAAAAAGGGGAAAGACACACAAGTCTTACTTGTATTCTGCCCATGCAAATTAAAAGCTTTTTAATTAATGCATGTCTCTTCTATGTGTTATTTTGAATTTTCAGACAAAGAATTGATTGCATGAGATGAGATTCAAGCAAAGGTGAAATTATTATGATGATAGATGTTGTGATCATGATGAGACATCCATCCACACCCCACCTCACCCCACCCCACCCTCTTTCTTTTCTTCTTTAAGATTTGACAGTAAATCTTTTTCCTAAATTTAGCCTACTTCCAACCCTCCTTGTAATTATTTTCTTAGATCACATATATAATTATTACTGCCTTTTCAAGTGCAAAAAAAATCATTCGAGTAACTAGTAAATGCAATTTCTCTAGTTTATTTTGTTTACTCTACAAAATAAAAAAATAACTAAAACATATTTATTGAGTGTGATTATTGGTGACTAAACTATATAAGAAAGATAAATTAGAGATAAAGAAGATTGGACACACATAGGTAAGAATTGATATATAGATAGATAGATAGATATACACAAGTAGTAGTAGTAGTAGTAGTAGTAGTAGTAAGCAAAAATGTAGTAATTGTGAGTAGCGATGGGACCTAAATCTACTAGCTGGTTTCACAATTATTGGCAAATATTGGACAAATTAATACTATCAAACCAACCTAAAGTCAACTCTTCAATTATTATTATTATTATTATTATTATTTTATAGTATTCATTATGATAGGCGTGAAATGAAAATGTGTTGATTTCAACCCGCACAATCAATTGTACTGGGAAACCATAGTAGATATATATATATACATTTATTTATTTATTTATTTATTTTGCTTCTTTTAATTAATTAATTAATTGTTAAAGCCTTTGGTAATTAATCTCAGTTAATAGTAGTATGTATTAGCCACATTAGTTTTATGTGTGTGTATATATATATATATATAGAGAGAGAGAGAGAGAGAGAGAGAGAGGGGTGGGGAAAAGAACAGAGGGGAAGAGGTGAGCAGAGTAATAAGAATAAGATTTGTTTGCTTTTTATGTTTGGGGGTTGCGTGTTGTGCGCGAGTCACTCCATCACACTCCACTCACTCACAATTATCTCTCTCTCTCTATATATATATATATATATTTATTTATTTATTTAAAAAGAAAATTTTAAAAAATAATAATTTTTATGTTGTTTTAAGAAAAATATATTATTTTCTTCGTCCATAAATTAATATTTTATTTTTTTATTTGGGACGTTCAATAATTATTGTCATATTTTTTTTAAATACAAATTTTATATTATTTTATTTTATTTTTTAAATACAAATTTTATATTTTTACACTCCATTCATTTATTACTTTTAATCTCTACCATACAATTAAAGGTAAATTTGTTAATTCATAACAAAAAAACAATCACTTAAAAAACCGTGCAAATATACTTTAAAATAATAGAAATTAAACGGAGGAGGGAGTATTAAAAATTTAAATTAAAAAATATACTCCCTCCATCCCACATAATTTGTCTCTATTTTTTATTTTTCTCCATCCCATGTAACTTGTCATTTCTATTTTCGAAAATATAATTATGCACTTTAATCGCATTTTAAATTTTATAATTTTCTTAATTTTAATTAAATTATTTACTTATCTTAATCCTAATCTATAATTATTTTTACTAATATATTTCTTAATTATTTACTAATTATATTTTAACTAAATTCTCATATTTACAGTAATACGCTCATGTTACAGGAGACTAAGGAAGGATAGATACAAGTGATTAGCAAACACACCTTGAATGTGTTTTTTTAATTTATTTTTTTTATTTTACTATTCAAATTATGGTCTCATCAAATATCATTTTAAGACGTAGACATTAAAACAACATCATCATCAATTCACAAATCTTTGTTTCTTAATTAATTTTGTTAATTGAGTATGAACTCTGCTTAAATAAGTGAAGCAAGAAGAGATTATTAAATTAGTACTCCCTCCGTCCCATCTATTATGGGCCTGTTACGGTAGATACATAAATTTAGGTAAAATGTTATTAATAAATAATTAAAAAGTGTATTAATAAAAATAATTATTATATAATAAAAATAATTATGGATTTAGATTAAAATAACTAAATAATTTAATTAAAAATTATAAAATTTGAAATTTAAAATAAGATCAAAATATATAATTATATTTAAAAAAATAAATAAATTATGTGAGAAAAAAAAAATAAAAATATAAGAATAAATTGCGTGGAAATGAGAGAATAATGAAAAATACATATCGAATTATATATATAGAGAGAGAGAGAAAGGGTGTGTGTCGAGGAAAGAGGGAACAGATGAAACAGTGTGGCAGAGAGAGAGAGAGAGAGAGAGAGAGAGAGGATTCTTTTAGTTAGTGTATGAGTGTATCTATATCTGTATCTATATATGATGCGCAGTGGTCACTTCTTTTTGTGTTGAGTTTGCTTCTTACAATGGGAATGAGGTTTGGGTTTCTTCTCTTCCTTTCGTTTCGTACCCCCAAATCCCACGGGGGTTTACCTTTCTTTACCCCTTATTCTTACCCTACCCAAATCCCCAAAACTTATTGAAAAAAATAATAATAATTTTATTTAATTTTGATTTGAATTTTAAATTTATATTTTCTTTTCACATAATTAGTTTTTTTATTATTATTATTTTGATCGGTTCTACATAATCTATTTTTTTTAAAAAAAATATATAAATATATTTTACTTATATTTAAAATTTAAAATTTTTTATTTTAATTAAATTATATAATTATTTTTATTAATATAATTATTAATTATATAATATTTAAAACGACCTGCTAAAATGGATAAATTATCTAGGACAACGAGAGTATTACTAGATTTATTTTTGTTTTTTTTAGTAAAAAATATTATTTTTTCTAAGAATAAATGTTTTTATTTGTACATATTTTTTTAAAACCGTTGTCGGTCAAATTAATACACAATTGAATGATCGAGTATGTATTTTGCAATTTACAAAAAGAATAATACTTCATCCGTCCTTAATACAATAATTTTGTTTATCATTTTTATTAGTCCCAATACAATAATCTTGTTTAGCATTTTTATTCGTCTCAATATAATAGTCTTGTTTATCATTTTTTTCCGTCCCAAAACAATAATCTCATGTCCCATGTCCATAAATAACCATATTACCGTAGAAATACTTCTATTTTTTCATTTTTATTATACAAATGATACTATTTTTTATACTAATACACTCAACCGGACAAAAGAATCTTTTATCATACTTTCTATCAATGATCAATGTAATATTAATATTTCTTAAATTTCGTGTTCAATCCAACTAAGACTATAGTTCTAGAACAAAGAAGATATAAAATTAAAGACCAAGAAAAATATATCTTTCATCTCATAACTAAGTATTCATTTGCTTTTTGCACGTAATTTTAAAAATATTAATACTCCCTCCGTCCCAAATAAGGTGCAACATTTGTTTTGGACACGGGTTTTTAGGTGGGTAGTATTAAGTAGGATAATTTAAAAATTAGGTGATGTGATTGAGAGATAAATGTATATTTTATTTATTTATTTTGGTGATGTGATCGGATAAAATGTGGGGTAGATATTAAGTATAATTAATTATTTTCTATTTGGAAATGTTGCAGGGTGTTTGAAACATACCAAAAAAGAAATGTTGCACGGTGTTTGGGACGAAGGGAGTATTATATTATGATATAGTATAAATAAAGTATAAATGACTTAAATAACTTTATTAGTATTGTGTGATATAAAAATTATGATATTTATGTAATATATTATAAATTGTAAGAATATTTGTAATGTTAGGTAGATAGTATAGTTATTAAAAAAAATGAATACTTTGTTATGAGACGAATTAAAATGAAAAAATTGATAGATTGTTATGAAAAAAAAAATGAGTATATTTAATGCAATATTCATAAATAATAATAATAAAATAAAAAAACTCCAATATGTTTTTGTCCTGGTTAATAATAGGAATTAAATTTTATTTTGAGGTGGAAACCAAGCAAACTCCAATTTTACCCGTGTTTGTTTAACTGAAATTATCAGAAAAAATTATTTTACTCTCTTCGTCTCATTAAAAGGTTATAATTTTTCATTTTTATCCATTCCAAAACAAGGTTATCATTTTCTAATTTAGTAATTGTACTACTTATTTAACATAGTAAATATCCTTTTAACTTACAATATATTACACAAATGTCATTCTTTTATATTACACCATACTAATAGGGATATTTTTTTATTTTTTACTATAATTCAATATAATATTATTATTCAAAACTCTATTTACAAAAAGCAAACGGTTATCTTTTCAATGGGACTGAGGGATTATAACTATTTTTACTTTTTTATTTAAATACTAGGGTGAAGGAGAAGAGTATTTTGTGTGTAAAAACAACCTTTTTATTAGAAATTATTTAAATAAAATATAAATATTCAAATTAAATAATTTCAGAAAAGAAACACACAATTGTGTACTGTGTGATCTTGATTTTAAATTTAGATTTTAAGCCGTATAAAATTTTAATCTAAATAATTATATATAATATTTTAAATATAAAATTAAAGTTTAATATATTATAAAAAAAATACTCAATTTAATATTTTAGAGACAAAAATTCAATTAGAAGTAAAATCCCTTAATCAAAGTTTTACACCATTGATCTCTTATATCCAAAGTACACGAAAAGAGTAGAGGTTTCAAATTTTTCGGTCGGGCCTGATTTGCAAGGTATTAGATTCGGCCGAAGGTTCACCCAGTGCGCACTTTCGGGTAGCGGCTGCGGATTTCCACGTTATCGAAAAAGATAAAAAATAAAAAATAGAGATTTCAAATTTTAATATCATTAAAAAATATATTTCAATTATTTTTAATTTAAAATATTATTTTTATTATTTTTGCATTTTATATTTTAAGGTATTTTTATTTTAATTAAATATTATCATACATTAATATCAAAATATCTTTAAATTTTATTTAAATTACAAATATATTAATAAACATACAATTATTTTATATATAAAGTTAAAAGACAAAAATATCAACAAATTTTACTAACTAATAAAATAATATTAATTTTTAATTTACTATAAAATCTTAAAAAACTTTTTTTTTTTTTTAACTTTGGGGCGAATGAAGTATATATATATATTTCCATCGTCTCATTTATATTGTTCTATTTAGTTTAAGTACAAAATTTTATGTATTGAATAATTAATAATTAATTAAAAAAATTATTAATATAAATAATTATGATTTAATAAAAATAATTATATATTAAAATTAAAATGATTAATAGTTTAATTAAAATAAAAAATTATAAATTATATATTTTAAAATATAATTAAAATATATAATTATATTTTAAAAAAATAATTAATTATGTAAAATGAACAAAAATAAAAATAATAGAGGGTGAGGGTTAATATTATGCAATGATCATGTGATGTGTGCATCTCATAATGTTAGATTCAGTTTTTGTACACTTTTGCACGCATGCATCATTATCAGTATCTCTCTCTCCCTCATCACCATATCACACAATACATATATATATATATATATATATAAATTTATACCTTCCTTTCCTCCTTTGTCATCATTTAAATAAAATTTCTTTTGTCGAAATTATAGATCAATTTTAATTTGATTTTAAATTAAATTTAAATTATTTATTTTATACTATATTATTTTAAATTAAAATATATTTTTTTAAAAAAATATATTATCTTCGTTCCACCACAATTGACAGTATTTTCATTTTTGTCTGTTCCGTAACAATTGACACTTTTCTATTTTTGATAAAAATTATTAAGTCAAAATATATTTAACAAATATAAATCAACTTAATTAACTATATAACATACAACATCATAAATGAACCACTCAAAATCCCTTTATTTCTACACCTCTCTTCAAAAAAAATAAATATTTTTATCTATTTTTAAAACTACACATCTTTTATATAATTGATTTATTTTAATTATAAATAAACAAAAATATTTTTTTTTTATTTACTTGTATTTTAGAATATTTTATTCTCTACAAAATTATATCCATATTGCATATATTTTTTAATTGTTATATAATTTTTAAATATTTAAACATATATTTTAATTTTTTTAATCATATATATTAAATTTACTTTAAAATTATAAATATTATTAATTATACAAAACAATAATATAATAATAATTATTAACTAATTAAACATCTTCACCTTAAATACCGTGTCACTAATCAAATAGTTCAATTCCGCCGGGACGGATGGAATATATAATATCAAAATATTATTTAAATAAAAAGTCAAATAATATCCCATTTCAAATTACAACCAAATAATTTATATAGAATTTATTTGAATTAAGATTTCTGGAGTTTTAAAAAAAATTAAAATAATTTTATAAGTATTAAAAATCAAATTCTCTCCGTCCCAATATAATAGTTTTGTTTACCATTTTTGTTCGTCCCAAAACAACAGTTTTATTTTCATAAATAACCATATCTCCATAAAACTACCTTTGCCTTTTCATTTTTATTACACAATTGTCACTACCTTTTACACTAATACACTCACAAGAGCAAAAAAAAAAAAAAAAAAAAAATCTTTTATCTATATTTTTTACTAATTACCAATATAATATCAATATTTCTTAAATCTCATGCCCAACTCAATTAAGACTATAGTTTTGTGATTGAGAGAGTATTTGATATTCCCCGTCGCATTTTAAAGTATTAATTAATTGATATTAATATATGATTATTATTATTTTTGATAATATGGACTCTGAGTAAATTCCAATCGAATCTAATAGTTTGTAAACTAAGTTCGACAAGATAAATCACATTAAACAAATCGTGTGTGATAGGTAAGATCTAGAGAAGTCAAAGTTTGAACTCATGACCTTAACCAAACTAGTGTATAATTGTTTTTATTAAAATAAAAAAATAATAAAAATGATAATTTAAGTTTATACGAAAAAAATTTAATACTTTATGTTATTGTTTAGTACTTTCAATACACTAAATAAGTACAAGCAACACATACAATCTTGATGCTAAAGAAAAATAATAATTACTAATATTTTATTGTTGATTGTTGATTTTTATAAAATAAGATAATATAAACATTATATATATATATATATATTAAGAATGGTGAAAAAAAAAAATTATTTGAGTGAACAAACTACCTATTCAATTACAATTGTTTTTTTAATCTACACAGTAATGAATTTAAATTATTTCAAAAGCATATTTGTTTATTTTATGTTTATAAATGTAAGTATTTTTAAAAAATTAAATATAAAAAATTGTATTTATAATATAAAAAATAATATTTAATATATTTTCACACAAAACTATTACTACTACTCTTTTATAAGAATGCTCTTCAGTCTTGCGTTATGAAAAAGGAGTTGGGCCTAAGTGATCGGTCCACCCAATTTTAAATTGATTCTCATTGTAAGAAAACACCCTATTTAATGGGCAAGTCTAGTGTACGGGTCTGGACTCTGGACCGGCGATTGGGTCAGGTACGACATCTTCAACTCGAGACTAGGTTTGGACCGGCCGGTTCATAACTGGGCGAGCAAGTGTACCCCTAGCTATGGAAATTCAATGAATAGCTCCCACCTCTCGTCCTCTTCCTCTTCTCTTTTCTATCTGTGAATTCCCAGTTTCGTTTCTGTAAATTCCTTTCCTACTCTCTTATTCTTCTTCTCTGTCGTCAGTCTTATCGCCTGTCCTTCAAGACACTGCAGCTTAGTCGTCGGCGTCTTACCGTTTTCCTCTGCTGCAATTTCGTCGGAAGCTCCGTAAGTTTGATCCTTACACTATTTTTGAAAATGATTTTCTGTTACCAAATTTTCAATGCCGGCTTTTACTGTATTTAGGGTTTGAATTGTTTGATGTTAGTGGTACTTAAATTATTGTGTTGATTTTAGATTGATATCTGTGCATTCTTGTTTGGATTGGTGGGTTCACTCTTTCTGTTTCTTTTGATGGAATTGGTTTAGGTGTTTACTAGATTAGTTCTAGCCAGACACATTTTTAATGTGACTGAAGTTATCTCTGTGACTTTGGCTTCATATTATTTGCAGCTTGAAATACTATCAAATATCTAAATCAAATTGTTAATGTAGACATGGAAGATCAAAAGTTCTAAAGTTATAGCCTTGTTGACCGAATGATCTAATGTTTTGCATATTAGTGAAAGACTACAGAGGAATCAGAAGGAAATTGCACATTAGTAAAGAGGAATGAGAAGGAAATGAAAAGTATTTCGATAATAATATGATAAATTATTGTGTTTGTGCATTTAAACATTGGAGTTCCGAGATTTTAAAAAAAGCTTGATGTTTATGTTGATGAACTAATATGTATAATTTTGTTTATTGTGAAATCTATTGTTTGAAATTTATTATGTAATTTTCTTAAAACTAATTCTGTGAATATCGTGTATGACAATTTATTGTTTTTATATGATGTGCGTTAAACAGCTTGTTGGTGCCTTCCTGGTTGTCGCCTGCTGATGGATTGGGTTGAGCCAAGTAAATTGTAGCTGCTTGCCTGATGATTGGTGGGTTGTAGCTAACTCATTTTTACAGCTCTGTTCTCTATGGTGAGGCAAAGTCTGCAATGGCAAGACCTCTGCTCAGAAGCCTCAGTGGAGCGCCAACAGTTATCCGGCAGATGCTCTATCTCAGGTACTTCCCTCCATATCTGTAATGAACTGTTGTTCAAGTGTGCATAACCGATAGTATGCTGTAATGTAGCTAAAGCCTAAGGTGACTAAGCATTTGTGGTTCTATTTGATTTTTATTAGGCAAATGGCTCGGAAACCAGAACCAAGTTTTACTGTTCTAAGGCTGTGGTGGCAGCAGCAACAGCATCCCTTGGGTATTTGTTTTCGTCAAATGAGAGGCATCAGTCATGGATCAGTGAGTCTGGTAATATCGCCGCAGGGAAACCCCAAGTTTGAGACACATGAAATTGATCCCCCAAAGAAGGAGAAATGGATGACAAAGAAGAGGCTGAAGCTTAAACGGAAGAGGGAGAAGCAAATGAGGAAGTCTGCCAATAAGAGAGATCCCAGAAGGCTTGGAATCAAAGGCAAGAAGAAGAGGCAGAGGTTTGCAAATGCGGAGGAGAGGATCAAGTGCAAACTTGAAAAGGTATATGCTGAAAACTTCTTACGGTCAATTTTAATCATGTCTGTGAGACCATTTGGTTTACACTTTTGATATAGAAGTTTAATCAATCAACCACTAAATATTATTTACTGTTTGTGCTGGGGAAGAAGAGCTTCTACCAAGAATTGTTTCAATCTGTTGAAATGGATGTGGGTGTAGGTGATGACCAAATTTTGTATGTTGGTTGAATTGAACATTTGAACTTATAAGTCATGTTGCATTATTGAATAGCCAGCCTTTCAAAATCTATTTTCGTTTATAGTATGGAAAATTTCAGCTTGACATTTTATTTGTGACAGCATGCTGTTTGTGTTTTGAGTCAATTTGTTCTGCAGTTCTAAATATGTGTGTATTTATTTTCTTTCATGCTTTTGCAAACAGAGAACTGTTTAGTGTTTGATCCTTTTTGATCTGTTTTTTTCTTTCTTTTTTATTTTTTTTTATTTTTTTTTATTTTTATTTTTAAAATCAGGCTAAGATCAAGGAGGCTTTATTAGTTGAAAGGCTGAAAAGATATGAAGTTCCCAAAGCTCAGGGGCCTGCCGTCGAACCCCATGTTTTAACTGGCGAAGAACGATTCTATATGAAGAAGATGGCTCAGAAAAGGTCCAATTATGTTCCAGTTGGCCGGAGAGGAGTATTTGGAGGGGTTATACTAAATATGCATCTGCACTGGAAGAAACACGAAACTGTCAAGGTCATTTTCAAACCTTGCAAACCCGGCCAAGTACAAGAATATACGGTTGAGATTGCTAGGTTGAGTGGCGGAATTCCAATCCAGATAATCGGAGACGATACTGTAATTTTTTATCGAGGAAAGAACTACGTGCAACCAGAGGTCATGTCACCAGTTGATACACTATCTAAGAAACGGGTATGTTTCCCAAAGTTAAATTAGTTACTATCTCAATTCTCAGTAACTCTTTAGCTGTTAATGAATGTGTACATCATCAAATTATTGATATTTAGTCGTCGCAACTATTTGTTGATCATCCTAACTTTAGTCGAGTTTATTTTCTCTAGATCACTAACAACTTTAGTGTTCACTAAGAGCTATGGTGGGTGTAGATTTTCTTTGGCCTTCTAAAAATTTGTCTCCGGATTCTTGTGAACCTTTTGCATGTTTGAGCTCTGGATTCGACCTGAACACCAATAGCTATTTTTCTTGCTGTGCTTCTCATCTTTATCGATTTCATCTTCTTCAGGCTCTGGAAAAGTCGAAATATGAACAATCGTTGGAGTCTGTGAGGCATTTCATTGCTATTGCTGAGAAGGAACTAGAATTATATTACCGGCATGTCGCACTCTATGGCGATCCAGCTGATAGGGACCCTAAATCAATTCTTGATCCTCCAAGGACAGAATGTTCAACAAACGATATTGAAGCAGGAATTTTTGGCGATCAAGAATTCTCAGAAGGTTTAAGTGACCTTGATTGTGAAGAAGATGACGAGTTTAGTGAGCACAAAGATTCTTCCGATGAAACTACAGGCAACTCTCACTCAATGCAGCAACAGTCTGGCTTACAACTACTCTGTCAAAAATAATTTTACAACAACACTGTTTAATTGTGTTGTATAAGCCTATATGAATATGTTCTTAGTTTATGTGCATAATGTATATTATATGAATGCACACAGTCTGGTGCATGTAGTAATACAGTTTGTTGAAGTTTGTGTTCATTAATCAAATTATTTGCTCTGTAAATGAGTTTTTTTTAGCAAATTTTAACGGGTCAAATTTTGAATCTACTATATATATATATGTATATATAATATTTTAAATAAAAAACATATTTAAAAAAAAATTAATAATAATACACACTATAAAGTCAAACCAAGACAGCATCCAAACACACCTTATAATAATATCAAATGTTACCTGATAAATTTATATTTAATTTATTTTTATTTCAGGTCGACAGATTCTCTATTTATTACTATTAATACTTTTATTTAATTAGTATTGTTGTGACAGCCCAAAAAACACACCAAACGTCTTTATCTGCCTATCCATCGCGCTATCAACGGTTACTTGCCTTGTTTGCAAAGCAAAATTGCAAATCGGCCCCACAACTCCTTAATAATTAAAAAAGGGTCTCCACAATTATAGCAACGCGTTTTAATCAATGGCGGTGGAAAGATGATCATGCGAACCGCCCTCACGTTTCCGATTTATTCCCGGATTTCTCGCCGAGCACGCACATCACACGCCACACGAATTCCTATCTAAATCCTCTCTCGATCGATTGACTTCTTTCGCAGAGGAAGGAATTTCGTGCCTGATTTCAACGCCAAACCGCCGCCGGACAATGGACGCCAACGACCTCGCTCGCGTCTTCCAGATGTTCGACCAGAACGGCGACGGGAGGATCACTGTGAAGGAACTCACCGATTCGTTGGCGAGCATCGGAATCCCGATCTCCGACGAGGAGTTGAGCCAGATGATCTCGAAGATCGACGCCAACGGCGACGGCTGCGTCGACGTCGACGAGTTCGGAGCGCTGTACAGGACACTAATAATGGACGAGCGCGACGAGGAGAAGGATATGAGAGAGGCGTTCAATGTGTTCGATCAGAATGGCGACGGATTCATCACCGTTGATGAACTGAGATCCGTGCTGGCGTCTCTGGGGCTGAGCCACGGCGGAGAGAACGACGACGACTGCAGATTGATGATTAAGAGAGTGGACGCCGACGGCGACGGCAAGGTCGATTTCAACGAGTTCAAGCAGATGATGAGCGGCGGTTTCGCTGCGTTGAGCAATTAAAATTGAATTGCATTGCGACGATTCTTTGTTTTCAGGTAAAGTAAATCTCTCCTGCGAATTCGATTATTCAGATTCTCCTGGTTCATCAATTTTTATTTTTATTATTATTTTTTGTTTCTGGATTGATCCAATAGGTTACGAAATTGTAGAAGAAAATTGTTTGTTGGTGTAAAAAATGCGTCATGGTATTCCTTATGCTCTTTGTACATTTATTTTTTACCCATTTGTTGTTTATTTTTCTAATCATTAATTTATTGGATTAAATTAATTCATGTTATTACGAAAATAGATCATTTCATTATATATATATATATATTGTTACAAAAATGTTTATTTCTACCTTGAAATGCATCATACTCCGAACAACGTTCAATCACATATGGGAAACTTTGAAGTATTGAAATTATAAACAAACAAGGCAGCGACCACAGTGTTAAATTTAAAATTCAATACTACATAATTTATTTTTATTTTTTAATAAATATGAGTATATATTTTAATCATATTTTAAAATTTAAATTTATAATTTTTTTAATTTTAATTAAATTATTTAATTATTTAAATATTAATTTATATTATATAATACTCATTTTTACTAATAAATAATAAATAATGGTATACCAAGAAAATCATACCAAATATATTATCATCAAATAACGACACATAAAAAAAAATTATAAAAAATATATTTTATAGTTCTTCTGCCCATTAATAATCTTTCTATTTAATTTTTAGCACATGAATTATGTATATTAGTATTTTATTGAAATATAGTATAAATGATATATGTAAAGTTAATTTAACCTTAAAATAATAATATTTTTAAAACATTTTGTAAATATATTTTTTACATGAAATTTTAAAATAGAAACATAATAAAATTAAAAAACTAACAACAATAAAATTAAGCAAATAAAATTATTACTTGGTTGAACAGATGGCAATGCAATATTTGTTTTTAAAAAAAGGTCTTTATTCGGTATACAATATGAGAAACATTAATAATTAATAAATGCACTATAAAATAAAGACTATACTAAATATATTATTATTATCAATTAACTCTATTTATTTATTTTTAAAAATAAGCTGCATTATTATATACTTGTCATAAGTTAACAACTCAACAAATTTAATATATATATATATATATATTGTAAATAATAGTAATAATTTGCATCATGATATATTTGTTATAAGTTAACAATTTAACAAATTGAATAAAAATATATATAATAATTAATATTTAATGCGAAAAAAATAAAATAAAATTCAGACTCGAACGAAAGTAGTATATTGTGAATTATAGGAACAAAAATAATTTGTAAATAGGGCCAGGTATTGTCTAATGGCAAAATTTTCAAAAACAATAAATAAAAGAATTTTTATTTGAATTTTTTAATATTAAAAAATTAAATTTACATAATTATTGAATATAATACAAATAAACATAATCAAATTAATTTTTTTTAATAAACATAAAAATAAAAAGCAATAGTTTAATTTGATATTTAATAAAAATAAATAATAATAATAATAATAATAATAATAGAGAAGTTGCACGAATCAGTTTCATCATCGCAAATCGTAATACTATTAAAGAAGGTTCTCTACAGGCACTGTCATCAGTCATCCTTCTGCTTATGATTCTACCTTTAGACGTCGGATGGCTTCTCAGTGACTTGCAATGTACACATAGTTTGTGGTATGTCTTTATATTCTTCAACGTAGAACAAATTTACCACTTTGAACACCGTACCGTTGCTCATATTACAAATTTCATTTTTTGGAGGAACTGTTCTTTGTGATAGGTGTTTAGGAGGTGATCAAGATCTCTTGTCTTCGTTATTCTTCTAAAGTTGTTTTGTTGATTGTATTTTCATGATTTGGCTCGTGCCTGCGATGTGTTTGATTAAAAGCTTGTAAATGCCCACCACGTGTTTGTTTAAATGCCTCAAAGATTATACATGCGTTTAATCTCTTTGCTCTGTTTGATAATGATTTATTCGTTGCAGAATCAATGATCCAAACTAAAATGGATATACACTTTTCTGTAGGCTATTGATTCTCAAATTTCAGCAGTGTGTTGTTAAACTGTAAAGACTTCGAGCAAATGGTTGAGAAATTTAGAGAAGATTGATTTTTTTTTCATTGGATTCCTTTTATTATTGTTTATCAAAACCTTTGATCAAATCCTTTGTTGCACCTCCATATTTGCAATTATCGATGAACTGATTGATGAGGATAATGAATTGTTTCTTGACTCATGTTGCAGCCCTACACCTGCTCGTTGAAGACTCTCCGAATTGCTTCTTGTTATGCGTTTTCCGGTCACTACACTGTCCACAAACCTCGGAAATTTATGCAGCAAAGTGAAAGAATTATTGACAAACAGGAAATGGAAGGAATTAATTTTCCATTACAGAGAGATGAACAGCTCGGGAGCTCGGCTGACTGACCACACAATTTTTCCACACATTCTCAAGGCTTGTTTATCTCTGTCATTTCCACTCGGCGAGTCCGTCCACGCTTCCCTGATCAAGCAGGGATTTGAGTCCTTCGGCACGTTGAGAAATTCTTTGCTAGACTTTTATGTGAAATCCGGCAAACTGGTTGCTTTTGATCTCATCGAGGCCAAAGATTCCGTTTCATGGAATATAATTCTCCATGGCCATTTCCATCGAGGTGCTTCTGAAGAAGGTTTAAAGTTGTTTGTTCGAGCTCGAGAATTTGGATTCGAACCCAATGTTTCGACTCTGGTACTAATATTTCAGGCATGCCGCAGCATTAAAGCATTCGATGATGGCCAGAAATTTCACGGCTACTTGATTCGAAGTGGGCTGTGTAGCATTCTCTCAGTGAGAAATTCTCTACTTGGTATGTACACAGATATCCGAATGGATTGGGCAGAAAGTCTTTTCGATGAAATGGATGAGAAGGATGTAATATCTTGGAGTGTGATGATCGGAGGTTACGTTCATGGCGATGAAGCCGTACTCGGTTTAGAGATGTTCAAACGTATGGTATTGGAATCGAAGATCAAAGCAGATGAACAAACAATGGTAATTTTCAACGGCAATTTCACCTAAAAGTTCAAATTATCGAATTATTGTTACTTATAGTTTTAATTCTTTCGATAGGTAAGCGTACTCAAAGGCTGTTCTAAGTTATCCGACATCAGGATGGGGAAATCAGTTCATGGATTTGTGGTCAAGCGAGGTTTGGACTACGACACGTTCTTGGGGAATACTCTCGTCGATTTCTACTGTAAGTGCGGCGAAGTTGATTCTGGGGCTCGAGCATTCGTTGAGATGCCTCGTAAGAATGTAGTAACCTGGAATTCTATGTTGTCGGGATATGTTCACAGTGAGAATCATCTAGAAGGGTTGGCATTGTTTGCCCGGATGGGGGAGTCAGGAGTCGATGCTGATGAAGTCACTCTAGCGAACCTACTCGTAATATGCCGAGACTTGAGGGACCTACGTCGATGCAAGACGATTCATTCTAGAGTGATTCGGAGAGGCCTACGATCGAATGACGTGGTGATGAACTCCTTGCTCGATGCATACGCGAAATGCGGTCGAATCGATCTTTCGCGACGAGTGTTCTGCGGAATCGATGCTCCCGATATCATTACCTGGAGTACGATGATCTCGGGCTTCACTCACTGTGCGATGCCCAATGAAGCGATCGCTCTATACCGGGAGATGCAGCTGTCGCATTTCGATCGAAATCCCGTCACTCTGCTGAACCTTCTTGAAGCCTGCTCGGTTAGCGCCGAAATTGCACCGTCGAGATCGGCTCACGGAATCGCCACCCGGATGGGTCTGGCGTCGGATGTTGTCGTCGGGACAGCGTTGCTTGACATGTACGCAAAATGTGGGGCGATCGAAATGTCGAGAAAGGTGTTCAGCCAAATTTCGGAGACGAACATCTATTCATGGAGCGCAATCATCGCTGCCCACGGCCTCAATGGTCGCCCTCGAGACGCGTTGTCAATGTTCTTGGAAATGGAACGTTCCGGAACGAAGGGTAACTCGGTGACAGCCCTCGCGGTCCTATCCGCGTGCTGCCATGGCGGATTAGTGGAAGAGGGAATCGCATTCTTCAAAGACTGGACCAAACATCACCCCGGCAATAACGACGACGAAGAACTATACGCGTGCGTCGTCGACATGCTGGCACGGGCGGGAAACCTCGACGATGCAATGCGGCTGATCGGGTCTCACCGGGACTGGGGCGGGGCGAGCGCGTGGAGCGCGGTCCTGAGCGCATGCAGGAACTACGAGGACCGGGAGCTGGGCACTGGGGCTGCGTCGCAGGTGCTCGAAATGGAGCCGTGGAGCTCGGCCGGGTATTTGTTGGCGTCGAGCGTTTGTGCGAACGGAGGGTCTTGGACAGATGCGTCGAGGCTGCGGCAAATGATGACGGACCGAGGAGTAAAGGTGGCGGCGGGTTATAGCGTGGTTCGTGTAGATGGCCGAGCTTATGGGTTCACCGCCGGCGCCGGAGATGATGGTGGCGTTGTTTGTGGCGTGGCGGAGCAGCTGCATGCCTTCATGAGAATGAATTCTTGTTCTTGTTGCTAGGGGTGCTGTATATGCTGTTGTTTGTGTTTTTAATCTTCTTCTTGTGTTATACCATTACCATTTATTGGAAATTGCTTATTTTTACTAATATTGTTATGTTAATATTTGCTTATTTGGATTGGACATTACCCACCCTGCAAATATAACAGAAACGAGAAAATAGCTTTGGTTGGTTATATCATATTAGCACTATAACAGCTTATATATATATATATGATTGGGTGTCTTAAAAATATATACAATATACAGCTTATATATATATATATATATGATTGGGTGTGTCTTAAAAATATATACAATATAGCAGAGTCCAAATACTATATAGGTGTCGGCCTTTGAACTCATGGTCACAAATTCAATCCCTACACCACCAGGGCAAAAGTGAACAAACTTTATTATATTCTTTCGTCACACAAAGTGGAACAGATGGTAAAAGAAAATTAATTTTTCATTCTATAAAAATATATTATTATTTTTTATTAGATATCATATTAATTTTAGAGAATTTTTAAATTAAAATCAAACTCAAACAAATCATAAGGTGTACTTTAGAGAATTTGGAATGATTATTGAGTAATTTTTTTTTTCAAAAATATCAAGTTAAATAGTTAACTTATATTTATTATATTATATTTCCTCCGTTCCACATTGGTGTATTGGTCACTGTAGATACGAGACTTTAGGATAAATATAATAAGTAGATAATTATAAATGTATTAGTGAAAATAATTAACATATAATATAAATTATTATAAATTAAAATTAAGATAACTAATTAATTTAATTAAAATTTAAAAAAAATAAAAATTTTAAAATGAGACATTTTCCAAAAAAAATAGTTACATGAGAGATGAGACGGATAGAAACGACAATATAAACATGATAAATGAAACAAATAGAATATTAAAATTTAATTTTAAATTTAAATCATCATATCAAATAATTATTTAAATTTAAAAAAATTTACTATTGAAAATAAAAATCATTCTGTCACGATGATAATCAATTGGAATTATTAGGACAACATTAATCGTTAAAAGAATTTTGTCCCATGTGATGTCTGCCTCGTCTCGTCTCCTATCATCATTTAAGAACACCCCATCATCTCATCTCTTCTCAATTATAAGTAAACGACATTATCTAAATATTTTTATTTATATTTTTACTAAGGGTGTGTTCTTTCGGGGGATTTCCCCAAATTTCTATTATTCATCCAATTTTTTTTCTTCAAAAATATCAAATCAAACATCTATTTTTTATTTTGTATATTATACTAAAAATCAATTTTACATTTAAAATATCACATCAACGCCTATTTATATCACATGATACAACTATTTCAATCGGTTCGTGCGCGGCAGCTGATGAAGAAATGCGGGTTCAAAAATTTTACTATTCAAATCTCAATTCAAAATCCAAACCTCCAAACAAACACACCATAAATAGTAATCTTTCCGGCCCACCTCAAAGGTTCTTTGAAATTTTATAGTAAATTAGATAATAATAATATTTTATTAGCATGTAAATTTTTTTAATATTTTTATTCTTTGATTTCATTTATAAAATAATTATATACTTAATGATATTTTTATAATTTATGTAAAAATTAAAGATATTTTGATATTAGTGTATAATTATTATATTAAAATAAAAAATGAATATTTTTTAATGGAAGTATATTATATCAACGGATAAAATATTAATAATTTAAAATAAAATATTATTTTTTATATAAAAAAACTTTTGTATTAACGTTAAAGTGAGCACATTTTTTGTTAATTATAATTTTGATTATCTTGTGACTATTATTTATTCTTACATTTGAATTTATTTAATTTGAATTTGAATTTTAATATAACAGTGTTATTAGAAAAGATATAAACATTTTTTATTGAAATTATGTTAATTTATTTGTAGAAATATTAATTTAAAATAATAAAAAAAACCTTTTTAATTTCAAATGTTTTTATAAACTGTATTTTTTAAAAATAAAAAATATGAATATAAACAAAAAAATAAAATATTTTTCTTTTATTTGATTGTGATTTAAAATTAATTTAAAATATATTGTTAATTAATTTAAAATTTTAAATAGCATTTTGATATCATATTATATATATAAAAAATAATACTCATAATATATTTTCATTAAAATTTTTATCAAATAAATAAAAAAAATTATTACAAAGTCTTTAAAATCAAGAACAATGATATAAATTTAAAGAAATTTTCTCTATCATCTAAATTTATTCATTTATTTTATTATTAATATTTATTCTTGTTTCATTTTTTTTTTTACTTCAAAAATATAAATTTATATTTTTATTTATTTATTTAAAAACTCGTATCAAATATATAATTGAACGATGAAAAAAGTATTATTCATTTTCTCACTAAAAAAAGTGGAATTTGTTGAGTTGTGTCGTGTCAAAGACAATTTTTTCCCATGATCTAAGAGATAAGTAGGCCCTCCCTTTCATTTATTATCAATTGAAATAATATAAAATATAAACAAATTAAAATAAAATGAAAGAAATACAACTCTTTTCGTCCCCTTTCAATATAAACCCAAATATTTAATTACTTAATAATATTAAATTAAGATATTATTTTACTATTCTTATGTAAATGGTATTGTTATAATTTTAGTAAAAAAATAATATATAATTACAATAATTTTAAAATATATATTTAAATAAGTTCGGCACTAAGGGTTCCATTTATTTTTTGGGTGTTGATTTTTGAATATTAATTATTATATCAAAATGTAGTAAAAATTTTTTTTAAAAAATTACCAAAATACTTCAATTAATGTCTTATATTATTAATAGAATAATATTTGTACAAAAAAAATATATAAATATAAGAATATTTTTACTATTAAGTACAATGAGTAAACTATAAATGTGATATTTAAAAACGGACGGAGAAAGTACAAAATAATTTATGGCCCAGTCAATAAGGTAACATCTCCCAAATTTGATTAAAATCACTATTGTTATTGTTGTTATTATGTATTTTTTATTATTTATATAATAAAAATTAAAAATATATTTGTTTTTATATGCTCCCTTCGTCCTATTGAAAGGTTGCCATTTTTTATTTTCGTCCGTTCCAAAATAAGGTTACAATTTTCTAATTTAATAATTGTACTACCTAACTTACACTATATTACACAAATGTCATTATTTTTATATTATACAATATTAATAGGGGTATTTCTGGCATTTTCACTACAATCCATTATAATATTAATATTAAAAAATCTATAATATTAAAAAATTTACGTGCAAAAAAACAAACGCCACCCTTATTTCGGGACGGAGGGAGTATTATACTTTAATTAAAATTGTTATTTAAGGTATTCCAAGCCAATCTATATTCAAACACCCCCTAATAAATAATACAGAAGTCCGTATAATAAAGAATTGATTGTATGATTATTTGTTTTTAATTGTGTGTTTTTTTTATTGTAAATTGTTGCCATTTAATGTAGCACTTTTTTAAAAATTAAAATAAAATTGAACAAAGTATTACATTTAGATAATTGTTCCTAAAGATTGTTTCACCAAAATATATCACAAGCACATACCCAATTCGAGTGAAGTTCTTTGGAGTTCCATTTTATTATTTTTTATTTTAATTTTATTGTTTATATAATAATTTGAATGTAATTTTTTTTATAAAATCAAATACTTCATCTGTCCCGGATGGACCTTTTTTGTCAGCGACACCATAGCAGTAGGTTATTAATAATAAGTTAAAGATAATATTTTATTATTTTTTATATGTATAGCATTGTTGGTTTTTTAAATATTTTTAAAATTATATCTCAATAAAATATATCAATATGTATATCATTTTGTATACAATAAAATTTTATATAATACAAATGAATAAAAGTATTTATTTATTTATTTATTTATCATTATCATAAATTAGTTTTATAAAAAATGAGGAGTTTTAAAAGTAGATAAAAAATATTTGTTAATTGAGAAGATAGATAGAAATACAAGGGTTTTGAATGAGTCCTACGTGTAAGATGTTAGAAGTTTAATTAAATTGATATATATTTCTTTTTAAGTATGTTTAAGATTGATAAAGTTACCAAAAATGAAAATTGATCATCTTTTGTAGGACGTAAAAAAAAAATAAAAAATAAAAAAAATGAATCATCTGTGATGAGACGGAGAGAATCACAGCCCCACTGAATGATGAAAAAATTAAATTTCAAAATAACAAAATACTTATTTTCTAGTGATCATTAAAGAGTTTCGTCTCAGGACAATAAGTTTCCTTAATTGTTGTTGAAATGAGACGTTTGATTTGAATTTTTATTTATATAATATTTTGATATAATTTTTTTTTTTAAAAAAAAAAAGTTTATTTTTATTATAGATTGTATGAAGAAATAATATTGATTTCTATTTTAAATCACAAATGAACAAATCTTAAATGAAGCAATTATTCTCTATGAATATATCACAGTAAGCACATGTAATTAAAAGTCAATTTATTTCAATTTTAAAAAATAAAAATACATATATAAAATAAAACACCCGAAAAAATCATAATAATAAATATGTTTGTATCTATGTGTATATTTAAATTATTGATATGGGACAGGGGCAGCAGCCTAACCCTAATCAAGCTAAACATGTCCGACCAAATAATGTGGGAAGTATTCATTCAATTGTCGATATTTTTAGATGAATTTATTTTTTTATATTATATAGTAAATTATATCAAAATATAAAATATATTATTTTAAATTAAATATTTAATTTTTTATAATAGTTTTCTTAAAAAAAAATTATCAAAAATTATTATTATTATTTTGAAAAATTAAATAATATTAAAAAAAACACAGCGAATATGATCGTCATATTCATGTGTGCAATATAAAAATGCACACCAATAATTACTACCATTACATAATACTATTACTAATACTAATAATAATAATAATAATAATAATAATAATAATAATAATAAAATTATTATTATTATTTTTAATCGGAATTAATTATTATTATTATTATAAGACAGGTGTGTGGCATCATAAGACTATCGTGGGTCCCACCACCACCACCACCACCACGACCATGTCCATGCTTTGATTTCTTCACAAATCACAGCCAAACGGACATCTCGAGAAAAAGGTTTTGCACTTTTGTAGTATTTTCTTTTCTAATTTACTACAGTATTTATTTCTGGTATTTTTTATAAAATAGTCACTCCATCCAGATAGAAAACTATACATATTTCTATTTTGGGACGTCCAATTACAAAGTAAATATTTTATTAAATATTTCACTTTTTTTCACAAATACCCTTACTTTACATCACATCATTACTTTTATACCAAAAAACAAGGGCAAAAATGTCATTACACTGCTTTTAACTATTCATTATAATTAAAATATTATTATTTCTTAAATACCGCGCCAAAAGTAAATGTATACTTTATTTGTGGACGGAGGAAATATTAAATAATATTAAAAAATATAAATTAAAATTAACTAATTTGAGTTCAGTGCTTGACATAAAAAAAATTGAATTTTTTTATAAAAAATAATAGAAGTAACAAATTCTTGACACTAATTTTGGAAATTTAGTTAAAATTTTAACTAAACGAAAAGAGAATGTTATAAAAGTAATGATATTTATTATAAATAAGTGTTGAATAAAAATAATAATGAAATATAAAATGCACGAATGAAAATAGTAGTCCCTCAGTCACATATTTATATATTCATTTGCTTTTTGCATGGAGTTTTATAAATATTAGTATTATATCAAGATAAAGTAAAAATAAAGGTAAAAATATTAAATTAATCCTATTAGTACTGTATGATATAAAGGTAATGGCATTTGTGTAATATATTGTAAATTGAAATGGTACTTGTAATATTAGGTAGATAGTACAATTACTAAAAAAAAAATAATTACTTTGTTACGAGACGGACCAAAATTGAGAAATAGATAGATTGTTAAACAACGAATTATATTGATTAATTTATTATTATTTTTTAAGTTTTCTAACATTTTAAAATTTGAAAAAATATCTACCCAGATAGAGTCACAACTTCTTGGTTATTTGTATTTTTTACAGACACGGAAATATGTAAGTTGTGTTTTTTTTATGGGCTTTACCACAAGATTTTATTATTCAGGTTTTTTTTTTATAAAAAAATATCAGATCAAATAATTATTTTTTTTTTATATTATAGTACAAATTTATTTTATATTTAAAACATCACATCAAACAATTATTCAAATTCAACTTTTTACTATTAAAATTCAAACCAAAAATCTAAAACTCACAAACAAACACACCCGTGAGATTTTATTTGAGTGCATATTGGATAAACGTCCAACCAGACTGTAACAATATGCAAAGATCAATTAAGTAAAATTAGTCATGTCTGACCGTTCATATTTATCTTTTGCGCTCTCGTACTTAATATTAAAAATATTTTTATATTTATATAATTTTTTATATAAATGTTATTTATTAGTATTATAACACTAATAAAAGTATTTTTATCTTTTATATTTGATTTGTACTATATTTTGATATAATAACTAATACTCAAATATAACACGTACAAAAGAAATGTAATTTTCGAAATGGACAAAGAGTATATATATATATATATATTTTGTATGCCATTGAAAATTTTTAAAAAATAATTTACTTTTTATTTTCTATTTCCAATTCTTTCTCATAAGTAGAATTATAAATATTACTAAACATTATGAATTATGAGAGAAAAATATACATTTTTTTTATAAAATAAGTTTTATTTGTTACCAGAACTGTGTGTTTACTTGTCACGTTTTAGTTTTAGGTTTTGATCTTGAATAATAAAATTTTAAATTGAAATAATTGTTTGATATGATATAAATATATGTTAATGTGATATTTTAAATGTAAAATTATATTTTAGTGTAATAAAATAAATAAAAATTAAATGTTTAATTTGATATTTTTGAAAAAAAAATTTAAATAATAAAATCATATGTAAAAACTGACAAGTAAACACACCAATTATTATTTGTCCTTTAAATCTTATCCTCCCGATTTCATCACTGTCATCATAACATCGGTCACAATTGCAAAGTTTTACATATAAATAATAGTTATTATTATTAAAATTTGCATTTCTTTTTACATAGGTGTATATAATAACTAATACTTACATACTAATACTAATATAAATATAATAATGTAGATACGACAATTTAGAAATATTATGATTTTGCTCGCAAAAGTTTTTTTTTTATTTTATTTTATTTTTATATGATTTTCAATATATGTGTTGTATTTTAACAAAATTAATATTTAATTTAAAATATTATTTTTATACTATTAACACAATTCTCAGTGTTTCACGTAAAATAAAAATTTCAAATCGAAATATTAAACAAACAAACTCAATAATGAGTAAGTAAATAAAAAATATATTACTAAAAAATAATTACACAATAATATAAATAATTATAAATTAAATTATCAAAATATTTTTAAAATACTATTTATATTAATAAAAAATAAATAATTAATTTCAAATTAAAACCAAACAACCCATTAATAATACTCTATCAATGGGATAATTGTCATTTTTATTAGACAAAAAAAATAATACTCCATCCGAAAAGTAATACTCCCTCATTCCTATATAATATGAGTATATTAATGTAGATGCATGAATTTAGGTAAAATATAATTAGTAAGTAATTAATAAGTGTATTAGTAAAAATAATTATTGTATGATAAAAATAATTATAAATTAAGATTAAGATAACTAAATAATTTAATTAAAATTTAAAAAATTTTAAAATTTAAAATTTAAAATGATTAAAATGTATAATTATATTTTTAGAAAAAAAATGACAAATTATGTGAGACGAACAAAAATAAAAAATATAGACAAATTACATGGAATAAAAAAAGTAATTACTTTTTAAAAATGATAAGATGATGAAAAGAAATGATAAATTAATTATCATTTATTAAAATAAAATAATAAAATTGTTAGTTAATAAAGTCATAACATATTACATGAATTATATATATATATATAAAATGATGCTCCCTCCATCCCAGAAGAACGATATTATTATTATTATTTTTTTTTTTTGTCACAAAACAAGAATACTATTTCCTTATTTAGTAATTTTATTACATAGTTAACATAATTAATATTCTTACAATATTTAATATATAACATAAATACTATTATTTTTATATCACACAATTTAATAGGGATATTTTTTTCTTTTTCACTATAAATCAATATATTACTTACATTAAAATAATCTACGTACAAAAAAATAAATGTTGCTCTTCCCCTGAGACAGAAGTAGTATAATTATTTCGGAGGGATGGATGGGTAATAAAAGGAACAACATATTTATTACTCTCTCTGTTCCATTTTTCATGTCCATATTTTTATTTCCGGCCGTCTCACTTATTTTGTCACGTTCTTTTTTTAAAAATAATTATACACTTTAATTTTATTTTTAAAAATTTAATTTATAATTTTAATTATACTAATTAATTATTTTAATTTATAATTATTTTTATTATATAATAATTATTTTCACTAATATATTTTAATTATTTATTAATTATACTTCTTCTAAATTCTTGTCTTTACTGTCACGCGGATAAAATATCCGAGAGGGAAGGAGTATTACAAACACCATAAATACCCATCACGTTCTGCAGCCGATTTCCGACACGTGGCAGTGTCACGTGCAAAGAGATGCATCAACGGCATCCTGACGCAGATCTTTATCTACTTGTCAAGTGCTTTTCGATCATCTAGCCACGTCACGCCATCATGCTCCCAGATCTGATCCGACGGCTCACGTCTCGTCCCTATCCAAAATAGTGCTCGATCTATAACGCCCCTTTGTCCATAAATAACCCCTCAATCTTCCGTTACTCATTTCTAAAAGAGCAGCAGCAGCAGCAGCAGCACAGCAGCAATTAAAAATCCTCACTGCTAACCTGCGCCGGTTCCCCCATGGGATTACTTGACCATCTCTGGGACGACACCGTTGCGGGCCCGCCGCCCGACAGCGGCCTCGGGAAACTGAGGAAAAACGCTACGTTTACCTTCCGAACCAGCTCCGGCAAGGGTACGCATCTCTCGCCGGATGGGGGGAGGGTTTCGTGATTCTAATAGTACTATCTAAGTTAACTGAATAAATTCTACGGAATCGTAAAATTCAAAACAGCTGATAATCGAGTTCCGAACAAAATCCTTCGCGTTTTTTGTGTGTTCGTGAAATAATTGTTTGAAAACAGACGGTTTCGTTTCAACGCCGTAGAATTATGCGAGTGAAAAGATGTGTTTAAGAGTTTTAACGATTTGTTACCGGATGCTGAAGAAATCATGTGTGAATTGGCGTTGCAGAGTCGTCGGATGTCTTGAGCAACCGGAAATCGTTCGGCGAAGAGGCAGCAGCGGCGGAGGATGCGGTGAAGGTGACCAGAAGCATAATGATCGTGAAACCTAATCAGAAGGACTCGCCGCCGGTGTCGCCGGCCGGATCTACTCCGCCGGTATCTCCTTTCGCCGGTAAGATCTACATTCGATGCTCAATAATTGTGGAACCTGAAATCCACCGTCGTCAGTATAGTGGCCCCTCTGCAAAAGTTTCTTCTACGCTCTAGAAGAATCTTCGCAGCGGGAACGATGGTAGTTTAGTCATTTAGTTGTCGCTTCCAGGGGTATGATAGTCATTTCAGTCTCATCATGGCGGCTTAGGGGTACTATTGTAATTTGACGTGGTGGGTGAAAATTTCAACTTTTAATATTAGTGCGGGGACAGAAGGGACTAAGGGATGGGGCCCACACGTCTAGGGTTAGGTAAATTTCTATTTCTAACACATTATTCCAAAATTTAATAACCTGAATTATTCCAAAATTTCAAGAAAATAAAATAATGAAATATATAGTCCATATATTATATACTTACTGTTTTTGTTATCTTTTGGGATTGATGGGATTGTCTTATCCAAATGAATTTATTATGAGGCAATTAGAAATTAAATAAGATAAGATGGTCAGCCAATATATGTTCTGCCTTCAAGAAATTTTGCTTAGAAGTCCTTTTCAACCATGGAAGTGCTTCAAAAATCAGACACACCCTTTTGATAATGAAGTATTACCTACTGCAATAATTGAGGGCATAGTTTAGATATGTGTGATCTCACGATCCAGATAGTTTTAATTGTAATTTTGTATCAACTTGCCAATTGGGGATTGTTTCTTGTTAATTTATACATTCTTTTTGAGCGTGATATGGGGAGGGTGTTGGTGCTTACCGCAAAGATTGCTGTCTATGTAATATGTTGTATTGAATTGTTGACTCGTAAAAAATTCACTTGTCCTAAAAAAAAAAAAAAATTTTCTGGATGTGCATAGGTGGTGGAGGAAGAGATCAGGCATATCGGTTCCGGAGGAGGTCAGCATCATTCGCATACGAAAAGGCTAATGGAGTTGGACCACGGAGCCCTACTCCTCCTTACGACATGTGAGACTTGAGGCGACAACCTTTTTTTTTTGTTCGTTTTCTTGAGGCTAAACGTTAGCCAGGAAACCTCGGCTCGATGGATGCAAGAGGATCACACGGTAGTCTTCTGTAATTAACACTGTATTTATTGTGCGTGTATATGTGTGTGTTGTCTTCTTGAGCCAATGACGACTGTTGGTGTGTTTGTGTTTTGATTTGGAGGAGTGTAAGGAAAGCAGTAGTGAGTTATGTATAAGATATAAGAGGTGAATGTGCATATGTGAGGTGAGGTGAGGTGTGGTGTTTTTTCATGGTAATAAATAACATGACTTTGCTTTTTCAAGGTATTTTATATGTTTCATTAAACAAAATATCACATTTAATACAGGCCCAAAAATAAGGAAAGATAACCTCATTTTCTTCCAATTGTGAGAATGTACCAAAACTCTTTCGATCTGAGAAACAAGATCTCTTAACAAAAGCAAAACTATGGAAAAGTATCTTTTTCTTACGATCAAGTGCCTCAATCCTCATCTTCCTCGTTCTCATTCTCAGCAATGTTGAAGTACCTCAATTCGTACACATTTTTATCCTTGTTCGAAGAGATCACCCGCAGCCAATCGCGAACATTGTTCTTCTTGAGATACTTCTTGGTTAAGTACTTCAAGTACCTGATCATCATATCCAAACATACAATGGATGAAAACAAGGAACACAATATTGAAGAGAATGGGTGTACAAAACAGGCTAAGTGCTCGGCTCAGCTGACCGACCCAAGTAAGTTCCAATTCGCCGATCAGCTTGGTAAGGGGTTCCGGTTGAGGGTCGAAGTTATAAAACCAAATTCTTTGATTTGATGTATCTTTTTATCCATCATAGCCGCGGATTCTACACTCTTAGAAGTAATAAAATTCTTGTGAAGTTTTAACACAAAAGTTTCGAAACAACAGTATTTATACTAGTTTAACAGCTGTACAGATCGGTGGCTGCCGTTCTAGTAAAACCTATACAAGTTCTCAACTTCATCCTCTACCCAACTGCAAAGTGAAAGGGCAAAGACATCTACCCTACCTTGAAGTAGTGAGAACAATAACAATAAAAAGATTAATCCATGATGCACATATTAATGTCTGCCATTCATGCAAAGGTTATGCTAATTGAACCAAGAAGATAGTATATGTTATTGATGATCCGATTTATTTCATGTTCTTTTCAACTAAAAAGTAATGCTATTTGATTATATCCTTAGCACAGCCGATGCAGAGTGGCAAGTATGAATTACAACAGCCTATTATTTATTATGTCAAATTCCTGCAAATAGTGTTCTCAATTACTCTACAACCAAATTTCATCGAACTCATAGTCAATTACTTAAATCAACTGATCTAGCAACAAGATCTAACTAGAAAGAACATTAATCAGAACCAATTTTGAACCTAATTTCATGCTGGACGTAAAAGATTACTATTCTACCATTTTAACTCACTCATTGCAACCATTAACAGATGATCAAGCGCAACTGAACCAAAAATTATTATCATCGTGAGAAAAAGAAAAATGCTATAGAGGATGAAGTCACCTCTTGGAGATTGTATCACTGGCTGTAACGGAAATTTTGGTCTTGTCGCGAGTAACGGTGACAGAATCCCCCAGTGCCCCGGGCTTCCCGCCGACCTTGATCCGCTCCTGGAGGAATTTCTCCAGAGAAGCAATGTCCATGATCTTATCCTCCACCGGCTTCGAGCAGTCGATCACGAACGTTGATGCCTTCTTCTTCCCACCCTTCGGAGCTCCGCCGCTCCGTACTGCTTTACTCATCTCTGCCTTGTATCCGAAATCCTCCTTCCACAACCAAAGACCAATAACAGCACATTGATAAATCACCTAGGAGACTCCATGAATGGAGCGCATCGAAGAGAGTGCAAGCTTACCAGTCGTGGGAAGATGGAGCGGCGGCGACACCGGTTCAGCCGGAGAAGATAGGAATTTATGGTGATTAGACTGAGGATTTCATTATTGGGCCTGGGCCGAGATAATATGGGCCGTAGTTGAACAAATGCAGCCCAAAGAATAATTGTAAAGCAAATATGACACGTGTCGGAGTTGAAGCACCCGGTGCATGTGATGTGATCCTGTGTGGCCGCGGCCAATGAAAATGGAACAGCGCCCCTTGTTTTCCATATATTTGATTCCGTCACAAATTATATATATAGAGGAGTACCGGCAAAACTGCCAAACTTTAGAACTCTAGAACTCGCGAGAATCTAGAGGAAGATCGTGCGTGAAGCAGGTAAGCTGTTTTATGTGTTAATTTTCTTTTGGTTATTCATTAGGTAGCGAATTTGGTGAAGGTATGTTCATGGAGTTGGAATTTTCATATGATTTATTTTATTTTATTTTTGGATGAAATTATATTTGATGCTCTTTTCTCTGCCTTTGTGTGTTGATTGTTTATTTATTTATTTATTTATTTATTTATTATTATTATTATTTTTTTCTGGGCTAATTTGGAGTGATTGAATGTTCCAACTATTTGATTACAACTACGGATTCATTTTGTTCAGTTGTATAGCAATTCAGTGGATTTCAGATTTTATTTATTTCTTTTATGTGGAAATTTAGGCCAAAGAAATTTATTTATTTATTTCATTTGGTGTTTTAATATTTGTCTGACTTTTGGAGAAGAGAAGCTACTACGTACTTTTGTGGTTCAATTGTGTTTTATGATGACTTTTACACGTAAAGAGTATGATTTAGTAGAACTTGTTTGTGAATCACAGAGTGACATGGTTGATATACTGTTTTTTTTCCCTCTAAAATCCTAGCTTTGGTAGCATATTAATCTTTGTTTACTCTAATTATTGTAAGTTATGCTATTGCTATTACCTTCATATTATTTGAAATTAATTTCAATGTTGCTGAGAAAGTTTGACTTGGACATATCATTTCACAGTGCTAAGTCAGAGATTATACACGACAATATGGGCCGGTTGAGCAGCACTATATATGTTGGCAATCTTCCTGGGGATGTTCGTGAGAGTGAAATTGAAGATCTGTTTTATAAGGTTATACCTTGTCTACAATTTATAAAGCCCTCTTTGTTTCAAAGCAATGACATTGCATATATTTGTTGAGCACTGGTTTTGAATTGTTCTGTGCTATCACATTTGCTTGTCAAATTGGTAGCCGCACTATTTGCCTCTTTTTGAGGAACTTTGAAGTCTATTTCTTCTTTTTGATCCATGAAGCAATATAATTTATGAAGGATTTAAAAAACAAAAAAATGTGTTGAGGTTTAACCTTACACTATATATATACACACACACACACACACACACACACAAATGATGTTTTATGAAGGATAAAAAAGCATTGAGGCTTAACTTTACAATATATTACACACTCGAAAATATTGGAAATTATTATGAGGATTGTTATTCTCATCTTAGCTAACCATTCCTTACTTCACATTTTCAATATTATGTACATGTTTGGACACTATGTTGCTGGTTTTAGGACTAGAGCTTTGTGGATCTGTTCACATTCATCATAGTGAATGTGAACTAAATTATGTTGAATGGAATCTTACAACAACATTATGTGAATTTATAGACAACCTAAAAAGAGGTGAAAAGACTTGGAGAAAATTAAGAAATGAGAAGAAGAAACAAAGGAATGAAGGAACGAAATTTTAGTGCGTAGCAATCTTCATTATTTATGTACTTATGTTTTAATTAATGAGGTTATAGGTGTTCCTAATTGGTAATTGTTTTCTTATTGGTTTTTTTCCCTGCAGTATGGACCTATTGTTGATGTTGATGTGAAAACCCCTCCAAGAATGCCTGGTTACGCTTTTGTTGAGGTAAGCTACTTTTGCATGATGTCAAAGAGGATTTCTAGGATATAGTTGACTGGAGTTTTTTACTTGGGCATTTTGTTTGTGAGGATTTCTCATGAGCTTCTTTGGTACTTTTGCAATTCAGTTTGAAGACTCTCGTGATGCTGAGGATGCCATCAATGGCCGTGATGGCTATAATTTTGGTGGCTATAGAATACGGGTATGCTAAATAATGTACTAGGTTAATTTTAAAACCTGTTTGGGTATCTTGACATTCTTTTTTACTATCCTCGTGCAGGTTGAATTTGCACGTGATAGGAAAGGATCATCACATGACCATTATAGTAGCTTCAGCAGTGAGAATGGCCGTAGTGGATTGTCAAGGGATTATGAGTACAAAGGTCTGGTCATTTGCGTTATATGCATATAATATTTTCTGCACAGTGTCATGTTTGATAGTTTCAAGAGAGGCATAGTGTCATGTATATTTTTATGATTCACATACATTATAGTATATAGTAGAGTTTTAGATTGGCATGAAGTTCATAATAGTGGGTTGTGAAATAATGCTAAGTTTGGGAGGAATGGGTATTCAACTTTAATAAGTTGTGAATTGATGCTTCGAATCTCAGCAGAAATTACAGTGAACATATTTGGATAAGCAATGTACGTGGCGATAGTATCACATCTTGGTTACTTGATATGCTATGATGTTATAAACACGGCATATATTTTCTTCTCGGACCCATTTTTTACCATAACCATAGTGATAGTGTTTTATGGGATGAACTATCACGTTTAAGTTTTAAGCTTGTGAGTCATCATCCAAAGATGAACCTGATTTCTAGAATGGTGGAGTTAGATTACAACTTAGTTGTCTTTTTTTATCTTTATCAAACTCCTCAAGCACTGGTATCATATGAACTGTTTGTGCTGGGAGAAAGTTTTTCTTGTCTTGAAAATTGTGTATATGCACACTTGCAACCTTCTTTGTAGTGATTCAAACTTTGGAACTTCTCAGGGAGGACTAACCGCTCAAGCAGAACTATTTATGTGGGTAATCTTCCGGGGGATATTCGTGAGAGTGAAGTTGAAGATTTGTTTTACAAGGTTTGCTACTTAACTTGAAGTGAATTAAATTTCACTATTTGCCTAGGAACCAGTAATGGATATGTTGTGTTCTGTATTTGGTTGTTTGGTGTGTTAAATTGTCATTATCTTCTTCTGTAAAAAGTTGAAAACCATCATTATAATTTTGTATTTTCAACTGAATTGAGGCATGAGATCTAGTATTAATTCTTTTGACATTGTAATATTAACGTTGGATACCACAACTTTACATTTTTCTGTGTATCCAATCATATAACATGTGGATTTAAAAAATGTACCAAAGATTTGTCTCTCTAAAGAAGTTCACTTATGTCATAATTGATTTAAGTATATTGGTTGAATATAGGATTGGTTTTTCATTTCTGATATTATACGACTGGTTGTGGCGCCATCTTTTCATGTATTCAGTCCCAGGTGTTTGATCTACGTATCTTAAGCATTTTCTTCCTTGCAATCTTAACTTTCTTGTTTCATTGCAGTATGGCCCAATTGTGGATATCGATTTGAAAATTCCTCCTAGACCACCTGGTTATGCTTTTGTTGAGGTAAGCTATCTTTTAATAATTGAGGCAGTTGATACAGTTATGTGCTGCCGCATCTCAGAGGATGGCAATTTCCAAGGTGGTAGGCCAAATCATCTAAGACTAGAATTTGGATTTGTTTCCATTGATTCATTTGAAAGTCAAATAAAGTTTTTTAATTGAACTTGTGCTTCAGTTTGAAGATTCTCGAGATGCTGATGATGCCATCCGTGGCAGAGATGGCTATAAATTTGATGGCCACCGATTAAGGGTCAGTTTTCACCTAAATCATTATTGGTCTTTTGTTTAGATTATGCTTCTTTTTTTTTTTTACAATAATAATGATAAAAAAAATGATATCGTTGTTTTAATTTAACATAGGTTGAACTTGCCCATGGAGGAAGAGGATCGGCTTCATATGATTATCATAGTAGTTACAGCAGTGGAAGCAATCGCGGTGGAGTTTCAAGGCGTTCTGATTATAGGGGTGTGTAACCATGAACCTCATAGCATTTCTTGCTTACTAGATTCTATTCTGTGAAGAATTGCTTGCTGACTTTTTCTTATGTGTGATTTCAGTTTTGGTTACTGGGCTTCCTTACTCTGCTTCATGGCAAGACTTGAAGGTAATGAGCTCCTTGTTTTTTGCCATTGTGTAAAGATAATGGAAGGATAGGAGGCAACAAAGATTCATTTTTGCATTTTCACTGCCCATCTGTCACTTGTTACTATTTTTGGTTACAGGACCACATGCGCCGAGCTGGTGATGTCTGTTTCTCAGAAGTTTACCGCGAGCGTGATGGTAAGCAGAAAAATCTCTAAAATGCTTCTCCAATTTCTATAGATAAATCTTCTTATCATTACTAGCATAAAACATGTTTCAAGCATAAGATTAATTGTGTCCTCCCCCACCTTCTCCCTTTGTGATAATTAGGTTGGTTGATCCTCCTTCCTAATTTTGACGTCCATTATGCCAAAATGAAGTTGGTTCAAACTTCTTATATGTTGGAAGTTGAAACGCTTGATTAAAAATTGTTTAGTTGCATAATTGGGATATACAATGTGAAAGTGATATGAATTTGAGTAAAAACATATTTAATTGAGTGGATCGGAGGCCTGTTTTGATTTGTCCCAAGATAACCTTGTTTTCCTTCTGATGCATTTGTTTCCCTTAGTACTACTCAAATTTACTCATCTGCTTAACTGGCTTTAAGACTATTGTGTTTTATCTTTCGAGAGATTGTGATGTTTCACTTTTGAAGTCTTCAATGTAGGTTCTTGGACGTTTATATTTGTCATAAATATTGATTAATTGCCACAATACCAACATCTTCCTGCTGCTTTACATCATATCACTCAATATATGTTACTTGCCATTTTATTTAATCAATAACTTGGAATGTGGATGGCCTACAATGGAAGCTACAATTTTCAGTTTGTATTTTTTTAGTCAACCTGATATAGTATAATGTGGTATACTGTTCCTGATACTATGGTTTGGTGAAATTATTTCAGGCACACAAGGAGTTGTTGACTATACTAATTATGATGATATGAAATATGCAGTAAGTCACTTTATTTATTTGATTTGTAATGTCACTTTTCTCTTTTATTATTCTTAGCACATCTCTTATTGACTTTCTTGTTTTCTATTTGACAGATAAAAAAGCTTGATGATTCTCTCTTTCGAAATCAATTTTCTCGTGCTTACATAAGGGTAAGGACCCTAGATGTTTAAAAGAAATTTGTATTGTGAATTGAACTCTGATAGGGTTGGGTTTCTACTTTTTTATACATCTGTAAAATTTAGGTAAGAGAGTATAATAGCAGACGAAGTTATTCGAGGAGCTATAGTAGTTCTTATTCAAGAAGCAGGAGTCCCAGCCACAGCTATGGATATAGTGGCCGTAGTCGAAGGTAATATTTGGTAAGATATATATATATATATCGTGTGATTCACATTGCACTGACTGGATCCATTATGCAGTGCCTCTCCCAGAGAAAAATACTCTTATCGCGGGTCATCTCAATCAGTTTCATCTGTGTCAAGATCTGCATCACTTTCTCACTCGGAATCAGGGTATAGTCTTCTCCATCACTGGCAAATTAATTTACTGGGTTTATTTTGTGGAATTCCATTCTTGCATGGAGTGAAGATTATGTTGTATGATTGCATGCTGTTTCTGGCTCCAATGTTGTGTTGCTGCGTGAATGTATTTTTATCTTTTTATGGTTCACTGTCCCATCTTTCAGAGTAGGGTACTATATTAAACATCTGTAGTGAGATGGCATATGGGAATATGGAACTTGTTTGTTGGGAATATATTATGAATGTCCCCTAGCAGTTTCCGTGCATGTGGGGTTAGTTTGAAGCATTAATATTTCCTGGAGATCTTAATATTCTCTATTTAAAATGTGGAAGGCTGCATTATTTGTCTTAGAGCGACCAAACCTTGTTTTTGGTTTATAACCATTGGTGTTCTTCCAAATTTTATATGAAAGGATTTTAAAAGGCTGAAGTGTTTTTTCACTGAGCTCCTTGTTTTTCCTGTATTGCTAAAGAAGGATTTTATACATATATATTATATTTGTTTGATTTTTTTGAACATGAGGAAAAGAATCTTGATTGATGTTCATTCAGTGAGCATTTGTCTTTCTTATACCCCTAAGCAGGAACTTTTTTGAATGCGTTGATTTTTCTTAACGTGGATGAAAGAACCCTAGATATTTTGGCACAATTTATCTTCTCCAAGAAGTTGATTGAAGGTAGCAATGGAAATTTTGGTTCTCTTTGTTGGATTTTACATTGCTAGAGGTTGAAAATTTTCCCCATCTGGAACAGCCTTATCTTTATGGAGAAATATGAGGGCTTTTTTTGAAGGGGTTTTCTATTTCTTATATTATGATATCATATTGTGAAAAAATTGTCCTTGTTCTTCTCTCTTTTCTTTTATGTAGCTAGATTATGATTTGCACAGAGATCTGCCGATCTGGGGACCTGCATGTTAGGAACTTGATGATATGCTGTGCTCAAGTTCATGCAACTCAGATAGTTCTGGCAGGTTTCTGTTAAGTTGGTAAGCAATTGCAGCGAAACATATAGTAAATTGAAGTTTGTGATGCTATGCAAGTATGCATGTCCAATAGCCAACTAATAGCACTTTTCTAATAAAATTGGAGGTTACACAAAAAATCAGAACATTCTGATGCCATATTCTCAGATACTTAGAATTTGATTACATAATATGCTTAACCTCTTGGCGGGTTGATATAGAACTTCTGTGACAATATTTCACTTTCAGCTTGTGATAATTAGTAGGAACAACTTCTGCTGTCTACTGCTTGCTTACTTATTGTACTTGTCACTTTGATCAACAAACAAGTAGGATCTAAGTTCAGATTCCTGTAAGCTGGAACTTGAATGCATCCGATGTTTTTGTTTTTGGGTTTTACATTATTTATGGGCATTGTTCAAGTTCCTTGGATCACAGAGTTTACTGAAATTTTACACTTGAAATTGGATACAAGCAGGTTTCGCTCAAGATCTGGACCTCCAGCTTTATCTGTAAGTGTTAGTTACAATGATTTCTGCCGGAGTATATAACTTTGTCTAGAAGAATGTCGAGTATACTAGTATCTGCAATACCCACTGAAATTTGTTTCCCGTTACACGGCACAGGATCATCAACCCAGGCGTGTCAATGCTAGTCCAGCGCGCAGTTCCAGCAGGAGCCAATCAAGATCTCTTTCTCCCTCCGTATGTGTCTTCATTAACTCAAATGTCTTTGGGCGTGCACTATGTTAAGAATATTTGTTGCATGTTTACTTAAAACTTCTAACAACTTGACAGGTGAGATTCAACTGAAGCAACTTCGAGATTAAACCCTCTTCTGTCATTGTGGATCAATATTCTGGACGAGCATTTAAAGTATGTCGGAGCTGTTCACAATAGTTGGGTAACTTTCTAGGTGGTATATTACTATATTGACTCTCGCATTATTACGTGGTGTTATGAGAAGTGAAGAGGTGAAATTATATCCGAGACTATGTAACTAAATATATATCATGAAGTAGTATGAGGTCTGTGAATTCCATGTCTGAGGTGGTAAAGCTATATATAAATGTATGGATATATCTTTTAGATTATTGTGACTATACTATCACCTATTATATTCTTGTGTGCTTTCCTATTCTTATAAGATCATTGTTTGTGGTGTTCATATTCCATATCCCTTTCTTTTTCCAATCAATCTAGCACATAATTTGAGTCTCTATTGTAGATTAGATTCAAATTGGATTTACAGCCAGGAATATCACTTTAGCTTTGAACTCATGGCCACCGGCTTTTTGGTAAGCTCTTTTATTATCAAGTTGCAGTTTCATGTACTGATTTTTATACAAATCAATAGTCCTTGATAAATATTTAACTTGATTCTCAAGTAAACAATAGCTTAGTTTTACCATGACCATGGAATTTGTTTTATTATTATTGTTTTGTTTATTTTTATTACTCAGGATATTATATCCACACACTACTAGCTTGATAGCTTTCAGCATTTGGGTATATTCAGGTCATTAAATTTTGACATCATTGAAATTAGGCTGTGTTGTGGCTGCATGTTATTCAAGTTGTGGATATCATATAAATTTGTGTCATTATTTCATTCCTTATTCAAAAGAGAAAGGACTTGGGTAGGTCTTTCATTACCATTATGATCAGTCTGAATATAGTATGCCCCAACAAAACACAACACTAAAGCACTGCCAAGGAGAAAACTCCAAAAGAATCCCATAATTGGAATGAGTGCATGTTTGGCAGCGACTGAGGCACATATATATATATATATATATTATATTGCAGCAGAAAGACAAATGATGGGAGGGAGGAGAGTTATAAATTATAAATTATGAACATGAAAATGATGCCACACTATGTATCCCCATCAAACAAACTAAACAAAACACTTCCATACACTCATTACATGTGTATATGTTCAAATATGCCACCATACTCCTACATAAATATATAGGCATGTCTATTCAAACCTAAACATCAGACGTTGATTTATCTTGTCAAATCTAATTTGTTGGATATTTAGCTTAAACTCTGGTTCTCTGTATCTTTTAGACGTTGGACAATAAATATAAATAATATACTATATTATCATTATTATTTTCCTAAATTAGAATTTATTATCCAACTCTCTTGTGCATGCCTCAGCTCCCTCCCGGGTATTACAAATATTCCAATTCAAACCAAATTTGTATCACAAAATTTAATATTAACTCTACATGCAATCAAATCATTCTACACCAATTTTAACCTAAAATCAATATTCTACAACAACTCAATACACGATCGGAAAACATAAACCTCATTTACTGATTCTATCTGCCACAGCTTAAAGAAACCCTTTTTTCCATCTCATCAGAAGAACAATGAATTCCAGACTAAGTATGTCAATACACACAAACAAATCTCCATATCTGCCATGAATATACAGAGCAGAGAAAACTACAGAACAAGCCGCCAGCAACCTACCGGAAACTCGCCGCCAACGGGTTCCCATTCCGGTGGCCTTTCGAGCTTTTCAGCTCCTTACAAACATGGTCTAACATGCTCATAAAATCTCGTACTATTACAAAAATCCGAAGAGGATTCGCCTCGTCCTTCCACTTGTCGCCGTGGAAGTACTCGGTTATCTCCCGAACTTGGCGCATCACTCGGTCCTCATCCTCCCGCAGCTCCTTCAGCTTCGTCTCCGCATATTTCACAAACATTCTCATCGATTCCACAAATCCCCCCTTCTTCTCCTCTGCCGCAATGTCCTTTTCAACTAAATGCTGCAGCTTCTGCATGCCGTCAGATAAATTCGCCACCGAGCTCGCCACCACGTCGAGATCGATCGTGGCTGTTTTCTTGACGTTGCATAGCTCGCTGCTCAAGCCGGCGACGAGGTCTAACCCCATGATCCGGTAGCTTTCTTCTTTTTCCTGCACGCTCGAGCTTGAGCCCGTGCTTTTGATATGAATCTTGCCCATAATACTCTCCGAGACTCTTACTCCCTCCGATCGTATGATTTCTAAAACGACGAAATGTAGGAGCGTCGTTTTCCCATCTGCTCCCTTCACGTCCGCGAGTTTTAGAAGCGCATCGAGCTTGAACGCCTTCGCCCCTCCTCTTATCGTCCCGATATTCATCCTGTTCCCGGTTTTGAGGACTGCCTCGAGTAGCTTTAGGAAGAGCCGGCTCGATCGAAGCTCCTTGCATGCTTCCTGATAAAAATATGAGGAATGTCGTTACGTAATGACCTCAACTAAAAGTTAACTCGAGCCAATTGTTCGTTCTAGGCTGACCTCGAGCATCGAGAAAGATTTTCGGAGGTGTAAAACCTCGTCTTCGAATGTTTCTCGATAGAGCATCACCTCAATTCGCAGGAATGCGAAAGGGATTTTGAGCATCGCCTTGACTAACTTCTCGGCCGAGCTGAGATCGAACACGTCGCCTTTGTAATTTGTTAGTTTGGCCTCTTCCTCCTTTGTCGGAACCATTTTCGACAGCGCTTCTATGTCTTGCAAAGATAAGCCATCCCCTGTTTTAATCTTTTGCTCGTTAAACTTAACGATGTTCTAATAAATGGGACGGAAAAGTTTCAACTTCTTTATACCTCGGACTAATGCACAGCAAACTTGTTCCTCGTTTACGCTCAACGCTTTCGATAGAATCGTAAAGTTTTGGATTCTTTTAGGCTCGAGGATGTGCTTGTTCGGCGAAGGTGTCTTGCTCTTCGCTTCATCGTTTTTTGACGCGTTGTTGAGATTGTATCCGAAGAGAGACTCGATCATTTCCTCGTCGAATCTGCAAGAAATCGCGAAGTTACATATAGAATGATTCAATCGAGAATCATCGATCATTCGGCCTTACTCGAATGAGCTCGATCGCAGCTTGTCCCAAACCGTCGTTCGATTCGGCGCGGCCTTCACTTTGTCCCAATGCAGAGGCTTGAGCTTAGGCAATGGCGATCCGTCCTTCCCAAATGGAATTGTTTGCTGCGGAGGAGGCGGAGGAGGAATGCCGGGAGGAGCTGCCGGTGCCGCCGCAACTGTCTCGGACAAGCTTGGATCCGATGAGGTAACTACATTGTACTTCACTTTCACTAAGGTAGCCAGCGGCGGCGGCGGCGGCGGAGGAGGAGGAGGAGGAGGAGGCGGCGGCGCTGCCATTTTCTTAACTTCTTTAGCTGAATTTTCTAAATTCTCTGTAAAAGACGAATTAGAAGCATTGGAAAGGGACTTATGGGAAAGCTCGGAATCGCAGAAAGAGTGGAAAGATTCGTCTTCCGATGAAGCCTCAATCTTATCCTCCTCAAATTCCGGCGCCGGGATTATCCGATCGGAGCTTGGCGACGAATAAGAGCCGTGGATTGAATCATCGACGGCTGAGATTTCTCTGCTGGCGCCAGAGGTTGGGTAGCAATTTGTTCGGGATTGGAATGCCGATTCGAGGGAGTCGAGGTAGAAAAGATCGGGGCCTGGATCGGAGGTCACTTTCTTCACGGAGGATTGCGAGCTCACGTATTTCGACACACTTTTATTAATATTATTATTATTACAATTATTCCCCGAATTAATTATCCTCGCCGCTACATTCTTCTTCTTCTTCCGCCAGAATCTCCGGCGCCGGAGAAAGAAGATTCCGGCGGCGAGCAGCAGCAGCAGCGCAAAGGCTATTGCACTAGACACAAGAACAGCTGCCAATGCTCTTTTACTCACGCCATTACTCCGGCGATGATCTGCTGATGCTGGTTTGTGGGGTTGCGGCAATGGGCGCCGCCGCCGGTGCCACGGCGGGTGGGGGGAGAGTGGAGACGCGGCCGGAGCAATGGCCGGCGCCGGCGCCGGCGATGGGAGTAAATTTGGAAATTGCACATTAGTGGATTTGAATTTCTGAAGCTCTTTCAAGAATCTGAAGGTTAGGAAATGGCGATTGGGAGATTTGTGTTGGGGGTGCGAATGAAATTGGGAATTGGCGATCAAATTGAGGGCAGTGTAGAAAGATAGGAGGAGGAAGAGGATGATGATGGGGAAGTGATGAGCCATTTTTGAGGGAGGGAAGAAATCATAGAAGAGCAAAATTGGGTAACTTTTTGAGGGGTATAAATCTGTGTGTGGAAATCATCATCGTCATCATCGAATCTTGTGGTTGAAATTAAGAAACCCTAAAAAAAAAAAAAGAAAGAAGAAGATGAAGATGAAGATGAAGATGAAGATGAGATGAAGAACTAAAAGAAAAGACTTTAATGCTACTCCAAGGAAAGCCCTGAGGGGCAGTTGTGGTTGTACTGGTTTGGTCTGGTGTGGTGTGCCCTGCAGGCCCTCTTAAATTTTGATTGTTTGCCGCCATTAATGGCCTCTGGTTAGGTCACTGTAGTTTAATCCCATTAGCATTTTACACTGCAAGATTTGTTTGCTTGTTTAATGTTTTACCTCTGTTTCTTTTTTTTTTTTGGTCAGGTCTTGTCTTGATTCTTGAATCTTGATCGCGCTTTGGGGGAAAAGAAAAGAAAAGCCTTTTGCCTAAAAGGGGCTTTCAAGAAGGAAAGAATCATGTGTGTGTTGAAAATTTAGAAATTATGAAAAGAGTATGATGATGATGAAGAAGATGATGATGATTCAATAATTAATGTAAAAGTTTCTGAGCTTTGTTTGTGGGGTGGGGTGGGGGTGGGGTCTTAGAGTGGTTGGGGTTGCCTTGGAGTTGAGTGTAAGGTGTAACTAAGATGTGTGCAAGTGTAAAAGGCCCTCCAAACATTGTGGGTGTTTTTTTTTTTTTTTTTTGTAGATTAAATAATAAATAATAAATAAAATGAGGCGTAATAAGGGGCATGAATTGGTTCTTTCTTTCATATAGCCATGGGTCTTTTTCTAAAAATAAAATAAAATGTGTCCGTACGAATGAATGTATGTGCATTTAGTGAAATAAAGGATGTCTTTTTCACAAACCCTTATGATTAGTGTTTGTTGGATTTGCTTAATTTGGGTGTGTTTTGGTTTTTCCATGTTTGTCTCTTCCCAGACAATAACATACGAGGATCCTATCTCTAATATATATCCATCCCTATCCTATAACCTATTCTATTTACCAATAGCACGACCGACACACACACAGTCACAAAATGTGGCGTGGCTTGGCTTGGCGTGGCTTAGCCGCTACAGCTGAGCGGCTAACACATGGCTGGCTTCGTGGCTACTACTAGTGTCGGGTGATCTGATCGCACGTGGGAACGAAGGAGCTCTATGCTCTGTATTAAATGTTGAACTTATTGGGCCTTAATGGGCTGGCCTCAATTTCTTCGGCCCAATTTTGCCTAACTTGTGGTCCATATAGAATTATTATTATTATTATTATTAAATTGAAATTAAACAGACCTTAGTATAATTATGGAAGAGGCAAGAGTTGGTCAAAAATAAATTAGCATGATTAAATACTTGATCCCGTACACAAAAAAAGTCAGACGTAGGAATCTCTCGTATTTGTTTCACAAGTCCAATTTTATAAATATAATATTTTTTTATTCCACAACAAAATATTCTTTCCATTCTAATATAACAATATCATTTTCTATGTTCGGTCTCAAAATATTAATACCATTTTAAAAAATAATCTCATTATTTTACAAATATTTTTATTTTTTATTATTATTACACGAATATCAGTGTTTTTTATACAAATATACTGATAAGTATATTTTAGTATATTACTATATAAGCTATATTCAATTTTAATAAAACAATGATCTCTTTAACCTTAAGAAGGGGATATAATAAAGAAATACATCCCAAAATTTCTATAATTATTTTAAAAATATTTTGTTTTGTTTAATATTTTTAAATACATATTTAAGATCATTCAAAATGGAAAATAGTAACAAATTGTCAAAAAAAAAAAATAAAAATTAAATAATGTAAATAAAATAGGACAAAATGTTTTTTGTATGGTATTTTGGTTTAACATATTCTTTTTTTTTTTTTTATGTAAAATGTACATTGAATTGAATCGTACTACTTATATAAAAACAATATTTTATATTAAATATTAAGATGATAGAATATATATTATATATATTCGAAGAATTATATTGAAAAAATAACTAAACAGACAAACTCAGGTTGTATTTGTTTCGGGGGTTTGGATTTTGAATTGAAATTTGAATAGTAAAAATTTTGAATTTGAATAGTTGTATGATATGATATAAATAAATATTAATGTAATATTTTGAATGTAAAATTGATTTTTAGTGTAATATAAAAAATAAAAAATAAATTTTTGATTTGATATTTAAAAAAAAAAAAATCAACAATGGAAATCTAATTCAATCCCGCAAACAGCGTATATCTTATTGTTAACAATAATAAATGTCCCATAATTAATTATTAATTATTAATATTCTGAGGGTAGGCTCGGCCGATTGCACAGGGCTGTCTTTATCCCGTTTTAGAATTAATGTATAGACAGGCACGGGAGCTCGGAACCGGATAAATCGCAGCCATTGAGTTTGTTGACCAGAGAAATATTGCGTCATCGCAAGCCGGAGTCCAGCAGCTCCCGACATTTACCAGCGCCAAGAAATGAATATCATGTGATATGCTAGTCCAATTCCTCAAGTCATCCGCCTGCCTTTTTATTTTCTTCTCCGTATTTTTCTAACTTTATAAATTATAAATCTATCGGTACGTCAGTGTGTTTGTTTGTATATCTTATATTCGATTTTTTCTTCTTCAATTTTTTCTAACTTTATAAATTATTACATATTTATATTTTATTAAATAATTATTTTAATTTTAAATTTTATTATTTAAATTGTAGAAATTAATTTTCAAATTTACAATCAAATACTTCCTATAATAGTGTATTTATTTGGGAGTTTGAATTTTGAGTTAGAATTTAAATAATAAAATTTTTGAATTGAAATAGTTATATGAAGCGATATAAATAAATAAGTATTGATGTGATTTTGAATATAAAATTAATTTTTAATATAATATAAAAAATAAAAAATAAATATTTAATTTGATATTTTTTTTTAAAAAATATAGAATGAATAATAGGATTTTTGAAAAATCCAACAAAAGAACACACTCTAAGTGTTTCATTTTTTATTTTTTTGGAAGACGTGAGAACCCGCAGCCACTACCCGAAAGTGCACATTGGGTAAACCTCCGGCCGAACTTAATACCCTGCAAACGAAGTTCGACGGGAAAATCACCCTAAGCGAACCGTGTGGCAAGTGGACCTGAGGCGTCGATTTGAACCCATTGATAATGTAACTCTATTATTTTATTATTATTATTATTATTATTATTTTCTTTTCTTTTGCATTCAACTAAAATTTTGAAATAAAGTATATAATCAACATAGAACACTTTAAAAATCTCTAAAATACTCTAAAATGCTTATTATTAATCTATAATGTAAATGAATAATACTATAAAATAACAAAATCAAACATTTTATTATTACACAAAGAAAGACTTTATTTTTGTAGTATTTCAAATTAAAATAAAAAATATTTATTATTTTTAATAAAAATACACTAAATTTTATTACATAACATCGTCTCAAAATAATATTTAAACAAAAATTTAAAATTAACATTTTATGTCAAATTAAATTCTTACAACAATCAAACAAAATACAAATTAAATAAGATAACTCTTAACACGATTATTTAGTATACCAATGTAAATATCATTTTCCATAATATTAATCATTTAATTAGTTCAATTAATTTAAAACACTTGATATAATTAAATTAAATTAAAACAAAATCAAGACACGGTTGGGTCAAGCAACCAAAAGAGACCGACTGACCGACCATGCTTAAAAATAAGAATCGATCTCAGCCGTCCATTCACAAGATGATCTTGATCTTGGCTTCATCGTTATCCCTTGCTTGCTTGGTTGGGTCAGCAGCAGCTGAACAACTTTCCCCCAAAACAATCAACAAAACCACGGAACGCACACACACCAAATCCCTAATTACTTCCAACGGCGGAACAATGGAGTGAGAGAAAAATTAGGGAAGAAAAAATAAAAAGACAATCTTGATGCTTTCCTGCGTTTTTTTCTCCCTTCTGCCCCAAATATTCATTTCAACTGTCTATTTTATGCCGAAATCCTGCTGCTAATCTGATTTCGGTTTTCATTTCGTTTGGGAGGTTTCTCTTCTTTTAATCGTTTTTGGGTCGGGGTGGGGTGGGGGTTTTGGATTGTGGCGAGTTAGGGTTTTGTCGGTTCCAGTGGAATTTGAAGATTAGTGTTGAATATGGGATTGGGAGATCGGGATCTTCTGGACGATGGCGGTGGGAAGGTGTCGGTGGCCTCGGTTTCGTGCTCCATTTGCTTGGATTTGGTAACTGATAATGGGGATAGATCCTGGGCGAAGCTTCAATGTGGGCATAAATTTCACCTAGGTGAGTGATGAGTTTGTTAAATTTTCAGGATCTAGCTTGTTTTTTTGTCTTCCTGATTTTGTAAGTTAAAGTGTCGTTGAAATGTTTGGTTACCAGAAAGTCATTAGCTTGAGATTTTTCAAATTTTAGCTATCAGATTTTGCAAAATTGATTCTTTTCATAGATGGAGCTGCTTGTTATTGTGTTAAAATGCTTGAGATGCTACTTTTATTCTATACACACAAACATCTACATTTGTGCCGGTAATATGTAAAATTTCGAAGTGTGATATACAAATATATATATATATATATTTGTTAATCTCATTTTTATTTGTCAGGCATGAAATAATGGTAATGGTGGATAGGATCTATTACATTTTTGTGGGTGAGAGTTTTCTACTCGTATGGATTGACTAGCTCATCAACTCCTTAAATGCTTAAAGAATTCAAATTCTTTTTTTTGTTGATGCGAAATGCTAGTTGTGAAGATGTTGCGGCAAGTAATATAGATGACTTCTTTCTTTTCTCTAAATCATAAGCACCCTTTTTGTTCAATAAGATACCAAAGTGGATGATTGACTCATTCCATTAGCCATGATTTTTTACATGTGGTGTTCATTTACTATTTTAATAATGACCCCTGTATCTAGAGATTGATAAATAAAGATGTAGGGTGTGTTTCGTTGTTTTGGGAATATTAAAATTTGAATTGACATAGCTCCTTGACGCTGAATAGAAAATAAAATGTAGGGTAATATGTACTAAATGGAAAATAGGTTGATGATGTGTTTTAAGGTGAAAAAAATTAGGTTACTGTAGCATGTGGAGTTGTAAATACAACCAAATACTCTCATAAAAATTGATCTGAAAGTATATCTTAATTTGGTTATATGCTTTTATACTTGTTTGCGATCATATTTTGTAGGGGATATAGAAGTTTGAATAATAATAATTTGTTCTGGCATGCCGCGCATGAATGCTACACCTTGGGATGCTCCTAAAATGTTGAGTATAATTAATTTTGTTGGTTAAAATCGTGAAGAATCTGAAGATCATCCATAACAGTATTGTTTTTGTCCCTTCCTAAGTCAATGCTGCTTAAAATTTGAACTTGCAAACGATGACGTAAAAGAGTATTACACTACAGCCAATGGGATGTGAATTCTCCCGACACATTTGATGATAGAAACAGTTGAAACTGATCAATGAAGTAGTCTACAGATCAGGTACGTTATATATGGTAGTTGAAGTAATTTCAAAAGGACAACTTGGGCTGTAAAATGAATCAGAACTAGAAATTAAATCTGTCTCATACTGGGATTAGGTTAAAGTAAGTCGGTTCTTGTCGTTTTACTGTTCAATGTTTGTAGTCCATACTCGCATTAATTGGCCGCCTCTTACTAACACGTCTTGGTAGCTTTAATTTTGGTATGTTGAGTTTCCTTTTTAAGCCCAATTACATGGATCATATTTCGCCGCGTTGTGCTTATTGTTTTGCATTGTTCTGATACAAGATTTGTGCGGTGTTCTGTTTATTTGGCTTTGTACTAGATATGCATATATATGCTTCTCTGTCTCAGAGGGTTTTGTTTCTCATTTTAGTATATGTATATATATATATATATATTTTGCTTAATGCATACAGATTGCATAGGCTCAGCTTTTAATGTGAAGGGAGCAATGCAGTGTCCCAACTGTCGGAAAATTGAGAAAGGACAATGGTTGTATGCAAATGGTAGCCGTCCAGTACCTGAATTTAGCATGGACGATTGGGCGCATGAGGATGATTTGTATGATTTCGGCTATTCAGAAATGGTACCATTTTAACCCAAGTGATTACAGTTAGTATATTATATGTATATGTCATAGTTTGCACAATATTCTTTTGATATCGTGTGACGTAATTGGACCTGTCAGCACATTTAATAAAACTAGATAGCACAATTGACTTATTTATACAACAAAGGACAATATATAAACTACACATCACATTATTGGGTCAAATCAGCAGTCGTACCTTTTATATGCTGTAAGATCTTCCTTATTTCATCAGACATTCCTCGTGTAAGTTGATCGTGAAGGCACGTTGCTAATCTCATGTGCGCTTTCAACAGTGTTTTATGCCTTCAATTGAACTTGTTTTTACTTGATCCGAGACAGTTGTGAGCTTAATTGGCATTGACTGCATGACGTTATATCCGCTAAAATATACTCTTTTTCTTCATCATCTTTTTGTCCTACTCGATAACAGATTGTTCACTTTTAGATAATACTATACTCACGACTGTTCACCTTACTCTACAAGAAGCACCTTTCTCCGCATGTCATTTGTTCCACGAATCCATTCTTACTAAGATCATCTTTATGATAGACATGTGAACATTGAAACAGGTAATCAGCTGATCTCACTAGCATTGCCCTATAGAACTACTTACATTTCTTACTTCAACATTTTCTGAAGCTATATATATGTCTGCATTGAAACCTTTACCTGGTCAAAAATCGCTGATGATCTTCTTTAAATATACATTTTTCAGACGTTTGGAGTTCATTGGTGCCCATTCAATGGAGTAACAAGGCTCGCTTCATCTTTTGAGTAAGCACAATCCTGACCGAACCATTCTCACATCTTCTTTGTTGATCGTTAAGGTTTTTAGAACGTAGACCGTGCTTATGTTTGTCATTTTGTACTGCTATCATATTATTCAGCTAATTATAATTTACTTTTGCAGCGAAGGGGAGTTTTCGCCCTCTACATGTAAGATTCCCTTCTCTCTATTTATCTAATTATTTTCACTTTTAAACAATTAGCTTTTGTAACTTGAGCGTACGTTATTCCATAGATCCTGATCTTATAGCACATCATGCCATATTTGGCGGCGAGCACGTCCCGGTGTCATCTACTTCTCATCCTTGCCCATATGTCGCCTATTTCGGGCCAATTCATCCATCCTCTTCAGCATCAAGTGTCAGTGTTTCGGATGGATCTAATTTCAATACTCACTGGAGCGGCCCGTCAGTTCCTAGTGAAGTCTCCAATTCCTACGCCTTCCCTTCAGTGGATGCACACTATCATAGCTGGTACCAGTCTTCTCCATTCGCTACAACCAATCGTGTCAATGCTGCAGAACAGTCGATGCCACCCATGACTCAGAGACCAACCAGGAACAACTCTGATATCACAAGACCTGGAATTCACCCATTCATTCTCGGCCACAGGTCAGTACATTCGTTCGACTCTATGCTTTTGTAAGACAGGCTGTTTAAATATCTGTCGATTCCTATTCCTTTGCAGCTCTTCCGGCCGAGCTCCCAGTTCAGTTACCTCATCAGTGCTTCCCCGCTACCCGGGCACTGCTTCTCGACCCCATGACCGTTCTCTCCAGCCCCACTTTCAGCAGTCCACTGTCAATCCAACAGCACGCTCCACAGGCTTATCCAGCAGAAGAAGATCTTCGAATCTCAGGGGTTTGGCTCAAGTTATCCCTGCTGCAGCAGCTTCACCAGATCAGCCCAGTGGCTTTCACTTCATATCGTCCGGTGGGACGACTGGCAGAGCCTTCCAAGAACCCGAGAACCCCCTCCATGAGCACTACACTGCTTGGGATTGGGACCACCAGCCTTCCTCCTACCCCATCAACCAGGTCATCGATAGAGATCCAATTTGGGGGCCAATTCAACCTCCGCCTGTCACCGATACAGGAATCAGGCTGGGGAGTCTCCGCCAGAGGCATGGGGCTGACCGTGCTCCATCCCAAAACCGTTGATAGTCGGCGGTGCTGTGTTGTTGCGCTGAAAAATGAACAAACAAACAAACGGGTGTCGCTACGAACCGTAAACCCGATCCTCCTATCTATAAATATGTTGTGTGGAACGATATGATCTCAGTGATGGATGGTGTCTGCATCTCATGAAACTGTAACTATTTGGCTGGCTTTGGCCTCATGCTTTCTTTGCACCCTCTTCCTTTTGGGAATAAGCAAACTTGAATGGTGAGATAAACTTGAACGGTTTTAAATGGCACATCGGTGAGAGAGTGTCTTTGTTGTGTGTTTTGGAAGAAGAGATGTTATGTTGCGTGTTTTAAGTTATGTTCATCTCTTTTGTGCAAATTCAATCTGCTCTTGTTGCCAAGAGTGTTTTGGCCAAAAATAGAGAAGGGAGATCAATAATCATCATAATATCCAAACGGTGTAATAAAACATATATATATATATATATATGAAAAAAATCAATTTTTGTGTCAATATAATTAAAATTTATTAATTTTGATCTTATTATAAACAATTTTAATCGATTTTGTTCCTTAAAGAATTAACGGAAATTGCTGACGTGGACGCAATGGAGTCCGTCCCATTAACATTATAAATACTCTTACAACTTACAAAATATATTACACAAATGTCATTATCTTTATATCACATATATTAATAAAGGTATTTTAGTCATTTTTACTTTATTCATACTAGTGCAGAAAACAAATGGATATTTAGTTATGGGACGGAGGGAATATTTATCGAGTATGTTCTTTTTTAAGATTTTGTAAAAAGAAATTTCTTACAAACATCTAATTATTGTATTGAAATAATAAATTAATTTTCAATACTACAAAATTAAAAAATAGTTGTGTAATTGGATGTTTGTAAGAGGAAATTTTTTTTTTAATAACAAAATTTTAGACAAAACCTTTCAAAAGAATATATTTTATAAATTTTTATATTTAATTATAATCAGTGATTTTATTCATTTTAACTCTATCAACTATTTTAAATTCAAAATATTTTTTTTTAAAAAAATATAATAAAAAATAAAATTTTAAACTAAAATAGAAATGTACATATAATTGTAAATGACATGTAATAACATAATCATGTATAATTATACACGCAAATATACATGACCATGTGTACTTTTCGGGTCAACTGCCAGTCACTCCCGTCATATCCACGTCAGCGATTTTCGTTAACTTTTTAACGGTGAAACCAAAATTGATTGAAATTGTTTATAGTTGAACCAAAATGGATTTGAATTGTTTATATTCGGACTAAAATTGATAGAGTTTTTATATTGAGACCAAAATTAATAAATTTTAGCTATAGACAAAAATTGATTTTTTCCCATGTATATATATATATATATTTGTGTATATATTAGGCTCAAGGAGTTGAATTCTGAGACATCTCCAGGGACTTCGTTTGACATTTTGACGCCTCTGCGATACTTCTCCTCTGGGTCTGAAAGCTTCCAAAGCACAACTCAAAGCATCAGAGTTGCTGTCGCCCTCGCCGATGAAGCCCACCGTTGAATTGATGGTCTGAATTGAACCAGTACGATGAGAAAGCCAGTGCGGCATTTCATCGAACGCCTTGGAGGCAAGTGGATGCTCCGTCAATCCATTCGACCCCCGACTATGGTTGCCTCTTCCTTCTCATCACTCAGAACTCCAAGTAACCGCCCAGACGAATTCTACGCCTCCTTCTTTTGCACCCTTATTCACCTCTTCCTCCGGCACCGGCGCCTCTCCAAAGCCACGGCTGCTTTCTCCGTCATGCGGAATTGCACCTTCACGCAGGAGATTCGCGCCTGGAATGGCCTGTTGCACCATTTCAATTGCACGGGATTAGTCCATCAGGTAATGGAAATTTATCAGGAAATGATTTCTGCTGGTGTGGTGCCGAATGTGATTACCAAGAACATAGTTGTTCATTCACTCTGTAAAATTGGGGGCTTAGACCGAGCAATTGAACTGCTAAGGGATTGTAGATTTGAGAGTGATCTAGTTACTTACAATACTATGATTTGGGGGTTTTGTAAACATGAGCAAGTAGAATTAGGGCTTGGATTGGTTTCTGTGATGATTAAATTGGGTTTGGATTATGATAGCTTTACTTGTAATATATTGATGAAGGGATTTTGTGACAAGGGTATGTTGGAGAAAGCAAATTTGGTAATGGAAATGCTGTGTAGTGATGTGAATAATGTTAGAGTTTGTAGAGATATTGTAACTTTCAACACATTGATAAACGGCCATTGCAAGTTTGGTAACATCGAGAGCGGTCTTGAGTTGATGGAGGGTATGGTGAAGGAGGGGTTCATACCTGATAGCTTTACATATAATAGTTTTATTAATGCTTATTGTGAGATGGGAGATTTTGACCGCGCCAAGATTCTTGTGGAGGAGCTCTTGGAAAATAATTGCATTGCTTATACTAGTTTTGTCAGTGGATATAGCAAGCATGGTCGAACTGAAGAAGCGTTGAGTGTGTTCAATGACATGATTGCAGAAGAAATTTATTGTGACGTAGTAGCATATAGTTGTGGTGTTAATGCGCTACTTAAGAGTGGGAGGTTAGCTGAGGCGAAATATGTGTTTGATGAGATGGTTAGGGTGGGTTTAGACCCGAACTGTGTTACCTATTCGATTTTAATCGATTTTCTCCTTAAAAATGGTGATGTGATGGCTGTGTTTGGCTTGCAAGGGCAAATGGTGGTTCGTGGAATTGCTTTTGATGCAGTGGTGTTGACTTCATTGCTCGATGGGATGTTTAAGGTTGGTAGGACGAGAGAAGGAGAAGACACGTTTCGCTATCTTGTAGAGTGTGGTGTAATGCCAAGTGTTGTCACCTATTCTGCATTGATTGATGGTCGCTGTAAAATAGGTGAAATGGAGGGTGTGGAGTTAGTAATGCAGGAAATGAAGGAGAGAAATGTTGTTCCGAATGTGGTGACTTATTCTTCAATAGTGAATGGTTATGTAAAATCCGGACTTCTCAAAACAGCGATTGATTTGCTGCAGGACATGATTGATCGAAACATTATGCCGAATGTTTTCACCTATGGCTCCCTAATAGATTGTTGTTTTAAAGCTGGTGAGAAAGAAATTGGTAAAGGAGTCTACGAGGATATGAAAAGTCGAGGGGTGGATGATAATGTCTTCATACTCGATGCTTTTCTGAACAATTTCAAAAGAGAGGGAAGGATAGACGAGGCAGAGGCGATGTTTAGAGATTCTGTGTCAAAGGGATTCTTGCCTGACCGTGTTAACTATACCTCATTGATTGATGGACTTTTCAAAGCCGGGAAAGCGCCAGTCGCCCTTGAATTTGCACAGGAGATCCGAGCTAAAGGTATAGAATTTGATACCATTACGTACAACGTTTTGCTTAATGGTTTGCTCAGATGTGGCAAGTACGATGCTCTATCTATTTATACCGAAATGAAAAGGCTCGGTTTAGCACCAGATCATGCTACATTCAACACGTTAATCAAGTCTCACTGTGCGGCTGGGAAATTGAACGATGCTCTTCGGTTCTTGGATGAAATGAGAACTCAGGGCTTACAGCCTAATAGAATAACTTGCAATGTTTTGGTCGAAGGGCTTTGTGAGTCTGGAAAATTTAACGAGGCGATGGATTTGTTGAATGAGTTATCTGCTTTGGGGTTTTGTCCAACTCCGGTTATTCACAGACTCATTCTCGCCGCTGTTTCCAAGGCGAGAATGTCTGATGTTATCTTCAAGATGCACAAGAAGCTCGTAACAATGGGGCTTGATGTAAATCTTGAGGTTTACAACAATCTCATCACCATTTTATGCGGCTTGAAGATGACTAGAAAAGCAGCATCCGTGCTGGACGAAATGGTGGAGTCAGGCATTTCGGCGAATACTGCTACATTCAATGCTCTGATCCAAGGATACTGCAGAGGGACACATGTAGATAAGGCTTTCTCTACGTATTCTAAAATGTTGTCCGTCGGAGTTTTTCCTAATATTACGACGTATAACATTCTTCTAGGTGGATTCTCAGCAATGAGATCCATGGATAAGGTGGGGGTCCTACTTTTCGAAATGAAAGAAAAAGGCTTTGTTCCAAATGCTACCACGTACGACATTCTGGTTTCCGCCCATGGGAGGATTGGGGACAAGAAAGAATCCATAAGGCTTTATTGTGAAATGATAACCAAGGGGTTCGTGCCTCGGACCAGCACGTACAATTTACTTATCCATGATTTTGCCGAGGTGGGGAAGATGAAGCAGGCAATGGAGCTTCTGAAAGAGATGGGCGCTAGAGGAGTTCGCCCTAATTCCTCAACTTATGACATACTTATAACTGGATGGTGCAAGTTGTCAAATCGGGAAAAGTCTGTAATGAAATTGTGTCAAGCTGAGGCCAGAAGTTTGTTTAAAGAGATGACCGACAGAGGCTTCACTCCATGTGGAACTACTGTAAATCATCTCAGTTTTGTCCTTGCAAAACCCGGAAAAGCAGCTGATGCTCAAAGGCTATTAGGAAAAATATACAAAACTGCTTGATTCAAATGCAGAGCTGGATGAGAAGTTACGGAAGGATATTTCTGTGAAGGATGGATAAAAAGATTCGTCTCTCTCCGGCATGGAAGTGAGTCTACTCTCCCAAATTTCAATACTTTTCGATAATTAGTACTAAAAACTTGCATCAACCATGTTCTTCATAACCATTGATAACATTGCTGCGGAAGTTTTACCTTTTTTTCATGCCAATATGTTAATGTTAATGTTTTTCATTCAAGGTACTTCTGCATTCGTTTTGTTTTGTTTTGTTTCTTGGCGATGAGATGGTGCTTATGTCTTCTACCTATAATACTTGCCACTGCATAAAAGAGTCGGCACACAAAACCCTATTCGTATGGCTATATCATATTTATTGTGTCAGTGTGTGCATACATTGCTGTAAATTGGTAATCCAGTTGTTTATTGTACTTTTTAGTTTACCGGGTGTCATTCCTTCCTGATGATCCTAGGCTAATTTCAGGCACAATATGTATAGCATTGGATCGGAAGTCTTGGCACACTGGAGTTCATTGATAGTCCGATCTTGATTCGAAAATCTAGAGAATTTATAGGAAACAGGTAAGCCTCGATGCAGCTCAGGACCCATGAATTTTGTTTTGTTCAATTTTCTTTCTCGAAAGCTTGAGCGAATCGGTGAAACTACATGAACATAAGAATTCCTATGCTGTATTGCTTGTCATTGTAGGGACATCGAAGAGCTGTACCAAGGTGAATTCTCAGCACCCTTCCGGGAAGATGAACCTCAGAAAGCCAACCCACCGGCATCGGAGAGTGCCAGGAGTCGCCTTCGCCGGATGTCGAGTACGTACCATCTTCCTCTCCATCTACTGTTATGTTACAGTCACTTCATGCCCAAAATGCTTCTTTTTTGTGATAAGTTTAGTATGCATTGGATCTATTTATTAGTATTCTGATTTATAAAAACTAAATTATCATCTAAAGCATTCACTCGTACTGTATGTAGTTGAAATTGTTAGGGGTTTTAGATCATGCCCATGCCCTGGCCTGGAGTCCGGGCATTCTGACATAAGATATATTTTAATATAAAATACTTTGAATAAAAAATATTTAATATGGTATTTTAAAAATACGTATAGGTTATAAATACGTAGAATTGATTTGAAATAAGTAAAAGACAATCAATAAAACGTAAGTGGAGAATAATATTTTGACACGTTATGTCACACCCCGTATTAGCACAGCTGTTTGTTTAGCTGAAAAGTAGACGCGCTAACACCGAATTATTATTATTGAAATAATTTATTTAATGTTATTATTATTCTTCTATAGATTTGTACATGTTCTTTTAACGTATTATTATTATTTATTTAACCCAAAGAAATGGGAAATTCTGACCGACAATAATTTTAAGTTATTTATTAATTAATTTATTATTATTATTAAAAAAAAAAAGTAAAATAAAGTCGTGTTTGGCAATTGGTTTTGGCGCTGACTTAAGGGTGAAGAAGTCCTGGACCCACAATAAAGTGGGCATCAGGTGCTTGCCTGCTTTCCCATAAATTCCGTGTTGGAAAGTTATTAAACGAGGCCCGGACCACCCAATTTATTACTCCACCAAACACGCCCGATTCATTGTGTAAAATTCACCGCACTCGTACTATACTATACAGTATAAGTATAACCAACCAATTATTTGTTAGTTGTTACTATTACTTCATCCATGTATATCCATGAATAAATTATTATATACACTTCATTTTATACTTTATTTAGACATCTAAATAATTGTATCAGTATTTTCAATTACAAGTATGAAAAATTAAATATGCATCGCAATAATAGTAAATGTATGTGTGACTTGTATTGATTATTGTAATATACCCATGCCATAACTATTATATTAATATGACATTTTCTTGGTTTTATTTTTGATAGTGCATATATATTATCGTTTGAGGATTGTTTTTATGTTTGTTGATAAATTGATAAATGTCATTTTCACTTGCATTGCATAGTTGTCTGAAGAAATCGTTTCGTCCACTGCTATTTTTGTTTTACTTTAATTTTCTTTTAATTATTAGTTTTTTTTATAAAAATAATAAAAAGCTGTGTGTGCTGCCAAAAATGAAAAACAGAAACGAGTTGTATGCGAAGCGGCATTATCGCAATATTATATTCCGCCTTAATTATTAGCCGCGATTTATTTTTTTATTTTTTAAAATAAAAAAATATTGATGTGTATATATATAGGTGTATTTGTATAAACAGCTCCTGCTCACTTGCTTTATAGCTGGTTTGTTCTTTCTCTCACCTCCCACGCAGAAAGTGAGGGAATCCAGATAGAGAAAACGAGGAATTTTCGCGAGATTTGTCGGCGAGAAACGAGTGCCAGCCTTTCGATCGGAATGATGAGAGGCGTCTCGAAGAGAATGCTACTGTTGTTATGCTCGATCGTGTCGCTCTTGCTCGCCAATGTGTCGGCGAGTGGGGACCACGGCGTGGCGGTGGCGTGGATGGCGCCGGTGGTGAGATCTGGATGCAAAGGAACCGTCGGCGGATGTCTGATTGGGAGCGAGGAGGTGGACGAGGAGTTCGAGCTGGAATCGGAGTCCACCAGGCGCATCTTAGCGATGCGGCGGTACATCAGCTACGGAGCGCTGCGGAGGAACAGTGTGCCTTGCTCGCGGCGCGGCGCGTCGTACTACAACTGCCGACCTGGCGCGCAGGCCAATCCGTACAGGCGCGGCTGCAGCGCCATCACTCGCTGCCGGCGCTGAAAGGAAAGAAGATGGACGGAAGTCATCTCTCCAGTAATTCTCTGAATTAATTAAATATTTTCATTTTTAAATTTTGAATGGCTAGTGTTGCTGCTATTTCGTATGCTATAAATTGACGGATGAAGGAGGGAACGTATGATTGTGTGCTATTTGTGTGATATACGGACAAATTTCATCAGTGTTATTGTGGATAATAACTTACAATCACATTTCCACCGAGTCTAGAAACCTGTAATTCAAATAGAGGTGATGGATATTTACTTGCAGATTATCAAAGCTTTGAGGTTAATCATTATTTGAGTATCGTCTTCAATTTATGTTCAAGCTGTCTTCATTAGTTTTAACACATCTTCAAATTTCATTTCAATTGGTTAAATATATATTTGGTACGATTCGATAATCTAGACATGAATGTTGGAGAAGCCTCTTTTGTAGTATTTGCTCTTTTCCTTTCCTTCTAAAACTTCACTGTTGATACAAATGATTTTGTGCAACTTTTTTCGACATTGGAAAACGTGCAAAGCCGTAATTAGTGTGTGAAAATGGATTGAACTATGTCAAAGATAATAATAAAGGCAATCTTGAATATAAAACTTGTTGGGGAAGTCAATACCTCACTTGGAGTTATTTGTATAAATTCTCCACGCTTTAGCAAATTCAATCTTTTGGTTTTAATTTGGAATTAAAATAATGTTTAATGAAATATTTTGTGAGATATAATATTTTTGAAAAATGCAGAATCTAAATTGTAAAATTTGACTAAAGAAACACATATTTTAGTAGTGTATTAGATTATTACCTATGGGCTAAATCCATCGAGTCATCTCTAGAAGCCAAAAAGTCGAATATTGGTTGAAAGGGGTAGTGTAAATTGATGTATCGCATTTAATGCGGCATAATGGAGGGGAAGTGTAATGTGCCCTATATATAAAAGTGGATAAATTATCTTTTGCGTTTGTGATTCCCATTTATTTTTATATTATATTCGTCGCTTTTCATAGCTTTATAAAGGCTTTGTTTATATATGTGTGTAAATTTTACTATTGTCAATCAACAATAATTTTATTAAAAAATATATTATCACATCAATTATATAGTGGCTGTTCAGTTACCAGATTATTGAGTTGGAAGTTCCTGTGATGGGTTCACCTCCACATAAGATAGTTTATTTAGGCCATCATCTCCAATCCAGCGTAACGGCGCTTGGTTGGTAGATTTGGATCGTGCGTCATTTTTTTACATTGCTATAGTGCTAATGCCAATTTTGATGTTGCATAATAGTAATGTAAAAATGACATTGCTTTCTTTTTTTTATTTTAAAATTTTTTATTTTTATTTTAAAATTTATTTCTTATTTTTCTAAGTTTTTTAAAAAAATTATTTTAAATTATAAAAATAAAAGATTGTTTAAAATAATAGAAAATTTAAAAATTATTTTAAATTATAAATATAAAAAGTTGTTTAAAATAATAGAAAAAATTGAATATTTAAAAAATAATAGTGAAAAATAGAGTTACGATCGAAGTGAAATTATTATAGCAAGTGTATATTTAGAATTAAAAGTAAATAAATAGAATTAATGAGTTGAAAATAGTTTTATTACTCTCACGTAATATCACATTTAAATTAATAAACTTAATGAACTCGTAATTTTATAGTGGTAAGTTCACCTATTAAACTTATTAGACACTTTACCTTTCACCGGAACAATCTTTTATATAATAATAATAATTTTTAAACCAAAAAATCGTAAATATTTTAATAAAAAAATTAAAAATTTATTATTATAGTATTGTTACATATTGTGATAATATATATTTTAATATTGGGGAAAACAAATTAAAACTCACATCGAAAAAATAAATAAATAATTGATTATAAAATTAATATTATCTACACATAATAGATTCTTTTAGGAAAGTCTAAAAGAAAATTTGTACAACCTTGCTTTAAATTTTTATTTATGTATAATATTATATTAACTATTTATTATTTATATAAATGCTGTATTTTGTCCGTATCGTAACAAAATATTTATTTGACTTTTGTGTCATTGTACTTAACATTAAAAATATTTTTATATTTATATAATTTTTTATACAAATATCATTATATTAGTATTATAAGACACCAATATAATTATTTTTGTCATTTTATCTTTATTTGTAATACAAATTGATTAATAATTAATATTCAAAGATCAACAAACAAAAAGTAAATGAATACTTTGTTATACGACGGAGATAATATTATTCGTAAAATAATTCAAAGTAACGAATCACTCCCAAAACATAATTAAACAAGACGTAAGATGTACATATGAAAATTAAATATATAATTATGTTACATGTAATTATTAGTATGCAACATAAGTGTCACATGGGTTTGCGGGGATTACAATGATTTAGTGCACTAGAAAGATCATCAACATTTTTACATCTTTATTACAATTTGCCTTTTATTTAGTTATTTACTTATTATTATTTTATAATGTGAGAATTCGTTATCGCTACAATTCAAAGTGTATATATTGTGCATGTAGCATGTTGGTTAGTTATAATTAATATTTTTATCAATTTTCATCTAAAATTTTTAAATTAAAATTAAAATTAATCAAACAATAATTATAATTACCGGGAACAATTAAAGTGTTGATTATGACCAACTACGTTAGTCGTACGATTTAAATTAAAATCAATATACATTTATAATATACTCTCTCCGTCCCAGATACCATGTCCACGTTGCCGTTTCTATCCGTCCCACATACCATGTCACTTTTCTTTTCTGAAAAATGATTACACACTTTAATCTTATTTTAAATTTTTAAATTTTATTTATTTTTTTTAATTTTAATTAAACTAATTAGTTATCTTAATCTTAATTTATAATTATTTATATTATAGGATAATTATTTTTACTAATACATTCTTAATCATCTACTAATTATATATCTCCTAAAATACAGTGTCTATAGTGTAACAGACACGGTATCTGAGATGGAGGGAGTATTATCCTAACGTATACTCTTGTATATATATTTGGGCTTTTTTATTTGTAGTTTCAGATTATTATGATGATTTTTACTAAAGTTTATATTAAAATAAATTTTTGGTGTGCTATTAATTAATGATATACATATTGCTTTGAATATACAATAATTTTAAATATAATAGTTCGTATTTTTTTAAAAAAAGAAAAAAAATGTATTTAAAACTTTTGGTAATTTTTAAGTTAGAAGCCCATCTTCATATAGGCCTGACCAACAAGAAATGGTAGCATCTTCGTAAAGCCTAAATTTCGTTTGGTCTAAATAATACTCCCTCTTTCCCGGATATAAATTTCGTTTGCGTCTAAATAATACTCCCTCCTTCCCGGAGACACAGAAATTTACGATGGGTATAATTAGTAAATAATTTAAAATGTATTAATGAAAATAATTATTATATAATAAAAATAATTATAAATTAAGATTAAGATAATTGATTAATATAATTAAAATTTTATAAATTATAAATTAATTTTTTAAAAATAAAATTAAAATGTATAATTATTTTTTTAAAAAAAATGATAAAATAAATGAACAAATGAAAATGAAAATGTAGAAGTAAGAAGTGGGACAGAGAGAATAATATTATTATTATTATTATTAAAATATTGTAAAATTGGCATTACTTAAAAGATGGGGCATATTAAATATTGTATCTTTTTTACATATAGTATTTTCTATTTTAATTTTTGTAATACAACTTATAAAATATTGAATTTTCTATAAATAAATATATATTACTTTATTCTATCAAATCATAATATATTTAAATGAAAAATCACTATTCCGATAAAATATTTAATAATAATAATAATAAGACCAACACATATTTAGGTGTGTTTGTTTTGCATTTAAAACTAAAATTGCTGGTATTATCAAAACAATATATTTCTTAATAATATATATATATATTATTTATAAAACATCACATTAAAGTAATAATTAAAAATTTAGATCAAAACTTCAATTTCAAATTAAAATCTAATTGAATTGTTCAAAGAAATATATTAAAAATAATTGTAATTTATTTAAAAAAAAAACAATACGAATATTAGATTATTATATCAATATATATTTTTTAATGAATAAATAATTAATTTTATTATAATGAAATAATATTTTTAAATAAACAAACAAAAAATAATAAAAATAATATTTCAAATGAAAAAAAAAATGATTACTCTCAAAATTATTGAATGTAATATTTTAAATTAAAATAATTAAATTTTAACGTGATATAATCTCCTAGTTATTTATTTTAATAATAAATATATTTACTTACTATTTGTCAACAATTTGATTAAATTAAACACACTACTTATATGTTCGTTTCTATTTAAAATATTAAAACATTATAATCTATTAAAAATATTATAATAAATGCTTATTTATAGTATATAGAATATTTATTTTTGTTTAAATTTTATTATTTTCAAATTATTCTAATATTTCAATATATATCTAGTTTGATATTATGTTGCAGATATAATACTCTCTTTGTCAAGTATATATTTATTTTTGGTACAAAATTTAATAAATAATATTATTTTAATTATAGTGAAAAGGTAAAAATAATGTAATAATATTTTTGTTTTTATTTTTTGGTATAAAAGTAATAATATAATATAAAATAAAAATATTTAGAGAAAAAAATAAAATATTTAATAAAATAGTTATTTTATAATTTAACGTTTCAAAATAAAAATATGTATACTTTATAATTGGACGGAGGAGAGTATGAATTTAATATATTTAAAATACAATCCCAAAACAAACGCACCTGAAAATGCATCTTTTCCGCTATGCGGACGCCGCCTATGTCGGGCTTATATTTTGAGACACGCTTTTTTCAGGTACCAAAAACACGATTTTTGCAGGAACCTAAATCACGATTTCTTAACAGTTAAGTAGTCAGCGGTTTTCCTTAGCACCGGAGACGAACAGCTACGCGTACGCTCACCCTTTTCACATTTCCCAATACACGCGATTTTTCATTCTTGGTTGCTCCGCTATATATATATATTCTGTTCTGTTCACAGAATCTAACCGTCTCAAATATCGAATTTCGGAAGGCGATAGAAGCGAGGAAACTAGGGTTCTAATTGTATTGCGATTGATTATCGATGGCGGAAGCGGATTCCAACCTTCAACAACCTTTGTTGGTAAGGATTTCGTTTTGTGTTGTTTTGATTTGAGTTTTGGGGTTGATTGATTGATTGATGATTGATCGGTTGATTTGTTGCGCTTGCGAAGGTGAAGAGTGAAGAGGAGCAGAGGCTCAAATACCTTGAGTTCGTTCAGATTGCGACTCTTCATACGTTGATGTACGCCGCGAAACTGTACAGTTATGCGAAGGAGAATTCGGGACCTCTTAAGCACAGCGTGGACACCGTGGAAGGGACTGTCAAAACCGTGGTTCGGCCGGTTTACGAAAAGTATCAAGGTGTTCCCGTGGAAGTTCTTAAGTTCGTCGATAGGAAGGTATGTTTTTTTTTTTTTTTTTTAATATGCGTTTGGATTTTTGAAAACGAGTATTACAAGTGGTTTGAGTTGTGAATTAAGGATCTGTCTTTCACCCAATTCGTTGAAATAGTTGAGATAATTTTGATTAGATTCTGCAATCTCCATGAATAAGTTAGATGTTTTCTATGCTCCTGATTTCCATTAGGAAGGAAGGTAGTGTTGGATTGAACTGTACGGATCATTAGTGACTCTATGTGCGTTTTTATGTGATTTAGTGAATAGTAGTTTGGCGGACGAGTGTTTTGAGTGAAGAAAGGACATTCTTTGTTGGGGTTTATGTGTTATCAATAATTTTCAAATCTGAACCTTAAATCAATCTCGAATCCAGTTCTAAACTTTAATCAGTCTCGAATCCAGTTTAAGCTTTGTAAATTGAACTGTATTAACCTATAAATGTGACTATTTGAGCAATTCCCCATTACAGAACAGTTCTTGATAAGATTTAACTTGATGGAGTAAGGAGTCCTACACATTTTGCAAAAGGTTTCCTTTTGTATTAACCTTTACTGCATGTATATCAGTGATTACCGGTTGTTTTGAACGACATTTGATGAAGTTTATGCAATCATTATAACAAATCTATCAAGTCCTTCACTAGAGTTACCATTACCCAAAGAGCTTATAGCATTCATCTTGAGAATGATCCAAATCTAATTGACCTATATTCCAGGTTGACGAATCCGTGAACAAAGTTCAGAGCCGTGTCCCCCCAACACTGAAAGAGGTTTCAGTTCAAGCCTTCAAGAAGGCTCAGAAAGCACCTGCAGCAGCCCGATCTGTTGTGTCGGAAGTCAAGAGCAACGGTGTTGTGGGAACAGCCTCCGAGCTTGCGAAAACTGTGTACGCCAAATATGAGCCTACTGCAAAGGGTCTTTACACCAAGTATGAACCGGTGGCCGAGCAGTACGCAGCAACGGCGTGGCGCTCGCTCAACCAACTCCCCCTCTTCCCGCGCGTGGCCAAGGCCATCGCCCCGACAGCGAGCTACTATACGGAGAAGTACAATGAAGGCGTGCAGTATGCTGCCGGGAAAGGGTACAAAGTTGCATCCCATCTTCCATTGGTTCCTACCGAAAGGATCGCAAAAGTCCTTAGCACATAAATAAGATCAATGGGTCTGCTTTGATTCTATATGATGCTTTGCTGCTGTGCTGTGTGCTTTATGTCTTGCCTGCCTTAATTTCTAATGTTGGTTACATCTGGATTTGGTTTTATCTTGTGGCTTGCTCAACTGAACTGGGATATATATGCTAGTGTATTTGGCATGAGTCATTTAGATACTTGTTTTTGTTTATTTATTTTATTTTTTAAATTTATACAAAATTTTATAAATATTTAATATGATAATTCAAATATATTTTAATTATTTTTATACAACATTTAAAATTTTATGATAAACATTACTAATTTTGTCACAGTGTATATCCATATCTGTTTGGTTTGTATTTCTAAAATGGATTTATAATTTTTAATTAGTACTATAATTTATTTATTTATTTTTCTCAAATATCACATTAAAAAATACATTATTTAAAATAAAATTTAAATAAAAAGTCGAGCAAATTTTATATATTCTCGTAACATTATTATAATATTTTATTAAGAAGAATATCAAATTTTACATTTCAACGAATATTTGGGTGTGTTTGGATTTTAGATTGAGATTAAACACTAAATAGTAAAAATTTTGAATTTGTGATATAAATAAGAATGTGATGTTTTTAGATATAATATAAAAATAAAAAATAAATACGATTTGATATTTTTGGGGAAATTTGATAGGAATAATGAAATTCCACCAAATCTTTCAAACAAACGCACCCTTTAAAAGTATTTTAATTTTTATACCTTAATTTATATCCTAAAATTTGAGAATTGCTTCCAACGTGTGAAGTATTTAAGAGTTACACAAACACGCTGTGTGGCCCGCGGAGACGCATACATAAATGTTGCATATATCCATTATGCTACCGTGCACTACCCCTGCGTAAGATAGAGCAAAGCGATTCCTGTTTATAAACCCCTAGGGATTAAAACAGCTATAACTTCCCTCCTTCCTCATACATACTGCACTCGCGCCGCTCACTTCTCTACCGTGCGATCTCTGGATCTGCTGACGTCTCACCTTTCCATCGCATTTGAGTTGAAATTTCATCGTATATTTGGTGTCTGTGGATTTGAGGAATGGCGGTGGGGCGGTGGAGAGAATGCAGAGGTGATTTGATGGCGGAAGGGGCGAAATCGCTGCAGCGTCGGCTGAGGGATCGTTTCAGAGTTACTGCGGTGAACTATCACCGTCGCAGGAATATAAGGATCAGCGGCGGGAGATACTTTTCATCTACAGTTCAGCGGTGGCTTGATCGCCTTTCCGATTTTCGTCGCGATTCTCTGCCATCTTCCTCCACTTTTTACCACAAGAGAGGTGGCCATTATTTTTTATGCCATTACTCTGCGTTTTGCTGATATCTAATGGGATTGATTTTTGTGTAATTAATGTTTCTTCTTTTAAAATTGGTCATGGAATGCGGGGAAGATTTGGCTGCGGTTTTCATATAGTTAAGAAGTTTGTATCTGCTGCACTAGGTGCAATATCTATTTTTTTTTTTTGGCTGGAATTGCTGATAGACGCAGCCAGGCAAATCAAAAGCTGATAGTTATGTTATCAACAATGTAATGGAATTCGTTGAATGGATAGGAAGAAGGGACTGGCCTTGATACTGCTTATTATGTTTGAACTTGGGAAGGTTTTTCATGTAATTGTGTTGCTGTGTGGTGTATTTGGTGCTACTATTGACTGTATAACCTTACTTCTTCTAGCAATGTGCCTCTCTTCACTTCGTCTTTTGGCTCAATCTGGATATCAGCATGTCTTTTTTAGATCCCTAATCTCTACATTTTGTACCGCAGTGAGTAAAGATATTGATGCAGAATATGATTCAGTACTGACCCGCATGCTCCAAGCTGTAGCTGTTCCTGTGATTGGAAATGTTTGCCATGTTTTTATGCATGGTCTCAACCGTATTCAGGTGAAGCCATATCTTATTATTATTACCATTATTAAATTATGTACCTTGCTCTTTGTTTAGATATTTAAAAACTATTGTTTTTTCTTGATAGATATTTGGTGCAGATAAATTGCAAAATGCAGTGTTGCATCGACCAGAGAACAAGTCACTGATTACGGTACAACCATTTCTGGATCTGTTTATGTTATCATTGTTTCTTTGAAGTTATGAAACGATAGGTTTCCCAATGCATAAGGTTCTTTGGGCTGACAATCTATAATGACTTAGTTCTGTAATTGTATCATTTTCATTATCTAAATACACATCAGAAGCTAGCCAAGAATCATAACATAACTGAGAATATTTTACTACTAATTATTCACTACTTCCGGCAATTACTTCTTCTCTTTGTGGTTAAGTTCATGCTCCCTTCGTCCCATATATGGTGTCTTGTATACTGTAGATACAAAATTTTACGGGTAGCATAATTAGTAAATTATAAAAAAAAATATTAGTAGAAGGATACAATCATACAATATCTGTAATTAAGATTGAGATAATTATAGATTAGTAAATTTAACATGTAATTAAATTATATATGAGATGTGGGACGGAGGAAGTATCGACAATGATTTCATAATACAATGAACAATATTTCCTTGAGTTCCTACAGTTTCATGCCAAAAAAAGAGGTCAGGCCTCAAAAGCAAATAAGAAAAAAATAAAAAGTATAATATCTGTTGAGAAGATAAATTAGATAGCAAATCCAAATGGAGCAATATCAAGAAGCTGCTTTGAAATACCAGTTCCCATTGTTATTGATTTTATCCTTTTTGCGTGCATGATTCTACTAGGTTAGCAATCATGTTGCAGCTATGGATGACCCTTTGGTTATAGCTTCCTTACTTCCTCCTAGTATGATGTTTGATGCAAATGGAGTAAGATGGACACTTTGTGCATCTGATAGATGTTTCACAAATCCAGTTACATCAGCATTCTTCAAGTATGTGAAAGTGTTCCCAGTTTCTCGTGGGGATGGATTATATCAGAAGGTATTTCTATTAATTCTCTCATATAGTTGTTAGTTTCACAGAATTTGATGATTATGGATCTTTAAACATTTTGCTTTTTATATTGATTGTTTATCAAGTTCTTGATGCCCTGTTTTGTGACTCTTATTCTCTTTATTTTTTAAATAAGAAAGATACTTCTCTGGGAATCTTACCAACTGATCTAATATTAAATATTTGTTGGATTCTAATTTCTATCCATTACTGTTGATATTTTAGTTCTGTAATAAACTAGAGTGGCTTCAAGTTGGTTTTTCTTCAGAAAACTGTTATTTGTGTAAAAGGATGTAGCAGAATAAATCTTACAGTTAATTTATATTCTCTTTTCTACAGGGGATGGACCTTGCTATTTCCAAATTAAACCGAGGTGGGTGGGTTCACATATTCCCAGAAGGTAGTCGCTCTCGAGATGGTGGGAAAACAATACGTCCTGCCAAAAGAGGCATTGGGAGGTATGCTGCCATGTTGATGTACTATTGATGGTTTCTATTTATTGATTACTTTTCTGGAGTTGTGTATCCTTAATACAATTTGCAATCTGGAGGTATTAAATAGTATATGATGCTGTGTATGTTACCACTTACCAATCTATAGTGCTACACTAGGCATGCATAAAAGCATATGTACGCCTTATTAATCATCGTCTTACTTGGGTATGGATGAAATTTTTTTGCTTACATTGTGAATTTCCATGGCATTATCAAATGATATATGGTGTCACCGCCTTTTATAATATAAACTAATGATGTGATTATTTTAGATGGCAATGAAGCTGTGTTGTCCTGACTCATCGATCCATGTTTGCAATGTGTTTCATAATTCATTAGTCTGCAATGGGTTATAATTCCAAAGAAGTATATTAGTCGAGAGTACCATATTCCCTGATTTAAATCAGATTTGACTAAAAATGTGTGATTACAATTTTTGTAGGTTGGTCTTGGACGCCGACAATGTACCCTTGGTTGTTCCCTTTGTGCATACTGGAATGCAAGAGGTCATGCCTGTAGGAGCCAAGTTCCCAAAAATCGGCAAAACAGTACGATCTAATTCTACTTCAAAGTCTACACTTCCAGGACATATATACCAAATTTTGTTTGATACCTCATGTCTCCTAATTGGCAATCGTGCAGGTGACCATTCTTGTAGGCGAGCCCATTAGTTTCGATGATATAATCGAAGGGGACAGGGAAAGCATACCAAGAGGAGAACTCTACGATGCTGTCTCCGCCAGAATCAGCATCCATCTCCGAAACCTAAAGTTACAAGTCGAAGCATTAGCCATCGAACAAGCTCTGCATCTCCAAAACAATCCCTCACATTCCCCTGAACGAGCAGCTGAACTTCTGCAAAACATCGACTGGGAATCACATGGGATCACAAACCACATGTCAGTCGAGAACCCCGCTCCAAGGGAACATGCCCATACCTTATCCGTAGAACCAACCCCAACCCCAACCCGGCTCTACGCACAGGAAACAAACCTGCAATTCCAAGAAGGTGGATTCGTGTCGAGGATACGAGGGTACATGGACTCGACAGAACTGATGGTTTTCTCTGCACGCGGTTTGCTTTCTCACCGTAGAACTACTACGAATACATACTTGCCAATTCTAGAATCAGTTAGTCCTCTAAAGGCATGGAATAACTTTTGGAAGTCCATGTCCGGAAACCATCACTTCCTCCCTAATTCAGTAGCGTTCAATGAGGCTATGCAATGTTAGAAAAATTCAGCATAGCAGAGTAGCCAGTAGGGTAGGGTAGGGTAGGGTTGTGTTGTGTTTTTATCCGTCCTTGTTAATAATAAATAAATATATAATGCTAGTAGTAGGTTGTTTCTGAAGTGGGAAAGTAAGAAAAACCCCTCTTATTTTGTCACGCTCTTACATCGGTCATTAAAGTTAAGACAATCCAAGCCTTTTGTGTATCTACATCTTGTAGTATTAACATTACCAATGTAATGTATTGTTGCTATTTGTATGCATTTCAACATTAAGCATTGAAACAACAGTATGCACTCACCTTCCAGGCAATATTTTTCATTCAACTCGTATTATATATAAATCTAATAAACCATATTAATTCAATCATTATAAAATAAATTATACTAGGAGAATTATCACAAAATTAATATAAAAAATACTCCTATTATTTTATGCTGAGATATAAAATATAGGAGTATATATTTTGCTAATTGCGTCTGATAAAAAATGTTTCAAGAACAACCCCAACGTACTAATATCGGTTTCAATAAAATGCCTGAACATGTAAAACTGATTCACAAGTCTCGGCGGCTGTTTTCATGGCGTCAATCGAGGATGAACACTTCAAATTTCGGATGTCGGAAGAAACTTGAAAACGTTGAAAAGAAGAAGAAGAATAGGAAGAGATCTTTGGAAACTTGTGCAAATGCAAGTTTCGAAGCTCACAATTTTGCTGGACAAGTTTCTGACGACGAATCAAGCGAAGCAAATCCAGTGCCAGATTATCGTCACCAATTCCAACCATCTCGAGCCGCTGCTAATCCGCCAAACCCTAAAATCCCCCGCGCATTACTCGCCGAGCACCGCCGCATATGTCAAGTCAATCCTCCGCCGCATGCGGCGTCCGGACGCTTTAACGGCGTCCTTTACAATCCGTTATCTTTCTCAGCACGGCCGTTTCCAAGAAGCTCTCACTCTATTCGCACAAATGCAAGGAATCGGGATTCTTCCCAACACATTTTCCGTATCGTCCGCCCTCAAATCATGTGCAAGGATTCCTTGTGGATCGGGGGGACTAATGATCCATTGTCAAGCGGAGAAGCTCGGATTCAGCAAGGTTGTTTTCGTCCAAACCGCACTTGTCGATTTCTACTCGAAATTGGGAGGAATGGACATTGCACGCAAGGTGTTCGACGAAATTCGTGAGAAGAATGTGGTCACATGGAACTCGATGCTCGCAGGGTACGTCAGGCATGGCGACCTGGCAATGGCGCAGGGTGTGTTCGACGAAATGCCTGAGAGAGATGTAATCTCTTGGAACTCGATGGTGACGGGGTACGCAAGAGCTAACGACATGGAACAGGCCTACGAATTGTTCCGAAGAATGCCGGAGAGGAATTCGGCGTCATGGAATGCGATGATCGTCGGCTATGTCGAGTGCGGGAGGATTGAATTCGCACGAAGCTTTTTCGACGCCATGCCAGAGAGGAACACGGTTTCATACATCACGATGATATCGGCGTACTCGAAATACAGCGGCGTCGATGCCGCAAAAGAGCTCTTCGACGGAATAGTAGAGAAGGATTTATTTCTTTACAACGCCATGATCGCCTGCTTCGCGCAGAATAACCGAGCCAAGGAAGCGTTGGAGCTGTTCGTCGACATTGCAAAGGGGAAAGCGGCAAAGTTACATCCCGACAAAATGACGCTGGCCAGCGCAATCTCGGCATGCTCGCAGTTAGGAGACTCGCAATCGGGGGCGTGGATCGAATCATACATAACAGAATCGGGTATTCGAATGGACGATCATCTAGCAACGTCTTTCATTGACTTGTACGCAAAGTGCGGGAGCATCGACAAAGCGTACGAGCTGTTCAACACCTTGGAGAAAAAGGATTTAGTCGCGTACACGGCGATGATTCTTGGATTCAGCACGAACGGTAGGGCATACGAAGCGATCAAGTTATTCGAGGAGATGATTGGCGCGGGGATAATCCCAAATGCCGTTACGTTCACCGGAATTCTGAGCGCTTACAGTCACGCCGGCATGGTCGAAGAAGGCTACAGTTGCTTTAAGTCGATGGAGAGCCACGACATCATCCCGTCTCGGGATCATTACGCAATCGTGGTCGATCTTTTGGGTAGAGCAGGACGGTTGGAGGAGGCGCACGAGGTGATCAAGAGCATGCCGATGCAGCCTCATGCCGGAGTTTGGGGCGCGTTGCTTCTCGCATGCAACTTGCACAGCAATGTCGAGCTTGCCGAGATTGCGGCTGAACATTGTTTCGAGCTCGAGCCCGAGAGCAGCGGCTATCATGCTCTTCTCGCGAATATTTACGCGGCTGCCGGGCGATGGGACGATGCTAAAAGAATGAGGATGCTTGTCGAAGAGAAGGGCCTTGTTAAGATCCCGGGATCTAGTTGGATGACATCTTAGAAATGCTGAATCGATCGCTACAATTAGCGCTCGATTTACCGTTTAAGGATCCTCGGTTCGGATTTTTCCCGGCATCTTCGACGTGAATCATTTTTGCCTTTGATTTTTGAAAATACAAATGATGGGAGCACTGCGTGTCGGGGAAGTCTCGTTTCTTTTTATTTTTCGATATTTTATTGTTTTTAAAATATTTTAAAATATATGCTCTTCCGGTATCTAATTGTAATTGTATTTTATTTGATGGTACACAAGTTTAAAAAAAATAGAAACTTTTAAAGTAAAGAAAAGTTAACAAAAAAAATTGTGAATAAATTTGAACGAGAAAATTAAGAGAGTATTATAATCTGTATTCTATCAAACAATTTTAATGAAATTAGCAAATAATTATTGAGGCCCATTAAGAAGGGGTCCAAGAAATCCAGAAGCTTCTAACATGGCTTAGATGGCGAATAAAATGGGCCCACAGTAAACTTTGAACCGCCTTAACGGCGCTTCCGATTACTACACCTGCTAACTGAAGTACTGTACATTGATCCTAGAGGATTTTTCATAGGCGGGGGGATCGAGCCGGGAAGGGTTGGTTTGAGAAGATGATGAATTCGTTGGTATGTGGTTCCCAATCTGATTATAATATTTGCGTCATTGCATTCGTTTTTTTAGGGGAAATTTGGAAATGTATATCTGTTTGCAAGGTGTTCGATGAAATTCCCGTGAGAGTTTGGTATTGGTTACTTAATTGTACACTCATATTGTCTTGTTCGTAGGCTCGCGTATTTTCAGGTTATAATTTCGAAATTCGGGTTTGTTAGCGATCGCAAGCTGTGTTGATGAAAATTCTGGCGGGGAATTTATTTATTCAGTTTTGTTGTACGTTTAGGTGTTTTTTTTGGTGTAATGTGTGCGTTTGCAGAGACGCTTTTCGAGCAAAGCCTCTCTGATACGTGCAGTGGCTTTGGCTGCAGCTGGTTCGGGCATTGTTTGCTTCACCAATTCTTCAGATTATAGTAATGTCTCCTTTTTTTTCAGTATGCCTATATAATGGATTACTACTAGTTTTACTGAATTTGGCTTCTTGTTATTTTACCTTCACTTGTAAATTATGTTTTATTGTGATTTTTTAGATCGATCAGTATCCGTTTCAATACCTTCACGCATCAGAGATTCTTTAAACTGTTGGCCATGGAGAACAATGGAACTGAATAACTGTCCACCACTTGTTCAGTCCAACCAGTCACAGCATGGTATATTGCGTTTCTTTATTATTATTATTTTTTTGTTCAGTGACTTGAATGTCTTGGTTATGCATTCATGCCTGTTTCCTGCCTCTTCTATAAATGGATAACATTTTATTGTAGGTATTTCCCCACTGTTTTATTCTGCACCAGATGCTGTGGCCGATCCTGACTCGAGGAAAGGAGCTTCACTAGATGGTGGAGATAGTCCCAAACACTCTTGCAATTGTCTTGGGCGTGATACCATTGCTAATGCAGCTGCTAAGGTTGGTCCTGCAGTTGTCAATTTGTCAGTACCACAAGGTTAATTTTTCCTATGTTTCTTCTTTCTTAAAATTTGTCATGTTGCAGGAAAAAATGGCTTTTTTCGTTTTCTGTTATTCAATGGGTTTTTTCTTTTCTTAATCCACATTTTCAGGTTTTCATGGCATGACTGTTGGGATGAGCATTGGATCTGGAACTATAATCAATGAAGATGGCACTATATTGACATGTGCTCATGTGGTGGTTGATTTTCAAAATTTGAGGTCTTCATCTAAGGGAAAGGTCCGATATAGCTATGTTCTTTAATTGGAATTATGTTGCAATTTTCCTCTTAAAGTTAACATGTCACAAAATCCCTTGAAGTTTGCATAAATCCTTATATACACCCATGGTTGGAACAATGCTCGTTTCCTTATTCTCCATATTGAAATTTTCACCTGATCCATGTCAGTCAAATGGAAAAGTGGTGTTTTAAATTCTTCTATATAAAATATTGCATCTGGCTACCTGTTACAGTTGTGGGGCATCTAATTTGATTTTCATTGCATCTGTCCAACATGGTGCTTTTAGGTGAAAAAATTATTTAAGAGTTCCAACTAATGAGATAATATCTTTAAGAGTAACTAAATTTCGTGCGTTAGGTTCTTTGCATTCCATTCACTTGGTAACTCGCAATTCTATGTTTTCAAAACGATCAATTATGAAATAAATGCCTCTTGATACTATGGATGACTGCCACGGAATCATTGTCAGGTTGAAGTGACTTTACAGGATGGCCGATCCTTTGAGGGCACAGTGTTAAATGCTGATTTACACTCTGATATAGCAATTGTGAAGATCCAATCAAAAACTCCACTTCCAACAGCAAAAGTTGGGAATTCAAGTAAGCTCCGTCCTGGTGATTGGGTGCTGGCTATGGGCTGTCCCATGACCCTTCAGAATACCATTACCGCAGGTATTGTAAGGTAATTACATTTTCACTCATCTATTTCTTGCCCTTTTATACACATCAATTTGGATCTAAAAGTAGCATATTACTCAAACTACAGTTTACAGACAATATTTTTCTGATGCATGTTTTGCTACTTTCCTGTTGCATGTAGTTGCGTTGATCGTAAAAGTAGTGACTTGGGACTTACAGGCGTTCAAAGGGAGTACTTGCAGACTGATTGTGCAATCAATCAGGCAATCTTCTTTGCTTTCTTCAGCAATTTTGGAATGAAATTTTGTACTACTAATCATATGTCGATCTTTACTATTTTATTATTTTTCCTATAGAAGGTATTATTATCATTACCTGTTGCAAATCCATGCATGCGACCTTAGGATTTACAACAAAGTCAAAACTATTATGCAATAAAGGCATCTTCATCCTTTTGCTGATGATAGGGTAGTTCTGGCGGACCTCTTGTCAATGTTGATGGGGAAGTCATTGGCGTCAATATCATGAAATTGTTGGGGGCTGATGGATTGAATTTTGCTGTCCCAATTGACTCTGTTACAAAGATCTTAGAGCACTTCAAAAGAAATGGGTATGCTTTTGTGTTAGAATATTAAACTGAAATTCTCTATTTCAATCACAAAGATACGTACATATTTATAGTGATACAAATCGTCTAAATAAGCAATAATTCTACTAATCTCTTAAATAAGACAACTACCATAAATATAATATATTGCTTCTAAATATATTTGAACACTTTCATCTCTCTCACACATACACACAATTATACAGTAGCTTACTAGCAAGAACTCATGCAAATTCAAACCAGTAGTCAATATTCTGTGCATATTGTTATTCCTTTAAACTTGTGGTATGGTTGATGATGTTAATATCTGATGATACAGGAGAGTAGTGCGTCCTTGGCTTGGTTTGAAAATGATCGATCTGAACGACATGATAGTTGCCCATCTCAAGGAAAGAACTAAATCCTTTCCGGATACCAACAGAGGTCTCCTTGTGCCTATGGTCAGATATATTTATTTTATTGAATATTGGAAACTAATTGTCTTTGTTAGTGCTCAAAATACATTTACAAAATTCTCTGCCTCTGTGGCATAGCAGGTTTCGCCTGGGTCTCCAGCTGATCGCGCTGGATTTCGTCCTGGAGATGTGGTGGTTGAATTCGGAGGAAGGCCTGTCGAAAGCACCAACGAGGTAGGTGATCATTCATTCCATATCAAACATGCGAATATATATATTTGTATTGTTGTAATTGGAAGGAAGGGTGTTAATAATGTTAATGTTTTTGCAGGTGATTGAAATAATGGGAGATAAAATTGGGAAGCCGTTCAAGGCAGTGGTGAAGAGAGCCAACAATGTGACGGTGACGCTGACAGTGATCCCTGAAGAAGCCAACCCTGACATGTGAAATTTATTTACATCCATCCTTTTGCCCCTCATGCATAGAATACATATCTTGCTTTTGTACGCCATCTCGCACCTTCTTATGAATATACATGTATTTATTATTATTAGGTTTTATACTCTTTCAATGTATTTTAGATAAAATTAGATCGAACTTAGTAATTTGCAAATTAAGCTAACAATACATGTTATGCTAAGCAAATCATACGTGGGGGAGATGTAATTCTTGTAATTTACATATTCTACTTATTTATTGGAATGCAATATAAAAGTAGGAACAGGTTGTATCTAAAAAGTATAATATCCTTGTGTAACGGGTCGGATGGTTTCTCTTCGTACACGACTCCAATACCTGCTAAAAATAAGAACACTATAAGATGTACTCGACAAAGAAGAGTGTTTTATTGATTCAAAACTGGAGTGTCGTACAAGTGAGGACTCCTCTAATTTATATAGACACTCTATCATAGATATGCTAAATCTTAGCAAGATATGGATACGCCATATCTTATCAAATCCACACTTGGATTTGCTATATCTTATCAACCTACGGATATAGATATCTAAAGAGATACGTATAATGATATCTAAGTAAAGAGAGATATAAATCTAGTGGATAAATATCGACTCGGCTTTTAGAATGTTCCAGAGTAAGCCAGAAGGTTCCGGAACATCTCCAAGGATCTCCGCTAGCCTCTCCGTGTTCGCGTGCCACAGGCCCCTCCTCAGCGCTCCTTTGTAGCTCCATCGGCATTGCTCGGCCAAAGCTTCCGTGACATCCTCCCCCACTTGAACTAGGCATTGCCCTCAATGCCTGCAAGTAACGAGCATATTCCTCAAACAGCCATACGTCTCTAGTCTCCCTCCGACTCGCCTTGGGCTTAGCTAATCCTTGCCACCTAGTCGGGAATTTCGTCCGTAGCGGTCGACTCAGGTGTCCGGCCCTTTTGTCCGCAACGCCACCTTGTCGGCTCCGTTTTTTATGATCCCCACATCTTTTCTTTTATATTCTCGGAACATCCTCCTCTTGCCCGTCCACATGTTCACTCCTCGTCGGGACTTCTCCAAGGTTCCTTTGAGTGCTCGTCCTAGGTTGTTAGGCGGGCTTCTGACATTTTGCTCGCAACTACTAGGGATGCCTTTGTCAGTCCGAATAGTTGCTAGAGTTGACTCCATTTCTCTCTGACCTTCTCCCCTTGCCTCGAGTTGAGCTCTTTTTCCCTATAAACCATCACGTTACACAGTGTCCCACCCTTTGTGATTGTGAACCTTCCCTCATGTGCGATCATCATGGGCTTGACATGGTCCATGAACCTTATCCCTAGAATTATCGCATACTCGTCTAGATGAGCTATATTGAATAGTTCCGTGCTTTTCCAGTCGCCTAGCTGGATGGGCACGTCTCTGGCCACCCCAGCTATGGGAGTCCACCCACCATTGACTCCTTTAAAATGTCCTTCAGAAGGTACCCACCGTAGGCCGATCATATGCGCTAGTTGCTTGCTCAGGTAGTTGTCATCAGCACCCGGGTCGAGCAAGCATGTCACCAATACTCCATTTATCCATGCTTTAACGAGCATCCTTCCCCTGAGGGTATCAGCAGGGACCGCCTTTTGTGTGCAGGCTACCCGGCCCTCTGTCACCTCCGGCGGCACGTCTGACACCACAATGCCTCCTCGACTTGGGCAATCCCTAGCATAGTGATCCTTGCTCTTGCAGACAAAACACCCATCATATGTTAGTCTTGGCCTCCATGCATCCCCACCCTTAGTTGCGGATTGCCGCTGAGTCTTCCTGGTATCACTAGTCCGTGGAGTCTGCCAAGTTTGGTCTCCCTCACTTTTATCTTGGTTAATGCTCCTTGATTGGTTATCCTCATTAGGCTCCTCTTGCTCGACCTCAAGCAACCATTGAGCATATCTGATTGCTTCGGTGACCGTTGAAGGAAGTTTCTCCCTAATCCTCAACTTAGCCCACGGCCTCAGGCCCTCCAAGAATGTCAACAATGCTTCCTTCGGAGACATGTTCGGTACCTCCAGCAACAGGTCCGAAAATTTCTCGATGTAGTCCTTTAGGTGGCCTTCTCGATGCTCCAATCGACGAATCCTGCACCACGCCTCCTCCTCGGCATCTGCTGGTGCGAACTCCTCTTTGAGCTATCGCTTAAATAGTCTCCAGGTAGTGATGCCTCTCTCACCACCGTGTGTTCCTTCATTTCGCCTCCACCACGTGCGGGCCAAGCCCTTCAAATATCGTGACGCGGTTTGGATTTTGGCTTCATCTCCCATGATACCGGAATCCTCGAGGTATTTGTCCATATCATAGAGGAAGTCGTCCACTGCTCGAGCCTTGCGCTCCCCCGCGTAGTTCTCGGGACACGGGACGTTCCCCCTCGGGGTTGCCAGGGCAGCTTCAGTTGGCCTCCTTGCCTGAAGTTCGGCTACCGTCGCCTACTCCTCTTGAACCCTTGAGAGCTCCATTCTTGAAGGTTCTGCAACCTTCGTTTTTTCCAGCCTTGCGATCTGGACCTTGCACTCGGCCACGACCTCTTTTAACACGACCACCTCGGCCCTCAGCGCCTCAGCAAGCTCCATCATCGCTAGCTCCCTCTTTCAGGACTCCTCCCTTTCGGCATCGATCGAGGCCAGTATCCCTTCACGTGGCTCGCTTCCCTCGAGCTCGCAGATACGCTGCTCCATCTCGTCGAGCTTGTCATGGTGATCTCCGACAGTTAGCTCCACCTTAGCCAACCTTCCGTCAAGAGTCCCCGTGACTTCAGCAGCCTTATCCTTGGCGTTCTTCTTGGTCCGCCTATGAACTTGGTTCTCGACCTCGTACTCAGCATCTGACTTGTCTGTCGCCATCTCCTCGGAACAAAGCTCTGATACCACTTGTAACGGGTCGGATGGTTCCTCCTCGAACACCTTCCCGTCGGCCTAGCGATTTTTTGACTCCCTAAAGAACTCGTTAGTGCAGCCTCGTACACGACTCCAATACCTGCTAAAAATAAGAACACTATAAGATGTACTCGGCAAAGAAGAGTGTTTTATTGATTCAAAACTGGAGTGTCGTACAAGTGAAAACTCCTCCCCTTAGCAAGAGGTCGCACTCAATCATGGATATGCTAAATCTTAGCAAGATATGAATACGCCATATCTTATCAAATTCACACTTGGATTTGCTATATCTTATCAACCTACGGATATAGATATTTAAAGAGATACGAATAATGATATCTAAGTAAAGAGAGATATAAATCTAGTGGATAAATATCGACTCGGCTTCTAGAATGTTCCAGAGTAATCCAAAAGGTTCCGGAATATCTCCAACGATCTCCGCTAGCTTCTCCGTGTTCGCGTGCCGCAGGCCCCTCCTCGGCGCTCCTTTGCAGCTCCCTAGGCATTGCTCGGCCAAAGCTTTGGTCCGTGATACTTGGTAACTGGTGGTTTGGGTGCCAATTGAGACCAGTAGTATTGATTAGTTCAAACTAGTACAAAGTAACTAACTGTATACATATGACTTAATTAGTACAATACATATTGTGTGTATTGCAGACTCTGACCTTGAAAACTAATGACATTTTTAAATTAAAAAAATTAATTTAAGATCACAAAATTTCTAATATATTTTTATTGTTGATAATTGAATTAAAAGAAAGTATTAGTTAATAGCACGGAGTATTAGAGTAATAGTATATGCTGGGTTATTAAATTTCATAGACTTAGCCGACAATCTAACAATTATTTAAATTTACCTTTTATATATATATATATATATATATGATGTGACGGTGAAACAGGTCCTTTACGAAGTCTTGGGCCGGCCCGTTTACGCTACTTTATTCGGTGGTTTACTTGAGAGAAGTGCAATTCATTACACTTTAATTATTATTGTTACATTTTGAATTAATAGTATTATACTATAATGCATGGTTTTTCAAATTATTATATACGATTATTATTATTCAGCAAAACAGCATCCAAACACACGTCACATGCATGTACACATCATAATACCAATAAGAATGATGATAATAATAATATCAGTATATAAAAGTCATCCATCCATTCGTTCATTTGGTTCATTCATTACATACGAGTACTACTACTACTACTTCTACACCAAACAAAACAAATACCACAACAGCCAGCCTGAAACAACCGACCAATCCAACAACACATTCCAATGACGACGCCACACCCCACCCGATCATTCATTCACTAACTCAATTTCTGGGCTTCTCAAAGTTCACGGCCAGAAACCCTAATCCTCAATCCATCTCTTTGAGTTGTTTTGCGTCCGTCTGCCTCTCAATCTGCTGCTGCTTCTTGCTGCTACTGTATGGTATCTATCCATCCATTAATGGACCCTATCCTATCCTATCCTACCCTAAAGGGAATGGTAAGGCACATAACCAAAGGCTTCGGTAAGACCATTAACCACTTCACTGCACCGATTTAATAATTTCACAAACTGTTGGGATATATCATTATTACCACCACCACCAGCTGCAGAAGAAGATGAAGGTCTTCTAATGGTACCCAACGACGACGACAAAGACAAAGACAAAGACAAAGACGAAGAACCCAATTGTCTACTACTGCCCCCCAACCCCAACCCAGAATTATTAGGCAGAAATCTTTGCATCTCCATCGACGACGACACTGGAATTAACTTTTCCAAATTCTTAACATCCATTCCCATTGAATATCCAATTCCACTTGTACTACTATTACCACTACTGCTACTACTACTATTACTACCACCACCACCACCACCATTAGCATTAGCATTAGCATTTCCTTCCGCACCCAAAACAAATTTTACACGAGGAGAAGTACCTCTGCCATTGCCGTTCCCATTGCCATTGCCACCTTCTTCAGCAGGCGCTTTCTTCAGGCACGACTTGATTGGCGCTGCCATTGGTGGTAGAGGTAGTAGTGGTGGCGCAGGTGGTGGTGCTCTTCCTGCTGATGTCGCCATTGCTCTCGCTTCATCCCTCTGAGGTTCTGGCACCACCTCAGTGCCCAGCTCACGAAGATAGCATTTAACATTGCTGTTCCCAAACAAATTGTTACTGCTCTGCGCATAGTTCAGAGCAGCGTCCGCATCAGACTTCCTTAGAAAAACCATTCGGCACATAGACGTTTTCCAGTAAACCCGATTGGAGTCATGATCCATCTGCCCAAAACGAGTGAATTTCGCCCTCAGCTCTGCAAGGGACGGAAGCGCAGCATCAGTAGGAAACTTCATGAACAGCGCGGTTTTCCTATCCGAAGCTTTAGGCGCCACATCGACCCTCTTTCTAGAATCTTGTCTCATTCCCTTCGTAGACGCCAAAGGTGGAGGGGCGCCTTTAGAGCCGACAAACTTCGACTTCTCATGTTGTGTTTCGCCGGGCCTTTGGGGAATAATTCTCTTTTCTCCAGAAATTGATTTATCACTCAATAGTTTCTTCTTCTTTATCCCTTCCAAGTTGGAGTGCTTCCTTTTCTCAATGTCCAGCGAATCATCTAGCTTTCTCCTTTTCACAACTTCCGGATTGTCCGACGGCGGGCGTTTCTTACCACCCTTTGATGGATCATCTAGTCTGCCTGCAGGTCTCATATGCTTCGGCTTGTCTCTCGGCTTCTCGGAAGGACCACGCGAAGCAGCAGGCGCAAGTAACGATGCTTTAGAGCCGGCTTCACTTTTCTCAATTTCGTTAGGGAATAGAACCAAGCTCTTCTGAAAGACATGCGCACGGAATTTCAGGAAAATCCGTCGGGTAGTAACAGGGCAGCCCCTCTCCACTCCATGAAAAGGGTTGAGAGCAAGAGCATGAAGGTCGTTCAGTAGCCTTGGGAAGTCAAGTTTCCTCCGTTCGACAGCTTGCTGTTTGTCAGCCGTAGATGATGAGCTCATAATCACAACATCCTTTCGAGCGTCAAGCTGGTTATTAACGACAAGCGGAACATCAACCAGCATTCCTGAAGCTTTCTCGGCCGCTAACCCGCTGTTATCGGCAGGACGAACACCCTCTTCGATTTTCAGTTCTTTCTTTCTCTTCTTTTTCTTCTCAACCAGTTTACCACTAGCAGAATTCTGCCCTTCATCAGGCTGCTTGGGGATTGCACTTTTCTTTCTCTTCTTCTCAACCGCAGTGGGATGCTCAGTATTAGACTCTCGAGCATGCTGCTTTTTCACCTTGATCTTTTTTATTCCACCTTCAGAAGGTTTAACAACACTGTTTATGTATGCCGGTTGGTTTATCGCTTGAAGCTGACTATCGTTTATATTAGATACAGGAATATAGCCTTTCGTGCTCGATTCCATTAGCATCCCAGTTAGGTTGGATCCATCTAATAAAAGAGGATGAGCTGGGGGGTTTGCTTGGCCTGCATTTCCTTTTTTGATATTCATGGGAACCGGCTCATCTCGCCGTTTGAATATATACTTGTCCTCTATCGACTCCTTTATTTTTGTAGGTTTAGCCAATGCTTTCCCCTTACCAAGGGGTTCCGCAAAAACCAGTGGGCCAGACAACGGAGCTGTAGAAAATAAAAGATAAACAGCCGAGTCAATTCCTTCAAACATCACTAATACACCAGAAGAAGGGCAGAATTTACAAGCAGGGGTTTAATCAGATCATCATTGTCGAAGACTTCATAGCATCAGAGGTTAATCATAGAAAGTACAACACCAATGCCAAATAGAATAACAATCAATGTGAAGTATGGTCTTACTTATTTGAAAATGGCAAATATCCACTAATGCACAGAAAAAATTAAGAAAAAAACATGAATTAAGATCATATAGCAAAATGGGCAGCTCGGGTACAAATCCAGAAGTTTGTGATAACATCACCCAAACAACACAAAAGATCCTACCTAGAATCCAAATCATGCTTCATTGGCTTCTACAATTACAGTATATTACCTTTTGGGTTAGTTGTACTAAGATTTACTTGCATCCGAAGCATTTGAATCACCAAACAATACAATAGAAAACAAAAACCGTATTGGTACCTTTCAATGTTGATAATATTTTTCTTAAGAGTTCACATGCCAAATGCTGAAGAAATCTCATATGTAATATTAAAGGAACTTCATAAAACTATTTGAAGAACTGACACCAAAAATGAAGTCTTTCACACCAAGATAAACGATTTTCAAACCAAGCAGGTATGTTTGTGGATACAACAGATGCATGCAAGATTGAATATCAATCTTTCAGGTATGCTTGTGGATACAACAGCAAGCAGCTATGGTTGTTTTCTAATGACTTTGACAACATCTTAGAGCTAGAAATAGAAATTGATTGGAGATTCAAGACTGACTAAAGGTTTGGAAGAATTTGAGCTACCTAATGAAAAGGAGATACACCTCTTTCTGCAAAGAAGGTTAGACTAAAATTTTGCCAGTAGTTTAAAATTATTACTTGCCTCTATGCTACTTTTTCATGTGGAAGATTTTCAATCATGTTAGCGTACCGTACAATAGTCTATAGGAGCTGATATGAACTGTTTTTCTTGTCAAACAACTATCTTGTGAGCTTTGCTAGCCTAGTGACCTAATAATTTCTTCTAGCTCCCTTTAGTTTTATTGAATTCATTGCTCAGCGTCTGTGCATCTCCATTGATTCTAAAGCAAGGATATATTAACATGTTAAGCCAGTATTCAAATAAAATGCACTGTATCTTCAGTTTCTGCCTTTATTTAGACCCAAAGAGGTTGCATTTTGCCTTTTGCATCCGGTAAAAACACATCATAATTTATACCAACATAGCAAGCAAAAAACGGAAGATTCTCTCCTTATTTTGCGGAAACAATAATACAAATTATAATCTTACATTTCACAAAATACACCTATCTTTTCTAATTTCAGCCTATATAAAAATACATTTGCTAGTAACTAATATCATTTAGACAAAGTGTGTGTGTTTTTTTACTTGTTCGGTAACTATGAGTCCAATTATGCTTTTAAGTCATGCTGAAACTTAACTAGCATGAAAATTAATATTCATATCGAAGCTCTGCCATATCAAATATCTTATTATTTTCAAATCTCTGTTTGGAGAATACACCCAGTGAAGAATGAAGATATGTGAAATAGTTGATCGTGAATTTTGAGCAGGGTAATTATTCATGATTTAGTTTTGCTAGGGTTATAACAGATTCCCTGAATTTTCCAGCTATATATGTTTTGATTGATTATCTTAGTGACAAACTAATCTAAATTCATGTTGTGTATCTTTCCATCCTAAAGAATGTTAAAAAGTTTTTAATATCAGGTTACAGTTTTTCAGAAATCTTGTTAGATGGGTATAGAGATAGAAACTAAAATTTTGCGGGAGTAATGTGTAAGATTTTATTCTTTCTTTTTGTGGTTATGCTTACTGTCGAATTCAAGAATGAAAACCTTTTTGCATTGTGTACCACATATCTCTTGGCTACTATTCAACACTAACAACATATGTTGATTTGTGTAATCTTCAGCTATTCCGTACCATAGTCTTTTAACATTATTGAGTCTTGATACTATTAAGCTCCACCCAATAACCAAAAGCAATACTTTTTACACTAGCTTAGATGCACCTTGAAAACAACATTCAAGGGGTCATCTTGAACCCACTTGCTTCTGCACTGTGTTTTGTTGCAATATCAAGTATGGGCATGCATACACACCAGCATTGTGAGTTACCGAGGGTTGAGCAGTATATTCATGGATGCAGATTAAAACATTGGGTCACTAGGTTAGAAGATAGAATTATACTGCATTTTTGTTAGGTTAAAGAAACAAAAACAGTTCATGTCAGTAACTACCAATAATTCTAGGATAACATAATAGAGTACACCTCACTGAAAGTTAGCATAGGGAAAGAAGGAAATTAAAAATAAAAACAGCTCCTGATACCATCTCTATATACCACCAAAAAAAGTGATGCAGTGAAATAGTTTTAAAAATAACATTACAATCTCTAGAATCAAAATACTACTGGATATAAATACCGAAACCTCCTTTGTAAAAAGGGTTATATGTATCCTTTTCATTATGTGGATCAAGTTCTTCCACAACTCCTGAATCTCCAACCAAATAATATTTCTAGCCCTAAGATTTTGTCAATCATTACAAAGCAAAAGCATACGTTTTTACACTCCTCACTTCGTTAGAAACAAATTCAAGAATGTATTCAAGACAATATTAAGATACCTTTAGCCGGATCCACAGCCACTGGCATAGTAGGCCGGGGAGGCCGGACTGGCGTTGTTCCAAAAGCCTGTGCATACGTATCATCGAACTCCTCAAACATTGCCCTCCTGCAAGCCAAAACTGTGGCCTTGTTCTTTTGGAATTCAATTGTAGGATGATGATTGGTCTTAGGCCTCAGAGCCAATTGCTCAACAAAAGAAAGCATCTCTTTCGGCCTAAAATTCTCCCTTGACTTCAGTATCTGACTCAGAGAATAAACCCCAGGTTCATAATCACCAACATCAACAGCATAGTAACCCTCAACTTTCGATGGCCAAAAATTGAACTCATTTCTACAGCGACAGGCTAGAGCCAAGCTCTGTCTTCTAGAGAACTCACCCACAGCTTCCTCCACAGCTTTCTGAAAACCACGAGAAGTAGTTTGCCGTGATTTCTCGAGAAAGTTGTCCGCAAAGGGAATTAACTCCGCCAACTCAAACCAGCCATAGCTACCGTCCCCAAAGAATGCCACCAAGACATGGCCGTTTCGCTTGGCTTTCCAAACCGAAGAAGACGCAAAAGACTCGTTGTAAATGTATCCTGGCCACCATGGATGTGATTTTACTTTACCCCACACCATATCTCCTATCTCATACCCGTAGCCGACTGCTTCCCCAACTCCTTTAGATGCGAACTGATCGAATTCCGATAGCATTGAATCGTAATCCTCCGCCCCCAGTTTCACTTTCTTCTTCTCCGTCTTTCCAACCCTCAGATCGATCTTCTTCTCACCGTTATCACTGTGGCTTGGCGCGGAAGAACTCGGCTGCTTCTCCGGCGCTCCAATTTCACTCCCAGCACTGAATCTAGTTTCCTCGTTTTCTAGATTCACAACCGATGACACATTCTCCTCGCCAGAAGCAGATCGATCCACAACCGCAACTGAATCGAACTCCAAACGCGCTCCGGAATCATCCCCGCCACCACTCAGCGAAGCTTCGGTAGGAAGTTGGCGAGCCAAATCGTCGTTCCCGTCCAACGGGAACGACGAACCGCCATCGCAGCTATTGCTCATCAGTGAGTGTTAAAACCAATAATCAAATCGATATTCTTCAACGATAATTCCAAGGAACAAGAAAATTAATGAAAATAAGAGGGATGGAGAGATTGAAGTCAGTGATAGAAATCGGAAAAAAGAAAACCCTAGAACGATAGATAGATAGATAGAAAGGCAGGAAGAAGGAAGGGTGCGGGGAGGCGTTCCTCGTCTCGTCTCGTCTCGACTCGACGAACCAGGCGGCTATCAATCAGCCCCATTTTATTATTGTGACTGAATGTCTCGTGATTGCCTGAATGACTTTTTTGCCCTCCTACTTATATTTATATATATGTTTCTCAAAATATACATATTAATAAATTTATTTGTCTCTTTGAAATATTATACTATAAATTATTAATTTAAATTATTTTGAAGTATACATAAAAAAAATATAGGATATGTTCATTCATATAACTATTACTTACGTATGGTTTATTCTTCATCATTTTTTTTCACACAAATTTTAACATATATAATATATTATATTTTATAATTTTCTATAGCTCACGTAGATACAATTCTCAATTAATATTATTGAAGGGTCATTCATAGATTTTAGTTGGGCTTTGGCTTTTATTCCGAGGCCCTAACTCAAGTGGATTGGACCAAACTCGATTTAGCCCGGATTTAGATAAAAACAATATAGTCTTCTGAGTATGACTCAGTAAATAAGTTAGCTCATCTTACACATAAATTGAAGTTGATGCCAAATATAATTTTATATAAAATAAAATACTAATGTAGAAATTGGTTTGATAACATCTTCAAGTTCTTAAAGAACAATTCCAATGAGGCCAAAATTGTCATTTTTTAAGCTTTAGTTCAACTTCTCAATCAATATTTTGCATGGGTTCTCCTCGGCATCTACTTCGGTCACCATGAAGTTCTTTCCGGCATCTTATCTAGACAAATCACAGATCAAATTAACACACATTACCGAAACACAAGATAAAATCAAGATGAGAGAAGAAGGGCTTCTTTCATCTTTCGGGAGCTAAAAAATTGTATAGAATTATAGGTGAACGGTGAAAGAATTTTAAACAGAACGATACTTTGTGCAGAAAGATAAAAACTAAAAATGTACATACTCTGCATGAGACATCAGACGAGAATTTTCCGGCAAACTTCCAAACAATCCTGATGAGTTTTTAGAGAAGAAAAAATAAAAAAGGTGGTGATTTTTTTTTCACCCTATTCATAGATTTTAAAAAATAAGTAATTGTATCATTTTAACTTTCATCTATCTACTTATAGAGAAAGGAGCTTGGACATGTCACTAGTTTGACATAGTTTGACATTTTTTATTTTATTTTATTTTTTATAACGTGGGAATTCGTAGTCAGTACCCAAAAGTACTAAACAATTTTACAAGTGCTATTATGTTGATCTAACATGAAACCCATAAGTAAAGCTCAATATCTACACAATATTTATTATTTAAATTTTTTAAAAAATTAAGTTTGGTTTTGATAAAAAGTTTTGATTATTATTATTATTATTATTTCGGCATGTATATTAACATGTAGAATTTTGATTAAAACTAATCTAAAAAATGTAACACCAGTCTTTTTTTTGTCCTCAAGTCACACGATAATAACATATCATGTACCTTACATCGATAGGTGTCCTCACATTTTTTTTGTTCTCTAATTATTCATTTCACAATTCCAATATTTTTGTTTGTTCGGGGAATTGAATTTTAAATATACTATTCATCCAATTTTTTTTTAAAAAAAATATCAAATCAAACACTTATTTTTTAGTTTTATATTAAATTAAAAATTAATTTTATATTTGAAACATTATATTAACATCTATTTATATCACATTCAAATTTTTTTTATTTAAATCCCAACTCAAAGTCCAATACCAAACAAACACACCGTCGAAGACAGACATCTCAGGTGTGGTAGCTCCAGGACCTGCAGAGTTCATGTCATTTCTTTATGCTCCAATTCCAATCCATCACAACTTCGCAACCAACCAACCTTACAAAATCCAAAATCCATCAACCTAAAATGATGTGCCCATGCCCCCAACAACTCTTCACAAATTCCAACTCCCACCGGATCTACTGCACCACGCAATCCTCCCACGACGGCGGCAATAATCACTTCCGGACGCCTGCCGACCAATTCAGGCGGCTGCAATCAGTATTCCGCCGCCGCCTCCTAACCGGAATCGCCGCCGCTTCCGCATTGGCCATCGGCGCCAATTTCGGCGGCGTCACGAGCTTTGTCCTCGGCTTCTCGCCGGAGGCCGCCCGGAGTCTCAAGCTCGACGCAGTCTACCCGGTTGCCGGCTACAGCCGATACATTGACGCTAACCAAGGATTCGGTGAGTAAGCGTGCGTTGCTGCTCGCAACTGATTGATTCTCAAATCGAATTCAATTTCCATGGCGAATTAGGGTTTACGAGCTGATTGAATTGATTGAACAACAGAATTCGTGTACCCGGAGACTTGGTTGGGGGACCAAACGCTGTTGTACAGAGCGGCGGGGAGGGCGGAGAGGTCGCTGGATCCTCCACCTCTTTCCGACGGCGGACGGCGGAGGAAGGCCGTCAATGAACCGGCGGTGGCGTTTGGGCCGCCGGGATCCACCGGAGAGTTGAACGTCAGTGTAATAGTGTCGCCGGTTCCCATCGATTTCTCGTGAGTAGCGATGAACGAATATTAATAATAGTTAATTAATTAAGTAATTAATTAATCAAAATAGTGGACAGGATTGAGGCGTTTGGTGGGGCCGAGGAGGTGGGAGCGAATGTGGTCCGCACGATCGCTGGAAAACGGACGGACGTGATGGGAAGATTGATAGGGTCGAGTATGCGGGTGGATGCGAAGGCGAGGTATTACGAGATAGAGTTTGGAGTCGAGGGCCGGGACTTCCTGAGGCATAACGTGGCGGTGTGCTGCGCCAGACAAGGAAGATTGTTCACATTGAATGTACAGGCGCCAGAGTCAGCTTGGCCACAATATCAGACACAATTGTACACAATTGCTCACTCTTTTACTTTACTCTAATTCTGATTACTAATCAATACAGTGGCTATATAAAATTTTGAAGTAATAATTTTCCAGGATATATGTACATATAACTAACAGCTAAAAAATCACAACACAAGACATATATATATATATATACTCAATCTGTCTCATAAGCACGAGAATTAAAAGAATAATAATATTTAATTGTAAGTGAATATAAAGTAGAAAGTAAAAGACTAAAATACTCTTATTTTTTAAATGATTTTAGAAAATACGTTAGAATAATAGTTATGGGTAGTTTGGAAAAGTAGAAATAATTTCGGAACCACGATTACTAAATAAAGAAATAAGACAATTGTTTTGGGACAAGACGAAAATGAAAAAATAAGATTAATTCTATTGGGGGAGAGAGTATTTCACTATATCTATAGTAAAATGTAATTACTATTTTCTTCACAAAAAAAATTCGAATACAAAACAATCTAATGCAGCAAAAGCATCCCAAAACATAAGTAAACACTTACCTTTCTCACATTGTCCGGCAAATCGTATTGGTTCCAAATAACGCTATCAAACAACACACTCAATTGTGAATCTACAGAGCGCAGTTGCGGATGCATGAATGTTCATCTCCGGTATTGGGTTCTTGCAGGGAGATGGATATATAATTTAATAGATGTTGAAAATATGTATATATGTGTGTGTGTATGTGTGTTTATGGTAATTATATATGAAAGAAAGATTGGGATCAAGCATCACTGCCCTTTTCACTAGGTGGTGTTCCGGCGAGCCAACCCCATACACCGCCTGAACCCTGCCTATGTTTTGCTCGTACTGCAGCTTGTTCAGAGGCAGCCTTCTGTCGCTGGAGAATTTCGAGCTCCTTTTTTAAGGTCTCCATTGTCTGTAGCTTCTGTCTCAGCTCGGCTACCTCCACCTGTTAGATCAAGAAATATGATTTTAGCATATACAGAAAAATTGAGTCCAGGGGAATACGTGCTACTTTATATTTTCAGAGATTCAGTAAGAATAATATGAGGATTTTGAGTGTTATGCATATATAAGCCTTTTTGATCTGTTATGTTCCGTAGATAAATGATTGGATATATGGGTAGATCAAGCATCGAAACTAATCAAATTATACTTTGCAGTCCAAATTTGTACTTGAGAATTATAATATGGTTATTTCCAGCTGCAAGAAACCTTTGACAATGTTAATGATGGAAATTAAGAATATTTTTCCTATACCAAGATCAAGCAATCAATAATTATCCTTGTGAAATCTGTAAAATCTGATATGAACATGGTACAAACCTCAAGTTTGAAACATCTGGATTGTTCGGTGGCAAGTTGGCTTCGTATAGACTGGAGTTCCTGCAGAACCATAAATTTTAATAAAATCAATCTAATCACTTGTTAATCATGAATGTGCTCAACCAATTTAGCTCGTTTGGAAAATCCACTCCAGTTGCAACAAAATAATAAATTGAAATTGGAATGGTTAAAAAACTCTGTTGAATTACTGTTCTACCTTGCCACATCAAATTTCTGGTAAAAGTACAACACATTGTTTCATTAATTTCGTCGATAGAAATTCCTGAGAAGATACAATATTCCAGAACCACCTTTCGAAATTGCCTCCTCAATGTGTCATAGAGAGCTTGATTCGTGAAAAAAGCCTAAAGAAACTTAATGAGGATTGAGGTAGAAAATTGGAATGTAAACATTCTCTTTTCTGCTGTCATAAACTCCCAAACTAGCCAGTTTCTATACTCGTACATTTTCAAATATGTAATAAGTGTGATATATTATCTCAGAATTGTTTACTGCATGCAACTATGCTTCTCCATATAAAAATAACATAAAGAATGTAAGAATAATCGTTGTCCAAATTTGTCCAGCCATAGCTCAAAAGTATATGCAAATTAATGCCAATCCGATTGTTTTAATATAAGCATTCACAGATATATCTCATTGAATAAGTGGTCACATTTAACAATCTGAAGCAGATGAATTGGGATCCATTCAGAATGCATGTGGCTAAATCTAAGAAGAATCTTGAAACAATCAAATTAATCTCTTGTTTAATCTAACATATTATAGATATACTGGAGTCACCTTGTACAGGTCCGAGTTGAGAGATTCCGCATCTTTGAGCTGTAGATTTAGTTGTTGCGACTGCATCTCCTCCTTAGCAAAAGAAGATTCTAGTTCTTCTTTTTCAGACTTAAGTGCCGCTAAAAGATGTTCATATGTCTCTTCTACCTGGGGAATCTGTGCAATATAGATGTTGCAAGTTCTTCATGGAATTTTAATCTCTTAAGTTTATACCAAATAGTGTAACACATTAAACTTCTATGGTAAATGAGCAAGTGGAATGAAATAGAACACATACCAATCCATATGGTTAGGATCTAAACAAATTTCAGACTTCTGTAACAATATATAATTTAAGAAATAAAGGCTGCACAAATGACCCAAATAATGCCTAAAGAACTGATAGAAGCAAAGAGCACATTGAAAACAATGGTTTGATTGGGATAAAGTGAAGAAAAAAATTTCAACTATTATCTTTTCTGGCATACTTTCCAAAATCTTCTTCGGTCATAAGGACACAGAAGATATATGTCAGACAAGAAGTTTCAAACAACAAATGGTACTGACGACACACCATACTACATTCTACTCACAAAGTTGCTTAATTTTGAAGTGTGATCAATCATTTTATGAAACACGGTATTCAGGTTCAGTTCTCAGGTGACGTCACGCACTGAAAAGAAAAAATCATTCAAGACAGTTTAAAAACATTGATTGATTGATATTGTTACCAATAAGAAAAGGACCAAAAAAATGGAAACCAGTGAACTTTAAGATTGCATATTACTCAATTTGTTTTTTCTTAAAATCTAGCATGGTGTAGCTTACATAATAAATAACCAGTAATATCCAAGTGAATAACACAAAGCTGTCAATGCTGTGAATAATTGTAGTGCTGGAAAATGTCCAAGAAACCTTACCTTAGGTTGAGCATCAGTACTGTCCACACCAATTTCCCTTATTTTTTTTCCTTGACCTGCCTCATAATTTGACTCCAGGTCTTTTGTAGCTTTCGTAACATTTTGAACAGCTGATGCACTATCAGGCACTGGTATTTCCATCTTTGATTGTAATGTTGACTTATGACTTGGCTTAAGCACACATACCTAATGATAATCATCAAAGCCACAGAGGAGTTAATGGAAGAAACCCTTAATAAAGGTTAAAGGACAAAAGTCAAAGAAAAGGTTATCAAGACCTCATTGCTGTATTTTCCATTATATCCCCCATAAGACACCAAGATATCATCACCATCACAAGATCTCACAACCAAACTTAAACCCTGAAACAGGACAAAACCGGATTACAGATCATTGTCAAATAAAAATAAAAGTTATTTTAATGAAAGAAGATGGATTTCTTCAGTGGCAATTTTAAAGAAACTGAAGCAATAAACAAAAGTTGAAGTGGTTTATTTGCAACTTCCCACATGAACTAAGTGATACTAAACGGGAGCTCCTCCACACGTTACCATTATCTGTTTTGAATCCCTTGACTCTCATTATACAGAGAAACTCATAGCATAAAACTGTCTGGTTAAGTGTATCAGTTGGCCTTCCAGCCATTGAATCCATAGAATTGCGATGAAGACAAAACTCACTGAAAGTGCTTTTAGGGCTCCATTGTTTAAATTGTGAGTTTTCATAACAAAAACTGTGAAGGACACAAAGATAGCCAAATCGAACTATTTATCTTATTTTGACGATTAAAATGGGGCATAAATGAAATATTTATCAGTTTCATCAAAAAACTTGTCCATGAGGTAAACTACCTCACTAGCAACAGGTACGTGACCTTGGACAGTAGTGACCACTGACCAGACCAATGTGGACATGTTCAGGACAACAGTCTCAGAGATTCCTGCAGGTGCAACAGGGATACAGGGCTATTAGAATAATCTTTAATGAATATCTCAAAAGAGCAAAGGAAAGAAAAAGCAAAAAATATAATAAAAAGACTTAAAACTCTTTAATTATATTTCATCCTATAATGCAAGTTAAATTCCTTTACAGTGATTCCTTTCCTTTTTTTTTTTTTTTGAAAAATCTTTATTACTTACGAAATAGCACAGTTACAGGTAAAAGATGCATAGGATCTAGAGATTTAGATAAGGGACAGAATTTTTGGCCTAGATAATTTATCTACCTATTTTGATGAAATCAAATAAAGGAAAATGATGTTCGATTGCCATCTGAGCACCTCCTACATTTCAGAGAAGTCTACAGTATGATGAAGTTAGAAGAATTATAGTGTTGATCTACTTGGTTCAAAAACTTAATGTCTTCATGAAAACCCCAGGCTTCAGTGACACCCCCCTTAGAAAAGACATACTTAAGGCACAGACCAACACTAGATGGCAATCAGATGAATGCAATGTTCCATCCTAAACAGAAATATAGAATGACAAAAAATAAAATAAAATGAAATGATCAAGCCTATACCACTTTTGTTGTTCCCTCCACCAACAATGAACCAATTTTCGCCAATGGTCACACCTGCATGGCCAGCACGGGGGCTTGGTATTGCACCCTGTTGCGTTGGTCTAGACCATTCCGTCTATAGAGCCATGTTTAAATCGTTATTTAAAAAAATTATAAAATTGCGAGTAGGAGGTCATTGTATTAGAACTGCAAACAACAAAAATACAAAATAAAATATTTAATCTTACAGTTTGAAGATCGAGAACATGAAGATCATTGAAGCAAGTTGAATGTGAAGCCCCACCAAGGATAAGAAGGTAGCGATCTGCATGCACTGCAGCAGCATGATCAGACCTCGGAGAAGGTGGCACACCCCTACAAAATCGGGATCGGTTAGAAGAAAAATAACTGCACCCAGCACCATCACCAGTACATAATATATTACAGGCTAAAAGATTTTATTGAGTAACTGAAGATTTTAGCACAAAATGTTAATGTACAACAGCTTATGAGGTCTGTGTGTGCAAATATGAATATTATATAAAACAAAAGATGTCATTTCTCCAACACCTAATTTGTGACTAGAAGTACATAAATTTGCATCAAAATGGCATATGACTATAAGCTAAATCCAGCTTGATCAAATGAGAATTGATCAAGAAGCTAAACTATGAACAGTAGAGTCTTTCAGTGGCATGTTTCGGTCCTCTTCCCCATTACTTAGAAAAAGTGAGCCACCGGTTCAGGTACAAGATACTATCATTACTGCCTGGACAATTAGACATCCAACCCGTAATCGCAACGAACCAATTGCAAGAGCGGAGCTCTACCAACTGAGCTATATCCCCCCGAGCCAAGTGGAGCACGTGTCTCTCATTAAGCACAAACATAATAATCATATAACCCGAATAAAAGAAAACATCCATTAGCTCAATTACTTTTCACCAACTAGTGCCAAATAAAAATGTTCTAGCTCTCTGAGTCCTGATAGTTCCAGTGAAATATTAGGCTTCCCCAAAAGTGTAGCAAAATATTCCTAATTCCCAAGATTCCACAAAAAATAAAATAAAATAAATCATACATTGTGCCCATTTCATCCCAAGTCATGCTTTCTAAGTCCAGAATGTGCAAGTCATTCAAGAGGGATCTGTTCAAATCCTGTCCACCGAATATAACTAGCGTTGTTCCTACAAGGGTAACTGATTGCCCACCTCGAGAGATCTACAAAGCACAGCCACAAGAAACACTAATAATTAATATGCAGTAACATGAAATTTGGGCACTACACATAACAGAGGGAAAATTGAAAGAGAAACCATGGATTCAGTAACTAAAATAAAATAATTGTTTTTGTATAGACAAACTCTACCGGAGGCTTTCCATAAGTCTTCAAGGTTGACCATGTACCAGTTTGTAGATCAAACACCTTTACTGGCATCATGTGTTAAATCAGCATTAAGAGGCAAGGAATAAACTCATGTCAACACAATCATTTTCAGTAAGAACAAAAACACCACAGGTTTAGCATGCTGACAGCTAGATGGTGACAACAAAGTATGAATTGAAGGCCTCAAACAACTAGCAAAGATAGCTTATACCAGAAACCATGTACGAGAAAAGCTATCGTATTGGATGTTACGGAAACTCTCAATTGCTTTGAAGTCCACAACATAATCTTGAAAGAGGTACAACCATGAATGCCTCATTTTATATTTTATTTTTGATATAACTGATGAAAACAAAGCTCGGATTTTAACACCTTTATATAATATCATGAACTCTTCTAATTAAATTTTGCGAACAACCTCAAAATATTGTTGAACACATGGAAAGAGAAATTACTACAAGGTTGCTTTTAGCATGCAGAGTAATAACCTTGCAAGGTCTCAGAAGGATCCTTGGTATGTCCAGCTACTGAAAGAAGCTTATTCCCTTCCCATGGTATCTACATAGACAACACAATATGTCCTATCATGGGATTAATTAAAGGAACACTGTAAGAGAATATATGACTTGATTATTGAATCAAGGTATCAAAATTTTGTTTGCCTAGAGAACTTTCATCAAACAGGCAGACTAGTAGTATCCAAACTAACCAATGTATGGCCAGCACAAGGAGTTGTTGTACCAGCAGTTCCTGCTTGAACATCTACTTTGGACCAACTCCAGCTTCTCATATCCAGAACCTATTTTTGGTCCAAAGAAAATCATGAAAATCGAACCTTCAGCAACCTCAGATACATATCAGAAACTAAAAGAGCAGAAATTTCATCCACTGAAGCGGCACAAGCTAATAAGAAAGAAATCCAAAGAAAATAGAAGCAAGAACACAAGACTTTGCATATAACTTATAAACCATTGAAGAAACTTCCAGATAAAATTTATATCTTCATGCATATAAGATCTGCTAATATTGAGGCTTATTTTGCAGTTCCAGAATAAAATCTAAGAGATATACAGACACTAATACTGTTACGTTCTATACCTGGAGATCATTTAGGTAACGACCGTTGTGGTTTCCACCAAATACGTACATCTTATCATCAATAACTGCTGCTCCGTGCTACATGTACAATCAAGGTATATGGACTTAAAAGAAAGAGCCAGATATTTTAATAGAAGTTATGCAAAATAAATAGTTAATACCTCATATCGAGCTCTTGGTCGCGTGCCAGATAGTGGAAGCACTACCCACTGGTCATACAAACTAACTACTTCACGGCTTTCAGATACAACATCTTTATCTTGAGTTGCTGAAATTTTACCATTTTCAGTAGGAATTGTCTGCGCCTCTCTGACAATTTTAGCATTCTCAGAGAGAGGCAAAACTTCTGGATTATGCTGAGCCAACAAAAAGAAGAATAAATTTTCAAGGAAGAACAAAGCCATATTGCCGATCACTCCACATGAATGGAAAAGGTAAAAAAGAAGGATGCAGACGATGTGATTCGAGATATATAGGAAAGGAATACAAGCATCTACAAATATTTAAAACTATATGAAATTTTAACAGCAGCTTATAACAATGGCAACAATATAACCACAGTTTTTTTTAGCATTGGATACAACTTAAAAAGCTCCCCGGGCAAGGGCTCAACAGCCACTAATGCACTATACAGATGTGCCTTATAGAACATGCTTATTTATATTAAAACTAATTGACAGAACAAAAGGAAAGTCCAAGATCCAAGACATTTTTCTTCATCTTCATTCCTTCATTCACAGGGAATATCAATACTTGCTAAATTAATTATCTTTACTTCTTCTTCTCTTTTTTCTCCTCTACTTTCCTTTATTTACCCAAGTTTCATGATTTAGTATCTTTCTACTGATGCCTGTTCTAATTTTTTAGCTATAGCCACTTTGCATCATCCTCTTACAATTTCAATTGCTTGTAATTTTTCCTATTGCTAGTATAATGTTACAAATTGATGCATTAAGTAATGATCTTACAGGACTATTATATTTTTATTTTTTCTTATTTTACCATAATCTAGATACAAAATGCTTTAGGTTGTCTATTTTTACTTTCTTGGACATGTCTCTAATAAACCTATTTCATTTATGCATGTAGAATGCCCAGTGTCCCATTAATAAAGATGTATCTATTAAAGTTACAAACCATAAGCCTCGGACCTAATCATACAAAAGCTTTTTAAGAAATACCAGCATGCAGCCAAATTAATCAACAATTAAATACATGAAATCGAATCCAGAAGCACCATTGATGCATTGAAAATCTAGAACATGATTACTCACTAAAATATGACATTCCACATGATCTTTCCCTTGTAGATGTGGAAAATAACAGGCTAGAGTCCTCCAGTGACCATATATGGTGCATTACAACAATGCAGTCATAAAGCAATATATACATCCCAGCTAAACATGGAGGAATAGATTATCAAATGAAAGAAAAAAACCTGAACCATCACATTTTTATCTCCCTTCTATAGATATTGGACTACTAAAGCAGTTCTATATTAATGTGATATTTTTCAATGCACAGTTTTCATTAACAAAAATTAAATTCAAAAGGTATGATACTGATAAAGAGAAGGAAATCATCACAAGAAGAATTCAAATATCCTGTAAGACTCACACTTCTATAAGATAAGTGTGTATTATGGGGCTTGAGGCATTTCTGCTAATTCTATTAAGATTATTTTACATAGCATAACACATACTAGTTGTAGATGATCCTTGGGCATAGATTACTAGTGGGGAAAGGAGGTATCAAACATTCACTTTAATAAAACTCACACTGAGTTCTCCATTACCAACCAGCTCCGAAACAAAGTCTGATGCCCTTGAATACCATCCTGGAGCTTCTTCCTGTTAAGAACAAGCTAAACATTAATAATTAGTAAGTCGTAGAATATTAAGTATTACAACTTTCCAATGACTGTTCTTACTTCTAATATTTTGACAAAAAGACGCATTGCCTCAGTTGAAGCCATGTTTCCAAGCCCATTCCAACTTCAAGAGAAAGAAAAGAACAATAACTAGTAAAACATCTTGAAGCATGATATCCATGTATGCTTGATATAACATAAAATACATGCTAGAACAAAACATGTTTTGCAAATCATTATCAATAGTATTCCCTGTTAGAACAAAATCACCATGCAAGTTATTCTTGATATAAAAAAAATATATTTTTATATATAACTTCTAGGTAGATAGATTTACTTGTAAATGTTATGGTTTGCATTCAGCTAATTTGCAATAAGTTAAATCCTTGGGAACTATGTACTATGATATTCCAAGTAAAGCACAATCAGAAAATAATGATCATGCAGCAAGTCTTGTCCAAAAAAATCTTTAACAATAATGCTCCATGCTTTAACAAAAATGTTAATAATTTATCTTTTAAAAATAATAATAATAGTTTGTCTCACAGTTGGAGAATGGTAGTATGCTACATGCACACTTTTGGGACTTGAATCTTCTAATTTCTTTCTTGGTGAGAAATCTTGAAAACATCTTACATGGTCTAATAGTCAAAACAAACCAATATTTTGGTATACTTGCCCAACAGGGATTGGACCCGTCATTTGAGAACATCACATGCATTTTCTTTTTATCCTCTCCAAGCATATTGGCATCGAGGACTCAAATACAACAAAAATATGGCCATTGTTCACAATTCTTCAGAACCAACATGGTTCCTTTCCAAAAAACATTGTGGAAAGCGATTCAACCAATGCTCAGTTGTATTATGCATCTCTGCCTCCATGGAAGTTGAACTCAGAAATTAACACGCCTACCCTTTCCAACTAAAATCGCTAATAGGGTTGTGGACAACTGTTCTAAGCACAATGCTAGGGAAAATATTGAATTATCTATTTAGCTGTAGCTCTAACTTTCTATCAAACTTTATCTAAATATTTATTTTACTCTAAAAAATAATAATAAGGGTAAACAGTACTATTGGAATACGTGCTATTCCATTCATTATTTGTCTTCAAAATACCACTCCAAAAGCACACAACTTCATCCTCAATCTCCATTCAGACCAAATTGCACGGTTGTACACATAAAAGCATTCTTCAGAAATCTCCAGACATTTACCTTATGAATAGAAAGATCTTACAAAACTATCATAAAATGAAACTCCCGGGCACTATTGTTGTAAGTATCAGATCGTTTTTTGGACTGTATCCACAATTGTAAGCCCATTTCACAATGGTATTATTGTATTAAATATATCCTTTAGGACCAGGACTACCAACTCTTCTCTGTTTTCAGTTATTGAGGAGTGTCTCTAGTGGTACTTCTGCTTTAGCATTATAATCAACACGACTCATCCAATTTAGAAATAATATAGTAGCACTAGCTTCTAAGTTCTAGCAAATTTAAGTGTTCCTCCATCACCAGTATTACTCTACATTTAATTGCACCAGCCTGGGAAACCAAGACTGCTTCAAGTTAGATGCGTAACAACCAGCAATTATTTGCCATTTCAGCAATAGATATTTTCAAACTAATCCTTCATAATTAAATTAGTTAATAATGTTGTGGAGTTGAAGCAGACCTTGTCCATTTACTTTGCTCCACAGGATTCCAAGCTTTAGGCTTAGAAATGTTGCATGGCCCTACAGTAGCCTGAGACAACCAACCAATAAATAATATTATTAACAAAGGAATAACAGATCAAGTGCATTATTATAGATATGTATTTAGTATCGAACTGTTACTAACCCTCTTATAAAAATATATTAGGTCTCTAAAAACTTAAGGGCATCCTAACTTTCAAAGAAATACTAGGACAAAATAAATAAATTCAAATGGAATCAACATTCAACATCTAAATTGGTTAAAATTTTAAGATACAAAAAGAAACTCTTAAAATAAAATAAAAGTATGAGAACAATATACACACATATATAACTGGTTTGAATAAAACCATTTTCCAATGCTCAGTAAGATAAACCCACATCTCAGAGAAATATGTATTGGCAATTGGTTTTGAAGAAAAAATAAATTTCAAATTGAAGATTTATGCATTAAATGATGCCACTCCATTACAGTTAATCATCATCAGAAGACCAACAAAACATATTTTAGGGAAAAAAAAAAAAAAGCACACACACATAATGGAATCAGCAAAGTGCAGGTTGCTAATGCTTCTACTCAGCCCAAAAGAGAATGCAACCCTGGATGATTACAATGTCAAGATAGCATCAACCTTCTGAATTATTCATGAGTTATATGCAATGAAAAATTAACTTGAAATCCAAGATATAGACTGTGGTAGATAGTAAAATGGGAAGAGATCCACCCACGGAACAAATGAACAAACCCAACATTTTGAAGAAGCTGAGCTACAGCTCACACCACGCTAAAATTTAAGTCAAATCATATCAACTTCAATTTGCATCAGAAGAAAAAAATAAAAGAGGCAAAACTGACAAAATAATCATAATGTAACAGCAATAATTAAATCTCGATAGCTCCAAATCCACGTCCATGTTAACTACAACTCTCACGTATCCTAACTTGGCAATTGCAACTATGAAATGAGAAGCCTAACCTAGAGACTTAACGATGAAACAGCACGCACCGTGAAACAAAAACATCTTACCAAATCACAAAACTCATCAGAACTACGCACCCCGAAAACAAGACAGAGCCCCAAATTCAAGCTCGACATGACTGAATCGAGCGAGATTGAACACACTAACCAAATAACAACTCGAGCATTCAGAAACAAAGCACAAAATGCGACAAAAGTAGAAAGGCTGGATTGGAAGCAGCAAATAAACCTGCTGATAGAGAGCGTAGAGAAGTAACGCTGCGTCATTCGAGAACTTAGAAGCAACGCCTTTCGCGGCGGATTCGGGAGATTCCCCGAAGCCAGCGAAGCTTGCGGCCGCATAGAAGCGATCAGGATAAGCGAGAGCAGAACCCGAGGTCGCCGCCGCTGCCGACATTTAAGAGATCTCCGATCAGAATTCGTTGGGATGGGGATTGACAAGGACTGAAGTGCAGGCAGAGGCAGACAGGGATTTGGATTGGGAACGAAAGATGCTACTGTTGATTAACGAACAGCAAATAAAAAGTGGAAAATATAAAATTTTGTTTCATAGTTAGACACTAGACATAGGGTGGTTTTCAATCCATATTGAAACTGAACAATATAAATGTACTAATTATTAAAAATTGAAAATAGATTAATATTAAATATATATATATATATAATATTTTTGTAAATTTGTATGATTTTCAATTTTGTTAATCTTTGTATCAAATTTAAGTTGAATATCTCTAAATGTTAAATTTTTAATTATTATTGCATACCAATAGCACCATTATTTTTAGATATAAACTACTTCTAAAAGGATTAATAACGCTTTGCTAGTAACGCTTTGCTCAAACTAATAAATAGATTCATTAGCAACATTTTAACTTATGTATTATTTATTTATTTTTATGAGGAACAGGCAGAGAGTCTAATACTCTACAAATTAAGTCCAATAGGTAAATCACATTAGGAATTGGTATTATTAAATACACATCTTTTTGCAATAAGTGAAAGAAATGAATATTTTTATTCATTTTCCCCCTTCCAAGAGAAAATAAAAAAAGTTAAATAAATCATTTTTTTTTTAATTTAACTAGATAAATACTTTTTCACTTACTTCAATTACTTAGCTTGATTTTGTGCATCCTCAATTGAACAATTAGTTACAAAAGATATCACCGAATTTACTAGTTAAATTTTAATCATCACAATTATTCATATTGTTCTTCTCAATTTGCAAGATATTATTTCACTTTTATATTCCAATTAAAGCTTATTAAATTTGTTTTAACCTTATCAATAAATTATTGAACTCCACTACCAATGTTTCTTAATTTTCTTGATGCTAACTTTAATTATTTAAAACCTATTTTTGGAATCCAAAATATTAACTATTAAAAAATATATTTTGGATTTGAACAATAAAGTTTGAAACTATAAATTTTTAAATGATAAACAAAGAGGAAAACAAAACAAAAAAAAAAAAGACTGAAAAGGATAATTGTAAAGATGACATGCTCTATATCTGTGAGGGTGCTTATATGACTATCAAATCAAATAGTTCAAAACCGTTTTTATGTCTGTTATCTTTGAAAACTGTTTCAACATTTGTAATCATGAAAATTGTTTCCACATCGGTAATCGTAAAATATCGTTTCTACATCGGTTATCTTTGAATCGTCCGAACTCGCTTCCTCGTCGATTACCGATCTGAATCGTCTGAACTCGCTTCCTTGTTGATTTCTGATTTGAACTGTATGAACTCGCTTCTTTGTCGGTTATCAATCTGTACTATCCGAAAATCATTTCTATGTCGGTAACCTTTGTGACCAACCGACCAGCCGTTCCACAAAAACTGTTTCTAAGTTGGTAATCTTTGTAGCCGGCCCAAAGTCCAAACTCAAATGAAAACTGTCAGTAGGGGTAACTGTCCGATCATTCTGGCCCCAACAACCATCTGACCGAATGACTATGGCCCTCCACTGGATCGCCCTTGGGCCATCTATTCATCCAGGCTTAAACTCTAATCCTAATCTCAATTTTTTGTGCTTAACAATAATATTATTCCAATCACCATAATACTTGTAAATTTCAATTTAATTGAGCTAGCTACCTTTTGAAGACAATTGTGAAAAATCATTGTTTTTCTTATCAATCTCAAATTGTAATACAATTGTTTGATAAATCAATCATGATGTAAGAGTCTTTGATAAATTTAAGTCTAAAGTAATATCATACAACTTTTGCAAAAAATAAACAAAGGCTTTTGCATTATCTCAATTTTTATTAATTAAAAACCCTATCATTTATTTACTCTTAGGGTGTGTTTGTTTGGGGTTTGGATTTTGGATTGAGATTTAAATAGTAAAAATTTTAAATTTGAATAGTTGTATGATATGATATAAATAGGTATCGATGTGATATTTTGAATGTAAAATTGATTTTTAATATTATATAAAAAATAAAAAATAAATATTTAATTTGATATTTTTGGAGAAAAAAAATTGAATGAATAATTGGATTTGAATCCAATCCTCCAAACAAACACACCCTAATTGTTTTTTTCATAAAAACAATTCACAAAAGAGTATTACTCTTCACCTATTATTCAAATACCATTTTATCTATATAGTAAAGCAACATAAAGTATTTTTATAAATAGAATTTCACCTAGTTTCTTAACATATTAGAAAATTTTGCTACAACTACAAACTTTCTAAATCTATTCACCCGGTAAGAGAATAAATGGATAAAAATAACTATATTTCTTATATTTTAATAGAATCATTTAATTTTTTTAAATCATCTTTAACAATTAAATTAAAGAAATGTCATACAATATTATTTGAACAAGAATTATAAAAAACAATTAAAAATAATTTATCTATTCTTCATCTCAGACAAATCTCAACAACAACAATTTTCTTCTGCATAATTAGAGTAAACATCTTTTTCTTTTTCTTAATAATATACAAAAATTAATTTATATTAAAAAATATTACATAATACATATTTATATCATATTATACAATTATTTAAATTTAAAATTTTTATTATTCAAGTTCAAACTCCCGAATAAACACACCTAAAATAACTTTTGGAATTGTTGAAAAAAAAATTAAAATTTTTGTAAAAGAACTACAACTAACTGAATATCTAAAATGCCAAATAGCAAAAAAAAATGTTAGTATAATTTGTAAATGATTTGTAAAAAAAAAAAATGTAATTACAAAAAATGAATGACCTATAAATTGTTTATTTACTATTTTATTATAAAATATAATAATTAAAAAATCTTATTATTTTATTTGTATAAAATTTATATAATTAAGTACGTATTTGTAATAAAATATTAATTTTTGATGAAAATAATATTTTATGTATATTTTAAATTAACATTAATAATTTTTATAGAATAAATAAAATAGGAGCTATTTTGTGTATTTTTATTAAATCACAGGAGATCTTATACTACATAATTTACCTGAATAATAATAATAATGTAATAATAATACTTTATCTGTCTCGCATACTATGTTACTTTGTTATTTCTGTTTGTTTTATATACCATGTCAGTTTTTTTTTTAAAATGATTACTTATCTTAATTTTAATTTATAATTATTTATATTATAGGATAATTATTTTCACTAATACAAATGATTACTTATTTTAATCTTAATTTATAATTATTCATATTAGGATAATTATTTTCATTAATCCATTTTTAATTATTTACAAATTCTTAATTATCCGCAGAGATAATAATAATAATACACTCTAGGGTATAGTTGAAAATGTTTCAGTAGAAAATCTTCGTTCATATTGACGAATTAAGAAGAATGAAAGATGACGAAAAGGAAGCCATCCCTGATTTATCGCGCAAGGAAAATGCATGTGATGATGATGAGCCGATCGAGCGAGCTTGTTTTGCTCCCACTGTCCCACACTAAACAAATGGTGAAGTGCAACTGCAATTTGCCATTGCCAATGCCAATGGCTTCCTTCACAAGATTGTCAACACCGCACACTCACTGCACGCCGTCGGATTCAAGGATTTCCACCTCTAAAGCCGCTCCATCAGGACACCACTTCCCTGATTTCAACTCCGTATGTTTGTATTTTTTTGCCTAGCTTTCACATCTCATGCTCGGATTACTCACGTGGAATTCTCCGCGTTCTAGTTGTTTCCGATCCGCAAATTGAAGCAGAAGCGGGTGGATCCTCACGAAGTTCCTGTGTTCTGTTTGAATTTGGTTACTGTAACTTCTTTTTCTCAGATTTGTTCGGAACCTAGAAGCTTTTGATTTGGGGATTTTTGTCGAACACTTGGCGGTTGCGGTGTAAGGATGGGGAGAACATGCTTGCGGAAGTGTAGATTGGGGAGAATATTAGGCTGGCTTCAGATTGCGTTGGGAGGGCTTGTGGTGATCGTGAGCATATCTACACTGTCTAGGTTTTACTCCGCCGGAATATTCTTCTACCACAACGAGGAAATCTGCAGGCATTTGTATGGAACTTCCAAGGCTGTTTCCGACAGGATTGATGTGGCGGCGTTAACCGCTAGGGTTGATGAAGTTCTCAACAAGATGGAAGCTCTACAAGACAAGCTCGAATCGAAAGTGCAACAGATGGAGAAGAACAGGGCAGAATTGCACAAGAGTAACATCACAAAATTGGAGTTTAAGAAATTCTTAGAGGATGAAGTGATTAGGCCATTCTACGGTGCACACATTGCTCTAAGGCAAATCCGGCTGCCGAGGATCGACAACAGCACGGCCATGGAGGATCCTCTGATCAATACCTTTGCTGTTGAGGAGATTCGGAAGTACATTACCCCTAAGGAGAATAGGGTGGAGAAGATGAAGACGAAGACAAACATATATGGGATGGAGAAAGTGTACAACACCATAGGCCACGCCTGCGCGGCGATGAAGAACGAATTGGAGGCGTATATGAATTACGACGTGGGATCATACTGTAATGACGATTGGAATTTGGGGCAGAGGCTTATGATTCACGGCTGTGATCCATTACCACGGCGCCGGTGTTTAGCGAAAGCTTCGAAGCTCTACACGCGGCCATATCCGATCAACGAGTCCCTCTGGAGAATCCCGGACGGGAGAAATGTGAGGTGGAGCAATTACCAGTGTAAAAACTTCGAGTGTCTTTCGATCAAGAACCCGAAGAGGGGCTATTCGACTTGCGCCGGATGCTTCGAAATGGAGAAGGAGAAGCAAAAATGGTCGACAAACACATCACTACCGATTGATTTCCTGATCGGAGAAGTTCTATCCATCAAGCCAGGGGAGATGAGGATAGGCCTGGATTTCGGAGTTGGGACAGGAACATTTGCGGCGAGGATGAGGGAGCATAACGTGACGATCGTCTCGACTGCCTTGAACATCGGCGCGCCGTTCAGCGAAACGATCGCGCTGAGGGGTTTGATCCCGCTGTACGCGACGCTGAACCAACGGCTGCCGTTCTTCGACAACACGATGGATTTGATACACACAGCGGGGTTCCTTGACGGATGGATCGATCTGCAGCTGCTCGACTTCGTCCTGTTCGATTGGGACCGTGTCCTGAGGCCGGGGGGGCTGCTGTGGATCGACAGATTCTTCTGCAAGAGAGTGGATTTGGATGACTATATGTACATGTTGTTGCAGTTTAGGTACAGGAAACATCGGTGGGCAATTGCTCCTAAGTCTAAGGATGAAGTGTTCTTATCTGCCCTGCTGGAGAAGCCTCCAAGATCACGATAATCGAATTACTGGTATGTCATTAAAATCTCCTCCAATTTTCTTTCGATACAAATTGCTTATTATATGTTACTTTAAATTTGAAACATATATGATCTCTCTCTTTTGTTTATTTATGCTTTTTTTGTTGTTTGGGTTGAATACTTTAAACGGGTTAAAAAAATTAATTTTAATTCAATTCGTTTATTATCATATTAGGTTTGTCTTGATCCATTTATTATCTTGTCGAATTCGTATTAATTTCGTTATTTTTTATCGAATTGTCGTGTTATATTAGTTTTTGTTGGTTCAAATTAAATTAAATTAAATTATTTAATATTCAACTTAGTTTAAATGAACATGGGAGTTAATTATCAAATTAGAATTATTTGACATATATAATAAATATATTAATTAATATTAATATATCATAATCGATTCGAGTTGAGGGCTCAACTCTAACCTGACGTATTGGGTTTGTGTCAATTCGCATACATAATCGAATTGAAATTTTTATGGTGAATCTAATTATTTCCGGCCATAGATCAAGATAAGTCTTTACTGCATGCCTTGGTTAATTAACAACTAAATGATTAATGTTGAATATAGTACGATCTATTAATGAACTTGTGAGTTGTCATGTTTAATTTATATATAGATTTATGTATCAGTTACAGGTCGAAGATTTCACTTCATTTATCTATAGAATAAGATGAGCTTAATAAAGTATCTGAAACATCTACTTTGGGTTTATGTTGATGTTTATATATGTATATATATATATATAAAATAATGGTTAAATATATTAATTTTGTAGTTGTATTATTAAGTGTTATTATTGTGTGGTACGATAATAGTAAAAGTATTGAGTTCATTTTTGATTGAAATATGATTTAAATAATATTTTGTGAAATAAAATAATAAGTATATTTTTATTTAAAAACTTAGGGGAATGAATAGTATAAAAAGTTGTTTCAAATCCAAATCAAATAAGAAAAATATTTTGCATGTTGTCTATTACCCTAATATTTATGGATGTATTGATTTTTAGTATATGATATAAAAAATTGTGAAAAAAAATATAAAATATATTATTTTAAGTTGAATATTTGATTTTTTTTTATTTTTTGTAATGAGTTTTAAAGTTTTTTTTTTTTAAAAAAAAAATTGTGTATTTTTTGAAAAATTGCAACTCAAAAATAATATTGAAAGAACATAGTCTATGTTTCAACTACATTGTCCTCCTCGTGCAGCACATGTCAATGAAATTGATCGTAATCTCCCTTTTTTTTTTTTTTTTTTTTTACAATAGTCTTATTTACCATTTTTGTTCGTCTAGTTTCATTTCCATAAATAACTATATCACCGTAAAATTATTCATATTTTTTCATTATTATTACTTAATTGTCACTACTTTTTACACTATTATTCTCACAAATAACAAAAAAAGTCATTTATTCTTATTTTTTACCAACCGTGCCCAACACAATAAAATTAAACTTTTGGAACAGAGGGAGTATTATTTATCAAAAGCACACTAAAAATACCTATTTTCTATCACAAAATATTGCATTAAATACCAAAATTTTATTGTAGCCAAAATTCTCCAAAACTTATCTAAACAAAGTCTAAATGACTAATGATGTGTAATAATTAAGTAGTTGACAACACACACATATAAATATTATATTAGTTCGAATTTGTACTAAACCACATACGCTATAGGGTGTGTTGTTTAAATTTTGAATTTGTATTCGGATTTGCATTAGGATTTACGGATAGTATCAAAATTTTTGATTTCTAATAGTATTTTATGTATAGAATATCAATATAAATAAAATTTTAATTTAATAATTTTAAAATAGAAAAATGGATAAATAACGTAAGGAGACTTAAACCAGAAATTCAATCAAACAAAGCCATATCTATAATATTTATACATATACATATATATATATATATATCTTGATTATGTACCAAATTATGCTCCCCTCAATCATTTAAGGCATGTGATATAAAAAGTATGTAAAAAAGGCGTGTTTGCTTGGATATTTGAATACTAAAAAATTTAAATTTGTATAATTATAAGTAATATAAATAGATATTAATTCTATGTTTTGAATGAATTTTTAATATAATATAAAAAATGAAAACTAAATATTTAATTTAATATATATTTTTCAACAATTTACGGAATAGTAAAAATCAGGGCAAAATCCCCTAACCAAACACACAATTAACCATAAAATCAAACTACTATTTAAATACAAGATACAAATCAATATATACACCCTTAAATATACATTAAAGGGGTTTCGACCAATGTGTAAATATATTGAAAGAAGAAACATCTCATCTTATAAATCTATATATATATATATATATACATATATAAACCGGATCTCGATCGAATCATAGTTAGCCATGAGCGAGGACATGGATAGCAACTTCCTCCCGGTGGCCAACATAGGTCGAATCATGAAGCAAATCCTCCCCCCGAGCGCAAAGATCTCAAAAGAAGCCAAAGAGACGATACAAGAGTGCGCATCGGAGTTCATATCCTTTGTGACGGGTGAAGCATCCGCTCGGTGCCTCAAGGAGAATCGAAAGACGGTCAATGGGGACGACGTTTGCTGGGCTTTGAACTCACTAGGTTTGGAGAATTACTCGCAAGCCATGTTAAGGTACTTGTACAAATTTAGGGAATGTAATAATAATAATAATAATAGTAGTAGTAGTAATAATAATAATAATAATTAAGGTCTCCACAGCTCAAGATCAATCAGAGACCAATCTTTTCGATTCTTGATTTGATGAGAATTGAGGCCTGTTAATAATTTATTGAATCTTGTTGTTTTGTTCAGAAACAAAAAAAAAAAAAAAAACCATCCTCAGGAATCAACCCTAAATTTAGGGTTCTTGAAATGTTCAGTTGTTCTTGAATTGGATTGAATTAGTAACCCTAATTAATTTCTTTGAGAATTCTGTATGGGATTCAAATAAATATATGTATCTATATATATTAATTTGTATATTTATGTTGTCAATAACCATGATTGTATGTTGAAATAATTACTTTTGAAAAGTTTTTGAGTTAGTTAATTGAAGTTTAATTGAGTGAGCCCTTCAGATCTAGCTCTTGTTGCTGTTCTTCTTTCATATCCTTTCATTTTAATTTAAATATTTACTAATTAATTAGATTAGGTGTTGGGGGTTTGATTGTTTTTGGTTTTAATTTAATTATAATGATAAGAGTACAAACTTCACGCAGCAAAATATTTTACTCTAATTTATTAAAATATATAATTTTTGTGGCCAATATTATGAAATTAATATCAGTTCTTGAGAGATGACGAGTCAAACTTGATCAAGAATTTCTTCAAACAAGTTAGGGTTTTGTCTGATTTCTTGATGTAATTAATTAATAGATTAATTGGATAGAGTCAGTACAAAAGCATGGCAATAGTTTTACCAACTTTTTAGGTTCAATACATTAAAATTATATTATACATATAAATAAATAGAGAATAAAAGTGTGAAAATTTGTGTCCAGAGTTAGGGTTTTTAAGGGCAAATTGTTTTAGGGTTTCCACAAACTCCTTTTGGGACCACTTTTCCAATACCTAATTCTGTGAAGAAGACGACGACACACGAAGTGGTAATTAATCATATATATAATTGTAATTAATTAATTAATTAAGATCCTAAGATATAGTTAAGGCATAATTAATACACAACTAGCTAGTAAATGACACTGGGAATCGAATCCTCAACCTTACCTTTGAATAATAAAAATTACGCATAAAAAATGCTGAGAATGGTTAGACTAACCTGATTTACTTCATACGGTACATATTTATTGTATATAGTATTTTGTTAATATGTATTCCTTGTCAACTTATATATTGTTAATTTAAATGTTACATTGTATATATTAATTTGTTATATGTAGTGTTGACGTATACTTTATATGAGATCCACTTATATTGTTAATCCACTTATACATTGTAACTGTCGCACTAAATGCTACATATGTACATATGACACACACGTGTGTGTATATATATATATATAATATTGAAATATGCTAAATATGTCTTTTTTTTTTGTGAAATTTGAGAAAATTTAGTTTAAATTTGATATTAAAATAATGTATAATAAAATATTTTGTAAGATGAATTTTTTATGTTTTTTTTTAAAAGAATACAAAATTAAAATAGTAAAAATTTGAAGTTTCGTCTGATGGTAGGTTGGATTGTTGGTCTTTGACATGTGGCAACCATATACTCTCTCCGTCCCATCCCATTTTATCATTTTTGTCCGTTTTTACAAAACTATCTCAATTTTTTTACAATAATTACATAAAGTAGAAACATTATAGTATTTTACAAACACTTTTACACCTATTATGAATATAATACTATTATTCTTTAATTCTTATTCCATCCAAAATATCTCTATTGTCTTAGGATAGAAGGATTATTTTGTTAATAAGCAATAAGCCCAAGTTACTCAAGAATTTAACTACATTTTATTCAATAACATAACTTTTATTGAGTTCTGTTAATACGTTGTAGTATATGATAAGATACTATTGATGCATAAGTTAATTTATACAATTTAAAATATTTATTTATTATACACCAACTACTACTTCCCTCGATCAAATACATGCTCAAATATTATAACCCAAAATGGTGATTTAACGAGATAAAAGAAGACAAGACACATTTGTAAATATGTGTAAGATTGAAAGATAATATAAATTAAAAAGACCCTAAAAAATTTCATGTTATAAATTCAAATTAGGTAGATAGGGAGTGAATATTATGCCATAATAACTTTTTATATGTTTAGAAATCAATTTTAACCATCAAAGGATCAAACCAAATGAATCTCCTCTCTTCATAATTAAATCAATACTAACTTTAAGAATATATATATATATATATATATGAGAGAAGCAAGAAGTAAAATAAATGGCTAACCTTAAGGCATCATATCAACTCATTCGATTGATACAAGAAACAAACCATTGTTTCTTAATTTGTCCGTAGATGACGATGATGATGGCTACTGCAAGAACCGACTCGCCGATCGATCATAAAGATTCATCGTGTGTTTATCCGAGGTCTTCGGTATCTGTCATCATCCAAATAACTCGACGAATTATTACTATTCTTGAATTTGTTCGATCTCCCTGGTGTACCCGATCTACCAAACCCTCTGTTTGGAGAGCTTTTCATGTCATCACTTTGGCCCCTCGGACCTCTTCCGAGTTGTTGTCGACTCGATTCCCTTCTTTGTTTAGGACTATGATAACTCCGTTGCTCATTGTCAGAATCCCCATCCGAGAAAGGGTCAGATTTAAAACCGGATCTTCTTCCCGGCACACTTCTTTGTTTAGGACCACGATAACTCCGATGGTCATCATCAGAATCTCCTTCCGAGAATCGCCCAGATTTAAAACCGGATCTTCTTCCCGGCGCACTTCTTTGTTTAGGACCACGATAACTCCGATGATCATCGTCAGAATCTGCTCCTCGGAAAGGCTCGGATTTGAAATCGGATCTTCCTCTCGGTGGGCAATTCTTTGCACCAGACGCCCTTTTGTTGGCTTTATTTCTTGATCCTATAGGGTCATCTTCACTGTCATCAGAGTCGAATCCAAGATCATCATCTGATCCAAAATCCATGGCTCTTCGACCTGTATTTCTGCGCTTCGAATCAGCAACATGGCTCGATTTCCAATCTCGATGAGCTGGAAGGTCGTCATCAGTGTCAAAATCTACGCCAGAATCATCAGCATCCGAAAAAGCTTTGCCCCGTTGCCTCTGTATCTTACCTTGCTTCGCAAATTGAGGTTTTCTTCGGGTCTGAAAGTTACCTCTGCGGCTTTCAGTATCTTCCGAATCAGAGTCGGCTTCAACATCCGAGAAATTCACCCGAGAAACCTTATGCGCTTCATTTTGGTTAACTAACTCATAGTTGTCAACATCATCGTCGTCATCATCAAAGTCATTGAATCCTGTGTTCGATCTCTCGTTGCCAGAATTGGAATAGTCTCTGTCAAACCCCATATGTGGCCTTCTGCTGTCCTCCATACCATTTTCATGAAGATTGAGCTTTTCGTGGGAGAAATCGTCACCCAATTTCTTTGAATCAGCATACTCAAATGCAGCAACCTCGGCTCCATCAGATTCATCATCGTCAAAATCAAAATTCCATGCATTCGAAATGTTTTTCCTGTCTACCTTGTCCATGCTGATTCTCGGACCACGTTGCTTATCCGGGAACTGATTTTCGGTATATGTATCAGGTGGTCGTTTGTGTTCGCAATGGAAGCATACTGTGTTTCTTCTATAGTTCAGAAAATTGCACCTACACAAGCATCGCATCAATTAATACAGAGCATAAGATATGTATATATATATATATATAGAGAGAGAGAGAGAGAGAGAGATACTGTGGGCACTCCCATTCTCCAGGAAGCAATTGTCTCTTCGGGCGTTTAGCATCACATTGCAGGCACACAGTGTTTTTAGCGAAGTTCAAGAAGTCGCACCTATGGCAATAATATAAACATAAGCAGAAGCAAACCATATTACAGTTTCCGAATCCGTAAATAAAAGCTGAACCAACAAATGCTATAGAACCAACTAAGAGTTTGATGTTTCCCTTAAATTACACGGACGGCCATCTCTAATCGAAAAAGAAGGATTAATGATTCTAGTGCCGGTAGGAAAATATAATTTACAGAACATTAAAAGATTAGCGTCACTAGGCTGAGTTACACTAGTATGTTCCTATACAAGGTTAATGTTGAGTAGGCTATGATATAATCAATTGCAGCAATCAAATAATAACAGAATAGTCACAGTTACGTTATTTCAACAGCAGCACTCGAAAGCCTAAATAATTATTCAAGGTATGTGACGGATGCAATAAAAATGATAAATATGAGGCAAAACAGTAAAGAGAAGTCAAACCTACTTTGTACAGAGCCAATCCCCCTTTTTCATTTCAACATCGTAGCGTCCGATCCTTTTCCTTGGAGGAGGAGGCGGTTGCTTCACCTTCGGTGGAGGCCTTTTAATGACAGGAGGGGGTAGATTTGGGTCTATTGGAACTGCACTTAGCCTGACTACCTCATGGAGCAGTTTCTGAGCAACCTTCTTCACGGTTTTAAGCTTCGGAATAGATTTATTTACAGCTGATTCATCAGTTGGATCAAAACCATAAGCAAGTAGAATCCGCATGACATCCATTGTTCGTGCTTCATCCTCTTTATTTGTGAGTAAGTATGCTTTTTCACAAGAATTCCTTAGGGTGCAGGAACTACAAACCTGATGTATCAAATAAAAAGTTACGGAATCAAGTTAAAACCTTTTATGTATTAAAAAAACTTGGAGATGAAAATAAAAAAACTTATATAGGGTTATCAGGCTATGAATCCTTACTCTGCATCAAGTTAGATCCTTTTATGTATTAAAATTTGCATTACACGATAAAAGACCAGTTGAGACATATTTCAGCATTTTCAAAGACCTCCCTCGAGAACCTCCAAAGGATACGTTTTGGTGAATCAATGAGTAGAGTGTGCAATATGTTAGAACTAATGATGTCTCATCAATCAGGTTAAAGAAGACAGTTCACAAATTGAAACTGACAGACCATACTTCATATTTTTTGCAACATTCATCAGCAACAGATGTGCCTGATAAACAGGTATTTATTGAAGTCTTTACGCAAGTAGAGGTGATGATCAATCTATAAATACTTTAGTCTTAGTTTTCAATGATGCACGGTGCAAGGCCTATGCCATGCCATGGTGTACAGACTACTGTGCACTATAAAGTGTCAAAATTTAGTAATACACACATACGTGCACAAATATAACACACTTTAAAATAATCATTTAAGCATTTAGATCCCCAACAGTCTTTGAACTAAAGCAAATCAGTATATTTCAAAGCCCATATAATCATCATTCTCATTATCTAAACATAACAGTAATAATGAACAAAGAGCACATATTAATATCTAACTAAATATAAAATGAAATGGCACAATGGCCACACCATGGAGTGCCATTGACAACTGTCACTGTATACCGTTGGCAATCTCATGGCTTGATGACCCAAGACCGAAGAATTAAAACGAAACGGAATAAAGGTCCTTGGAACATGCATAGTTTGACAAGATTGACACCAGAACACTTTCTACAAGAGATTGAACAAGCACAATATACCGTACTTTGTGCCACAGTACAACCTAAATTCCTAATCTGAAATAAGTTCACAATTATATACTACCGGTTTATGAAAAGCACCTTTCTTTCTTTAGTTCCAACATTTGAATTTCCGTCCACCATGGCAAAATCACGTCTTTTATTTCAGAAATGTAATACAAAACCAACATGTAAGTTTTTCAATAAATAAATAAATCACTACAAGCTTACATCTCCTTCATCCAGATGGACATGCTTCCTTAACACTTTAGCTGAGAAAACCACTCTCTTGTCTGCACTAGGGCATCCATAACCAACCAGGATTTGAAGATCGTGCCTAGACAATGACCTGAAAAAACCGACAGAAAACAAATAACCTAAGCAAGAAACAATTTGAGCATTTACAAAAACCAGAGCAAAACGAAGGCATTGAAAAGGAATATCATCAATTGAATGACAATCCAAGACAATGGCAAGCTGAATCAAAACTAGTTTATAATCAAACATTAAGACGTAACAAAGAATTAAACCTCAATATGTCAAAGCGATCGCGGCCAAAATTGATGACTGCATTCTGCACAGTCTGGAAGTCCCGAGTAAAATCGCGGTGTTTATCCGCCGCCGCCGGTTCGGCGCCGGACAAATCAAAGCCGATGCCTCTAATCATACCGTCCTCGTCCTTCCTCCGGTCGTCGAAGTAATTCTGCTGCACCAGGCGCTCCATCAACTGAATCCAGTCCGGCCATGGATGCACCAGCTCCACCTCCTTCTTCGCGCCGCTACTCACCAGAAGTTCCTCACTCTTCTCCATCTCCGACTTCAATTCTTCCATCGACTCGACCTCGGCCTCGCCAACTGAGTCCGCGCCGGTCTGGCCTCCTTGCTGCTTCCTCGATTCACGCCAGGCGCGGATTCTCTGGAGCGTCTCGTCCTTCTCTTCGCGTCTTTTGTCAATCTCATCGATTTGCTCGAAGATAAAGTTCATCCGAGCGGACAGAGACGACGGCTTGGGAGCGGCAGCAGGAGGCGGCTGAGAGGTGGAGTCCGGCGCCATCCCGGCGGAGAGAGATGAGAAACATGGCGGATTACGAAATTGGGAGAGGAGATGAAGCGAAAGAGGATTGGAGCTCTTGAATCGCCTACAAAGAATATGTGAAAGTGCCATGCTCGGTCCTGAAGTTAAACCCTAAGTTAAACATCCGCCATGGGAGACACCGAACCGAAGCATAGATGGGAGAAACCTACTAAAACCCTGCAAACCTTAAAATAATACTAATAATAATAACCAATTAGTGCACGTCGATTTTTATTTAGATAATTTGGATTTACAAATTTTATAAAAATAACTCTTCCCATTGTTTTTAGATGTAAATGTTAATTTTATACGTATTTATATTATATTTTTTAATAATATTTATAAAAGTTTATTCAATCTAAAAAAAACATTACTACTATATTAAATAAACAAACTTAAAATATTGATATATAAAAACTATTTTATAATAAAAAAAATATAATAATTTTTTATTAAAAAAAAAAGTAACAAAATATGAACGAATCATCCCAAAAAAAAAGAAAGTATGCGCTTTTTTATTTGATTGTCTACAAATATTCTTACAATCGTTACTTTCACAAAAAAATAATAATAATATTAAAGATAAATATATTATACATTTTCCTTTTTTAGAAACTAAAAATCTTCTGTAGCCTAATATCATTACATGTGCCCTTGGCAAGAAGAGAAGTGCTAAAACTTACAAGTTAGAACCATTCGACGATGCATTTAGGATAGAAACCCATCGTTGTAGCCACACGAGAGAACGACCGTAATTCTTTCTGAACCTTCATCCGTTCGAAAAAAACCGAGCACGCCAACGACGTGCATTTCACGCCGCTTTCGACCACCCAATCTCCGCCCCCACAGTGCCGGCATATCTACATGCAAAGAAACTTCTTCCGTTACACAGGCCAAAAAGATCGACTTCAAATCCAAACCACAACACGTATTATGGTAAAAAATAATAACTAAGAGCCAAAAGTGCGAAAATTTCGATTCTTGTTTGATAGGAGCTGTTTATAACTGCGATGAATAAAGCATGCCATGAAAAAATGAGTGCAATACTTACAGCGGCGAGGTGTTGAATGTCCTCTTCGAGTTTTGAAGTTCTTCCGGTTAGAGCTAGAACGACGGTCGTTTTGTCCTTGGAACAGTTGGGGCAGAGATGGGCTGATCCCTCGACTGTCTCGCCGCAGAGGATGCAGTGTTTCGAAGAATAGTAGTAGTCGATTCTTGTCCTTTGTGGATTCGGTGCAATAGAAGTTTGTTTCCCGACAGCTCTCCGGGCTGGCCGGGGCATGTCGAGGAACCACTGGTGCAAATCAACACCAATCAGCCCAAACGCGCGCTGCAGAGCTGGTATAATCTGTTTCTTGATGTAGTAAATGTCGTTCAGCCGGAAAGGAGAATCGAGGGCCAGGAGTTCAAGCGGGTCTACCACCATGTCGACCAAGCGAGCCCCAGGCTCGCCGTGCACCACTACATATGGTATTCGCTCAGCATAGCGTGGTTCAGCCCGGGGATCTAATTTCATCGATTTAGTGGCCACAATTGCAGCTGGAGGAAGTGAGTGGGAACGGTCGCTGTAAGTACCTAGACGAACCTCCTTGGCGAAAATGAAATCCTGTAGTGATACCCTTCCAGATAATATCCTCGTCCATTGACGCAACAAGTATGCTTTAACCTATCCGAATAAAAGAAATAAAAGCCAGTTGCAACATTAGAAAATCAACCACATAGCGTATCAAGTTTTCCGACAAAATAGCATGTTTGACGCCACATCACAGAAAATTAAGCCAAATTGTAGCAATTGAAAGATACGTTTTAGATTTTGTTTACTTCGATTTTTTCAAATCTATCTTCATACTATTCAAAGTAAACATAGACAGGACTCTGAATCATAGTAAACTACGTACCTTATCGATATCCTGACTTTCAAAATAGATCCTCAATGACTGTTCCATAATCTTAGAAACAGCACCACATGTATCTCTTCGGACAGTCTCGATGCCCTTAGCATCGAATATCGGCTTGCTCTGATCAGGGCTCTCGTGGCTATACCCAACGTATCGCTTCTTTGTCAGGAGGAAGCATGGGTAGTATACTTTCTCCATTTTTAATGTTACAGGAGACGGATTCATTTCAGAGATTGCAGAGGCTATTTCCCGTCCCACCACGAACGCTTCTTCAAGAGAACGCCCCTTGAGGAGCACAAACATGCTGGAGCAAACATCGAGCACTAAATGAAGTTCAAACATACAACCATAAAAACATAATATTTTTGCAAAAACAAACAAATATATGCATAGGCACCTGTCCGTGTCGCCATAAACAACTCTGGCTTTCCACTTATCGTTTGAGTTCACAAATGAAATTGCAGTTTCCAGTGTTCTACGGCCACACTGGACAATACTATCTGCTAGCTCGGCGCACGGCATGCGCCCACTGAATCCCGCAGCTGTGTAGCCATAAGTAACATTTGCAATAAGCTTCAAGGCAAGCTGCCGAGCATTCAATATCCTGTGGCGAACTACCTCAGATGAAGCCAATTTCTTCATTGCTTGTTTCACCATGATTCGGGTCGATAATAACTCTTCCAACAGTCGAGGCAGTATCCCTTTCTGGACTTTCGGAGGAACATAAGCAACACCATTGGGAGTTAACAGCAATTCATGCTTCAGACTTCGCATAATATTAACATCTGGCAAATAAGAAGTGACACCAAGGATGTTCGCCTTCGAAGGTGTAATTTTCCCAAGGCATGTGCAAAAGCAAAGATTATAAGCGATCACCATCGATGGATAAAGAGATTGAAAGTCCAAAACAATAACAGGGTCTGCATAGAAACGAGATTCTGGCTCCAAGACAAGTGGTAAGCACTCCATCGCTGGTTGACCCGCAACCTGTTGATTCCCTGGGGAAATGGCAAGATAGTTCTGTGTATGTGCTAGCCGCAGGAACATTGACTCAACACGATACTGTGACCCTCGGGATAATACAGAAAAAAAGTCAATACCAAATACCCGAGCCAGTTCTGATGTCCGGTTTATCATATCAAGCTGATTCATTATCTGTAGATTCAGCTTTGCCCGCTCTAATATATAGTGGACTGATTTGTACCGTGCTTGTCCGGGGCCACTTGAAAACCATTTGGTAAGCACTTTCCAAGGGATGTATGGAACTTTTCGCTTCAGAACTGTTTCTGCCACAGCCTCAACTGTGTAAATATTAAGTTTAACTTCATTCCGCATCAGTCTCCATATGTTGAGCACGATTCTGCCACTGACATGAATACCGCTGGCATGTGTTCTGCCCCACTCATCCTCAATGATTGTAGTCTCAAGGTTAGCTGCATCAGCTGTCGCCAGTTCCGAAAATAGTGCACTCACTGACTCTTTTTCATTAGCTTTACACTCTCGAGAAAGCAAAGGTGTTTCCAATGGTGTCCTTGATATATTATTTAGCAAACCAATTCCAAGATGCGCAGCCCTTTCGGCTAGAAATCCAAGGGAGCCGCTTTGAACATCCCAGCCCATTAGAATATCAGGGTCAGATGCACGAATGACTTTAGTAAAATGGTTGAACATATGTAATTCTTGAGGAAACACAAATACCTTGGACTCTGGAACTGCATCAAGATCCTTTTTGACGTTAGCAGAATTGCAACGCAGAAGTACTTGTGTGTCAATTTTAGATCGATCATCCTCTTGAAGAACAATGACAATGATGTTTACAGCATCAAATCGAGGGTCAGGCCTTAGATCGCCTCTAGATTCAGCCAGTACCTCTATACTCAGCAGTGTTAACTGCTGACCTTGACCGACGCTAGCTGGATCACGAAAACCAATTTGACTCAGTGGAGTCAGCAGGATCTTTTTATCAGGGCAGGATATCTGAGAGGTGTCATGAGAGCGGATTGGTGATTTGTTTTTTGGAGTCCAATTAAAAGCCTGAACTTTCACACTGCAGGTTTCTTGATTATGATTTGCTTGCAGACTAGAGTCACACATTTCATCTGGCAAAGAAGCTGGAGTAAGAAAAGGAGAATTACCATCCACAGATTGAGAGCTCTGAGAATCTACGATATCATCCAAGAATGCCTTGGATGTTGATACAAGTGGTGGCATCTCACTTGCCTTTGGGAAAACCTTGGAGCAATCATTCGAGAGCCAATTCTCAATAGAATCCCTTGATGGAGGGGACACTGCAGGGGTTAGCATGAATAAACACGATCCATCATTCTGATACATGATAGGCACTCCCATGACTGGTTCGTCATCAACAGAACTCATGGACTTCTTAGGACTTACACCATTAAGTTTGTCCTGGCTGCTTTTTGTGAAAAAGGGGAGACAACCAGTTGGGAGTCTTCCTTGTAGAGATATTCCTGCTTCACAGTCACCACTCCCAAGTAATACTGGAACGTCATTCTTCGGCTCATTTGTCCAATCTATAATTGGAGGTTTCTTACAGAAGGCCATACCAATAAGTTTTTCACTTCCAGCTTCTTCATTCACATTTAATGCATCACACTGCGTTGATAAACTAGGAATCCTACCATGAGATGGTGAATGCTCAAGCTGTAGGCATGTTGCACTTTTCGTGCTCTTTGAACCTACAGATGGAATATTAGGCAACTTGCACAGCTGACTACAACTTTCACCCGTACAGTCATTTCTGGGCAGAAGATTAATTGGTGTTGAACTTGAAGGCACATTAAAGGAGCCTGTATCACATGTTTGTAGCACCGAGGAAACAAAACCTGTACCAATAGTTGTTGAAACAGGAGCATCATCAAGCTTGCAAGAGCAAACATGAGCACTTGTATCCAAATTATGAATACATTTGCCACAAGCGACACAATCGCAATTTGGATCCAGATTCTTCTGCAGATTCCCTGCATCTATTTTATCATTGCTAGAGGATTGAGGGAGATAATCAGCTACAGGATCAGGGATAGGTTTAGCATGACTGGCTTCTTTGTACACCCCAGCAGAAGATTCCATAATCCTTTTATAACATTTTGTCAGCTCATTTCTGACTGGAGACTCATCTTTAATAGAAAGAAATGACTGATCCTCTTCAGTATCTTTCAGTACTTTTGTCATAGTATTGACCTCTTTTTCTCCACACTCAATATCACTGCAGGATTCTGCTTGCCAACTTTCCTCTCTACTTTTGCACCCTGAGCTTACAATCCGATGAGACCTCTTTTTCCTCATCAAGTCTCGTGTAGAGCATTCAACTACTACACTACCAGGCTCTGCAAAATTCACATCCTTATCTCTTTTCACTTCATCCCTTGAAGTTCCTAAGCCTTTTCTTTTTGTATCAGTAGGCACATTAAGAAATCCAGATGTATCAGGATGACGAGAATCGCTAAGTTTCTTATGGGATATAGGTAAAGAACCCCATCGAGGTCTTTTCCTTCTGGGTTTACAGATTAAGTCTGAATCCAACTCCAACTGCTCTAGCTCTGGGTTGCCATACTCCGTCTTGAGATACTTACCAGAGGAGGGGCTTGATGGTGGATCATCACTGGAGCCATCTAATTGAGGTATCATCTTTTTCAAAGAAACCTTCCTAGAATGACTACTCTTGGCAGGCTTAAATGCTCCATCATTTGATTCTTCTAAGTTAATCAGATCAACAGAATCAAGAATGTCTTGACACTCTTTCTGAGATTCACTCTCATAATCCACATTAGCTCTTTTTAATACCTCACTAATCTCATTTGAAGGTACAAAGGGGCTCAAGATTGCCTCACGAACAAGTTCGTCATCAGAGTTGATGTCTTCAGCAGCTTGAGAAGATGCGAGCCAGTTTAAAAGTCTTAAGGCATCTTCATCTGCATCCTGATGAACCAATTTCACATGAGCACAAGACAAACAAAGTTAACCTGAAGAACTGATGTGATTTAAGGTAGAAGGGTAAGTGAGAGACCATTTTATTGTTTGGATAATACTAACACATGTAATGCATTTATCACTAAACAATTTTAACAAATATCAGAACTCAACTTCCAAAGAAAATTACCTACACTCCATAGAATCCAATAAGCAAATCAAATGGATATTTGTCAGCTGCTTTCTCATCATCTACCTATCTATAGGTATAGTGTGTGTGTGTGTGTGTGTATCAGAGTCATGAAAATGAAACCAGAAAGCTAAGGCATTAAAAAACCATAGATGGAAGAAAGATTAGTGCCACCAAATAAATACGTTGCTGACAGACTAACCTATGTAAGTCACATAAATATAACCGCCTATGCTTTTATTCACTACGATGTCTCGGCAGGCAACCATGACAATCAAGTAACTTTGAAAATACCCTCATTAGTGTTAGTGGACCTACTCAATATGATATGCACTACAGATCCACCAATCCAACTGAAATTTTAGGTCAAACGTCTAAACAATGCTATTGGTCCAATTCCCCACCATATCATGTATTCACATACTTATATAAAAAAGCACCATAGATCTACCCCTAAAAAAAATCACTAGGTGAGGCCAACTAAAATAAGTTAGGACATCAATGAAGGAAGAATATGTTTATTCTTTATGTTTAGAATATTTATATTTACCTTTGCACCTGTTGATCCTATGGTGCCAGATAATTGCAGTTTGTCACCTGCATCAACTTTTTCAGTTTCAGCATCATCAGCACTCCGAAAGAGTGAATCTTGTGACATTAAAGATCCTTTTAGTTCGCTTGCTTTCAAATATTTAGAAGGCAGATATTTGCTATTCTCAAGGTTAGCAATCTCAGAACCAGTAAGATCTCCAGAATCTGCAGAAGATTTCATTGGTTCAGGAGTTAAACTAGGCCAGTCTTCTGTATTTTGCATCTGCAGAAATTCTTCAAACCCAAAGCCATCTGAGAGAATCCTCAATACATCTTGTGGAAATGGCTTCTGAGAATTAGCAGGGATGGCCTCAGGCACTCCATTTCTTGCATGCTCTTCCTAGTGTAAGAAAGCAGTTCACCATGGGTATAGATATTCAATTGAATATCAAAACATTGCAAAAAATGAGAATCAAACCAAACCTCCCAAATTGGTATTAGCGACTGAACCATTTTCACATCCAAATTGGTTTGAGACAGAGGTGTGAATGATACGCTCTGCTGATTTACAATATCTGCATGTCAATGTATGACTGGAAAATTAGTTAAAAGATTGAAGATAGACAACATCACATTTTGGGCAACAAAACGAATCAACAAACCATGTACTGAAGCATCCACTTCAAGCTCTGAGGTACTCTGACGCCTATAAAGTGAAATTTCTTCATTTGTTGAAGAATCAGACTGAGATGAATATTGCCATATCCACTCATCTGGAATTGTAGAAGATATCCATACCGGTGTGTTCAAACATAAATCACCGATCAAATCTGCCTAGATAAGAAATTCCAAAGAATGGCAGGAATGAAATCCTAAACACTGAACTTCACTAATTAAATACCCTGTAAAAGGAAAGCTAAGGAAACCTGAGAATTCATGCTGTTAGAGTCTTTTATTATTGGTCTCTGGCTATCATGGAGCTCAACTTTTTGACGCGAGAAAGCATCTGGAACAGGATGACGGAACTTGACTTTTGAAGCATGTAAATGACTCATCCCATACAAATTGTAGTCGATCTAAAAATTATGAGAAGTATATTAATTTGAGGTTCATGAGAGAGGCTTCATTATAGTGCTTATAACGAAGGCGCAAAGAAAGTTTGACACAAGTAGAGAAGGATTAATTCACATTTGTCACAAATTGGAGAAGTCAAAAAGAGTTTCAGCCTAAAAAAAGACATACAACTTAAATCATTACAGCACTAGCATGTTTCCAATATCTGCATAATAAATTACTGCCAACTCTCAGAAACTCAACACAATACACATATTTTGAGATGTTAAGGAGTAGTAATCAAAGAGGCCTAAAGGGTGATGCATTCATCTATGGAGAAGAAATTTCAAGTACCCACCACCAACGGCATCATAGTCACTATGAACTATGGAGTGTAAGAAAAAAATCGTAACTGCAGCACAGAGAGAATTGAAAATATGTTGACAGCTTCAAATTTACAATAACTCATGGAAAATGCCACACTATCGGATGTTTCACATGTAAGCATTCACCTTCCCTTTGTTTCATTTATTTAAGGTAGAAGAGGTCACATCAACAATAGAAGTGAAGAAATGAAAGCAAAGCATAGTTCTTTCCATACATAATTTGATTAACATAAAGTGGTACATTGTGAGCATTGAGATGTATACCACGCAAATGGTACACAATAATGTGAACATGTATAAAATTATACATACCAAGAACTGGAGAAGAAAAGGTATATGTGATTCATAAGGCTGCAATATTCTATCCAATATTCCACCTGCCTATATAAAACATATGCAGTTAGCTATTTTCATAAATGATAAGCCATCTGGATAACACAAATAATTTCTTTTCTTTAATGTTTCACAAGTATCAAACAATATTAACAACCGAAATACAAAAGAACAAAATTGATACCAGGAGAAGCTTTGCAGCACGAGAAACATCTTGAGGATAATAGCTGATCTTATGTCAAGGTATGACGTGGAAAATATGAAAATATTATTGAATTGATATTTTAAATGAAGAGAGCAACGACTCCAATATGAAAAAACATACAAAGTGAGAATATATAAACTTGTATGCTCAACAAAACATAATGCTGAACTCAACAAAATTAATGATCAAAGTCCAAGTTAGACAAAATAAACTTGGTTGAAACTCTATGAACAATAAACAGAGTTCCATTCATGCAGTAACTTCATTATTCATGGCTGTAATATCTAAATATTTAAGATTGTTGACAAAGGTTAATTTCACTATATTCATGGCAACAATATGCACTCTTCAGAAGCCGACCAATAATAAATTAAAAATTACAAAGTAAAGTACTTGCTTTTGAAAAGTTTCACAGTAAGTGATCAGTTAGGAAGTCTCCCCACGTGGGTGCAAATGAAGATGAAACCCTCTAAAAAGAACTCATATTGATACATGGGGTAATCTACAATCCATACTGCCTCTGACTCACTGCAATGTAACTGAGGTTTATAAATGGTATCAAATCTGACCAGAACTGAGAGTTGTGCATGGATGAATTAGCCAGCTACCTAGCAAGGAAAAGATTCTCGAGCTAATGGATGATCAGGGTGCAGTGAGCTGTTGCTCCTTATTTTTTAACTGGGGTCAAAACTAAAAATTCAGGATAGTTTTTTCAAAAAAAATAAAAATAAAATTGATATGACTACTTAATTAAATAAAGTGAAGTGTTTTATTATTATTCTTATTATTATTTTCCTGAACGTCATGGATAAATGCCTCAAAATAAACTTGGTTGAAACTCCATGAACAACTTAATTTGGGGAAGTTTCAAAAGGTGTGCATGGCTAAGGACGAAAGACATTGAAAGTGACCGATGCAAGACCAATTTACAATCTATATCACTTCTAGTCCACTATGGTTAAGCCATAGTATTACATACGCTATACAACTAAATATACAAAAACATAATGTAATTTATCATAGATTCTATAGTACACCAAATAAGACAATATAACATGTTAAAAGTAACAAAAGTTCCGCCCTCACAATTGATTAGAAATCATGACAATTTCGAAACCACATAAGCTGAAAGAGATAAAGTTTGATTCACCAATTTGTATGAAAAGTATGTTGGTTTACATGTTTTAAATAAACCACTGTATATATAGCACCATCTCAAGCAATGCAGTAACCAAGATAAAACAGCAGTAGGATACAAATAAATCTTCACAAACAACTCCTCTGAAGAATGATATCCATAAAATTTTCTTGCCCGAACGAGATCACAACCATGCACATGTTGACGTTTTGACCCAACGTTACCCTTAAGCTGCTCAACAACAGAAATCAAAAGCAACGTTATAGTATACGAACATCTCAAGCCATAGAATGACATGCAAGGGAATCTGGAAGCAAGGAGATACCTGAAGAGCCTTCTCAAAAGCAAGGCATAAAGAATGTCTATGCGCCTCAACTGATCATTAGCAAGGAAGAGAAAAAGGGAAGAAAGATTAGACTCTAACCACAAATGCTAAAATTAATCCAACCAATTAACTAGTCGAACCCATCATGAGCTACAAGGGAAAATGGAAGCTAAAGGTTGGAAACAAGCACACTTTGAAACTCATAACCTATGTGTCATACAACAAAAGTATTTTCCTAAAGTTCCTATAAAAAAAAAAAAATATTTTCCTAAAGTAGATTATCAATCTATATACTATATAGTCATAAACATTTAGCACCATTCCCGCCATTCGGTCTCTGAACAAGATAGCTACACAAATAACTTTAATGAACTAGGTATCATCTTCAACTAATTCTGGGGTCCTAAAACTACTACATAAAGATTTCCATCAAGCAATTCTTGACCACATAAGATGAACAACCAATCCATAGCATACGCTAGTAGCCAAATTATAACCTCACCATTTTCTACGGTGCCAAGATCTGAGCATGGAATGTAAAGATATGGTAATACCTGCATATTAAACACACGTGAGACCCCCATCAGCAACAGAATCCAATAACAGAACAATACAACGAGTGGCAAAAGACAATATGAATGGAATAAACAAGATAAGGTCTTAGTGGGAATTGATGACAGTCTAATGAGTTCTATAATCTATTACTTCGAATGCCTCCAAATGCCAAAAGTGGAAACATAAAACATACTGCCTGGTGGTTCACTTCCCTTCGATAATAACAACTGCATGTACACAAGCTCGCATATCACCAAACACACACACACACAAAAACAATGAAGTCGCATCACACTATCGCCCTTGCTTACTTGATGAACGTGCAAACAAGTCTTCTGACCAGCAGGAGTCGAGCCGTATATTCTTATCACCGGAACCTCCTTAACCCTCCCACCTGAACACAGTAATTCATCGCACAACTTAAACCAACTGAAAACGTAATAAGCAAAAACAGAGACAATAAAAAAGAAACATAAATTGCCAGAATAAAGGAAAATAGTAAACACTCTTACCATGGAAAGTGCTGTAAGAAGTGTCGAGGCCAGGGATAGGAGTCGCTGTGTAATAGTCGATCGAAACTATTCGCACACTGAACAGTTGGGCCTGAGAGTCCTCCATCTACGTGCAGTCCGCGCACTCTTCCTCGGATTTTCAGTTCGTTTCCGCCATTATTGTGTCCGGGCTTTGATTGTGGGTTGGATCGGAGGAAGAAGGCGGTGATTTGCCGACATTAAACATACCAAAAATAAAAATAAAAAATAAAATCGTATCTTGGAAGCTTTAAAAAGATTTTAAAATAATTAAAATAACAATAAATAAAAAGTCAAAATAAATCCAGCACCAGTCACGAATTCTTCTTCAGTCTGCTTTGTCTCCGAAGGAACCTTCCGTCGGAAGTTCGTCTTCCGGCGAATGTGAGGATCTTTCGAGTATTTGCTGCAATTTCACCGGCGGCGACCGGTTAGTTGAACCCTTATTTGTAAACTACAAACCGGACCGGACAGGCAGCCGCTGGACCGGTCCGGTTTTAAAAGCACTGTCGAAAAAAGATCTTCCCGGTCATAGTTCATAAAAAGATACACGGCGGTCGGCGAGGCGGTTCAGGTGATCGCCGGCGGCATCTGCGGCCGCGAAGATGGAAGCTCTTCTTTCCTCTGTATGTCAAAAGTCACACTTTTTAGGCAGCTCATGGAAATCCAGCTACCAGGTTTTCGCCGAAGCTCTCAAATGGTGCGCAGCCATTTCTGACGCTAGTTTGGGGAAATCTCTGCATAGCCATGTTGTTAAGCAAGGGCACACCTCCTGCCTCTTCGTTTCGAAAGCTTTGCTGAACATGTATGCGAAATGCAGGGCGTTTGATGATTGCCACAAGGTGTTCGACGAAATGCCCGACCGCGATGCCGTCGCCTGGAACATTCTCCTCTCCGGATTTTCGTCTTCCAGGGACCACGATTCCGAGGTCACGCGATTGTTCAACGCTTTCCGCGCCGGTAAGGATCCTAAACCGAGCTCTATCACTCTCGCAATTGTGCTCCCTGTTTACTCACGCCGCGGTAGTCGGAGTGCTGGCCGGAGTGTGCACGCGTACGCCGTGAAATCGGGAATGGAATCAGAGACGCTGGTCGGGAATGCTTTACTTTCAATGTATGCAAAATGCGGAAGTGTATTAGATGCATCTGCTGTTTTCCGGGGGATTGCTGACAAAGATGTTGTTTCGTATAACGCAGCAATTGCAGGATTGAGTGAGAACAAGCTCATGGAGGATGCATTGGACGTCTTTCGGGAGATGATCGAAAGCTCTGTATTTCCTAATTATGCCACCATTGTCAATATTCTGCCTGTATGTTCTGCATTAGGGGCCAGCATTGGATACCTATTGGGGAAGGAGATACACGGCTATGTGTTGCGAAGAGCTGAGTTAGGCGGCGAAGTTAGCGTTGTAAATGCTCTTGTAAGTCTGTATTTGCGAATCGGGTTGCTAAGGGAAGCAGAATGTTTGTTCAACAGGATGGAATATAGAGACTTGGTTTCATGGAACTCTATGATTGCAGGGTGTGCTTTGAATGGCGAATGGTGGAAAGCGTTGGGGATCTTTCGTGATTTGATTTGTACGGAGATGACCGGAGTGGATTCCGTCACCGTGATCAGTGTTCTTCCGGTTTGTTCGCAGTTGGGCGATTTATTAAAGGGGAAGGAGATACACTGTTATGTCTTGCGTCGTCCTGCTCTATTGGAAGACACGTCGATTGGAAATGCGCTGATCAATTTTTATGCCAAGTGTTACTTCATCGAAGCTGCATTCGGTACGTTTTCTTCTATTCCTCGGAAAGATTTGATTTCATGGAACACTATGCTAGATGCATTTGGAGTGAATCTATTCGAATCCGAATTTGTTGAACTATTGCATTGGATGTTCTCTGATAAAGTGAAACCCGACGCAGTTACTATCTTAACTGTGGTTCAGTTCTGTGCTGCACTTTTAAGGCTACGAAATGTTAAAGAAACTCACGGGTTTTCGTTGAAATCCGGTGTTTTACACAGCCGCAGTGAGCCTACTCTTGGAAATGCATTGCTTGATGCATATGCGAAGTGTGGGAACATGAATTATGCAGAAAAAATGTTCGAGAGTTTATCCGGAAAGAGGAATGTGGTGACTTGCAATTCAATTATTTCGGGATATTTGACGCACGGTTCACACGTTGAAGCAAATATGATATTCGAGAGGATGTCAGAGAGGGACCTAACAACATGGAACCTCATGGTGCGTGGTTACGCTCAAAACGAGCATCCAATTGAAGCTATCGATTTGTTTCACGAGTTACATTATCATGGGATCAGACCGGACAGCGTGACGATCATGAGTCTCCTTTCTGTTTCCACGCAAATGGCGTCGGTACGTTTGTTGAGACAGTGTCACGGATACATCATTCGCGCCTGTTTCGAGGACGCTCATTTGATTGCAGCTCTTCTAGATTCGTATTCCAAATGTGGTAGCATAAATTGCTCGTACAAGCTCTATTGCTCGTCTCTTCAAAAAGATCTTGTTCTGTTCACAGCAATGGTCGGAGGGTTCGCGACGCACGGAATGGGGAAAGAAGCCATAAGTATCTTCGACGACATGCTCGAGCACGGCGTCAAGCCAGATCATGTGGTAATAACCGCAGTCTTATCCGCCTGCCGTCATGCCGGTCTTATAAACGAGGGAGTGAAGGTTTTCAATTCGATTAATCGCGTGCATCGAATGGCGCCGAGCATGGAGCAGTATGCATGTGTGGTGGATCTTCTTGCACGAGGAGGGCGGATCGAAGAAGCGTTTTCATTTCTAAACCAAATGCCCGTCGAAGCTAACGGTAACATTTGGGGATCGCTGCTCGGGGCTTGTAAAACGCATCATGATGTCGATACGGGTCATGTTGTGGCTGATCAGCTCCTGAAAGTTGAGAACAGCGATATCGGGAATTATGTAGTCCTATCGAACCTGTACGCTGCAGATGCTAGATGGGACGATGTATTGGAGATGAGGAGGATGATGAAGACGAGGGATATGAAAAAGCCGGCTGGCTGTAGCTGGATCGAAGTGGGGAAACGGAAAGATGTGTTTGTCGCCGGAGATTTTTCTCATCCAGAGAGGAGTCGCATTTATGGCGTACTGAGTCAGCTGAACAAACAGATCAAAGATCTTTTCGAGACTCATTTGGTATGAAGAAGTAATGCTTCTGAACTAAACAAAGGTGCTTCTGGTCAGGTTTGAAAGTTTCGATCTTTGTTGAGTATTCGAGTTTTATTTTCTTGATTCTTTTACGGAAGTGAATAAAGGGAGCATCGATAGTTTTGAATGTTTCCCTATACAAGTCTTCCAATACAAAAGCTTTTCTGCAATTCCTGCGTGTAGTTTCTTAAGAAAGATCTGCATGTCTCAAATTGCCAGAAACAGATCTTTAAGGTTTCGATTCGAGTTTGGGAATAGTAAAAATTTGAATTATAATCATGTTTGATGTAATATAAATTTGATAATAGTGCAGGAATGTTCGTCGTGGGAGTCTGTTGCAAGCACGCGAACAATATAAACGGGTAACATTTTTGCTGTTTGAAGATCTTTCCTTTCTGCTTTCATCGATATTCTTCTCGTTTAGTTCATTGATTTAAAATTCTTTGCTTTTCATATGAATCGAAAGAGAATTCTACAAAGTTTATTGCTTACCAAAATATAAGTAGCATGGCTATATATAAGCGAATACATATACGATCAAATATTCCGGTCCTGTCCTCTTAGAGAATCTCTATATTGAAATGCTGTTTGGAATTCCCATGCCTGTAAGTCCGATATCGCTGCCGGGATACAGCAGAGTGTAAGGCATCTTAACCGGCCCGTATCTATTCTTCAATCTTGCATCTTTGTTCCTACTGTCGATTCTCGTCTCTATTTTCGACAGACTGTTTCCGAACTTCTTGAACGCCTGGAGCGCCTCTTCGTCAGCGGTCCATTCAGGCGAGTCTCGTTGTCCGAGGAAAATCTCATCCGAGGAATGTCTGGACAATATCTCGACCAGGGAAATGCCAAGGATGCTCTGCATCTGGGAAGTGATGGTCTTCAGGTAAGCTTTGTCGGGGTTCGTTTCGAGTTCTTCGTAGTCCGGAGTGCCTTTCTCTGGAATGAGTCTTCGGCTGGTCGATGGGCGGTTCGGGAGGTAGCCTCCGTAAGGGTACTGCCCGAAATTGACGGCAGCGTGAAGGGCGGATGCTACCCATATGATGATGGTGCATGATTGTACCAGATCTTCTATTGTCATCATTCTTGGCCACCAGGGCTCGTCTTTCTTGTCCGCGTGTCCCTTTTCTCGGAGCTCTGTCCACCATTCTTGAAGCTCTGTGTCATTCTGTACAGTCTCGTTGCTTTTGTAGTAAATGGTGCAGTAGTCGTGAACCCATGCTTTGATTGCTCCCCAGACATCTAGCCCGTCGACGGCGAAGGGATAGTCCTCGATTAGTAAACGGATGCCGTGTGGAGAACTCGAGTCTTCGGCTGCCATCCCTCTGAACAAGGTAAAATGTTTTTCAGATTAGTTCTTTGCTACTAGAATCTTGTGTGCTTTGTGGTAATTTTGATTCGAAGATATGATTTCTATCGTATGATGTGTGTACCTCTTGATGAGATCTGCAGGGAGTGCTTGGTCGGGGAAAACCCAATTCCTATAGATCGTAGACGACATTTCCATGGAATATTCGCCTGGGAAAACGGTGATTTCAAGAAATCCTCCGGCATTTATGAGTGTCTGCCGGCCCAGCGCATTTATATTCATTGTATCTCGGAAATGTGGCTGCAATAACTTATGTATGGGGTGAAGTACGCTCAGCTGGCGGTTAGTGGCGATTATGAATGGCTCGATCGAAGCATGAGTGTTCAACCTGGAACCAAAAACAACCGGCGAAATTCAGACTTCTGAACGAAATAGGGTAATCATTGTCTTTTAGATGATGTATCATATGTGCAGGGAAAAAAAAATAATAATTTACCAGTGGCAAACGATCTGATGGAAGCCCGAGTCATTGACATTAACATATGCCTTTGCCAGCTGCCAAAGGGTATGTTCGACTCCGTCATCTGCTGGGGTGTAGACAGAACTTACTGCTCCGTGATGGTCTCCATCTTCATGAGGTAAACTTAATTCAATCACCAATGGCTTCAGTGTGCCGTCTTCTTTCAAGAAGAGGATGGTTCTTGTTGCATATGTCTTTGTTGCTGTAGTGTTTATCCTTCTCAAGTAAGGCATCCAGTTGTCGTGATGATCTAATATGTACAGCTTATTGTTCTCGATCGCCTGCAATGGAGTAGCCATGGTAGTTAGTAGAAATATAATCTTAGGGTTGTACCTAAGATAGATTTGGTACGGGTTTTACCTCTTTGACAGTCAAACCATCTAGGCCATTTATTATATGCTCTTCGGTGATTGTGCTGGATTGATTTCCGTATAACTTCGGATCTAGATTGCTTGTCGGAGGGAACTCCTGCAAGAATGCAATTGTTATAAGCTGAGCTGATCGATGTTTCGTAAATGGAAAACAAATTGCAGAACCGTATCAACGGAGAGGATTATTTACTCGGAGGCGATGGATTACAACAGGGTTGATTCCAGCCAGCATTTCTCTTCCAAATTCTTCATCAGTTCTCCAAGCAAATTTGTCCTCTGCATCACCAAACATATGAAGGGAGAAGTAAAAGGTACGTAAATCAGTACATTTTCTATTTTATATAGCTTTCGAGTTTTTATGGATTCATTAAGTTTTTGTTAACTGCACCTTTGATGACCTGTGGGAGTGGAAATTTGAAGGGCCCTTCACCGTCTGATCGGAGTAGCTCCTTTATCATCTCAAAGGGAATGTGCTCCCTGATCTTCTGTAACAATGATTTGTTCGATACATCGATGCCACCTTCATAGAGCTTCAAAACATCCTCAAATGAGTCAAATTCGCTGGGAGTTTTGTCGAATAGAGCCTCGAATTCGGGGGCTAGGAACTGAAATATAGACTTAAGACCATATGCCACAAAATCTGACATCTTCAACTGACTGAACTTTTCGTCTCTCGGAACATAGATGCTCAAGCTATCATACAGAGGTATCCTGCTTTCATTGCTGGGATCTACCAATATTAGATCAATCAAATTGTTATATAGATATCTAGTCCAGAGTATAATTCAACGAAAATAAAAATGCTAATTGTGATCGTAAATTTCTTGTCTTACCAGATGAAGCTGGAGGTCGGCCAGTTCTTCCTCTTCGAGGATAAGGAAAATCAGATGATCCCCCAAGAATGCGACGCACATGCTCTGAACCTTTGTCTGGATCGCCTAAATCGTTATAGATATCATAATCGTAGACTCTATCCCACTCCTCAAGCTTTCCATCCCCACTTCCTCTCAGATTCTCCAGCTCTTCTCGTCTGTAACTGAGTAGCTCTGCTGGTGTTTCACTGGGAAGATATGTCTATAGCATAGCACAAAGTCAGTTTCTGCATTTTTATTTATTTCTAACTCAAGACATAACCTTTGGTATCTTTCAGGCATAAGGAAGCTGCAAATTATAAGCTTCATTATTCATGAAGCTTTCTGAAATATTGAAAAATTTCCAACTAATTTTGTCTTATAATCTCTTTCAGATACTTCTCTAAGGAAGAAGACAATCGAATACCTGATTGGCGAAGAAGATGCGGTCCTTCTTGTAGTGTTCGGCAGTGTAAATCCAAGAATTGCAGATGAAATGGACACGGCCATGACCGGGAACATCCTCAAGCGTCAGTGTCTTGAGATAGATTTCATGGTGATGATTATTTGTTATAGTAAAAGCCCCTGGAAATCCCATCTCCTCATCCCACTCGAACGAGATGTCATATTCTGTATCATCTGTCTTCAATGGAGTGACCTTTTTTGTCCACCCTTCCAGGTATGCTTTCTTCCCACGTTTCCCTTTGTAACTTTCACCTAGAAATATAATAACCAGGATTGTTCATGTTCTACATGTATTTAGGCAGAAATTATATGCAGATCGATACGCATTATCATCGTCTGTTGCTTATCTATCAAAACTGCAGATCAGAAAAGACAAAACTGATCAATTTGCAGAATACCTAAGATTTTACTTTCTAGATTTCCTTCCAAAAGTTCATCTCCAGCCAAAACAATTGTATGTCCTTCCTACACCTCGGAGAGGTATCAATTATCAGCCATCCGATCGTTCTGATCCAACGGTCTAGATTTCTAGAGATGGCCAATGAGTAATCAATGATCATTCTACATTCTACCTACCTACCATAAAGTAAGCAAACAAAAAAGCTGAAAAGCAGCAGCCAACAGGAACTCAATAATGTTAATGGTGGACGAAATCAACAACAAAATCCATACCAGTATCCTGACCAACTCCGCCGCCGCTTCTGCTGCTGCTAATCAGCTGAAGCGCAATCTTCCTCCCAAAAATCTCGTCGAATCGATCGACGACGGAAGATACCGCGTCTCTCACCCCCAACGTGTTCTTCCTCACCATGACGACCACGCCTTTGATCGTCGAGCTACCTCCGCCGCTCTCGTCGCGCTTAGGCTTCTTGCTCGGGTTGCTCTCCTCCATGCTCGCCGAGATCTGAGTTTTTCGGTAATGACTGTGGCCACCGTACTCCGGTCCTCCACCGGCGATCGAGAACCGTACCGCTTGTAATTGTAGGTACTGGAGCGAGGAGTACTGGAGAGGAAGGCAGCTTGTGATTGGGTATTTATAGTGGGAAGAAAGACTGAAAGAGCGTTGATCGGATTTAGCGAACGAGTTGACTCAGTAGCTTCGGGGAAATGCTAAATGCTGAAAAAAACGTATAAAAGTCGTATGTATTGTTTGTATGTATATGTCAGTGTCAGTATAATACACCAATTACCAAAAACATCAACTAATCATTTTTATTCAATACAAAATAAATTATTATTTCAGCAAATTGAAATATATATATATATATATAGATAAGATTAATTATTTACTCAGATTTCACACCCACTAGAATTTAAAATTGGAATAGTATGTGTCAAGTGTTTGATTGGATTTGGTTTGAATTTGATATTAAAAAATATTTGATGGGATATTTTACGAGTTAAAAAATTATATTTTTCAATAGAAAATTTTTAATGAATAATTACTTTGAGTGTATTTATATATATATATTTGATGTGAAATATAAAAATAATGAGTGTGTAATATATTAATATTTTTTAAAAGATATGATGAAAAGTTTTTGTTAAAGAAACAAATAAATAAAACATTCCTACTTTTCACTAAAAACTTCAAACACACAAACAAACACATCCTAACACTTTTTTCTTAAATTCGTCATAAAAAAGTATAATAAAGTATTTGCGAACGAATATTAAATTTGCTATAACAGGACAAGTGTAATAACAGTACTGTAAGAAATTATAACTATCAATTAAACAAACCCTAAAAATTGCTATAAATAACAAAACATTACGTTGGTTACTTTTTAGGGTGAAGTTGTTTGTTATTTGTTTGTAGATTTTCTTTTTACCACTGTTTAAATTCGATGACATCTGTATATATATTATTTTATTTTATTTTTTTTAACGTGAGAATCCACTGCCACTATCTAAGAGTACTCCGGTGGAACTTAATATCATCATTTTTACATACAAAACTATTATGAACTATAATTAAAATATAATATTTATTAAATTTAATGCAAAAAGATATATACATATTTATATAAGTAAACGAAAAAATTACTATTAGATTACAAATATATATATATATATGTATATATAAAGCCTGCCTAAACCATAAATTCTAAATAATCTTAAACCATAGTTGAAAACCAATTATTACGCCTTATTATAAATTTATATTGATTTCACTCCATGTATTATGTCACAATTTCTATTTTTTTGTCAATTTTATATTTCATATCATTTTTTTTTTTTTGAAAATATATCACACGTGTTAATTATATTTTAAATTTTTAAATTATAATCATATATTTTTTTATTATTTACTAATTATATTTTTACTAAATTTTTTTGTTTACAATAATTACGACAACATATCTCGACTGAACGACTAACTCTAAGATGTATTTACTATTAGTTTTAAATTAAAATTGTCCCTATTTAATTTACATAATTTTCAATATAAAAAATATAAAAAGTAATAAATAAATAAATAAATTCTCTAGTTGAAAACCATGGGCATTGTCTTAAATTTTTATTAGAAAGTAATAATAAATAGAAAGAGGTGAGAGGATGTCAACCTCCAAGTAATTACAATTTGAATATATGGTAAGAATCAGTCTTCCATGTGTTAGAAATAATTTTCGTGCCTGTTTTGGTTTTGTTTTATATTTGTGTTTGTGTTTGTTCGGGGTTTTGGATTTTGAAAAATTTTGAATTTGAATAGCTGTATGACGTGATATAAATAGGTGTTAGATGTGATGTTTTAAATGTAAAATTATTTTTTAGTATAATATAAAAAATAAAAAATAGGTGTTTGATTTGATATTTTTGAAAAAATAAAATAAAATAGGATGAATAGTATATTTAAAATCCAATCTCCCAGACAAACACACTTTATCTATCTGGAAAATTTACATGTGTTTGTTTATGAAAAAAAAATAAGTGTGTTTGATTGAGATTTTGGTTTAATTTTACGATTTCAAAAATTATAATATCAAATCAAAAATTTATTTTTTATTTATTATATTACAATGAAATTTAATTTTATATTTAAAATATCATATATTATATCATATCAAACAACTATTTTCAGTTCAAAATTTTATCTTTTAAAATCAATACGTTAATGTTAAAATTGGGTAAGTAAAAAATTAAAATAAAATAGGAAAAAAAATATGAATTCAATCTGTTCACTCAATATTTTTCAATAGAACAATTCCTTATAAATATTATTCTTTATGTCTCATTGAAAGGTTGTCATATTTTGTTGTCCGCCCTCTAATTTAGTAATTATAATACATACCTAATATAATAAATATTCTTTAAACATTACTTTTATGTTACACAATACTAATAGGAGTATTTTTGTCTTTTTTACTACAAACACAATATAATAATAATAATAATATTAAAAAATCTACAAAAAAAAATAGACGTTGTATTTTCAATAAAATTAAGTGAGTATTAAAAAATACAAATATACACATGTTAATATAATATATATATATATATATATTATCTAATAATAAACAAAATTTAACGTGAGAGATATAACTGATAATTTTCAATTTGGAAAAAACTGCACTATGATTTTATTCTTTTACGATTGAAAATTCCAGTGAATATTATTTATTCGAAATATTCTTCAATAAAAAATACATAATTTCATTGACTTTTCAATATTCAAAGTCTACTGTCCGTACTGTTTACTTATTCTCACCATACTTTCACATGTAAATAGTGTTCACACTAGTTGACTGTGCTCCGCTACACGTGTCAGTACCTGATTCGTTCAAACACTAGTCAAGATGATGTCTAAAGGCCATTTCGTCATTTTCAGGTATATTATTTACAAAATTTCAATAACAATACTATGAATTATGAATCATCGTTTGTTTGTTGATTTATTTATTTTTTAAAAATTTATCGAAATTAAAGTATATAAATTAAGGCTTTGTTTAACTTTTAAAAGTTTTTATATTTTTATAAAAAAATTATTATTAATGAATGATGAATATAGAGCCTAAATTCTTAGAGTAAAAATCATTTTTGGTCTCATTCGATCACAATTATTAATTTTGGTCTCCTTAAAAGAAAATTATCAATTTTGGTCCTACTCAAATAAAAATTTATCAATTTTGGTCCTACTCAAATAAAAATTTATCAATTTTAGTTCCAAAATGATTGTCTGGTCTTGAACACGGCCGTGTTGGATAACTCAGAAGGTGACTGGGCGTCCCAGACAGCCAACACGGCCTCAACACAGCCGTGTTGATTACCTGCACTTCTGAATACGGCCGTGTTCCTGCTCGTGTTCTGAACACAGTCATGTTCCTGCCCATGTTCTCAACACGCCCATGTTCTAGGTCATGTTCACGACTATTTTTCAATATAATCATATTGCAGGTCATATTTATTATTATTTTTACTTTTTGATTAAAATTATTTGATATAAATATATATATTTATAATTTAACAAAAATATATTTTATAATTATTTCATAATATAAAAATAATCAATTTTTAATATTTTAAAAATATGTAAAAAATAATAATATATTAATATATATTTTTAATGAGTTGTAAAATAAAATTCATAAATAATTTTTTTACTATATTACACTAAATTTGGAATACTGCATTTTAAAAATTTTGTTTTGTGTTTGTATTTGTAATTTGATTTTTTGTTAAAATATATTGATATTTTATAGGAAAAATTAATAGTATATTTGTACTAATTTTTTAAATAAATTTATTAATGATAAGATCGGGTTAAAAGTAAACAGAACAAAGTAAGTATAAAAAAAAGAAGGCTAAAAGCAACATTCCAATATCACTTTCCAAGACACATGTCGATTTGGGATTTGTGTGCAGTTTTAGTACATATTTTTATTTAAACCTAATTTAAATTGAATAATTTTAATATTATAAATATAGGCTTTGTTTATTTTGTATTTTGATTTTTATTTTTATTTTAATTTTGAATTTTTATTTGAATAGTGATTTTGAGTTAATATTTTGTAAAAAATATATATATTATAATGAATTTTTATAAATATAAATATAGATTTATAATGATAATTGTTTAGTAAACAAAGAAGGGAAAATTAAGCCATAAACTAATATTAAAAAAAAAAATTATTAAAGTGAAAGTGTGATGTTGAAGAATATAAATATATTTTTAGTTTCTTTTGTTGCAAATGGCTTATGGTGTGTTTTTATTAATTCATAAAAAATTAATTTTGAAAATATATTCATAAAAAATATTAATTCAATCATTTTTATTTTTTTTTCATCTAAGATTATATATATTAAAAAAAACTTTCAAGGAAAATAAATGAAGTATCTTCTCTATACTTAAAAAGAAATTTAGATATATATATATATATATATATGATATCAAATGGTATGTTCTCTTTGCAGTTTATATGCAATTTAGATAATTTTTTATAAAATATTAATACTTAATTATTAAATAAATAAATAAATCTTAAGGACCACACTCAAAAGGCCTGATTAGCTTTTGTGTGTCGGCCATTTTTGTCACTAACTTTTATTTATTTATTTATTTTTGAAGTATTGAAGTATATATGTGTCTTATATCTTAAATTTTCATATCTATGGTACCAAGAGAATACTAATAATAATATTTTTATAATAATATATAAATTGTAAGATTTTTCTTAATTATATAAAATTAAAATTGATTAAAAATAGATACATTAATTTTAGATCAAAATAACAAAATAAATTGATTTTGAAATTATAAGTGTAATTGCTTATTTTCTATTGATTGAGACACTTTTCCGACAGGGGATTCGATTTTGAAAAGTGAGCCACAATGACAAGAATAATAAAGATGCATGGGGCAATTTCGGTAGGTTTGTTTTGTAAAATAATTTAAAGAAATATTTTTTAAATTAAAATATAAAGAATTGTATATAAAAAATAAATAATTGAATTTGTATAATATATTAATTTTTTAAAAAAACATACGAAAAGTTTTTTTTTTTTGTTTTGTAAAATAATTTAAATGAATATTTTTTATTTGAAATATAAAAAATTATGCTGAAAATATAAAATAACAAATGAGTGTGATATACTTCCTCCGTCCTTGAACAATGATAGCGTTTGTTTTTTGCAAGTAGATTTTTTAATATTAATATTATAATGGATTGTAGTGAAAATGATGAAACTACCCCTATTAGTAGTGTGTAATATAAAAGTAATGATATTTGTGTAATATAGTGTAAGTTAGAAGGATATTTATTATGTTAGATAGATAGTGCAATTACTAAATTAGAAAATTGTAACCTTATTTTGGGATGGACGAAAATAAAAAATGACAATCTTTCAATGTATCGGAGGGAGTATTAATATTTTTTTGAAAATCGTGTGAAAAAAAAAAAAAAAAAATTGAAAGAACACACTTGCGCTCCTTCTCTGCTTTTTAAAGCCATAGATATGATTTTATTTTGTTCATTCATTAACCATTAATAAATCTATTTTATTATTTTGGATATACTAAAAAGTATATTTATATTTTATTTAAAATTACCAGTATACTATTTTTCAAAAGGGTATTTTAATCATTTTTTTTTTTTTTTTTTTTTTTTTGTAATTATATAAACAAAATGAATGAAGTATAAAGTATGTTTGTTTGTGAAATAATTATGACAGATTTTATTTTTTATTTTTAATTATATGTAAAGTATAAAAAAATGTATAAAAAATATAAAAATAATAAATCTATACAGTGAATTAATGTTTTTTTGAAAATTGTGTAGAACAAAACGATAGAAATAACAAAATAATATTTATTTTTACTTAAAATATTGTATAAAAAATTATTCGAAAATATTATATTAATATCTACTTTATTATATAAAAATTTACTTTTTATTTTATTTATATTTTTATTATTTTAAAAATAATTCAACTTTTTTGAAAAAAAATATATATATATATATAAAACTAGCAAGTGTTTTGACTATAAAAATAAAATAATACCGTGATGTTTACATTTAAATTTTTAAAATTTATGTTCACATTACAACTACTAACTATTAACTAACCAATAGTAAGCAATTAATTAAGCACATAGAAAAAAAATAAAAATTAATATAATATTGACCACCAAATCCAACCCATGTTGACCTCAAAAGGAATTTTCATTTAATTTATGTAATAACTTACCTTGATTCCAAAATAATCACATTCAATACATATGAATTATTTAAAATATTATGTACAATATTATTGTTCACCCAATATATATATATATACATTTGTCATAATTTCCTATAAATATTATAATATTATAATATATTCATATTAATACAATATATAATATTTTATTCACTTATAAAAATATAATAATTTAATTCAAAATATTAATTTTTATATTATCTAAACGATTTTTCATATTCTAACATAAAAAAATAAACTCATTAAAAAACACTAATTGAACAGTTGTGTATCTTTTAGTATTTTATAATGCATTTTTAATTTATTATTATTTATTGAAAAATAGAAAATATATTAAAATAATTGTTTTTATTACTAGTTAAATTTTTTAAGAAATTGTATACTGTAAGAAATTGAAAACAAACACACCCAAACCCTCTATTTAATTTCTGGTCTCATCATTTTTATTAATTATATTTATATTACAAAAAAGTTGTCTTTTTAAAAAATAAAAAAATACATTCACTAGTGCTAATATTCTACTTAATTAATTTTTTTATTGGAGCGGAAAGAATCTAACCGACAGCCTGTCATTATTTTTTTAAATAAAAGATATCTACCAAGTATTGAATATGCTTATGAAATAAAAATTTATTCTAATTGCATTGGTTGTAATAATTATCATTTCAAATTAGCATTTTTTTTAAAAAAAAATTAATTCACATTGACATTAAAAATAAAATAAAAAATACGTTAACTTGATTTTAAAAAAATATCATGGTAGAAATTATATACTATTGTGTCTCATTTACTGATACGAAAAATTTTAGGAGAGTATAATTAGTAAATAATTAAAAATATATTACTGAAAATAAATATTATATAATAAAATAATAATTTTAAATTAAAATTAAGATAAAAAATTATTCTAATTAAAAGTAAAAAAAAAACTATAAATTAAAATATTTAATATAAAATTAAAGTGTATAAATCTTTTAAAAAATAAAAGAATTTATTACTCACATGACAAAGTATCCATTTTTTCATTTTAGTCCGTCCCATAACAAAGTATCAATTTTATTTTTTTTTAGTAACTGTACTATTTACTAACATTACAAATGCCCTTACAACTTACAGTATATTACACAAATGTCATTTAACTTTATTTCACATATACTAATAAGGTTATTTTAGTCATTTCTATTTTATTCATACTATATCCAAATATAATAATAATATTTCTAAAAACTACATGATGCAAAAAGCAAATAAATATTTAATTATGAGACCGAAGGAGTATTAGTTCTATAATGTGTAAATTATTATTATGTGCTAAATTGTTGTATGTTTTACTATTGATTATTGTCCTGTATTGTATTAACTATTATTTATAATTTAAATAAAAATTAAATAATATTTTGATATTAGTGTAAAAAAAAATAATTACGAAAAAATAATAAAAATTCAATATTTGTAGTATATATAAACTATGTATAATATATTTATTTAGTATGTATTGTATGTGTGTGAAAATATATATTACTCTTTCAAATTCTACTTTAGTTGTCCAATTTCTTGTAGATATATAGGTAAGAATATAATAATAAATAATTTTAAAAATATATTAATAAAAATAATTATTATATAATAAAATAATTATAAAATAAAATTAAAATAACTAATTAAGTTATTTAAAATTAATAAAATTATAAAATTTAAAATTTGATTATAATGTAATTATTATTATTTTTTAAGAAAAAAAAAACAAATTATATGATACAAACTAAAACAAAAAAATATATATGATCAAATTATATGGGACTCAACATTATTAATAGACACCAAACTATATACTACATATCAGTTTCGACCCCACTCCCACTCTTTGACAGACCAACTGCTGACGTGTCCGACCACTTATCCTATGTGTAAAAGAACCGAGTCAGACTAAAACACGGCCATATTTCCAATAAACACGCCCGTGTTGTATTTATGAAATCCCCCATGCAAAACATATGAAATTTCCATCAAATTTGCAGTAACAAAAGAACCAAAATACTCACAAGAAAGATAAGGCAATTGGTTTTTCGAAAAGCATCATTAATTCCTAAAAGATGAATAATGAAAGAAACCATCAGCATGATGATTAAGTATTGAGGCAAAAAAAAAAAAAAACATACCTGTGTAATATTATGACTAGTACATCAATGAATTCCTCTTGCTCTTCATGGCTTTCAATTTCAATGGACTCCAAACCAACTGTTTCTTCCTCTGCAGCGCCACCACCGTCGGATGCGTCGGCTTCCATTGCGAAGGCGGGCTTCCTCTGAACTTACTACTACTCGCCGCACTAGGCAATCCAACCGATGTCAATTCATTCAATGGTTGCTGCTGCTGCTGCTGAAGTGGTGAAGGCACTCTTGATGTTCGCCACAACTTTTGCGGATCCCACACATACGATTGCCTGCCCACGAATCGTCTGATTCTCGGCTGGATCGATGATGATGAGCCTTCTGATGGAGCTTGTTTCATTGTTGAGTTCAATTCAGGCTGGAGAGTTGCCACAGAAGCTCTTCTTCTCGGACGAAAAGTTTGATCACCTGTTGTTGTTGCTGGAGGGGGAGGAAGTGGCCTCACGGCTATCGAACCTCGCCTTGCTTGTAGAGTTGCCACAGAAGCTCTTCTTCTCGGACGAAGAAAAGTTTGATGACCTGTTGTTGTTGCTGGAGGAGGTGGTGGTGGTCTCATGGCTATCGAGCCTCGCCTTGCTTGTAAGCTCGATTTCTCCTTCCTTTCGTTTAGAGATAAAGGGAATAATCCATCCTCTTTGCGTTCTTCGTTCACAGCAGGGAGAATAGACATGGTGTTCTTTAGTGTGGGAGCCGGGGATGGAACAGGGATGTTGTTTGTAATTTTTCGGAGAGGAGGCCTTAATTTTGATGGAGCTAAGGGAGGTTTTTTGTCCATTGAAGTCGATGTAGCCAATGCTCGGTTTTCCTGTTTCAATCTTATCTTCCTCTCCTCGGCTAACTGGTTTTCGAGCTCGCGAACCTGTAAGGATTGATTTCAAGTCAAGCTCAAGTTCCTCATATTTAGAGTACAGCAGTTTAGTTTGCGAAAATATTTTAGATTTCGACCTTTTCTTGCAGATTTCTGCAAACACTTTCTCTGGCAGTCAGCCTTAGCTGTAAGGATTGCACATTGTCCTGCAACTTTTTTGTTTCCTTCTCATCATGTTTCGCTTTCTCAACCTAGGAGAAACATAGATCAGAAAGTTAGTTCGAAACCATCTCATGATATGGCGAAAATGATTTTGAGCCAGGCGAAGTTTGTGGTGTTGTTGACATACAAGCTGTTTGTATTTTAGAAGCTCTCCATGATCCGTCTGTCTTCGTGCAGGTCCATGCTCGACTCCTCGAACACGGCTGGCGAAATTCAACGAGCAAAGAGTTTCTGCTAAGTCAGCTGCATTTGGACTAATTTGAACAAACATCAATGTTTTACAGTCCCCTCCTGCATTAGAGAAGGTAATATTATTATCCACATAAATGTTTCTTTCGATTATATATACATACAACTCATCTAAGAAGTATTTATATGTGCTTTCTCATTGTTTATCTAAGTGTTCGAGTAATCGAGTCAAGTAGATCAGCACAAAGCTTACCTAGAGAACTTTGGAGCAAATGTGTGAGTTTTGAGTTCCTGTTAGTTTATAGAAGGAAATTAATAAAGCAAAATTCGGCGAAAAATGTATACAGAGATGTATATGTAAGAGAGGAGAGAGTAAAAGCCACACCTGTAAGGAACATGGGATGTTTTCGATGCAAGTGCAGAGATGACATCGCCCAACGCCGATAAGGATTTGTTTATAAACTGAGATTCTTTTAATCTTTCTCCTTCAACTTCAGTCTTACTAACCCGCTCGCTTCCTGCTAGATCAACTAGCCACAAATGGCTTCTTGTTCTTACCCCGTTTACTAAATTTTCGCCTACAATGGTGACCCGCAACAAGCTGCATGGATGTGAAAGAAAACAACCAACTCCGGATGATCAGTGTTGTAGGAGTAATTAAGGAACAAAAAAGGGCAGTGCACACAAGAATGTAGCAGAACTACCAGTGAGACCGGCTGCTAAGCTCGTTAGCATTAGTGGATCCGACGGATCTTGCCTGACTTCCTGCTCTGAGCAGGCGCCAAACCTCTTCTGTATTGTAAACACGCGCTTCGACAAGTCCGGGGACTTCTTGAGTGCCCTCAGCTGATTGTTTTATCTCCAACCTGTATTGCAAATAGCATTAGTTCTCTTTGCCAAAAAAACAATATAAAGTTTAATTTTAATCCAATGTGAGCAGAAGTCACAAAAGGAACAAGGAAATCCTATAATGAATATAATTCTAATTCTATCCATAAAAGACTTCGAACAAGAAGCCCGTCACCCAACTCAAATAGGCAAACTAAACTTTGTCATAGTGCCATAAATCCTAGCACCAATATAGAAGAAAAAAATGGCAAAGCAACATGTTTCTTTGTTGATGTGAGCTGGATAAAGGGCAAGAATTAAACAATGATTGAAAAATTGCAACAGGCTAAGAGTAAGGAGGGCTTACCTTTTGTCAGGTTGGTTCGAGTCGTCAATGAGAAGATCCCTTATCTTTTCATTGTAAACCTCAAGCATGCTAACACACAATTCATATTTTATAATACTGCTTCTCTTCTCAATTAATCTGAAGAGCTCCTCAAGAGTCCTATAGTTTACTCCCCGATTTTCATGTGTTCCTTCCATGGTGTATGTCTTCCCGGTGCCAGTTTGCCCATAAGCAAATATGCACACATTGTATCCATCCAAGACAGAGGTAACTACTGGCAGAGTTTGAAGAAAGACAGCCTCTGCACATCGGAAAGGGCATTGGATCAATAAAAGAAGGTAATGATCTGGCAGGCATATTTCACTTCAATTATATAATGTGTTACCTTGATCGTCCTCAGGTCTGAATACATGATCAAATTTGAATTGCTTCCGGGAAGAATCCGAACAAATGATTTGTAACTCATTCTCCTGACATGAATCATGATCAAGAACCGAAGTCGACCCATTCGCAATCTCATCTTCCTTCAGCGGCCTGTTCCTGCAAAAGACCCTGATATTTCCTTTGAGTTCTATCACTTCATTGTAGAGTTTCTTTCTTTCATAGCATTCTTCAAGATACTTCTTCTTCAGTACCCCGCACTCTTCTTGGCATTTATTTCTCAGAAGTTCATGTTCTTCGCCTAAAAGCAAATTCAACAGACAATTACAGTGGTCACAACTCACAATATGTAAGCCAGAAATATAAAAAAAAATATATTAAAGCATAGCTGACATACTCATATGTTGCAGAGCAGTGAAAGCTTCAACATCAGGAAATGAATTAAAGATGCTCTTCACTTCATTGCGAAGACGATCACGTTCCTTCTTAAGAACCTGAAATCACAGGCAACGACTTGCAGTCAAAACTGAAACTAGGAATTCTTGACACACAAATGCCTTCTTATAAACTCCCCTTTACCTGCACTGAGTTGTTGAGATTTTCTATTTTCAGAAATTTTGATGTAGTCTGGATCTCATACGTTTCTTCAGAAGAATTAGACGCACAATACTTATCCACTGAACAAGAAATTCCTTCAGTTTCCCCTGGTCAATCCCCAAATCCAGAAAAATCAGTCATCTAGCCATTAATCACATATCTCATTTTCCTCTACAAATAATTCCAAGATATTTCAACAATAAAGCGACAGTAAAACAAACCAGATTCAGATTCTTGCATAGGAGCGTTCAAATCGTGAGCGACGGCGACAATTTCTGGAAGCGAAAATACAGAATCAGAAATGAACTTCACTTGCCAGAAACAAATATAGAAATATAGATTTAAGAAAATAATAATTAAGCTCAACGAACCTGCGTGGTGTTGAGATAAATTGATAGCATTATCGAAACTTGAACATAATTTTTCTAGGGTTCGATCTGTACATAAAACGAACAATACGATGTTAGTATGTTACCGTATCCAAAAAACCCTAAAAACAACCACACACAGACTCCAGGCGTCCATAGAATTACAAACATTGTAGAGAAAATCAAATACCATCGACGATTGCTGCCATCAATCTTCGCCTTCTTGATCGACTCAAAATCTGTGTGCAAAATTGCAGAAGTCCGAGCGCTTAGAAAGGGAGATGAAAATAAACGATTTAACGGTCGGAAAGAAGATCTGGCATTTATTAACATTCAAAATTTCAAAATCGCATTTGAATTTGGAGCAATCTGAGCCGTCCGATTTCGGACCTCACTAACGGTTATAATTCTTGATGAGCTGACAAAAGAGCATCCTCTAATTTGAGTCTAACCATTTCTTTAAATGTGTGTCTTTTTTAGAAATTTTGGTTTGGATTTACTGTTAAGATATTTAATAAAAAAATATATATTAAATGTGAGTACTCACAGTAGTTCCGATACAGACGGGATAAATACAACCTTTACACCTCAAGGTCATTTTAAGGATAAGATTATCCCTTTATTGTATATTACACGTTAATTTCTTTACTTTTCACATTTATTCTTTCATATAGATACGCTATTGGGAATCCCTTTACCAGTAAGTCCGGGACCACTGCTCCGGTACAACAAAGTATAAGGTATCTCCACACTCCCCATTCTGTTCTTCAACCTTCCATCTCCATTCATCTCTACAATCTCCTTCTCGATCTCTTCCAGCCTCTTCCCGAACTTTCCGAAAGCTTCTAGAACCTTCTCATCCCGGGTCCACTCCGGCGTGTCACGCTGCCCGAGATACACCTCGTCTGACGAATGGCGCGACAACAGCTCGATCAGCGCTATACCCATCAGCGTCGGCATCTTCGCCGTGATCGTCCTCAGCACCACCCGCTCCGGATCATCCCGGAGCTCCTCGTACTCCTGGCTCCCCGGCTCTGGCATTAGGCGCCGGCTCATTGTCGGCCGGTTCGGCATGTACCCGCCATACGGGTACTGCCCGAAGTTCAGCGCCGCATGCAGAGCCGACGCCGTCCATATGATGATCGTGCATGAGCTTACGAGCTCGTCCCGCGTCCGCATGGCCGGCCACCACGGCTCGTCCCATTTGTCGCCGTGGCCCTCATTGCGGAGCTCCTTCCACCATGATTGCAGCTCGGTATCGCCTTGGACAGCCTCGTCGGAGGCATAGTAGAATTTGCAATAGCCGTCGACCCATTCTTTTATCGCTGACCAAACTTTCAGGCCGTCGACGGCGTAGGGGTAGTCTTCGATTAGTAGCCGGAGGCCATACGGCGAGCTCGCGTCCTCCACCGCCATCCCCCTACGCGATCGAGTTATATTAGTTGCGGTATAGTTGAAAGTCGACTCGAATGGACGAGGTTTTTACCGTTTGAGTAGATCGGCGGGGAGCGCTTGATCAGGGAAAATCCAGTCCTTGTAAAAGGCAGAAGACATCTCCATCGAATACTTCACCGGGAAGACGGTGGTCTCGAGGATCCCTCCGGCATTGATCACGACTTGACGACCGAACGCGTTGATGTTCATCGTATCGCGAAAGTGAGGTTGAAGGAGCTTGTGGATCGGGTGGAGCGCGCTGAGCTGCCGGTTAGTCGCGATCACGAACGGTTCCATTGCTGCGTGCGTATTCAGCCTGCGAAGAAACAACGGGAGCATCATGAATCGGTGTTGTCGCTCGAATGTGCAGCCGTTACGATGAATGTAGGTTTCTTCACCAGTGGCTAATGAGTTGATGCCTCCCCGAATCGTTCACGGCGACGTACGCTTTCGCCAGCTGCCAGACAGAGCCCTCAACGTCGTCATCGGCAGGAGTGTACACTTTGCTGACCGCGCCGTGCTGGTCTCCGTTGGGATGCGGTAGGCTGAGCTCGATCGCTAAGACCTTCAAGCGCCAATCGTTTTGCAAGAAGAGTATTGTTCTAGAGGCGTAAACCTTCGAGGGAGTCGTCGTGTTGATTCGCCTCAGGTATGGCATGGTCGTGTCGTGGTGGTCAAGGATGAAAAGCCGGTTAGCGCTCACCGCCTATTAAAGAAACACGACACGTTCCGGTTGATGAAAAAAATTTCGATAAGCATGTTCGAGCTGGTTGATCGTTACCTCATCGACGGTTAACCCGTCTAATTGTTTGCCGAGATGATCGATCGTAATGGTGCTCATTTGGTTGCCGTATGCTTTAGGATCGAGCTTACTTCTTGGCGGGAACTCCTACACATTGAACATTCAAATATTAGCTCGATTTCTTCAACGAATCTAATCGATCGAGCAACGGAGTTTAGGCACCTTGAGACGGCTAATGACGACGGGATTGACTCCGGCGAGCATCTCCCGCGCGAACTCTTCATCCGTCCTCCATGCCGACTTATCCTCTACGAAAACAACCAAAATGTTAAAACAAGTCTCGGTCGATAGATTTTCGCGACGATGTACCTTGGATGACTCTTGGCATCGGGAATTTGAATAGACCCTCGTCACCGTCTCGCCGGAGGACTTCCTTCACTAGCTCGAAAGGAATGTTTTCGAACAAATTTCGTAGGAGAGGAGTATCGGGGAGCTTGATCCCGCCTTCGTACAATCCATAAACATCTTCGAAGCTGTCGAATTCATTGCACGTACGATCACACACGTCCTTAATCTCGGGAACAAGAAATTGAACGATCGACTTTATCCCGTCGCCAAGGAAATCCGACATCTTCAAGTGTCCGTACCGCTCATCTCTCGGCACATGTATGTTTAGCCCCAAGAGCAACGGAATCCGGCTCTCCGTCGTCGGATCTATCAAAATTAAACCCAAAATAAACCCAAATCGATCGATGAACACATACATGCATGAGTCGAGAAAGAACACGGTCTAACCGGTCTTTGTCGGAGGACGTCCGGTTCTTCCCCGACGAGGGTAGGGATACTCGGAGGATCCACCGAGAACCGGGCGAGCGTAATCCTCGCCCTTGTCGGGATCCCCCAAGTCGTTGTAATAAGCGTAGTCGTAAACTCTATCCCATTCTTGGAGCTCGCCGGTGCCGTCTCCACGCAATGCCATTAGCTCTTCCTCTCTGTAGGGGAGGAGCGCGGCCGGCGTTTCGCTCGGGAGATAAGCCTACGTGGAAAAAGAACATATTAGTGCATTTATTTTTGTCGTAAAACTTTTTTGGAAACTTACAGTAAATTTAATTTTAGCTCGTTATGTTTACTTGGTTAGTGAAGAAGATACGATCCGTTTTGTACTTGTTGGCGGGATAGACCCACGAGTTGCACATAAAGTGAACACGGCCGTGTCCCGGAACATTGTCGAGGGTGAGCGTCTTGAGGTAGAATTCAGCGTGATGAAAGTTCTTGATGATGAACGCTCCCGGGACTCCGTCCTCCTCCTCGTCCCAATCGAAGTTCACGGTGAATGCCGAGTCGCTCGGCGTTAGAGAAGGGAGTGTTGTAATCCAATTCTCTAAGTGCGTTGTCTTTCCGACTTTTCCTTTTAGTTTGTTTCCTGTAATTTATTTAAGACAGTAAAATTTTGAATTAAAATAATATATATATTTAAATAAATATAAGCATAAATTACTTGTAATAATCTATGATAATTCGAGATGTAGTACCACAATTTAAATAAAATATTATACATGTTAGAATTACAAGGTAGCAACAAAAGCAATTATTTAAGGTAATTTGAAATATGAGCCTCGGAAGAAATGATGTAGTGGCGTGTGCAGTGATCTATATCATAAAGAAGTCACAAAAGTATTTGAGCGGAAATAATTACTCCCTTCCTAAAATAAAATAAGTTTTTTTTTTCTTTTTATTTTAAAAAATCTATAATTAATATATTTTTTAATAAAAAAAAATCATATTACTACGGTTTCATTGTGCAACATTTGGTTTTAAATACAAAAATTTAGATGAATAGTATTTTTTTCATCTCATATTTTTCTAGTTGATTAATTTTATTTTTGTCTGTCTCTTTTTATTTATTTATTTTATTTTTAAAAAAATTATTATACACTTGAATCATAATTTAAATTTTATACTCAATAATTTTTTAATTTTTGTTAAATTAATTAATTAATTATCTTAATATATAAGTATTTATATTATATAATAATTAGTTTTACTAATGTACTTTTTAATTATTTATTAATTGTAATTTATCTATGTTATCGTATATACATTCAAATGGACAAAAAAGTTGAAACATGAGGAGTATTAAAAAAAATAATTTATAAATTATATAATATGATAAAAATAAATAAATATTTATTTTTTATTTGAATAATACGATAAAATAAAATATAATTAATTATTATTTATTTTAAAAATATTACTATATATAAAAAAGTATATATTATGGAATATTTGAGCTATCTTTTTATTATAAAAAATAAAAATTAATAAAAAAATGCACACTACATTAAAAATCTGTACAAAAGGAGATAGTCTCGTGTAATTGTATTGCGAATGATTTGAAAATTCCAATAAGTAGAGAATACGATATTAAAATGAAAAATAAAATAAAATAAAGTTTGAATCTTTAGTATTTCTAAAGTATAAAGTTTATTAAAAATACTCACAGGGGTATCAATCTAAGTATTTTTTTTTCTAGTTATTATTATTATTATACTATTACTACTCTTTATAAGTTATTATAATTTTAAAAAAAAAAAAAACATATTCAAACTATAATTTAAATAAAAATAAAACAAATAGGACTGATGCACAAATACACAAGTAGATCCGCCAAATTTCAGGGTGACATATCTAATTTTATAATTGATTTGGTTCAACTACTACTCTCGATACATAAATTTTATTAGGAGTCAGTCAAGTGATCATGATGTAGCGTTTAACATATTATTATATTTTTTCTTCATGAAGACCAAAAAACACGATTTCTTATGACTTAATAAAAGTGGTGGTGAAATTAATCAAGGGTGTGTTTGTTTGGGGGATTGGATTAGATTTTCACTATTCATTCCAATTTTTTTTCACCAAAAACATTAAATAAAACACATATTTTTTATTTTTTATATTATACTAAAAATCAATTTTACCTTCAAACCATCACATCAATACCTATTTATATCACATCATACAACTATTCAAATTCAAAATTTTTACTATTCAAATCTCAACTCAAAATCCAAACCCCCAAACAAACACACCCTAAATAGTTTATGGGGTCAGACTGAGGGGCACTATTTTAGATACAACATACTTCAGTTTTGTCCCGTAAGGGATGACTTGGTGGTGTAGGAGTTGGACTTGTGACCGTGAGGTCCCGACGCCTCAGATCACCTGCCATACATGGTTCGCCTAATGTGACTTTCCCGTCGGGTCTGGTTTGCAGGATATTATGTTCCGCCGAGGGTTTACCCAGTGTAAACTTTCGGGTAGCGATTTTTACTCATAAGATTTTACTTTTGATTTTACTATCTAACTTTTTTTTCTCTGAAAAATATAAAATCAAATCAAACATTTATTTTTATTTATTATATTAAGTTAAAATTTAATTTTATATTTAAAACATTACATTAATATATATTTATATTATATCAAACAATTATTTTAATTTAAAATTTTACCATTTGAAATCAAAATCTTACAACTAAACACACTCATGATTTATCGTCTACGTGCAATATTCATATGTATCATTTATTCATATACAAGAGCGTGAATTAATTATTTTCTCAGGTGAATATACGTCACAGGACAATGAATAGGTGATGGTACAATTCAAATACGAAAGAATTCGATTCTAATACCATATTAAATTATTAATTAACTTAAAAACTTTCAATGAACTATTCATTTAACATGGTTTTTTTAATAAAAAAATGTTTCAATTTAATATTATAAATATAAACTAATTATTGAATATAAAGTGTATTTGTTTTGTAAAATAGTTTGAAGTGATTATTTTTACCTAAGATATAGAAAATAGTGTAGATAATATAGAGTTTGCTTGTCCAATAAATTTTTTTTCTACACGATTTTCAATAATACTCCATTCGTCCCATATTTATATAGCTATTTGTTTTTTGCACAAAGTTTTATAAATATTAGTATTATATTGACATAAAGCAAAAATAAAGGTAAAAAGATTAAATTAACTCTGTTAGTATTGTATGATATAGAGGTAATGAATTAAATTGGAATGATATTTGTAATGTTAGGCATATAATACAATTATTAAAAAAAAGAAATTGATATTTTGTTACGGGACACATAAAAATGGAAAAATAGATAAATTGTTAATGAATGTAGAAATATATTTTATCTTTTCACAGAAGTCAACGTTCAATATAAAATATTATTATATTTTTTATATTAACAACAACGATTATCCATATTTTATATAAAGAAAATTTCAAATTAAAATACTATATAATTTATATAATATCTTTCTTTAGAAAAACATTATTATAAATATATATTTTTTTAATGTAATGTTTAACATAAAAATAATTTATATAATATCCTTTTTTTAGAAAAACATTATTATAAATTATATAGAGTGGAGCTAACACGAAATTGAAGGAAGCATACTTTATCCGCAAAATAGTAGTAATATTTACCAAAAAGAAAATATTAAGAATGAGACATCCACTCATTTTTGTCCTACTAAAAAATTCAATTGTTATCATCGATTTATTTACTTATATTTAATTGTAATTTTTTTATTTGAATATATAGTAATTTAAATGTAGCAGTATGCTGTAATATAAAATAATATCTTTTTATAAAAATTAATAATATATATATATAATAAAAAATTTGAAGTAAAATTGCCCGATATAATTATGTGATAACAATATAAGCGTTTGTTTAGTAAAATTGTTTAATTTTTTTTTTTTAAAATGTGAATCTACGTAATAGTAGTATATTATTATTTTTTTTAAAAAAAAATATATATTTTTGGAGAATCAAGGAAGAAGACACTAGATTTCGTATCAAAATTATTATTCAATTTTATTTTTTTTTTATAAAATATTATTTAAATAAAATCAAATAAAAAATTCAACTTCAAAATAAAATAAAACACATTTGTTGGAACTTCACAATCGTCTACACTACACTGGTTCATTCTGCAAAAGTTACCCCAAGAGCATTTTAATGCTCGTGATAATGATGATTCGATTTTGATTTCGAAAACAATATAAAAAATAAAAATGAATAGCGAATTATTGATTGCAATAGTAAAAAAAAACATTTATATAAATTGATGCGCACCGGAATCGGCGGTGGTTCGGACGGAGCTGATGAGCTGCAGAGAGACTTTCCGGCCGACGAATTCGTGAAGCGTGTCGAGAACGGAAGCGCTGAAATCGTTGAAATCTAGAACGTTTTTCTTCACCAGAACAACCGTTCCTTTGATCTGTTGTTGCTTCGATCTCTGGCGAGTCTCCGGCCGGCGGTTCTCGTCTTTCTTCCGGCGGTTGCGGCAAGTCAGTGCCTGCAGTATTCGGTTGAACATTGCTCTCTCTCTCTAGAATTATTAGCGATGTGGAAATGGAATTGGAGATGGAAGAATGGCGAGTGGTGGGGTATTTATACTGCCGCGGGGCCGACGAGCGCACGCACGATGGACTTGTAGCTGTGGATTATAGTTCAAACCTCAGATGCCTCGTGATCATCCGTCCACGTATAAAAATAAAATAAAATTTCTTTTTTAATATAACTACGTCAAGTATTTAGTAGTTGCGTGTGTGTTTGTTTTACAAACTTAAGTTTGTGTTTTTCAAACCATTTTTTCACAATCCAATTAATATTCTTAAAAATATATATATACAGACTAACACTACATAATATATTTATATATATATTTAATAAAAATAAATAATTTTATGTATAAATGTAATATTACTTTATCTGTTATAAAATATTATGTTAATTTACTTGCACAGCAATTTTAATAAAAATAAATACTTTTTCATCAACTTTACCAACATATATTCATAAATAACATGATTTTTTAAAACAATACTATATTGTATATTACACACATTTATTTATTTATTCACATTTATTCATTCATACAGATACAGTATTGGGAATTCCTTTACGAGTAAGTCCGGGATCACTGCTCCGGTAGAGCAAATGTAAGGTATCTCCCACTCCCAACTCTGTTCTTCAACCTTCCATCTCCATTCATCTCTACAATCTCCCTCTCGATTCATATCTATTTATTTTTCACATTTATTCATTCATATAGATACGCTATTGGGAATCCCTTTACCCGTAAGTCCGGGACCACTGCTCCTGTACAACAAAGTGTAAGGTATCTCCACACTCCCAACTCTGTTCTTCAACCTTCCATCTCCATTCATCTCTATAATCTCCTTCTCGATCTCCTCCAGCCTCTTCCCGAACTTGTCAAAAGCTTCTAGAACCTTCTCGTCCCGGGTCCACTCCGGCATGTCGCGCCGCCCGAGATACACCTCGTCCGACGAATGTCGCGACAGCAGCTCGATCAGTGCTAAACCCATCAGCGTCGGCATCTTCGCCGTGATCGTCCTCAGCACCACCCGCTCCGGATCATCCCGGAGCTCCTCGTACTCCCGGCTCCCCGGCTCCGGCATCAGGCGCCGGCTCATCGTCGGCCGGTTCGGCATGTACCCGCCGTACGGGTACTGCCCGAAGTTCACCGCTGCATGCAGAGCCGACGCCATCCATATAATGATCGTGCACGAGTTTACGAGCTCGTGCCGCTTCCGCATGGCCGGCCACCATGGCTCGTCCCACTTGTCACCGTGGCCCTCGTTGCGGAGCTCCTTCCACCACGATTGCAGCTCGGTATCGCCTCGGACAGCCTCGTCGGAGGCGTAGTAGAATTTGCAATAGTCATCGACCCATTCTTTTATCGCCGACCAAACTTTGAGGCCATCGACGGCGTAGGGGTAGTCCTCGATTAGTAGCCGGAGGCCATACGGCGAGCACGCGTCCTCCACCGCCACCCCCCTACGCGATCGAGTTATATAAGTTATGGTACAATTGAAATTAAAGTCGAGTCGAATTGACGAGGTTTTTACCGTTTGAGTAAATCGGCGGGGAGAGCTTGATCGGGAAAAATCCAGTCTTTGTAAACAGCGGAAGACATCTCCATCGAATACTTCGCTGGGAAGACGGTGGTCTCGAGGATCCCTCCGGCATTGATCACCACTTGTCGAGCGAAGGCGTTGATGTTCATCGTGTCACGAAAGTGAGGCTGGAGGAGCTTGTGGATCGGGTGGAGCATGCTGAGCTGCCGGTTCGTCGCGATCACGAACGGTTCGATCGCCGCGTGCGTATTGAGCCTGCAAGAAACAACGGGAGCATCGTGAATCGGTGTTTTCGATCGAATGTGCAGCCGTTACGATGAACATAAGTTTCTTCACCAGTGGCTAATGAGTTGATGCCTCCCCGAATCGTTCACGGCGACATACACTTTCGCCAGCTGCCAGACAGAGCCCTCGACGCCGTCGCGGGCAGGAGTGTACACTTTGCTGACCGTGCCGTGCTGGTCTCCGTCGGGATGCGGTAGGCGAGCTCGATCGCTAAGACCTTTAAGAGCCCGTCGTTTTGCAAGAAGAGTATCGTTCTAGAGGCGTAAACCTTCGAGGGAGTCGTCGTGTTGATTCGTCTAAGGTATGGCATGGTCGTGTCGTGGTGGTCGAGGATGAATAGTCGGTTAGCGCTCACCGCCTGTTAAAGAAACGCGACATTTCATCTCAACCGGAGACGATGGAAACAATGTCGATAAGCATGTTCGAGCTTATTGGTCGTTATACTACCTCATCGACAGTTAACCCGTCTAATTGTTTTCTGAGATGATCGATCGTTATGTTGCTCGTTTGGTCTCCGTATGCTTTCGGATCGAGCTTACTTCTTGGCGGGAACTCCTACACATCGAACATTCAAATATTAGCTTGATTTCTTTAACGAATCAAATCGATCGAGCCACGGAGTTTAGGCACCTTGAGACGGCTAATGACAACGGGATTGACTCTGGCGAGCATCTCCCGCGAGAACTCTTAATCCGTCCTCCATGCCGACTTATCATCTACGAAAACAACAAAAATTTTAATACATGTTTCAGTCAATAGATTTTTTAGACGACATACCTCGGATGATTCTCGGCATCGGGAATTTGAATAGACCCTCGTCGCCATCTCGCCGGAGGACTTCCTTCACTAACTCAAAAGGAATTTTTTCGAACAAATTTCGTAGGAGAGGAGTATCGGGGAGCTTGATCCCGCCTTCGTACAATCCACGAACATCTTCAAAGCTGTCGAACTCATTGCGCGTGCGATCGCAGATGTCCTTAATCTCGGGAACAAGAAATTGGACGATCGACTTTATCCCGTCGCCAAGGAAATCCGACATCTTCAAGTGTCCGTACCGCTCATCTCTCGGCACATGTATGTTTAGCCCCAAGAGCAACGGAATCCGGCTCTCTGTCTTCGGATCTGTCGAAATGAAACCCGAAATGAATCCAAATCAATCGATGAACACATGCATGCATGAGTGGAGAAAGAACACGGTCTAACCGGTCTTTGTCGGAGGGCGTCCGGTTCTTCCCCGACGAGGGTAGGGATACTCGGAGGATCCTCCAAGAACCGGGCGAGCGTAATCCTCGCCCTTGTCGGGTTCCCCCAAGTCGTTGTAATAAGCGTAGTCGTAAACTCTGTCCCATTCTCGGAGCTCGCTGGTGCCGTCTCCTCGCAATGCCATTAGCTCTTCCTCTCTATAGGGGAGGAGCGCGGCCGGTGTTTCTTTCGGGAGATAAGCCTATGGGAAAAAAATGTATATATTAATATGTTTATTTTTGTCATAAAACTTGTTTGGAAGCTTATAGTACGCTTAATTTTAACTCGTTATGTTTACTTGGTTAGTAAAAAAGATACGATCCTTTTTGTACATGTTGGCGGGATAGACCCACGAGTTGCACACAAAGTGAAAACGGCCGTGTCCCGAGACATTATCAAGGGTGAGCGTCTTGAGGTAGAATTCGGCGTGATGGAAGTTCTTGATGATGAACGCTCCCGGGACTCCGTTCTCCTCGTCCCAATCGAAGTTCACGGTGAACGCCGAGTCGCTCGGCGTTAGAGAGGGGAGTGTTGTGATCCAATTCTCTAAGTACGCGGCCTTTCCCTTCAGTTTTTTTCCTATATTTTTTTTAAATTGTAAAATTTTGAATCGAAATAATATATTTATTTTTAATATTTTGAATAAATATAAACATAATATAAATATTAAGTGTGTTTGTTCGTTGATTGAATAGTTGTTTGATGTGATAATAGAACTATGGACGAGTCTAACAAAATTGAGCTTGTTATGTTTGAACTCAACTAGTTAAGGACTCAAGTTCGGCTCGTTAAGCAATTTTTTCGTTCGTGTTCGATTCGGCTCAACTAGAGATATTTTATTTTATTTATTAAATTTTTAAAAAATTTATACATTTAGTTAATAATAATTAAAAAAATTTATTAATATATTTAAATTAAAAAAATAGAATAAAATATAATATTTATAAAAATATATATACTTATTAAATATAAAATTATTAATTTAATTTTTTTAATAAATATATAGAAATTTCGCGAATAAGCTCGAGCTCGTTCGTCAACCTAACGAGTTAAAATTTATGTTCGTATTATGCTTGTTTAGCTTAAAGAATAAGCTCTTAGCGAACTAAAATGAACATAATCGAGTCAAACTCGCGAATTGTTTGTTTTATTTACAACTCTAAGTGATATAAATAAATGTTAATATGGTGTTTAGAATATAAAATAAATTTATAGAATAAAATATATAAAAAAATAATAATTATTTGATGTGAATTTTATTTTTTTTTGAAGAAAAAAGAAAATAAATAATAAAAATATTCGGTAAAACCAAAAAAAACAACCATAATTTGTTGGAATTTCACAATCGCCTACTACAGTACTACACTACACTGGTTCAGTCTGCAAAAGTTGCCCCCACAGCATTTAATTGTCGTGCTCTTCGCCAATAATGATGATCTCGATTTTGATTTCGAAAACAATATAAAAAATAGAAATGAATAGCGAATTACTGATTGCAATAGTAAAAAAATAAAAACATTCATATAAATTGATGCGCACCGGAATCGGTGGTGGTTCGGACGGAGCTGATGAGCTGCAGAGAGACTTTCCGGCCGACGAATTCGTGAAGCGTGTCGAGAACGGAAGCGCTGAAATCGTTGAGATCTAGAACGTGTTTCTTCACCAGCACAACCGTTCCTTTGATCTGTTGTTGCTTCGATCTCCGGCGAGTCTCCGGCCGGCGGTTCTCGTCTTTTCTTCTGGCGGTTGCAGCCAGTCAGTGCCTGCAGTATTCGGTTGAACATTGCGCGCTCTCTCTCTCTCTCTCGAATTATTATTGATGTGGAAATGGAATTGGAGATTGAAGAATGGCGAGTGGTGGGGTATTTATACTGCCGCGGCCAGACGAGAGCACACGGCTATGGAGATATCAAATTGAAAGTTATTTTATTTTTTTTGTTAAATGGAAAATTATATTTGAAAATAATAGTGTACGTATAAAATAAATGATTAATATAATATATAATCATTGTTTATATATATATATATATATAAAGAATATCTTAGTGGATTTTAGCGTATGAAAATAAAATAAAATTTCTTTTTAATATAAGTACCTTAAGTATTTAGGAGTTGAGTGTTTGTGTGTGTGTTTTTTGTTTTTCAAAGCTTAGGTTATATTCTTCAACCCAGTTTTTTAACAATCCAATTAATATTCTAAAACTATATACACAAACCAACACTACATACATATAATTTATATTTTTTATTCACTCTAAAAACAAATAATTTTATGTATAATAGTATTATTTTATCTGTTATACAAAAATAATATTTATTTAATTGGATACGAATTTTAATAAAAATAAAAAATTTTATGTTCACTTTATAAGTATATAATATATTTATTCTTTTACCGGATTTAATAAATGTTTTTTTAATAATAGTTGATAATAAATTTGTATGTAAAAATTATTTTATTTATTAGTTGATAAGAGGACATTAATTTAAATAAATATAAAGATAAAGTTATTTATAATATATAGTGAGATTCATATATAATAATAAAATGAATAGTTTGTTTGGACAATAAAAAATTGGTAATTTGTATACTTATCTGTATTTTATAAAATAATTTGAAGAGATATATTTTTTTTTATACGAGGTACAAAAAATTATATAGTTAATATAAAAATAATAATAATGAATATATATATAATATATTATTAATTTTTTTGAAAAAATATGCTTAAGAAAAAAACAAAAGAAACACATAATAAGTTTTTGTTTTCCCATTCTATTCTACCAAATGTATTTCATAGTTTTGAATTTGTTTGATTTTGATTTAAATAATATTTTGTTAAAAAAAATATCATATTTTTAGTAATATATTGAATTTATTTGGCTTTAATTTTAATTTTAATTTTTATTTGAATTTAAATTTAAATAAAAAATAATACCTTTGTATCCTAACATGATATACTATATTTTTTCCATTTTTATATATCCTATGTACATTTCATTTTTAAAATAAATTTGACCATACTTATTTCAAGGAAAGTAATAATATATCTTTATTAAAAATCATATAAATTAAATAACACAAAATGATAATGATAATAAATTAATAAAACATGTGATTTACGTATTTACATGACTATTCATTAAATAATAATAATAATAATAATAATAATAATAATAATAATAATAATAATAATAATAATCTTCTAAAATATCAAATTTAATATTTAGTTATATTAAAATTATTTCATTTACAAAACATCATTTAAATAGTGTAATTCTTCTGAATGTTTGTTTTTATTTTTTATTTTTTATTAAGCAACTATATTGCTTACATAATAAAAATAAAAATAAAAATAAAAATCTAAAAACCACTAAAAAAAAAAAAAAAACCTCAAAAAAAAAATAAATAAAATACATATATTATAAAAGCCTTCTTTGAGACTATTTAAATGACAAAATTAGGGTACATCCTGGTGAAATCTAGATCTTGACAAGCCATCACCAATCACAACAAAGCATCACGGAATAATTAATTAATAAATAAATACATAAGCCAGCCCAACTCACAAACTGCAGATTTCCAGCAAACATAATATCACAATAACTTGGGTTTAACTGTTAAATTTCTTCACATATATATAAACCCCACATTGACCACCCAATCATCTTCACAACTTAACCAACAAAATGCATCCATTGAGGAAGTTGTTCTACTTCTACAGTCCTAAAAGTTCAGAGCATCTCAATATATATATATATATATATATGAATACCAATAATAAATGTACCTGGGAATTCAATTAAACAAGGGTATGCTTGGATTTATTAAACATGTAGAAGATGTGATCGGGGGTGACAGAACCGGAAGTCGATTTCTGTGTTACAATAGTGATTGGGGAGTTGGTTCCGATGCTGAGAGCTCTGCATACATTTGAGAGATTGCTTGCGCAAAGTAGGCCTTTGCTTGGGGCCTCTTGATCTGAGATTTGGGAACAATAACAAGCAAAATGTAATGATTTTTAGCATTTGAATGAACTCGCGACATGCTGAATTTGCGATCTTCAAGATTTAAAAGGATTGGACGAGAGCAGATTACCTTAAATGTGGGGGTTAAGAGGCCATTCTCCATAGTGAATGGCTCGGGCACCAGGGTAACAGCTTTTACGAATTCGAAACCTCTCAACTGTTTTGATGGGATCAAAAGTGAACCAATCAAATGTCTGGGTTGAATAAATACTTGATCATATTACTTTGTTAGTGTCTTACCTGAGCTTCAGTTCCAACAGCATCCATCTCAGCAAGAACAGCAGCCTTTGCTCTTGGATCGGAACATAGTTGATTTAAATCTTCATACTGCAAAAATATGTCATTTGAGCTCCTCTTATAGTCTAATTTGATGTGGCTCTGATGAGGGGGTTTTAAATCTTCATACTGCAAAAATATGTTTATATGGTCAATGGGTGGAAGGAGTAGAATTACCTTGATTCCTTCTGAGGCAGCCCAATCCTTCAACACATCTGGATCAACACATACTACAGCGACCAAACAGGAGTTCAAGCTATCACCTATAAGCATGACATGACACTAGTTAGCAAAAAAAAATAGTAGTTTGACAAAGTAAAAACAATAAATAACAACATCTTACCATACACAAAACACTGGGCAATAAATTTACACTTTGCATAGACATTCTCAATTTTCTCCGGAGCAATATATTCGCCCTGGGATAACTTGAAAATGTTCTTTTTCCTGTTGGTAGTGAAAAAACCACTAATCAAAACATATGTAAAAGCCATCAAAGTATAGGGCAGCCTTCTGAAACCCAAAACTAATTATATTAAGTAAAGATTTTTTTAAGTTCTCTAGAAACATGCAGGCTTTCAAAATATGTAAATCGAAACCAACCCATCTCAGATCGAGATTAGTTAGCAGAATAGACTCTTAGCACACAAAGCCTTTGAAACAAAGTAAAGGTTTGTATAAGCATTTACATTACATGAAACAGAAGATATTGTAGGAGTTGGTGGTAAGAAAAAATATTTATTCATGATTATTTCTTACTTATTTAGTTTGTGGAATCTTAAAAGATAAATAGATTATATGCCGTAATTTGATTACTGTACCTATCAATAATTTTTAAGCGGCCTCCAGGTAACCATAATCCAATATCTCCTGTGTGCAGCCAACCTTCCTCATCTATTACTTCTCTCCTGTAAATTTTATTTGAGAAACAGCTTTCATCATCTGACATTTCTCAATAATCAGCAGTTTATGATATTACTAGGATCCATTACGTCTGAATTTCATCTTTGTAGTAGCCATGGAAAACAGTGAAGCCCCTGACACAGATCTCACCACGAGGATGAGGTTGATCCTCAGATGTGTAATTCATCTCAGGTACATCCACAAGCTTTATTTCTGAGGAAACAAACAAAACTCAGGTTCTGTAAGTAAAATGGCTGTCATTTAAGACCGGAGTAATTCTATAAACTTTATTAGTTTTTTTTTATCAGAAAATTAATATTAAGGATCTTAGCAAGTATTTAGTGCTTATTAGTGTTGAGATCTGCACCATTTTCATTTTCAAGTACTTACCGCATGCTGGATTAGGAGCACCAATATGACCAGTTAACAGGTCACCCTCTTCCATTGAGCTGATGACACAAGAAGTCTCAGTCATACCATAACCTTCAAGTACCTGACAACCAAAACACCTGCAGGTAGATGGCATTTTGTTGGTTAAGTGTTAATGACTCTCTCGAGATATAATAATCATTTAGTATCATGAAACAAGGCCAACTTACACCCTTAAAAACACCATGACTTCAGAAGATAATGGTGAAGCACCAGAAGTCAAATATCGAACTCGGCCTCCAAGCTTGTCCTTTATTTTATTGAACACTAATCTGTCCCACATTGGTGATGGCTTTCGACCTGACCAAATGGAAGAGTTAATAGATTATACAGAAACTATTTAGAAATAAACTATAAGGAAGAACTATTTTGCATCCCTTGAGTGACAGGTGATACTTATGAAGTAACCGAAAAAGTAAGCAATAGGATTAAAAAATGAAATTATTCAAGGAACAATTACGGAAAAATGCAACAACTGGTTAAGTGTAGGGAGTCAGAGAATCCAGCAGAAATCACTGATTATTCTCATTCCAACTACGCTTTACAGAGCATGAATCATAGACAAGAGGAAAAATTAGTGTAAGAAACATTAGGGGTGAGTGTTTCTTTACAGATCTAACGTATCAACAAGAGCTTCAAACAATGCACATTGAAACACAATCAAGTCAAGGCACCAAAAAAAAGTTCAGCCCTACAATCTATATGTGATTCTTGATGAAAAGCAATAAATATACTATCTTGATATTGCATTTAATGATAAATGCTGAGTTCATTTGCTTCTTTTTTAAGTTCTTTAGCCATAGACTAAAATATGTAGTTCTCTCTCTCTCTCTCTCTCTCTCTCTCTCTCTCTCTCTCTCTCTCTCACACACACACACACACACACACACATATATATATAAAACTTGTGAATTTCTCCAAAACTACATCCGAGAATAATATGTAATAACTAAATCAAAGAGTTTCCATCCGAGCTGTAGTTGAGCATACCACTAAATATGGCTTGCTTCTTTGAGTTGTAGGCTGCATAAAATAATCGCTCCTTCATAGCACCAGAACTTTTTACTGCATTAATTATCCTGCAGGGATAACCAGGAAAGAAATAGCACTATATTAAGAGGAGAGGACTGAGTGAAGAACATGAAAATATTTGCCAATTTTTTATACCCAGCATATATTCTGTTGTACAGTCGAGGAACACTGGAAAATATTGTTGGTCTCAGAGCAACTAAATCATCCATCAACTTCATGTTATCCTGCAGATTAGATATGCAACTTCACAAATAAAACTTCCGAACCATACAAAGAACCAAAAATCTGCAAACATCACGTCATATTCCCTAGTAAATATTCCCATATGAGAAGATACCCAAATAGTTAGCCAAATATCATCAATACCTCCTAATTATTTCAAATCTTTAATTAGTGGATTACAGATAAACTTGTTTGCCTCTTGATATAAGCGTCACTGTTTTGAAAAACAAAAACAGAAATTTCATAGATTTACTTTTTTCCACAGTTCAACAGTTGCATGCATAATTTCACAGGATACAAATGTTACGTCATCTTTCAATAACCTTCACACAGGTGAAAACTTGCGTCATTTGTGTAGCAATGCAGGGAGACCCATGCATAGGTGATATTCCTTCCGAATATCAGTTAGTTATATTACATTATCTTCTCTAGGATGGACCAAATCCAATTTTTTTCACAGGACTAGGACAAATCAGGGTGTAAGTATAGTTGGACCATGGAAAGCAGTAATTGTGGTACAGAATAAAAATTCGCCTTGGCCACAAATTTCATTAGATTCTGCCGTTCAGAAATGAAACATCGCTTTATTCAGGATTATATGATAGACCCAATAATAATATTATATTTATATAAACCAAGGAAACAAAAGATAGTAATGTAGAAATAACATACCCCCTGGTAGAACCCAATAGCAACACCATAGTGTGCTGCTGTAATTTGATTAGCTCTTTCATATATGTGAGCCAGCGGAAGATATGATATGTAGCTGTTTAAAAAGTAACAGTGTCCATAAAGTGAGATAGAAAAGAAAATAATCATAATTCGAGACAAAACTCACACATCTGAGGGATTAAACTTGATTAAAAGCGACATCCCGGCAACACTTGCTACCAAGTTTCCATGTGTTAAAACAACTCCCTATTGAAAGAAAAGAAGGGACAATACACCCCCATTATCTGTTAGAACAGATCCATTTAAGTAGAATAGGCTCCAACTGTTAAATCTACATATTGAAGCAGATGCAAGTTGCAACTACCTTTGGTGTCCCTGTAGTGCCACTTGTATAGCATATAGTTGCTACATCTTCAGGTTTGGGAGGGCAAAACGGAATCATATTATTGCGGCCCTGAGATAATAGAGTGAATTGAACTTGACCATAAGAGAAGAAATACAAGCAAATCCATAGCAGCAATCCAAATATACTACAAACTTCGAAGTCACTTCAATGTTTGTCTGAATATAAAAATAACAAGAAACTGGGAAAAAGAATTTCACAGGAATAGAACCATTTGAATTGCCAATCATTAAAATGTTTGCGCTGGCCATCATCTTGTCAACAGAATGTGCAGTCTAAGAGAGTAGGGTATTTCTGGTGGAAGTTAGAAAGAACTATTGACTTAATACTCATTAGTATTCAGACGACTCATCAGAGGTAATATTACTCGGGCCAAAATGGTTAAATGTTTAGCAGTAAAAAGGTTGATAGATCAACAATTTTCAGCATCGCCCTGCTTTATTGATTGGCTCTACACGTTTCTTTTTTTAAAAAAGGACACCTTGTCAATTCCAGTAAAGAATGTACATTGTCCCTAGGCACAGGCATTAGAAGAGGATCTAGATCAACAGTTCTGCATGCAGCATCAGTACTCCTTTCAACATTCCTTTGCTGCTACACTTTTGCATTACATCCACCATTAGATCTAAAAGAGCATCTCCCAGCCCTCAAAACCAACCCCAACTGATATGAGTTCCCTAGACTTGTATGCTCGCATTTTTATGGTAATCACCCATATAATCCATAGTTCAAAAGATTTTCAAGAACAACACAATTATCCATATCCATTTCCCCAAAGTGAGGCTAATCATGATCTGAACACAAGGAACAGGATTCTCAAAATCTTCTCACAGTTTCAATTCATTCTAAGAGAATAACTAGAAGTTCCACTAAATTCTACCGTCATAACTATGGAGGGTGGCATACATTCATATGTTGTAATAAATGAATATGAACCAATCACCATGATATATATGCAAATAATCATTCTAAAAATATATATTGAACTGCTGTGAGATGGCAAATACCTGGCTAAGCAACCTTGTGTAGGATAAAAGCTCAACTCCTGTTGTGGAAGGGAGCGATGGGAGATTTTCATCTATCCCATCCACTACCTATGTTATCAAGATGAGAGGAGGACGATATCAAAAAAAAAAAAAAAAAAAGAAGAGAGGATAAACATGAAAAATAGCATTAATCAATTTTGCTCTATAAGACAGACAAAATCTAACAGTGATTTATACATGGGCATACCACAATGAGTCGTACAGTGGGAATCTCCGACAAGAAACTTAGCAACTGCAATTTTCAAAAGAAAAAGATCAAGTAGTAAATAAACTATTAACTAAGATGAAACTATCTGATATATGTATACTTTCATATTCCTGTGCAAGGAAAAGTAAGAGAAAGGCAAGACATATAAACACTGAAGCTCATGGGAGACAGCATAACCAGCAGCGAAAACTCACAAACATGCAAATTGTGCTACTGAAATATCTATTAATCTCTATCCTACCCAACTCCACAACACATAAAAGGAAAAGAGACTCACAATGTTCAAGGTACTTGGAACACAAAATATGGCTTTTATATCTGAATGATTCACAATATACTTAACAGCATCAGGGCCTGCGGATTGATTAGGGAAAAAAAAAACCCATTAAGATTTACTATAGCGAACTAGAGTTGAGACATCTCAATCAAATGCAAGACTACACTGTACCAAGGGTATCGTATAAGGGAACTGATATATATGAAAATGCAGAGCAAGCATGATCCACAATCAGCCATTCCGGTCTGTTGATAAAGTAAAGTCCAACACAAGCTCCCTGTTCCAGAAGAATATAAATGTCATTTGTAATTGTCTGAACAAGCCATATATGAATGATTGGGAAAACTTACAAACTATACTCATATATAATGCAAAAACCTTATAGTTTAGCTCTTCCAAATCAGGCTTCACCACTTTTTATGAAGCAAGTATAATTTATAATTTAAATAAATAGTCAAATTCAAAATAAGGATCCATTACAGCAAACTCGTATGGAGAGTGGGGATAGAAGGTTGATGTAAAGGAAAAATATACTCAAAGGTAGTTTACTGATTCTAATCCATGATGGCGAAGTCCTGAACCTATTCCTGATCGCCTAGTAGCTGCCTCTCCATAAGTCATCCATTTGTACCTGTACATTTCAAGTAACCACAAAATAACAACACAACTTAAAGTTTTAATTGAATTTGCTTCCAGAAACAGAAATCACAGATTTCCTACTATACTTACTCTCCAACAGTCCCATCTATCCGAATACGCGTACCCAAGTATTTGTAATCTCGATATTGTTCAACTGAGTGTCTGAAATCATCGATACATTAAGAAATTGTGTTCCATAACTAGTTAACCAGAAAAGAAATAATTTAGGAATAAGCATCAAAGTTAGAGAAGCCTGAAAATATAAAACAGAAGTAACACAACCAGACAATCAATGAGAGAACGGAATCTACAACGAAATCAACCTAGAGAGGAAACAAATGTATCTGCAGTGATCATATAAATTAATAAAAGTATTCTCACTCAAAGTTGTCATGCAAGGTCCCAATCTCTGGATGATGTGGAAATCGGTTGACAAGCTTTAACGGGGAGCGCGCAGATCTTCCATGAAACAAACAAAGTAATATGTCAAATGCCTTTCAGTTTGACATTATCAACGTCAAATGTATAAATCATGCCATACTTGCAAATAAAAGGATGGGTTTTCTACCTGTACACATTCCATTTTCCAGTTTGCAGTTTTTCAGGAAGAACAACACTATATCCTTGCCCTGCTCAATATTAAATGTTTTACTTCAAAAATAATACTAAAAGACAATGAATCTTACATTATCACATGTTCATTATAATCAGCTATTCCATACCAAGAGGAAGAAACTGTGATAGGCTTAAAAATGAGAATCACAAGAGTTCAAATGCAAAGACATTTTCCAGAAAATATTTCATAAAATGCTGGAAGTCAACAGTATGCTCTCGAAGGCAGCTTGCTTCTTGCTAGTCTTACCTTGAATGTATCTTCGATTCTTGTCATTATTCACCTTAAGTTTGTTTTAATATATTCGATCTTCTAGCATAATTCTGAACTTTGAAAGCATCTATTAAAAATGGCTTAATCCGAAGCATAGAACCAAACTGTAAGTAATATACTTACGATCTGGTACAAAAACTATCCGTTAATTCGGATATAAATTTGAGTGTTTTAAATGTGGGCATGGTGATTTCTTGGGTTAAATAACAATGAATAGTTAATTTTTTAACATATGATTTTTTAAAAAATGATATATAGTTTAACTCGTTTCCAAATAGAAAGTAATTTGAAAGAAAGGCAAACAACTCTGATCAATCAACTAAAAACTATATTAAAAGTGGAGTTCCCACCTAATGTTAGTAAGTAATTAAATTAAATTTTGAAAAAAAAAAAAAAAAAAAACTTCTCCACGGGAGATGACATTACTTGGACGTAGTTACTTGCATAGACATATGCCGATGCCTTTGTCAATAAGTTTTACATCATCAATAAGTAGAACTAAGCAAGTCGCCTTTACATTGCTCATCTCATCCCATTGCCAAACAAATAGCAATGAGATTGACAACAAACAAATTACCACATGGAACAAATTTAAACAAATGCCAGACCAACACTAAATTTTAGCATTTCAGCAATTGGTGGTCCGTAATCTTCAGCTATAATAATAATAATAAATAAATAAATAACAGATATACATCAATGGACAACCATGAATCTGAATTATTCCAATACGAAAGTAGGAGCCAATCAATGTGTTACATGGGAGGGAGCTTAAGAACTATGACATTATTGACAATTAATCAGATAATAATTTAAACTTGTGCACCCCCTAAAACATTGACCACGGGAGTAGAAGTAGCCATTAAAAACCTAAAAGCATAGGAATAACTACTTTCCACGGACAAGAAAGTGGTCCCAACCAAGATCACGGGTTAATGAAACAAATAAATCACAAACTCGTCCGCAAGAATATCCATGTAAGTATGCAATCTACATACAAATAATAATAACTAATTAATTTTTTTTTACTTTTTTTTTTAAAAAAAAAGATAAGGTTTATATTACCATGAGCATATTCACCAGCAGTGGGGTTGGAGGATATCCTCAACGCAGAATCATCGACGTCAGGACTCAGATGCGATTTAATCAGTCTAAGCCGCCGCTCAGCCGTCGACTCCATCCCTCGATTTCACTTCCTCCACGCCAAGACTCTTCAACGCCTAGAGAAGTGAATGGCACCACGTCACGGAATCTGAAAATCGATGAATCTGGAATCAAACTAAAAATAAAAAATAAAGTCAATCAAGAAACAATCCACTCAGAAATCACAGCCTCGAAACATACATAGATTGTTCAGGTCGAGATATTCAACCGATTCGCCGCTTCAGACTAATATATATGTTCAATATATATGTTCAGATGTGAACGATACAGCACCAAAATCCTACACAAATCCCCGAAATTCACATAAACCTTATAAAATCCGTAGAGATATATAGAGAGAAGCAGCAACGACCGCTGGCACACTGCCCAATGGTGATGACAAAGGTGCGGATAAACAAGTGAAGAGAGCGGAAATGGCTGCTGGGTGCCGCTAGCGATAAGGATCCTTATTTTGGCTAGTTTTCTTCTCTTCGCAATACTATTAATAATAATTATAAGGAAGTAGTAATCGGCGTTGAATATAATTCTATTTTCATCCAGCATTATTATTAATAATAATAATAATAATAATAATAATAATAATTTATTGGTATGGAAATTTAATATATGTTTCTCTCTCCTTTTTCTCGTAAAAGTGTGCTTAAAAATTTTAAAATAGTACTTACTTTTTTTTTATGAAGATGAAACTAAAAGTTATATAGTATTAAGATAATAATAATAATAATATACCTTTTTGAAAAATTGAATGCACTTTTTTATTAGTTAATAAAATGGTGTAAAATGAATGTTTTTTATTTATTTTATAATAGATAAAAAAAAAATAATTTTACTAATAAATAAAAATGTGTAAAAGATTAAGACAGTTGTCTTTTATATAAAATAATTGCACGTGTATTACTAGTATATTTGTAATTTAAATAAAAATTAATAATATTTGAATTTTAATGTATAATTATTTTATTAAAATAAAAATATATATTTTAATAAAATAATATAAAAATAATATTTTGAATTAAAAAAAAATAATAATAATAATACTAAGATACATGATTTGTAATTGGAAAAAACACGTGGAGAAAACTCGTAGTTTTGTTTGCCCACATCTAATCCCTCTATTCCACCTATGTACGGACAAAAGGGGAAGAGAAAAAGTTGTCTTCCATTGTCATTATTATTATTATTATTATTATTGGACTTGTTTGGAATTGGTTATAATGCGAGGCTAGTCAATAAATAAATAATTTGGTGCTTTATTTGAATGTTTTTTTTTTTTTTTTTTTTTTTTAAATATACAGCAAAATATTATATATCATCATTATTTTTATATATTTTAATATATATATATATCATTGTTTTGTAGACTAATAAAAAAATTGCTATTATTTTTGCGCTTTCTGCAAAAAACTTAGCAATGTCGGGAAAGCAAATCATTTAGTGCGTCTATATGTTTATTTTATCTTTTAATATTGAATTTAAAGGTTTTAAATTTTTTATTTAAATAATAATTTATAAAAATATATATATTAAAATTATAAATACGTATACAAAGTAATTTATTGCGATTTGAAAATATAAAAGAAAAATTAATAATTTAATATAAAATATTACTTTAATTTTTTATATTATCGATGTTATTCTTTGTATATAATATAAAAAATATATTAATCTAAAATACGAAATGAATACACATCTGTAATCTCAATATAAATACATAAATTTTTAAAAGTTTTTTTTATTTGAAGTTTTATCTTCATTTTTATTATACAATTTTATTATTTTTAAAAATATATTAGATGTTTATTTATTTATAATTTGGTTGTCCAATCAATTCTTTTTCTAATATATATTATATATTTTTATTCTTTCACGAAATAATTAATATTAAATGGTAATATATTTTCTAAATTATCTAACATAATTTATGGTATCTCTGTATAAAAACAATAATACAAACTAAAATTACTAAACAAACAAATTATTAATTTAATAATAATTAAGTATATATATAATATAATAATGTGTTTTTTTTTTTGTGTCTGTGTAATAGCATTATGTTAAAATCACATAGTATATATTTAATTTGTCTTTATGTCCCGTAATTAATTATTTGATAGTGAAGGTAAAATCGTTGTTGTAAAATTATGAGTTCAAATTCTATTTCCAAATATAAATCATAAAATATAAAAATGATAGTGAATTCATTTACTAACCAATATGTATCAAATAGACCAAAAAGCAATAGTTCTTTTAATACGGTATTCTTTTATTTTTTATTTTCTTATTTTTTTATTTTTTTGAGTTATTACGCTATACTTGTTTTTTTAGTTTAAATAAAAAATAATAGTACTATATTCGTTTGACTCTAAGTGTTTCATTTATTTTGTATGTTAATTTTTGAATATTAATTATTATATCAAAACGTATTACAAATTAAGAAAAAATTTAAAAAAATATTTTAATTAATGTCTTGTAATACTAATATAAGGACATTTATAAAAAATAATTATACACATAAAAATATTTTTAATGTTAACTATAAATAAGACCTTAGAGGGAATGGACCTTAGAAAGGACGGAGAGAGTATTATTATTTTTTATTATAAAAATTATGTCATTTTTATTAATTTTATATAAAATTTAAATAAATTTATTCATTATAATTTTATTATACTAATTTAATAAATAATTATTATTTTATAATTATTTTCTTACTCATTTAATCATTTTTATTAAGGGTGAACTTTTTTTTAATCTAGGAACTAGATCTCTTATCATTTTAGTCTCACAAGTGGAGCTTGTCGCAAACTAGTCTCATAAGTGAAAAATTTTCGCTGTTTTAGTCATTCGGCGCCGGAGACGTAAATTTTCGTTGTTTTAGTCATTCGGCGCCGGAGACGTCTGCGTGGCTCGTCCGACAGAGGCTTCGTGTCCCCCAGGTCAGCGACACGTGGATTTTATTATAAATTTTTAATATTTTTTTAAAATTTATTTAAATTTTATTTTAAATTCTTTTTTTGTTTTTTTTAATTTTTTTTTATTTGGTCCAATTGAAAAAAAAAATTAAAAAAAATAAATAAATCCACGTGTCCTCTAGTCGCTGACCTGGCGGGACACCTGCCGAACACGTGGCTTCCGACGAGCCACGCGGGCATCTCCGGCGCCGGATGACTAAAACAACACAAAATTTTACTTATGGACTACTTCACTTAATAACAATTGATTTTAAATTTAAATTTCGATTTTTTTTTTTTAACAAATAAAATATACTACTCCCTCTGGCCAATACAATAGTCTTGTTTATCATTTTTGTCCGTCCCAAAACAATAATTTTATTTCCATAAATAATCATATCACTATATAACTACCTATACTTTTTCATTTTTATTACATAATTGTCTTATTTTATACACTAATACACCCATAAGGGAAAAAAAATCTTTTATTTATATTTTTTACCTACTATCTATATAATATCAATATTTTTTAAATCTCGTACCCAATACAATAAGGGACGGAAGAGTACTATTTTTTATTAAAATATCATACTATTTAAATAAATTTTTAACTTAACATATCGTTTCAAATAATTTGAAATTGCAATCAACCAAATCCTTACAACTTTTTCCATACTAAACTAATTGATTGACATTGCTGTAGGAACTAATTACGTCTTATTGTCTATATATATTCATTTAGTTTTTTCCCCCGCTAAATTATATACATTCGTAGGGTATGTTTGTTTACTTGTTCCGGTGTGTTTCTTTCTATCAATTTTTGCCATTTCCGTTTATATTCGAAAGATATGCTATATATATATATATATATATATATATATATATATTTAGTAGGAGCAGGCTTTTGATAAACATATTAAAAATGATAAAATAAGTTTATCTATAATTATAATATATATTTTTAATTTAATAAAATATCAAATCAATATTACTCCCTCCGTCCCAGATACCATGTCCACGTTGCCATTTTTGTTCGTCCCACGTACTATGTCACTTTCATTTTTTGAAAAATGATTACACACTTTAATCTCATTTTAAATTTTTAAATTTTAATTAAACTAATTAGTTATCTTAATCTTAATTTATAATTATTTATATTATAAAATAATTATTTTTACTAATATATTCTTAATTATCTACTAATTACATCCCTCCTAAAATACATTGTCTATGGTGTAGCAAACACGGTATCCGGGATGGAGGGACTATTATAATATAAATTCAAATCCAATGAAACACACTACATTGATTTGAAATACTCATTTTATCCCCTTTAAATACGTTTATTATTAATAATAATATTTTATTAATTAGTAAAAATATGTAAAAGTTTTTTGATATTTTTGTCATTTAATTTTAAGTATAAAGCAAATGCATGTATAATAGTATGTTTGTAAGTAAAAATTACTGATATTTAATATATGATTATTTTTTTTAAAAAAATAAAAATAATAATTTTGATAGTTAATATACAAAATAATAATTTACTTTTAATTTATAAAATATATTATGTAATTTTATTTTTTGAAAATGTAATACTATGTCATTTTGTTTTTTTTAAGTGATATAATATTTTTTCTTTTTTAAGAAAAGTAATATGTTATTTTATTTTTAAAAAGTAATGGAGTATATAATTATAAAAGTACTCTCTCTATGTCCCTTAATAATCTATTCATTTTTCTATTTTGATCCGTCTCGTAATAAAGTATCAATTTCTTTTTTAATAATTGTACTATTTACCTAACATTACAAATACCCTTTCAATTTATAATATATTACACAAATATATTACATTTATATTATGCAATACATTAATTTAATTTTTTTACATTTATTTTTACTTTAGCCTAATATAATACTAATATTTTTTAAACTCCGTGAAAAAAAACAAATTGAGGAAATACTATTTTGTATTTAATTTTTTAGGCTCGTCTATATTTAGAGGTTTTAAAGAGTTTTAAAGTTTTTAATATTTAAAAATAAATAAAAAATTAATATTTGATTTAATGTTTAAAAAATAAAAAATTTGGTGTGATAATTTTTTAAAAATATATAGTACCAAACTCAGAAAAGTTATTTGTGTAAACGGATAATAACCGAAAATTCAACGAACGATCATGTGTAGAAAAAACACGAACAAACCTCGTTTCGAGTCTGTTTCAAAACTGAACCTTCATTTTCGCAATAAATTTTCACTGCTCGGCGGTACCTCCGCCGCCTGTCCTGCCGGGCCGCCGGAAGTCGCTGGCCTCTCATTTCTGCAAAATCTACCGCAATAACCGCAGTGAATCACTTCTGCTTTCAAGAGCACTACTAATTGCTGCTAACTGTCGTCATTTACAGTGTAACCACGCATTTCGTAAAGTCCACCGACTCCAGATTTGTCCCTAGCGCAAAAACGACGAAACGACGACGTATATTAATGGGGGATTGAATTAGATCCTCACTTTTGCTATTTTCAGAATCACGATTCTCGATTGTAATCTGTAGGTTTGTATTCTTCCGCCGCTTCGGTAATGTCGCTGCAGCCTCCGCCGGCGGAGATCGGGAAGAGAGTGTTGGGGGATGGATGGCTTGCCGCGCGGTCCACGGAGGTCAGCGCCACCGGAGTCGAGCTCACCACAACCGACCCTCCCGCCACCAGTCAACCCCCGTGGATGGAGGCCGTAGTTCCCGGAACGTAAGTAATCGTCGCTGCCCCTCTTACCTGCCGAATTCCTACCTTTGTTTGCTGTTTAATTGAACTTCTATTCTGGAAATTGCATATTTCGTTTGAAATTTCTGCTTGGTTAGACGATACTCCTCTGTTGCTTAATTATGCTGAGACTTAAAATTTTAGTCTGATGAAATTGATTATCGAAAGTGCTTCGATTTGCCGAGCAAATATGTCTGTTTGTCATTATAACCTTCATCATTATGATTGTGGAGTGAATTTTACTCATTGATATGATAGCTGATGCTGGGTGAATTCAACTGTCAGTGTTTTGGCAACTCTAGTGAAGAATAATGTCGTCCCCGACCCCTTTTATGGGCTGGGGAACGAGGCGATTATCGACATTGGTGATTCGGGGAGGGAGTATTACACTTTCTGGTTTTTCACAAGATTCAAACTGAAGCTGGTATGCCATTCTTTTGTCTCGAGCATATGTAGAAATAAAAGTTTGGTTACATTAATGGCCACATGTTCTAACAACTTATCGAACATATGCATACATTTCATAAGTTCCAACTGTTCTTAGAAACCCATTTACACATCCTGTCTACCTAACCTATTTTAGCAAGTTATTTGATTCTTTATTGAATGGACAATGGTGATTTAGAAATTCTATGTATGATCCATGGATCCTCCGGAGAACAAATCCTCGATTTTGTACAATACAATGAACTTTAACAACTGCAAAACTATTTCCCTGGAAAATCTTATTTAAAGTTTAGAATAGTTCCCAGTTGTTAACAATGAATGTAGATTGCTTATCCTACTGTCTACTTGCAGTTAGTTTATAGTGTTTGTGATCAGTGATTGATTCTTTTGAGTTAATTTCAGTCGACAAATCAGTACGTGGATCTGAATTTCCGTGGTATAAATTACTCTGCCGAGCTTTATCTAAACGGGCACAAGAAGGTCCTCCCAAAGGGGATGTTCCGAAGGCATTGCATTGATGTCACCGATATTCTAAATCCATCCGGTGAAAATCTATTGGCCGTCCTCGTCTTCCCTCCCGATCATCCGGGGAAAATCCCTCCGGAAGGTGGTCAGGGTGGTGATCATGAGGTATGATTTGAATGTTAACTATGTATGGTTTTGAAGTTGTTTAGCATGTGAAGGCGTAAAATGGCGCAATACAACCACTTGAACAGCATTGTGCATATATATACTTTCGAAATTATTATATGTTTATGATACTTTTGCTCTCATAGATGGCTTCTGTATGATCTTCGAGTTTGGTGTCATAGTTTCGCGATCAAGTGCTTACATTATTATTTTGACATTGAGTGTAGATTGGTAAAGATGTCGCCACACAATATGTTGAGGGGTGGGATTGGGTGGCTCCAATAAGGTAATTTTCAATCGATTCCTCTTGAACTTACATTTTCCTCAAAGATAAAATTGAAAGCTTTTCATTTTCTTTTACATATTTCAATGAATGATTGTATTATTGTTCCAATTGTTCAATTTTTCATTTTCTAATCTTATTTTCAGGGATAGAAACACTGGTATCTGGGACGAGGTCTCACTTTCCGTGACGGGGGTAAGGTTTTGCGTAACGGGTCTTTTTCTACACTCATCTCTACCTTTGTTGCTACTTTCATATGTTTCTTGAACCTACGATTATTTGGCATGCTTTGTAGTTGTACTAGAATAGAAACAGGCAACAATTTAATAACTGCGACGTACATTTCATGCAGCCAGTGAAGGTAGTGGATCCTCACTTAGCCTCGACATTCTACGACAATTACAAGCGGGTGTACCTTCATACGACGCTCGATTTGGTCAACAAGGGTGACAAAGCCGCCGAATGTAATTTGACTATCCAGGTGGCAACCGAAGTTGAAGGGGATGTATACACAATCGAGCATCTCTACTCTCAGATTCTTCAGGTTCCGGCAAGATCTCTTGTTCAGTATACATTTCCGGAGGTATGTTCAAGGTTCACAATAGATATTACACTTTCTCTCATTCTATTCGTGATATGATCTGTTTTTTTTTGGCAGCTATTCTTCTATAAACCCAATCTGTGGTGGCCCAATGGAATGGGGAACCAATCTTTATACGACGTAGAGATAAATGTTACAGTGCAAGATCATGGAGAATCGGATAAATGGAGCCAACCGTATGGGTTTCGTAAGATTGAGAATAAAATCGATGCTGCTACTGGAGGAAGGTAGTATAGTTTATTTCCGATGTTCCTTGTGAAAAAGACTAAGCTAATGCTTGCTCATTGTGCTCAGGCTATTTAAGGTCAATGGAGAGCGGGTATTCATTCGGGGAGGTAATTGGATATTATCCGATGGATTGCTACGGTTTTCGAAGAAACGGTACAAAGCTGATATCAAATTTCATGCCGACATGAACTTCAACATGATACGAATATGGGCTGGAGGTATTGCCGAGCGTCCCGACTTCTACCATTATTGTGACATTTATGGACTTCTGGTAAGCTTCTTGATCTATTAACAATTTTTTTCTGGATTATGAGTTTCGACCAAAAAAAAACAAAAAAGAGGATGTAAAAACATACAATGTTCTTCTCTTAGGTTTGGCAAGAGTTTTGGATAACCGGAGATGTTGACGGGCGTGGCGACCCAATATCAAATCCTGATGGTCCGTTGGACCATGATCTCTTTTTGTTGTGTGCTCGGGACACGGTGAAGATGCTAAGAAATCATCCGAGTCTTGCTCTATGGGTCGGAGGCAACGAGCAAGTTCCTCCACCAGATATTAACTTAGCTTTGGAACAGTTTCTCCAACTCCACCCTCATTATTTAAGCTCTAATTATTCCTCAGAAGGGAGTTCCTCGATATTGAAGGACCCGAGCACATATCTAGACGGGACTCGTGTCTACATCCGAGGATCTATGTGGGATGGCTTCGCAGATGGCAAAGGAAATTTCACCGATGGCCCTTACAATATCCAAAATCCCGAGGACTTTTTCAAGGATGATTTTTACAAGTATGGTTTTAATCCTGAGGTTGGTTCGGTAGGAATGCCGGTTGCAGAAACTATTAGAGTGACAATGCCTCCAGAGGCTTGGCAGATTCCTTATTTCCGAAAATTGTCGAGTGGTTATGTGCAAGAAGTCCCGAATCCCATATGGACCTATCATAAGTATATCGAATATTCAAAACCGGGGCTTGTCCATGACCAGATTTTGCTCTACGGAACTCCCAAGGATCTCGATGACTTTTGCCTTAAGGTAAATTTTCATCATTGTCATTTGACATGATATTAAAGTCGAGCTTGAATCTCTTGTTTTTGAGCTTTAATGGTTTATTTCAGGCACAAATGGTGAACTATATCCAATACCGAGCTCTCTTAGAAGGTTGGACTTCGCACATGTGGTCTAAATTCACAGGCGTTTTGATTTGGAAGAATCAAAACCCGTGGACTGGTCTTCGGGGGCAATTCTACGATCATCTCCACGATCAAACTGCTGGGTTCTTTGGCTGTCGTCACGCTGCAGAACCGATTCACGTGCAGTTGAATCTGGCAACGAATTTTGTGGAGGTAGTGAATACAACGTCGAAAGAACTATCTAAGATAGCTGTGGAGATTTCGGTTTGGGATCTCGACGGATCGTGCCCGTATTACGAAGTCTTCGATGACTTGTCCGTGCCCCGGAAGAGAACATTGCGGATTTTCGAAATGAAATATCCCAAATCCGGGAACCCGAAACCCGTTTATTTTCTTCTTTTGAAGCTCTACAAGATGTCGGACGACGAGATATTGTCCCGAAACTTCTACTGGCTGCATCTCCCGGGCGGCGACTACAAGCTTCTAGAAGCGTATAGGAAGAACACGGTTCCCCTCGAGGTTAGCTCTTTAACATTCATTAAGGGGTCGAGCTATGAGATTCGGATGCACATAAAGAACGCGTCGAAGAAGCTCGGTGATCATGGTAAGCCGGTGTCTGAATCTGGACATTGTCCGAAGAAGAACGAGTTTGCTAAGGCGCTGTCTGAATCTGTCCGTTGTCTGAAGATGAAAACAAACGATGCGAAAGTGACTAAGGTTAAGGGGACGGCGGCTGGAGTTGCGTTCTTTGTTCGCTTGTCGGTTCATGATTCGAAGAAGGATGGAAATGGCGGCAGAACAGACACGCGGATCTTGCCGGTTCATTATTCGGACAACTATTTCTCACTGGTGCCGGAGGAGGCGATGACGGTGTCGCTCAAGTTTGAGGTTCCGGAAGGCGCGACTCCTCGTGTGGTGATGCATGGATGGAATTATGAGGAGCAGGTGGAGCTTGCTATTGTGTAGCGGCTGACCGGTGACCGTCGGACGCCGGAATTTCGATCGCTGGCGGCCGGAAAATGTGTGGTGTTGTGATCAATCCTGTTGTTTTGTGTGAGGTTTGAGGTTGTGGGAATAAAATGGAGGGACTTGCTTGTTGTTGTTGTGATATGTAGGTGTGGTGGATTTTCCTGGTGTTCCGAGTCCTGGGAGCTCGGGTCGTGACCTCAGTATATATAGGTCATGCTTGGAATAATATATATATATTTAATTTGGGAGCTCTGTTTAATTTGTTTATTTATTTATTTTTATACGATTATTATTTATTAAAATTGAATGAAGAATGTGAATCGATTATTTTATTTAGTAGAAATATAATGATCTAGATAAAAGAATGAATTGATTTATAATAAAAGAATATAATAAATAATTAAAAAAATTATCAGTAAATAAAAAAATAAAAAAGTTAGATAACAAAAGAGTAAATAAATTAACTGAAAGATTATAGTACTATATATTGTGCGCTTGGGTTGGAATCGCCAAGGCTCCAGCCCATCTCTTTACAAAAATATAGCCGTTGGGAAGAAAATCCGTTCAGTTTATTTGTTTCCTTAACGTTCATCTTCCTCTCTCTCTCTCTCGCTCGCTCGCTCTCACTCTCTGCTCTGGAATTCTGATCTATTGCTCGATAATTTTCATTCAATCAGGCGGACGAAGATTGTTCACTACAATCATGGATGGTAATTTTCTCTACAGGACTCTGAATTTCATGCACGCGCTGAACATGTGCAATTTTGTGGCAGTTTTCTTCAACCCCTCTTTAAAATTTGAGGTGTTTATTTGTTGTGCTTGCAGATCGAATCCTAGAAACCTCATGTTCGAATTTTGATCAGGCTGTTACGCTATCCAATGGTGAGTTTGGTAAGTTCAAATTTCCTGTATATATATATATATATATATTTCTTTCTCTCATAAAGTTCGAAGTTCGTATTGATCTGGTTTTCAATTTCCAGAAAATTTCGGTGTAGATCGTGTTCCAGACACTCCAAAGGAAGAAGCTGGTTTGCGTCTTATCCTTTTCGCTGTACTTCTTTTGTAAACATTTTAGAAAATTAAAAGTTATCTTCACTTCCTAATCCTATACTTCTTTGACCTAATTTCATGGAATCAAAATTTTCCTCCGGCGGGTTCCACGTCATAAAAAAAATAAAATTTCCTCCATGTTATTTATTTTGTTGCCTGACTTCTTTTCCGAAAACATCAAATGACGATCGCAGTGCAATTGTTAATATTTCTTGAAACCTTGATTTGATTTGATTATTCGATTGGTGGTAGTTACTGTTGGAAATGAATACTACGTTTGAGTGCCGGACAAATAAACTTACGGTTTGGGGATTTTGCGCAGAAAAAATTGAAGGAAATGTTGATTCTGCGTGTAAAGATAGTGCCTCCTCTGGTAATACCGAAGAATCCTATTCTTGTGAGGGGCAAACCCTTCCTATTATTCCGAAAATCGAAGGTCTCAGCAAGAAAATTCAGGTAAAAGGTTTAGAACCAACGCAGTATTTTCTATGCGCTTTGAAATTTTTTACAGTCTCATCGAAACTCTGATTTCAGAAAATAAAGGAGAACTATGAACATTTGCGGGAGGAAGTGAAGGGGATCCCTGATTCTTTACTTGATTTTGAATCTGTTTCTGCTCTACAAAAATTCAGTATGTTGCTTCTTTGCAATCATCATCATATGTGTCCCATTACATCATTTTGGATGTTATTGATTTCCACATGGATTGTCTATGACTTAGGTAAGGAATGTGAAGATCTAAGAACGAAATACGTTGAAGAGTGTGAATTACTGAGAAATAAGTGTCTCGAAGAATGCTGTGAAAGAAAAAGACTTTACAATGAAGTGATTGAGCTGAAAGGGAACATCAGGGTCTTTTGTAGGTGCAGGCCACTGAAGCAAGACGAGATTGCCAATGGCACAACTTCTGTCGTTGATTTCAACTCGTCCCAGGAAAATGAGATGCAAATTATTTGCTCTGATTCTTCGAGAAAGCATTTTAAATTTGATCATGTATTCAAGCCTGAGGACAACCAAGGTAACATAGAACATCAACATGTTGATTTAAGTGGAATTTGTTTAGCAAAACCTTTTTACTGTGCCAATTTTAGGATTTTATCCAATGCACTTTCTGAATGCAGAGGATGTGTTTCTTCAAACTCTTCCATTGGTGACATCTGTCTTGGATGGCTACAATGTGTGCATATTTGCTTATGGACAAACGGGTACGGGGAAGACGTACACAATGGAAGGAACTTCAGAAAACAGAGGAGTAAACTACAGGACTCTGGAGGAGCTCTTTAAGTTGTCCAAGAGTCGAAGTAGTATAATGAGATATGAATTATGTGTTAGCATGTTGGAGGTTTACAATGAAAAGATTAGGGATTTACTTGTCGAGAATTCAAACCAACCTGAGAAAAGGTAAACTTCCTTAAATCTTTCTTGTGTTTCCTACATATTGAACTAATGTTCTCAAGTTTTTACATAGTTTCAGAAATATCGAATGCAATGTCTATTAATGAAGGTTATTGTATGAAAGATGATCAATAAGTTACCTTATAGTCCGAAACACTTTTATATATAAACATTCAAGAATATGTTTTCCACATTTAGGTTGGAGATCAAACAATCTGCTGAGGGCACTCAAGAAGTCCCTGGACTAGTCGAAGCTCGTGTTCATAACACGGAAGAAGTTTGGCGCCTGCTAAAATCAGGAAGTCAAGCAAGATCCGTTGGGTCCACCACTGCCAACGAGCTGAGCAGCCGTTCTCACTGGTAATTCTCGTTGCCCTTTGTCTTACCTTTTCTGTTCTTACAGCTCTGATATGCTCAAAACATTAATGCAGCTTGTTAAGGGTCACTATCGCTGGCAAAAATCTAGTAAACGGGCAAATGACAAGAAGCCATTTGTGGCTAGTCGACCTGGCAGGAAGTGAGCGCGTTGGTAAGATTGATGTCGAAGGCGACCGTTTGAAGGAATCACAGTTCATAAACAAATCCTTATCTGCACTGGGAGATGTTATCTCTGCATTAGCTTCCAAATCATCTCATATTCCTTACAGGTGCGCGCGACTTCTTCGATCTCCATTACAGACATGGCATTCATTTTCTTACAACTTCTTCTTCTGTTGACGACAGGAACTCTAAACTCACACATATGCTGCAAAGCTCTCTCGGTAAGTCATCAATGTCCGTCTGTGCTTCCATGATTACGATACAACAGGATGCTTACTATTTGTTCCTTCCATTGCAGGCGGAGATTGTAAAACATTGATGTTTGTACAAATCAGTCCCAACACAGCCGACTTGGGAGAGACCCTTTGTTCCTTGAATTTTGCAAGCCGCGTCCGGGGAGTCGAACATGGACCTGCGCGTAAACAATCAGACCATGGAGAACTCCTCAGATACAAGCAGCTTGTATGTGAACCCACAACTCCCTCATATTCCTAATCGAATCGAACTAATTAATTCCTCTGTATCTCTGTTTTTCTTGTTCCCGGAAACAGTTAGAAAAAGCAAAACAAGATGAGAAGGAAATGAAAAAGTTGCAGGACACGGCGCAAGCATTGCAGCTCAGACTTGTTTCGAGAGAAAGCATTTGCCGAAATCTTCAAGAAAAGGTAAAAACCATAAAAAGAAAAAAAAAAAAAAAAAAAATCTATTTACAATGAGCTAGAACATGACAACATTGCTTGTATATATGTATATATAATACAGGTTCGAGATCTTGAGAATCAGCTAGCCGAGGAGAGGAAAACAAGGATGAAACAAGAAAGTCGAGCATTAGCCTCGATTTCTACTCACTCAGTTTTGTCGAATCCAAACAACCAACCTTCAATGGATAAAAAACCTCCATTGGCTCCTTCAAGATTAAGGCCTCCGCTGAGAAGAATTACAAACTTCATGCCGATAAGATCTCCAGTTCCCGTGAGCAGAAACAGCAGCAGCATGTCGACATCCTTCCTCCCAACAGTGAATGAAGAAGGGAAAGAGAATCCTCCTCTGCCACGAGCACCTCTCAAGGTGTGGAAAGAAGCGAGACGAGGCTCCATGGCAGTAGTGGGGCCTTCTCCATCATCAACCATAACCGGACGAGCTTTCCAGCCTAAGAGGCGAGCATCTGTAGCAACTCTCGGGCGCGAATCCACATCCAACACGATGGTGATGATGACTCCATTACAACGATCATCCATGAGAACATCGAGACCTGATGTCGGCAGGCATTCGCTTGTTCCATCAACCATAACCGGACAGGCTTTCGCTACAAAGATGATGATGATGACTCCACTACAAAGATCATCCATGAGAACACCGAGACCCGACAACCGTGGCGTCGGCAGGCATTCACTTGTTTGGGATCCACAACAAGTATCATCATCTAGGGTGTGTTCTCCTCCTCCTCCATTGAGAGCAGCAGCAAGTTCGGAGGCGGCCGCGGTGACATTTCGCAGCAGCAGCAGGAAGTTCAGAGGGAGTCCTCCTCCTCAGACTGTGTGGTCGTGGAAGCCGAAGCACCCTACAGTGGTGGCGCTGCAGAAGAAGCATTTGGGACGGAGTCCATGAACCTGAGGGAGGAATTTAATGGTATTTTGAGCAAAGAAACAAAAATATATATATATATATATGTATATGCTGTTCTATTCTTTGGTTGTAGTGTCTTTTCTTGTAGTCTTCTTCTTCTTCAGTTGGTGCTTGCTGTCTGTGTGTGTATTTTAGGAATCTAGTAGTGGTGGTAGTAGAAATGCAAGAAGATATATGAGTGAGCATTGAGAAATTTGAAGAATATCTATATATATTATATGTGTGTGTGTTATGATAACTTTTTCGTTCTAATCAAAGCTTTGATGCTCTTTTCTTGATTTATTTTTTGTTTTGGGACATTTTCCATGTTAAATAATAATTTCATTCTAGTATTTTGAATTGTGAAAACATTTTGGTAAAAAGTAATTTGTGTTAGGTGAATGTCATCACAATACGTAGTTGATTTTTAAGTAGACGTTGATTTTAGAGTATTAATATATAATATATATATATAAAAATGTTCTATGTGATATTATTGAAAAAAAATAAAAATAGATATAATAAAAATCCGGAAAAATTTAATAAAAGAACAGACCCTACATTTTTTTTTTCTTTTTTCTGTAATTTCTTCGCTGTGTATGTAAAGGATAAATTTTGAGGTACATGAAGGATATTCATTTATGAGACATCATCATCCGTGGATGACACAGAAGGAAACAACAAACTATCTACAACCAACGCACACATCGCTGTAATAACAACGAGAATATAATAATATATAATATATGATATAAATAACTCCCTTCAAATCCTTCGAGTTCGAGGCAGGAATGATGACGAGAAAGAAGATCTCCCCAAAGGCGGCGGCCGGTGCTTGAGTCCGGCGATCATCGCCGCCGCCGCCTTCTCTTCGTTCTTCATATGCATCGACGACGACGATGATAATTTTCTACTCTTCAGCGGCGAAACTAGCCTCTCCGCTATCCTCGACGGCGAGAACGACCTCCTCTGCCACGCCGCCCCACTGCCACCACTCTTTGCCACCGCCGGCGGCGGCGCTACCTCGATGTTTCCCGGCTGCATCGATGCTTTTCTACCACCTCTCAACGGCGACACCAGCCGGCTCGCCAGCCTTGACGGCGAAAACGACGTTCTCATCATCTTCTTCGGCGGCGCCGGCGATGACAACGACGACGACTTCTTGGCAGAGGCAGCTGCCGTCGTCGGCAGGAGGGAGAATCGAGGCGGGCTTCTGATTTTCACTTGGAATTTTCCGGCAGCAGCCGGAGGGGACTTAACCAGAAACTTGTGCGGCGTTTGATGGCGGCCTCCGGCGATCACCGGCGACCTAGTCTTGCAGAACAACTTTTGCCGGTGGGCGACGTTTGGCGGCGGCGGCGACGAATGGAACAATGGGTTGGGGAAAAGAACAGTCTTTCTCACCCACGGCCTATTTCTTGGGGAGACACGGTTGGCAATGTACCTGCAATTCTCCTTTTTGCATTGCGCCGCCGCCGGAGAAGATGAAACCTTGAAGGCTATCCGGGACTTGGCCCGCCGGAGAGATGGCGGCTCAGCATTTGGATTAGATATTGACTCTGATCGGATCTCTTTAAGCACTACTTGCTTCTCTCGCTTCCTTCTCCCTCGTAGCCCTGACGAGTTTCCGGAGACTGTCGAAGCTTTTCTTGCGCCGGTCGCCGGAGTTTTGGGGTCTTCATCTATGGCTGGTTTTGCTACTGCTTCGACTATGGTTCTTGCAAATTGACTTGCTTGTAAAATTTCACCCATCGTCTCACCTAGCAGCATCGCCGGCAACGACATTCTTCGCCATTCCTCTGGTCGGAATATGAAAATTGTAAGATCAAACACTAAGTGCAGATGGAATTGGAAGAAGAGGATATGTTAATGTGTTACCTGTGGTTGCCGCCGGCAGCTTTCCGGGCGGCGATCTTCGGTAGTTTCCAGTTTTTGTTCTTAAGAATTACAAGGCAAAAACATGTGAGCTTATCAGATGCAGAGCAAATTCTGCTGGAAGATTCGCTTAAAGGTTCCAATGGAGGAAACAGAAATTGGTATCCACGAATAGCAGAGGTCTGATACTATCTATAATGAAGAAATTATTATCAAATAGATAGAGATAAGTTCAGTACCTTAGTGATTCCTGTTTGCAATGGAGACTTGTTCTCATATAGCCTCGGGTGCTCCTAGGGCTCAAACTCACACCGGAAACCAACTTTTTGCCGCCATTGACGGTGTACTGAAGCTCTTGCAGTCGCGCCATACATTTATCCACCTTCGTTCAATCGAAATCAGTGAAGAAATTAGCAATTATGTGAAGCCTTAGTTAACGGAAATGAAGCGCAGGTATTTGATGAAGACGAAGCAGATTCACACATCCGAAAATCAATACAGACTACAGAACCGAAGAAGCTCTGTTTCAGATCATCAATTGCTGTTTCGGTAACCGTTTTTGGTTTTCATCGATCCGCAATCGAACTAAATCAGCTTCCAAATTCCTATAATTTCTATCTAAACAGGAAAATTAAAATCGACAAGCTCATCGATCATTCATCTTCTTCAAAATCCGAAAACAGTTACAGACACGATTATCAATCGATTCTCATCTACACCAAACCGCGACGGTTCGTAACTGCAATTAGACTCATTAACCTCTAATTCCGATGACTACAGTTTCGGAATTTCAATTCCAAAACTCGACAAACAAACAAATTAAAAACCAATAATACGTTCTTCGTTGATTCATTCATTTGCTCACCTTCTTAACCGTTTCTCTGAGAAGAGTTGGACTCAACAGCGGCGCCGCCACGGCGATTCTTCTCGGCTGCTTCGGCGGGGTTCTCGCCACCATTTTTGTTCTTCAGATCTCCGCAGCGAATCGAGAGAGATTCTCTCTCCTCCTTTTCCTCACACGATTTGCGTTCGGTGTTGGAACAAATGGTCAAATAGTACCTGAAACGTAGTGGTTCGTGTAACGGATAGTTTTTTTTCCAACGGTCAAATACATTCGGCGAGAAAGAAAAAGCGTACTACAGCCATAATCTCTCTCTCTCTCTCTCTAATAAAATAATTATTAATTAATGCATTTTAATATGTATTTTTTTCTCTAATAGTTTGTCTCGAGGATATGATAATAATAATTATTATTATTGGATTAATTTTTTGGTAATAATCTTGAAAGTTTGGAACGAGGTGATTATTACTTATTTGATTTTTGAATTATTTCCATAATTGAAATTTGGTGTTCAGTGAATGATACGAGTAATAATAACATATACTTTTAATATAAACTTAAACCATACTAACAAACAACAATATTAACTTATCTAATTTGTGTAAATTTAAGAGGTGACTTTTCCAAGATTGGTTATAAAATCAATTGAGAGAAGTAATTAATTTACTTTTGTCGAAAAAATTGCAATAATTTTTTTAACCAAATTTTTTAGACTTTTGTAAGATGCAATATTTTATTTTTATTGCAATATATATATTAAGAATAGTTAAAAAATATATATATATATATAATATTAATTGTATTTTTAATTGAACAAGAGAATTTACATAAAATAATTAATTATCATGGATCAAATTCCTGATGATTTGTGGCGGGTCTTGCCCGGTCTGGTGTTAATGGGCGAATCGGGTCGGGTTTGGAATTTATTTCTGGTCGGGAAATGCTCCGTTAGATTCTAGCCGAGTTTGAGGAAATGAGCGGCCGCGGCGGCGGTGGTGGTGGCGCTAACCTGAATTCGGTGTTCTATGCGGAGGCTTACCATCCGATTCAAGCCGGAAGCATCGACGGCACCGACGTTCTGCCTCACGACAACGCCGTCTACAGAGCTCTTCTCTGTTATAATGCATCTCTATGTAATTGTCCCTTCATCTCGTTTTTTTATTTTTTTTATTTTAATGATTCTCGATTTAGGGTTTTAGTCGAAATTAAATTTTGTAGATGATCCCTTGGGCGATCCAAAAGTAATTGGCGACCCTTACTGCACTCTATTCGTAGCTCGTCTCTCTCATCAAACCACCGAAGACACTCTCCGCCAGGTGCGTCGTGTATGAGTGTATCTACCTGTGTTTGTGTGTGTTTTGTTTGTTTTTCTTTCCTAGTGTTTGTGATAATAATAATATGAATGTATGTGCAATCTGCTTGGTATTTTTTGTTGATCTTTAAGCAGGCTATGAGCCAATATGGGAGGGTAAAGGATCTGCGGCTTGTCAGACACATAGGTGAATTTCTCTTTTGCAAACAGTATGAGTTTTGGTGCATTATTGGCTGTAAATGAGGCATGAAATTCTTTGCATCTTTGTCTGAGATTGTATGTACATCTCTGATTGCCCATTCATTTGCACACATTCCGAGCACTGATGGATAGTTGGGAGTTTATGTAGCATGTTTTCATTGTCATACCGATTAATTGGACTGAGTAGAGATGGGTCATCTTTGTGAGAAATACTATGCCGGGATTATGGTTTAGTGACAGATTATTTGGATGGGACTTACCCTTGCTGTATTGTTTTTAGGCAGCAGTTTTTATAAATGAGTGGTTCATGTTCTCTTGAATCAGACTTAATACCTGTAATTGTATATTTCCGCGAAAATACATTATCTCGCCCTAAACTCCACTTATTCCATCTCCTCACAAATCAATCATTGAGATAACTTATATATATATATGTGTGTGTGTGCATGCGCGCAGTTACAGGTGCCTCGCGTGGTTATGCGTTTGTGGAGTTTGAAACAGAGAAAGAGATGCGTCGAGCTTACAAGGTGATCTGTTGTAGATAGTGACAGTGTGTGATATTATATTTAATGGTGTGGTGTGAGTTTTTATGAGATTAATGATGCAATATGTAGCATTGGAATGAATGCTTACGAAAAATTTCTCATCTGTAGGATGCTCATCATACTTTTATCAATGATTCTGAAATCATAGTTGATTACAATAGGCAGCAATTGATGCCTGGTTGGATTCCAAGAAGGCTAGGTAAGTACAAATATTCTGTTGTATCTTTTCACAATATGAGGAGCTTAATGATGTGATGATTGGTAGGAGGTGGTCTTGGTGGCAAGAAAGAGTCAGGGCAACTTCGGTTTGGAGGACGAGAAAGACCATTTCGAGCTCCGCTGTCAGTTCCTTTTCCTTCATATCTCTTATTACTGTGATTGTAGGAAAAAAAGAAAATGAAAAGAAAAATCTTATATTGCTATCAGTTGACATATATCGTGCATCTTCAATTTATGAACTGGATGGAGAGATGCTTTCCATTAGGATAGATTGAATACAGATATATGTAGATGTGATGGTTGTGCGAATGTGGATGAGGTTTTATTTCATTGAAGTTAGATTATAGAAGTAGCTTTGATCAAGGTTGGAGGAATTTCATAGTTCAGGCATTTTAGTAAATCTTTTGGGGGGCTTAGAGAAGCGGGAATGCAGTTGGTAATTGGTAGATTCATTTGTACTTTTATCAATCATGTTTAGCATTTCATTCTTCTCTTCCTGATGCTAAGCTGCTTAAACACATACACATCCTACTCACGGGCCACTTAGTGGGTGTAAAAAAATTACGACTGATTTTTTATTTAGTTGTATCATGTTTTTGGGTTGTCACTCCGTCCCAAGGAAATTTTCTACATTTTTCTTGTGAGAGTAATGTGAGTGATAAGGAGGAAAACATTCTTACAAGTCGAATAGGTGGGAATATGAATTGCTCCGTTGTTTGGATATGCTTGTGGAAAGGATGATATCAGTAAGGTTTTGCACAATAGAGTGTAATTAACACCTGCAAAAGCAGGCGTGTAAAAATTACTGGAATTTTGATGTGGTTACATGTTGACTTGCTATGTATAGTTCAACCCGAATGGATGGAGGAAGGGTTTGGAGATGGTAATCAGGATGAGTTTTTTTTTTCTTAGGTATCTATCCCCAGTTATCGAAGATTTGAATTTTTCACCAGATGGATTGGGACCGAGATGAGATTTAATCATTTTTACAGTATTTGTTCTTACTGGTTTATGTTGAGAGCACTCCGTAATTGGAATTATCAACTTTAGGGCAACTTTAGAGGGGTTAGTCTGCATTAAAATACATTCAATATTTTGTAGAAATCACGACGAAATAGAATCTTTTAAGGCCTTCCATTTCTGTGTTAAACTCTATTATCTGTGCTTGAATGATTGATTAACCACTCTAGCATTGTGATTTGGGAATTTTTTTGACCTCCCTTACAATTTTTAACTTACACATATGCTTGTGTTGGTATAACAGGAGGCAAATTCCATGGGATGAATTAAAGAGGCTGGGAATGCCACTCCCTCCAGAGGGTAAATACATGTCGCGCTTTCAGGTAAATTAAGTAACCCGAAGTAAATAATTTCATCTTGAACTATTTGGAGCATAACTCAATTAACTGCTGCCCTAACCACTCGAATGATTATCATGGATAAAGTAATCATGAACCATCAGTTAATCTTCGGTAATCTTACCTCGCGTCTTTAGGGTGCTGATCAATAGCACATGAAAATATAACGAAACATCAGATGAAAATAGAACAGACAGCCTTCTTCAATCCTGCTGTTTGCCAGCTAAGCTGCAACATATGATTCATTCTATTATGTGAATACTACATCGACTTTCCATCATTGTTATTGGTAACCAATCTTGAATCTTCGCATAGCTGATCAAGTAAGATCCTTATTGGATTAGATCCCTTCGCCGCCAAGAAGGAAGAGAAGCAGGTCTGTAGATCAAGATGAGGACTTTGATGTGCACAATAGACCGAGAGCATCCTCCCGGCGGTCATCAAGCCCCGGAGAAAGGTCTAGTAGATACAGAAGCCCCGGAGAAAGGTCTAGTAGATACAGCGAAGAACGCCATCACAGACAGGATAGGCGTCCCCTGAGGCATGAACCGGAGCCATCTAATACCGGAGAAAGAAGTCATGTTGATAGGGAAGAACACAATCATCGGCAGCGGCGCCACCACCGCGACGGGCGGCGCAGTGGTGATGACAGATGGACACCCGGTGGAGGAGATGGTATGCACAAAGAATAGGAGACTCTGTAGAAGATTGAAATGGATTTAGTAAGTGATAGGGGAACCTTGAGCTGCCTTCATATACGAGAAATATATATATAGTTTTATGTATTCTTTTTCTTTAAATTACCATACAAAATTTATAAATTTAACTCAAACTCTTGTATAATCCAAAATATGCGAGACCCTTTTTTCTTTTCCTTTTTTATTTGTCCAGTTCAAAAAATTTTTTATTTATATCTATATTTTCAATAAATAAATATTTTTATTTATAAAATTATTTAAAATATCAAAAATATTATTCATATAAAAAAATAAAAAATAATGTTATAATTTATATTAAGTCATCGATGTTATCTAAATTTATTTTTATTTTTATTTGAATTTATTTTATAGTAAAATAATATCATTTTTTTATTATTTTATCCTAAAAAATAAAAATTTCTATTTTTATTTAATTTTTTAAAAACTGTTAAGGGAGTAATAAACTACTCTCACAATTAATAATAGGCTTTTACAAAGTTGAAATTTACTCTCTACGGTGAGTCCAAAGCCATTCTTATCAGTGCCAAACATCACCATTTGCACAACCACCTCATCTCCCAAACAACATACTTACACTACCATTAAACATTCCAAAACACATCACTTTTTCCAAATACCAAAACTTCAGCCCACTAAAACCACACCAACCATCAAACCTATCAGCATGGGCATGGGCATGGGCAACATCGAGGCGAGGAGGCGAGAACCTCGGCTAGCAAAGCTCCCACCGGGGGAGTTCGTAGCCAAGACAAGCACGGTCCAATCGTCTTCGGTCCCAATGCCAGCTCCGGTGAACGCCGAGTCATTCAAATATCTAGAGTTGGGGGAGTGGGTGTAGTTGGTGAGCACAAGCGTGGCCACACGGTGGGGCACACAGACGGGGAGAACGACTCCGTCCGTTGTGGTGTTGATGTCCACTTTGCATTTCTTCAACACGTTGGGGTAGTTGGAGATGACTTGAGATTGCATGGATGGCGAACTTGTGACGGATGTGCATGATTTGTCCTCTAATTGGTCGGCGATCTCATCAGCAACGCAGTTGGCCTTGTCGTGCTTGGAGAGGGTCGGGAGATTCGATGATTGCCGGAAGCTGTTGATTCCTTGGAGCAGATTGTCTTCCTCATCTACATGTGAAAGGTTATAATGTAGTAGTGGCAGTAGTGATCAGAAAACAATGTAAACTTAACAGAAGGAACCAACTTAAATGGCAGGCATATAATATGTGCACTCACAGGAATGACTAGGGTGTTGACTAAGGTTAATCAATAGTAATTTTTTAACTTTAGTTGGTACATGGCTAAAATTAAAATATTTACCTTGCAGATTATAGTTATATGTTAAACAAGTCATAACATGTATTGTGTTCTGTCACCATAAACTATGGTTTGATATCAATTGTGTCATAAAGCGCACATAACTTTGTGTTGAAGTAAAACATTACATGTGGGTTTGTACGTGCTGATACCCTATCAGCCGCTACATATATGTATGTATGTATGTATATTTATTAATTATTAGCAGATAGATTATAAAAAGAATGATGAGGCAAATTTATGGAGTGATGAACTAGTTCACTGAATGTGTTACCAAAAATTGAACTGTGTAAAAGAAGTTACTGCAGGACGATACATACTTACTGAATGCTTTGATGCAATTCTAGCAGTTGCCCGAAAGCGATCACTTAGCGGGTGAACCTAATATCCTGTCCTGTCTGACTGGCCAGTCACACTAGGTTGCGAACCATGTGTGACAGACCTGAGGCGGCGGAGGGTTGAACCCGTAACCGTGAGCTCGTCACGGTTACGACCCCACACCACCACCTGGTCTATCCCTACGGGAATTGTCTATCTATTCTTACATCTATCTATCAATGTCAATGTACTACTACTACTATATATGACAAAACCTACAACAACAATTAAAAAGAACAAACCATCACGACTTCACCAGGACAATAATAATAATTATTATTATATATTTATATGGATTAGAGAGAGAGAGAGAAGTACCGTCGGAGTGAACAGGCAGGGAGAGACGGGAGCAGAGGAGGAGTTGGAGAAGCAGAACAGGGAGAGCTACACGAAGAACAACGCCACCTGCATCACCACCAAAAATATACCACTCCATATTACATACAATGGATGGATAGATAGATAGATAGATGATTGATTCTCCTCCGAAACAAGAAGATGAATGGGAGCGGGAGCACAGCAGCTTCAATTAATAAAAGGTAAGAGTGGCGTAGGAAGATTAATCATTTATTTATAGTGTAATGATCGATTGTTCATATGCGGCGTAGGCCTACACGTGGCCTCCATGCATACTACACACACCCCCTCAATTGACACCTCACTCATTCCAATTGCCATCCAAAATTATACCCTTAATACAAACTAGTGAGAGACAGATCTGGTTATGTAAATCCACGACCACCAGCTGATGATATATGATGAATAAATCTCAAAATCTTCACAAGAATTAAACCCCCAGATGTATCATTGACTGCTATTCTTCGCACTCTTCTTGGGTCTAATTTCGATCCCTTCAACAATGATCCCACTCTTCCAATTGGCTCCTTTAACCTCCATCAACGACAACTTCAAATCCCCATTTTCACTTCCATGGACCAAAAACTCCCCAAGCTCCACTTCCATCCATCCATCATTATCCCTTCGTCTCGGGTATATCATTCTGTCCTCCTCTTCCTCCTCATTCGACGATGTTGCTGCACTAGTCTCATGGTGATGCCGCTGATATGGCTGTATACGGGGTAGACGATGGTAGAACCATCCCATGCGCCGAGGGACTATTTGGTTTCGTTGCCTCTGAGATCCTTCAGGATCCAATGAAACGCTGCGCTTCTCGCTTTCGTGTCCGTTCACCTCCAGGGAAGCCTCCGCGGGGATCTGCTCGAATCCGTACATTCTGGATGCTGAATTGAACACGAAGTATGCAGCGTAATTGGTCCCCGGAGACAGCATGTCTATGCTAATTTTAGCACGTATCTCCAGCCAGCACACATCGATGAGCTCTGCAACTTCAGAGAACCTGGAATGAATTAAGAGAAGATAGATTCGTCGTTTTAATAACGTGTAGGAAGAAACGAGAACGAATTATATTATACTGAATTGTTATTGTTACCTGGATTCGGGATGAGAGATCCATTTCCAGTACGCAGGTGTGTCTCCCCATACTATATAGAGCTCTCTTGCCGATAGCATGAAACATTTCTTACCACTCGTTTTGTCCAGTGAAAAACTCTGTATACAGCAACGTGGATGTAATTAGTTATAGGCTGATCTTTAGCTTCTACATCTATGGAGGATGTTGAGGCTTCAGAATCATGAATTTGAAATTAAAGAATAAGGCTCGAGAAGTAGAACAAACTCGAAAACACAAAAGACCTACTGTATAAAAATGCACAGCATTCAAACTAGGCACAAACAATAGAATAACATCATGGAAAAGGCAATGCCAATAATTAAGATCATACTCGAGGGTACAACAGCGAGATTATTTTTATTGAAATTATGTTCATACTTACTACTAGATGCTAACAGAAATTCAATGCGGAACAATCAGCATACTCCGAGTTTGAACACGAATCATTTTTAAAATTGAAAACAAACAAACGAAATTTCTATGATTCTCCTGGAGTTAGTGCTTCATGCTTCTCCGAAAGAGTTTCTTCGCAACAACAAAATTCAGTTTAAGAAACATAAGAAGTTAAACGAAGAAACAAACAACTAGATATTTTCGTGGAACAATAAAGTTCAATTGGTGATAATGCTAATCAATGTTTGAATCAGAAGCAAGAACGAATCGACTAGCCATTTAATTCATCATACAATCGGATCACAAAGCCAAAAATCTCTCTCATCTCTCCATACGCAATTTCAAATCCATTCAAAAAAAAAAAAAACCTCAAGCGAAAACCAAAACCTAAAAACGCAAACTAACTTCCAATCCCGCCGCGAAAAAATCAAATAAAAATTCAAGCAAATCTTACCTTCCGACCACCATCGATGAGCACGGGATTATCGCACAGATGTAGATACAGATCCTTCTTCAAATCGAACCGATCGACCAACGAATCGGAGCCATCAACCGCGCGCGAAAGGATGTCGCGATAATCAGACGGAAGGAACCGCTCCCAAACGGTGTCGGACTCTGACGCCGATCGGAATGTTGAGGCCACCGCCGAGAGGCGGCAAACATCCTTCGGACTCGTGAGCGACAGCGCGTTGGCTATGCAATGCTCCGGGAGAGCGCAGATATCGCCGCTGATTTCCATTTCCACCGCCATTGACCTGATGAAACGTTAGCGGAAAATATCTCCAACGCACAGGTATTTATAATGCGCGGCCACATCTGGCACTCGTGCTCATTATTAATTTAATTACTATTATTTTATTCGGATGACTTTGCAAAGTAGATAATTAAAAATAAATTAATTATTTAATTTTGGATGACTTAGCAGGGAAGTTTCGAGTGAACGCAATAAAAACTTCCCATAGAATCTTATCCGAATTTTCCTTTTTTTTTTTTTTTCTAGTTATTTTTTGGGGACATAATAAAAGGGAATAATATTTATTGTAAATAAAATAAAATAAATAAAACCAACCATTTGTAATATTAAATTCATATTATATTTGTCCTTTTTTTGTTCTTGATTTACATAGTTGCTTTTTTTTTTTTTTTATGGTGGGTCATAATCTTAGGTGTTAAGTTACAAGGAATGGAATTGAATGAAATGGTAGCTTCACAGTTAAGTCATTTCCGAAAAAAAAAGATTAAGAACATATACCATTTTTTATATGGAAATGATATTCTAGGAATTCTCAAATTTAGAATTATTGAATCCTAAAATGATGTATATTTATTTATGTTACTTTTATGAAAGGCTGAAGAAATAGATGGTCAGAACATTCATTACATAATTCAATTCTTATATGTGCCTATGGGGGGTGACAAAATTTGTACCCAATCTAAAAATATAAAATTATTTAAATATCATCATACCATATTTTTATGTTTGATCCAATTTTTTTAAAGTCGTTCAAATAATAAAATTTGGGTACGAAAGAGAGATTGTCACAGACAGCAGCAGCAGCAGCTTTTGGATGTCCAAAAAGTGGGAGGGACATTTCACTTAAAAATATTTATGGGAGACACGTCGATTTCACAGGGAAGTCTGTGTAGTGCCTTGCAAATTTCTGCACTTTCCATCCTGGATTCAACCTACCTATATATGTTGTCCTTAAAAAACATAAAAGTAAACACAAAACAGATTATCCCAATCAAAAGGTCAACACCCCCACATACTTTAGTCCCTTTATAAATGATTTTTGAAAGTTTTAGGTTTTTTCTTTTCTTTTAATTTTTTTTTTACGATATTATTATTATTGTTATGGTTTTTAAAAGTAACAATGTTAAAAAAAATAAAAACAAAAATTTGAAGTTGCATAGACTTTATGTCATTACTTTTTTAATCCTCAAACCTCCCTTCTCCACTTTCATAGTAGGTCCCCTCATTGTTAAGTGCTTAATAAAAAGGCTGTTATAGTGCTGATCAAAGTTAATCCCTATATATTAACCTTTGTGTTTAGACCTCTCTGTAGAAACCTTTCAAAACATATTATACAGAATATTTCTATGTAGTTCAATAAAATTTATACCATTGTAAAATAAATTCAACACATGATCCATTTCCTTCAAAATTATGTGTGCCCAAGTGCGATAAAATCGAAACAAATTGAAAACAACTATGCACATTTAGTATCAAAGCTCACTTGTCAAATTGAACCAACATTCATACAAACATACCAAATGCATAAAAAAAACCACGAAGGCATACTACACTTGATATCTATATATTAAAAGAGAAGAAAGAAACAACTTAGTTTCATTTTTATTTTTTGCTAGACATGCTATCTCGGTTCGCAAAGAAAGTTCGATGTTTCGCCAAGTTTAGCATGCGCAGAAGAAAATAGATAATACTCATAAACATGCGACGATGAAGGAGCTATGCTTAAGCTATTTATGGAAGTAGGGGTTACAAGTGTTACACTGAGTGGTTCTTCTGGGCTGAGTTAGGAAGACCCGAAGCTGACCTCTGCGCCGCCTCCTCCAATTCCTGCTGTCAAGCATTGAAACCCGCATGATTCCAGCTCTGCGATGAGTTTATCAATAATTGTTCCTGAGAGTACTGAGTTTATCCAGTTAATGGAAATGCAATGCTTCAAAGATAATATTGGAGGGTCTGATTCAATACTATAAGACGATGATGGAAATGAAAAGCAGAAAGGATACAGCTTGGCAGTAGTGTTAGAACACAGCCTCCTCCGCCGGCTCCGGTTAGTTTAGTCACTAGTTTATATTTTAGAGTTGTACGAATCACGGTTTCAATGGAAGCGTGGCTGACCCCCATGCATTGGAGTAGCCCTTGATTCATCTCCATTAGTTCTGCTAATTTTTCTTCGTTCTCTGTTACAGCAAGCTCGTCTGAAACTGGTGATTGGAGTATGGACGCCAATTCATTGCTGATGGAATCGACAGCACTGAATACAGAGTTCATGGCATTCGGATGTCTGAATGTCCTTTCTGACACACCTGCAACCAATGCTTTTGTATTTCTTCCAACTTTCGTGTTGGTTACGAGCATTTTGAGGGGTAAGTTCGATTTGAGGCGTGTGAGTTCACCAGATTTGAACTTGATCATGTTTCCTGACAAATAAAGGGGAAAAGGATCAGCAAAATGGCAATCCATGTTATTCCGACAAAACAGTTAAATATTACAGCAGGGCTCCTTCTCCAACTTTGTGGCCAAAAGACGTGTCTTTATCTATAATGGGAAGCATACTCGATTTTGCATTATTTTGCAACAGCAGATGGTCACACGAGAAGGGACTTCCCGAACACAACATCCAAGACCGGCACCAAAGCATAGTTCGGTTCTAAAGTTGAATCTTGTTCTTGTGCCGGCCTTGGAATATTAATTACTCAAAAAGCAATGGATAACAACTAACCCGATGAAGTTTCATCCATGAATAGCAACTAAAATCTTAATTGAGGTTTCTGGAATATGTATAGAAGAAGCAAATCTTTGAATTATCTAACAGCATATTTAATGATTACTTCCTATATCATTAGTGTAGCCTTTCATTCTCTCATTTTCCAATCCTTCTGATATAGGGAATGCTTACATACCATATGTGCTTACTGTGTTGTCAATGCCGGATGGCTTTCCATGGATTATCTTCTCCCCTTCGAAAGCCCATTTATTCACCAGATTCAGCTCACTGTCCCCAAACTTTTGCCATCCTTTGTTATCAACATCCAATTTCACACACTTGGATAGAGCAAGGAACGCACCAGCGAGCGCAACACAAAAAGAAGCAGATGAACCCAAACCAGATCCTAAGGGCAATTCGGAGGTCACCACAACTCTGGCCGGCTTAGCACTGATACAGAAAAAGAAAATATGCAACTCAGTGAACTGCAGTAAAATTCATGCTCAGAATATCTCAGATTCAAAAAAATAAAAAATCAGGTAAAAATGCAAGCTAAATACCCATGAATGGAAGTATACAGCCAGAGAAATGCTGAAACACCCGAAGCAAGTGCAATATAAGCCTCAGGGATATTGTGTTCATCAACTAGAGAGGCTATTGCTTTAATGGTCTCAAACGAACATGATGAAGGAGTGGAAGCATCATGGCCACCAACTTCCGAAAGGATTACTGCAATTTTTCCAACTGGCCAAGAAAATTCCAAGTCCATATCTTTGAGGTGAAGTTTTAGCTCATCATCACTCTCTGCTCCCACAACATACACAGAAGATGGCTTAAAAAATAGAGTCATCATCAGCAGAAAAAACCAATATAAGTGAATGAAAGCAGTACTAGGATGCCGATGTAAAGTATGATGCACAGATAAGACTGTTTGTTTGATATGCAACGGTTGTGCATTGCCACCGATACCACTCTCCTAAGAAAATATGGTTCCTCCTCATACAATCAACCACTACATGCCTTTTTAATAATCACATCCTACATCTTTTCTCACCCCAGAAAAGGAAGAGGCTATGAAATAACACATTGTATGGTACACAGAAGAGCATCACCAATAACCCCATTAAAGTGATCTAAGTCAAGTCAAATTATTCAGGCATAGAGTTTAAAATTTTCACTGTCATGTACTTGATTTATCAAAGCATGTAAGCTAACTGGAAATGGAAGTTCAAAGATTCCATTTTACTCACTCCATAGTTGTGACAAGTCTAATTCCCTATTGCCTCCTTCTTAGGATACAAATATTGACAATGTAATATGAAATATCATAAATCCTTTTCTACATAGAGCTCTCAGTAGTTAGCTGAAGGTAAACAAGTAAATCCCTTGTTTTTTATCATGATAAAACTAATGCTTAAACATACCAATATTCTGAATTTCAAGGGATGGTTTACTTGCCAGAAATAATAGCCTTATGAAGATGAAATTTCTTCCAGTAAACTGATAGCAAACTATGAAAATAATAACCAATTTTACAATCTTCCATGCAACAAACACCAATGTCAAATATTTACTGCCATATCCAATGTGCTGCTACCCCAATAATCTATTGAGTCATATTTAAAATTAAACCTTACAAAAACGAGTCAATTCACATCATAAAAATACATCAACATTCACAAATTTCACCCTAACTCAAGAATGAGCTGCTAAATGTTGAACAGGGGCAACTTTCCCCAGCTTTCTCAAGCATTACTTATCCTAAATTTTGTGCTTTGCCTTCCTATTAGCTGCATTTGGAAAAAGCTAGCTACTAAAAAATCAATTGAACTCAAATCAGAAGCAATTAATTAGTAAATTTCATGGTCATTAAATTGATCGAATCTTCGCACAATTTCATCACCAAAATTAAGACTACAATCCAGGGTGACATTTTTAAATCTCTTCCACAACTTATGTGCAAATCAGCTCAAAAAACGAGCAGTTCTGTTTGCCAAACATGCGCGAACAGTTCGACAGTAACCGAGAAAATGGCAAATCAAACCAAACACATCAAAATCCTTTAACAATTCAACAACACATTCCAACAGATCGAAACACAAGCAAAACTGCAATAACCATCCCCATCAGAGAGATAGATCAAGTACCTGACGGAGGAGGAAAAGTAAGCGAAGCGTAGGTGTAGAGATCAATGGCAGCGGCGACGGCGGTGGATCCGTGAACCACCGCATGCTCGCCTGCGAGTATGATCTTCCCTGGAGCTCTGGCTCTGGCCTCCATCTTTCCACGAAAAATTCGGTCGTTGATTGGTCAGTGGTGCACTTGTGTGTATAAATTGGTGTGCGGAGCGGTGGACCGAATGAATGGCGGGCGGCCAACGGTGGCGGAGAAAGTCATGATCGGAGTGCCGGCGTTCAATTGGATTGTTATAATATTGCTACTTTTTTAATTTATTATTGTTGTTTTGTCTGTATATGTCTTTTTAATTAACGTTTCTTAATTTATTTATTTATATTTACAATATTTTAGGTTTTTTTTTTTTTTGCTTTTTTTTTTATTGTTTTCATTTTTGTTTGAAAAATAAAATTAATGCTCCGTCCATTAGTTCCAATATTTTTATATTATTTTTGTCCGATTTTCTTTTAAATATTTTTTTATTATAATAAAAATAATTATATATTAATATTTAAATATTTTTAAATTTTTTATATAAATGTCATATATATCATTATACATACAAAATACTCCGTACACTGGTTATTTATCCATATTAAAAAATATGTTTTACAATAAAAAGTTTAAGTAAAAAGTAAAAAAATAAAAATCATACTATAATTTTATTAAAAATAAAAGAACAAACCCCATATTAGATTTATAGTTTATGAATGTCAAGAGGCCCATAAAAATCTTGGTTGAGACCACGCTATTTGGCCCAATCTTGTGGCCTGATCCATGAGCCCACAATGTCACCCCGTCTTCATCCAAACCGTTCATTCCGTTTGCCGTTGATCTTTATTTTGTTGTCCGATCTGGTGAGGCTCCGTGATTGCTGTGAATTTGTTACCTGTAATCATGGGTTGGTTTCGATTTGGATTAAAATTTATTTTATTTAAATAATATTTTGATATGATATTTTATAAAATTAAATAATATATTTTTATTAAAAATTATATAGAGAGAATAATATTGATTTTAGTTTCAAATATAATATAACAATTCTTTACATAATTTTAAAAATGGTTTTTTCTTTATTATGGTAAATTGTTTCTTTTAATCCCGTAATTAAATTTTTTTATGATTTTCATTTTGTAAATGGAGCATGTAGCAAACTAATTTCATAAGTGAAAATTTTTTGCTATTTTAATTCTCCGGCGCCGGAGACGCCCGTATGGCTCGCCTCCTGGGGACACGTGGATTTTTATTTTCATTTTTAATTTTTTTTAAAACAATTATTTTTAATTTTATTTATTTGGTCTAATTAAAAAAAATAAAATAAATAAAATAAAATTCACATGTCCGCGCCAGGTATCACTGACCTGGCAGGACACTTGGCTTTCGGCGAGTTACGCGGGCGTCTTCGGCGCCGGATGATTAAAACAACAAAAAATTTTTAATTATAAGACTAGTTTGCGACATGCTCCACTTACGGAACTAAAATGATAAAATGTCAAATTGTAAGACCAACAAACAGTTTACCTAAAAAATAAATAAATAAATAAAATCCAAAGGTTCAATTACCTGAAGTCAATAAAATACAGTCTTTTCGTGATCCCATTTACGTGAAAATTATAAGTTATAAATTAGGTGAATCAGAGGCAAGTGGACGAGTGGTGAAACACGTCTTTGAAAAATTCGACCACTATTATAATAAATACATACATATATATATATATATATATTTACACATACAAACGTAAGTGGATATCCTTAAAAATCGTACTTGAACAATAGTCTACTCTCAACCATGAATAATTAGGATTAATAAATGGTAGACTTGTTATTTACTCTCTCCGTCCCAGATACCGTGTACGCTACATAGTAGACACGGTATTTTAGGAGGAGTGTAATTAATAGATAATTAAGAATGTATTAGTGAAAATAATTATTCTATAATATAAATAATTATAAATTAAGATTAAGATAACTAATTAATTTAATTAAAATTTTAAAAATAAATTAAAAAATTTAAAATGAGATTAAAGTGTGTAATCATTTTCCAAAAAATGAAAGTGACATAGTATGTGGAACGGACAGAAACAGCACCGTGAAAGAGTATAATTTTTTATCTAGCAAAGTCTCCTTTTTTTTTATATATGCGAATATACATTTTTATAGTTAATATAATTATATTAGTTAAAATGTGGAATTATTATTATTATTATTATTTGAAATTTTATAGTCGTATTTATGTCTGTATATTTTTATATTTACCCTAATTACTATTAATCAAAGATTTAAGACCTTATCAAAGTAAACAGGATTACTGTCAGTGATGGATGACGGGATGAGTAGTGCCCGTTCTTTCTTGTTCTATTTTCTTCTAAGTACCAAATATTTTAATTGGAAAAGTAATACTCATTCCGTACCACGAGTATAATAGTATTGTTTATCATTTTTGTTCGTTTCAAAATAATAATTTTATTTTCATAAATAATCATATCACTATAAAATTATCATTATTTTTTAATTATTATTACACAATCGTCACTACTTTTTACACTAATACACTCACAATGGCAAAAAAGTTTTTTACCCGTATTTTTTACTCACTACGAATATAATATCAATATTTTTTAAATCTCGTGCCGAACACAACACAGACTATAATTCTGGGACGGAAAGAGTACTTGTTTAGGATAAAAAATTAAAAAATAAAAAGTATAAAAAAGTGTTAATAATAAAAATAACATGAGAATAAATTTAAATGACAATTAAATAAAAAAAATGATAATAAATTTGAATGAAATAGAGTATGAATTCATTTGATTTTCGCACATTAATTTAGATATATTAATATTTTATAAATAATAATATAATAATAAATAAATAAATAATTTTATCCTTAAATTTATTTACTTTTTAATTATGTATTTTTAATATCATGTAAAATGTAAGAATATTTTTTTTTATTAAAGTACAAAGTTCGTTACATTTAAATTTTTCAAACAAAAAAAAATAAGAAAAGGATGGAGTATATATTTATAAAATATCATAGTCGATTTATTATTTGAAAAACTAAAAAATATAATATTTTGATATTTAATTAAGTGTTATTTTTTTAAATAAAAAAAAATCTGATTTGGATATACTAAATAACAAATAAAAATTTTGGGTAGTGGACGGAGATAATATTTTTTTTTTTTTACAATATAGTCATAGCAAATTTTTAAGAACTACTGATTTGGTTTGCCAAAAACAACTTACATATTTTTCCAAAATAATAATATATCGCACATTCATTGTTTTTATACTCATCTATGCAATTTCTTTATAATTTACATAAAAAAAAATATATATATATTTATTCAAATCATTTCGCAAAATAAACGAACTTGCATCTACATGTGTATTTGATTGTAGGTTTTGAGTTTAGATTTCAATACAAATTGTTAAATTAAAATAAATATATATGATATGATATAAGTATTTGTTAATATAATATTTCAAATGTAAATTTATATTTTTATGTAATACAATAAATAAAACTTAGGTATTTAATCTAATATTTTTTAATGAGAAAAAAATTTTGAAATAATAAAAACCAACAAAAATCCACAAAGAAATATAAATTCTTTAGTATTTTCAATTACAAAACATAAATTTAGACAACCAAATAAAAATCAAAACTAAACACACACCGATTAAAAAATTCCTTAAAACACACAGAATTTATGTATGTACTTTGTATTTGTGATTCGAGTTTTAAAAAATAGTAGTTTGAAAATAATATTTTTACTCATTCCATCCAATTGAAAGATTACTATTTTCTATTTTCGTCCGTCCCAAAACAAGGTTATCATTTCCTAATTTAGTAACTGTACTACCTATTTAACATAATAAATACCCTTTCAATTTATAATATATTATACAAATCTCATTACTTTTATATTACACCACACTAATAAGGGTATTTTTGTCTTCTTCACTACAATTCAATATAATACTAATATTAAAAAATTTACGTACAAAAAGCAAATGACATCAAATGGGATATTATTATTACTGCTATTATTATTACACTAATAATAATGTTAAGAAAAGACAATTAAATTTTTTCGTGGTATGTAAAATTCATATTTTTTACTATAATATATGAAAAGAAAAAGTATTTGATTTAATACTTGTTATTCGAGTTTCAAAACTTACAGCTTAGTGTGATTTGTCTTTACAATGTTGCAAATTTGATATTTTTTTAAGTATAATAAAAGAAAAAAAAATTATTTAATTTAATAATCTTTTTAAAAAAATAATTAAACATCAAAATTTAGGGTGAAGTCCTCCGACCAAACATCCAACAACATAAAAAATATTGGAAACCAAATGGAGAACATGTCTTTTGTTTGAATTTCAAACTGAAATCACCATTGTTTAATTCATACACATTTTATTAATAATATTTCTTCTGTCTCATAAATAAATATCCATTTGTTTTTTCACGTAGTTTTAAAAATATTAGTATTATATTACGATATATAGTATGAGTAAAGTAGAAATGACTAAAATAACCTTATTAGTATGTGTGATATAAATGTAATGATATTTGTGTAATATATTGTAAATTGTAAGAGTATTTGTAATGTTAGGTAGATAGTACAATTACGAAATTGATACTTTGTTATGGGACAGACTAAAATGAAAAAATGGATATTTGTTATGGGACAGAGAGAGAACTAATTTTTTTATATATAATATATCATATTTAAAAACTATTTAAATCAATATTCGATTTAAAATTTCAATATCAAACAAAATCCAAATAAATTCGAATTTATTTGATTGTAATTTAAAAATAATTTAAAATAAAATATTATTTTAGTTTTTTATTTAAATAATATTTTTTTTAAAACAAATATATTTTTGTTAACTATTATCCAAATAAATAATATTAATTACAATTTGGAATCACAAAAGAATAAATATATTTTCTTAATAAAAATATTTAAAACAACAAAATGTCCCGTACCATGCAATGAACGAACATAAAAAAAGACCAATAAGTGCTGGCCATTTCATCATTCCAATAATATACAGTATACAAATTATGAGTTTTACAAATAAAAAATAAATAATTTTTTTATTATTAAATTATTGAAAATATTCCGAAGAATTGTAATTTCGTTCAAATTTATTCTCACTTTCCTTTTTTGTTGTCATTCAAATTTATTGTCGTTTTCTTTTTAGTAAAAAAATACCACTTTTTTTTACCAAAAAAAGTAAAAAAAAATTATTCTTACATATTTTTCTTAAAATTCGTACTCGGTCAAATAAGCACACAATTAGATGACAAAGGAAGTAGATTTTATCAAAACATGTTATATTTTTTATTGAAATAAATGTTATTTTTAGAATTATGCAAATTTTATAAGAAAATTCTCTATATCTTTATTATTTTTAAATAAATTATAATATTTTTTATAAAATATTACTATTATTTAAATTAAAATTCAAATACCAAATACAATTATTTAGTTGGTGGTACATGAATAATAATTATTCCTTTTAATTAATATATATTGTGGATAATTCTTGATATAATTTTTTATTTAATGAATTATTGACAAGCACACCATTTTCTTAGTCATAAAATGCAGTTGACTTGGTATCATTGACTTTATACAATTGACTTGGGCCTGCCTCTGCGTTTCCGTACACTAAAGACATTCCATACTCTGTATTTATTGGATGTTTTTATCGTACATAAGTTACATTGCAACATATTCATATTATAATTTATTTATGTGTTTGTTTGTACTTCTTATGTTCCAAAAGAATTATCTTGTTTTTTGATTTAATAGATGTGGTCTTCACTTTATAACAAAATTATTTATACTTTTTCATGTTACCCATAATTATTACTCTAATATACTCTTTAAAATCTTTACTTTCAATTTAATAATATTATTCTTTAGTTCTAGTGCAAATTCTCAATAAGACATCTCTTTTGGGACAGAGGAGGGAGTACTTTTAATATATTCTTTTTCTTCCTATTGGTGTTTTTGTTTGATAATTTTTTTGTATGTGAAAAGAATTGTCAGATATAATGATCTTAATTGTTTGAATTTTTACTATTTTACAATTTTCGTTCGTCCCACTCATTTTTTTATTTTAATAAAAATAATCATACATCAATATCAAAATGCCCCTAATTTTTTTACATAATTTACAAGCATATCATTACACATATAACTATTTTTTACATTAAGTCAAAGGGAAAAAAATGTCGGAACCTCTTACAAACTTTCAATGACTAATAAAATGTATTATTTTTTAATCTACTATAAAACTTCAAATGACCCATTTGGACTGAGACGAAGGAGTAATAAACAATACAATTTTTGTTTTTTTTTACAAAAGTAAAAAAAGTTTAAAAAAAAACTTCAAATAGTCGTTATAAAAAGTCAAATTTAAACTTAAAATACTATATTTAATATTTTTGACACAATTCTTTTATATTATATATAAAAAAAAATTAATTCATCTGAAAACGAAACATTTGTTAGGTTGGTGTCTTCTAACTAAGTGTTTGTTTGGGGATTGGATTTTAATCCCATTGTTCATCCAATTTTTTCTCCCAAAAACATCAAATCAAACATCTATTATTTATTTTTTATATTATACTAAAAATTAATTTTACATTCAAAATATCACATAAACATTCAAATTCAAAATTTTTACTATTCAAATCTCAACTCAAAATCCAAAACTCCAATCAAACACAATAGTTGTATTGATTATTAATAAATAATTATATTATGATACTACAATAAGGTTGTCCTTATTTAATTTAACTTGTTTAGGTAACCTACCCTAATATTTAATATCACTAATTCGCAATTCTAATTCTTATGGTAAAATTACTTTAAATAACTCATATAGTGTCATATATTATACACCATTGAGTCCTAAATTAAAGATGTTTTTTTTTTTTTTTTGTTTTAGGTTGTATAATAGATTAAAAAATAATAATATTTTATTATTAATTAGTGATATTGATACTTTTGTTTTTTAATTTTATGTACAAAATAATTGTATATGTAATAATATATTTATAATTTAAGTAAAAATTGAGAGTATTTTATATTAACGTAAGATTATTTATTTTTTTAAAATAGTAAAAAAATAGTTTAATGGTACAAAATGAACTTCACTCTAAAATCATGAATTTAAACATCGTTTAAAAAAATGTACTACAAACAAAATAAGTGACCTATTTTGTAGTATTTTTTTAATAATAATAACGAGGAGTTGGAGTAGGAGCAGGAGCAGGAGCCGAGGTCCGGGACTACTGAATCAATAGAGTAATTCTGTCTGGATCGTCTTCTTCAGCAATGGAGTAACTAAAGTGAGTCACTGTAACTTGGAAACCGTTCCTTCCAATTGACTTTCACTCGCCCATGGCCGCAACTGCCTAAACTCCAACCTGATTGTCTTCAAATCGAAAAGCCGCAGCGGCCGCGGCCCCACTACCACGAACGCAAACCGCTATGCCTACACGCACGACAACTTTCTGCACTTTCATACGAATATTGTATTCCATGGAGATGAAATCCATCATTCCACGCTGTAATTTGACCTAGCCAACTCCAGGTACGCATACGCATATTTCCGCCAATTTTTAATCGATTTCTGCAACAATTATGCCGTATATATGCACGCGCAAATCCACAGGAGCTTTGCGTCCTCACTGCCCCACGGATTGCCCAATCATTCCTGCTTGTTTTCCATTTATAGAGATTAGTAGTGATTCGGTTCTAATTTAGTTAATCGATGATGCGTTTCAAGGATTCGTCTGCGGCGTTGCTGATAGCGATTGTCTGCTGGATTAACGCCTATGGCGGGGAAGCCTTTGGCACGTTCGGATTCGATGTCCACCACAGGTATTCGGATACTGTGCGCGAGTATCTCGACGTCGATGGATTGCCGGAGAAGGATAGTGTGGATTACTTCACTGCCATGGCGCACCGAGATGAGCTCTTCAACGCTCGTCGCCTCGCAACCTCGTCTTCCTCCTCGCGTCTCCTCACCTTCTTCGGTTCCAACCAGACTTTCCGCATCAGTTCCCTTGGATTGTAAGTTTTTACATCTTTGAGATTCAGAACTCAATTTCGCAGTCATCCATGGTAGAATTTAGAACTTGATTCCTTTGCTAAATGCTAATTGCTAGCCTCCTCGTTCATGTCAGTTTCATTGTTTAGATTCAGAACTCGATTTCGCAGTATTCTGTCATCCATGGTAGAATTTAGAACTTGATCTCATTCAAGTCAATATCATGGTTAAACACTATGCTTTGGTTTCCAATCGTGGCTGATTCACACTTTCATCATGATTCATGTAATTCCTCTTCGTCTGGTAATGGTGATTGATTGTTCACTAAACAAGGAACTCTTTAATCTTCAACTTCCTCCATTGCAGCTTGCACTATGCAATTGTGGTTGTAGGCACTCCTCCATTAACATTTCTGGTGGCGCTCGACACAGGTAGCGACCTCTTCTGGCTACCTTGCGACTGCACAAACTGCGCCCGGTCTGCAAACTTAACTACAGGCAGGGTATGTAATGCTGCTACAGAAACTCCGACAACTCATACTTGATCATATATATATATATATTGAAATTCATTTGAATTCAATTGTACAGTCTTTAGATCTTAACATATACAGCACCACTACATCATCGACCAGTTCGCCTGTCGCGTGCAACAGCACAATGTGCGGCGAGGAAAGGCAGTGTTCTGTAAGGTTCAACGCTTGCGCTTATCAAGAAGTATATCTCTCCGCCAACACATCAACCACCGGGATCTTGGTAGACGACGTCCTGCATTTGGGCACCAATTCTGATCCACAAGATCTTGTTGATGTCCCGATAACATTGGGGTGCGAACATTTCTGAAAACAATTCATGTAGCGCTTTATAAACAAAAACTTACTCGACTCTGTTCTTGCAGATGTGGGATGGTTCAGACTGGTGACTTTGTCGAAAATGCTGCCATTAATGGTCTTTTCGGGCTCGGAATGGACAACATATCCGTCCCGAGCATTTTAGCCAGCAAAGGACTCACGGCGAACTCTTTCTCCATGTGCTTCGGGCGCAACGGGCTCGGGAGGATCGAGTTTGGCGATAAAGGGAGTCCCAACCAGAAAGTTACGCCGTTCAATCTTCGATCAGTACGGTAAGCAGTTTCGAAGCGTTAGTAGAACTACAAAGATGTTTATTTCGAGAGTTCCTTAATCAGTTCGATCTCTATCGCAGCCCGACGTATAATGTCACCGTGACACAAATCGCTGTGGGCGATAACGTAACTGATCTTGAGTTCACAGTAATCGTCGACTCCGGCACCTCATTTACCTACTTGAACGACCCCGCCTACTCAGTTATCGCTGATGCCGTAAGTCGCATACTTTAATTGCTCGAACATACGGCTTCATTTTCGTTTATGCTAACTTCTGAACTTTTCTTTTTTATCGACTTCCACAGTTCAACTCTCAGATAACCAATGAGCCGCCATACCAATCTCCTCAACCGATCATTTTCGATTTTTGCTACAGCCTCAGGTTAGTCGCGCAGCGATACTTTGCACGATGTAAATTCTTGTAACGAGCTGGTTTTTTACCGTCGATGTTTCTGTTCTTCACAGCGCAACTCAAGAAAGCTTTACCATTCCGACGTTGAACTTCACAATGAAAGGCGGAAGCCAGTACTCGGTTAAAGTCCCGTATGTTGTAATTCCTCGACAGGTTATGAACTAAACCAACGATTTTGACGTAGAGTTTATAGAACTCGATCATACAGTTTCTGATTTGTTCTTTTGTGTCTAACAGGGGGGCTTTGCTTACTGTTTGGCTATCGTCAAAAGTGACGATATTAACCTCATGGGACGTGAGTACCTAAACAATCGACAACTCCTCTCCTTCCCTCATTTTCGCGACATTCGTGTTCTCTTTCGATAATTTCATTACGAGAACTTGATCGAGCGAAAGATTTTCATAGTCGTGCAGCCTCGAACACGCATGGCATGCTAAGGTTGATCTTTTCTTGCAGAAAATTTTCTGACCGGCCACCGGATAGTCTTTGATCGCGAGGAGATGGTTCTCGGCTGGAACGAAGACGACTGTGAGTTTCCTTTCGTAGTCTCTTCTTATCCCCTCGCCTTTGCCTTCGTCATATCTATCAATGTCGCACGTATATTTACATATATATATATATATGCGTCTTTATGTATATATCAGGCTCTGGTTCGACCTCGTCGGGGACTGGAGGGAACACTCTGCCAGTAAGCCGGGGCAACTCGTCCGGTGCTCCTCCACCTTCGGTTTTCAATCCTGAAGAGACGCCTGCCGGAACTGATACTCCGGCAACACCTGGTGTACTGCCACGTTCGTTGTCTCCACCTCCGCCGCCGCCACCGCCGTCGAGTTTGCTCGCCGGAAGCGGAGCAGCGGCGGTGTTGAGTTGGAAGGGATACTGGTTTGGGGTGTTGATGGTGTCGTTGTGGTTCTACCAGTTCATTATTCTTTCTTCTTGAGGAGAGCTGTTTTTTGTTGCTTCAACGTTTATTTGTATACTGTTGAAAATTATAAATTATACCCACAGGACTCAATATTTGTATCTTTGATTGATGCAATTTTTTTTTGTAAGATAAAAGGTTTGAATTTATTTTGAGTTTTTTTATTTAATGTTTTATATTACAAATAGGGTGAATCGGATAATAGTAATTTTGGTTTAAAACTAAAAACAAACTCAATATTTTTATTTAAAATAATAAAAATATGAATAAAACACAATACTATGGTTACACAAATGAACTTGTGACCTCAAAATCCCCCTCTCCACTCCTATACAGGTCCATCTGCCACACATAGTTCAATTGCGGGTTTCCACTTCGACAAAACATCAGATCTAAACCACTATTCAAAGTTCGAACTGAACTCTAAAAGAACTCGAACGGTATCTCAAAATATACTAAGAACGGGTTGTGCTTTTCAACCTAAGCATAAACATTGCTCCAAATCACAACCAAACAATATCCCCACTTCCTTCAAATTGAGGTGTTAAGACACAATTCAAAGTTCACTAAATAGTTATCCGTACAACCTAGCTAAAATATTAATATCCTACCGTTGCAACTATTCAACTCCTAACAAAACATCACATTTTCATAACCACAGCCCTTTCCATGAATGAATTCACATCACCACAATGTGTCGCCCATGCATCCTTTCGAACTTAACTAGATGACAACGAAGTCGTGGTCTGGATGCAATGAATTTGATAAAATCATAAAACTGATTTCTCAATTTTCATCAGAATCTCCTTCGAAGATATGCAAGTATGGAATGGAAGAAGGCATATGCTCAAGAGTTTCATCATACTCGTCCTCACTTATTTGTGGAATTTTCCAGCCTAAATGCTTAGTGTAGACTTTATCATAAGCATCGATATTCAGGCCAGAGGAAAGAAAAAGTTCTAGTTCACTCACAAACCTTTCTGTTCTACCTGTTAGGAAAGGTCTGATTGCTTCGGAAACAGATGCTTTGAACTCTTCTTGTGCCATCTCGATTGAAGTTTTTGAATCTTTTAGCCATTTTCTGCAGAATTTAATTGCAGTGTAACATATACATATATATGGCCAGATAAAATCTTTTCAGTTGTCTTACACGTTGGAAAAGACTAAACATGAAGGTCACATATATATTTGCACAGTACATTAAGATGCTTGGATGGAATTTATTAAATGAAAGTATGTTATATTGATTGCATATATATTGGCATATTAATCACAGACTAAACTTGTTACACATGCTGCCCCGGTCACTGTCTACAACTATGTGACTCACATTTATACCTAAAGGAAACACAACTGTCATTACAAAAATTCGAGAGATAAACACGCAAGATACCTTCTTAATGAGTCAATCACACCAAGTATGTGGTGCATGATAATATCAACATCCTCTTCCTGCAAATGAAGTATACAAATTTCTAAATAAAATATCCTGGGAAGAGAAGAAAAGGGAAATATCGACAAAATTCTGAGCAGCAGCATCTAGAAACGGCAGTCAACTTTAATACAAACAAATTTTTTGATTTCAATCGTCCTTATAACATTGCTTCATAGTTTCAGAATCACTAAAATGACTTACACTTGTTACCCTAGATCTCAAGCATGGTATGTGATGAGTATCAAACCATAAGGTGTTCCTTAGGAAGACGGTGGATTTTGAGGAAATGTGCTTCAGTTCACTACTTTATTTAATCATTGCACCAATTTATTAGTTTGAACTTACGGGAGACTGTTTCTAAGGAATTATATTGAAAGTTAGTCAATCCACAATGAATAACAGGCAATAAGAACTATGATTAGTTGTGGTCATCATGGAAAGCGGTAACAGAAATGAAGAAAACAAAAAAACCTGCAGTACAGCCTGAATTTCCCTTCTCAACCAATCAGGCAGAAAACGATTCTGCTGTTTATACTTGTGAAACTTCCAAAATCGTGAAACATTGAGTTTATCAGCAAAATCCCCTACACAAAAAGAAATTTATGTTTACTGTATTTGTTATTTGTAATTAATCATATTATAAGAGCATGTTATAGAAAACACAATTACCTATATCAGTGTAGTAGCACTTTAATCTATACCTGTGAGCTTCTGAAAAAAATTCACTTCAAAAGCCAGTAATAAATGCTTCAGTATGTTTTACAATTCAGGAATTTATAGAGAAATGTAATAGTGAAAACATCCAAGCATATATGCTGATATTATGCCAACTAATTACCTATTCCCCAAACTCTGGCCAACATAATGCCGTTGAAAAGCTTGTCCATCATATCCATAAATAATGGACCAGTTGTCTCTCTGAAGTCAAAATAGTTGACATGAAAGGGTCAAAATATAGTATGTTCTGGGAATCACAAGATTCTTTATGGTATCTAGCTACTGGCACATAAAAATTTGTTCTATTTCATTATATCCCAATAAAATTTAGTCAAGAATGTAAATAGATTAGACAAGTCATTTGTGCAGGAAAACAAAGCAGAACATTAAAATTCGGAACCAAATCAGAAAGTGCAGACCAACAACACAAGAAACACTATTGCTTCAATGTTTTATCACTTAGATATATATTATGTTGAAAGAACACAAAAAAATAGTGCATAGCAGTTAACTTGTCAGGTTGAAGTCATTGGCAGTTGGGTACACTTAACAGTTAACTAGTTAAAGATGGTATGAGGAATGAGGTTTGTGGATTTGAATAAGACATGATCCTCACCAACTAATAGACGAGTGCAGGCTAATGGACTACACCATAATCATAACTGAAAGCATACTCAGTGATCGTCATCACTTTGTTCCCGGTTGATATAACTTAGAATCATATGATGGCCAAGTGTCACTGACACCCTTTGATCTCTCTCAATGCTGTACAAAATGAATCTTGCAGTCGAAGTATAAGAATTGTGATACTCATTGCTAATATTAGTCATGAAATAGTTTTGACAGAGGTTGCATCGGTTGGATGGTGGGAGAAATCCTATAGCTTGGTTTTTTCAGGTATGTAAAATGGCATCAAACTAGAAAAATTAATAATATGATAGTCAGTTATTATTTATGTAGAGAAAATGGAAGTGAAGAACCATATTAATTGAATATGTAAATATAAAAGCCTGGATCAAACTATGACCTTTGATCAACATCAATAACTTTACGATAGAGAACAAGAACTAGTATACCGGGAAAAAGAATTTGATAATGATAAAATAATAATAATAATGAATGTTAAGTTCACACCACTAGTTTCTCAACTAGCTACAGTGTACTTACTGAGTCCTTATTAGTAACAATGTAGAATTATTATTTCCCCAACTTTGTTGCAAGATTATGTTCAAAACTAAAAAGAACTTGCAAGATTTTAAGTCCAAAAATTACTTAAGGCAGTGAGGCATTTGCACATTCCAACAATTTTGGCTATCAAAATGAGATCTTGGCTATTGTAAACCCACAAACCTCAATATGACCAACCATAATTGCATACTATATACAACATCTTTCCAAGTAAGAAATCTATCAACTTTGGAGAAATGGAACAAGTGCTGAAGTCAAAATTGATGTGCAAGCACTAGTTCACATTATCATAGCTATCTTAGCTTATCAAGACACTGCAAATGAAAATAACAAGTTCATATATTTTACCAACTTCTACTAAAGATTATGTGAAATCGAACATCTGTAGCTCACCTTGCATAAAGGGCATTTCACTGATGAAGGCACACAGGACTGCTTGCTTGCAACAACATTGGTCCATCTAATGATGCAGTTATAGCAGAATTTATCTGAATCATTACAAATGAAGTATCAATAGATTATAGACATTGCAAGCCATCAACTTCAGTCGGCAACAAGCACCAAACTTTAAGGTCCTGTTTGGTTGGAGTAATATGGATCAAAGGTATTTCAAATGACTACACTATATTCATTAGTTTCATTTGGCAATGGAATGGATTTCAAATCTTCAAAATTAGCCGACTTCGTATTCCAAACAATCTTTTAATAGTATTTCATTTCAAATACTTCAGCAACCAAATAATGGATTTAATTCAAATTTATTCGTTTAAAATCCACTGTGAAATCCAAATACATACAAACAGTTATAAAAGTTCAGGTGGTTTGTTCTTTTTGGTCTCTCAGAAACACCAGGTACATCAAACATGTAATTATTCTAAAATAATTGTACATAAATTACCAATATTTAAATTCAAAATCTTACAATAACACTATATATACAGAGACGTGAGAATTCATTAAGGTAATCTATCAATTTCTCAGTAGCATTCGGTGAAAATTCCAATAAAAATACACCAAATACTTCAGCACCACAGAACTGGCGATCAACTTCCGAAAATAAACAACATCTAGAAAGTAAAACCTAGTCGAAATTGGTCCAACTGAGCAACGAAATACACATAATCGCATAAACAACTTTGCATAACAAAGTAAATACATTAGAATAGGGACCGTAACGTACGGAAACACTGGTCTAGGTAAGAATCTTCAGTAATTTGCGTCAAACAAATGGGACAGGTATTCGCGTCCGCTGAGGAGCTCCTCGGGCTCTCACCGTCCGCCATTACCTCCGATGGTCGCTCGGAAATTGATGGCCCTGCGACGCCGCTGACTATTGTACATTCAGACTTGCCCATTCGGTTTCGAACCGTCGGTTCGAACCGCCGGTTCGACGATTTATGAACCGGCCTTTACGGTTCGAACCGAAACCGGATGCAAACCGAACCGAAACCTTAGTTCCGTCGGTTCGGTTTCGGTTTGTAATTTCTCCATACCGTGAACCGTCGCGCAAGAGCAGAGCAGGAGAAGAAGAATAGGTGAAGAAGAAGAATTGGGGAAGAAGAAGAATCGGAGAAGAAAGGAAAGAATCGGTAAAGAAAAGAAGAAAGAGGAAGAACATGATGGTTAAGTTCTATTTACATTATTCTTCAAGTTTTGGGTTCAAATATATGTACCTTCAAATTTTAAAAGTATATCATGTATATTTAGAAATTTTTTATTTTTGTTTTAATTATTTTTTTTGCATTAAAAAAAATAAATATATTAAATAAAATTATTATTTTGAAATTATGTGTAAATTTTTTATATATATTAAAAATAGCATAAATCCCCTCATACTTTAATATGAAACTCATTTTGATACTCCGTCTATTTACAATGTTACATCCAATTATACTTTTTTTCACAAATACTGTTATTTTACATCACATCGTTACTTTAAAAAAAAAAGTAAAGGGCAAAAATGTCATTATACTACGTTTAACTATTCACTGTAATTAAAATACTATTATTTCTTAAACGCCGCGCCAAAAATAAATATATAATAAGAAGATGACTTTTCATCTATATTTTTTTTTTGCATGACGAAATTTTCGTATACGCAATTTTTAAAATATATGAAAATTTTATCCTAAATCTTGAAACTAAATTTATACTAGAAAAAATATTTTTTTTGTTATTTATATTTTATTATCGGTAAAAAATATTATGTATATATGTATATTTAAGCCCCTGATCATTATTTGGCCCCGGCCCTTTCAAAAGGCATTCATCGAACATACGTACGAGTACGAATTGCTGACAACAAGAGAATCAAACCATATAAGATCCCATTGCAGACACTACTAACCAAAAATAGCTGAAATCGTTTAACTCCAAAAGTTACATATCCAATAAACCAAATCACATGATAGGCAATGTCTCATGTAGCAATTCAGCATTCGTAAGATCATAATAATGCAAGATCTCAAGCATCATGTGTTAATTGAATCGAAGAAATGATCACTCGACAAGTATTCTGATTAATAAAGAACATCAAACAAGCATAGAAATGAACGGTAAAACAAACAAAAAGGACTCTACATTTCGAACAATCAAGCTCTTAGAAGTTACAACACTCTTATTTTTCTTCTACTATTCTTCTTCACTCTCACAAAACTTCCAAACAACTTTCGAAATTTATCCCTCTTCGACGCCAACATTACAACAGCACAGCAACAGAAACCCAAAATCCAATCCCTAGCACCACTTTTCCACACTCCCACTGAAAGTCCCAAAAGAAACAAACCTAAACCCCCCAAGAAAGCATCAGCATCAAACCCTAGTTCTTTCCCAATTACTGACCAAAACCCTACCGCGACCACGGAAATTACCAAAATCCCTAGAATTTTGAATTTCATTCTCCTCGAATTCCCACCGTTGGAGCCGTACCCACCTCCCCCAAATCGATTCCAGATTCCATTCCGTCCTCCATTCCCTCCCCCGAATTCCCTCAAAATAAGCTCTACGGGCTCCGGAAAAAGCCTCAGCTTCGAGGCGATTATGCAGGCCGATCCGATTATGAGTTTGGCAGATCTTCCAACCTCATTTCGGTTCCTCTTCTTAGCCACGCAGACGATCGGTTTTGGGGCACAATTTCGAAAACTGAGCCGGTACCCCCCGCCCCGAGGCAATCCCTCCGTACTCACGCCATTTGGAGCGAGGTGTAAAACGGAATCTGAAACGAGATTGAGAGCCCTCGGCATCCGCTCGGGAGAGAGGGAACTGCGAAACGATCCTTTGCCAAGAGCAAATTCAGCAGACCGTTGCGCCGCAGATTGAATTTTGAAAAAAAAAAAAAAAAGGAATATTGAGACACATGTGTGGCTTTGGTTTGTTTGCCCATACAAATAATGCCCGGCCCACTTTAATTGCTTCTATTTCTTCTTTCTTTTTTTTAATTATTATTGAAAAATAAAATTACATTATATATATGTGCTAATCATGTTGGAATAAGAACATTCATAGTTGATTTTGTTTGGATTTTGCTATTTCCCTTGCGATTAAAATTTATTCTTACACTGTAAAAAAACAAGAATTGTATTGTGTATATATATATATATCAAATAAATATTTTTTTATATTATCTATTTCAATTCAAAAATTAACTATTCAAAACCCAAACACAAAATCAAAATCCCAAATCCCACAAACAAAAAAAGTTTCCAGAGACTGTAATTTAGGCAGTTGTGCAATAGCTATAGTCAAAAGTTGGGAGGGATAAATAATAGTCCAAAATCACTTCTCAGAGTCCATAAAACAGCTCATCTTTAAATGGTACAGTTAAACAACAAACTCCATTGCACCTTCTGTGTTCTAATTTTAAACGATTCTTCTCTTCTCAAGGGAATGCTAATGTGATCAAGATAGCATTTTTACCTATAGGTATCCGGCAAGCGGAACCCACTCATCACTATTTTGTCAGCGAACATCTTCCCCGTCTTTGGCATCACATGCCAGTGCAATGTTAAGTTAAATGGTTTGCTGCGCAGATTGCTTCCCTACAGAATGTTAAGAAATCGTGGGCAGGTAGGTTAACCATGAGTTGCCCAGATGTGAATGAAGAAGATGAAGCACGATGGTTACCTGGTCGATGAAACGATACTTGTTAGTGGTGTGGATCCAAAATTCTGCTCGTTCTTTGGTCGGTATGATGCCATCCCACAGAGAAATCTGTGCCAAGAGAGCAATACGTGTGAGTGTGAGCTCATGCACTTACAAATGTAAAATCTACACAACTTGTTACAGCAACAGCAATTTGGAAAATCGAAACAACTATCTAGCAGAAAATTGTATTCAAAAGAAATAAAATAAAAAGAGGCCTGTCCTCATAATCACCACAATTGAGAAACAAAAAACAAAATATTTTATAGATACAAAATTACGCATGTGCTGGAAGAATGATAACTGTAATATGCATACTGGCAGTACACATCAAACATAAGTTTAAAACACATTGGAGAGAAATAAATGAATAGTTGATACATCATACCTGATTCAGTGAATTTTTGGGGGTTTCATACTCGGCAGCTAAAAATACGAAGACCTGGAAGTGTTCCAAAACAAAATGAATGTTAACAGCCAAACATATAAAATTCAAATAAAATGGCAATAGGATTTATCAAATTAGGTGTTGGACATTCATATAAAGCTTTGCTTATATAAACCCCACCAGGTGTGCCGATTGGCGACTCATGAAGATACATGGAATGTGACATAATATATACTTATGCAGGACAAGCTTGAGTAAAGAGTATGTGTTGCAAGAGTTAACTGTCACTAACTTCCGTGATAAGAGTACACTATAAGAGCTTATTAGGCCATTTAAATTTTATTTATTTTTAAAAAAAAAAGACACCTACTGTTTACAAACTAGAAAACCATTCGTTCCTACACTCCTCTGCCAGAAAGCTAAACTGATCTTTGTTTAAATACAATAACCAGAAAAGAAACAAATAAAAGGTGATAGTTCAACCAAGCAAATTAATTCCTCTTTTTCAAATAAAAACAAATTGTTTTGTTAATATTAACATATAACACACAATAGGTTCAACCACGACCTCAAACTGAAATCACCAGTAACTAATGAGACACCAAACTAAAAGATAGCTGCTGTGCAAAAGTAGATTCTGACATACCTGCTTTGTATTCCATGTAAACAATGACTGTAAGTTAGCTGATATGTTCAATGTGAGGCTCACCTGCAAAGTCAATAGGAATCATTAATAAACTATGCAAGTGTTTTTTATATCAGTAAATTTATTTTCGAATTATTCATTCTTCATTTGGAGCATAGATATCTCTAAAGGCTGTTGCAGAGCTGCTAGTGCTGCTGGAGGTGCTCGGTTTGATTGCCATTTTATTTGTGCCCATTATCATCATGGTATGGCTTCAACAAGCTAACAAGGAAAATTGATTGAACCTAGAAGATTGAGGGAAGAAAATCTTATAAGATACCATACCCGCTTTGGAGATTACTGAAAATAGCCCAATGTTTTCCAAACAGAACCTCAATGCACGTTCCTTAACACATAAAACAACAGTTGTCAGTGATTGACCAGAACCATCTCCCACATTTAACTTGTTGGCTGCTCCCACCTGCCCACTTTGTGACTTGCATCTAGCCTCCTACAAGTGCTATTGTGCATGTTCATCCATTTCCTCTTGCAGCGTAGCCATCTTTGCTCCCTAGCAATTGCTCCACTCATCAACACTTGTTCCCAATGTGTGTAGCATCACCATTGTTTTAGTAAGTGTACTCATTCTTAAAGTGATAAAATTTGGGCAATGTCAACCAATTTTTCCCACAACATGCTAATTTACGCTCATTAAGTTCCTTTAAGTATTGTTACTAACAGACCTTCACCTTCAGCACACACTCCACTCATAAAGGAGTACACTGAAATACTTTCATGGAAGACTGAAGAGTAGCTTGGGCTTCACAGGGTGATTCGATCATCATCCTACTTTGCCACAATTCAGTAGCATGATGCACTTGGTGGCCTCAAACTTTTACAAGTCATAGTCGACTAAAGTTCTCACTGTATGCTTGGACTCCCTTGGGCAATTTAAGTCAACATCGTTTCTCCATAGTCAAAATCCAGTTATTACCTCTTGCTTCTAGTTTGTATGGATTCCCACTTAATAGGCCAGCCACAAGTCAGTTTCTTACCATTGTCCCCATCAAACTATAAGTATTGTACACCAAGTTCACAAAAGATTTACTAAGCAAAGCATAATAACACTTAGATACTTCTACAAACATGTTTGCAGTATCACTAAAATGATTTCTCGACTTCATTACAAATAAGGGTCAACCCATTCGCTGCTCTAATTCATCTACACAATGACTTGTGGAGAACGGTCCATTGCCGTCTATTTGGTGATTTTGGGTTTAAATTATTTTTATAGAAATATGGAGTTGGACGTGATATATTTTTGGGGGTTTAACATATTTTACCTTAGATTGCATAGTACAAAAACAAATCAAAGCACAAACACACCCTATGGCAATCTCAAGGTGCCCATCTAGACTTATCTACACAATACTTCATCTAAATAATCATGGATCACAATAGAAGCATGCGATTCCTAACAAATATCCTTCTTCTGATCACTATTACCTTGCACCCGGAGTAGCATTCAAGTAATGTCTTTTAATTCTACCGTATATTTAGTTCACAGAAAAATTATGCATGCAAACATTTTATACTTTTGGGCATAAAGAACCACAATCCGGAGACTAAGTCAACAAAAACCAGCATCCATGACACATTCTATTCAAGTTTGCAAAACCTGATCTCAGAAAACGAAGGGAACAGTTAAGGCTTCATTGCCCAGGTATGCAGAGGATGGAAAGTGCCCAGATCTCCAATTATCAATATTCCGGCGAAGATCTAGTCATCTATTAGCACTCAAAACCCTCCGTGTAGCATGATCCCAATGCGTGAAAATTTAGCACTAATAGAGGAATCGAAAGCTTTCCAAAATTCAGTTCTAATCGAACTCAACAACACAAAATTGATCATCAGCCCAATCATTACCTGATTTTCTCAAACAAGAAAGCCACCAAAATGAAAACACTAATACTAATAATAAAGTAGGATGAATTTGATCGATTACCTCATCATCGCCATCCGGTTTCTTCTGGAACCAATTAATGTTCAACACCTAAACCCCACAGAAAGAAAAAAAAAAAAAAGAGTCAAATTATCCAATCCAGGTTAATTTTTTTAAAAGCCCTACAAATTCACACAATAAACCCCCAAAATAATTACAACAGAAAGCGACTAGAAACAAACAAACGATGGATCAAATCAATCAAAGAAAGGACAGCAGCGTACTTCAACTTTGGAGGTGGGAGAGGGCGAATTGAAGTTGTCAGAGAAAGAGGCCATGGCGCACATGAGGGCGAGAATGGTGATGGAAAATGTGAGCAGGGCGTTGGCCCTGTAGCCGAAGGAATGCATCGCTGGTGCCGGAGTAATAAATAGGTTTTGGGCTTCCTCCGTCCGATCAACCAATACAAAGGCCTCCCTGGTCTCTGTATTGCGTGAATTGTGTGGAAACGGCGGCAGATCCAAACTGCAAATGCCGAAGCTGCGCCGTGAGGGCTGAGACTTTGCAGTGGACTCTCTCTGTGTCTGTATTTATTGCATCGATTTGCTTTGCGTTTTTAGGTCGAAAGAAAATCTAAAATCAAAATATATTGTAATGTTTTTTTATCTATGATTCTGTTTATTACTACGTTTAAAGATTTTTTTTTTTACATTGGAGCATCTGTTTATAATATTGCTTTTATTTTATTATTTCTTTTATTTTTTTCATCCACGTCATGTCTATCTCAATATTTAAATTATTTTATTTATTACTCATTATAATAATTACTTTTAGTACATTATTTTTACTATTTTATATGACACATACTAATTGATTTATTTTTATATATTTCTATATGTTTTTATTGATTAATAATATCTTTATATAATATAATTTTTAACTATTAATTTATATATATTTCAATATATTAAAACATATAATTTACTATTTAAAAATCTAAATTACTCGAATAAATCTACATATATATTAAATATTGTGTTAAATTTAAATTTTAAAATTTAAACTTTTTTGAATAATATATAATTATTTTTTTTTATATTTTTTTAAAGATAACCGATTTTTTATAAAAGTAATAAATATTGAATAACTGTATTTCTTTCTAAAAGTAATGAGAAATGTAAACTACTTTTACAGTAAAAATTGAGAAGATAATTATAAAGATAATAAGAAATGTGACTACAAGAAATGTTTTTATACACGTTATTTTTTTTAATAAAATATTATTAAATATTTATTTATTCTTAATAAAACAGATTATTAAAAAAAAAATTGTGTTTATAAATATATATATATATATATATGTTTTTTAAATTAACAATAATTGTATTTAAAACATAAATAAAAAATAATATACCTTAATTTTTATATCCCTACCCTCAAGCATATCGCTTGAATACTAGATTAAATGTGAATATGGTAAAAATAAGGAGAGGATTTGTAATAATCTTATTACAAATTATAAGTATAGTAACATTTGTGGCACCTGGATTATTATATTTGAGTAAAAGAATTTCTTTTTTTTTTTCAAATAACAATTATTATTATTATTTATATCATATATTTTTTAATAAAAATATATATTTTTTTATGTTAATAATAAATAAATATATTGGTATTGTAAAATTATATTTAAATTATTAACTTTTTTATAAATTAAAAATAAAATATATATTGTATTAATATATATATATATTATATTTTTTTTAATAATATTTATGAGAAATTGTAGCTATCGAATACGTCCTACCACGAAGCCATCTAATGTAACACTATTTTAACTTAAAAAAAGATGGGTAAACTCAGGGGACTTTACCAAAATTGAGTTGAATAAAAAAATACTATATCATTGATTGACTTTATTACATAAATGGCAAGTAGTTACATATTCAATCTAATTGATAATATAGTTGAAATGATACATACATATATTGCTATGTGTATATATAGTCATTGAAATCAAAGTCACGATTTCTCAACCCTAATTGTGAAGATTTTCCATTGTTATTGTAATTATGTTACCAAACTAAATTAATAATTGCAATAATGGCACGCGCTAATAACTAACATAATACTCCCTCCGTCCCAAATAATTTATCTATATTTTCTATTTTCGTCCGTCCCATATAATTTGTTTTTTCTATTTTTGGAAGTATAATTATGCACTTTAATCGCATTTTAAATTTTAAATTTTATAATTTTCTTAATTTTAATTAAACTATTTACTTATCTTAATCTTAATCTATAATTATTTTTACTAATATATTTCTTAATTACTTACTAATTATACTTTACCTAAATTTCCGTGTCTACAGTAATACACTCATATTACATGGGACGGAGGGAGTACACTATATGGCTTCATTGCTGTTAAATATAATCAACACTAGCATAATAATTTATATTCAACAACGCATTATATACAACACATAAAATAAAATTTACAATACATACTTATATTTTATACAATATATCTATATATTATATTGTTATATGCTATATATAACATTTTTATATGTTTGGGACCATCAATATGGTATTCCCAAACATCGTGCAATATTTTTTTTGGTATATCCCAAACATCCTAAGATATTTCTAAATTAGAAAATAATTAATTATACTTAATCTATATCCCCAATCTCATTACATCATCCTAATAAAAAAACAAAATATATATTTCTCTCTCCATCACATCGCCCAACTTAAATGTAACACCTTATTTGGGACGGAGAGAATATTTATTAGAATATTGTCCCCGTTAGAATAAAGGGTAAACAATTACTCCTCCTAATACCAATTGATTTTAAATTAAAAATTCAGATCTTTCTTAAAATATATTTTACAAATAATTTTACTACCAAGCATTACACATGAGGACATGGTCCGTCTAGTGTAATTTGGTTTTGCTCTATCTTCGTGTATTGTTTGTAGCACATACTTAGGGTGTGCTTGTTTGGAGGATTGGATTGAATTTACACTATTCATCCAATTTTTTTTCCCAAAACATATCAAATCAAACATCTATTTTTTATTTTTTATATTATACTAAAAATCAATTTTACATTCAAAACATCACATCAACACCTATTTATATCACATCATACAACTATTCAAATTCAAAATTTTTACTATTCAAATCCCAACTCAAAATCCAAACCCCAGACAAACACACCCTTAAAGTACATCTTTTGATAAGTACTTATTTATATTATATTAAAAACTATTTCAATAAAAAGCTTTTACTATTCTCATAACAATCAAACAAACATCACATGACCAAACAATTCTATGATAGCAATCAACAATGGATTGCCACATAAAAACCATTTTTACAATTCCTGAAAGTATATATATATATATATATATATCTATAGAGAAAGAAAGAGACAGAGTGAGAAAATAAAATAAAATAGACAGAAGAGTTCCATCAATTTACCTATACAACAACTGTTGGCAAGTTACAGAATAAAATATATATGTAGGTTTCAAGGAGACCTGTACAAATGAGAAGCATATCACCATTTGTGCAAACTGTGATGTAATTTTCTTGTAAGAAGTAGTTGTATATATAGGAACTCTACCCCTAGCCAGGATGCACCCTTTAGGTCAATAAATCTGCTTCCGAACATGCACCAATTGTTAGAAACAAAGATGGATCAAACAGGGCACAGGCGTTAGATCCGAAAAAGCAGTAAAAGATTGAGCTGAACTAAGAAATTATGTGATGGGATTGTGTATCATTGTTACCTTGATCGACCTTGATCTCCAGGAGCTCTTCAATGGGCTGGCGACACACAGGGCATTTATTTGATTGGAGCCTCAGTTCTTTTGCGCAGTCACTGCACATACACTACAAAAAGCAAGAGATTATGCCATGCCTAATTTCAGGTTTGCCAACTCCAAATGATCCTACTTAGCATTCAATTTATCGTAAAATTTCCCAATTACCATGTATCAAACCACCTTAAAGCTCTACAGCGAGTTTTCAAGATAAATCATCAAAAAGTGAAAGCAATTATATTTTGGCACATCTGTATGTGATACCCAATTACTAGTACTTTATAAACATTTCTGCCCAACCATTTTCTCAGTTAATAATCCAAAATTTGGGAACTCGCAAAACGCTGTTAGACTTCATCACCAGAGTAATAAACCAACCAAATCTTTTACCATTAGCAAGTTACATTATTTTACACCAAGAATGATGATTTACCAAGCTGCACGATAACGGATAATCACATGGTAGTTTAGGAGTAGGGAGGTGAAAGAAGGTGGGTTAAGTATTGGTGGTGCACACCTCAGATGCAGCTACACCACCCACCATATCAAAGCGAGGAATAATATTACATAAGTAAAATATTTATAGGATGTGTGCACCTCAACATGATAAAAATTGGATACAGATTGAAAGCATTTTGACATCAGATTACAGGTGTTAATCATTTGTTTCATCTACACTTGCAGTAATTAGCAATAAATCTAATGAGTAATAAGCCCATGTTTTATAGTGATAGACACGTAATCAAAGTGCTTTGAGGCCATGGTGCGTGCCATAACAACAGATGACAAAGATGAAGGAGGAGAGACAGCCTATGGCTTCACTGAATATGTTCAAATTTATTCAGAGCAAGCAGTGTCATGTGAGAGGCTGTAAGGTAAACTCTGACATTGGAACGCACGTTGTGACACATTTAAAATCTTCTAGAGCAATGACTTTTCATTATGAATGAAAAACCAGTTATCAATCTATCACCATTTCCAAACACTATTAGACAAGATAATCTTGCAATAACTTTGCAAAAAAAAAACCTTTCCAACCATTTGAGTTAGGAAAATTATCAAATCATGACTTATGTTGTAGATTGCAACTTACAAGCATAGTAGGTTATTAATCAAATATCCATAGGAGGTATGCACATCTTACACTTTTAAAAGGGCAGACAAGTGCAATTAGCATTGATAACAGTAAAACAAAGAATCAACCTATATATCATAGTACCATCGAAGTAATTTAAGATGTGTTTTCAATGATTGAATGTTTCTTTTAGAAAGGTATACCATTATCCAATCTAGAATTGTTAAGATACTCAAAGTACTTGCAACAAAAGTAAATTAAATAAATAAAGGGGAAGGGAAAAAGAAAAAAAATATATATATATATATCCAAATCTAGAGTGCATATATTCAAATGTATATGGCTTTCTAATCCACTCAAACCAAGGCTTTAAGTGCTTTATTAACACGCAATTCCATTTCCAAAGCATCCATAAGGAATCAATTTTACTGCATTTTAGTAAGTGGTTAGGTGATCAGCATTTATGGTTAATCTCACAACTGTTGTAAAGGTTCTTTTTTTAACCAGAAGCAAATTCTCAATTGGTAGACAAAATTCTCTGTTGTAAAGTAGTTACCATGTGTCTACATGGCAAGACAGCCGTGTTCTTGACCTCAGTCATGCAAATTACACATTCTTTTCCTGATTCCACATCACTGACTGCAGCTTCTTCTGAATTACTGATCCCAAAAATCTCACGCAGCTCATAACGATCACCATCAATCCATAAAATCTGCTTGACTACTTTCACTTTAAAATTTCCTCCATCCTTCTTTTCTATGATAGCCTGAGTGATCTGAGCATGTGGTGATGTGTTAACCTGTTCCCTTGAATGCTCAACCTCATCCCCAGATGGTTTGCTTGACTCAGCTGATATCACAAGTGGGTATATATCATCCCCTGGACTAGGCTTCGATAGGTCATCAGTGTCAAAGAAGCCAAAATCCAAACCAGTTCCTGAAGGCTGGCAGAATTTCTGTCCTAGTCCTTTCTGGAAAGGGATTTTCACAGGCACAATCTCCGGATAAACTGGACTAAATTTACAGTTCTCCCCTTCCTTAGCAAAATAGAAAATAGTAATACTGCAATAGATGTGAAACAGCATATCAAGTAAATCCAGCATCATCAATGAAAATTTAAAAGATATCAGATAATAATCCTAATCCATTATACAAAGCGGAAACTCAGAGAAAACTGACAATAAAATATGAGGAAGTAGAAAATACAACTAATTAAAACCCAAATCTATGCAAGTTTCACCAACAGAGTTTCTACCAATTATATGGAACCAAAATCTATTAAAGAAGCTTGTTGTTTCGTCAGTCATACTCCATCTGGTGCCAACTTATAAAGAACTGATCTTGAAATTAGGTGTATTATAGAGAAAATTTATTAGTCTTGCAACTAAATTCTTAACAACTACCGCCATCAGATTTCACACTTGGGGATCCTCAGCGCCCTCATTTCCCTGCCCCCACAGCCTCCACACTATATGCCTATACATATAAAAATTGTATGTATATAGGTATACATACACTCATGATGTATAAGTGTGGGGGCTGGGTTCGCATGGGGGCTGAGGATCCCCACCGGATTTCACAATATGTATGTTATCATATCATACTATCATTTATTGTCTCAAGTACAAATGCGTAACAATTCAGGTGTTTACTTCTAATAATAAATTTACGGGTTTAAGATGATAGCATATCCACTGCATTGATACTTAAGTTCTAGTGTGATCTCATTTTTGCATGTAAGAAACAATTCTACAACAATCCAACAATATCATCACATCTGTCTAGAAGCTCAGATCGTCAGACATAAGGAATCAATCACAATAGCTTAAACTTCTATGGGGGGCATATGCAAAAGATAATCGAGGGAAGATAGATCTTTATTGACTCAGCATTCGTAGTGCCTATGGCATCATGACATAATCTGGAACTAGATGAAAAAATACAATCCAACATCCATGTACTCCTAAATGCCAAATAACATATTCATTCCTTATCATCATCTTCAATCTTATGATCTGCCTCAAATACTGAATATCAATAGCCTAGATCAAGGCAGACCTCCTATTATCCTAAGCATGCTTACCACCAAACGTATAGGACTATTTTGATTAATGTATTTGACATTTTGGGTTAGTAAGCTAAATTATAATCTTATTATTCAAAGAATCATTCAAAAATCATACCAGAAGCAAGCATACAAAACTGATTCTCCACAATTGAATAATCTCATAACAATTCAAATGCTTCCCCTTATTGATTCGAGTTTAAAAGTTTGTAATACCTTCCATCCACCATAGCATCAAAAGTGAAGCAGACCAAGTGGCTTTCAGGGTTCAACTCATCCAATTGCAACATTATCGTGTCTTTGTGGACATTCACATCATTCTTGACCTTCTTCGCGCTCTGATGATCGACGTAAGGAGCAGGCTGCAGCAATGGCTGCGGAGGAAATGGCCCAGCCGAGGAGCCCCATCCGGTAGGTTGGGAGGGGTAATAGGGACGGTAATGAGGGTATGGCGGGGCAAAATTGACCGGCCTCGCGTGGTAATTGTAATTGAGGTTGTACGGGGGGAGAGGAGGAGGCGGCGGAGGCCGCGCGGGGCAGGAAGGGATCGCCGGGTAAGGATGCTGCTCCGGAACGGAATAAGGAGCGTTGGCAGCGAAAGCGTAGGTAGGGCGTTGGGGTGGAGGAACGGAAGCGCTCGGCGTCGTCGAGGATTGGGGGAGAGATGGAGCCCCGCCGGTGAAGGTCAACGGAGGGGGGTTTGAATACGGCGGTGGAGGAATAGGTGGGTGATTGTGGTGGTGCTGTTGGTGGTGCTGCTGATAGCGGTTGTGATTCTTACTCCAGGAGATTCCCATGGCGGTTTGAGCAGTCGGCGGCGTGCGGCGGACGGTGGTTCTCGTTGGCGGTGGAGTTTCGAGAATTAGGAAAGTAAATGCGCGTTGGACTATTATGCTTTTTTACCTTTTTTAATCATTTAAATATTAAAAAAAAGAAGGTATAATAGTATTAAATGTGGAGTAATAATAAAATAATATGGCATATTCGATATAGCGAAATACATACGTTTGCCTGTTTTTTTATGTGTTTGTTTAAAAATGATTTATATTATTCATACAATTTTTTTTAAAAAAATATAAAATAAAATAATTATTTTTTATTTTTATATTACTCTTAATATCTATTTATATTAGATCATATTATTATTTTAATTCAAATTTTTTATTATACCCAAATTTAATATCTTTTTATTGTTCATTTAAATAAATCATTGTTGAATGATAATTTTGTATGAATAATAATAATAATATGAAAACTGTTTGAAATTTTTCAACAAAATGTGTGTTGAAAGTCGTTGAATTAATTCGTCTGACAACGCGTGCGACAATACGTCAAGTTAAGTGGCGCAATTATAAAATCATGTTTTTAAATAATGATTTTTATTTAATATTTTTATAAAATGACATTTTTATCTTAAAATATAACATTACTTAATTAAATTAAAATAAAATAATGTATTTTAAAAAAAATTAGACAGAAATAAACACATCCTAATACATTTACCTACTAGTGTTGGTCTTGGGACTTGGACTCTGATTGAACCTGAGGGAATTGGAGGAAGAGTGCAGATTCTTCACCAGAGGTATCAAAGACTGCACGACGTCCGTCATCAATGGACGGTACTCCGCCTCCGTCTGCACACACATCGCCGCGATCGCCGCCACCTGCGCCGCCGAATTACTCCGATCATATATATATATATATATAAAGTGGATTATTTGATTTGAATTAATTACCTGAATTAGGTCTTTTTGGGAATAATGGCCGTGCAGAGATGGATCCACCATTTCCACTACTTTTTCTCTGTTCGTCAGTTGCGGAAGCGCCTGTGTTTAATTCAATTTAAATACTCCATCCGTCCCAAAAAAAAAAAAAAAAAAAAAATATTTATTTACTTTTTGCACTTAGAAATATTAATATTACGTTAGGATATAGTAGAAATAAATTAGTATTTGTGATATAAAAGTAATAATATTTGTGTAATATATTATAAGTGGTAATAATATCTGTAACAGGTATGTAGATAGTACAATTATTTAAAAAATAAATAAATAATTTGTTATGGAATGAACTAAAATAAAAAAAATAGATATTTTTTTGTTATGGGACGGAAAAGGGAGTAATAAACATGGTTTTTTTTTAATAAATAAATATAAATACTGTGTAATAGTAATAGAATACCATTTAGACACGAATTTATTGTTTAATTTTTAATATAGACTTTGGAATATGAGGGTTTTATAGTAAAGATGTTTTTGTAATTTCGTTAAATTATATTGATAATATTGTTGTTATAGTATATACTGTGTAAAGATTTATAGATAGAGATAGACTACAATTAATTAAAAAAAACAAAACAAATTAATTAAAATTTGGAAGGAATTATAATAACAAAAATACATAATTGAATGTAAAATTAATTTTTAGTATAATATAAAAAATAAAAATAGATATTTAATTTAATATTTTTTGAGAAAAAAATTTGAATAAATAGAAAAATTTTGTGAAAAACTTTTACACGAATAAAAGACTACTAACCCAATAAACGAGCACGTGCTCGCCGGCGGGTCTACTCATGTCGATGGGTATGCGTCCGGTAAGAAGCTCCAACAATATCACGCCGTAACTATACACATCCGACTTCGTCGTCAATTTCCCGGTCGATGCATACCTAGAGATATACGATGATCAAATAATCTCAGATAATCTTATACAACAAATATAAGTTTGGGTTCGATAGAAGTTTTTAAAATTTTTTAAAAAATTAGTATAGTAAAAAATCAACTATTCGATGGAATAAAAATTTTAAAAATATCTATATAAACAGAATCTATACTTTAATTTAATTAAATATTTATTGAAGATCAAAGCATATAGATTACGAGCACTAACTCGGGCGCCATGTATTCGGTAGTCCCTAACACACGAGTGGAGATGAGACCGTTAAGCTTATCGGAGCCGACTTTGGCAAGGCCAAACCCTCCGAGCTTAGCCCGAAAGTTGTTGTCGAGAAGAACATTAGCACACTTCAAATTACGATGAATAACAGACGGCACCGTATGCTCATGGAGAAACTCCAAACCACGGGCACAATCGAGGGCGATGCATAAACGACTGCCCCAACTTAGCCCCGCTCTCGGCCGACGATGTTGGCCGGGATGGAGGTACCGGTGGAGACACCCGTTGGGCATGTACTCGTACACCAAAAGCCTATAATGTTGGTCGGCACAATAGCCCAAAAGCTCCGCTATGTACGGCGACCTCAGCCGGCTCAATAAATCTACCTGCATTTTAAATTGTTAGATTATACTCTCTCCGTTCAGCTTTTAGGATTTCATTTAGCTTTTGCGATATTGTACTTAACATTTAATATATCTTTATATTTGTATAATTTATTGCACAAATGTCATTATAATAGTATTATAACACATTAATAGAAGTATTTTTATCATTTTCTCTTAATTTGTACTATGTTTTTCGTATAATAATTAATATTCAAATATCAATATGCAAAAAAATAAATGAGACATTTAGAGTCGGACAGAAGTAGTATTTATTATTTATATATAAAAAAAATAGTATATCTTTAAATGGATAGTGTTAAAATTTTTAAAAATATTTACGGACCTCGGAACGAAAGGCGCGTTCGCCCTGCTTGCCTTGTCGTTGCGAGGTCTTAATGGCTACTAAAGTGTTGTCTCTGAGAACTCCTCTGTAGACTCCTTCTCCGATCAAATTTGCTTGGCTAAATTCACTTGTTGCAATTTCCATTTCTTTTAGTGTAAATACTTGCATTTGGAATCGGATTCCTTTTAATGTGGGTCGGGTCGGACCTCCTCTGATATTACTTCCGTGTAAGCATCCTCCTTGTACCTCTGCGGCAGGACATACCATATAATTATTTTGAAAATTGAATAGTAAAGAATATCCGATTATGTTTGTTTTATAATTTTTTATTTTAAATAAAAAATACTATTATTCAATTTGTTCCGTTTCAATAAAAATATAATTATTTTTTTATAAAATATTATTTAAACAATAATTCAAATCAATGGTCAATTTCCGATGGTAAAATTCTCTGGAACTCCAAATAAATGAATTCTACTCACCTGGGCTGCACGAATTAAAGTTTATGGTAGAATGCGCGACGAACATACAATTCCGATCGGTTGTAGAGCACGAGCCTTTACTCGTGCCGCCACCAAAATGCACGTGGCGGATCACAACCACCAGCAAAATGACTACTAGAAGCATCACTAGGACCACTATCGGCACTAGAATTACGAGTAGAGATAAAGTCGGGACACCCCGGTGCTCCGCCCGATGATGGCGGCCGCCGCCGCCGTTGCCGGCGGTGCCGTTGGTTGCCATTGCCACAAATTAATTTCACAAGCAGCAAAGAAGATATAGATATATATATATATGTATATATAGTTGGATTGGATTAGTTCATTTATTTGAGGTGTACATAGTCTTGGAAGAATATGACAAGATTATTATTATTACTACTATTATTATTTTGTTTCATGGTATTTTGAAAATTTAATTAAAAATATATATATATATTTTTGATATGATATAAATATATATTGAATGTAATTAAGAGAAGAAATTTTATTTAAAAAATAGTTTTTTAATATAAAATATTTTATACAAATTATTATTTAAATCTAAAGTGAAACTCATCATATATGTTTTTTTTTTCAAAATTTTAAATTTTTACTATTTAAATTCTATGTCTTTAAAAAATATATATATTTTTTTTACACAAAATATTTTATTATACATTATTTTAATACAGACCAATTTTTTTCCAAACGCACCTAAATAAACAATATACTCCACTAAGATGGATCTCGTGACGCTGAGTTGTTGGGGTTTTGGAGTGTAATAAATGTATAGTCACTGTCCCTGCAACGCACACTTCAATAATTGGATTAGATTCTGCCAAATTTACGTCACGTTGTGGGTCTAATACTCTTTCCGTTTCAATACAATACTCTTATTTATTATTATTATTTTTTTAAAAATAATAATTTTTTTTTCATAAATAATTATATCACCGTAAAATTACTCATACTTTTTTATTTTTATTACACAATTGTGACTACTTTTTACACTAATACACTCACAGGGACAAAAAAGTTTTTTATCTATACTTTTTACCGATTATTCATATAATATTAATATTCCTTAAATCTCGTGCTCAACCCAATTAAGACTATAATTCTGAAACGAATGAGTATTATATATTCTCCCTTTCTTACAAAATATAATTAATAAATATTTTAAAAATATATTAATAAAAATAATTATTATATAATAAAATATTAATATATTAAAATTAAAATAATTAAATAATTTGATTGATATTAAAAAAATTATAAATTATAAAATTTAAAAATACAATAACATAGTATGTGGAACATAACGAAAATAAAATTTTTTATGTGAAACAAACCAAGTATGCATGCATAATCCTTCCATCTTATTTCAAATTATTTTTTTGGAGATTCATAAATAATATTTTTACTTCTTTGTATATTTATAAATAAATTATACGTGTAATACTTTTTTCGTCTCATTTACGGTGATAGTATTTTTATTTTTATTTGTCCCATTTATTTGGTCATTTTTTTTTTTGAAAAGAATTATACTCTTTAATTTTATTTTAAAATTTTAATTTATAATCTTTAAAATTATAATTAAACTAATTAGTTGTTTTAATCTTAATTTAAATTTATTTTTATTATAAGATAATTATTTTTAACATTATTGATTATTTACTAATTATACTCCTCTTAAATTTCTGTGTCTGTAGTAAAAGGGATACGGTAGTTGAGACGAATAGAGTAATTATTTTGTAATATATATAACAATTAAATATATTTTCACATTATATATGATTATTTTCATTTTAAGTTAAAACTGATATGATATATAATACTTTCTCCGTCCCAATATAATAATGTTGTTTATCATTTTTGTCTGTCCCAAAATAATAGTATTGTTTTTATAAATAATCGTATCACTGTAAAACTACTCCTACTTTTTTATTTTTATTACACAATTACCACTACTTTTTACACTAATACAAAAAAATCTTTTATCCATATTTTTTACTCGTCGTTACGAATATAATATTTATGGGATTTAGGGAGTAATAATTTAGCAGCAAAAAAGTACACTCAGAACATTTTTGGAATGATGTAAATTTTAGCATAATTCATGAGAAGAATTTATGTATAAATATTATATCGAATATTTTTTTTCATATAAATAATACGTAAAAATATACTTATATTTAAAGTATTATATATATATTTTTATAATAATTTAAAAATTATTCTTATTCTGATTTTAATCTTTAAAATAATTTTGGATATAAAAATATTTTTAAAAAATAGATATTTAAGAATCAATGATGGCCACTGAATTGTGGATGCCTTCAGCCGTGGGGCAATAGAGAATGTTTTTATTTTATTAATTTATTTATAGCATTTTATTTACTAATTATTTAACTTAATTAATATATAAACACACACATGTGGGCACACGATTAGGCACTTTATTTAAAATACTCTCTGTCCAAATTAAAAATATTTTTTTTTACTATTGAGTCACTTTTCAAAATATTTATTTTTCTAAAATATTTTTTTATTTTTATATAAATTAAATTATATATCATTAAACAAATAATTATTTTATACATAAAACTAAATGGTAAAAATATCAAAATTTCATTAGTCAATAAAATAATATTATTTTTTAATCTTTTAGCAAACTGCAATTGGCTGTGAAACAGTGTACTAAGTATTTTTTGTTTAAAGTTTTTATACTATAAAATGTAAAAAATATACATCACATGTTCAAAAATTTTAACCAATTTGGCATCATTTTCTTACATCCTTTGCTTCTTTTTTTTTCTTTTAAATCAATTCTTTAATAAATTTATTATACTATTTTGTTCACTTAACTTATTTTTGAGTAATACGGTTTTTTCATAAGTAGAATTAAAAATATAATACTCCTTCAGTCATATTGAAAAGTTGTCAGTTTTTATTTTCGTCTGTCCCAAAACAAGATTACAATTTTCTAATTTAGTAATTGTACTACCTACCTAACATAATAAATATCCTTTCAACTTACACTATATTACACAAATGTCATTACTTTTATATTACACAATACTAATAGGGGTATTTTCGTCATTTTCAATATCATCTATTATAATACTAATATTCAAAAATCTACGTGAAAAAAACAAATGCCACTCTTATTTTGAGACGAAGGGAGTATATATATATTTTATTTAAAAAAAAAAAAGGACGAATTCAACACAAAATGTTATTTTTACTATTACTAAAACGATTTATATATATATAATAAAAAAATACGTTCATGCAAAAAACACAGTGTGCACACATTTTTTATCCACCGTATTTTAATATTAAAATATTATTTTTTCGTCTCAAAACTATAGTCTTAATTGAATTTGACACGGGTTTTAATGAATATTGATATTATATTGGTAGTGGGTAAAAAATATGGATAAAAAACTTTTTTGCCCTTATGAGTGTATTAGTGTAAAAAGTAGTGACAATTCTGTAATAAAAATGAAAAAGTATTGATAGTTTTATGGTGATATGGTTATTTATGGAAATAATACTATTGTTTTGAGACGGACAAAAATAGTAAACAAAGACTATTGTATTGGAATAGAGAGAGTATTATTTTTTAATATTTGTGTATAATCAAACATACGTAATTTTATTAGACGAAAAAATAAAGTTGTGAAAAAACCTGTATTTTTTGTTTTTAAATCTAATAATTTAATATAAAATATTACTATTAGTATTAACAAAACTAATTTTCAAACTAACATGAAAAAGAAAAATTATATTCACCCCAACAACACAAAATCAACACACCCTAAATAAAATTATTATTGCACAATTATTCAACCTAACACACAAAAATACAGCTCCTAACAACACAATATATAACCCGCCGTTTAATTTAAATTTATATATATATATATATTTTTTTTTGTTTCACTTTAATTGATACCTATAAAATTTACTAAATCAAAGCATATTTAACAAATATATTCACTTTGTACTTAATATTTGCTTCAATAAAATCGCATCTATGCGAGGCTGAATTCACTTTTGTACTTAATATTCGATTTCAGTATTATCTGATCTATAATTTATGAATTTGTCATATCTCATATTCGTAAGTAAAACCCAATCAAATAAAAACATAAATATTTCTCTCTACATTTAAAATTGTATCACTTTTATAAAATTAGTTTATACTATTAATTATATATAAATATATATTTTTAAATTATTTAAATGACATATTAAATTTATTTTAAAACTAAAAATATTATTAATTATATAACAAATAATGAAATAATATCGTTATTAATACTAAAATACCATTAACTTTTTTTAAATTACAAACATACAATTACACTGTGTTATTATGCATTCTTATAGTTTTATAAAATAATATATATGTTTTTATTTTATAAAATATTATATTCAAAATTAAAATCAAGATCCAAATAACACGCCTTATTAATACAATTGTTTTTATGCACAATTATTTATATTAAACAATTTTATTATTTATATTTTAACTAATAATAATAAATTTGTATTTTCCACTTAAATTACTATTTTTTATTAACATAATATATATAACATTTTTATCCAATTCACTCAAGAAAATATATAATTCAAGATAAAATATTTTCATTTGTAACAAATACTATATACTCTTTAATTTATATAACTTAATACTCTACTTACCTACAAATATGCCACATATACTTACAAATTTAATTTATCAAAAAAATTCAAATTTCTCAACATATATTTTCTAAGATAATTTTAAATTATAATCAATCAATATAATTTTAGTATTTATTAAGAGTGTGTTTCATTAGGCCGATTTGGAGAAAATTAGGTTTGAGTCAAATTTTTATTTGAATTTTAACATAGGTTTGAGTTTTTGTATTTATTTTGTATGTAGATTTTGTTTGAGTTTGAGGGTTTTGATATGTATTGATTTGATGAGTAATAAATATAATAATATAAATGTGTATTAATTTGTATAATTTAATTATAAATTTATATTATATCTACTTATACATTTTTAAATTTTTATTTATTTATATTATAAAAAAATTATTTCTACAAAATAATATATATATTGTATATATATATATTTTTTATTAAATTGTAATTATTTAAATAATTAATTAATTAATTCGCTGCAAGTTACAAAGCTGCGTGGCAAACCAAATTTTGTTAATTCCCGATTGGACACTCCTATTCAACCTTAGGTGTTGAGTCTGGCGCGTTTTTTGTCTGTACAGTATTGAAACTGTTTGTTTGGGATTTGAATTTTGAGTTAAAAATTTTGAATTCGGATAGTTGTATGATGTTATATAAATAAGTATTGATGTGATATTTTGAATGTAAAATTAATTTTTAATATAATATAAAAAATAAAAAATAGAAATTTGATTTGATGTTGTTGGAAAAAAATAAAAAAAATACTATATTTAAAATCCAATTTCCAAATAAACACATCCCTAAAGAAACAAACTCTAAAATTATCTCAAACAAACAACAAAAATTCCATGTCCTTAAAACGTTTGTGTTTGTTTGAAAGTTTGAATTGTACTTTAAAATTTTAAATTATAACAGCAGTTTGATTTAATATAAATAGACATTAATTATGTAAAGGTTTGAAAACAAAATTAATTTTGGATGCTAATATAATTTTTTTAAAATAAATATTTAATTTGATATTATAATTTTTTGATTTTTTTTATAAAGAATGATAAAAATCGTTCGAAATCCCAAAAACAAAAAGCAAAACACACTCTAGAATTTTCAAAACTCTTTTTTGAACAAAATAATGTTCAATCGAAAATATTGTAGAAATATTCACTGGATTGGAGAATCAGAAGGAACTCAGGCAACTCTCCGTAGTAGCAATTAAAAATTAAAAAAATAAAAAATAAAAAATATTTCTTTAAAGTAAAAAATAAAAAGAAAATAGAAAAATGGATAAACGAACCGAACAAAATCCCCAAATTCAACCCTTGTTCAACGAAACAGTGATCTGCAGCTGCGGGCAACGGCAATTTCTCTCCAGTTGATCCACCTCCGATTCCGACGCCCCCGCCCCATCCAATCCAAGATTCCTCCAATTACCACCTTGTAGTAGGATGGGGGTTCCCGCTTTTTATCGATGGCTGGCAGATCGGTACCCTTTGTGTATTGTGGATGTCGTGGAAGAAGAGCCCGCCAAGAACGGGACTGGCGGCCCGCTCTCGGTCGATATATCGAGACCGAACCCTAATGGCATTGAGTTTGACAATCTGTATTTGGATATGAATGGGATTATTCACCCCTGTTTTCATCCAGAAGGCAAGGTAACTCTTTTTGGGGGCAATTGTTTCCGTGTTCAGGGGGTTTTTGTTATACTTGAATTTGATAGAATTGGATGGGGTTAGTGAGTGTTTTAGCTTTGCAGTGGGGATTTAGCTGTGTTGTAGAATTGATTTGGAGCCGACGGTGAGAATTGGTTGGTTGTACACGTTTGTTGTTTGTTTGATTGCATGTTCCGGTTGGGATTGGAGTTGATTGTTCATTGAAAGTTAAATAGTATCGAAATGCCTTTCTTTTCTTCAAATGAACGTGTTGAAGCACAAGTGTGTGATCATTTTAGTTTCTGTTGCTAGTGTTAGTTCGTGGTTAAGTTTATCTTCGGTTAAATGTATTTTTTGGTTCAGCTATGTGATTTAGTGTAGGACACAATTTCTGACTTGAGATGTACAAAGCTGTTTGAATAGTCGATGCCTGTTTTTTGTCATGGATCTATCGGCAATGAACTTCTTCTTGCGTGGTGTGTTACTCCTGTGATACCAAATTAATGTGTCATTCTTATGGCTGCAGCCTGCACCTGCTACTTATGATGATGTATTTAAAGCCATATTTGATTACATTGACCACCTCGTCTCGTTGGTTCGTCCAAGAAAGCTCCTATATATGGCGATTGGTAAATTATGTGACTTCTGTATTTTCAGACTTCATGAGGTTCAGGCTTAACTTGATTTTCTTACTGTTCTGCAGATGGTGTAGCTCCTAGGGCAAAAATGAACCAGCAAAGGTCTCGTCGGTTTAGGGCTGCTAAGGATGCAGCAGCAGTTGTATGCATTCTCTACATCTGGAAATTATTGAAACGAGTGGATATGAGTAAATTTTAGGTGGCTGTTCTGTTAATGTAGTGTTGTGAGTGCTCTATCCTATGTTTTCTCATCCAGGTAGCCGAAGAAGAAAGATTGAGGGAAGAGTTTGAAATTGAAGGGGAAAAACCATTGCCGAAAGAGAAGACTGAAACATCCGATTCAAATGTAATCACACCTGGCACACAATTTATGGCGGTGCTCTCTGTAGCCCTTCAGTATTATGTGCAGTATAGGTTGAACCACATTCCTGGATGGCATTCTTTCAAGGTTTGTTGAAATTTTGCCATTTATCTTAGGTGTTATTTTTCAGGATATTTTTGTCTCTCTTACCTTATGTATAAGCTGCATTGGGTGATATTTGAAGGTTATTCTTTCCGATGCAAATGTTCCTGGTGAGGGCGAGCACAAGATTATGTCCTACATTCGTTTACAGCGCAACCTTCCTGGTTTTGATCCAAATACTAGGCATTGTCTCTATGGTCTGGTGAGCATAAGAAATAATATTAAAGTGGTTATGTGTTTTTTGCTTTTCTGTTTTTACATCTTTGTTCCTAATTTTATTATTTGGGGGCTATTTTCAGCATTTGAGTTTCCATGTGCTAAAGCATTCATGATCTTTATCTTAAAAACAGGATGCAGACTTGATTATGCTTTCACTGGCTACTCATGAAATCCACTTTTCAATTTTAAGGGAGGTCAGTGGCTGTTATTTTCAGATTTTTTCAATATGATTCTCTTCTATTCAGGTTAACATATTTGTATCTTTTTTTCTGTTGAAGGTAATCAATCCTCCAGGGTCTCAAGAAAAATGTTTTCTCTGTGGTCAAGTTGGACATTTTGCTGCTGATTGTCGAGGTGGATCCACTGGCCACAATCAAGATGCAAGTGGAAAGCTTGACATTCCCATTTATAAGAAGAAATATCAGGTTGGATTTTTATAGCCATTTTTGGTGACTGACACTTTATCACTTAGTGCCAACTTTGTGTTGGTACGTTTATTTTTTTAAACATTTCTTTTAACACTTCCATCTTCTTTGTTCCCAGTTCCTCAACATCTGGGTATTGCGAGAATATTTGGGATATGAGATGGATATTCCTCATCCACCATTCAAAATTGATTTTGAAAGGCTGGTGGATGACTTTGTGTTTCTATGTTTTTTTGTCGGCAACGACTTCCTTCCTCATATGCCAACATTAGAAATTAGAGAGGTGATGATAACCGTCAGTTGATGAGATGATTTACTTAGTTTTATTTATGCCATTGTCTTTAAGCATTAAACTTGTCCATTTTTAATGTTGCAGGGTGCCATTAATTTGCTCATGCATGTATATAGAAAGGAATTTGCATCTATGGGTGGCTATCTTACTGATGCTGGTGAGGTAATTTTAGCAATTTTCAGAATAACTTGAACTAGTTAGAGTAGGACATGCCAATTTAATTATGACTTATTTTCTTTTCTGAATATTGTTAGTTGAATAATAGATATGGACTACCATGTCAATCATGGTTACCTCCTTCATTTCCCATTGCATTACTACATATTGATCAATCTAATTACCTTCTCCCATGCCCTTGTTTTGTATCCTGTTTCATTTTAGTAGTGACTAAGTAAGTTATTTCCTTAGCTCTGTTGCTGCTTTGTGTTTTTGTGCCTTTTAAAATCCATTACTTAGCTCTGTTGCTGCTTTGTGTTTTTGTGCCTTTTAAAATCCATTCCTTAGCTCTGCTGCTACTTTGTGTTTTTGTGCCTTTTAAAATCAATCACATACCTTCTCTTGTTCAGAAAATTGTGTCTTTTCACTCTACTTCTCATTTCCATACTATTTTCCTTGATCATAGAACCTTCTATTCAATTTTGCTTTCATTGGTGTGTTTGAACTCACAAATATGAAGGAGGAACTGAATTGTACTGTGATTTCTTAGTCTTAATGTCATTTTAGTTGATTTTTTCATTGTGAAAGTTGGCATTACTTGGGTTCTCAATTTTGTAGGCTTGATTGTAACAGTGAAGTTTTCACTGAACAAATAAATATCCTGAAAAACCGCTTCCCTGCATATATTTTGAACGGTACTTCATCAGATAGTTTGATTTTGTCCGAGCTTGCTATCGTCCTAATAAGGTGGTTGCATGTTCGTGTGGTTGTATGTCTTTTCAAAGCTAGAATGTAGTGATGATATAGATATTTTCTAGTGTTGATGAGGCAGAAATATTGATGTATGGGTTTATGGGTGATTCCTATGGTGTGGCAATACAAGTGGGAAATATATGACTATTTTGATCCTCCCTTTCTAATACACCTTTCTTTAAAATGGCCAATCTATTTCTTAACATTCATTTCTTAAAAGGCTACCTTTCCTCATAATTTGAAGTCCACATATATTTAATATCCAGCTATTTTCAGATAATTAGCTCTAAATGTTTATATTTTAACACCCCACACAATTATCAGTGTACATTTTATTATGTACTCATACATTAGGATGGGTGTATTTTAGACATCTTCACACCTTTCAAGGATACTTGATAAAGAATTAAATACTTTTCTATAATAAATGTGATTGAATAATGATGAGATAATATATATATATATATATATATAAAGGAAGAATATGAAAATAGATGTTTTATTAATGCAACTTTTCATTGATAAGCATAAGAACATGTGCATTTTGACTTACTTCTTTAAATTCTAAAATTATATGTGAAAAGAAATTGATGGACTCTGATTGTTATGCACAGGCTCAAGAAAAGAGCCAAGCATGCCTATTTATAAATTTTGTAGTATTCATAAAACACATGCAAAAATCAGAAACCTTCTTTTTTTTTAGTTTAAATTTTCTCTTTATCTTCAAGTTGATATGTGCTAATGGGATTGGGTTTGAAGAAGTAATACTCTTGGAAGTAAGTTTTTTGATTGTTAGTATGAGAATTATTCCTTGGTAAGGTAGCTTTCATTAGTTGAATGGTTCTTATAATTTGACACTTATTTTTGTTCTGAACTGACTTCAAGTTCTGCTCTCTGTAATGAGACAAACTACAATAACAGATAGTAAGTCATGGAAAGTTTATTTTGAAACACTAATGTGTATGAATTTATGCATTTATATGGCAGATATATTTGTAACACCTGTGACTTTTGTTCTTTACTTCTTTATGCAGTATAATGGTGTATGACTGTAGTTAAAAAATGACTTATATAGAGGTGTTGGGCTACCTGGCAACTTTGCCAATTTATGTTCATTGCGTTATCTCTCTTGCTGCTGAAATAAAAATTTGCATTGCAAATGTTTACCGAATTTATTCTTGTCACATAATATTCGAATATTTGAAGCTTCCTCGTATATGAGATTAAACATCATCTGTGTTGTTCTGAGATTGAAATATCAGTCACATATGGATGTTGGGTTACTTCGTTGCTAATGGTGCATCTATTGCATTCTTTTCTCATGCACTTGATTGTCAAATAGCTTTTAAATGTTATACTAGTTTAATTGTTCTATTACATTGGTTATATCTCGGAAACTTCTTCAAGATGCTGGTTTTTGGAAATATTTAGGTCTTCTTGGACCGAGTCGAACACTTTGTTCAAGCAGTTGCAGTTAATGAAGATCAAATATTTAGAAAGAGAGCTCGTATACAGCAGGTAGACTGATCATTTTATTCTTTTCCAGATATCATGATTTAAGGTTATTGGTTTTATTACAGAGCTTAAAATAATCTTGTTTGAACTGATTAATTCCTTGTACAAGTGGTTCTTGTATGTGTGTAATAGATAGCTTATCTATATATAATACTGAGATACATTTTTCAATGTGCATATGCTCGGAATCTGTTTCATAATTGTGTGTGATGCATCTGACAAGATTATTGATTATTGACATATGGTGGACTTTTGGCTTTGGCCAGTCTGCCTTGTACATTTGAATCTGGCTGTCTGGCTTTCAAGTAATCTGTACCAAGCTCTATTTCCTTTATATTGATTTAAATGTAAACCTTCAGATCTCTGCCCAGTTGTGATCATGTTAAAAAATTAGTTATTGCCATAGGTTGGATGTAGGATCCTGTGCCCTGGTATACTTTCACATAGTTCTTCTCTAAGGTATTCTGTATGGATGCATTGAGTTTTTATTTGTTTTTTCAACAAATGCTGATTATATATGCAAATTGCAATCTTGTGCAAATTGTGATAGTTAACTTGGAGCGGTATGTACAGTGATTCTGAGAGCTTGTGATTATTGATTATATTTATTCTTTTTGTTGTTACAGGCATACGAGAATAATGAAGAGATGAAACTTAAATCAAGAGGGGAGGCTATTCCAGAGCCAACCGAGGACAAGGTGTTTATTCTCTACAGATTATACTTAATAGATCAAATTTTGACTTCCTTGTGGAGTTGTGATTTTAAGCCAGTATAAATAGCGGCACCCTGAATTAGAATTTAGTTATATTATTAAAACCAGACAGTACACGAAGTGAAAAAGGTTGTATCCTTATTTTTTAAGAATTGATGAATTATGAAAGTTTGCTATGAGCAACTGAGGTAGGTAAAGGGGGTCCATATTATTTTCTCTCTGTATGTCAATTCAAAATTTATTTATTTTTCTTCTTCATTTGATGCAATGGCCAGTATGTGGTTTAACAAGTGCTAAGACAGAGGGTTTCCCATCTGTATGCATTAATTATTTTTAGTTATCAATGATGTTACAATTAGTTTTCCAACTCATTGATTTTTTTTGTTTATGTCATAAGTTTCCTTTCGTTGTCAGTGAAGAATTATAAACTGGTTGTATGCACTAATCAGGCTATATCTTTAATTCTCTCAGGTGAAGTTGGGAGAGCCTGGGTATAAAGAAAGATATTATTGTGAGAAATTTGAGATTTCAGATCCAGCAAAAATTAATGAAGTCAGAACAGATGTGGTAAGCACACATTTATTACAGTAAGCTTTTATGAACAACTGCACATTAGTACATCTCTACCAAAACACCCAATCATACAAAGCAATCTAATGTTAGTGATAGTCTTAGAAGCATGGGCTTTGATCAAAATACACTTTGTGGGTAGTGAAAAATAGTGTGCTACTGCATAAATAATAATGCACAGCGACATGGTTTTGCATGTGAGTGTAAATAATTCTGATATCATGTAGGACGTAATATTCTATTGTGAATAATTATAATTTTTGGGTTTGGTGTATTCTTATCATATCATCATCATTTGTGTGTGGGCTGGCTTTAATGCGTGGGAAATCTGTGTTAATATTCCTTTTTTATGCTTGCAGGTTTTGAAGTATGTAGAAGGGCTGTGTTGGGTTTGCCGCTATTACTACCAAGGTGTCTGTTCGTGGCAGTGGTGTGTATTATGTTACCTCTGGACATGTACATAACTTAGAGCTTTATTAATTTAGTGTATATCTAGTGTTGCCTCTTGATTCTGACTGAATATAGCAGGAAATTTATTTTGAAAATTTGTACTACTTATTGTGCTTCAATTAAGCAAATGACCTTTTGTTAGATGATGGTATCCAAACATGTGTTTGATTGCTTCATTTGCTAAGTTCATTTCCTTTTTATGATCCTTGCTTCAAGGTGCTGGAAAAGTTGGACTTATTTTTTCTACACATATACAATTTTACATTTTAACATATGGTGCGGTTTTATATGGGATATAGTGATGATTTTTTTAAGTGTTCTGCTTTGATTACTATGCAATTATGCTTCTAATTGAAAAATGTTAATGCAATTTCGTAGTTGTGACAGTTTGATCATTTTTTTCCTATTAATCCAGGTACTATCCGTATCATTATGCACCATTTGCCTCAGATCTTAAAGGATTAGCTGATTTTGAGATAACCTTTTTCCCTGGGGAGCCCTTTAAGCCCTTTGATCAACTATTAGGAACTCTGCCAGCTGCTAGGTACTTCACATTTTCTTTAGAGTGAAACAGCTTGAGTTGTTGTTTTTTCCTTCTTTCCATTTTTCAAAATTATTATATATATATATATATATATATTTCTGCAGCTCTTCTGCACTGCCTGAAAGATATAGGATGTTGATGATTAATCCCGCATCTCCAATTTTTGATTTCTACCCAAATGGTATGTTCACCATTTGCTGTACCTGAGTTTTTATCTTTAATGTTTTGTGTCATAATTTTATTTCTCCTGTACAACCAGATTTCGAAATTGATATGAATGGAAAGCGCTTTGCTTGGCAGGTATCTTCTTGTAGTACAGTGCTGTCCATTTCCTTGGATGATAGATTGCTTAAACTGAATACATTTGACTGATGAAATTGGATGCATCTTAATAGGGTGTTGCAAAATTGCCATTCATTGATGAGAAGAAATTGCTTTCCGAGACAAAGAAGCTTGAGGAGACATTGACGGTATGAAATGCAAATGCACTATGTCTGATGGAATTATTATAAGACAGAAATTTGTATATCATCACTGAGTTCTTTTATTTTATTTTTTTATTTTGGAAAATAGAGTTATATTATATACAATCTGGTTACAAGTTATATAGGATGCAAAATGAGTACAAATACCAAGCATCAGATCTGACTTTAAATCTCTTATTTAGCATGTGCAAGCGCATATTACAATCCCTAGCTGATTGTTTAAGGGTTAAATCAAATCGGTCAATTGTTAGTGCTGCCTATATATAATTCCTGGAATTGTGTTTAAACATATAAGTACCTCCATTGTTTTAATTGTGTAAAATATAAAATTATTGTTGTTTTGTATAATAAGAATTAGATTCTAGTGAAGTATAGGCATGCTATAAAAGCAAAAAAAATAAAATAAATTAACAGACTATAATATATAACCTGAGGAGATTGAATTTATCCTTTAAACTAGACTGAGTAAACAGGTGATAACAAGTCATACGAGGTGTCATCCCATGTTGGGAAATGAATATTGAAAATGGATAATATGTCTTAGACTAAGAACGATTTATTTAGCTGCATGCTTATCAAATAGGTGAACAAGCTCTTCCCAGTTAGTGATATCTGTAAGAGACGGCAAATGTTATGAGAAAAGTTTGTGGGGGAGTATTTTGACAGAGTTACAGATGTTGTTCTCACTTGAGTCCTTATCATTAGAACAGAGGATGCATATCAGTTATTGAACACCTATCCTTAGGAATCTTCTGTCGACTATGATCTTTAGTGCTATGCATGGAATTAAGATTAGCTTGCTTTCAGCTTCAACACACAGAAACATGACATTACATTGGTGACAAGGAAGTATGAATCCAGTCCCGAAAAACCTTGGATAACAAAATGCTCAACAAAGCATTAAGCATCCTAAATTTTCTGATGTTGACATCTTTCTATACTATGAATAAATTTTATTTACCTTGGCTACTTTATATAGCTTATCATTTTGTTTGCTTATTCTAATCTGATTCTGTAGGAAGAAGAGAAATTTCGAAATAGCGTTATGTTTGATTTGCTCTATGTTCATCCACGCCATCCATTGGCGCCAACAATTAGCCTTTACTACCGTCTTTGTCAGTTGGAGAAATTTCCATGGACGATTGACACTAATTCCAGGTTGGTTCTGTAGCATATTGTGATGAACTTGACCTTCTTTCTGTGGCTATTTATTCCTCATCTTGATGTCATGTAAATGGTTTTTGGCATCTGGTTTTTACAGTGGTGGAATGAATGGATTCATATGGCTGACTAATAGAAATGGCTTGAGACAATTTGTTCCGTCCCCAATAAATGGCCTGGAAGACCTCACGAATAATCAAGTTCTGTAAGTCACCTCAAAGCCTTGTACTTTTTAGAAGTAGAAAATTTTAAAAGGTACAAGCTTATTCCCTTCTGCTTCTGCAGAAATATCACCTATCTCAATCCAACACCACATACTCACATTCCAAAGCCCCCCGAAGGTGTAACTATGCCTAAGAAGGTATGCAATCTTTACCCAAAAGAAAATATTAAGTAAATGAAAATAAAAATATGTGTTTTGTTTAAGCTGCACTGAATTTCCTGGAAACCAAAGAATATAGTGAAATTTATAACTAGATTACATTGTAAATATATTTTTGTTGTTAGGAAGAGTGCTCTACTGTCTGCATCAACCATATACATATTTTTTGAATTCTTCGATCTTATCAAGCATATGGATTTGCTTATTTTTAGATTGTAGGCATTCTTAGAAAGGACAGCTTCACTCTGCACATTTCTTGATCCCCATGTCTTTTGCATTAGATGAATATGAAACATGTTACCTTAATGCTGTCAAAGGGTGATAAATTGGAACGCTGGCTATTTGAAATATTTAGTTATCTATGAGTAGAAATTATGGTCTGAAATGTTGATTGAATTTAGTTTTTCTTGGATCAATAAAACTAAACTACAATTAAAGATGTACAATTGATGTATGCTGTTGTGTTGAAGTTAACAACAATTTTCCCAGTCGAATTTGGAGTGGGCCTCTGATGCATGGATAACCACTGTAAAGTTTATTTTCCAGTGTAATTCTTGAAAATATGAATGTCTCATCTCCTCCATCTGTTTTTTCTTCCTTATTTTTACCTCCATCCAGCCCAGCAGATTCCAAATAAATTGTGGACTTCATCCTAGATAGGTTACAATATCTGTTAGACTTTAGTTTGAAGAAGAAAGTCCTGTTAGAATTCCTTGTTATAAACGATGACTGCTATTCGGAGGTTGTTATAAGCTGACGATTTCTTTGTACTGTCCAACAAATGCTTCTCATATACATAAATTTAACCGAAAAGTGATGTGGATTGTTTCATATACAATTTACTTTTTCTCTCAGAAGTTATGGTTTATCCTATGGCTTAGCATCGTATGGCTAGTTTTTGCTTTTACCCGGTTTTAAGAGATGTTACAGTATAATTTATAAAACCAGCTGTGCCACATCAATTCCTTGTCTGCAGGTTGTGAAACATACTGATGTAAAACCGTCCCCGACGCTCTGGCATGAAGATAACGGTGGAAGGCACCATTTAGGCAAAGAAAGGTATGAGACTACACTTTGATACCATATAAAGAAAAAGTAATCTTATAAACACTAGGCCGATTATTGAATGTTATTCCACATTAAACTAATCCTCCTGAAGGCGTTGGTTGCACGAAGCACTGCTTCTCCGGAAATTACATAAACCCGTCTATTACCATTCTTATTAACACTGCTTCTATGTCACAGACCACAAATTTCCGGAGCATTATCCGGTCCTGTACTGGGAGAAGCTGCTTACCGTCTGGTTCACAACACACTGAACATCAAACCAGACCACACGAATTATCATCAGGGAAATAATCAATTCGCGCATAGACAGAGGCCTGCTGGACCACCCGGCTACCAGAGGGGCATTTCCGAGGGGACCTCTAGCCAATATAATTCCCCAAACCACAGGCCAAGACCGACCGGGCAATATGGGTTTGAACAAGGACCCGGGCGATACGGAAATCAGGGATTTGACCGTGGACCGGGCCAGTATGGACATCAAGGACAGAGATATCACGACGACCAAAGCTTTGGGAATGGCCATTATGGCCCCCGTCCCGGCACTGGCAGTAGTCCTAGAGCCTATCCGAATCAGAACCAAAGTAACCGAAGAACTTACAACTCGCAAGATCGGTATGCCTATCAGGAACAGCATCACGACGTCAGAAACAGCCTGGCTGGGTTGAACATCGGTGGTTTCAACAATTCACCGCCAGCTGCCGTGCCTCCCAGGTTTGCGAGCTCCGGTCAAGCCTTCCAAATCCTGCAACGGCCGCCGCCTGTGCAAGCATCCGGCCCCCTTCCACCACCGCCAAGTAAGTGGATCGGCAGACCCGCAGCCAGGAATACCGTAGCGACGCAGAGTAATAAGCAGCAACAAAGCTCGGTGACAACTTCTGGGCACGAACAGCAACAGCAGATGAGAATGATCTACCAAGTCAAAACTAAGACGTCTCAGAATCTCGACAACACAAAAATGTGAAGGCACCGCAATGATGATGATGATGGTCCTCTACCCGGATCAGGGACGAGACAGCACAGAATCTGGAGGATATCGAAACTGTAAGTGTGTGTATGTCCACTTCATCGAATCGGTGGAAGTAGATGTGTAATGTGAGTTTTTTCTAGGGGTAGTAGGCGACGATACATGATGATTGAGGATTGCTCGTGTACCAGGTGCAGAGTAGCTTCTTTGTTCTCGGATTCGATCAAAGACTTGAGTATAAGTGAGTTGGTAATGCTGCCGGCTTTCGATTCGATCAATTTGTTCGAGCTTATTAGATTCTATACATATACATTTGTTTTTGGTAATTTGTGTTGTTTGTTCTAGGGATGGTTGAAGAGAACACTTTGTTGTAGTAATTGAATTTGAATCGAATGGCACTCGATTCGACCGGGTCTTTCTTAACTAATCTGTTTGCCATCGGGCTGTTGTTTGTTATATCATAGCATAAGAATGATTGAGATGGCTCCATAGTACAGTTGTGAGTTTGGATTTGAAGAAATTTGGCAAAAGAAACGTAAAAGTTGACAAAGTAGTGGATAATAATTATTAACCTAGTAATATTATATGGCGGTACACACGTGCTATTTTAGCTATTTTATCTTTATTTGTTATATATTAATATTAATTTTTTAAAAAATAAATAAATATCTTCTTTTAAATTGAAAAAGTATATTTTTATAAAAAATCTATTTAAAATAAATGGTATTAATTTTAATTTTAAATTGGATAAAAACAAACTCCAGAATTAACGCATATTAATATTATTAGACCTTACAAATCTTGAAAAAACCCTACACAGGATCGACTGTATACTGTGCAGGACTGTACTAATACCGCCCGCCACTATCATTCCGACGCCGATGATTCGATCACTTCTGTCGACCAGCAACCGCCGCGGCATCGCTCTCCTCACTGCCCGTGGAATTTCATCCACGCCTTATCTCAGCGGATCATGGATGGACAAGATCAAAGGAATCATTTCGGGAGAAAAATCCGCCAAGCCCGCCGAACCCGCCGACTCCTTCACCCTTCTTTGTGAGTGATAGTTATAAAATCTCAGGCATTGTTAAATCGAGAATTTGTGCTTCTTATTGTTGGAGAAATGGAACAGGGTTCGCCGACCAGATGGGGAAAGCGAGGAAGTTGGGGGCGCTAAAGAAATTCGTCGGTGGAGGAGGGGGCAACGAAGCCGCTTTTATTGAGAAGCAGGAGGCCGTTCTCAGATTCCTCGGTGGTTGTGATCCTTCCGGTCAGGTCAGTCACGTTGATTCATGTCACTTTTTTTGTGATGAATTATGAATATGTGAATTGAATCTTCATTGTTTTCCCGATTGATTGATGCACTCTAGCTTTTGTGTGGGTGAATTTCTTGTTTTTCGACGAAATCTTTAGACCCGCAAGAAGTTTTTTCTTTTCTGCTTTAGATTATTTGGCATTGTATAAAATCATAACTAGAAAAAACTCAGTTACATCCTTATGTGATAGTCAGACATTTTTGTATTGGCAGTTGATCTTGAGATCCACAGAAAAAATTGGGTTGAAATTATACCACATTTGTCTAAGCGCAGGTCTTAATTGGTTTTGTTTATCTTAAAGTCTCTGAAATTATGAGATTAAAATCAGTAAAAGTGTACTATTTATTGTAAATTTGCCAAAAATGTAGCTGTTCATCGATTTATTATTGTCCTATTGGAAATGGTAAAATTTCCCTTTATTGCCTGTGGCACCTACAAATATTATTATGTTAGTGTGCTTCTCTAGTTATTGGTTTTGTTAGAAAAATGAGTGTTGTTTCTTTCTGTTAAACAGTTATGTATTCACAATCTTTTGCATTTTTTAATTTTTTTTTTTTTTTAGTACTGTATTTCTATTTTAAGAACTCAAGAGCCAAGCTATGAGACGAATGAGCTGATTAGAGGATTTTTTCGATACTGATTCAATTTGCATTGCTGTGTCGAAAGAAGGATAGTCATACTGATTCGGTATATTTGAAAGATGCCCTCGGTACAACATTGACGATTGTTTCTAAACTGAGAATGGAAAGTAATAAAGTCTTTGATTAGATTGATTGTGTGTTCTCTTTACAATTTTCATACTTCTACTCCAAAACAATGGTGGTTAACAGTCGAAACTTATTTATGCAATCGTGCAGTAGTGTCTGCCTTATTGACGTGTCAACCTTTTAGTCCATCATCCTCGTCCCTTGTGTTCAAAGCCCAATTGTAAGCACAAACATTCCTAAGGTCCATTAGTACGTATTGATGTGCTTGATAGTTGCGGCCCCGGATTTGCATTCATCACAACCTATCGTCATCTTGCTAGATTCAATCATGGAATGCCTTATCTTGGTGTTGTTGGCAGCTATCTTAACTTGGGATTTCAAATGCTCTGTTGCTTCTTACTATTTTCTTTTCATTCGTATGTCTTGTAGAACATTCAAGCTAGTCAAAAGAAAGAGGCTGCAAAAAACTGTAACTGCACTGTTGCAGATGTTGAAGTTGCCTTAGCAAAGTTTACATGGGCAAAACAGGCACAGAAGAAGATTGAACAGCTAAAGGCAGAAGGCAAACCAATGCCAAAGAACATTGAAGAGGTATTTTTCATTTAACACTATGCTGCTGTCTGATTATTCTCTGATGTAATTTCTTGTATGTTTCATTTTCATGGCAGTTGGTGTGTTTGCGTTTGTTGTGGATGTCATTGATTAGATATAAGTTCTAGAGTGTCACGCTCCTTGCAGTGTTTTATTCTCTTATATCTATTGGTGGACCATCATTTTTTGACCTTATTTATCACTCAACTTCTGTTGAATGCGATCTAGGTGTTCATTGTTTATATATGTCTAAGAATGTAGCTATGTATTTGATTAAGCCTTTGTTACAAGCAGGTGTTTGCATACTTTCGATTTATTGCAATATTTTTGCCACTGTAAGCAATTATTGAAATTATAATCCATCATGTACATTATCATGTACAATTGGGAGTTTGTTTGTTTGCTTGTTTTCTTTTTTTTATAAATATCATGTCCTTATTTTGTCCAAATTTGTGGAACTTCCTTTTAGTTTATACTTTATACATCCACTCAACTTTTTAATCATTGATTGCTTATAAAAATTTGCAATATTATTATGCAGATTACATAAGTGGATATTGATGTTTTTGATTCGGGTGATCTTGATGGATGTGAAAAAATAATAGACGCTAGTCTGAATCACAACTGGATATGTTTGTGGTGTTGTATACATAATTTTGGAATTTGATATATTTAGAATGATTAAGAGTGCTAAATTGGGAATTCTCTGTAATTTTAGCAGATCTATGTATTTGAGTTAGTGTAGGTTTCTATAATCTTTTCATTGAAAACTAAGCATCTGATACTTTAGATGCCTATGCTTCATCAACGTACTGGGCAATGAATGCAAGGAGGATAGCTTATGTTTCTTTTCTTCATTAGTGAATATAGTTAAGGCTTTAATGCTTTTTTTAAGTTCAGGTTCAAAAATTAGTGGGATCATCCCCATTGGAAGCTGTACGATCGAACTTGTCTCAGAGTGGGCAAATAAGTCGGAATTCTCCTTGTCCTTGTGGTTCTAGAAAATTGTACAAAAGGTACTTCCTTGCCCCATAACTTGAATCCTTATGAGTCAAAAATTAAATTCTCTTCTCATGTGGTATAGATCATAGATGGGGTAAATTTTATTTTTGATTCCCATGCTCTGTGTAGAAGACAACACTTTTTTGGGGTTTACTGTTTCGTTAATCCTTCATTGATCTGCTGCGCTATGTATGTTGATTGTTTCTTTCTGACAAGCATTTACATTTTTAAGGTGCTGTGGGAAGGACAACAATTGAAGATGAAACTGATATGTTAGAGATGACGGCGGTTGAATTGCAGGAACCAAATGGCCACTCATTGTAAGATTGCGGCAATAATCTTTACTTCTGAACTTGTTTCATCGCAATCGCCACCGGTGCAAAGCAGGTGATACTGTTTTGCTTGAGATCAGTTTAGCTTAGACCTAGAAATTCGTTTTGAGTTGAGCTAGCAGTGGTGAACAAGGAAAATTGAAATTTATCATCTTAAACCATGCTTGTTTAGTATTTGTTTATTTTGTTTTTTAGAAAGTAGAAAGATTTTACTGAGAGAAAGAGTTAATTCTGGAAACCTGAGAAGTTACAACTTACAACTGCATAGTTATTCAATGGGAAGAAAATTAGCAGGCCTGACAAAGCATACTTACATGAGAATTACCACTCCATCAATATTTGGAAGGATTTAAATAATTGTGTGAAAATTTATCCAAATTTCCTTTGAGTGTTAGCTCTTTTAGTTCTTTTGCCGCATTGTATTATGTTACTATAGATCATGTGTTGCTGGTTTGTAATGTGTTTCTTGTTAGTTTATTTCATATATTATATCACTATAGATCATATGATGCCGGTTTGTCTCGTATATATTGTGTGTTGTTTTTTAGCTCTTATTGTACTGACATTATTCGATATAGATATGTGTTGTGCTGATTGATTGTTTTATATATGCTTATTGAAAAAATCAATATGAAATTAATTATTCAAGTCCAATTAGGTGAAGTGATATATAGACTCATGTCCTTGTTTCTTGAATTATTTGTGGTATGTGGTTTACGAGAGGTTGTTTAAATAGTATTTTGATATAATATTTTTTTAAAAAACTATAGTAAATAGTATAGTTTTGGTTTGAAATGGTAATAGAACATGCTATTAGCATTTACTAGGTTCCAATTCTACTAATTTGTAAAATGATCATTTGTCACTTACTCTTTTATTTTGATATTTTAAAATTAAATAGTTATTAAATTTAATATTTTAATTATAATAATAAATAAACTTAAAAAAAAAAAGAAAGAAAAGAAAGAAAGAATGAATGAAAAAAACCGACAAATCCAAAATTTGCAAATTGCAAGTACACATTATCCTAACCCACACACTAACACTGGGTCGGTCCCAACTCCCGAATCCATCCCTCCCAACGCCCACACACAACCATTTCTTCTTCAATTCAATTCGATCCTCTGGTTTCCATTGCTTCCCACCAAAATCTCAATCCCAACCACCCTTTTACAACGCCAATTCTTCCATTCTGGTGGAACTGGAACCCATGGCCGCCGCGGCGCCCAGTCTCTTCCTCCAAGAACCGTCTCTTAAATGGACAACCCACTCGCGCCACTGCAATCGATTCCCTCCCCGCCACGGTTCACTCGCGCACTACAGAATTCGTGGAAATTTCAACCACCTCCGACTCCGGTGCTGTTTCGCCAGCGGCGATGAGTCTAATGCGTCGCCGCCTCGTCGGCGTTCCGTGAGGCTCGGCTTCGTGGAGATGAAATTTGGTGAAAATCCGGTGGAGGTTGTGGCGCGGGGTGTGGCGAATGCTTTCAAGGCGCTGCGGAAGCCGGTGGCCGCCGCTGTGCTCGTTGGGTTGTTACTGATGTGCGATCCTAATTGTGCGGCGCTGGCGGCGTCCGGGGGGCGCGTCGGCGGGAGCTCGTTCTCCTCGCGGTCGTCGATGTCGTCGTCGAGGAGTTTCAGCACGCCTCGAATGGGGGAAGGGTCGGGGTTCTCTTATTCGGTGCCGTTTTATGCACCGTCGCCTTTCGGTGGGGTTTACGTGGGCCCGGCGGTGGGGTTCGGTTCCAGCTTCTTCTTCATCATGATTGCTTTTGCTGCGTTTGTGTTGGTGTCGGGTTTCTTGTCCGAGGGTTCTGAGAGCAGTGTGCTCACGGACACTGAGAAAACAAGTGTGCTCAAGCTGCAGGTATGGAATCTGAATTCTGGTTTAGTGTATTTATAACATTCATTTTGTTAATATGAATAGTGATGAGCATTGATTCTTTCTTTTGGAATTTGAATTTTATTTGATATGAATTATTGCCAAATGCATAGAGGATTGGATATTTGATGTATGATTAATGGTTAGTTCTAATAATGGGTAGTGATGTGAGTAACCTTGTCAGAGGGGTGTCTTCAACTGAGGTGACTTTTATTGGAAATGAAAGAACTTGTTCCTGTGATCGTCTAGCATGAGCCAAAGTGAAGGGAAGACTGAAATCTAATTTTCCTACCTGATGAGTAATGGTTTATCCCCTCTTTTATGAACCTGAGATGGCTATGATGGGTAATAACATCGAAAGTGGGAAGTGGATTGTTGGGTTTTTTTCCTCACTCTCATATAGGTGAACTTGGTTCGTTTTTACTGTTAGGGATAAGAAGGATTCATTGGGAAAACTTGATAGACGAACTGAAATTTAGGGATTGAGATATAGAGGATTAGGGGTCCCATTAATCTCAAGAATAGATTTTGGGATGATTGAAACCTCCCTTGATTGCACATCCTGTCTATGTCATGTTTAAGGAAAAAAGTTATAATGCAATTGCAAAAGCAATGTTTGGTGGATTTAAGTGTTGTAATTAAATAAAATAAAAAATTGGGTAAGAAGATGCAAATCAAAAAGAAGAGTTTTCTTTTTTTTTTTTTTTTTTTTAATCAGAAAAAGGAAGAGTTATTTTGTTGTATGGTTTGGGGATCTGGAATGAAGAGTATGCTATTCATCCGGGAAGATGCATCTTTGAAAAGGGTTTATGAGGTGCGAAAAAAATATTAAAGCACTTCGGAGTTTTTGGTAGAATCCTGCCTTGGGATTCCTAGAATTTAATGTGAAACAGTAGGCAGGGAAGCTTTTGTATTAGCTTGTTACTTGAACTGCTATGTAAGGCATTCAAATTTCAGATATGTGGAATTATATAGGGGTTAGGGGATTGCCAAATATGGGTTATTGGGGATGAGGAGACAAGGAATCATGAGTGCAACTAGGTCCACTGTGAAGTGCGACTACGAACCATTTGATACGCTAGTACCACGATTAAATGTGTAATAGTTACTATATTTTATTGACTTTAACATTGTTATGTTTTTGCTGCCATTTTTGTGCAGCTGTTGAAATACTATTCTTTCCTTTATTTATTATTTCCTCTGTATTTCTTCCAGCACTTTTGACAACTTGCATTGCTTTTTATATATTTAAGGTTGGGCTATTGGGATTGGCTAGGTCACTGCAAAAGGATCTAAACCGGATTGCCGAAACTGCAGACACATCCTCATCCGAGGGTCTGCACTATGTATTGACTGGTAAAAAATCCTATATATGAATATTTTTTAGTCCACTTCTTGTTCCATATATTTTGATTTTCAGATAGTGTGGATATGTATATTTTCTTTAGTGCAATACTATACTATTGTCAGAAGACGCCATGGGAATTAAGTAGAAAAAGTTGTCTGTGTGGCAATTGGTTTACAAACAAGCATAGAGTGCCTTTGAAGGTGCTTTGATAAATGGCCGGTATTTATTGTTACAGGGAACTAATTTGGTGCGTTGTTTATGAAAAATATGACTCGGCCTCACCATCTACTTCTCGATTTTCTTTTCACATTTTCCAACTACAATGATTTCTTTGGAAATATTGACTGGACAGTTTAATATTGGTTGCAGAGACTGTGCTGGCCTTACTTAGACATCCAGATTTTTGCATATCTGCCCACTCATCAGTAAGTTATCATATTGCTTTTCCTTTCTGTATTTAATTCATTCCTGTTTTTCCTTAAACTTTTAAAATGTATAGGTTAATAATTTGCTTTCAATTTTCTTATGTTTTAGATGATATAATCTCTTGCATTTGTTAATTATATAATGCTTATCAATAATATTTTATATTAAATTGTTATTCTTGTAAAAACAATGAAATATAAAGCAGTTTATGACATAGTTACTAGTAAAATCTTCGGTTAAAAACTGAAGTTTGTAATACATATATATATATATATTTCAACACACACCCAATGAAGATGCGGGGATCAAATGTACCTCTCACATCGAAAGGGAGTGCCCTACCATTTGAGCTACACTCCTGTAGCGCTTTGTACTATGAAAACTTATGTTTTATCGTTCCGTAAGGGATGACCTGGTGGTGTGAGGATAGACTCATGACCGTAAAATCATGAGTTCAAACAGCACGCTATTAGGTTCAGCCGTACAGATTTTACTGAAAGTTTGACACTATTCATCAACAATAAATATTATTCAAAACATCACATCAAATAATAACGTTTTGCTATTTTCAATTGTTTTAAAACTCCGAAAGTCTGCAAACGGAAGAAGCACCTGTAGTGCTACTATGTTGAAGTTTGTGCAGCTCGGCATCGATTTTAATTATTTCTTGTTGATCAAACTTTTAATCAGCCAAAGTAAATGGCTTGAGGGACTGTTAGTTTAGCAGACTTGAGTTGAACAAGATCCTGAAAATAAATTTTAGGTTTTTCAAAGTTCGTAGCTTGATTCAATTGCTGACATTTTAATGCAAGATCATCCATCTTCCTATTTATGTTACAATATGGTTGTGATATAATTCCACTAGACATGTTAAAATGCAGGTTGACATAAAAAGGGGCATGGAGGAAGGGGAAAAAAGATTCAATCAGCTTTCTATCGAAGAGCGTGGTAAGTTTGACGAGGAGACACTCGTCAACGTCAACAATATAAAGAAACAGACCTCAGCTATCAGAACAAGTGGATTTACCAGCGAGTACATAGTGGTAATTTCGCCATCTTCTCTTACCGGACATTTTGGGTCATAAAAGTCATATACATGGCGACCAATGCTGCTTCTGTCCCTTTTGTCTCTGATTGAGTTGTCGAGAATTTTCCTTTTTTTTATTTTACATTCCTCTTTCTCAGATCACAATCCTGGTCGCTGCTGGAGGCGTACACAAACTGCCTTCCATTAACAGCAGTAAGGACCTGAAAGAAGCTTTGCAAAAACTGGCGTCCATCCCATCGAGCAGAACATTGGTAAGAATGGGACATCCTCGATTAACACTGCTGGTTATTTTTTTGCATTCGCCTATTATCTCATTCTGTCACCATGTCGATCCAGGCCGTTGAGGTTCTTTGGACACCTCAAAATGAGGACGACACTCTGTCGGAACGGGAACTACTCGAAGACTACCCGTTGCTACGGCCTCTGTAAGAAGTGATTCCTCACTTCGCTTGTATGAATCAAAACTCAATACGCACTTTCGGACAGCAGCTGCTGATTTTTAAATTCGGTTTATTCTGTTATACATAGAGTAAGTAAAAAAAAAAAAAAAACTAACTCCCTATTTGGGCTTGCTTTGCAACTTGAGAAAGCAATGCAATCGGTGTGAATGAAATTTGTTCTTAGTGCTGTGTTTACACATGTATTGAAAATTTTGAGATGAAAATTGATGTTAGATATTATTAGGTGTTTTGAATAGAAAAATATGGGCTGAATATAATTTTTATTTTTAATAATGGGAAAGTAGGAACAAAAACATAGTTTGTAAGCATGACATTGTAATATTGTATGCAAAAAATGGGAAAGGGTTGTTCTGTTTGTAATTCTTTTCTATTTTTTGTTAATAAAAATAAATTATTTTATTTTGAAGAAAATAATATCAAACCAATAAAAATTAAATATAAAAAATTAATATTTATTTAATATTCTATTATCTTTATTTTATTTTGTCATTGTATTTAATATTACAAATATTTTTATATATAATTCTTTTGTAAAAATATTATTATAAGATATTTTTTTTCCTTGATTTAAATACAAGCTTTGTATGTTACAAATGCCTTTCATACTTACAATTATTTCTATCAATATTATTAAATTAATCGACGTCATAAGAAAAATATTATTAAACTATTATTAAAATACACATTCTTGTTAAACTTGTCATCAAAACTAATAATTCCATTTTGAGCGAACCAAAATTCGATAAATTTATACATAATAATTGATTATTTCTATAATATTTATTTAATTAATATTATTTTCTCAAATATTATAGTCTTCTTTTAATTTATGGTTTTATAGTTAAACAAGCTAATAATAAATTTAACACTAACATTAAGCAGTCATTACCAAACCAAAAAGATTATTACACATTTGCATTCACATTTACAAATAAAAATAAACACAACACAACAGAAAGCATTAAATGGCCATTGACATTTTAACTGCTTAATTCGCAGAGTCTCCTTCCTTCCTTCCTTCCTCCCTTCAATTCCTCCTTCCTTCGATCGCCGGCGCCTACCTCACCGACAGGACAGGCGGATCGCCCCGGCCGGAAAATTCCGTTCATGATGGCTTGGGCATTTGCCCTCGCGCTATTCCTCTCCTTCACCGCACTCGCCGCCGTTTCATCATCGCATCCAGATTTGATGAGGAGGACTTACGTCAATTACACTCGCCCTAATAACAGCACCACTATGTTTCTGCCGCTGTTTTTCAACACCCCCAAGTATCGCCGTAGCGTCGACGACTTTTTTCCTCGCCGACATCTCAAAACCCGCAGCATCCACAACGCTCGGATGTCGCTCCACGACGATCTCCTCCTCAACGGGTTCGTATGATTCTTTGTGTGCGTATGTGATAATTTTGAGAGTAATTTCATATGTGGAGGTGAGATCTGAGCTCTCGGCTCTTTCAGGTATTACACCACTCGTTTGTGGATCGGGACGCCTCCTCAGCAATTTGCTTTGATTGTTGATACGGGGAGTACTGTTACTTATGTTCCTTGCGCCACTTGCGAACAGTGTGGGAAGCATCAGGTTTTTTACTCGCTTTACATACAATCAATAACAATTACCCTTTTTTTTTTTTTCTTTTAATAAGTTTTCGGTGTATAAGATCGCTTATTCTGTATCTGTTATTGTGTATCTGTTATTGTGTGTAAATGTCACTAGTCGTTTTATTGATCGATTCATTGTCGTTTATAATTGTGATCTGGTTTGATAGACATTTCTTAGTGAATCACATATTGTTCCTCCTAACCAACAAAACATTACATAAACAATTTTGCAAGACAATGTTGTTGGGGCCTGTTTTTTTATTGTTGAATCATATGGAATTGGCATCACTGGAAATGTTTGTTGAAAAAAGAAGAAAGATGGGAAGCTAACGGTATTAAGGAACGTGGGATCGATGGGATCACTGGAATTGGCATAACTGGAATTGACCCTGGTGATGAATTACAACTGACTATGCCCTCTCTAATTGGGAGAGATTTTTCTTTACTCTTTTGTTTGGGAAGTATTGCCTTTTGTTCCTGAAATAACACTGATGGAACCCATCGAACTAATGCAGTTTCTTTGTTTTTTCCATGTTTATTGGGTAACTCTGCCCTGCCTTCTCTATCTTTGTAAGGAGTAGGGAGTAATTGTGAATGTTTGGTTCTGGCCACTTGGAAGAACTGATTTTTACGACTCCTTAGGAACGTACAATGTTTTGCTTCATTGTTCCCCATTTAGATGCTTTATCAGGATACATTACTATAGATTTCTATTGTTCTTATAGTTACATGAGTTCATTCTGTTTTTCCTTCAATAGGATCCAAAGTTTCAACCAGAGGAGTCGAGCACCTACCAACCTGTGAAGTGCAATGCTGACTGCAACTGTGATAGCAATAGACAACAGTGTGTTTATGAAAGGCAATATGCAGAAATGAGTTCTAGCAGTGGAGTATTGGGTGAGGACATTGTGTCCTTTGGCAATGAGAGTGAGCTGGAACCACAGCGAGCTGTTTTTGGTTGTGAGAATATGGAAACTGGTGATCTTTACAGTCAGCATGCTGATGGAATAATGGGTTTGGGTCGTGGGGATCTTAGTATTGTGGATCAACTTGTTGAGAAAAGTGTAATTAGTGATTCATTTTCCTTGTGTTACGGTGGAATGGATGTGGGTGGTGGTGCAATGGTTCTTGGGGGAATTTCACCCCCTTCTGATATGGTTTTTACACATTCTGATGCTGGACGTAGGTAAGATTGGGAAAATTATTGTTGTGATACAATGTAGTATAAGGCTCTTTACTCTTGTTACATCTCACACATTTACTCTAGTTTTGGGATGGCAACAGTCCGTATTACAATATTGACCTGACGGAGATTCATGTGGCTGGGAAGCAGCTGCCCCTTAATCCCAAAGTTTTTGATGGTAAGCACGGAACTGTTCTGGATAGTGGCACAACCTATGCTTACCTTCCTGAGGCTGCATTTACTGCATTTAAAGCAGCAGTAAGACACTCGAATTGCGTTTGACCTACTTTCATCTGCTTAAGCATATATTATTGTTGTCCTGTCCCTCCACAATAAGTTCTCCATTTTGTTATGTAGATCTTCAATGAACTCCAGTCCCTCAAGAAAATACCAGGTCCTGATCCTAATTACAATGATATTTGCTTCTCCGGTGCTGGAAGGTAATATTATAACTTAGTCATTTTGTTTTAGTCAATGAGAAGTTTTCAATCAACCAATTTTTCTGTAGAAAGTAATTTTAATGGCTGGTTTTGTTGCAGTGAGACATCAGAACTATCGAATTCCTTTCCGTCAGTTGAAATGGTATTTGCAAATAAACAGAAGTTACTGTTGTCCCCTGAAAACTACTTGTTCAGAGTACGTGGCTGCTGTTCTCTTATGCAATTGAAAATCCCTAGTATCAACTAATGCAATAATGAATTTTTCAAATATTGTTAATACATTTAGGGTGTGTTTGTTTGGGGGGTTTGGATTTTGAGTTGGGACTTGAATAGTAAAAATTTTGAATTTGAATAGTTGTATGATGTGATATAAATAGGTGTTGATATAATGTTTTGAATGTAAAATTGATTTTTAGTATAATATAAAAAATAAAAAATAGGTGTTTGATTTGATGTTTTTGAGGGAAAAAATGGGATGAAGAGTGGATTTAAAATCCAATCCCCCAAACAAACACACCCTAATTTTTTTTATTTGTTTTTGTCTTTATGCTTTATGACCTTGACTCCCATTTTCTGTGGGGATCTGATTTGCTTTTATACAGCATTCAAAAGTGCGCGGTGCTTATTGCCTTGGGATTTTCCAGAATGGGAAAGATCCAACCACTCTTTTGGGAGGTATATTAAATTCCACTTTATCACGTGCTTCAATTTTTATTGGGCATCTGTTTCATTATCTTTCCATGTTCAGGTATTGTAGTTCGAAATACCCTTGTAACATATGACCGTGAGCATGAGAAAATTGGTTTTTGGAAAGCCAATTGTTCTCAGTTATGGGAGAGTCTTCATCCACCAGTGGCCTCTCCCCCGCCTACAAACATAGATCAGAACTCAACCAAGCCTGCAGCTCCAGTGCAGGCTCCTAGTGAACCTCCCTCACCTGAGACTTCAGGTATAATTTAATTAATCCTTTAGTTTCTGAATGCTTTTATGCTAATATACTAGGTTAGATGGTTTTTTAGCTTATTGTTAAGTTGGAATTTCTGTTCTTGACCATATAGTAAATGATGTCCAATAATTATTTCTCTCTTGTTCTCGACCAGTTTAGTATGTATGAGTTTTCATTTTATCCATAGTTCCAACCATGCTTCATAATTACTTGGGTCCTCATTTTTGTTTATATTCGGTATCTGCGCCAAATCATCATTTATGAAAATTTGTAAAGGCTTTACAAGTTTTGCTTATCAGCCTTATTTTCATTTTGTTGTCTTGGCATTGTGGTGCTAAAATGGTTTACCAACGGTTTGTAACTCATGCAACACCCAACACACTGTTGTTGAAATAGATAACCCCTCATCCTTTCAAAAGTTTGGGCACAAATATCTGTCTTCAGGTAAAAACATATGGAGTGTTATATTGCGTGTTTGAGATTGGTAAACTAGGTGCATAAAATAATAATCAATGTTGGACATAGGATACAAAATAACAAAATGATTGTACTGAGGAGAAAGATCACGGATGATAATTTACGTCTCATTTCAAGCAGATGGGAAATAAAGTAAAAGTGAAACAATCTATAGAGATTTTCTAGCTTTTAAATTTTGAGTTAAAAAGACTATAATTTCCTTTTTTGTCAACCACTAATTTTTACTGCCAGTGACCACATCCACATCTGATCTGATTTGACATTTTCTTGATAATGCGAATAATGAGCATATTATTTATGAAGTTCTGTAAATTCAATTGCAGAGGTGAAAATAGGTCTCATAACATTTCACATGCTGCTGACTGTAAAATACCAAGACTTGAAGCCTCACATGTCCGAACTTACTCTGTCTATTGCAAAGGAATTGGGTGTTAATACGTCTCAGGTAAATTAATACAAACTATTCACCATTAAAGATTAATACAGTGAGGATATCGTTTGAAACTTATTTAATCTCATAGAAAACTGTGTTAAATTCATACATTGTTATTCTTTCATTTATCTTGAATCGGTTGAATAAGATTTTCACTTAAGCTTGTGATGAACTGTTGCAGGTTCAAATGATGAATTTCACTTCTAGAGAGAATGGTACTGTCATAAAATGGGCTATTTATCCAACCAAATCTTATGATTTCATTTCCAATGCAACTGCAATGGTTTGTATTACTTGGTTTTTTCCCCAATGATTTTGGTTTTGATGGGCTATCAACTATTTTAACATTGATCTTATCTGTGGCAGGATATTATATCCAGGTTGAATGGAAGTCAAATGCATCTCCCTGATATATATGGGAGTTACAAATTGTTTGAATGGAAAATTGAGCCTCCACCAAAACGGTAAAATAAAATGTCATTGTTTGTTTGTTCCATACATTTCTTGATCTATATTATATCCTGCTGACTATTTTTTTCCATATTAGAGTTATAATTATTTGAGCCATCGTGACATACTGGTGAGTGGCTAATTAACTTGAGGCTTGTTTAACATGGAGTATGCACACATATTAAATAATCCATGGTAAGTACACCCTAAAAGTTTGTTGGACAGGGTTGAGTTAATATTTTCGCAAAATTAAAACCTGGTAAATCAATCGAAGAGGCACCCATAAAAAAATACAAAGAGCTAAAACAATCTCTAGAATTTTGACGTCTTTATGTTCTAATAAAACATATTATATATGTATATATATTCCAAGTTGATTAACAAGTAAAAACAAGCATGATGTTTTGTTACAATTAGGAAAAACCGTATGTAATAGCTTTGTTCTATAATTTTCATAGAGGTGGTAGGATACTAGAAAATGGTAAACCGCCAACTACTTTATCTTCATACCTATAGCTTTTATAGTTATAAAGTACCATGTTTTGTTATATCTGAACAAAGAACGACAGATGAAAGTGGAAATTTATTAAGGGTGTGTTTGTTTGGGGGTTTGGATTTTGAGTTGGGATTTGAATAGTAAAAGTTTTGAATTTAAATAGTTGTATGATGTGATATAAATAGGTGTTGATGTGATGTTTTGAATGTAAAATTGATTTTTGGTATAATATAAAAAATGAAAAATAGGTGTTTGATTTGATGTTTTTTGGGGAAAAAAATGGGATGAATAGTGGAAATTAAATCTAATCCCCCAAACAAACACATCCTAAATGCATGCAAATTTAGAAAAATGTAATATATATAAGTTACTAACAAACGGGGATATTTTTCAGAAATGAATGAAGGATGTATGTGAATATATTATAGCATGATTGGATGTTATAAAATATATATGAAATGTGTGAAAGTCTACAACCCATGATCTGATAATCTCATGCTTAGAAACGTAACATAAATATTTTGAAAATTATATTAGAATGTTGAAATATGATTTTAGGCTATTATAATAGTCTTTTCAATAGCATTTTTGAGCCATGCTATACCTATATCAGATTTCCAAGAAACTCATTTTTGTAACGTATGCCGTCTCTTTTAATTTTCTGTCTATCCTTCGCACTGCTTTACTAGTTACTAATGTTAGTGCTCCATTTCATTTCTTCATTTCTCTTCCTATAATGCCTTTCCTATCTTTAAGCTCTTTCATTACACTGAAACAAGGGAGAGAAGAATGTAACAATCGGCTATTTTTAATTTAACCAAATAAATAGTTCTCAATCAAAGCCTTTTTTTTTTTGCTACTGTCTAGGACATGGTGGGAGCAGCATTATTTGGCTGTGGTCATCACATTTGTTGTTGTGATTGTACTCGGAATGTTGGCTGCCGGGGTGTGGTTCAAGCGAAGAAACGAACAACTTCCTGTTGCATACAAGCCCGTTGATGTTGTCGTGGCAGAGCAAGAACTGCAGCCGCTGCAGGGCCAATAGTCACCTTGGTAACACTGAACTTATGATTGACTCCATACATCCAATTCATGTCGCCATTATAGCAGCATATCAATCTTACAGAGAAAATGGTAGGTTGAAAATCTGAGGTGCCAAATTTGTGTGAGCAGGCTTTATATAATATATACACACACATATATATATCTTCATGTCTGTGAATAGAAATGGCAAATGTCACCTTAGCCGACAGCACTCTGCCTTGGAAAAACCGAAACTCTTTTTTGCCATAAACTTTCAGGATTTGTGTAGTTCTATTTGCAGCTCTCTCGAGAGGAAAACATCTTTTGTAGAGAATTATTCCATAGACGACGAATAATAGTAGTGTATGGAATGCATTATTCCTTTCAGTTTCGTGTTATATGTTATCTTTTGCCTTTAGATCGAAAAACAGGTTAGGCTAATTCGAGAATTTGAAGATATTGCTTACTTGGTTGGAACATTACAGGTGCACATTTACATAGAATCATTTGTTTTTTTTTTTTCATTAAAATGCCTTGTTACTCTTAAGTTAAGGTTATATTTTATCTATTGTAGTTTCTGTATAACAAAGAAATAGAATTTGAACATGATGTTTGTATGTTTCTCCTTTCTACTACATTCAATTACTTACAATTATAACTTCGAAATTCATACCTCAGCTGTGTTCGGAATTAAGGTTCTGTCCTAAAGGAATTTACTAGCTATATTTCAACATCTCTCAATCATAACTAATTATCTTTGATACAAAACAACAATAGAAACACTGTTGTAAAGTCTCGACATGTTGTCCTAACACGAAAACAATCTGCTGCAGGCAGCAAATCTTAGGAAACATCGTGTATATTATTGTTATTATAAGTTTAAGAACTCTGCTTTCATGCGCTTGGGACTTCGGCTTCTTGCTTCTTTTCTTCATCCTCTTTGTCGCTTGAAGGCTCCATGGAAGCCTCACCTTCTTTCTTCAATTCAACTTCAAATTCCCTGGCAGCCTGAATGTGAATTTAAGGTCAATGTGCATGTTAAAGCTTATCTTTGTACAGAAATATACAAAGCACTTTGTGAAGTAGCTTTGATGTTTCTTTACCACTTAGAACTAACCAATTTAATAAGCCTTTTAGCGATGGTTTCAAAGAGCCAAGAATCAATAGTATCGATTTCTTGTGAAGCCCCTAACCTCTTATAAGACCCCACAAAACATTCGATAAAGATTTCTAAAATGGCAGCAAGAACTGTACATTGGTAGGGTATTTCCATAAAGTAGTTTAAATATGCATAGTAACAATCTCTTCTTGTAGGGCAAAACCATATTATTTGCTATTGACAAATCCTGCTCAGAAAATAGATATAATACCATCTGAATGTCAAGCACCGATTGCCTGTAAAAGATTTTTTGGACGAAAAATTTGAGGTTGATGATGAAAAATATATAACTTCTACAATGCATATCATATCCAAACATTCTACACAATGGCCTTGCTTCAACCCAATTCGATGAAATTTTTGGATGAACCTAACCTACTACAATTAGCATAAAGCTTCCAAGAACATTCCGACTAAAACATGTTCCAAAACCTAACCTACTACAATTAGCATAAAGCTTTCAAGAACATTCCGACTAAAACATGAACCTCTCGATCGAGAACACTTTTGAAGCTCCCACAAGTAAGATTAAGTGATTTGCTATATGAAATCTCACTCCAAGTTTAGTATGGTACAAAATGTGCAATCACCATTATGAAAAATGAAAATAACTACAGACCTTATTATCCTCTTTAACACTTGAGCTTCAAAAGTATCCAGAAAGTCAATCAATCTAATCTATGCAACAACCACAATGGCTTATTTGGTTATCTATTCAAATTATTTTCTTGCTATTCATTCTACACTCATCAAATACTTCACAGCCTGAAAAATTATGTAAAATCTAATACTTCTTCTTCTTCATGTGATTGATCTAAGAACATCAAATAAACAAACTCAAAATATGAGCTGCAATTCAGCAAGTCATAACAGCTTCGGCTCAATGCTAATATCACAAATTACTTGTACCAGTCAATCTCTGGAGATTCATACGATTCTGATTTATAGGTCGATTATCACCAAAAGAATGACTCAAATAACAGCAATAAGAATAGGAGTTAATAGATCAATTCCAAAAAGCGGCTAAAGAGCATAAAAACTAGGTAGACCTGTTGAAAGCTCTTGACGGTCTTGCCAATACTGCGGCCGACTTCGGGGATCTGTTTCGGACCAAAGACGAGCGCCGCCACCCCTACAATGACGACGAGCTCCGGCACTCCAAGTCCGAAGAGGCAGGTGCAAGATAATCCCCCTTTCTTAGCACCTCTGGCCCGATCCACCGGAAGCCCAACCCCGACGCGACCGCTGTTGATCTTAGAACTGAAGAAAACTGAGCTGGAGGAAGTTAGGCAGCTCGTTCTTCCCGGTGGACTTTGCCTCAGCAATGCCGTGACGGCGGGAGACGAAATGGCCGCCATTGACGGAAAAGTTTTTGCAGCTCGTTTTCTTCGTGGAGGATGCCTTTTATTTTTAGGACTTATACGGAGTTTGGTCGGTGGCTTTAGGTTGTTTGGTTTTAATTTAAAGATCTTTTATTTGAATATTATTTTACACATTCCGTCCCATATAAAGTATAATATTAATATTTGGTTTTTGCGAGCAGAAATTTAATATTAATATTATATTGAGTTGAAGTTAAAAAAGAAAAAAATATATTATAAGTTAAAAGAGTATTTATGATATTAAATAAGTAGTACAAAACAAAAATTAAGAATAAAATCATTTTTATAACATGGAGGTAATTTGAAAAATTTTGGTATGAGTTTGACATAATGTATAATAAGATATTTTATGAAAAAAAAATTTCTTAAAAAATGCAGATCCAAAATAGTAAAAATATGAATGTGATGTTAAAAGAAACAAATTTCTTTTGTTAAAATTTTATTACACATCTTTTTAAAAAATTAATATACTTATTTATTGTTTTTACATTAATTATAAAATTTCTTATATATCACATAATTTTTTTTTTAGTCAAAATACAAAACAAATACACAATTAAATATGTATTAGTATAACAAAAGCAATCACACTTAATATAAAATATTTACCTAAATGAAAATTATATATTTATGTAAAATATAAATTAAAAATATTAAAAATAATTTGATATATCTTTAAGGGATGATGCAAGGAGTGAATTTGCAACAATAAAATGCTTCTGGTCCACCTGCCCTATTTTGCAGAATTATTTTTGTAATTTTATCTTCATTTATAATTACGTACAAAAATAATATTTTAAATCCAAATTAATACCATTTTTATACATCAGTTAATTATATATGTATAAATTATAATAAATATATATTTGGTTTGTATTTTTATATAAAAAAAAGTCCAAATCAACCGACTTAAATGAATACAGACATTTTTTTTTACTAATAAAATCTAATAAAAATCGAACCTGGACATTTTCTACTTGCCCTGACCACAACAGCACCCCGTCGCTGCCCCGCCGCCTCCTACGACGACGACTTGCCCTGTCCTCTTCAATTCTGATTCCCTGTTCTATTACTCTCGTTCTACCTGGATTTGTCTTCAAGGAACTTTCAAGTAACTGGAACCCCCTTTCAGAGGATTGCCGGAACCCAGTCATGGATTTGGACACTAGTTACGAAGTTGCTCGCGTAGCAGAATTCATCCGCAGCCATAGGGTCACCAGAGTAGCTCTGCAGGTTGTATCTACTGTCGTGTGTGTGTTTCTATATATATATATACACACATCTGTTGGAATGATTTTGGTATGTTATATTTTTGTGAACCGTGTTTACGTTTTGTATGTCGTGTGAAGTTTCCCGACGAGCTACTGAAGGATTCTATGACGGTCGTGAAAGCTCTACGCCGTGAGCTCAGTTCTCCTGTGCAGCTATACGTAATGGCGGATACCACCTATGGCAGCTGCTGCGTTGATGAGGTTGGGGCGGCTCATATAAATGCCGAATGCGTTATTCATTATGGTCATACGTGCCTCAGCCCGTGAGTTCGAAATTATTTCTAACTCAATTCTTAGAAAGGAAAACCATTGATGATATTTGAATGGTTGCTTGTATCTGCACTTTGTGTTCGCAGCTGAAAACAGAAAAAACAAAAGATTCAATGAGCCTGGCACTTACTTTCCATAAATTTGAGGTTTTCTTGTTATAAGAGGCTGTGTTAGCCGGTGAAAATCATCATCTTCTACTTAAAGTTCAGTCTTGTTTTTTCTTTACTTGAATACAAAAGTGATGTTTAGCAAAGATATTATATTGAATTGGAGCTGGTGAATACTTTTAATGTTGCTACGGTGGGGAGGATACTTGAGGAGACTTAGTTTCTTTGATCATATTATATTTATTGGCTGTTAAAAATGATGGCATCATCTCAAGGTTTCATGCTTTTGATATGTGAGATCCATTATATTGTAAGATGTAGAAAAATTTGAATGGCTATCCCTTAAATATTTCTTGCATCCTTTTCGGCTAATTTTTTTATTGAGGATATTGAGGTAAAGTGTGTTTGGGCTCCCAGCGCTTGAACTTTTGTGACTCAAGATATTAAACATGAACACCCTATTGAGTATGTTACGTAACATTCTGTTGATCTTCTTCTTTTCAGGACTTCTGTGCTTTCAGCGCTATTCATTTTTGGAAAAGCTTCAATAGATGCATCAAATTGTTCAAGACATATACACAATTGCGCACTACAAAGTGGCAAGCCTGTATTGGTACAATGATTGATTTTTTCTTTTCATTTCTTTGTACCTAGGGTTTCTTGAGCACATTTCTTAAATTTTTGTCTTGCTAGTCAGGTTCTTTAGGGTTTGTCATGAAAGTTCCAACAGTTAAAAAAAAAAAATTATTATCTTGTTGATGAACCCAGTTATGTCAACCTCAACTTAAATGGATTAGCTTGCTATCTTAATACATTGTCTTCTTTTCTGTCTGATTATCTATTTTGAAACTAGCTGTTACTTAGCAACTTGTGGTTTCCTAGCAATTCTATAATCTCTCAGTCTTGTTTAATATATTATGATTGTTATTAAATTGATATGGTTAGTAAAAAGTAATCACCACTACATACTCATTTGATAAGAAGGTGCGAGAATGGATAACTGAAACAAATTGGTTTACTATTATGGAATTTTGGAATCATATCAAAAAGTTTATAATATTCCAGCTCCTAGTAAGGTGGAGGGTACCATGGGATTCTGAACTCCTTTGTCCATTAATAACTTCTTTGATCATACTGTGTTTTGAAAATAAAACATAGTTTGATGGGATCAGTATGTTCTATGTCCTCCTAATAGACAAGACATTACTTTTATCCATGTTTTACCCATTAATCATTTTCTCCTTTGGCAATTGATTTGTTATTTTGTTGTGCATTGCCAGGTTCTTTATGGATTAGAATATGCACATGCAATATCAGACATTGAAAAAGCCCTGGTTTCTAAAGAGTCTAGCTTAAGTGGATCCATGTTAGAATACATTTATGCTGATGTAAGCTGTTCAGCTATGAACCCATCCAAAACATTTGAACCTGCAAATCAGCTGGAATTTGATGATACCTCAGCTATAAATAAATGTTTTGAGCAAACTAGCCAAAATTATAGCATTGGTGGTTTGAGCTGGATATTGCCCCAGGGACGGAGAATGGAGGATTATTTAGTTATCTGGATTGGCTTGGACAATCCTGCATTTGCGAATGTTGTGCTTACATTCAACAACTGTGAAATTGGTGAGTGTCCTCATTAATAGGGGTACACCTGTTAGAACAATCACCTTGCTTTCCATTATTTCCGTGTATTGTATCTTCTTACATTTGGTATGACAAAAATGTTAAATTGTGTGAAGCAAGTCTTTAGCCATGCTGAGACTATTCTCTGGTTTTTACAATATACTACTTGTTACATTATGCATCATGTTGTACAGAGATTAATTTCTCCAGTTCATTCTGTTTTTAGTCAGGTACGATGCAGAAAATGATTGTATGATGACAGATTTATCTACACAGAAAAAGATCCTTAGACGCAGGTACAAGCCATATGCTTGTTCATCTGAATTATGCTAGATTGCTCCTTTTTGTTATATCTTTCAATCTAAGCTGTACTGATATGCACTAAAGGACTTTTCAGGTATTATTTAGTTGAGAAAGCTAAGGATGCCAACATGATTGGGATATTGGTTGGAACACTTGGAACAGGTATGCGGCACTTACACTGTTCTGAGGCATATTATAATTGATCTAGGACCACAATAGATGCATATGGAAATTGTAGTACCTGAAGTACACTTGTGTGTTTCACTGTTTTGCCAGTGGTTCATTTATTTTATTTTATTTTCAGATGCTTCCAATATTTTGTGCGAATATTTAGAAATCAAAACTGTTTTCTCATGTTCCATCCCTTTTTTTTTTCTCCTGTTCAACCTTTCTATTTATCTTTGCATTTTCATTTTTGGTAGCTTAAAGTTGGGTTGAATTGTGATTTATTACGATTTTAAGCGATTTATGGTGAAAGAAACAAAGAATGAGAGTTAATTATATAGGCATATTTTGTTCGAGGTTGTGCATGCTACATGCAACAAAATAGGAAAGAATACAAGTTCCTGCTCAATCATTTATGCATTCTCCCTCGTCTTGCTAATGTTGAGAGGTCACCTCATTTAGGAGTATATTCTGGAAGAAATTTATACTTTTTACGTGTTTACTGTTCCCCTCTTGTGTAGCAAGTGGCACTGTTTTTCATATATGGGCTGAAAGTGAAACCTTCAGCTAGGTGATTGAGCAACACATCCTTTACATTTAGTTGTTTTAGATATTCGAACAAAGTGAATCTGTTCTTACAATTATACACCCTGCAAATGTGTTTATGAGAGATTGAGAGATGTTCTGTCCAATTTGGTGACTAAACCTTTTGCCCTCATGCTGGTGATAATAAAACTCAGGGTTTGTGTTTCCATCATTGATTGCTAAGAAATGACAATGCTAGATATTGCCTTAATGTGTATTGATCATTCCTAACTTCAGGACGTCTTTCCCATTGAGAATGTTGTTCTAAATTTAAGCCTGATTTCCTGATTAATACTTAAGTCTTTAATGGAAATTGTTATTTCAGCCGGCTATCTTCACATGATTCATCAGATGAGAGACCTAATTGCAAAAGCTGGGAAAAAATCTTACACTTTTGTCATGGGAAAACCTAACCCTGCAAAACTTGCCAATTTTCCAGAGGTAAAACTTAATTGATAGTTGAATATTTTCATTTATATTTTCATCTTATGTGCCAGACTGATTTTCAAATTTCTGCCATTGCAGTGCGATGTTTTTATTAACGTCTCTTGTCCACAAACAGCTCTATTGGATAGTAAGGAGTTCTTAGCTCCTATAATCACGCCATTTGAAGCCACACTAGCTTTAGACAGGTATTATGGGTCAACTATAATCCCTTGTGTAGTTGTGTTTACCATTTGTACTTGTCTATGCTTTTAGCAGTATAGAGAAATTGTATTTGAAATATTTAAAATTATCAATTAGAAGGTGATGATTATTCACTGGACTCTGTGTGACTGCGCAGAGTGTTTAGTCACAAACTTTGCATAGGAGAACTGATCACTTCTTATGGATTATATTTCTGCTTTACTCAAGTCTATAAAAGATCCATTTTGATAGTTCCTTGCAAAGAAGACTCTATTCTGTCCTTTGAAACCAACATATAGCTAATGTGACAAAGATGCATAGGTTAGCTCCATGAATTGAACTGCTTAACTATGGTACTGTGCTGGACTGTCTCTGCCCTTTTTAGTTGCCGTTGGGTACTTAACTGAGAATGGAATTCATGCAGACAAGATTCTAGAATAGTGTCTGTGAGACGAATGTACTCTTTAATTTTCTTTCAAAATATCCTCAAAACACTAAAAGTCCCAGGTATGTAAACACTAGGAGAACTTGGCATTAAAATATTGTTTCTGTTCACAAGGCTTTTGAAAGCAAAAACCAAGTTTATAAATACAACAAATAGATAAAGAAGGCAAATGGCCATGACCATAAGTAGGAAAATGAATCATTACAGAAGCTGGTGTTACAGTTCTTTCTGTTGGCAAACTAATTTTGGGTTCAATGTCCAGGGGAGAATGGACAGGAGTCTATGTCACAGAATTCCGAGATTTGATTGATTCAACTCTTCCTATTGCAAAGAAACATTCTGAAGAAGCAAGATTTTCATTCTTCCAGGGTGGTTACGTGGAAGATATGGATCTACAAGGTACTCTCCTTTGCTATATATTTTCACGATCTATAATCCAATGCTATATCAATTCATATGTCGCTATAAAAAGGAATGAATTTTTTTTTCTTTTCAAATATTTAAATATAAACTTACATATGTCTTTTGGAGATCAGTTAATTAAATCAATACATCCCTTTGATAAGGTGGTCATTTGATAAGTTTCTAGTATGTTTATCATAATTTGAAGCACTAATTTTAATCGTCTTGCCTGCTTTAGAAGGTAACGAAATCTGATTATTAGCAACAGCAGAGCTAGAACTTTATACCTCTAACTTACTCCAATAATTGAACATTGGTTCTGTATTTTATTGTGAAAAGTTGTAAGCTATGCAAAAGAAACCAAAGATATTAATGTACAATTGGGTATTATATTGGGGTGAATCGATCTAATAATGTTCCAGTAGAAGTGCTGCTTCGACTTTATTTTTGTCAAATAACCATGGTATCAAGATAGAGAGATCTTGCCATCACTCAGTCAATGAAACAAGGTTCACATGCTAAGATTTTTGGTGGAAAGAATCCTACTTGCATCGAGGGGGTGTTATTGAATTGAATTTATTTTGAATGGAAAATAGGTATTGGGTAATGTTTGAATGAAAAATAGGTATTTGATCGTGATTTTTCTAGACAGAATATCTTCAAATAGATTGCATAATGTGAAAATAAAGACGAAACCCAAGTGAACGCACCCGAAGTGTTGCAAGCTCCCAAACATTACTTCTAAGCAAGTGTCAGTCCAATCTATTCTTCTAGTATGAATACATGATGCAAATACTCTAGTGTCCTTTTTACAATAATCCATATTGATATGGATGTGTTTTGTTTTCTCAAGCAGATAACAATGATGTCGAGAAGGATGAAATCCTTGCATTGGTGAGTACTACGGAGAAAGCTCTGCAACTCCGGGATAGTGATGACACCAGATCCCTCCTCACAGCCAAATCTGGAGCTGAATACTTTGCAAACCGGTCATATCATGGCTTAGATATTAACAGTACCAGTTCCCTCCCGGGAGAAGTTCTGTCCGGGCGAAGCGGGAGAGCTTCAGGGTACACAAATGAGAAGAACGATCTATAATGTATAGCGCACAGTTCGTTCAGGTAAAAAATTATATGAAATCTTCTATATTGCATTTCTAAATCTATCATTGTGCTAAAAATGTGGTGGTGTCTTGAGGAATGTTTAAAAATTTTGTTGCTAAGTTCTTGGAAACCTTAGCAATGTTATTAGAGGCCTTATTTATTTTTTAAATATTTTTGTAAGAAAAACTAATACGAAGTATGTTTGTTATTGAAAAAAATATGTATTTGGAATTGTAAAAATTAAAAACAAAATACGTTTGTAATCTTTTGGGTTTGTTTTGTTATTAGTTATCGAGATATGTAAAAAAAATTACTATTAAAATGATTGACTCAAAGCAACAGCAACAACAATAAGCATTCAAATTAACAATAATATTGTAAATACCTACACTTCTGATAATATATTCTCCTCGTCGCCCAATTGTGTGCTCATTTGATCGGATACGAATTTTTTAAAAAAATATATAAGAATAAAAATTTGTATTTTTCTTTTAAAAAAAATGGTATTTTTTTACTCTTAAAAATAAATTTGAATGACAATAATAATAAAAAAGGAATAAATTTAAATGAGTATTGATTCGTACAGACATTCTGTAGGCATCAACAAAAATTCAGGCAATTAAACAATCAGTAACATTAAGTATATTTTTATTAAACATTTATGTGCACAGTTATTACATCCTTATTTTTAATTTTATATAAAATTAATATATTTATATCATTATATAACTTATTTTAATTTAAATATTTAAAATTCAATTCATCAATTAAATTTATTTTTATTTTTAATTCAAATTTATTTTCATTTTAATTTTTATAAAGAAAAAATATATATTTTTTCTATAATTGCTTATCATAAAAAGATTTTTTTTTTTTTTTTTTTTTTTTTAATCTATTTTTCCTTAAAAAAATCCTAATGGGATGAGTTTAGCCGAGCGAGGGAGTATATGGTTATATTGACAGTTGACTTGCGTCTCACGGTGGGTTACACGTATACATGCTCTCTCCGCATCTCCGCAACTCCAGAGGGTAGAGCGAGCGCGTCCGGCTGCGTAAATCCTTCGCCGGCAATGGTGGCTCGGAAATTCCTCGTCCACCACGGCGGTTCCGCCTTCGATCTCGACTACGACACCGACGATGGCTTCGAAGTTCTCTACCACTTCGCTTTCCCTCTCTTTTTCTTCATCTAAATGTCGCGCGTCTTTCTCAACCGACCCTCCTCTTTGATTGCGTTGTAGGTGCTCAAATTCCAGCTCTTCTCTCTGACATCCGTCCCTCCGGAGCAGCAAAAGGTTACTCCCTTTCTCTTTTGCACGTGTGTTTGGGTTTCTCGTTCGGGCGGGCCTTGAAAAGCTATTTTCTCTATCTCTATCTCAACTGAATTGATTATTCGGTAGGTTTATGTGCTCATCGTGACGCATCATCGAGCGGTTTCGTAAGTTTTTCTCCAAATTTTGTAGTGTGCCAGATTTTGGTCATTTCAAGTGGGATATCCGATAGTGAGTAGTAGGTTTATATTTCCATTAAACTACTCGTTGATGCAGAAAATTAATCGACATTGGATTTTCCTAACTCATGGATTCATAAAAGCTTTAGTGTCTCTGTATAATATTATGTAGTTATGGAGAATTAGAGTTTGGCACATGATTTAAGGGTGGAGTTAATAGTTTTTTTTTCTGAGAGTTAATAGTTCATGAGCACACAGTTATATGACATACATTTCTGTCTCCACCATTTTTGCTGGATGTTTATGTTGTATTTTTTACCTTGTGATTTTAGATATTGGGAGGTGATGATGATCGTATAGTATCAAGTGATTTGGATCTTGAATCTATTTCTGAGAAGCTACGGTTGGTGTCAATTGATGAGGATGGAAATGAAGGAGAAGAGGAAAAACCTGCTGTGGATTTCTTTTCATCTGATGAAGAATTGGCTCGAATGCTACAGGCAAGTTTTATTTGTTGAATGATAATTAAATTGATTCTTCTACCTGTTCTTCTGTTTGCTAATATGTCACTTGATATCTCATATTTCTCCTAATTAGTATCACTGGAAATTTAGTTGAAACTAGTCTATACAGGGCTTTGAATAGGAACTGATGTATGTGAGAAAAGCTTTAAAGAGTTAAGGATAATCTTTTATCTTGTAACCGGAAGATAACTTCTGAAACTACATAATAACCTATTGTCCAATTCTAGAAAAATACTAGATTCTTTTGCATGTATTTTCCTGCATGTTGTCACTGTTATTGTTTTAGGTAGAATTCATATACTTTCGTAGAATCAATGAATGCCAATCAGAGTTTTAAACCATGAGTCTCTATTATACTACCATTAATTTCAATAAATTAATCTTAGATCAATCCATATGTCATGAAGGCGAAAGTCACCACAAAGTCTGATTAACTGTTATAAGAAAGATATACAACTTACGATTTCATTAAACTGGAAACTACAATGAAAATTAAGTTTGTACATATAGCATTCCACATTTGATTGATTAGATATATCCATCTTGTTGGGGAGACTTCTTCATGTTTCAGTACAATTTGAATATATCAGGTTGTTATGCCATTTTGTTTATTTTGGTGTTACTGTGATGTCTTTTTAGGCGGAAGAGGAAGCACTAATGATGCAACAGTTTGTATCAAATGAAAATAGAGAGCAAGCTGAGCAGAGGATCCGACCTTATGTAGATCAAGTTCTATTGGTAATTCCTAAATGTCATTTTAAACATAAGAACTTAAAATTATTGCCTTTTGTTTTTGGTTGCTGGATTGGAGGATGAGTGTCAGAGAAAATTCATGTTATGAATCCAACACTACAGGAGCCACAGGAACTGGCAGGCAGCCAGACCCATGCTTAGCTGCTGCCGCCCACCGCTGAGGCTAATTGCCATATGTGGACTTGATCTGGTTCTTGTGTTGTTGGATTCAATCTGCTGCATGATTTCTTTTCAACGTGTTATGTGTGTTGGTTTAGTCCATCTTGATAAGTGCTAGGAAAATTGAATTTTACTCTCATAAGCTAATTGAAGTTCTTATAGCCCATGTTAAATTGAAACAAATAAAATTCTATTGATCTGACTTTTGGCACAGTATGAAGACCCACGTCGGCAAGATGCAGCTTGTAAAACAGTTCCAGTTGACAAACTCCAGGAAAAAGCAATGGTTGCACTGGCTAGGGTAAGTGCTCCAAGTATTTACCTTGGGTTCTCTTGAATAAAATAAAATCTTCCTTGAGGTTGTAACTGACCTGGAACCATTGATCATGGTTGTCTGACTTGTTAGGAAGGAACTTTCAAGCCATCAAAAGATGAAGTTGATCACGCATTCCTGTTGCAGTTGCTCTTCTGGTTTAAGCAGTCATTCAGGTCTAAATACAGTTTTATTTTACATCATGACCAATTAGTATTAGAATATTGCTGTGGGACTATTTATTTTAGTGAAAAGTAAATTGAGCTTTTGCATTTCAAACCATTTAACTGCTAACGTGTCTGAGGATGATGCTCAATCTCTGGAATATTGCATTGCTGCTTGAAAATGGTTGCTAATTAATTAAGATGACGTGGATAGTTGAAGATATTTTTTTATGAAATTCTTTTGTGTTTCAAATCATTGATGTGTAATTACATTTTATGTATTAGGTAAAACTTAAATTGATTTAGTAGTGAGGAAAGTGGGACATGCAATGAAGTACACATTTAAGAAGACACATTACAGAAAAAGCATGTCTGTGTACTACTTCAGTATTGGATTTGGTTTAGCAAATACCTTATTGGAGATTCATTGGGCTGGGGTCCTGTGTGCATACCCTCACTGCAATTTATGAGCTTATTACTTGTGCTGGTTTTATACCAGGAGATTGAAGTTATCCAGTATATTGGAAAATGTAAATAATAGTAATATAGTATAAGGTGATTGAATATGATCTTACATGTTCTATTTCCCTTTTATTATTGTGATTTGTATTTTACGTCATTCTCATGCTTCCAATAATAACTATGATATTCAATGTTGATGGCTGTAGGTGGGTAGATGCACCTCCATGTGACAGTTGTACTAATGACACAAGTATGCAGGGCATGGGAGTTCCAAATAGTTCAGAGTCACTTTATGGGGCATCTCGCATTGAACTTTTCGGGTATCTCACACCGTTAACTTTTGCAATTGCTTCTATTCACCATCAATAATCTGATAATGACACTGGATAATAACATATGTGTTCTTGTAGTTGTTTATAGCTTGTGCCATAGCACCCTACTGAGATATTCTAATACCACAAAATCCTAAGTTTTGTTTATTTTTAGCTTTATGTTTATGTTTTGTGTTTAAATAGCAGTTGCATGTGATGTGTTGTGCGAGAAATAGTGTATAAATTGTGAGTATTGTATAGTAAAAAAAAAAACTTGAAGTAAACAGCGCCCTAGTGTTGGCCATTCTTATGCTACGGTGCTTAGATCAAAAGGTTGTCATTTTTCATTCACTTCTTATTTTCTTTTTCTTCTTCTTTTTCTGTCTGTCTGTTTGTCTCTCTCTTTTGATATGATTTAATGTTAAAATATATCTGACTCTCCTTTTCCTATAAGTATTCCTCATTATATCCGAAAATATTTACATTTTCAGCCAATCTCTAATTCAGTGCGATCCAAAATGTGCTTGCTTAGATTCACGGCACTGCCCTCCCTTGGAAAATGAATTCCAACATCAACAATCTTTGTCTATACTTCTTCTGTTGCCCCTTTGCTATATTCCATTCCATTTAAGTCTCTGGTTGTTTGAATGGACTTGCTGGTGTTTTTACAAAACGTGGATCAAGAGGTAACAGGATAATCTCAGTTTGGTTGTAACTCTAGACCAGATTTTAGGCTCAAATTCTGCTTCTATATCTAATTATCCAGTCCCCATGCACCTCCGGCTGTAAGCACACTGTCGCATAATTAATATAATATCTTTCTGTCCTTAAAAAAAAAAAAAAAGAAAGAAAGAACAGTATCCCAGCTGCACTTTTACTGTATAGAGCTCGAGCCAAACTAGAAAAAAATTATCAAATAAAATCACTATTCTGAAATGGTTAGCTGTTGAGAATTGCTCTTTTGTTTTCTGTTGTTTTCCTTAGGTATACTTTGCATATGCGAATTATCCTTTGTGATGAAGCTCGTTTCACTATTAAGTTTTAGAATCCCTTTTTTTTTTCTTCACAAGGAAATGAATAATGTTACCCTTTATATCCTGCAGCTGCAAATCATGCTCAAATGTAACCCGCTTTCCGAGATACACTGATCCACTTAAGGTGTAGTACCTCATGAAGGTTAAGAAAGTTTAAGATCTTTTATTTTGTTAATGGAGTTCTCTTTTCAGCTCCTGGAAACTAGAAAGGGGCGCTGTGGGGAGTGGGCTAATTGCTTCACACTCTATTGTCGAGCCTTTGGCTATGAAACTCGTTTGGTAAGATCCTTGTATGAGGAAACCTTTCCACCACTCTGGTTTATACATTTACATATAATTTTCTTCTCTTAGTTTTGGCCACACAATTCTACTAAGATAATTGTTTTCCAGTTATGAATATAACTATGGTGAATTGGATTGATTACTAAGGCAAAATGAGCAAACTTCTTTAGATAATATAAACAAGACTCCAATCCACCTTCTTGGAAGATAAAAATAAATTAGTCACGGGTTGACTTGATTGATGTTTCTAATTAGCTTATATGTTAGAATGATTTCTTTGGTTTCCGTGATTAAATCTTTTTATTTTTTGTGTTCATAGATGCTGGATTTCACAGATCATGTTTGGACAGAGTGTTTTTCACCATTCTTGGGAAGGTAAAGTATTTTTTTCTCATCCTAATGCTTTCACTTATCATTTTTTTTTTTTTTTTTTTTGATCAGATTTCACTTATCATTTATTCTTTTATTGCATGATGGATAAAGATTAACTGATTGGCCAAAAAATATGTAGATGGATGCATCTTGATCCTTGTGAAAGCATATATGATACTCCACTACTATATGAGAAAGGGTAATATCTTGATCTGAAAAGTATTTATTTATTTAGTTTAATCATATTGATATTGAAATGTGAAAATCTTTTGTTTTCTCCTAATCATTTATATATGATAATCATACTTATGTTCTCAGTTTCTTCTGAAGGTGGAACAAGAAATTAAACTATGTAATTGCAATAGCTTACAATGGTGTTTCTGATGCTACAAAGCGATACACAAGAAAGTGGCATGAGGTATCTATATTTTCAACTTCTGCTTCAAGTATTCCCTTTTTTTTTTTATGAGTGTAGAAAGGCTATCTTTAAACTTTTTATCTGGATATGGTATTGTAGGTGTTATCTCGAAGAGCCCTAACTACTGAGCCTGTTTTAGCAAGAATCTTATCTGATATTACAAGAGATCTTCGTAAAAACTTCACATCTGATGTGTTAGTAAAGCTTGAGGAACGTGACAAGAGTGAAGTAGAAGAACTTGAAAGGAACTTGTACTCCAAAGATGATAATTCTGTTTCACTTCCAGGAAGACAAAGTGGGGATAAGGAATGGCGTATATCAAGATCCGAATTTGGTTCTGATGAGCATTGTTCTGTGAGTGCATCATCTTGTCCAGTTCGGAAATGTGTTGATGAGCATGTGACAAAATTATATGATGCATTTTCTCCTATCATTTCTCAATTAGTAAATCAAGCATCTGAGAAATCAAAGGCAACAGAAGTTCTTGGAATTTTTAGAAGAATTTTAGTTACTCTGAAAAGCATGCCATTCAAAACCAGGAGAACTATAGTAACTGACGTATCTACTAATCCAGTGTTTAGTGAAATGCTACCATCTTTTGGTAAATTGTTGGATGCCTTGTCATTGAAGTATGAATCACATGCTGACGGGACTCAATCTATATGCATTGCCTCGGATCCTGTCCTGACCTCCTTGTCACTGCCTGTTGCCTTTCATGCACTGGATGACTTGATTCATAATGTCAATATTTGTGGGAAGTTGACCAAAGGCTCTTTATCTTGGCCCCTTCTGAAGTTAAATAGAATCTGTTCTGGTTTTGTACTTGCAAGTGGCGAGGAGCTTCCTTTTGGGATTGTAAGTAGCTTTATAGCTTACATGCTCTTAATAGAGTTAAAACACTGCACTGATGCCGTTGTTTGGGGTCACAAGCTCACTGTATCATCTGAATAAATCAGGCCACTTCGGCATTTGATGGAACTCGCATGTCAAAGTGGGAAGAACCAAATGGTGCAACAGGTATTTGAATTGTTTCTTTTGGATTTCATTTGACAAATATAGTCTTGTATTTTGTTCTGAACGATCACAGAATAGTGGTAACAATTTCTCAAACTCCCTACTACTTGAATGTTTCCTTCAACGCGTCTCCTTCTCTAGACATGATTGATGTCAAATTTGATGTGACTAGTTGACTACAAGTTTTTAAAATCTCTCCACAATCTACTTTCTAAAAGGCAAATTGCTATGTGTTGAATTACATTACCATTCCTCTTTACATACATTGAATTACGAAAGAAATCTGATTTTTTTATAGGTTGTTGGATCATATATAAGGTGTTTGATAACCGGATGCATGAGCTAGCTGCTTATGAACTAATGTCAGCCAATGATGCTCCAGAGAGAGATCCAATGGACTGGTATGGTAGTTGTATGGTGTTTCTCAACTTTAAACAAGTATGCATTGTGAATGTTGAAGGGTGTGCACGGTACTTCTTTAGAACTATCCTTCCCTTGTGTAGCGGACTATTGATTCAGGTTTCAGATTTATGATTTGAGCATCCCATTATTTATTTATTAATTTTATATGTGATAAAACTATGAGATAAAAACATATTGTGATAATAAAACTGATAGTCTGCCGGTTGCTTCAAAATCATCACTCCTGCATTTCACTTTAGGAGTGAAAATCAAAACCCTTGGAGAAGCAACATGCATAAATGAAATATCTCATCTTCTAAAAGTATAATCTTATTCAGTGCACTCCCATGACTTGCTTTATGGTTTGATGATATGCTGATCATGAAAACGATTCACTTTTAACATCTAACATTTTCATGGCCAATGCATTGTGTCCTTAAAACTCCACCCAAGCTTGTTACTATCAATGCAGTGCAAATTGCAACAGTACATGAATTGGTTGCAACAGTTCAATTGCCCTCATCTGTGTGTACATACCGCGTGCTTATATATATTTGTCGGTAGATCATGTTTCCATGGTAAGCCATACATTATGACAATCCACTATTTTCGTAGGATCCTTGAAGGGAGTGAAGATGGAGGGTCCAGCTGGCGGATTCTGGATAACCAAGCCTCCCAGAAGTTCCACCAACGTTTCCAGCGAAAAACATTTGAAATCAAATCGCAGTCATTCTTGGCTAATGCCTTCAGGTAATCCTAAATCTGATTTGCTAACTTGCATCCCACAAGCATTCAACTGATTCTCTTACAACGACTCCAGATTTAGGTTTCTTGCAGTTCAAGATTCAAAATCAACAACAAGGTTTCAAATTGGCAGCATTGATCTCTATGCCAAAGCTGCCACTGTTCCTGTCACCAAGTAAGTTTTTATTCTGCATTTTCAGTCACTTAAAGCATGCTACTAATTTTGCATCAGAAAGTTTACATGTATTTTTATGCTTCACATATGCTCTCATTTATCTTCCTGATGTGTTGTGATGTAAACCCTAATGGAATTATGACTACTGCAAGTTGTGTTTTACATTACATTCCCAGAAATAAGAAAATATTCCTCATCAACATTGCTTGTTTATTATATTCAATAATAGGATAGACATAAATAAATAAATAAAAATCATGCTCATATCTCAACCTTGTAAATGTAGATATCTTTGTTTGCATGTTGGGTTTATTTTTGTTTTCAAGAAGTGAGATTTTAAATGGAAAAATAAGTACTTTATGTGATATTTTGAAAGGAAAGGAAAATAAGTAGTTTGATGACAGAGACTATGATGTTTATTATTATTATTATTATTATTGAAGAAAAAATGTATATTTTAACTTTGCTGATCAAGATTGAAAATACATAGATTGGGTGGATTTATTGTAGCTATCTTAAATTCATTGTAGTAGGTTGGAGAGGGGTTGTTATAAGAAATGCTGGTATTATTTCATGCCTTTAATCATAGGACAAATTAATACTGTATTTAGTTTGACAGTGAAAAAAAAAACACGAATACATGAGATTTTTTATTTTTTATTTTGTTAAAACATACTACCAATCAATCCCTAATTGCCAAATATATTGAATCAATAAACTTATTTTTATTTGTATTATCAAGGCCGGATTGACATCTTTAATAAAAACACTATGAATTGTACTAAGGATGGTTTTAAGTTTAAATTTTGATTTAAATAATAATTTAATGTGATATTTGATGAAAAAAAATATATATAATTTTTTTCTATGATAACATAGAAATTTAATAGTAAAAAATCTGAAAAATCCTTTAAATAAATCAAAATTTTTTAAATAATCTAAAACATAATTAAACATTTATATTTTAATTAGAGCTGGCAAAACGATACGAAATAATTAGGTTTTGGTCAAATATTTTAACCCGATTATGTATACGGGTTGACACGAATCCGAAATGATAATAAACGGGTCGGGTTCAAATATTTTAACCCGATTATGTATATGGGTTGACACGAACCCAATATGATAATGAACGGGTCAGGTTAGAGTTGAGACCTTCAACTCGAACCGATACGACAATCCGATTATAATATATTTCTAAGTTCAATTTTAAATAATTCAACCTAATTTACATTCAAACCAATAAAAATTAACGTAGCACGACAACACAACAAAAAATTATTTAATTTGAATAAAAAAATTTGACTTAACTATGTATACGGGTCAACACGAGTCAACCCGAACCCGACACGATAATAAACGGGTCAACATGAACCCGACACGATAATAAAAGGATCGAGTTAGAAGGATAATTTAACTAGTTTAAAAGTAATCAACCTGGCTCTAATTTTAATAACCATCTAAACAGTGATGTAAATAGTAGGCAAAAAACTACGCAATTATATGAATCATGGAATATTCCAATTACAGATATGTTGTATTTGACATGCAAAATTGCAACCGTATTATACATATATATTCTTTATAAATTCAAAACGGACAATTCAGCATTTATTACAATCTTATAGTAATATATATATTTCTTTTTAAATTTAAAGATGATTAATAAAGAGTTTTACTATGAATGATAAACAATTAATTACATAAAATATTTCTATGTTTAACTAAATACAAAACTCTATTTACATCATACAAGCTTGCATAATGCTTGTTTAGTTATGTTTATTTAGGCTAAAGAATAATTGAAATAATTATTTAATAATATAAAATAATCTATTATAGCAAATAAATATGTAATTATAATATATATATATATTTTATTTTTTTTGGAAAAAAATATGTAAGAAAATTGTTTAAACATCAAGCAACACACTGACGTCAACTGTATCCAACCAATAACTAACAACTTCGTAACGTAATAAAGTACGGTCACATCTAGAACATTCTTAAATTTTATAATAATAATATAATATTGAAATAAATAAATTAAATGAGATGAAGAAGAAGAGCGTGCTGTGCTGCATTTTCAGCAGGTAGACCAGATAGGCGTACGTTAAAGTTGGGCAGCGCTAGCCAGCTACATAGCGCCGCTATATTGTGCCGCCCCACCGCCATTAATGATGTAGTCTTCCCTTTCATTATTCACCCTATCAAATATCAATGCGTCCCCCCAACCCCAACCCCAACCCATACCTCCCCAACCATCCCCACCTCCATCCCTCTCTTCTATATCTGCACGCTAACTGCTTCCGCCCAACGTAACTTACACACTTGACTTGACAGATATGGCGCCGGCGAGCAGAGTGAAGGTGCACTCCATACTCAGCGTCGTCTCCAGCAAGCCGATCGAGCCAGGGAGGATTCACCATCTCTCCGTCCTCGATCAAGCCGCAGCTCTCCACTCTCTTCATCTCGTCTTCTACTACAAGTCCAATCCCTTCGTCGCCGGCGCTTTGCCCTACATGGACAGCCTCCGCGAGTCGCTGTCGAAGCTGCTCGACCAGTTCCCCGTCGTGACGGGGCGGCTTTCCCGAGGCTCCGACGGCGGGTGGTTTATCAAGTTTAACGACGCCGGAGTGAGGATTCTCCACGCCGCCGTCGACGCGACGCTCGATGACTGGCTGAGATCCGCCGACGCCGCGGAGGAAAAGGATCTCACCGCGTGGGAGGACATGCCGCCGGAACCTACCTTCTGGTCGCCGTTCCGTATCCAGGTAACAAAAAAACATCTAATCTCTACGATCGATCGTCGTTTACAAATCACAATACCTATCGGTTGTTCATCCTGTTAGATCAGTAGCTATGATTCTAAACCTCATGATGAAGAACAAATCGATAACTGTTGGATTTCTGTATGAACTGAATCATACATACATCCAACGTAATGATCATAAACATATTAATCTGGAGGATTTGAATCCATATTTGATGCAGATCAATAACTTCCTCTGTGGTGGATTAGCCCTAGGATTGAGCTGCTCTCATATGCACGCAGACATAACATCTGCTGCACTCTTCATCAAGTCATGGTCTGATATCCATGGCGGCCTTCCCCTGTCTCACCCCCCAATCTACCATCTCCCCCCACCCCCAACCTCCACCCCCACCCCTACCACCCCTGCCTTCCACCTATCCCCTGTTTCGACCACGCCGTCGAAAATGTCCTCCCTCACGATGAGGTTCTCCGGTCAGGCAATCGACCGGTGCCTATCGGAGGTGCAAGTCCACTACCCAAGCGTCGAGTCGCCATTCGAGGTCTTGGCAGCTCTTTTCTGGTCGCGCGTTGCGCGGTTGCAGGAGCGCCTAACCTCGACGTTGCCGTCGCCGCGCACGCTCTCAATCTGCCTCGACATGAGGAGTTGGGGCGGCAGCGGTGTCCCCTGTGCGTACTTCGGAAACGCTCTCCATTTCTCGAACTTGAATATTACCGATGATTGTCTGCTGAACGGCGGGATAGGCGCGGTGTCGGATGAAATCCGCCGGCACGTCGAGGGGGTGAAGAAGGGCGATGACGTCTGGTCGGCCATGCAGTGGCTGGAAGACAGCCACGGCAAGGAGGTGCGCGAGGGGCGGCCGTTTAGGATCTACGCCCCTCGGCTGACGTGCATTAGCGCGGAAAATACGGCGGTGGATGTGAAGGGCGGGAAGGGGATGATGATGTACACGGCCGTGTTTAATAAGAACGGGATGGACACGGCGGCTCATGTGAGCTGCCGTGTCGGGAATGTGGAGGGGGAGGGGACGATCGTCGTGATGCCGTTGCCGGAGGGCGGCAGAGGGCGGACGGTGACGGTGGCGCTGCCGGAGGAGATGATCGGAGAACTGTCTAAGGATCCGGTGATTATGGAGTTGGAGCCAAAGATGGTGATGAGTGGTGGGATCAAGAATTGATGAGACTTAGGTGACTCTATTTATTTTTAGAAGAATAAAAATAAAAATAAAAAAAAAGAAGGAAAGAGGAAAAAAATAATAAATAAAAATTGGAAGAGTTGGTGATGAGTCGTAGAAGTTATATTTACTTGGAATGGTGAAAATGATTTATTACCAAGTTTGTGATACAAGGTTTTCTTTTTTATTTATTTATTTAAATAATATTATGAATTATATTTTGTGATTGAGAAATTTGGAAGGAAATGTAGAACCAAAGCGTAGAAGATGGAATTGGAGAATTCTTCTGTAGCTGATCCAGCGGTATGATATTTTAATTGAGATGATAAAGCGTATGATTGGTTTTTTTTTTTTTTTTTTTTTTATTTTTATATCTATTTTAAATAAAATTTGGTGTTTGAGATTATGGAGTATTTATTTAATAATAAAAATGAATGGGAAAAAAAAAAAATTATATCGAGCAAGCATGTTTTATTCACATTTTGAAATATATGATATGATAATGCATGTATATATTAAATGTTTGGTGCTATTTTTAAATGCTAATAATTTTTCCTTTGTTTTTTTAGAAAGCATGTGGTTGCAATTTAATTTGATTCTATTATTATTATTATTTGATACTTTACTGTTGGGCAATCACTCCCAAACTACATCCAATCCAAATCCAAATCCAAATCCAAACAATTGAACAAATACTAGTTCCAAACAAACATAAGTAACACAAATTTGGTCACATTGTTCAAGTCAGCCATTCGTGCATTGATTCTTTACAAGTTATCTAAGATCCATCCATGATATCATATCATCTTGATGATGAAAATTCAGATTACTACTACAACATAAGAATTAAGAAGCCTTCTCCTCCTCTAAACTTGTTGTTGTTCCTCTTCGGGGGGCTCTTCTTCTTCCTGAAGAAGATTCTCTCGGTTGTCGTGAGCCCAGAAACCTCGCACATCTACAAGCATGCTCGCAACGGTTCCACCTTGCTTGCACGCAAGCAAGTCCGCGAGTGTTATTGTCAGTGGATCCGCAGGTTTCACCATATCCCATATTTCATCGCGTACATCCTCGATACACAGCTCATAGTTCCCGCCCTCGATCCATTTCTGGTGTACGTCCCTGTTACACGACACGATTTATCATTGACCAGATTAGATTGTGAGTTTCAGTACACTGGGTCGAGTTTCTGCAGTGTTCTTTGATCATTTATATAAACATACATACTACATGACAAATAGCTTCACATCCAAACCTGAAGAGTGTGTGGACATCAGCAGTCGTGAGAAATCCCCTTCCCTGAAGATCAAGACACCTAAACAAGTAGGTCAATCCTTCCGGGGTGTCTTTGTTTTCTAAGGCTAGAACAAAGTCCAGAAAACTCTCGAAATCCATCTCCCTTGTGTTCCCACCACCAGTTTTCCCACGCCGAACATGCTCATCAAACACTGTGCAAGTACGACAAAGTGTGTTATTAAGGGACATTACAATTGAAAGCTACTGTGCCTAAATAAATGTAAGTGGCGGAGGTATCGATTGATGCAGAACAAATTTGAACATGGAAAGTCACTCATCTTATAGCATGTCAGAATAGTTAGACGACAATCATTCAGTGCTAATCTCATAGCTACCTTCAAAGTAACTTGGTCACGAAAAATGATTACGTGCATTGTATACCCCCAAATCCAATATTTGTTTTTCCCAAAACTCTTTCCAATTTAGTTCTCGAATCAATAGTAAAGATCACTATATGTAGAATGATGGTCAAGTGCAAAAATTTTTCAATGCATATGAAATGGCTATGGTGAGATCAATAAGTACGGGTTGCTACAATGACTCAAGGATGAACGAGTAAGTATTCCAGGAAAAAAATTGAGAAGATAGCCAAGGGAGGGATCTCAGATCTAACCTCTCTCAATGAAGATATCGGTCAATGTCCCATCTGCATAATCTCGAAGCTCCTGTTTGCTCAATGTTCCATTCATATCTTTATCGAGAGCTAAGAACATGTCTGAAGAAACGGAAGTGTACAAAAAACAGACATTTTACGCATAAAAAATGGCTTCTACAATTCCAGAAGCACAAGAGAATTCCGAATGCATGAATTACAAAAGGTACGCATTCCAAAAATTGCATACATTTGCCAGAAATATGAGGATCATTACGCTTATGGATGAAATATAAGAAATAAGGTAAAATAGATGTTGAAATAAATATATAATTGCATCAATCATAGAATCAAATTTCTTAAGACTGCGTGGACAACACAATAGCGGAAAGATGCTGTTCAGCAAGATCTGAACTATTACATCAATAGCCAAATTTTAAATATTTATTTAAAATGAATTTTGAATAAACATATTGTAAAATCTCGATGATGAAGATGCAAACAAAACAAAATTAAGGAAGAAATATGAAACTATTCCCATCAGTAATAAGGGTCAAAACACTTAAAATAGACCACTGCTCATTCGCTGGAAATTGTTGTCAGTTCAAGACTGGAGGCAGGAAGCTTTTTTAAATTAACAATGAAAAAAGAAAAAAAAAAAAAAAAAAAAAAGATAATAAATAAAGTATCGTACTAGTAAGTATTCTCCAGTAAATTCTAAAGAAAGAAATGAAACATACATATTATATATATAGCAATAATCTCAGATTGCTTACCACAGATGCGCTGAGCAGACGTCAAAGAGAACCAATTCTCAGCCTGTTCGGTATCAGTAGCTTCTTCCTCACTTTCCTGTGTGCACATAAGAACACGAATAAAACAAATTAAGGCATCAAGAGTAACACAAAAGCAAAAAAATGCCTGCAGAAGTTCAAAAGATTGATTAATAGAAGAGAAAAGAATTGAAGCCTGAAGTTTCTCTAGTACGGTGAAAATTCAATTTCAATCAAATTTTTTATTGATAATAGTCATGAAACACAGTTTGACATCATGGAATTGTGGAACCAAAATGAAAGTTTTGAATACCAGCAGTACAAATCGAACACATGCCTAAAACAAGAAGCTGTTTCATTTATCCTGAACTGGAATCATTTTCAGGTAAATTACATCATGTATTACCTGATGTAGTTCCATTAGCTCCTGAAGACAATTGCTAAGCAACACCTTCTTTATGCAAGCTTTACCTGTCATTTAACCTCAAGTTGTTTACATGTCCCATCTTTAAATAAATTGGCATCAGCAAAACTACAAAAAGACTTAGAGCCAACCTCGTTTATGTGGATCACAAAAGAAAAAGAACTTGTGTGCAGCTATGCGACAGTACATTTGCACAAAAGCAGCAGGCATGTCCCTCAACTGAGCCAAATTTGGAATTAGACCCCTTATATATGCCTCCATTTCCTATTTCATGAAAATAGCAAATTATGAACATCATCAGATCATAATCCATTTTATAAAGTTATCCACGGGACAAAGTACTAACTTACATGAGGTTGAAGGAAGCCATCAGAATCTTCATCAAGCTCACTCATATCAATTCTCGCTTGAGTAAGTGAAACCTGAAGTGTAATGAAGTTAATAATGAAGGCAATTCCATAAAAACTTTCATTTCATTCGGCCACTATTGTCAATCCATTTTTCTTGTGGGCAAAAATCATCTTAAAGTCTAAATTGTTTCTACTTTTTCAATGGGTTTTAAATTGAAGATTAATGGAAGCCAAGGCGACATTTAGAGTTTTTATTATTTGTTTCAATTTTCCCACAACTTAGATCATTCTGCAGGTAGACCACAGTCGAGAATAATATACAAGGTGAATGGCACAAACAGATGTCCTAACAAATCAATATGTTAATGAGAATGAGAAAACATAATATTCTAAAGTATAAAGCGTGCAGCAGACTATACCGTGCGCATCACATAGAGATAGAAAGGGAGAATAGAAATTCTTCCCGATTCATCTTTCTCAAACTTCATGAAATTGGATGGACTAAAAAATCGTCGGCATTTGGGGCCTATTTGTTCTGTACATACGGAGGCAATATGGCAGAAGTCTTCATAATTCATCTAAACAATACAAGATGAATAAATATCAGTAAAACTTCACTCAAGCAACTATCAGGAATCAGATTATATATTGTAAGATACAACAATACTGCCCATTCAGGTCAAACTATCAAAACAAGATATTGCATTTATTTTTCCAAATGCCGGCCAACATGCCAATGATGATTAGAACTTATATTCAATCAATGGCATTAATTAGCAAAAACTGTTAACAGTTCTGATCAAAAAAAGAGAGAATTTCATGAATTACAACCATAAATTCAGTGTACCCCCTTGTCCTCCATTTGTACAAGCAAAAAATGTTAACAGTTCTGATCAAAAAAAGAAATTTGTTAACAGTTACACTGCTCTATTATAAGTTAATAAAATGTACATAAACATTATTTTATACCTTTTCAGCACCAGTTGCATCATCGATCACACAATTTTCCCTCAGGCAAACCCACATGGCATCCAGGTCATCAGCATTCAGCAGAAGATCAGATTGTTTCTGATAAGAGGAAACCCAATACTATAATCACAAATCTAAAATCAAAACAACAAAGACCCAATAAAATTACCACGGACTTCCTGTCAAATTTTTTAAATGTGACAAACAACCACAAAATAAACTGAACAAAAATAAGAACCACATCTCACTCCTAAGGTAACACTAAAGTTACTCAACAAAACTCATGAATAACACCACAAAAACTCTAATGCTAAATCCGACCATCAACGTCAAGTTTGTTAAACAATAGAGACTAAGGTCTCCATTACCTTGAGAAACCAATATATATATATAGATATATATATGTATATATATTTCTACAAGAAGCACTATCAGTAAAGACAAATGCACATCAATATTATGTTAAAATTTGGATACTGGAATTCAATGGTGTTAAATTACCACAAAATGGGACACAAGCAGATCTAATTACCTTAGAAAACAATTTTGAAAAAAATATAAAAATGAAAACACACCCAAATACCTTGAGAAACCGATATTTGGCGAGTCTCTGAACCCTATGGCTGATGGAACCTTCTTCAGGTTTCTGAAAAGCAATAGAATCCATGAGTTTGCAGAAGAGCTACACGACTACGCATAATTGAAAAACCTAAAATGATAAGTGAATTATACCCTTAGCTACCTGCAAACTATAATTGAAAACCTAATAATGAAGGCGAATTTTATTATTATACCCTTTTGTAGAAGCTGGGAATGGCACCAGCTTCGGCGCTCTTCTGCTGCTTCTCCTTGAAAATGTCCAACAAAATCTTCTTGGTCTCCAATTCTGCACGGAGGAAGAAAGAACCATCAATGTCAGCTTCGCAATTGTTTGTTCCGCCTAAATTCCTAGGGCAGTCCAGAAATACCCATAAGAGCTTCGGATCCTAGGCCGGCGCCAGATCCGATGTAGCGGCGAAGATTTCGAACCCAAAGCATGGCAGACGCCGCCGGGATCTTCCTGGGCGCCGCCGCCTCGCCGTCGCTTGACCCGCTGTACATTTTCGATCAATTCCAAATCCCTTCCGAGATCTCAGCCGCGAAACCCACAATATATATGTTTATATGGATTGAGGGTTGGAATTGGGGAATTTGTGTTGCTCGATCGGCTTCTCTGCAGTCGCTACCATTCACTGTGAGAAGATTTTACTGATCTAAAATTGAAGTGTTAGCTTCCGATATTTATTTGAATCTGTCAATATGTAAATAAAAACGCATCTCTCTTTCTTGTAAGTAAATACTACGTTTAATATTAAAGTCATCATATTATTATTATAATATATTTTTGACTCATTTCATTTACAAGTTTGGCAATCAGCATAGAAAATAGGCGAACCATCATCAGCATTGATAGTAATATTCCACCGGAGGCGAGCTAATAATAATTATACAGACATACATACAAGAGAGAGATACGACTGAAGCCAGGTTCCAATTCGAGAGTAGTTTCTCTACCTTAATACTATAATACCCCAATCATTTTATAATTTAGAAAAAAAAAAAAAAAAACGGACCGCTTACTTGACTCCGGATCACAATGTCGAGGAAGACGACAACGTCAAGGGGAGCACGGGTAGGGAAGAGGAAGACGAAAATGGCAGAAGACGTGTTGGAGGAAGGCGAAGCTGAGGTCGGCAAGGGAGAGAAGACGACGAAGCGGAAGAGTGAAAGTGGTTGAAATGTGTGTGGACGGAGGTGAGCTTTTTGGATTAGGGATTTCACCATATATATCTATTTATTTTATTTTTTTACATAATTTTTTAATATTAATATTTTTTATATAGAATGTAACAATAAGTGAATCAACAAATATAGCTTAAAATTTTGATATTATTTTATATATAATTTGATAATATTACAATACATAAAATATAAAAAATTGTAAATTATATGAAAATTGCAATTGTTAAAAAAAAAATAAAAATAGATTGATTGATTTGAAGACAAAATAGCAAAACAAAAGTATCTATTCCAAATAGAAGCAATGTTATTTTTTTTTTGCCAAATACACCAAACTATTGTGGAAATTGAAATTGAAATTGAAATTCAAACCAACAAATCAGTTATTTTACCAATTTGATTTTAATTAATTTATTAATTGTTATAAAGTTTAAAAATTAATGTTAAAAATAAAATTTATATAATTTTAGAATAAAAGATTGGGAAAAATAATCTTTATTTTCAAGCTTTTGGTATATTTTTTGTATTTTTATTGAAATCAAAGGTAACATATAGCATATAAAAACAACACATTCATATATAGCGTAACTTTTGGCTAACTCTACGTGTTGATAGCTAAATTATGTGTTGTCTATCTAAAATATAATACCCTAACTAGTCTAAAATATAAAACCCTAACTAGTCCGACCCAATATACATATATCACATAAAATTAAAGACAGTTTCGCTTTCTTTTTTTTCTTTTCTAAAATATAAAACTTAATAGTTCTTCAATTGGGCGGGAGGCGCTTGAATTGCACAAAAGGTTGGCTAGATAAAATGGAACATAAGGATTGATGGCTGCAATGGCCACAATAAGTTTTGATGTTTCCAATTCATAAAAAACTCTTCTTTTTTTCAAGGCTCAACAAGAAAAACGAAATGTTACCACGGTTACCAATTGTGGTGATCCTCCTCCTCCATCACTGCAGGGAGGGATCGATAATCAGGATCAGTGATCCTCGATTTTCTTAAGAGCTTTCATGTCCGTTGTTTCCACCCTGCAAAATTGCAAAAACACCGAACAATGAATGGTATTAGAAACTTAACGCATTGTTATTGATTGACAGCAATAAAGTCGAATTAAGGTGGAAAGAATCTTACGTCGATCCATAGAGAACAATTTTTTGAACTTTGGTAATCTCGGAGCCAGATTGATTGTCCTCGATGAAAATCGTTAGACTGATTCAAAACAGTAGAACATCATCACTTCAGATGTAGTATAGAATTAGTCGGCGGAAAAAAATTCATTCAGGGAACCACAAGAACAATACCTGCGAACGTTTTGAAACTTGACGTACTTCACAACAACAGGTTTTCCCTACAGAGATTCAGTGCATGGAGCATGATTTACAACGTTTATAAGTTATAACATGTTTGTGTTGAGGACGAGAAATGGAAACAGGGAGAAACACCGAAGTTACCTTGAGGTTATCCTCCGATAAAACAGCGACATCACTTGGAGGGAAATCATTACAGTTACTGTATACATTGCATTTTAAATAGAAATATATAAGGAATTATGGAAGAATTGATAGTTAAGAAAACAAGTGAGCTTCCCGATTTACCTGAACCCCATGTGCTCCCTATTAGCAAAGAGCTTTACGGTTTTTGGACCTACAAGATCAGAGACAGGATCAGGTTTGTTAACTTAGTTCATTTGACATAAGAATTAACTTCGGTAAAATAGATGCTGAATAGTTGCAGCAGAAAAATAACGAGATATCAGTAACCGAAAGGAAATAACATTTGTGCATATCTGTAGTAGCCATTATTATAATTCAAATAAAAGTTGAATTGTTAAAATGTATATTTCATAGATTTTTGGGTGTTTTTGTCATTTAAGGATCTTTTGTTGGATTCAACATTAAGCCAAATATTGCTCACCACATCATAGTAAGCTTTATTTACTGTAACATTTTGTTATTATACGGTATTAATTAAAGTAATTGAAGCAAAAAATTTAAGCGAAATAACATTATCAACAGGAACTACCACATTGGAGTGTTGCCAGGAATTTACTTTTAGAATAACCTCATTGCCTAAAATATTAAATTAAAGGGGGGATACATAGTTTGATATATTATCAGTATATACAGAGTTAACTTGTATTAATCATATTTATATTCGATACACCCCCCCGACATGCATGCATTTTGAATGATACAGTGATATTTAAAATACTAGAGACCCTGCCTACACATACAAACCAAAATTTCTACTTTAACACCTTAATCTGCTAACACCTATTTAGTCTTGTAAAAATATTGCCAGACTTTGAATAACTTGTGGCAATTGATCAAAGGTCATTTCTAGTATATATTGTTTACATCTCATCAAGAATATTATCTACAAGGTCATCAAACAGCAGAACTCCAAGTGCTTAGCAGATAAACAGCAATGGCTCAGAACTAAAGATCAAGTTTAAATCATCAAAAGGTGTAATAGATCAAAAAAGCTTAAACAAAAACTTAAAGAGTGCAATTCTCTTCTTATTTTCTCATAGTCCAGATTGCAAAATTTTGGGCCAAGTTGGATATCTTGGGGAAGTCAAACATCTTTTGTCACGACATGAATCAATTTTCTGTTTTCTCTACACTGATTACAGAATCAGGAATCAAAAGATGTGTTTGGTTTGTGCTTTGATTTTGGTTTGGATTAAATAGCAATTCGATGTGAATGTGATGCTTTGTGAGAGGAAATAGTATATATTTATAAGGAATCGTGATGATTACATGGTAAAAAAATTGAGAAATAAGAGAGAGAGAGAGAGAACAGAGCCAAAGCAGTTGCACAATTCAAGCATATCAATACTTAAAAGTGTATCAACAATCAAGAGCATGCTTGTACAGACACATGGAATAGATAAACCCAAATTCGTAGCTAATCCCTTAGATTTAAGTGACTAAGCATAAATGTTGTTCATCACAAGTCACTTGATAAATGCATAGGGTAAAGTCAGAATTCAAATATATCAAAACTCAACTGCATCATGGACATGGTAGTACAACCAGATATAGAATTATAAAAACAAATCCCAAGTTAAACAAGTTATTTTAAGCAATTACACATTGATGCAGCGTCTCATAAGTCACTTGATGGTTTTCTCATCCTATGTAATATTTTTTTCACTTAGATAATGCCTTTAAATGTTTATCTAACTGGGGAGTCACTGAATATTGTTATCAAAAATTCATTTATTGCAAGGTTGCACTGGATATATATAAATGAACTCAATGTCTTATGTAATCTATAACATGGAAATACTGTGATCACTAAAAATAAAAACTAGAGATACTCATTCTCCTGTCTAAATCCAGATTCTACAGTCATGGCTTTCCAGTCTGATTCATGCTGTTCTGAGAAAAAGCAGTTTTAATATGGTAAGAGCAATCAACCTCCATGAATCACTTGAGCACATAAATCTTGTAAGAGTGAGAATTCACAGCAAGCCAGGAGAGGGTCGAATCATACACAGCATCATTTTACATAAACAATTATATGAACAAAACAGAAGCATGAGTAGGTTACCTTCTTCCTCTGGTCCTATGATGAGAACTGAATGGAGCTTAATAACTTGCATGAAAGGAATATAAACCAGCAGCTGTTCATCAGCATCACTTTCCAAATTCAGACCTTCATCCTCCCTATAACCCTGAAAAAAGAACTAAACTATTAATCCCCGGAGCAAGTGTAACCAATGCCGTACTTAACAATAAACAATACAACTAATTTTTTCAACCCAATCCCAGTGCCACAACCAATCATATTCAATAGGTCAAAAATCTGGTCAATGGAGAGGCAAAACCTTTACCAGACTTGGATCAGCAATAAAGAAAAACTAGAAACAAATAGATGAAAATGCTTAATAGACATTACCAAAAATTCTTTTTATAAATATAAAAGCCATCTCAAAGTAACATGTATATATTCTAAATGAACAGTAACAATGGAGGATATAGAAAGAAAATGAAGAAACCCAATATAAACGATTAACTTGGAAAAGCCACAAGGAGTTTCCAAGACAAGATCAACCTGAGGGAATTCAACAGGATGAACAAGGAACTACATATACAAATATAAATAAAATAAAATAAAAAACACTATTCCTTGCAAAGAAAAGAATTTTAACAGCCCACCTGTTTGAGAGCGTTGGCAACAGAGTGACTGCTGCTTTGATTCAAACATTCTACACCTGACCAGTCCACGAAGTCCAGTAAATCAACCTGCATATTTAACAAAAGGATGCTTGATTACATAAACAAAAATGCAAATACAAGCAAAAATCTGAAGCGGCGAGATTGGAGGAGTTCCGTTATTGCCTGGCTTCTGTTGATAGCAGAGGCGGATTCGCCGGACATGGATGCTGATTTTGAATTGAAGGTGAGATTGAGGATCGAGAGAACGCAGAGACCGACAAGGAGACCCTCTCTTCACTAATCCCCAATCTTAATGATTCCGTCCAACTTTAATAAGTAGTAGACTATTAATTAGGGCTTTTTTGGGAATTTCAACCCTCAATTTGTACCGTACGTCCCTAGATTTGGAAATTGCAGAATAGTCCCTTTAAAATAGCTAAAGTATGGAATCCTTGCATTATTTTGTCACTAATATAACATCATTCATATAATTAATTTTAAACCGAGCACCAAGAAAAATGATATCATGATCATCTAACCCGTATATTATACATTACATATCTATTCCTCAATATATTTTCATATTTGACATTTGAACATAATTTTTAGAATTGTATATAATTATTTTTCAGAAAAAAGTAAGTTGAATGAAAATAAAAAAATGAACATAATAAATAAGACGAAATATTCTACAAAAATTCCCAGCTATTTATCTTATAGTAAAATGCAATACCAAATGCTCAATTTTATATCTTAAATTTTGTTAGTATGTTTACTAGTAAAATTTTGATTTTTTTTTAAATTTTAAATAATAAAATTTTGAATTAAAATAATATTTTGATACGATATTTTAAAAAAGTAAATAATATATTTTATCAAAATATGAACTAAATAGTAATTAAAAATAGTGTTACGACATTTTTGTCTTTTTTTTTTTTTTTTGGTGTAAAAGTAACGATAAGGATATTTGTGAAAAAAAATATGGTATTTAATGAAATATTAAGTTTGTAATTACACGTCCCAAAGTAAACATTGTAAGTGGACGGGGAGCATTAATTTATGTTTAAAATACAAATCAAACACTCTAAAATTTACCTAACAAGAATGAATAGCTCATAGGAAGTTACAAAAAAAAAAAAAAGTAGTTCCACAAGAATTTCAAGGTCAAATAAATACCAACTAAAAAAAGAAAAAAACAATCAATCATATTCATGCCATCTGACTACCAAAGAAGCATTTAAAATGGCACTGGAAAGAAATGTCATTGAATGTGTGAGGATGCTCAAATATGTGAGGTGACATTTGTAGCTATAGGTATATGTATGAATTTAATCAAAACTTCAAATAGCAAACAAGAACCTGAAAACAACTCAATAGGGTCAAATTACAAACCAAGAATCAAAGGCAAGTCTAGACGACAACTATGATACACTCCACCGGAAACTGTGTAGGTCTCATTATCAAGAATGAATCATCAACGGTCTCCTCAAACGAACCTTTTGTACCCATAAATACAAAAAAGGTAACAACAATATGCTATTGCTCATCTTGAACCAAAACTGCTTTTACTATCTTTAATGCCCTGCATATAGAAATGGGTATATAAACAACTAAATATATTGAATGATCAAATAGGATAAATGCCTGCTGGCAAGGTTTAAGAACATACCAGTCTTTTGAAGGACCTGCTTGGTTCTGTTTGTTTGTTGGGATCTGAATCCGGTTTGGCACGATCGAGAGCCTGAGGAACACAGAGAACTCTGGTCACAGATTTGGAGATTGAAAATTGAGGCTCGTGTAACAAAAGATTAAGTAGCAATGGAAAGATCATAAACAAGGAAAGCATTTTCAATTTGGATGTTTCCTGTTGGCTAAAGTTATCTTCAACTCTGGATTCTAGCTGTTTATTGTAACAGGCTGATGAAATGTAATCATTATTATTAACCAGTGTTAGCCGCACAATTTCCTTTAGTAGGAAAAGCAAGGTGTCAAAACTGCAGAAAATTATGAATCAGCTTGTATGTTTCAATATAATACTGATCTAACTCGAAAGACTTCCATGACTCAGCATATGAAGGTTAAAAGTCTATCGCCATCCTATTTAACCAGCTTGTATGTTTCAATAGAATACTGATCTAACTCAAAGACTTCCATGACTCAGCATATGAAGGTTAAAAGTCTATAGCCATCCTATTTAACCAGCTTGTATGTTTCAATAGAATACTGATCTAACTCAAAGACTTCCATGACTCAGCATATGAAAAAGTCTATCGCCATCCTATTTAAATGGTTATAATAGAAAATATTTGAAATGCAAACGGAGAAAAGAACATGCTTGAATTATCAAAATTGGTAAAATGGTACTAGGCAGCATATGATATTTTAGGATTGTGGATGGTGTTCAGGTGCAGTAAATTATGAAAACAAGCTGAATAGTTCTTAATTTTGCTTTTGTTGCTCATTTTGACTCTTGGTTCTTTTTTGGGGGGGGGGGGGGGGGGGGGGGGGGGGGCGTGATGGGTGGAGGACAAGAGGATTTCAGAAAGCAATCACTTATGCCGTAGAGATTCAAATCATTATCAAATATTAGGTTGATACTACTTACTAGATTATCATCATCATATGGTCCAAAGATTGTATAATACTAGTGGATTTAATATAATAGAATAAGTTGGAATACTACCCACGTCCAACCACCTAAAAATTCAACGAATTGAAGTCAAGAATTCTTCTCCCACGATCTCCAGCTCTTAATAATTCATTCTAATCTTGAAACTAAGTAATAGATGAATCACACAATACAACAGGCAAAATTAAGAACGAGAAGGTTAGCCAAATTAATTGTCACTTGCCTGTATTAGTGACTCCACTCGACGTCTCATCCTTGTATGCATGAAACCCTCAGAGCACTGCTTAAACAGGGAGAGATCAGATCGCTTTGTAAAGTTCGAAGCATACTTATCTAAAGATCAAACCACAAGCACAACTTGAAAACTATTGTCAACCAATTTACGGCACCATTTCAAATTGCAACAGAATAATGAGTAGCAATTGATACCTGTTTGTCCTACGTCATATTTATATAAGAAATAATTTGAATTCTAATAAAGAAAGGGGGCATAAGTAGTTGTGCTGAACTCTATCTAGGGTTTTATCTTTATCTATCATGAGCTTTGCCATGAGTTACTCTATATGCTCTTCGTCCCACTCAAACATATACATTTTTTTAATTTTTGTAGATCGAACCCAAATCTATACATTTGTCCCTAACTAAATACCAAAATATTTTTAACTTTTACATATATTATAAACATACTATTAACATCTAATCAAACTCTTAATACAAGTGAGGTCAATGTACTTGCCAAATTGCAAATTGTCAAAATCCTCTTGCACGCCTCCTTTCACAAATACAATACTACTCCTTCCATCATCGAAAAATATGGTCATACTTCAGGCACAGGTTTTAATGCGGATTGGTAATAATTGATACCTTTTGTGTTTTCTAATTAAAAAGTACAAAAATGGCAAAAACTAGATATAATTATTTACTAAAAAGATAAACTGAAAAATTTTTAGATGGCAGTCAAGAAAAGAAAAATGAACATATATTTTTACGACTTAGGGAGTTTTATTCTTCAATCCACTACAAAAAAAGTAAATGCATACACGTTGGTGGAAGTATTAGACTATTAGTGTCATTTATCTCATGCTTTTGGAGAGTATTTTTGGACCTAGGCTGTTGGCTGGATATCCCTGCAGTGTACTTGGTTTCCATTGTTCTTCTCTTTTGTAAGCTTTTCTCACAAAGAGTTACTTTGGTTGATAAAATACCTAACCCCATCGCAGAAGCACCTAATACTTATCAAAATTTCCTAGTCCTACAACTCTGCTAGCATCCAGTGTCAGCTTATGAAATTGATAATTTCACATCTCGCAAGCTAAGATACTTTCAGGATAAGCTAGACAGCATCTCTCAAACATACACAAAACAAATGAAAAGCTAGTTACTGTTCATAGATTAACCAAACGAGATGTTTGGAGTTTATCAACATTTCCTGCTTATGTTAGTTGTACAACATTAACTGTGTAAATGGCTACCTTGCAAAATCTCTCTTGAGCTCACATACATTAAAATTAAATCGATACATGTTAGATAATAAAAACTCACCTTGACATGGTAGCTGACATAAGCATGAAATGTTGATAAACTCCAAACAGTTCTATCCAATTTTTTGCCATCCACATGACGAGGGGAAATCACTGTTCATATATTCAAATAAGACTCCATTTGAAACAGGTAATAGTAGTGAAATTATCAACTTGAGATTCAGAAGTTACCAAAGCTCACAAACCCAGCATTTGCTGATAACGATTTAGCAGAAGCTCCTAATGCTTCAGGAGGAGACGACGACCAGAAACAAAGGGGTGCACTGCTTAGTGCAGCAGTTCGTCTTGCTTCAACAAACTCCTGAAGGATTACAAAATTGCAGGACAAGTTAAAGCACCAACATAGTCACAAAAAATGCTTGTTATGGAAAAAGCAAATGTCAAAATAGAAATGCAAACACCACAAAGGATTACAAGCATATAATATTCTTGAGAACAAATACCACCACTAATCAGAAACAATAGGTGATATGCACAGAATAACCCCTTCCACATCTGAAATGAGAAACTTATAGGTATTTACACCAACATAGAATTGAAAATTGCAAGTTCCAAATCATAGATTGAGTCCTCCATGAAGAAGAAGACTTTCGCAATCAGTTGTTTGACAAGTACTGGCTACATATTATGCCTTTCTAAATTTAAAACTAATGCATTTTATTAAACAGTTTACACAATAATAATAATAAATAACAATATCAATAATAATATATAATTTTAGATTAGTATGAATTTGCAACAGTACATTCACAAATTCTCCGAATTGCTAATTCTTGCAGAGGCCAGCGGTAGGGGTGAAAGGTGCAGATGCATGCAGAGAGAGAGAAAAATGCTACAAAAGACACTCTTAATTGAAATTCAACACCTTGACCTGAAGGAAAGAAGTAGCAAGAACAGTATCTACTGAATCCTTGAATCGCATGGGGAAAATCACAGTCACCTTGTCTGCCTGCAAACAAAAAGAACTATAAATTATACTTCTAGTTCAACAAATAGATTCATGCATAGAAAAAGAGTTTACATTTGGTAAACTGTGAATTTGCATGGGAAAGAAGGATACAACAGATAGCACTTCTATAAGTTATGAGTTATCTGATGTGAACAGGTTAAATTGGAAGTACAGAGAAGAAATCCCATAACCATAAAGAACAGCCAATTATATGGTATGTACATATAAATTATCAAGAAATGAAACTAATAACCTTTATATATGTCCACTTCAACTGAGTAGAAATGAACTCATGATGGACAAAGCTTAGAAAAATTACCTGAGGAACCACAAAAAATGATTCATTAGGTCGATGCGCAAGCGAAATAAGCTTGTTTGATTCAGACCTAAGACTCCTTAGCACAAGTTGTCTCAAAACAGCTCTCAGTGGTGCACCTTGTACCACTTCTCTTATAGAAGCAATCTTTAAGAGAAGCCCTTGCTTATGTTCTACAGATAAGCCAGAATCATTAAAAGCCTAATTTAACAATATAAGCAGATCTTAATTTTCACTCCAGCATGGTAAGATTTAAGAGCAAACATCCAAGTAAAGAAATCTAGAACAAGAGACATCACACATCGTGATCAGTTAAAAATCACAAGCATCCATGCTATTTTGTTACTAAGTTCATATATGCTGACAGGATGTAATATTGCGAAAAGCAAGATGGAACCAGAATGTAGGTACTCAAATTCCCATTGCAACTCAAGTTGGTATATTTACTTTGACGGAATGGGTGAAACAAATTCTTGTTAATGATATCCATTAGGCAATTTTTACAAAAACAAGATAAATTTTATTTTAACAAGCAATAAACATGCCTTCAGCCGAAGATAATTCCTAAGTTGTAGAATAAAACAAATACCCTGGAATGATGATTGAATGAAGGACAAAGCCACTCTAAAGTTTCCACAAAGTAGCATCATGCAGATTCTGAAAAGGCTAAAAAAAGGAAACTCACGGGACCTTCATTTTGTGGAAGTTTAGATAAGTTCAGTTTCACTGTGAGATTGAAACCATCCCTTGGAGGATCCTGGATCTGTAGAACCACACCATATGCTGCTTTGATTGCTTCTATAGCTCCCTGAGGAAGTCCACCAAAAAACGCAGTTTCTGGAGGAGGTGCAGGAAGTGATAGAGATAATAGGAGTATATTTGGATTCTTCAAAGTTGCCTATGGAATAGACAGGAAATCAGATGCAGAACTCTGGGTTTCACTCAATGGCAATGTAATCATGGAAAATGAAATGCAATCACTCAAAAATAAAATGAGTAACTTCATAGTTTTCATATGTAACTTTTATGAAGAAAATATTTTTCAAAGAATATCCAATAGGATATGTATTACCTGAATATGGTAGCGAACATCATCAAATTCAACCCACTGGCAATCTAATTCAGTTCCTTTCTCTAAACTGAAAATAATGATATAAAAATTATCACAAAAACAAGTTACTTAGAAATACTAAAACACATAATTCACCCAAGGTATACTACGGCTGAATTCTTACGCACTCTAGCTACTGATGTAACATTGAAATAGTAGTGATATTCAGGACCTAAATGAAAAGGTAAATACAATATTGAAGTAGCCTAAGAATACAACACCAATAACTGGAATTGTAGACCTCAAAAGGCAACAAAACACAACAATGCATTCACTTTCCAATTTTTGGTAGTTCGACATTGAACAAGTATATTGCCTATGAACACAGGCCTCTGAATTCACAAATACAAAAGAGCAAAAAAACAGGTGCAACAATCAGATACTACTACACAATTTTGTTCTTCCAGTCCAACAGCCATAAAAGAGTTTTAATTTGATGGATAGAATCAAATATAATATTCAAATAATAATATATATGGCTTTTGTTGCACATAGATCCCATTAAACAAATAAGATGAGAGAAAATATCCACCAAAAGTACGATAACGATTTTCCATAATGGGCAAATGAATGACTACCTTATATAGACATTAAACTTGGTCATAAATCAACAAAACACAACGATCACTTCTATAGGAAAACAATGTGATCTAAGATGTTTTGGGTTATCAATACATAAACACAAATCGAAGGAATCCGGGCACATTAAAAGATAGGACAAGAGAAACAGGAAAAGTAGTTAATGAATCACTACAAGGGAAAGCCAAAGATTTCCTCTTACTTCTGAACCCGAGTAGACAAGACTTGCAGGAGATATCTGCAGGGCGACGGCAATAGTATCATGGATTTCTGCTAGCTAATCCCAATCCTCAGGGGGACAATGGAATCCAAACACAGAAGGAGATAATTGCTCAAGAATTATGCTGGAACAAAACAGAAACCAAGAAAAAATTTAAAGAAGATTTTTTTTTAAAATAAAAAATAAAAATGCAGGTCTAAATAAATCACAGCTCCAGAAATCAGCTTGATTTAAACATCCGGAAACATTAAGGATCGAGTCGATCCAAAAGCTAGGGCAAAATGAAGTACTTGAACGGAACGGAGATAATTAAGTTTCTTCAAAATTGGCTGTCAGTTTGAAAACGGACCAATCCAATAAAGTACCTCCATTCCAAGGATGCGTCCGAAGACCTCCAATTCTCAGCCGAATCCCTTCCAGGTTCCTCTCCTCTCCGAGAACAGAGGTGCGCCGCCAACGGAGACGACGAAAGGGCGCGGCGCCTGACGGCGCGTGAAAAAGGAATTCGCCGTCCGCAGTCGGTGGGTACCGGCGTCGGTAGCAAGAGTAGTAAAAACCCAATTGGCGTCGATAATCAACGGCACAGTTAAAGATCGATAGTCGTCGGATTACATTACATCATTGCATTCACTCAGAAGGGCGTCATCATCATCGCTCCCCAAAACTCCAGCTTTGATGGTGCGAGTGAACCAGCGGCGACGGGATTAGATCAAAGTGGAACATGGGACATTGTTATTTCAATGAAAGTGAAATCAACGTAGGTGGGATCGGTGATAGATCACCGTGCGGCAGAAAGCGACAAATTAATTGATGAGGGGGAAGAAACCCTAAATTGGAAATTAGTACGGGCAATTTGCAATTTTTCGAAATTGGCTTCTAAAAATCGACCCCAATTGGGAGTTTTCATTAAATTCATAGGGTATTTTATGTTAATTTTTTTTATTTTTTTAAAAGTAAAATGCCCAATAATAAATACTATAAAATATTTGGATACACATTTTAATTAAAATTTACAAGAGATAATTGAGAATCTGTATTTTCTTTCATTCCAATTCAATAATGTCGATTTACAATTTTTTTGTCTATTATAAAATAATAATTTTAATTTTATAAATAATTAAATCATTATAAAATTCTTATTATTATTTTATCATAAAAGAAAAAAAAATCCTATTATTTTCTAATTGGTACGATCAGATAAATCTATATAAATAATATTTTTAATTTTAATTTTAATTTTTTTAGTTGATATAATTTTTTTAGCTATGTTATTTTATTTGAAATAATTTTATAAATTATATTTAGAGCAACTAAAAGAGTACTACCGCGTAAGATCAACTAAAATATTTCAATATATTTAGAGCAACCAAAAGATCATCTACTCAATATATTAAAAATTTAAAGTATCTCCCCATTTTAAAAAATAAATAAAATAAAATAAATCTATTTGAATTTTTCTTGTACTCGTTATTCCCAATAAAAATTATAGTAGTAGTTCTATTCTTTCAACAGCTTTTAAAATATAAATTACAAATACACCTGTCAATCATCATGCAACAGCAACATGCTCAAAATCATTGGCAATAATCACAAATAGAGAAGCCTATTATCATAATTATGGCACCAACCGTGCACATACATATAACACATGTTCTTCGCCCATCCCTACAAAATCATCTTTTAAACTTTTACACTGCCTGCCAGAGCAGCTCAAGAGCTTTACAGGAAAAGCAAAATTGTTGAAAATCTCCAATCAATTGGAATGATTTAGAAACTAAAAAGGGCCTAGGCCTAGACTATCCGCAGCCATAAAACTTACCGGACTTTGATCGCGAATCGATTCCATCCTCGAGTCGAGTACAGAGAGTTGTGATTTCACCCATGGTGGATTGTTCCTGCCTTCCACCCACAGTGCTTCCCCGGTGTCTTTGTGCTTGAAGTCCGGATAGTTTGGGCTTCTCTGCAGATCAAAAGACAGTCGAGAAACAATTTTCAAGAAGCCCTCGTGAATTAGACCAACTCGAGTTTGTCACATTGTGATGCTCGAGCAGTCAAACTCAATTTTCAAGCATGTAATCTGAGATCGAGCCTCTTCATAGAAATTGCTTGGCAAAACTCAATTTAACAATCGTAAAATGAAAGTAAAAGGGTTCAAATTTAAAGCTTTGATCGATAAGATTTACTTAAAGATGTGTTATACTACCAAATGATGTATTATTACCATCGCAAGCAACTAGAAAGAACCGATTATTTATGTATCATACAAAATTCTATTAGCTGATACTCTATTAATATAATACTAAATCAAACTCAGGTTTCTCGACTTTTTTAATCACTTTTTAATCACTCATGGGTGCTCTCAAGGTATACCAACTGAATATTATGAGATCAATATAACATCTTGCATGCTATAGAAATTATTTGAAAAGTCCGAATGCCACAAGAACTTAGTAAAACAGCTTAGGGGAATACATTCCGTATCAGAATTACAGAAAACCTAAACTATTAGCTATGGAGAAATCGGATTAAAGAAAGAGAAAATAAAAGAGGGAGGAGATACCTTGTTCTTACGGTTATCCCACCATTCCATAGGATTAGCAAAGAAGGCTTGCCAGAGTTCTTCCACATAACTGGTCGAATTTTCAGAATAACTTGTTTGCCTTTTCCCTTAAATACATTCAAATGAAAATCAGAACTCAAAATAATGCGCAAACATGGCCAAGCAAACCAAGAGGAAGAAAATAACTAATGACCTGATGTCGCCGAATCAGGGCTGCCATTGTGCAATGCAGAAGAAGAGAAGCTTTGCTCGACAAAATTCAGTTGCTGAACAACTACCTTCGAATGACAGCCAAAAACTAGTATTAATTCGATGATGCAACAAGTGAGAGAGAGAAATAGTGCATGGTTAAACACATCAGAATCAAGAACCTTGTAGTATGTCTGTTTCTTCCCATCATCATTCTCAACGGTATCTGAGATGAGGCGGCCGGAGACGTAGATTTGGTTACCCTTTTCCACGTGCTCAAAAGCAACATTGGCCAGTTCGTCCCAGAAAGTCAAGTTAACCCTGCAAAATGCCGGCCAAGTACATGAGTTATGTCTTTGGTAATAAAGTCATCAATGCTTAACGAAATTATGGTGTTAAATATGCAAAGTCATATAACACAAACATAGGTGCCTTTATCAAAGGTTTCGACTCTCACGACTAAAATCAGACTTCTGTCATACTCACAGGCGACACAAAACAATCAGATTTAAATCATAAGCGTGGTTCATCTTCAATCCTTTCCAAGGTAACTACATTCTAACAAAAATTACAGGTGAATATTTCAACATGTAACCATTACTTTTTCCGAATTTTCAAATTCATCAATGGTTTCATTAAGACTGCTCAATGTTCCAAAATTTACTGAGGACGTGACTCAAAATGGTACCCCTGTTCAAAAGCATTACCAAAATCGAAAATTGAATCACCTTGGTATATGGCTATTTTAAGAGGATGATTTTGCTACTTTTCTCAGTTGATTTAGAAGTAATGAACATAAATGGGGAAAAGACTGATTGCATATAACTGCCATGAACATACACATTTCTTAAGCATCCTTCACAGTATTGCAGAAGCTACATGAATGATTATTCTACAGAACACGGGCGTGTTTATCTATACTGCGCAGTATTTGGTTTCAACACGATAAACTTCAAAATCTCAAAATTCTTCAATCCAATTTCAAAACTTTAAAATTCAATAAATCGATACCCTAATTTTACCCCAAACAACCTCATCGACATATATGGGAAAAACCCTAAAAAATGATATCCAGGGCAGAAACTTCACCAAACAGTATCGGTTGGCGACTTCTTGACGGCGATGCGAGACCACGCCACAACCTTCCCGGAAGGAAGGTGTTTGATTTGAACGGGGGCCCCAACTAGGCCGATAAGCTGAACCGAGTTACAAAGCTCCTTCTTCCACTGAATCTCGGCTGGCCGAGGATACTGCGAGCCGGGAGCCGCGTGACGTTCGTAGTCGTAAAGGCCGCCGGTATTGGTGGCGGCACTGACATTGTAATCGAAAGAGCATTTGATGCGTCCGGCGCGGGCAGTCCTCCCTCTCCCGACGGGTTTAGGGTTCAATGGAAGGGACGAAATTGGGGGAATCGAATAGGGTTTGGGGGGGAGGAGAAGGGTATTTGTTTGCGCTATGGATTGGCGTAAATCCATGGGAGAAGCAGGAAGAACTAAACAATGGCGGCTGAGCGAGTTTTGCGCTACCGATAATTGTAGCAGATGACCTCAAAACATCCAGTAGTCGTAATATATGTTTTAATTCCTTAAAATTTAAAATATTATTAAAATATAGTGATCCGTTTGTCCCTTATAATTTATTATTATTATTTTTTTTAATCTCATTCGAAATATAATGATATCGTATTTTAAATTTTAATTTTTATAATTTAAAATTTAATTAAATTATTGATTATTTTTTTATAATTATTTTTACTAATTCATTTTTTATTATTTATTAATTATATTTTATCTATAATTTTTTAATATAAAATAATACATTCAAGTCATATGAGATAAAAGAAGTATAAAATATTGTGAGATAACTTATAAAAATAAAAATTAAATCAAACTTAAATTATTTTCCTCCAATTAAACACATCATATATAAATACTACATTATTTCAGTTTTTTTTTTAAAATATTAATCATTGCACCCAATAAACTTGGACTTTAATTCATTAAAGAAAAATAGGAACTAAAAAGTCTACCAGAGTATTATTATTATTTATTTATTTTTTTTAATTTCGCACGTTCATGCATCGTTGCGTACAATTGTCCATGATCCTAAGTATTATTACTATAATACATAAAATATATTTTAATTAAATCACAATCATTATATTACAATTCTCAAACTTAAACAAGTGTGTATGATTCTCGGTTTATTTAGGTTTTTACTATTTATTAAAAAAGATTGAATATTAAATTAAATATTTCATTTTTTATTTTAAAAATATATATATTTATTTTTATTATTTATATATTTAAAATATCATATTAATATTATTTTATATTATTCAAAATTTTATTATTAAAAATTCCATTCAAATTTTGAACCACCACCAAGTATACTACCACACCAACTCCAAATCCAATTTGAGGTTTTATTTCATTAGACTTTATATTAATTCGGTTCCTTGTTTAAATAGTACTTATTCCCTTTTAATACAATAGTCTTTGTTTATCATTTTTGTCCGTCCCAAAACAATAGTCTTATTTTTATAAATAATCATATCACCGTAAACTACTCATATTTTTTTATTTTTATTATACAATTATCGCTATTTTTTACACTAATACACTCACAAGGGTAAAAAGATCTTTTATCTATATTTTTTACCAACTATCAATATAATATCAATATTCCTTAAATCTCGTATCCAACTCAATTAAGACTATAATTCTGGGAATGTGAAGGAGTTAATTCTATATATCTTCTGCGCCATTGTTGTGATACTCATGTTCGTTATTTTAATATTTCGGAATTAAAATTAATATTATTTATCATCTACAAATTTTAATAAAATTACGTAAATTTCTATCATAAAAAATCAAATAAATATTACTCCCTCCGTCCACTCATAAAGTATACAATTACTTTTGGCGCGGTGTTTAAAAAATAATAATATTTTAATTATAGTAAGTAGTTAAAAGTAGTGTAATGATATTTTTGCCCTTGTTTTTTTTTTTTTTTTTGTAAAAGTAATGATGTGATGTAAAATAAGGTTATTTGTGAAAAAAAAAGTAAAATATTTAATGAAATGTTTACTTTGTAATTAGACGTCCTAAAATAAAAATATGTATACTTTCTAGCTGGACGGAGGGAGTATTTAAATAAAAATTTGAATTAATATATTACTTCAAATCATACGTTGTCGAAATGTTTCAATGTATTTTTATTAGTTTGTTGGTATTAATTTGATGTAAACATTACATTATTGTTGCAAGCTCAATCTTAATGTATTTAATGAAATTGTTATATTGAATTTACGATCAAGATCACACGGGTGTTGGCAATTTTTAAAAAAAAAAAAATAAAAAATTAAATTGAAAGACAAAATACATTGAATTTGTGAATAATTGAAAATTAATGAAAACTATGGGAGTCAATGACTCTTTTTTTTTTTTTCCTTTTTTTTTATTAAGTTTTAATGTTTTTTAATATATAATTATTGTAATTTGTTTTTAAAAAAGTACATTCTTTTTATGTCAATATATTACATATAAATTAATGTTCAAACAAAAACTCAAATAAAAAAGCAAATCGCATTGAAAAATAACATAGATTTAAACAATATAAAAATTTATAAATTATATAATATTAATTTTTAAATTAATTGTATCTGTAATAATATGTTTACAATTTATATAAAAAGTAAAAAATTATATGATATTAATGTAATTATTTTTATTATAATAAATATATGTTTTTTAATGAAACAAACAAAATAATAAAATTGATACTTCCAGTTTGAATAAATAATAATAATAATAATAATAAATATTACTAGTAACATTTTATTCGTACATTCATCTTCATCACGATTTAAATGTTACAGTGAATACTAGATAGTTGTATTTTATTAAAATAAATGTGTGAAGAATAGTCGGTCCCGGGTGAAATAATTGTACTTTATTGAAATAAATACGTGCGGATCGTAGATCCCGGATTTTGACGCGGTAGCTAGAGTGTGAAATAAATTATCAATTTTTTTATTTTGATTTTTTTTTTTTTTTGATAAAGTATCTATTTTATTTATTTTTTTTTAGTAACTGTACTATTTAAATAATAAAAAATTTAAATAATTACTATTGATAGTACAGTAATATTTAAAAATGCAAAAGTAAACGCGTGTTTGTTTGTTTCTTTTTTTCTCTCATGTGTACACGTATGTGTGTGAAATGATATTATGTGAAGGGCACTGTTTTGTTGGGTCTTCTTTTATATATATATATATATCATCCACTGAGAGGCAGAAAGCGATAAGGCTGGGAGACAGGAGGTAAATCTGAAATTAAGAACAATATAATAGGTAGGATCTATCGAAGAATATGGTGCTGGAGAGGTTCTTACACGAGGAGCCTTCGTCGCCGTACGTACGAAGTTTCTACGCGGCGTCGTTTCTAGGCATCGTCGCCCTCGGCGTCTCCGAATTTGGCGGGAAGAATCTCCAGTACTCTAAATTCTGGAACTCCTCCAAATCGGGCCGGAGTCCGACCCTGATTGGGAGCCGAACAGGTATGCTGATTTGCTACACGCCGGCGCTGATTGCGGCGGTTCTTTCGTTCTGGTTGGATCCGGAAACCCGGACCCGGTCTCTGCTGCTCAAATCGGCTCTCACCCTTCATTTCCTCAAAAGGATTTTCGAGGTAACCCACGGTTTTGCTTCTTTATTTAATATTATTATTTCGGATGGAAAATTAAAATGCTTATTATTATTATTATTATTATTATTATTGTTTAAATTTTAAAATTATTTCAGAATTCTTATGCAGAATATTACATATAATAATAATAATAATACTCCCTCCATACCACCACGTAACAAGTAATTAAAAAGTGTATTAGTAAAAATAATTATTATTTAATAAAAATAATTATAGATAAAAATTAAGATAAATAAATAGTTTAATTAAAATTAAGAAAATTATAAAATTTAAAATGCATAATTATATTTTTAAAAATAAAAAGAACAAATTATGTGGGATAGACGAAAATAGAAAATAAGTACAAATTATACGGGATGGAGGCAAGAATAAATTTCCAAACATAGTTTCCGCAGAAAAAAGCACACCCTAAAATCCTTTTAAGTATACGGGGCGTGTTTGTTTGGTAGTGATTTGTTTAGTGTTTAGTTTGAGTTATTTTTACAAAATTTAAATATTGTGAATTATATTGATGATATAAAATTAAAAATAGTATCTATATATTCTTTAACAAACATTTTTTTTTTTTAAGACGGGATTGTCTGTTTGGGGTTTTAGTTTGAGTTTTAAACATATTTAAATAATTATTTTAATTTAATATAAATAAATAAATATTGATTTAATATTTTAAATATAAAATTAAAATTTAATATAAGATAAAATAGAATCAATTAATCTGATCCCAAAGGAAATGTATTGTTTTTTTATTTTTATTCTTTCCGGAATAATTATCATATTTTTTTATGCAGTAATGGTAGTTTTTATTTTATAACAAAATTATTTTTACTTTTTCAAAACTATATTTAATTATTACTTTAACTATTTTTTAAAACTCTTAAAAAAAAATTAATTTTGTCATTTACATTATACTTCGTACATCTTCTAATTTAATACTACTATTCATTCATTGTGCTGTTTTAAAAATAATAATATAATAATAATAAATCTTGAAAAATCACAACCAAACACGACCAAACAGTCGTTACTTACGTCATTTTTGAGTTCATAGCTGGTTGGGTTTGTGTTTGATTCGACGCTTCATTTGTTTCGTTGCTTTAATTTGGCAAAACATTTGTTTGGTTGTTGTTGGCCAAATGTCTTTTTGGTTAGGTTTGGCAATATGCTTTTTACTATTCCTAACATTTTTATTTTTTAATAAAAAACATATTAAATATTAGTACTATATTTTATTTCTCACTCTTAAATAAATACACGTCTCATTTAAGTATTGTTATATTTAAACAACACATTATTATTTATTCTATTTCAATTTAATATATTATTTTTATCAATCTCATTTAGAATATCATTTAAATTCATCTCAAAATTTCTTTGTAACTATTTAAGGAAGATGGAGGGTGTACAGAATATTTACTGTATTAAATAAATAAAAAAAAACTAATTTAATTCTAAAATTTTAATATTATAAAAAGATAAACACACACACAAACTTGTCTTTGAAATTAAAAAAAATAATCAAATTAATTTTTTATATATTAAAATTTTATTTTTTATTTATATTATATCAAACATTTTTAATATTATATTTAAATTTTGTTTCTATTAATTTATTATTATTATTATTATTTTAAAAATATAAATATAATGGGGCACTTTAAAATTATAAAAACTGTAGTACATTAATTTCTTGTTAGTTGTGTTTTGGTTTTGACAGAAATGATGTAAGTTTTGTTTAACTGTGGTTGGTTTGAAATTATTTGAAATAAGATGTTATAGTTAATTTTTTTTATTTAAATAATATTTTAATTTGATATCTTTTAAAAAAAAATAACACTTTATATATTTATTAAAAATCGTACTAACCAGACAATATAAATTTGTGTTGGAAATTATAAACAAACAAACCCTACCATCATGCAATGCAGTTGCAAGAAGGCTTAAAGCAAGATTAATTTATATTTCATTCAAAACCTTGCATTCTTGAATTTGTGAGTAAAATATATTTTGAATGAAAAATAATTATACAATGTAATATATTTAACAAAAATATTATATTCGTCCATTACGTAGGTATTCATTTATTTTATATATATATATATAAAATTTTGAATATTAATATAATATTTATATATAAGTACAAATCAAGAGAATATATTAAAATATTTTTAATATTAAATATAATATTTTATTTGTCCGATAACAAAGTATTTATTTTTTTTATTTTAATCTGGTAACAAAGTATCTATTTTCTTTTTAAGTAACTGTACTATCTTTCTAACATTACAAATACCCTTACAACTTACAATATATTACACAAATGTCATTACCTTTATATCACACAATACTAATAAGGTTATTTTAGTCATTTACACTTTATTCCTACTACATCCTAATATTTCTAAAACTCCGTACAAAAAAAACAAACTGATATATAGTTATGGAACGAAAAAAGTAATACAAAAAGCAAATAGATACGATGGAAATGAGTATATTCTATTATAAATTGAATAGATTTAAAAGCAAGATTGAAAGAAAATACTTGTATTTTTTAAACTACACAGAGTTTTGTAAAATAACATTTTCCTATACATATATATATTTCTACAGGTTTTATTCATCCACAATTATAGCGCTTTCATGGTTCTCGACACTGTTTTTATCATCTCGACTAGTTACATCTCTATAGTCGGGAGCCTTATATACTTTCAATATCGAGTTCGTAAATTTCCCGAGCCGTTGATTGATTTAAAATATGTCGGTTTGCTGGTGTTTATCATAGGAAGTTCCGGAAATTTTTACCATCATTATCTTCTCTCTAAGCTACGGAAAAAAGGCGAAAAGGGCTATAAGATTCCGAAGGGCGGTCTCTTTAATTTGGTTATTTGCCCTCATTATCTTTTTGAGATAGTGAGTTTTTTAGGATTCGCATTGATCGCTCAAACAGTGCATGGATATTTGAGCGCACTCGGATCTGCTGTATATCTATTTGGAAGAAGTTATTCCACCCGAAATTGGTATATTTCCAAATTTGAAGATTTTCCGAAGAATGTGAAGGCGATAATTCCTTATGTCTTCTAGATTATTGTTGTAATACAACTTAGTGTCCTAAGAGTTTTTTTTTTTTTTTCTTTCTAATCTATTAATAAAGTTGGATACTTAATGTTTAATGTTTCAATATAATTTTATGATAATTTGTTATAAGTTCATCATAGTTAATCAAATTCTGAGAAATTTATATTTTTTTATTTTTTTTATAACGTAAAAATTCGCAGTTGCTGTCCGAAAGATAAACCTTCGACCGAACCTAATACCCTGCAAACTAGGTTTAACAAAGAAAGTCACACTCATTTTATTATTAAATATGAACTATATATATATTATTTTACAATTATATTACCATAACAAATATTTAAAGATCTACTGTTTTGATTTTGTCTCGTACACATAAAAGTCCGATGTGTTTATCTATAATAAAAAAAATTAAATTAAAGCACAAATCAAATACACTCATAATGTTATATTATTTATTTCGAGTCTCTATGTAATTTTTACTATTTTGAATATTAAAAAATTCAACGCTTGTACTTTATCCATCTATTAAAGAATGTTAGGTTTATTTGATTTTAATTTAAAATTTGGATGATAATTTAAATTTGAATATAAATAATATACTTTAATTAAAAATGGTACAAAATAAATAGTATAATTTTTTTTATTTAAAATAAAAAATACACCAAATAGACGCAAAAAAATAAATAGGGCAGATGTACATAAGGGCTTTGTGTAGCTACCCCAATTCCTAATTTTTTATTGGATTTTTTTTGTCCTTAAATTGACCCGTATCATTTTAGTCTCATAATTGGAGATTATTTTAAAATAGGTCCGTATTTGAAATTTTTTCGTAATTTAATCATCAATGTCTATGTGGTACATGTGTGGCATGCTGACGGATACTTGTCGCCAGGTCAGCGCATGTGGCTAACACGTGTCTGCCATGTGGATTGCTTTTATTTTTTTTTAAAATATAAAAAAATTACATATTTAAAAATAAAGTAAATTTAAAATTTAAAATAAATAAAATAAGAAAAATAAAAATTATTCATATATCCGTCGAGTCAGCGTAACATGACCTTTAATAATCACATGACCTTTAGTAATTTATATATTAGTAAATTTTTTTATTATATTTTTTATATTTTATATTTTATTTTTAATATAAAAAATAAAAATTATCAACGTGACGAACACGTGTCAATTACGTAACGCTGATCTGGCCGAAACATGTCCGCCAGTCTGCCATACATATGTCACATAAGCATTGGGGACTAAATTGCAAAAAAAATTGATTTAGAGAACTATTTTAAGACAACCCCAAATATAAAAGAGTTCAATTAAAACACTAAAAAATTTACCCTTTTCTATATTTATATTTTTAGATTCTCTAAAATAATTATTAAATGCAATATTTTATGCCTAAAATAATACTCCCTCCGTTCCACATGCCGCTACACTGTAGATACAGTATTTTAGGAGGAGTATAATTAGTAGATAATTAAAAATATATTAGTGAAAATAATTATCCTATAATATAAATAATTATAAATTAAGATTAAGATAACTAATTAGTTTAATTAAAATTTAAAAAATAAATAAATTAAAAAGTTTAAAATGAGATTAAAGTATATAATTATTTTTCAAAAAATGAAAGAGACATGGTATTCGAGACTGACAGAAACGACATATGAGACGGAGGGAGTAATAAGAATAAGAATCAAGAAATAGTGAATTAGTATTGGTTTGGAAGAGTTGGCTCAGCTGCGGCTGACCTAAACAAATTTATAGTACATTGTTAGGCCTAAAAGTAACATAGACCATGCTATGTTTAAATACAATGTTATATTCTAACGTTATTTATTAATATTATATTTTAAAATAAATATAATATCAAGTACTTATTTTTTAAAAATAAATTATAATATTAAATACTTCATTTTTTATTATTTAAAAAAAATAATAAAATTTTCTAAACTGTTGTTTAAACTTAGCCTGCCTTTATAGTAATAGTCTGTTTAACCTAATCCTCAATTAAAATTAAACTTGATTGGTCCAATTTGCTTCATATCTTTAATTCAAACTAAATACTCGCTTCGTCCATAAATGAATATCTATTTGCTTTATACACGTAGTTTTAAAAATATTAGTATTATTTTTGGAAGTAGTATTCATACAGTAGAAATGACTAAAATAACCTTATTAGTATGTGTAATACAAAGATAATGACATTTGTGTAATATATTGTAAGTCGTAAGGGTATTTGTAATGTTAGGTAAATAGTACAGTTACTAAAAAAAAATATTTTATTATGAGACGGACTAAAATGGAAAAATGGATACTTTGTTATGGGACGGAAGAAGTAGTTTAATTTCTTTTAAAAATTTATTTGGAATGAGAGGATCAATATAACTATTATTATCGTTATTATTATTTAAAATGGAAAAGTTACATAGAAAATTCCTACTAATTTTTTGCTTGTATTAGAAAGTTACATAGAAATTCCTACATATAAAAATATAGTAGTATATAACACATCTTATATAAAATATTAATATGTACTATTAGTTCTACTTTACATTTACATGTTTATAAATTTATATCTAATGTATGATATAATGTTAATAATAAAATTATTATCTTATATTAATTAAAATATGAATAAGAGTTTCTGTTAGTATTTAATTTTATTTTAAATTATGTATCTAAAATGTATTCATCACTTAAAATATTGCTGGCTCCTCCGTTCATAATGTGGTATGAAAATTTGTGTAAAAAATATATAAAATATAAGTATTATTTTAAATCGAATATTTGATTTTTTATAACAAATATTTAAAGTTTTTTCTTCTTCTTATTTTTTTCTTTTTTTAAAATATTTTATATTATTATTTTTGGAAAATCGAATTATAAAACAGCGCAAGAGAACATACCCAATTATATAAAAGATTTCCATTTTATTTTTATACTAGTCTCTCTGTTTTAAAACTATAGTCTGAGTTGTGTTTGACAAGATATTTAAGAAATATTGATATTATATTGGTAGTAGATAAAAAAATATGAATAAAAGATTTTTTTACTATAAATGTATTAGTGTAAAAAATAGTGACAATTATTTAATAATAATAAAAAAGTAAAAATAATTTTATAGCGAGTATTTGATAACTTCAAAGTTAAATTTAAAATTTGTTGACCCGCAATAAGGGGATCTACAAGTCCCCATCTCTTTTCCGCTTAGGCATTCAACAATATATATAAAAAATAATTTTGGGTTTATCCACATATTTTATTTATTTATTTATTTTTTATAGAAATTCAACTTCGTGGATTTTTGAAAATTTTCATTATTCCATTTATATACTTATAAAAATCAAATTAAATATTTATTATTATATTATAATAAAAAAATAATTTCGCTTTTCAATATGAAACTAATATATATTTATATTATATATCAAGTAACAATAAATTTGAATCAAAATTCATTTATATATATAATTTATTACTAAAAAAGAAAATTGATACTTTGTTATGGGACCGATTAAAATGGAAAAATAGATATTTTGTTATGGGATGGAGGGAGTATATTTAGTAACGTACTATTAGCTAACATTACAAATACTCTTTTAATTTATAATATATATTACACAAATATTATTTCTTTATATCATATAATGCAATATTTTAGATTTTTTTTACATTTATTTTTACTATATCTCAATATAATACTAATATTTTTAAAATTTTACGTAAAAAAATAAATGAATAAATAGATACAGGAGAAAGGGAGTATGATATATATATATATATATATGGAAGTATAATGAAAATCGATATCCTGCAAAATTGAAGATATGACGATGGTGGTGGAAAGTTTCTTACACGAAGAGCCGTCGTCGCCCTACGTACGAGTTTTTTATGCGGCGTCGTTTCTGGCCTTCGTCGCTATTGCCGTGTCGGAGTTCGCCGGCAACAATCTCCAGTACGCCAAGTTATTGAAATCCGGCCGCCGGAATCTGATTCCGAGCAAAGTCGGGATGCTGATATTCTACTTTCCGGCACTGGTTCTGTCGGTTTCTTCGTTCTGGCTGTTTCCCGGCGCCGGAATTCGTTTTCTGCTCCTCAAATCGGCTCTCACCATTCATTTGCTCAAAAGACTCTTCGAGGTTAATTCCTTCTACTGCTTCTCTTTTATTATCACCGCCGTGTTTCTTTCAAGATTGGAATTTTTTATTTCACTTTTTATTGGTAAAATTTTAATTTGAAGTAAATAATATTTATTATTATCACCCTTCGATCAAATTTATTATCATAATTGGTGAATTTGAAGTAAATATTACTAATTATTATTAACTAATTAAACATCATCACCTTAAATACCGTTTCCCTAATCAAAATGTTTAATTTCGGATGGGACAGAGGGAGTATATATATAATTGCTTTTTTTAAATAAAATAAATATATTTAAAAAATGTGTGATATAAAATCGTTTCATTTGAATTGTTCAAATCATAAAGTTAAAAATTATTGTTCTATCTTCTGTTCTATTCGACAGGTTTTATTCATTCACAAATTTAGCGGTGCTATGGTTCTAAATACTGCAATTCTTGTCTCGATTTCTTATATCATATTTTTCGGAGGTATGAATTATTTTCAACACCGAATTCAAAGATTTCCGGAACCTTCAATTGATCTCAAATATGTTGGAGCTTTATTGTTTGTGGTGGGAAACTACGGTAATTTTTACCACCATTATCTTCTCTCTAAGCTTCGACGGGAGGGCGAAAAAGAATACAAAATTCCACAAGGCGGCCTATTTAATTTAGTTATATGTCCTCATTATTTCTGTGAAATCTTAACTTTCATCGGAATTGCATTTATCGCACAAACATTTTTTGCAGTAATGGGGACTATAGGAGATATTATATGTTTATTTGGGAGGAGTTATACCACTCGAAAATGGTATCTTTCCAAATTTGAGGACTTTCCAAATAATGTAAAAGCTTTGATTCCGTATATCTTTTAGATGATCGAACAAGGCAATACGATATTATGATTCGTTGTCCTAAAGTATTTTATATTATGTAATAGTGCATCGAGAATCTTTGCGATAATTGTATTTTCAAATATTTTAAATTAAGCAATAAAGATTGTTTGTATTGTTCTATTAATTTATTTAAGATATGGTTATTACAATAATGAAATTTATTAACATTCAAAGTTGTACCATATGCCTAGCTTATATTATATACTCAATATGGCTCATAATTTAAATAAATAAACGACAATATAAAATATATAAATAATTGAGGAGAGATCAAATTTTTTACTTATGTTTGTCAAATATTTATTTTAAATTCAAATTTTATGATAATTAAAACAATATAAAATTAAAGGGCACTTCCAAAATACATTTTACACATATTATAAATTTAAGGCCTTGTTCTATTTTATTTTTACTTTATAGTCTAGTCTAGTCATTTAAAAAAAAATATATATATATATACTTATTTTCATGCCAAATACAAGTATTATATTCAATAATTATTTACTTCATAAGAGAAAGAAAAAATTGTTTTCTTCCAACCCAATAACAAATCCCACAAATAAAAAATTAGCAATTGAAACACACAAGTGTTTGTTTGAGGGATTTGTTTGGATTTCTACTATTCATTTTTTTTTTTTTCAAGAAAATATCAAATCAAATACCTATTTTTTATTTTTTATATTATACTAAAAATAAATTTTACATTCAAAATATCACATCAACACCTATTTATATCACATCATACAACTATTCAAATTCAAAATTTTTACTATTCAAATCTCAAATCAAAATCCAAATTATAAAAATTTATTATATTTAATCATACTTATTATATATATTTGTCTGTTGAGCCTAATTGGCAGGGTATTAGATTCGATCGAGAAGCGGGTAACGACTGCGAATTCTCACATTATAAATAAAAAAATAATAAATAATAATAATATATTTTTATTAAAATCATCAAAAAAATAAAAAATTATTGGGATTAAAAAATAAGTACAAGTCAAACATGTTTATTTGGTGTTATTTATTTAATTTTGTTTTATTGTTATTTATTGTTACGTACGAAGCACTACATTCAACTCAATATTTAAATTAAAAATTATTTTTTTAAAAAAAAAAATTCAGGTAAACACACCATACAGTTTTGAATTTAAATTTAAATAGTAATTTAAATACGATATTTTAAATGCCAAAATAATATATTTTTATATAAAATTATTTTGTGTTTTCATTGATGTTCTCTTATTTTCATTTAAAAATTATCACGTATTATATTCATATTTCCGAAACAATATAAGCATAGCAATATATTATTATCACTTAAAAATTTTAAAAGAACAAAATAAAATAAAATAAATAAACACATAAAAAACACACACTTAATATTATAGTATGATAGAAATTTAAATTTTTTACGGAAAGTTGAACCTATGAAAACTAAAGAAACTAAATTCATTTAAACTATAGACTAATTTAGGGTTGGCAAAGTAAATGCATTATTTATAAAGTGTACTGTAACTTAGTAAAATTGTTTATTTACCCCACAATCAAACATTTCACCATTTTACTTAAAACTAAGTTTTAAGAAGCCTAGCTAGCTGTGTGTGGAATAAAATTATTCAATATGATGCAAAAAAAAAAAAAAAAAACATTTTAATAATTAATAGACAATACGTAGAATATAAATTAATAATACTTAATTTATGATAATATAATATAAATATAGCATGACAATAATTTACACCGTAGTACAATTATTATTGAACATAATCTTCAAGGAGAATATTTAACTATTTGATTTACAAGATTTATTCTTTTGGAATTTTAAATTGAAATTAATACGATTTATTTTTTTATGCAGTTAAAATTTCATTTAAATAAAAAATAAATTTAATATTTTATTTCAAATTAATTTCAAATTACAATCAAACAAATTCTAAATAAACACGATGTTCAACAAACAAATACTTCATCCGTATCATTTCAAATGATTTTTTGAAATTTTGTAATATATTAAAAAATAATAGTATTTTAATAATTAATAAAAATTGGTAAGAAATTTTGATATTTTTACCATTTAATTTTGTCTAAATTAATTATACGTATAATAGTATATTTATAATTTAGAAAAACGATAAGGGTAGTTTGATATTAATATATAATTACCCACCGTCCTAAAAAATTAGATCATTTGAAGTTGAAGCAGAAATTTAAAAAATAAAAAAAATAAACCGGTCGTTGTGGATATTTTTGAAATTTTAGTTAAAAATTTGAAAGAACGATGAGAGCGAATGTAATAAAAGTAGTGATATTGATTGTAAATAAGTGTTTGAGTTAAGGATAATAATTATATATTGATTTTTTAACTTTTTCAAATATAGTAACACTGTTGGGATTGGTCAACTAAATATTAATATGATATTGTACTTTGGATTTAACTTGATTTGTTTATTTGACTTTCTTAAAAAGATCTCGTATTAGTTGAGTTGAGTTGAGTTTATGTGTGAATTTTTCTACTCAATTTTTAATATGGGACTTGATTTGCACCTTTAAAGTAATAAGGTGAATTTTACGACAAAATAAAAAAAATGAAAAAAAAATTTGAGAACGAAAGGAAAGTAAGGGTTTGTTTGTTTGGGGGATTAAATTAAATTTTCACCATTCATCTCATTTTTTTCCCTCAAAAATATCAAATCAAACACCTATATTTTATTTTTTATATTATATTAAAAATCAATTTTACATTCAAAACATCACATCAACACATATTTATATCACATCATACAACTATTCAAATTCAAAATTTTTACTATTCAAATCCCAACTTAAAATCCAAACCCCCGAACAAACACACCCTAAAAAAGAATAAAGTATTCTTATATGTATATGTATATATAATATATATAATATTCAGGCAAGTTAAATCAGAATCAGTGTCGGGCTTTAATCAAAGATGGTGGTGGAAAGTTTCTTACACGAAGAGTCGTCGTCGGCCTACGTACGAGGTTTTTATGCGGCGTCGTTTCTGGCCGTCGTCTTCATGGGGGTGTCCAAGTTCGCCGGAAAGACTCTCCAGTACACCAAGTTAATGAAATCCGGCCGCCGGAATTTAATTCCGAGCAGAATCGGGATGCTGATAATCTACACTCCGGCGCTGGTTCTGTCGGTTTATTCTTTCCGGCTGTTTCCCGGCGCCGGAATTCGATTTCTGCTCCTCAAGTCGGCTCTCACCATTCATTTGCTCAAAAGACTTTTTGAGGTTTTTACTTCACATTAAATCTTCATTTATTTTTATTGGCAAAAATAAAAAATAAAAACTGGATTCTTAAAATTTAAATTTGCTTTGTTCATTGTTATAAAAGAATTGAACAAGCCTAAATTCGAATTTTACGAGCTAACCTTGACTCACTATTTTAACTAGAATACTAAACGAACCAAATCGATTATGTACCGACAATATATTTGAGTCGAGATCGAACAATAAATTCTCGAGCTTGATTGATTCATTTAACAACTCTATATATATATTAAAAAAAAAAAAAAATGTTCAACTCTTATTGAGATTAAAATACACTGTGGTTTACATTTTTTTAAATTTTCAAGATTTTTATGTCTTTTTTTTTAATGTTCTGCAGGTATTATTCATTCACAAATTTAGCGGTGATATAGCCCTTGACACTGCAGTTCTAGTGTCAAATTCTTATCTCGTATTTTTTGGAGGTCTAAATTATTTTCAACACCATATTCGAGGATTTTCGAAGCCTTCCATTGATCTAAAATATGTTGGTATTTTATTGTTTGTGGTGGGAAATTGTGGTAATTTTTACCACCATTTCCTTTTATCTAAGTTACGACGAAAGGGCGAAAAAGACTACAAAATTCCAAAAGGTGGCCTATTCAATTTAATTATATGCCCTCATTATTTTTTTGAAATCTTGACTTTCGTAGGAATAGCATTTATCGCACAAACGATCTTCGCATTCATGGGGGTTATCCTAGATATTATATATTTATTTCGGAGGAGTTATTCCACTCGAAAATGGTATCTTTTAAATTTTGAGAATTTTTCAAACAGTGTAAAAGCTTTAATTCCATATATTTTTTAGATTATCGATGCAATAGAACATTAGAACTTGTTGTCCTAAAATGTTCTATATTTCCATTAATACATCGTGAAACTTCACTATAGTTGTATTTTCAAACATTTTAAATTTAAGCAATAAAGATTGTTTGTATTGCTCTATTAATTGATTTAAGATATACGTATTAGAAGTATTTTGCTTGGTTTTGATATAAGTTTGAATTTTACAATTAATTTTTTAAAATAATATTTTATAAAATAAAATAATATATAAATTTAACGTGAACTTATTAATTTGAGTTAGAAAGTCAAATCAAATATATTATATGCTTATTACAATAATAAAATTTATTAACATTAAATCGTATCCAAAAATAAATTTACCCTACAAATAATATATACTTCCCCAACCCGCTAATTTTATGCTTATTTTTTTTCATATTTGTCCATTTATAAAAAAAAGTTTTTTTCTTACATATTTTTAAATTTATACTTTACAATTATGTCACAATTACTCATATAATTGTTTATATATTTTTTTACAGCCATTAATTCAATAATATACTTCTTAAAATACTCTTATTTTATGTCATAATCAATTAATATATTATTATATTTATTAAAATTCGCATTCAATGTACGAACCTAAAATTCGCATATTCAGAAATAATTTTTGCATAATTTTTTTAAAAAATAATAAAAAAATCAAAGACATGGATGTAAATATGCTTAGTTAAAATGCCCAAAATTAACTACAAAAATACGCAAAAGAAGCGCACACGTGCGAAACTAACGGATCAAAACAGACCAATTAACCCGTAATTAAATCTAATTAATTAATTATATAATAATAATAATAATAATATTGAAGAAAATATCAATATCAATACAAAACCCAGTGCTCCCCGTCCCTCCGGACCCCGAGTCCATGGAGCCGCGCAAACAAGTGCACGGCCCTCCTCACCCCCTCCCACTTATAATCATGCCCGAACATCACCCCCCCGGGCTTCCGTACAACCCTGTAGCCGTTGTTAATGTCGACCCACGCCGAGTGGAACTCGTGGTCGGCGTCGATCTCCACCAGGTCGCCGTAAACCCCCCACGAGCACAGCCCGTTCATCGCCGTCGTCGTCGAGAACGGCAGGTACACCACCGACTCCGTCGCGTTCGCCGCCGCCACGTTCTGCATGAACTGGTACAGCAGCATCGTGTCGCCGTTCACCATCTCCATCACTTTTCCGGCGTCGGCGTGCGCCGGCCATCCCCGGAAATCGTCGATGCACAGGATCTGGACGCCCTCCAGCCCTAATTTTTCTGCAATTCCGGCCATGTGGATCGCCGACGCTCCCAGATACGTCCCGACCTCGATGATCGTCCTCGGCCGGACCCGTCGGATCAGCCGCTCGAACACGGCGGCGTTCGACCCCCACCCCACGGCGAATTTCTCCAGCAGCAGCGGCTTCGCGTGCGCCGGCGGGAATCCGGTCCACGGCGACTCGCCGTGGAACACGTTTTGGATGATCGTTTCGCGGACCTTCGCCGGCGGCACCGCCTCCGCGCATTTGGTGGGGAATTTGTGGTGTAGCTCGGCGTCCGCCGCCGTGACGGTGGCGGCGGAGAGGAGGAGCGGCGCCTGGGAGTAATTGTCGCGGTAGAGGAAGCCGAGGATGAAGGAGAGGATGAGGAGGACGACGACGCCGTAGACCTTTGGATTGGCGGCGAGATCCATCGCCGCCCTCAGGCGGCTCTGCCGCCGGCGGGGGTGGTGGTGGCGGTCGTCGTCTTCTTTGTTCATATTTGTATGGTTAATTGATTTAATTTTATTTTTTGTGCCCTAATTTGATGTGTATTTATAATGAAGGCAGTGAGAACTGTTTAGTGTGTCTATTTTAAATTTTTTATTTTTAATTTAATTTTAATGTTATATCTGAATGGTTGACTCAGTACTGTTATAGTAATAAATAAGCGTTAGGGGTGCCTAAGCCTAACATACTACTAATAAGTATTATTTGACTAATTGATGTTTATGTGATGAGATCCGATTTTTAATGGGTCGTTTTCTAAATATTGTATAACTATAATTTATATTCCATCTTTAAGAATTTTATAGGAAATTAAGAAAAAAAAATATATATATATATAAAATGAAATTAAAATTAATGACTATTTTAGTGAAATGTTACATTTTTTTTGGTATTATAGTTATATAGAAAGTTCTTCAACATATTTTATGGTAAATTAAGAAAATATACAAATAAAAAATAATAAATTTCATTATTGTGCAAAGACAAATAGACTATTAATAAAAAATAATTATTTAAGTGGAATGAGGTTAGTATTATTTATATTTCATTAAATTTTGTTGTAATATATATATATATATATTCAATCTAAATATCATAAGTTTGTCTAATGGTATCTTTAAATATGATGTTTTATAAGAAAAAAAAATTTAATTTCACACACACACACAAAATACTTGAATAAAAAGAAAAAAAATGAACAAAATAAATACCAAAGTCATATATCTACATTTTGTTTGTAATATTAAATGTGAAACTATTGTAAACCAAGTGATAATTATTGTTATAAATTTAACATTTTAATGTCATATGGCAAAACTATAATAAGTAATTTTATATGGATATAATATAAGTAAATTTATTTTAATTTTGTTAAAAGTTTAGAAGTTTAATAAATATTATATTTTAATAATAGTTAGTAATAATTTTGTATATAAAAATTATTTTATTCCTATGATAGTATAAAGTTATTGTGAGAATAATGATTTATATATATATATATATGATATTTGTATTATATAGCATAATTTATACTTACTAAAAAAAATTAATTTTTTCTTGGAATAATAAAAAATAGTAAAATATATCGTTATCGAAGGAACATGAAGCATTTGGTTCTAAAGTAGAATATATTTTACTCTATTATATTTGTCTACTAAATTATAGTATTACAATATTCAAAATATTTAATTTATTTTTTTTCTTAAAAGTACTCGAGTAACAATTAAAAGTTAAAACACTAAAAGCATAAACAAACATAAGAGATGTATTTATTTAGTATCTTAGTTTTTTTTTTTTTTTCATAAAATTTTAAAAAATTGTATTAATAATATAAAATTAATATTTTACATATAATGTTGATTCCATGTATTGGGAATGCTTATTGGGTGAACAAGTCATATGGTAAGATAGATACAATTTTCTTTTTAAAATGGACTCATTTTTTTAGGATATTGGGTATGTTTTTTTTTGATAGATTTGAAAAAATTTGGTATTAAAATAATGTATGATGAGATATTTTAGAAGAAAATTCGAGAAATCGGATAATCTAAGTAGTGAAACCTGAGATTTTGGTCAAACGAAACAAACCCCATTGTTTGGACTCTACAATTGGGATTATAATTTCAATAATGTTCATTTTAATTTTTTTAAAAAAATTCACTTATTATTATTTTTGAAACATGCTTTAAATTATTTTTAATAAAAAAATATATTAATAAATCGAACTTTAAACTAATATCATTAATTTACAACCCAATAGGCCCTTAATGTTTGAACAAAATAAACTTTAATTGTTGGGCCTGATGGGCTTTTGTGGGCCACTTGGGCCCAATTCATTTTGCAAATTACTGTCGACATCACAAATATATTCACTTGTGTTATATATATACTCATTGGGCTGAAAATCAATAATATACAGTATTATATTGTATTATTATGTGCTGTCAGAATATGTATGATATATTGTACTCCCTTCGTCCTAAACACATTGCGAACATTTCCTTTTCTGTATGTCTCGAACACTCTGCAACATTTCCAAAATAGGAAATAATTAATTATACTTAATATTTACCCCATACTTTATCCCCTCACATCATCCAAATAAAAAAAATAAAATATACATTTCTCTCTCCATCATATCACCTAATTTTTAAATTATCCTATTTAATATTAACCACTTAAAAACCCGTGCAAAAAACAAATATTGCACCTTATTTGGGACATATGAAGTATTATATTATCATGTATTGTTATTTATATATTGTCTATCACGTGTGTGTATATATATATATTAACTGAATCAAATCGACATCATGATAATTTAATCAAATCAGTATAAAATTGTATCGCTCGTGCATAACTCCGATTTGTCCATAATGGTATATTTTTTTTAATAAATTTTTAAAAAAATTAATTTAAATTTGATATTAAAATAATGTACGATGGAATATATAGCCCAAATAATAGATAACTGAAGTTTGATGTCAAAGAAACACACCCTAGAATAATATATACTTACATATATATATATATGTATATATATTTTCTCAACTAAGATTTGCATGTGACGAGATGACTCATGAGATGCCTAATACCTTGCAAAGCCATCCTCTCTCTATAGGTATTTCATATTTTTAATATAAAGATAATTACTCTATTAAATATAAAATTTGAAAAAATTAGATAATAATAATATAAAAAATAAAAAAAAAACATTAACCATAGGTGTACATTAATTCCTTTTCCAGACTATCCCTTTTGTCCTAAACTCAGCAGACAAACCATAATTTAGAACATTCTTAATTCTTATCCACTTACACATTCTAAACAATTTTTAATTTTTCATTCACCCCACGGCGAATGATCTCCCTTTGCATACAAAGTTTAATTTTTAATTTTTATTTTTAAAATACTATATAACATAACATTTTATTAAAAAAAAATTGATTTGACATTTTGTGAAATATATATATATATATACACGATATATTATACTCTCTCTGTCCTCCTATAAAATATACGTATTTATATTTTGGGACGTTCAATTACAAAGTTTTTACGTTTCATTAAATACCTTATTTTTTTTTTCACAAATACCCCTTATTTTACATCATATTGTTACTTTTACATAAAAAATAAAGACAAAAATGTCATTACACTACTTTTAACTACTCACTATAATTAAAATAGTATTATTTTTTAAACACCTCGCGTCAAAAATAAATGTAAATATTGTAAGTGGACGGAGAGAGTATTTTACAAAATTATCGTAACAAATCAGCACGGTGTTGAATTTTGTAGTTAGATTGTACTAATAAAGCCACTCATTTAAGTTTTGTTTAGATAAAGGTTTTTGGAGGTTTTTGAAATTTTGGAAAAATAAAAATACTAGTATTTGATTTGATGTTTTGTGAAAAATATATATATATATTTGATGTGATATTTTTTGAAAAATAAATAGTGTAAGTGTGTTGGGTAAACAAAACTTTAAACTCTATTTAGGGCGATATTGTTGAAATTTTGACACTATTAATTAATAATTTTATATATGGAATAAATCAACTGTCACTTGTGGCAAGTTTATGGAGGTTATCTATGAAACCTCCATTTCCAACAACTTGGACAACCCACAATAAATGTAGGAGGATCAAATTCTTGAAATTTATTTAAGGTCACATTCACTTTCCATCTTTATTTTTATTTTCTCACCATATTTGTACATTATGATCTGCAAGTTAGTTTCTTTTTCTATTTATGGTCTCCCTCCCTATTAGCACAATTATTTTGGGCATGGGCAGATTATGTCTATATATACACATCTTTATTTATATACTTTCATTTCATTACAACATATGTGCTGTCTGGTCTTTGGCACTGTGAATCGACACTGAAACCAGTCCGAGTAGTCCACTTTTTGTCCCCTTCTCTTCACCTTTACACCTCCTGCACTACAGCGGACCCCTACCCCACCCCACCCCCTCTACCCAAGGTTTTCTGATTCAAAAATGGAGTCTTGGGCACAATTTCTGCAGCAATTCTTTCCAATGGGCTCCCAATTTCCTCCTCGGATTACCCTTTTTTAAGGTTAGTTCTTTCCATTTCCCCCCTTTCTATGAGACCCCATTTTTCGATTCCCTCACAAGACGAGGTTTTTAATTTCATTAATTCAATCGAGCATGAAGGAATTCCCATCTTGCTTCGGGGATAATGGTGTTCAGGTCGTCGATTTTCGTTCCTCAAACAATTACAGACCTAAATTAGGGCAAAATCTTGTCACCTGCGTCTACCGTTGTCGATTCCATGGCAAAATTTATTGGATTAGTGTGACCTGGAGCAAGAACTTGTTGGGGCAAGGGTTTAGCATTGGGATCGATAGTTGTAGCCTCAAAACCCTCTGTAAATTGGACATCAAGCCATGGATATTCTCCAGGAAGAAGAAAGGATCGAAGGTTCTAGAATCCGACCCGTTCCGAATCCAAGTGTATTGGGACGTTTCCTCTGCCAGATTCGGATCCGGGCCGGAGCCGTCGGAGGGGTTTTACGTCGCCGTTTTGTTCGACAACCAAACGGTTCTTCTTCTCGGCGACATGAGGAAAGAAGCCTCGTTTAAAACGGGGTCCGTTATAACGCCGTTATCGGCCGCCGTTTTCGTCTCTAAGAGAGAGCATATCGTCGGAAAGAAGGTGTTCGCCACCAAGGCGCAGTTTTCCGGCGTGAATCGCACGCGCCGCCTTGTGATCGAATGCGACAGCGGCGCCGCCGTGCCGTGCCTGGCGATCGCCCTCGACGGGAAGCTGATCGTGCAGGTGAAGCGGCTCCGGTGGAAGTTCCGGGGAAATCATGTTGTTTTGGTGGATGGAGTTGCAGTTGAGGTGTTTTGGGATGTTCATGATTGGTTGTTTGGTGGGTCTTCGTCGTCGTCGCTGTCGTCGGGAGTGTTTATGTTTCGGACGAGGGAGCCGGCGGAGGAGCTGTGGCGAGGTTGCAACGATCCTCGCGTTTTGCGGTGGTCGTGGTCGCAGAGATTTGATGACGCGGAGTTGGAGGGCGGCGGGTTTTCGTTGGTTTTGTATGCGTGGAAGAGTGAGTAGAGTTTGTTCGGGTCGAGAGCTAATTGATAGTGATAATGAGTCGGGAGAATGGTTTAATGTGGTTTAGTCGCGTAAGAAATTGATAAGATCGCGCGGTTTGGATCGAGCCATGATGATATGATGATATTCTTTATTGACATTCTTGTACATTGGTTGTCCTCGCTGTTTTTTTTTTTAAACTTACATGCTTTGGATGTGTTCTCCCGCGGGCAAGAATTGGTTTTATACATATGTTAGGAAGACTGAATAATGTGTAATTAATGATGCATTTTTTTATTAATTAAGTTTAGGTGAGATGATTATTTAACATAGATATCTTGTGAGGATAAGAATGAAGTGTGGTTTGGTTAGTTCTTTTCGAGTTAACTTGTTGTCTTGTTATTACATTCTTGTTTTCATTGCTCGACATGTTTGGAGCTCATTTGTTGTTGTACTAGTGTGAATTTGCTAATCGGTTGGCATTTTCGCTGGGACATGGATGGATTGCTCGAGTTTGTCTGGACATACTCGAGAAGTAAGGTAATTGGATTGACGATCATATGTTACATTTAACTCGTTGAAGTGTGTAAATTGTCTTTACGCCTTGAGATGTTCTAACCGTGTCTTTTGTTGCTAGAAACGCGACTCTAAGGTATTTATGCTTTTAGTACGAGATTTGTTTTTGAGCTATATATATCATTAAATAAATGTTAATTGTCATTGAGATTTTTGGAAGACTATATAATATGTAATTAATAGTTTACAGGTAACTAGGTTCGACCGGAGTATATCCGGTGCATATTTTCAATTCTGGTTCCAACGTCATAAAAATAATAATAATAAATAAATAAATAGTAATGTATGTTATTTAATTGACAAGATCGGATGTGATTGCAGGGTGGAACTCTAAATATGTAGAATGAATGCGACCGTGCTAGATTGTCTGAAAATCTCTAGCAATGATTACACTGTTATTTTTATAAAAATATAATTATTTTTATCTTATAAAATATTATATTTTTAAATTAGTTAAAAGAAAAAATATATTTTTTATTTAGACAAGGTTTTTGAATTTTTTGTTTTTGAAAATTTTGAAAATAAATTTAAGTTAACTGGATGTTACTTTATCCCAATCTAACAAGCACGTCAATGCTCTATAATATTTATGTCACGTATTCAAATAATTTTTCAATTACAATCAAGAAATTGCACAATGGCTCCATTTTTTCACTTTCAAAAAATATTTTTACAAAATTATTTTATTCATGTATCTCAAAATTATGATCTTGCTCAGTCGAGCATATTTTGAAAAATCAAACACCAAATTTGTGATTTTTTTGGCTTCGATCAAGGAGGCCGACAATGTCACAATGTGGATCCATCCGCGTTTAGGATAGGAGACGGGGAGAGAGAGAAAAAATTGAGAAAACAAAAAATAATTTGAAAAAATATATATATATTTTTATCAAAAGTATATAAAATTATGTCAGTAATTTAAAAAATTACTTGTGTAGAGAACTTGAAAGTTTAATATAAAAAATATATATATAAAAAAAATCCATAATATTTTGAACAATTTATAAAATATTGTATTAATAACTTTTTATTTTAATAAAATAATCTTATACACTTTAATTAGTGTAATTATAGTAATGCAATTTATATTAAATGAATATATAATTTATTTTTAAACTGTATTCACTTATATTATATACATAATCACCAACCTGAACTAGAATTCGAATAAGGAGGTGACTAATTTTATTTTTTTCCAAAAATTTGATATACCGAAAAATCGGAATGATAAATATATACTACCTCTGTCCATCGTCAATTTATTCATTTTTATTTGGCGTCGTTGTTTTTAACATTAAAAATATATTTATATTTGTATAATTTTTTTTACAAATGTCATTATATTAGTATTATAAGGCACCAATAGAAATATTTTTGTCGATTTTCCTTAATTTGTACTACGTATAGATTGGCGGTGGATGGAGGTGGTATATTGATAGTTTAATACCATACCGAAATTTTGATGTAGTATCATACATATTATTTCATACCTAAATATTAAAATTTTAAATAATAATTTTGGTATCAATATATTGAATTATTTTTGCATATCTAAATATTGAATACTAAAATAAAATACTCACTCCGTCCCGGTGAAAGAGTGACATTTACTTTTTGCACGTCGATTTTTTTTTAATATTAGTATTATATTGGATTGTAGTAAAAAGGACAAAAATACCCCTATTAGTATGGTGTAATATAAAAGTAAAAGTAATAGCATTTGTGCAATATATTGTAAGTTGGAAGGATATTTATTATATTAGGTAAGTAGTACAATTACTAAATTAGAAAATGGTAACCTTATTTTGGGACGAACGAAAATGAAAAATGACAACCTTTTAATGGGACAGAAGGAGTATCAAATTATATATGATATCGTACTAAAAAAATTTAATTTGATATTAGCATACCATAAATTTTAATATATTAAAAATTTTAATATAAATTTTTATTATATATACCAAATATTTATATTTTTTTACTATATATAATTTTAAAATTATATAAATTATTATAAAAAATTTAAAGAATAGAAAAAAAAAAAAAAAAAAAAAGAGTGGGGTGTGGGGTGGGGGTGGTGGGAGAGGGGGGGTTGCCCCCACGTAGTTAAGCCCATGTACATAATATAACATAGAATAAAATATTACTATTAGCCTATAAAAACCGAATAAACACAAAACATTTAAAATAATTTCACAATTTTGAATAGTTAACAATAAAATTTCCATAAATAGTAAAATACAAAAATGACCCTGAATGTTTGAAAAATTCACAAATACAGTACTGTCATTTGTTTAGGATATCATTTGAGAAGAGTCAAAAAAGTATGGGCCAAAATACTATTGTTCATGTGAACCACGAAAATAATAATTATTAATTATAATATATTCCAAATTTTAATAAATAAATAAATAAATAATTCAGACCACACAGGATGTTGTATCTTCTATTGTTCTTTCAGTTATATATATAAAGACAATTCTACTATACTCCTCCTTTCGGTCATGTACATATTTATTTATTTTTTATACGATATATTAAAATATTATATATGATAGATAGGTAGTGTGTAAATTTAGTAGGAAATAGTAGGATTATAATTTTATATGAAATATAAAAATATTTTATTAATATATAAGGTTAATGTATAAATAATTTATTAATATGTGAGGACAATATTTACTTTAAATTAATAAATGAATACATTGACTATAAATAATCTAAAATATTAAAATAAATACATTGATAAAAGGACGAGTATCTTTTATTAAAGTAGCATTTGTTTTAATAATTAAAAAATATTTTAACATATTAATCTTACACAAACATAACAGCAGTTGCTATAATTAAAAAATAAAATAAAATAACTAAAATATAAAAACAATTAAAATTACAAAAAAATGGACACTTTTTTATTTAACGATTTAGGTACCTGGCGCAGCTATCCGAAAGTGTGTACTGAGTAAACCGGAAAAATAATCTTATGGTCACAAATCTAATTCCTACCCCACCATGCCATCCCTTACGAGACAAAAATAAAAAATAAAAATAAAAATAAAAAGAATGGACACATTATATTTATCAATTCCATATGTCAACTCAATATTAAATTCACACAACTAATTAAAATAAAAACAAAAATTAGCATTAATATATTTGTCAAGATTTCAAAATGTTAAATTAGTCCCGCAACTTTGTCATTTTCCAGTGCTTCCCCAATTCTGCTGCCCACACAATTTTTATTTTTATTCCAAATTGACCCCACCATCAATTTATTCAAATATCTTTACATAAATGGTTTCATTTTTTACCAAGGATTTATTATTATTATTAGGTATCCTAAAATTTTCCTTACACTGGACAATCAAGTCAACAGATTTATCCAATTTGTACGGCTGGCAATAAAAGCAGTAAATTTGGAACATTAAGGTAAAAATAAAAAAAAAAATATACATAATGGTAAACATTTTCGTTTAGACACAAATTTTAGAAAATTTTCAAATTTGAAAAAAAAGTAAATTTAATTTTTTATTTGATATTTTATGAAAAAAAAATAATTTAATATGATATATATTTTTTTTAAAAAATAAATAATACCAAATAAATAAAAATTAATTTTGTAAAAAAAAAAACCTAATTTTAGGGTGAATTTATTTGATAGATTACACTAATTTGGAATCATCCAATGATTGCAATAAATAAACGGACAGTAGCATGTGACGCCCCAATGGATAGCATGTGATCTCCAACGCCTCAAAATGAACGGCCCCGATTAAACATCTATCCTAAACCTGCATTTGCCTCCTTCCACAGCCTCAAAATAAAAATAAAAATATATAATTAAAATAAATAAATAAATAAAATGGAGCCGATAAAAAAGAATCAACATAAATCAAATACATATACTCCTACATACAATTTAATTTAATTGTATAAGAAATTTCGTAAATATTATTGTATTTTTAAAATATATGTATTAAAGTTAAGTAATAAAATATATGTATTAAAGTTAAGTAGTACGCCCTTCCTAAATATTATTGTATTTTTAAAATATATCTATTAAAGTTAAGTAACACTTCCTTCATTTGACTTCTGCAGTTTGTAGTAAATTAAAAAATAATAATATTTTATTGATATGTAAAAATATGTAAATTTTTTTGATATTTTTAATGACAAACATAACGATATATTTACAATTTAAATAAAAATAATAGTATTTTAATATTAATATAAAATTATTTTTTATAAAACATGAAATGAATAAGAGATAGGCGAAAATATAAAACAATGTACTTTGAAGGAGTAACATTTGCTTTGTTTTCAAGTGTTATTTTTTAATTGTGATTTTTCAAAAAAAAGAATAATAATAAAAAAATAGAAAATATTTATACAAAAAAAATAAAAAAACTTTATAAAAAATAAAATTTTATTAAAAAATTAAATATTTAATTTAAAATAAAATATTTTATATTTTTAACACAAAATTTATGCCACGTACAAAAATTATTTTATCTATTTGTTTGGGGGGATTGGATTTGTTCATCCCATTTTTTTCCCAAAAAATATCAAATCAAACACCTATTTTTTATTTTTTATATTATACTAAAAATTAATTTTATATTTAAAACATCACATCAACACGTATTTATATCACATCATACAATTATTCAAATTCAAATTTTTTACTATTCAAATTTCTATTCAAAATCCAAACCATCAAACAAACAAACCCTAAAAGTATTAGATGAACAGTATCAATATAAAATTATTCTTTTTAAAAAAATTGTTAAAAAAGGAAAAAACCATAATAATGCAGAAGGGATTGAAAGCAGTGGAATTTATTACAGGTAACCCGCCAAAAGCGTGGCAATTCCCAATCCCATGAGTCATGACCACTGGGGAAGGCTATTTTCGTCTTTGGCGCCAACTGCATTCTCCAAGTGGGGTTGAAAATTGAAAATGGTGGTGGCCATGGTACGGAAACACTCTCTTCCAGTCTCCCTCCCATACACAAAAACTCTCAACCAAACCAAACCCAAGCCCTTGTCTTGCGTTGTTCTGCCTCTCTGCGATGGCCACGTATATTTGGACTGTATGCTCCAAAATACCCTATTTATTCTGTGAACCCTGTGCTCCCACTTATCTTTTCCCTCTGCACATTCATCGCAGCACTCGCATGCATACTTCGCTGCTCCGCCACTCCCAGGTCGTGCTTTTATCATTCCATCTTGCTAATTAATTTCTGCTCATGATCACTGAGAATTGTGTGCTGTTGCTGATGATGATTGGGCTGTACTGTAGTTGTTGTAGTTTTTGATATGTTGGAGGCAGACATACGGATTATGTGATTTTGAGTGGAATTAGATAGTGATTTAGTAAAACTTGAGTTTGTTAGGTTCGAGCTACATTTTTTGTGAATGTTTTTTGAGATTTGTGTTGGTAGGTAGGTAGGCATGTTTCTAGTCAATGAAACTGGATGGTGGAGAAAGATTTGTTTGTTTATTTATTTATTTATTTTCATCAAAACCAATCACAGAAGATCTTTAGGGGTGTTGTAATAGTAGCCATTAAAATAGTTGGATTTTTGTTTTGCTTAATATAGTTATCTGATTGCTTCTCTGATGTATAGGTACACTTGGTTGTTTTCTAATTGGAGCAGATGAAGAGGAGGATGCTTATGTAGTGGTGATTTCTAGGGGGTTGTTTTTTGATGGTGATAAAGGAAACTTGGTAATAGATTCGATGCGTGGGTGAGGCTTTCGGTTGATGGTTTTGAATCGTCTGTTGCAGTGCCTGCTGTTGCGAAGAACGAGGGAGAAGAGCAGCGAGTACTTCAAATGCAAGGGGAACACTCTGGGGATCTGACGGGAAATAAGTGGATGGCATTTGAGATTGAGAATGAGCCTAGCAGATTGCAGACAATGTCTTCTGACAATGGAAGTGCAGACTTAGATGGAGATTCAAAGGGAGCACGAGCTGAAAAGAGCACAGAAAGGGGAGTTCCGGTGGAGGTTAAAATAGCTCAGAGAACTGCCGAATGGGGGCTTATGGTTAGGACAGATGTAAGTGATGGTAGTTTTCTTGCTGTTGGTACAAGCTCGAGTAATCCATTAGGAGATGTAGATAAAAGAACGAATTCTATGGAAAGACATGGAGCTGGATCAACAAGGTCATCAGAGGAATCAAATATTGGTAATGAGTTTCCGCGGGTGTCTCAAGAGATAAAGGAAGCTTTGGCAACACTTCAGCAGACATTTGTGGTTTCTGATGCAACAAAGCCGGATTGCCCTATTGTCTATGCTAGCAGTGGCTTTTTCACAATGACAGGCTATTCCTCGAATGAGATTATTGGAAAGAATTGGTAAGATTGTGCATAAATATTTTTATCTCATGTACTATGTAAGGACCAAGATTAACTGCCTTAGTTCTCCCCTTGATATCGAAATTTTGAATAGTCGTTCCGCTGTTATGATAGTTTTGTTTCAAAATTTTGTATTCATTTAGATTTTTTAGATTTTGGAAAGATGCTGAATATAACTCTCAGTTGCTTTGTTCAGCCGTTTTCTACAAGGCTCCGAAACAGACCAAAACGAGGTAGCCAAAATAAGGGATGCAATAAAAACAGGACGAAGCTATTGTGGAAGGCTTCTGAACTACAAGAAAGATGGCACTCCTTTCTGGAATCTACTGACAGTAACTCCAATCAAAGATGATAAAGGAAGAACTATAAAATTTATTGGGTAAAGTCATTTCTGTTCATCAGCACTGGCGAATCTTAGAATTTGCATATACTACTCCTAGGCTGCTTGAAAAGTTTATATACTACACTCTTTATATCCAAACTGGTGTATAATAGTTTGAAAACAACCAATAAAGTATGTACTATCCCTTGACTAGTTGATTGTTGGTTTCTCCATCTGAAACATGTTATTACTTGGCAGAATGCAGGTTGAAGTCAGCAAATACACGGAGGGGATGAATGATAAAGCACTGAGGCCCAATGGATTACCAAAGTCACTAATTCGATATGATTGTGAGTAGTTATACATATCTTGTTAATGTAGATAACCAAATTCCTATGGAAGTCTCACTTGTTCAATTTAAAACAGCTCGCCAAAAGGTAGAAGCTTTAGGATCCATCATAGAGGTGATACAGACCCTTAAGAATCCAAAGTCTCACATGCGGTCTAGGAGCCATGACATTGGCTCCAGGACTGAACTTGAGAAGTCAAGCATAGATCAAGTGCTCCCTGGACCATCTGAAATGGTATATAAAGGTACACCTCGACGACAGACCTCTGTAAGAGATCCAAAGAGTAACTTACCTAGTCCTGTCCCTCGTCAAGACACAAGCAATAAGTCTAGAAAATCTACCCGTCTTTCATTAATGGGGTGAGCCTTCTCCTATTCCTTGTTTTCTTAATTCTACATTTACTTAATTTTTTTTATTTTTTGGTTTCTGAAAACTGCAAGATATTATGCCCAAAATGTGCTGCACACGTTTAAGTAAAAAGAAAAAGGACTCTGAGGGAAATTACAATTGTGTTGGGGGGAGGGCTGTGCATCTGGTCTTAGTCTTGTCACTATTCTTTAAGAATTTAATCTTATATATACATTTTCTCAATGAACTTTTAAGTTTGGATGAGGTTTATATGTATATGAAAGTTTCAGATGGAGTACTTCTGTAAATATGTCAATGGAGTTGAACACATTTGCTAGAATCATCATCTGTAAAAATTTTCTTCAACCTGCAGTACTATTTTGCCACACTATATTCTAATTTTCTGATATTGAAGATACTGTACACATTGAAATAACCAATGTTTTGAGAAACTAATTGAAGTCTTATTTGGACGGTCTAATCAAATTTTATTTACAAAAAATCCTGGTTCAATGACACTGTATCTGTATGATGTGATACTAGATTGTAGTCTTTACTATTCATAGACAATCTTCAGTTGTGTTATAAGTTATTGCTGTTATGCAGGTTCAAGCGGCGGTCTACACACAGTGCAGAAGAAGATGAGCAAGTTATTGAGCCTGAGATCTTAATGACAAGAGATGTAGAACGGACAGACAGTTGGGAACGTGCAGATAGAGAAAGGGATATACGCCAAGGGATTGACTTGGCTACAACATTAGAACGCATTGAAAAGAATTTTGTGATAACCGATCCCAGACTTCCTGATAATCCTATTGTGAGAGCAATCCTATGTTATGAGCCCTTTGAATCTTCTTTTGGGAATTCAGTTGATTTTAGCCATTAGAAAATGTTTCTCAAAGTAGTTAAATAGCATTATGCCCTTGTTCATGGGTGATTACACTGAAAATTACATTCAAGTTCTTCTCTGTTAGTTTTGATTATTACTGTTGTGAAGATATCTTGTATCAGACTGTAAGAATTCAGCTCTTCACTTGCAGATATTTGCATCTGATAGCTTTCTTGAGCTTACCGAGTACACCCGTGAAGAAATTTTGGGACGGAATTGCAGGTGTGTAATTTACTTTTTGTTATTGGTGTTCAAAAGTCATTCTGCTTTTCATATGAGATGAACATAATAAAAAACTTCTTCTCTTCAAATGTGGGCTTAATTAGTATGATTGAGATGTTATAATAGATGCACCAAATATTATGCCTTCGTGTATTTTCTTCCTTCAGAAGCTGGAAGCAGGCTAATTGATTTCACTTTACATGTGGTGGAGCATTTCCATTTATTAAGAGGATATCTTCAATACTTCCAAATTCTAAATATTATATTATATGGGAGATAGCAGTGATGTGTAATGCTATTCAAACATTCACAGGTTTCTTCAGGGACCAGAAACTGATCAAGCAACTGTTGGAAAGATAAGGGATGCTATCAGGAACCAAAAGGAAATTACTGTTCAGTTGATTAATTATACAAAAAGTGGTAAGTTGTGGCTTTGATATCCATAATTACAAGTCATGAGGACATCTGATATTTGTTAGTGAAAACTTTAACTGGGAATTATAATATGTTGTTTGCTTTTCTGAATTCCAGGGAAGAAATTTTGGAATTTATTTCACTTGCAACCTATGCGTGATCAGACGGTAATATTTTGACATCAAACTCTATTGTGATTCATAATTAGGATATTATATCATGGATGATACAATCTAATTCTTTCATCCTTGTTCTCATTTTAGGGTGAACTCCAATATTTCATAGGCGTCCAGCTTGATGGAAGTGATCATATGGAACCGTTGAGGAACCGTCTCTCAGAAAGAACAGAACAACAGAGTGCTGTGTTGGTGCGCATTTTGCTTCTACCCTTAATCTTTATTGTTTCATAAGGCTCAGATTTTTATTACTAAATACTTTGGATCAAAAAAATTTTGTGTTTCAGTGATCTTTTTTTATTACATCACTAAAAAATCAACAATCAGTACATCATCAGTGACCATTAGGAAATCTATCATTCCTTTATGTCGATGAAATGGCACATCAGCTAAACATTTCTTTCCCAGGTCAAAGCTACAGCAGAAAATGTCGATGAAGCTGTTCGAGAACTTCCTGATGCCAACTTGGTAAGGTATTCCTTTCTCTCTATCACAAACATTTGTATATAGTTTGTTAAATTATAGTGCTGAACAGGTTTACGTCTGATTAGAATATAGGAAATAAAGCTTAGCATTGCAAGTAGAATGGCATTTCATGGTTGATTTCTGATACTTAGTTACTAAAATTTGAAAGCATGGGCACCGCTGTTATTATTCTAATGCAAATTTTCCTGTGTTATTTTCAGAGGCCAGAGGACCTGTGGTCTATGCATTCTCAACCTGTATTCCCGAAACCTCATAAAAGGGATAGCGCTACATGGGCAGCAATAAGAAAGGTGCAACTTTTACAAGCTTGAAACTATGAATTTGTTTAAGCCTCTACTACATATTTTCATAATCTTAGACTGTTTCATCAAGTTAGAGAATACATAGCTCTAATCTTTAAATATGGGGAAACTTCTGAAACTCAAATTTAGACAAAAGCCACTTTCTTTAATTAATATATTTTAAACTAGGGATGTGCTCCTTTGCCATAAGTTCAATCCTCTCGCCTCTCAAGTGAGTGAAGTGTTAAAAAATAACTTATTATTATTATTTATGTTGCTATTATTTTTCTACGACATTCCTGTAGAATCAGGTTTGTATTTAGAGAATAATGAACAACCCTATGGAAAACTGTACAAACATCTTTTCCACCAACTAAAAAAATTTCATTGACAAAATTAACAGAACCAACAGTAATCACCATCCGAACTCTTGCATTTTAAGCAACTTTTAGACTAACCTGGACTAGGGTTTTTGTCAACTTTTTTAGTATAAAAAGGTGTTCTTAAAGTTTTTGTTGTTGTCTATTGGCACGATTTTGAAAAATTTCTTCCTAACCTTTGTAGATAACTGAAACTGGTGAAAAGATCGGCTTGAATCACTTCAAACCCATACGACCATTGGGATGTGGAGATACTGGAAGGTAAACTAAAATGTCTTGATTTTTATACTAGAATCCTCATAGACATCTCATTCTCCAAGCCTTTTCGCCATGCGCTCCATGCTCCATTCATGCTTGTTACTTGATATCAACATTATAAATCATATTTATTGGTATCAGGACTAGTGTCTGTAATCACTTTCTGTTGTTTGTATCTACATCCTGTCTTTTATGGATCACAAGACTGTTGCATTAACTCACTTCCTGTGATAACTAATATAGTGTATAATATGAAAATGCCTCTTCAAATAAGTAGGTAAGTATGTATCCTGAACTTTCAATTAAAAAAAAAAGCCCTTTATGGGGTTAATTTGCTCCATCCTATGCCTCATCCTCAGCTGAAGCTATCAAATGCAAGAGGAAATGTGGCTCTTGCTGTTTCGCTGTAATTTCCAGTTCAGTCCTGCTATTCAGATTTCCAAATCTATTAGAGCATAGATTAAGCACCTATATCTATCTCTCTGTTTGGTTCCTTCAATTGTAATCCTCCTATGTTTTAATCTAAAAAATCCTTTCTTTCCAAAAAAAGAAAAAAGAAATAAATAGGAAGTTACTTAAAAAATCAATGATATTCACAATATACATTTCAATTAATTTATAACAATGACATAATCTTTCTTGTGCACTATACTATCCATGTGTGGTAGAATTTATCTTCTAGCCTTATACAACATTTTAAAATTATACTTGATGCATGCTAACATAATCATTTTGTGCAGTGTTCATTTGGTGGAACTAAAAGGCAGCGGTCAGTTGTTTGCAATGAAGGCAATGGATAAATCCATGATGCTGAATCGTAACAAGGTTTATTAGCTATAGTTTCTTTTCTTGTCAATAGAATTTTCTTGAGTAGACTGCTCATGTGCTCTGTTTCATTCATGTGTTTGACTGTGACTACATTTCCTTTTAAGAGAACATACGCGACATTTTGCTTGAATCTCAAAATTTACCGAGTGACTATCCCTACAAAGACACTATCTAAAAGTAATTTTGCAATGACCATCTAACCCAACAGTTTCCACCATATTGTGTTGTTGTGTCCCTAGTGATCTACATATGATGTTATTTTTATGTATATCGGACGTCACAAGATCAGAAGCAATGATTTAGGATTTCAATTTGTTCATAGTAATGGCAATGGAAACAAAGGAGCTTAGTGTGTCATGATGACTAGGAAAGGAACCCTTTTTTTTGTGAGTAAAGAAGATAAGTGAATCAACATGAGAGATGCTCTTCTTTTCGGTGGATTTTAAATATTAGGGTTAGTTATAATTGTAACCACTTTTTTAGTATATTTGGATATATTGTTTGGGAACTGCTCCACTTTCCTTCATCAACTCAAGACATGTTTAATTTTCCTTGCATAAAAAGGTTCTCTTCTTTCAGAGTTCATACAGTAGCAAATCTTGAGCATTATCAAAGAAGTAGGATTCTTAAACAATTCAGACACTGATCGGAAGGAGGACAATGATATTCTTAATGTGCAGAGCTGTGCCTTGTGTTGGATTAGAAAGAAAGAAAAACAATTTATTTGCCTAGTACAAGAAAGATTCTGTGTTTCATTTTCAACATATTATGATCTTTTTTTTTGGTTTGTTTGAAGTGGAGAATTGAAACTAAAAACTATGCAGGTCCATCGAGCTTGTGTTGAAAGAGAAATTATTTCACTCCTGGATCACCCTTTTCTTCCAACGCTGTACACATCTTTTCAGGTTCTCATTTTTATCATCTTAATCTACTAGTCATTGATAATATTGGTGCTTGGATACGACATATAAGACAGTTTATACACTCCAAAATGAGAAACTGTTGGAATTTTTCAGTATTCTATGAATAACATAGGAGGATGCATCCATTCTTGATATGGAATGGATAATACCATTCTCCCAGTAATGCTTTGTTTGATATACATAGTAATTCATATATCCATATATCCATGATATAAATGCAGATGTGAGGAAGACATGTATGGCTTCATTGTACAATGTAGAAGGAAATTTGATACAACTTAATGTTAAAGAAAAAAAAAAAAGATAACATGATCAATGATTGATTAAATTATCCATTTACGCATAGGTGGCTGCTGCTTATAATCTAGAAATATGAACTATGCCTTCTAGCTATCCTTGCTGCTCATTTACATTTCTTTTAGATCTCCTAATGTTCTTGGTCTTCTGACACAACATTCATTTTGTTTCCAGACACCCACACATGTTTGCTTAATAACAGATTTTTGTCCCGGGGGAGAGTTATTTGCATTGCTTGACAAACAGCCCTTGAAAATGTTTAAAGAGGACTCGGCCAGGTAATGACTTGACCTAATTTATAAGGCCTATAGATAAAATATAACCTGCTTGATATTTTCAATGGCAATGTAAATCGATGCACTAAATCCATTTCAAAATGGTATATAATGGAATGAACACATTCTAAAAAATCAATTGCACTAGGAGGAAAAGTGAATACAAATATTTTTTATTGTTTGGAAATATAATTGCTTCATATTATATGCTGTACCATGTTAGTTTTGTGTGATTTCATGCTAATGATCTTCATATGAATGCTTTATCATTAATTTCCAGGTTTTATGCAGCAGAGGTTGTCATTGGCTTGGAATATCTTCATTGTTTAGGTATTTCATGTAGTATATAACATTACAACTATGTAATTATCGTTCTATCTGCCGAAGTCTAATTGACATACCTTCCTAGGTCATATTCGATTCCAAATATACCAAATGTCTGCTTTAGATTATCTTGCAACTGATTTAAGATATATATATCATTGTAGCCAGCTTACATATAAAGAACTGAATGTGCTTTTGAGTACCGTTTCTGGTTAAATATAATGTTGTCAACTTCTATTTTATTTAGTGTTCTTTCCTTACAGGAATAATTTATCGTGACTTGAAGCCTGAAAATATTTTACTTCAGAAGGATGGGCATATTGTGTTAACAGATTTCGATCTCTCATTTAAGACAGCTTGCAAACCTCAAGTATGTGATACTCACCTACATTTTAATCATTCCGCCAAACTCAATATTCTAAACCATTAATGTTAATAGCTTCTTTTAGATGGTTACAATGAATTCTTCCCATGGTATGAAATCAAAATGTCCTATGGGTAGAAAGACATTGTTTCAGTACACTTGAATTGTGTTTGTTAATATGATAGTGAGATAAGACAATCTAACTTCAAGAACTTAAAGCTAATGACAACATTCTTCCAGGTTATAAAGCATCCCCCACCTAAAAGCAGACGGTCCAGGAGCCAGCCGCCTCCAATTTTCTTGGCAGAACCAAATACTCAATCAAATTCGTTCGTTGGAACTGAAGAATATATTGCCCCGGTATGCTGATACTGACTTTTGTAAGATTCCTTATCTCAGTTTCATAAGTAGAGCATTGCGCAGGTAACTCTCACCGACCAGGCTGCTATTAATTCCAAAGCATGATTTTGATGGATGCTATAATTCACATTCTTATATGCACTTGTTAAAATTGGAGGCTAACATAACCTGAAGTTGTATCTTCTATGTCTTGTTTACCATATGCAAACTCATTCCAACGATGACTTGATCTCAGGAAATTATCACTGGTGAAGGTCATAGCAGTGCTATTGACTGGTGGGCACTTGGTAAGTTTACGTTCCGAAACTGTATACTTAATTGAGTTAGAAATGTAACATAAAATGGCTCCATATTTAAGCCCTTTAGTGAATTGCCGGTGAATGAATACTATGTCAGTTGCTAGCATGTAGTTCTGCTTTCTTGGATATTCTATACTTTCTATTTCAACAAATAACCAATGTTTCTGATTCCCGAACTGTGTGACTTCTAATTTCAGGTATCCTGCTCTATGAGATGCTTTATGGACGCAGTCCTTTCAGAGGAAAGAACCGGCAAAAAACCTTTGCCAATATCTTGCATAAAGACCTCACCTTCCCGAGTAGCATCCCGGTAAGATAGCAAATCATGATGAGAATAATATTTGCATAGGTTCCACTTGAGCTTTGTAAAGTTTCCTTTCTCTCCCTACATTTTTCAAGAAGAGAACAAAATGTTCCAACCATGTTATTCGATATAATTTGTGCATAGATTTTCAGTTTATCTGAAGCCGAGCAGAAGTTCTAATATAGTAACACATTCAGGTAACACTGCCAGCAAGACAGCTAATCCATGCTCTGTTAAATCGAGATCCAGCCAGCCGCTTAGGTTCGAATGGTGGAGCAAATGAGATCAAGCATCACCCGTTCTTCCGAGAAATCAATTGGCCCCTCATTCGCTGCATGGTATTCGCTTATTTTCCAAAATGGTTTTGACATCTAAGAAAAGCACCCATCATTCCTAACTTGTGCATGCAGAGCCCTCCGCCATTGGATGCACCTCTTCAGCTAATCGGAAAAGAATCAGTCGCAGGAGACGCCGGCTGGACAGAAGATGTTCTCGCTCAACCAATGGAATTATTTTAGAGGTACCGTGTTATATATACTATCATCTCATATGATATAATGTTCGATTCTTTCCTTCTCAACTAGACTGTCGCTGCAATCTGATCCATCGTCTATGGACCACAGGGCTATTTGTCGTCATTACATTCGAATTAGCAATTGGTACACACAAGTTGCTCATAATCCGTCATCAGGTTTCTCTCTAAACCCGGCCCTCGTGCATATATATGTATGTATATGTCCTTAGTCAGCATTTTTGTTGTCTTGAATACGAAAGGAGTCGAGGTACTGTGTCGATTATGTTATGTTGACGACGGCCATGTAATTATGTTTGTATGTATGTATGTACACATAGCAGCACTCTTTAGCTATACGCATCGATTGATTCGATACTGCCTGCTACTACGAAGTGAAACACTTTGGTGTTTTATAATTATGTATTTAAGCTTGTAATATAAATATCTGTTCAATAAGCATACAAACTATTTGCTTGCCAAGCCAACATTGTTATGTTAAGGGTAGTTTCACTAATGTAGTTTTACTATCCTCGAAAACATTTAATCATTGTTTTACTTTAAAATAACAAAAATCATAACTTACAAGAAACACAATCCATCTCTTTCAATGAAGCATCTTTATAATACGTTGTCCATATCGTTTTCTATTGTAACGAATTAGGGTTGATGATCGAATAACAAACAAAAAAAAAATGTAAAGAAGATACAAATTTGAACACATTTTATTGCAAGATTTGAACTGTTTGGCCGTATGGCTTGGCTTTATTGTAGCATATTAGGATGAGAATACATGCCTTTATATAACTAAGATATAGTTTTACAATATAATATTTAAGATGCATCATTATAATGTCAAATGAATTTAATATCCTGCAAATTAAGTTCGACAAACAAGTCCACTAGGTGAACTATGTATGACATGTAGAATAAAGCGTTGGAGTTTGAACCCATGGCTTTACCGTCGATATCTTTTTCATCATTTTTTACTATACTATATAATAATTTTCATAAAGAGCATGTATAATTGGAGTTTGAACCCATGGTTTTACCATCGATATCTTTTTCATTTTTTTTTACTATACTATATAATAATTTTCATAAAGAGCATGTATAATTGTATTGATTTTTTTTAGTATAAAACATTAATGCTGTTCCAATTTTTTGTTTTTTTTATATATATAAAAAAACCAACACAATTTGCCTCTGATTACCTATGTAGTTTTTAAACTTTTGTTGCTATTTATGTTGATTTCTTTAAAAAGATAGCATCATATATATATATATATATATACACATATTCTTTTACACCACCATTAATAAAAATAGTATTTTATATTCACTTAAAAATATGTTTAACACGAAATAATAAGAATATATATTTTTAGCTAATTCTTCTTTAAAAAAAAATATTGAGGGCGAATTTTAATATAAATAAATAAATAAATATATATATATATATTTTGTTACTTTGTAAGTATGATTGTTTTTGTAAGAGTAGTAGAGTACCCATCGAACTTATATAAAACTAAAATGATTTTTAGTCGCGAGCTGTGACGCCCGACAGAATTGCGTGGCGTCCTCTACTACTGCCCCGCCCTTTATCGGTTTATCTTCTTCACTGCTCACCACCACATCGATTCTTCTGCTTGAATTGCAAACGCCTGCCTGGAGAAGAATAGATGGCTGCTGCTGCTGCTGCTGTTTCTGCTTCTCTTTGTTTTCCTATCTATGGAAACCGGGATTCATGGAAAATTGGGCTCTTGCCGAAGCAGTTGAGGCGGCTTCAGCAGCTCTCTGTTCGCTCTGATTTGGACTCAAATGTTTCCGACATGAGCACCAACGGTAAAAATTCCTCGAATTCCTGCTCACTTATGTGCATTTCATCCTTGATTTGCGTTACAGCAATTTGAGCTTCAGTTTTTAATGTCGGTAATGGTTAGAAGGCTGATTCTGCAGAGGGGATTATTACAATAGCAAATTGAATAAAAGTTTGTAGTTCTGAAAACATGTCATTCTTAATAACGATAAACTTAAAATGACTCTCGATCAGGCACGGGCGCCTCATATGTGATTTGTAATTATTATCTATGGTCCTTGGAGTGATTTGTTTTGCCTTGCAGCTCCAAAAGGTTTATTTCCTCCCGAGCCGGAGCGTTATCGAGGGCCGAAGCTAAAAGTGGCTATTATTGGAGCAGGGCTAGCTGGAATGTCTACTGCAGTCGAGCTTTTAGATCAAGGCCATGAGGTTTTGATTTTGTATATACACCCCCTTCTAAATCCCAATCCCCAATCAGAAAGGCTCAATACATTCTATATAAGCTTTAGTCTTCACTGTGATTTTGGAATGTATCATTGTGATTTGTGTGTTGTGAAATATGACTATCCAATGCTCTTGAAGAACACACTCATTGAGCACCAAAGCTTCTCTGCATCTGTGATGATTATGATATATTCGAATTTTTAATCATGTTATAACCACTTTGATGTATGATGTGAAACTGTTTGATATTTGCAGGTTGATATTTATGAATCAAGGCCTTTCGTAGGTGGAAAAGTGGGATCTTTTGTGGACAGAAAGGGAAACCACATTGAAATGGGGCTTCATGTTTTCTTTGGTTGCTACAATAATCTCTTTCGATTGATGAAAAAGGTTAAGATCATTTTATATCCACTCTTTGGTGAAAGTGCAAATATTCATTTTGAAGGTATTAGTTTAAGTCATTAGTCGCAATTATCTTGTTGATAATATAGTTGGTGATGCAAATTTAGTTTGAACTTAGAGGTTAAGTTGGGTAATGCTATCTATACTATAATGATATATTTATTATCATTTCAAGAATCAGTCTTAGTTCTTGCTCTATGCATCACGTGGATAAATGACTAGTAGACTATCGTCTGATAGCCTCTTTCTAACTAAACTGCACTATATGTCATCTTGGCCTAAATAAGCAGAGGTTTAAGTTTTTTCTTTTCTCCAAGAACAATTATCGACATCCGGATATATTTCCTGTTGCTAACGTTTCCCTTGCTTACATGAGTTTCTCTATTGTTGCAAAAATGTTGCATATGACAATGTATTATTTATCGAAACTTGTGTATGTATTTATGTGGAAAGAGTGTTCATTGCAGTCGTATATGAGAAAATTGGGGAGCTCCTTAGTTGCATCTATAGCTTTTCATTTTCTGATTAACGAATGAGCTCAGTTTGGTGTTGACTATAAAAAGGTCTCTGATTCCTTTTTTTTTTGGCGTAGGTAGGTGCTGATAAAAATCTGCTTGTGAAGGATCATACTCACACTTTTGTTAACAAAGGGGGTGAAATTGGTGGTATGATCACTGCATAATATGAAAGTAATATGCCTATTTCACGTAGAGTATGATCTGCCGGTGCGCAATTCAAATGAACTTCATGATATTGCCTTTGCATTTCTAAATAAACTACACTTTTAATTGCAGAACTTGATTTTCGGTTTCCAATTGGAGCACCGATTCATGGAATTCTTGCATTCTTGACGACAAACCAACTCACGGTAAATGTCTACCATGTGTATATTTTATTAGCTTTCGAATTATTCTTCTTACCAAATTTTGGTTGAAGAAGTTATCTTCTTTTCCAATTTAGTCCATATTATGCAGAACATGAGTTGTTTTGGTTTTTTGTATTTCTTTCAAGGCCTTCAGATTTGTATTTAAGAACTTATTTCGACCTGTTTGTTTGTCGTTTCACTTTCTTATTTATCCCTTCCATGCATAAAATTTCTCATTTAGGATTCTATATTCTTCTTATCAATGCTTGTTGAGGAGATGCACTGATCTAATAAGCTACTGCTTTTAAATTAAATAGATTGAAGTCTAAACATATAAGTTCATGTTGTCATTCCATCACCAGTTGGGTTTTCAAGTTTCACTGCCGAAATATCCAAAATGCTAATTCTTTGATTCGTTACCTTAACTTATGATTGTCTTAACTATTTTGTATTGTATGCTGAACATTTCATTGTGTGTATTATAGAACGATCTATCCTCTCTTATCTACGATCATATAAATTGAAGTAGTACAAATATTTTTTCATTCTCTAGATTCTTAATCTTGCTCCGGCTCTTGTTTCCAGACTTTTGACAAAACAAGAAACGCTCTTGCGCTTGCCCTTAGTCCAGTTGTAAAGGCTCTCGTTGATCCAGATGGAGCAATGATTGACATAAGAAATCTGGACGATGTTTGTATTCTCCTCTCATTATATATTTCCTATAATTTCCATTAAAAGCTCAAGTCCAAGTATAAAACCTGTGCCGAAGGCACAAGAATCCAACGCAAAACTTTGTCGTGGTTAAAATTCATACAAGAATTTGTATCTATGCTTCTACATGTACAACAGATAAGCTTCTCGGATTGGTTCCTGTCCAAAGGAGGGACGCGCATGAGCATCCAAAGGATGTGGGATCCCGTTGCCTATGCCCTGGGGTTCATTGACTGCGACAATATAAGTGCTCGTTGTATGCTTACTATATTCTCCCTTTTTGCCACCAAAACCGAGGCTTCTTTGCTCCGCATGCTTAAAGGTTCTCCGGATGTTTATTTGAGCGGTCCAATCAAACGGTATATCATTGAGAAGGGAGGCAGGTGAGAAAATTTTACAGTCAATGTAATCTGAATCTTTTCTCGGTTCTCAGCTGTCTTTCCAAAAGATCGAACTTTTTCGTCCTCTTTGTTAGTGCAGGTTCCATATGAGATGGGGATGCAGGGAAGTTCTTTACGATAAATCCTCTGATGGAAGTGTATATGTCACTGGGCTAGCTATATCAAAGGTGTAGTCATCTTTTTCTAATAATCTCAAAATTACATATGTTCGAAGTTTCGTTTTATTACCCCCGATCATAGTGCATGGGAGAATTTTTCATTATTTACTCGATTATCTTGTTAGTATTTGACCGGAAACGTGGTCTAACGAAACGGCATCTATTTTTTCCAGGCTACTGAGAAGGAAACTGTAAAAGCTGACGCTTACGTCGCAGGTTTGTAATTTAGCCTTGCCTGATTAATTTCCGGTTTCTTGTCCGCTGGTATTAACTAAATGTTTGAGAATTCTTGACATGATTGCAGCTTGCGATGTTCCCGGAATTAAAAGATTGCTTCCGAAGAGCTGGAGGGAATTTCAGTTCTTCGACGATATCTATAAACTGGTCGGAGTCCCCGTCGTTACTGTGCAGCTGCGATACAACGGCTGGGTTACCGAATTGAGAGACTTGGAGCTCGCGCGGTAAGCAGTAACTGTTGTAATCTGATAGGATATTCGTCCTTTGTCGTCCCCAAACGAATCAACTCTGAGATGATCAGGAAATCGATGAAAGCCGTGGGTCTCGATAATCTCCTCTACACTCCGGACGCAGATTTTTCTTGCTTTGCCGATCTCGCACTCGCTTCCCCGGAGGACTATTACCTTGAGGGTCAAGGCTCATTACTCCAGTAAGAAAATTATTGCTTCTATTAACGCCCATAAATTTGAAAGAGGATGAACTAATGAACATTGTCATTTAACAGATGTGTACTTACGCCCGGGGACCCTTACATGCCTCTAACAAATGACGAAATTATAAGGAGAGTTTCGGAGCAGGTAGGCGTAAGATTATGTTCTGAATTGACGGTATAAAGAATCGCTGAACCACAAAGATGTTCGAATTTCATCTGTTCCGATAATTAAATATCTGTTTCAGGTGACTGAACTCTTTCCATCTTCCGGGGGGCTGGAAGTCATTTGGTCGTCGGTGGTTAAACTTGCGCAGTCTTTGTATCGGGAAGAACCCGGAAAAGATGCTTTCCGACCTAATCAGAGGACGCCGGTGGTGAACTTCTTCCTCGCGGGCTCGTACACTAAACAGGTTGCAGTGTCTTTCATCGATAATTTAGTTCATGGTATTTGAGACATTAGCCGGAATGCTACTTCCGATTTTTTTGGTTACGATTGTTCGAATATTACAGGATTACATAGACAGCATGGAAGGGGCGACTCTGTCCGGACGACAGGCGTCTGCCTACATATGCGACGCTGGAGAAGCGCTCGTCACGTTGCGACAGAAGATCGCCGCCGCCGTGGAACTTCAAGAAGCAGGTAGTGTGGATGAGTTGAGCCTTGTTTGATTCGAGGAAATTCAGGTTGTGGATAGATTACTGCTTTGATGTGAACTCAGAAACTATATGTAAAGATTGGAGAAGATGTAATTCAAATGTGTAGCCATTTATTTCTGGAAATTTCCGGATATATTGATCTTCTTTCTATCTATATGTTCTTGTTAAGAAGATGTGTGCTTCTACGAAGCATTTTCTGGAATTTTCGCTGTTTCTATAAAATAAATTTGTCTAAAAATTATACTTATTTTTCATTTTTTGTATTATACTATCCCGAGCAACCTAAACCTCATTTATTTTTACGTGTCAATAGGTTGGGCTGGTTTGGGTCAATCCCAAACTAAAATTCCAACGGCCCTTTATTTTTTATCAACCATTATAATTACTTTTTTTAAAAAAAATCAAAATTCTATCAAAATGTGCAATAGAAACAAAAGACATATTGACAAACATCACACAAAGTTGGGATTGGACTTATAATATTGTATTGGAAAAATATATTTTAATAAATAATAATTAATTTACTAATTATTTGTTCAATACTACTAATAACCAATAATATACATAGCATAGCATAGCATAGCATAGCCATATATTATTTCAGTTACAATGTGACACGACATCATAACATAGCCAGCTTGTTATTTTCAAAATTTATTTTTATACTATTATACGTAATACTTATTTTAAATTCAATTTTATAATTATTCTAAAACAGTTAGGAAGGAAGGGCGGAGTATAAGCGGCGGCGGAATGAGCGGGCGTCGCTCCAATCTGACTTTCCATTTAAGGACGACGGCGCCATAGCTATACCATTTGGTGGTGCACGCCCGACCCTAACCTACCGCTACCCTACCCTACCCCTACCCTATAGGCCCCCCGCCACCGTATCGGTATTATTCATTTATTATATTCCCTTAAGTAACTGGAACAACCGCCGTCGCCGCCGCCCCTCCACGGTGGTTTTTCGCCTTCATCCGCCGTGGGGAGAAAAAAAAAAAAGAAAAAAAAAGCCTAACCTTATTTAATCTAATCTTAACAACCTTCAACAAATTCAACTAATAAATTTGTTTTATTATTTTAAATTTCCTAAAAAAAAAATTAATTAAATTAAAAAATTAAACGACGTACGGTCTTATTCGGGATGGGAGATCCACAAGCGTATCCACCTCTACCGTCGCCGGCGCCGTTGCCGGCGAGGTCATCGGAGGCGACGCGGAGGAGCATAAAGTCCCGGAGAATGTCTCGGCAGCTTTCCCTGAGCGAGGTCCCCCGCGACGCCGCGTGGGAGCGGCGCCGCCGGCGAGGAGGCGCCAACAGCGACGGCGACGTGCTCACCGACGAGGATCTGAAGGAGCTGAAAGGCTGCATCGAATTAGGGTTTGGATTCAACGAAGAGAACGGGCAACGCCTCTGCACCACCATACCTGCCCTAGACCTCTACTTCGCCGTCAATCGCGTCTTCTCCCCCAGCCCTATTTCCAGCCCCACCGGCACCGGGAACGGCTCCTCCGTCTCCGCCTCTGCCTCCGCCCCCTCCCTCCCCGCCGCCGCCGCATCCGGAGGACCGCCTCCTTCGATTACCGGAAGATCGTCCTCGTTCGGCAGCGCGTTGAACGAATCTGATTCCTGGAAAATCTGCAATCCCGGTACGCAACTCCATATCCAATCTGAATCTATCCTCCATAGATACATACATACCTCAATTCACCAATTGTATGTATGAATTGATGCAGGCGATGATCCTCAACACGTGAAGACGAAGCTGAGGCATTGGGCACAGGCAGTGGCGTGTTCCGTGAAGCAATCCTCTTAGTTCGTTTTCATCAATTATACATCATCGTCCACAATCAATCTGCTCTAATTGTAATTTATTGTGTGAACGTACCATAACAGCACATAGCTTTGGATTTTTTCTTTGGGGGTTTTGTGCATATGGGTTTAATTAATTTGTGTCCATCGATTTTCTTCGTATTCTATTCTCTCTCTGTTGTAACAAAAACGTAGTATTATAGTATGACTCTTTTGTTTAGCAGTAACCCTGTACTGTACTGTACTGTGCTGTACTGTATGTATATATCGATATATATATATATATACACATGTCGAAAGTCTTAATTTGGTGTATAGTTATTCTGTACTATTAAATTTAATACGAAAACTCAGGTCCAATCTTAAATTTTTTTATATTAGAAAATAAAATATATTAATCTAAATAAAATAATATTTTTATTGATAATTAAAATGTTAAACATCAAATATATAAATAATTTTTGTAATATATTTGAACTTAACACATCCAGGCCAAAATTCAAATTTTCAACTGTATTGGGCTGGGCTGGCCCAAAACTTTTGGGGCCTATTTTGAGATTCTGTATATTCATTTTTTTCCCTTTTGCTGGTTATACCTACTATCTCTCTATCTATGCATAACAAGATAAGGAGATGAATTATGTGGTGATGTATATATGTTAATTTTTATCCTAACTTTTAATTTATATATAATTATCTTAATCAAATAACAAAGTATTTAAATCAAAGATTGAAATGAAGATTCAGCATGCTATCCTAAGTGAACAAGCAAGAATTGGGGCACATTTTTGTTTCTTCAAGACCTCATTATTCATTCTAGTTTCTTATATTATTTTCTTCCAGCAAACAAACTTTCACTACTTCCCATGTAACGAACTACCTACCTACCTACCTACCCGTCGAAGGGTGTAGAAAGAAAAATTAAACTACTTTGTCAGCAATGAGGCTGTTAACCTCCAACAAACAAACTCTACATACTACAATACCCGCAAAAGCAAAAGCAAAAGCAAAATCAAAATGGTATGTTAATATAATACAAATACATAGTACGAAGCACGAATCTATAATCTAATAATTCACATGTTTTAATTTTAACTATATGTTGATTAGACCTAATGGCTTGATCAGTATCCTAACCATCCCATACAAGAATCATATAGTTTCAAGCATAAATAAAAAGTTCATTTAAAAAAGCTAAAAATGAAAAATCATACCACTTATCTAATCAAAATTATATATATATATATATACATATATATTCACAACTAAGCATACATAATATACACGCACAACACAAACTATAAATTCAATCCCCATGGCGCAAAAAGGCATGGATTTAGCAAGCAATCCATAGGATGCAACAATCACAGGCCTCTTGCACTTTGAATGAAATCACATATGCGATAGATAGGTAGATAGATATGCTTACAAGTTCAGAGGAGCCACCCCGACGCCGGTGGCGGTTCCAAGGATGGATCAAATAGCAAAAGCTCAGGTGCCAGCTCACTGTACATCAACCCTGTGAGGGTGTCAACAGAGTCGCTCAGACAATGCTCGAATTGGGAAGCGCCTGCGGGCATTGTAGGAGGTTGAACTTCCTGAAGCATTTGTGCAGCCACAGCGCTCTCTTGGATGAGGTTTCCATCTTGCTGAACCATTGTCGCGTGTTCAACCTGGTCCTGTCCTTCAGGCACAAAGTCATTATACGCTGCAACCAGCTCAGGAATAAGGCTTGGGTCGACATCCAAAGGGTCGACTCCAGAATCGCAAGCAGTCATTGGAATGTTGCTGTTCATGGGAAGATCAAGTAGATTGGTTTCTGCAATTGGCACATCAAGTATAGGTTGCTTCTCACTGTTTATCGAAGGACAGGAGGACACGGGCACAGGCACAGGCACATCAACTCTTCTGGAAGTGGTCGGGCGATAAATGCAATCCCTTTGGTGCCTGTTTCTGCAGTTCCGGTCATTAAACCCCAGAAAATCATTGCTGCGGGGGCACTGGGGAAACTCACAGGTGTAAATCCGACTAGGTGGCTCCTCCATTTGTATCTGATTCCTTTTGAGAAAAGAATTTACATCTTCGACGAGTCCTCCTGCTATTGGAGCTACAGGTGCCAGGGAATGCTCAAACTTTTGCTCGGCCATCCTCAGATTGAAAGGCATCGAGTTCAGAGCCGCCAACTTTGCTGGCTCAACATCATAGTCCCGAGAATTACCAGACAGATAAAAGAAATCTTCATCAGCAGATGGTGAGGACAGCGGAAAGCTATCGGGATCTAGTCTCCCAACCAAAGCCTCCTCCCGCTTCATAATAGCAACCCAAGTTTCAATTTCCTTGGCTGACATCTTATCCTGCAGGCATTTTGACTGCCGAACCAGCCGGTGGATCTTCTCAAAGTCGGGGGACATGTGTTTGATCACAGCAATGAGGAGAGTAACCTTCCACACTTTCTTCAAATCATGCGGTTTCTTATACGGCGGAGGTCCGTGGTTCTTAAGCATACCGAGTTGAGGCCACCATTCCTCATCTCCAGTAGGCCACCATGTCGGAGGGGCCCCCTTGTCCAACGGGCGCAACCTCTGGGGCGGTTTGCAATGCTGTATCAGAGCGGACAACAAAGAGCCGAGTGTATTGTCCTGCAGCACTTGAAGAGTGAGAAGGGGGAAGTTTTCTATGATCGAACTGTCGACTCTCCCTGGTGCAGAGCGAGCTGCATCATACTTTGCAATGGCAGCAGGGCCATTGCGTTCAAAACGGACTTGATCTTTCCACCAAGCCCGGAGGTTGTCAGAGGCACCAGTTATTGGCTTCCCATTCTCGGGTATGAAGCCAAACACAAAACCCTGGGCATCACAAACCTCCATCATTTTCAACATATACCTCAGGATGCCATCGTGCACTCTTGCTAATTTCTTCTTTTTTGATTGCTCCTCGGACTTGAGCTGTTTTGTGTGACGGTCATCCCCAGTATTGCAAGACTGCCCTTTAAGATGCATCAAGAGCAACTTGTCTCTCCACAGTCGCCTTTCGAGTTTAAGAATCTCAATATCCTCGGCACTCAACTCATTGCCTGCCTTTGTTGAGGGTTCAGCTTGCGCAGATGGATCCATTGCTGCAGAAGTAATACAGACAAACACAATATTACCACAGAAGCCTATTCCTTCAAATGTACCTATTTAGCATACAGCGAAGGCTTCCAACAACTGCATTAATCTCAAGTTGACTAAATTGTATCCATCGAACCGCTTGAAAATCCAAAACGGCCGTATTGATACCGAAGTAAATGCCCTGTCAGTAACGCGCCGCTTCATAAAAGATTATGACATATGCATAACTTCCGTGTTTGTACCTCTCTCCTCCAGAGACAATCACACAAGCTTAACTTGTCTGTATCGCACCGCTTCAAAATTGACAATGATATGTGCATAGAAAACTAGAGATTTCCAATTCCTAGATAATTAACCAAGAAATCAACACCCAAAGATCAGATAATTTTGAATAAAACACTGAGTCAATCATATAATTCATAATTTTGGCATACATGCTAACACACAAAAGGAAATGAAGGAAAAATAGACATTGAACCATCATAACTTGAGTGTCCAAAAATGATAATTAAACGATCTGTGCATTAAAAATATACCTTGTATGCATTAGAGTCACATGAAAACATCATAACTTTTGCTAATTAGAAAAAATAACAGTGAGGCCCAAGATCATTTCGATCTGTACCTGTACAATAATTCTCAACAATTGTTCATATCATACATTGCAAATCTACACAAAGCCTCCTAATTTCTTTTTATTTATGATTCTATCACAATTCCTTCAGAATCACTGAGCTTTGGCACTGTGAAAACAATGTGATTATTATAGCTCATTATAGCTAGCAAAAAAGAATGATGGAATCAAAGCATATGAAAGGAAACAACGAAAACCAACTTTCAGCAAGCTTACTTCAGTTTTTGTCTGCGCACAAGAAGAAACTACCAACAGAAACAGAAGATTTGGTGCTGATCTGAAGAAACTTTCCGATTCTACATCAGAGAATAATCATAATAGGAAATATTAGAAACTCCAAAACAAGAACATAGAACAAATGTACAAAAGAATCTACAGACAACTTACGGGTTTTTCTGCTTTATTTTTTATATTCTCACGTTCCCTCTGTTGGTTGAGGCAGAGGCTTCTCTTCGGAGTTTGTGATATGTTGGACAAAGAAGAAAAGGGAGGGAAGGGGGAGAGAGAAAGAGAAATGCACATAGCGGTTCTGGCTTTTTTGTTATATAAGAGGTTCCAATGTGAGTACACGTGCTAAAATATGACACATACAAAATTAAAAAAAAAATTTGTTACAAGAATATACATCGAATATCAAACTATAGATGTGATATAACATTTTTATGTTATGATTCAATACACTAGTTGAACAAAATATCTAAATTTATATCTTTTATTTATTTAATACTGAATGCAAAATGTGTAATATTTCTAACTTGGTTTTACTATTCTTAGATTACTGTTTAAAATGGAATCTTATATTACACGTCACAAGAATATCATTAGACAAAGAAATATCAGTTTATGCTTAAAATTTTAGATAGAAACCATAAAATAAGAAAATCAAAAGGTTTATAAGTTACATGTTAAATTCGATAAATATTTATGTTTGACAACAAATTTTAAGTTATTGAAATAACAACTTTAAAAAGAATGGACAGAAAAACATGTATCAAATTCACAAGATTTCCAGCTCAAAGTACAAAATAAAAACTAGAAAAACCAAAGCATATTTTCTAATAATTAAACCAATTCTTCTCAAAGAGCAATGATATTCAGAAATTAGTATAACAAGAACCATCTGCTCTAGCAAAGCCAAATTTTGGTAGATACAATGTGCTAGGTATGTTGTTATTCTCTAGAACGTTCCTGTACTTATATTACTCACTCCAGACATTTCAACAATCACTTGGTACCCAATAATTTGATGTCCAATAATCACAATCATAATTGTGAAGAAGGGATTTGGGGCTCTATCTCAAAACAATTCGTAAGAAGAGGAGTTGCCCTTCATTTTTATAAAGACAGGGAGCTCCCAACATTTAATCCATATGGCATATTTAACACTCTCACCTACAAGCAAGCCCCCTCATGTACAAGGTGGATATATACATTATTTATTTATTTATATATTACCCGAGTCAACTAACAATAATGATCACAATCGCACTCTAGTAATTAATATCCATAAGGCAGTATAAGTTTACTTTCACATGATAATCAGTATATTGCACCAAACTTTTCCGAGTATATGCCTGCAGGCTTATCAATTTCGGCCCCAATTTCCTCATAAATCAGGAAACATAAATATACGATATAATAGGCATAGACTTCAAAGCAACTTACTGAATGCCGTATGCCACACTAAATATAATGCCTGTGTATGCAATCAGTGTCGAACGAATTGTTACAGAATGATCGAGGCACAATCAGTCTACCGAATAAAATTCTAACAAAAATAGCTGTATTCGCTTCACAAAGGACAATGAGTATGTCTATGATCATTTTACTTCACTGAACAAATTCATTCAACAGCATAGACTCAATTTTTCCATGTTCAGCAAATGTAAAAGGTCCTAAACCTAATTAGATCAAATTCTCAAAATCCAACTTCATGCAAACGATTAAACAAATTAGAACTCACAACTCAAAAAGGTTAAATGTACAAATCTGTTACCCCACCATGAAAGCTTCTTCATCCGAACGCCAACCAACACAAAATACGGCTGTCATTTGCACCGGAGCGCCGATCAATGACGGACGGACGCACCAACGAGGAAGGCGAAGCGGAAGAATAGACAAAGGAAAAATCAAGGCTCACAGCGACGGCTTCCGGTGCTTGTTATGTCCCTCGATAAACCCTCACTACTCGTCGCCGCGAAGCGATGTTTTCCGTAAAGAATCCGGAAACATGCGGCGAAAGGAGAGCGGCAGAGACTCCAACTCCGCAAAACCCTCACAGACCGCCGGTCCGGAAGCACCACCGGTGAACTGGCCTCCATGACGGACAGTGAAGACCCCTCCTCCGTAAACCCGCAACATAATTGGAAAATTGGATGGACAAATTGCAGGGCGGGGGAAAATGAGTAGGAGAGAAATAGAGACCGGGTGATTACTCGAAAATAATTAACCCTTTTTTGTTTTTTTACATAATTTTGGTATTATTCAATTTTTATTTTTTCTAAAAATATAAAATAAAATTGTACTCGCTTCCCGTGGACACTGCAATTTAGAGAGATATAATTAATAAATAATTAAAATATATTAAAAATAATTATTGTATAATAAAAATAATTATAAATTAAGATTAAAATAATTGATTAATATAATTAAAATTAAAAAATAAAATTAAAATATATAATTATTTTTAAAAATAATAATAATAAAATAAGTAGAAGTGAGGGAGTGTTAAATACGGTACGGCTCTGGACTAATCATACTTTGCAGTAGCAAGAAAGCAAGCCAACTTGATAAAATCCAAAAACCATCAAGCTCAAAATTGTTGCAATTCCCACAAATCCAAATCAAATCCAAATCTAAATCCAAATTCACAGTCAATAAATATAGATAAAAAAATGTATTTTGGACGTAAAAAAGAAATGAAGTTGTATACGATCAATCACTAACAAAAAAACATTGAATTCCTCACCCAATCATGAATCTTAGGCATCTCCGGCACCACCGGCGCCGCCGCCGCTCCTCCGCTCGACGATCTCTCGGAGACATCGTCGGCTTTCACCAACTGCGCCATCTGCCCCGCCGCCAGATGCGCGTAGCAAATCGGAGCAACTGTAAGACAAATAAACAGACTATATTACACTCTCTTTAAATACATCAAAATTCCCAACTGCTATTTTTCGAATATGTACCTAGTGAGACAGCCGTAGTGCTTCTCTGGTATCTGTAAGAAGTCAACGACGATTGTGAAGATGATCGATATAAAGAAGGGAAGAGTATCTTATTGTATTGAGTTCTTACACATAGGATAAAGAGTGGACGAGTTCTTGCAAGTCATCGGAGGAGAACCCGAGCTCATCGTACAAAACATGGTAGTGTGTTGGTCGCGACGTTCCCTACATAATAAGTTCATTATAGTCATGATCTTGCTAAAGTTCGAAGAAAAAACACAAAAAGACTCACAATCATGCCAGCGTGCGCGCACATGTAGAAGTCGTTCAACCTCGGATGGCAAATGCCAGTGTCGACCACGGTACCTAACGACAATGTATGTAAGAAGGATGTTGAGACAATGTTGTAACGAAAGCTATTAAAAATGATCGACACGAGTGTAGACACCGACCTGGTGGGACATTATGCGGCGAGTTAGCTTGGAAAAGTTTTGTGTGATGGTTCTTCTGCGCCACAACGACCATGAACTTGGGATCCCAGGTTTCGTCCAAGAACTTGCACGCCTGAATCGAAGCAGACACTCACCATCATTGAATCGAAGATTAAGATTAAGTCGACGGAATGTGTAATAAGACGTACCTTCATGATCTGCTCCAGCTCGATGTTTAGAACCTGATTGAACTGCGTTTCGCTTACGCCGTCCCTGCAAAAGGGCAAGAGGTTTTAGGACAAGAAAAGCGAAGTTCGAATGAATGTCGAGTGTAAGAACGTAGTAAGTTATCGCAACAGCAGTCATGGTCTGTTTTTTTTACCGAAAGATGATTATTTGTTCGGGTTTTTGTTGATTCGAACTTTTGTAGAAATCGCGCAACAGATCCCTGTAAAAAGAAGTTGCTGTTATGTTAGTCGCGTAACGATAGCGCGCTTTTGAGCATCGATTCAGCTGTCTGAAAATTACACGAAGGTTCCATCATCCAACTTGTCGGTCACCGGCTTGAACAGAGAGTCGATCATTTCCAGCTTCGACGACTGAGTTCGAACTTCTGCTCGGTATCGCGATATCAAAGGCCAATCCCTCGAGGCAACAACCTAACATAGAAAAACGGCATCAAGATTTAAGACACGGCGACAACAGACAACATCGATCACACAAAAAAAAGCGCACCGCTGCAATAGATGGTGCATCAAACTGTCCGGGGGAGCCATGAGAGACATCCATTCCAACGATAATCGTAGGCGCCTTCGAAACCAACGGCATTGTAAGAGAACGCTCGATCGTCAGCATCGAGTTGAGGCCTCCGAGCTGTCGCAGAAAAAAAATATATCAGAAAAAACGTCGAATACTAATCGAATCCACCGTGAACTTGCCTTGGCATTGATCTTCAAGATTAAGTTCGTCAAATACTGATCATTGATGTGTTGCAACGGCGCAATACATTGCGTCGTCATGCCCCATTCCGCGAAAGCTTTTCTCTTCCATGGACCTTGAACAAGAACAGAAGATTCGCGATTAGGACAATGCATGTAGGCGACAGAAAGATAATAGTTATTAGTTATTAAGACATCGATCGACAACCATAGATGTCCGAGTTCTTCCTCTCGGACAGGACACAGAGGTTTAACTGAGCTGGCCCTATAAGATCCTTCTGGAGACGTTTCAACATCTCCGCGACCCTCATCGATGGCGGCATCCTCCGGGCATGCGGCTCCTCTTCGAAGATTTTGAAAGGAGGAGTGAAAGTCTAGAAAATAGTCGCGAAAAAAAAAGATGAGTTAGAGGTCGATTTCTTCGATGAAACTTCATTTTTTATGAGCAAGACGAGACTTACCATGCCTTTCCTCTCGCCGCAACCCATCAAGTCGCGTGACAGTCGTTGCAAATCGCAACGAGCGGAGAAGTTCACGATTATCCAACACGCCACCTTTGCGGGATCGACTAATGTCTGCAAAGGCGAAAACTTATAAATGAGATCAAAACAATAGCTGTGTATGGAGTTTTTTCGAACGATTTTCGTTGAGGAAAAGCACCCGGTTGTTGAAATTCCATTTCCCATTACCGGGAACGAACTCCTGCCCGTTGCCGACTCTCAACTGCACACGACGAACGGATAGTAAGAAGAAAAACGCGCGCAGACAAGAACGAACAATCGATCGATTGCAAGATTACCTTAGGTGGTGGCAAAACACGGCCTTGAATTCGAGTGAAGTCTCCGCTGATCGATACTCCGGAAGATTGGAGAAGAGGATCGTCGCCGTAGTTGCTGCTAGCCAGAGCCTGAATCGAAACTCGGACATTGTTATAGACATCGAAAGAAGTTGAGAAAGGAAATCGAAGAAAGCCTTACATGCTTCAATGCGTTCATTCGTTCTTGAGGCTTTTGTCGAGAATTTTCCACAAGCGACGCTCGTTGAGAGCTGGACAAAGCTTTCGTGTAGCGTTGCAACGAAACGAGCGAGCAGAGCTGCCGATACAGAAAGAAAATGAATACATTTCATAAAGATCGATCGAGTTAAGGTACGTGACGAAAACCTCGATTGGAATGTATGTCGGGCGCTTTGGCCTGCCAACGTTAAGGCACGGGAGATCTCCCGAGTACTTCAACTGGATGTTTCGATGATGAAGGTAGTAGTCGTAGACGGTAATCTCGACTTCGTGCGGTTCGCTATCTCCTTCTCTTCTCTGTTTCAATGTAAACCTGCAAATTTCGACATCGTCGATCTCTTAGATAAAAAAGATGACAGCGAAAGGCCTAATGATCATAATCGATGCTCACGTTTGCTGCCTGCAGATTCGATCGCTCAACCCGCTGATCTTATACTCGAGGTTCGTATTACTAGCCTTGACTCGAAGATTCTTCAGCATCCTTTTCGCCTGTTACACGAACAAGAACGTTATTCGAGTCCGTCCTACGATCACATGAATCGATATGAAACGAGAAATGATCGATACATCACCTTGATCCAATCGATCCAATCGATCCTCGACGGATGATCGATCTTCTGGTTTTCGATAAGGAAATCGATAACTGGGCCTGGCTTCACGATCATCGTAGTCGAAACATCTGTGCAATCGAAACAAACGATCAGCTCGTCAAGCATTACGACGCATTCAATCGACAATCAAAACGACAAAACACTCGCCCATATTCAACGAGAGGCCTCCCTGAGTAGCCCGGAAGCTCGAATGAAATCCTCGACATCCAACAACGCCGTCGCCTATCATTACAAAGCTCTTCGGATCATTGTGGAAGAACGATTGGCGAACAAGAAGACAACCTCTGTGCAACACGAAAGAACATTACCATAGTCCAAAACTCGCGACAAAAAAGCATCGAAAAGATCAAATCTACGAACTTCTTCGCTGCATTCTGTCGCAACATGACGTCCAACACCCTCACAGCTTCTTGATAATGATCGGAATCCCTCCCCCTAAGCGCATCGGCGATTGCCTGCATCGGAACCTTCGCAGCATAGTTTATCGCCACTTTATACGTCTTCGAACGAATATGCTTCCGTAGTCTTTTCCTACCACCCGAATCATCTTCGATACTTCCGGAAGCCCTGCATTCAAAAGCGCAAAAAATTTCGTTGCTTTACGATCATATTATAACAAGAATGTTTCGAAGCATAAGCTATTACAGTGCTGACAACTACAATGCTGAATTTACTGTGCTGAACAACACATGGTGTGCTGTTTGACAGTACATGATATTACTACATAAAACATATTGTATATATTAATATAATACAAATACATCATATGAACAATGAACGCATAATATAGTCTCATACAACACAATTAATTTTAGCACATAACATACTTTTATATAGCACACTTGTTATTATAAAGAAACAACACATATCTTTATTATATACCGCATGTGTTGTATGTAATAATAATGTGTACTGTTTGTACATATAATATATACCAGCATGGTACCATAACCATCCCCGTTGACAACACACATAATATATACCAATAGGACAACATATGAATTAACAGTACGTAGTACGTGTTGTCTGTTATATTTTATTTACTGATTGGAGTCGAACTATACGCACCTATTCGACGAAACATCCTCCAAAATAATCGTAAATTCGAAGTTGTTCTGCGGCAAACCACCGGTGGTGAACAAGCTCTTCTCGCCGTTGTAGGCAAATTGTTTTCCAGCAAGCTCAGCTTTGTATGTGTCGTAAACTTTGTCGATAATTCTCCGGCCTACGCCTTTCTCATTGGCGGGGCTTCCATCTTCGTATTTGATAGCAACCTTCATTAGGAGATAATTATGATCCGATTATTGGTTTGAATTTAAATTGGAATGGATTCATAATCTTAAAGCTTTTGTAGAATTATAACAAAGATTGAATTGATCATTGAATCGATGCATACGCTGTAATGGAAGAAATATCCTTCAGTCTTCGAAACAGAGACTTTGTAGTGGTTTGTGAGCAGCTGTATGCTCTGCCCTCTTGTACCGTATCCGCGCCTCGCCATCGGAATTCGGCCCGGCTTTGCCGGAGCCACCTTCTGTGGTTCAACATTCGGCGGCACCACCGGTGGAGGTGGTGGCGGCGGCGGTAGAGTTTCGGATTTTGAAGATCCCATTGTACTGAAATATGAACACATATATATGCATTAGAGAATCTATAGCAATGTAGAGAAAATTTTGAAAAAAATATTGGACATTACATATGTATTAATGATAATTTTTTAAAAAAATTACAATAAAATATATTTAAAAAAGATAATAATAATTTGTTTAAATAGTATTCGGATGTGACAAAAAATCAAAACATACCATTATAACATCCCAAAAAGAGTCATTTTCTTTTGATATATTTGCTACAAATCAAACACATACCAATTTTTTATTCGAAAATATTAATGGGAAAAACTTATTCGCATTCCGTCCAACAAATCGACCACATAAGTTACATATAAAAACATCGAATCGAACATCAATTTTGAATCTGAAGATTTTCAAACATCCCAAAAACACAAGTTAACATGACTTATGACGACGGCCAAGAAAGAAATCAAAATGTAAAGAGAGGGAAAACGTCTGCATGTTCAACAGAAATAAATCAAGTCGCAAAAAACTCGAAGCACAATCTAGAGAGCTCTGGAAACAAATCGAGATCATTGACAAAAACACAAACAAACATTAAAAAGGATTAAGCCAAAAGAAAAAACCCCCAAAAAACTCAAACAGCAATAAAACAACAAATACATCGTAACAGACAAACCAGATCAAAAACACAAGCACTATAACATTAACATTCTTCATCAACAAAACAAAAAGAAAAAAGGTTGTATACCTACAGACAAAACCCCAAGCGGCAGAAGAGGCTATTGCAGAGATTTGTTTGAGGCAGGGCAGGGAAGGGCGAGGTCGTGTGTATGTAAATATATATATAGATATTTAGAGAGAGAAAGACAGGAGGGAGAGAGAAAAGCAATCCATGCTGCCGTTGCTAAAAATTCGTGATACTGCAAAATAAGGTTTTTGGCGACGCGAGACAACATACGAATTCTGCCATTGCCCTTTGTACTAATTTGTCCTTCCAGGGCATAAATGTCTTTTCACTTCAAATATAATTTCCAAGGGAAATTATAACCGACCGAAGAGCTTTTCTCTATTTTTGTAGGTGGGAAGAAAAAAACTGTTCCAACTCACCCAGCGATGTAGTGTGGGAAGAAAAAAACTGTTCCGACCCACCCAGCGATGTAGTGTGGGAAGAAAAAAACTGTTCCGACCCACCCAGTGAAATACTGTAGCAACCGCAGCGGATGTATTTTTTTTGTTTAATACAATTATCTATTTATTTATAAAGTTATTTATTTATTTATATATTTATATAGTTATTTATTTTTTTAATATTATCTATTTATTTATGTAGTTATCTATTTATTTTTTACATTTATTTAATTTTTAATTTTTTAAATATCATCGATAAAATAAAAAATTACATTAATTTTTTTATTTTTTATTTTTATTATTTTATTTTAAGCTTATATTTTATTTTATTTTATTTTATTTTTGTTACTTTTAATTTTATTAATTTTTATTATAATTTTGTAATTAACATTTATAGTGAATTATTGCTTTTTTTAATCTATATTTATATTTTTAATAATATTAATATTTTTATGCTTTAATTTAAATATACATTAATATTAATAAATATAATTTATCGATATAATATTTAAAATATTAATTAAAAATATTATTATAACTTAAATGTATAACAATAATAAAATATTAAATTTTATTTGTAATTTTAAAAATTATGTAAAATAAAATATAAAGAAAATATTTTTTTAACCATGCAAAAATGGGGTATGGTTGAAGATGGGTTACTGTTGCAAAAATGACTTATGAGTTGGAGATGGCCTAAAAGTCATGAATTAATGAAAAGTAGTAATTAATGTATATATGGAAGGTGGGGATTATCTGTGTAACAAACTTTAAATTTAGGAATATTTTTAAAAATAAAAAATAAAAAAATAAAATTATATTTTTTTATTTTTTTTTATTTATGGTATACCTCTTGTTTTGCATTAGGCATACACAACAAAGATATTGATATTTTTGGATCGATCAAACTTTGTTTGGAAAAATAATATTTGATTGTTATTAACTTCTCAAAATTTTCCAAAAATTGTTAATAGGTATGCTAATCTAAAATATTAATACATATATTGTTAATATAGTTTAGATTGATAGTTTATTAACCCCATGAAAGGTCGTTTTTCGATAATACGTAGACAATGTTGATGGTATACGTCCGACATTTTGTTAATCCCTTTTGCATTTCACATTTTTTCGACGCTTTTGCATATGATAATATTTAGATTTATTGAAATCTTGTGTCTAATAATGTATCGACCTATTAAGGTCCAGCCAATTACGAGTGGGTGTTTGGGTCAGAGAATTTGAATCCGATTCGATTAAACAAGACATAATCGAATTGGCATATTTAGAAAATATATAAATTTTCGACTTTCCAAATTTTCGGTCAAAAGATTAGGCCAAATACTAGGTATGAAAATTAATATCGAATTGAATACGTGAAATTTAAATAAAGGATATATAATATTACAGTTAATAATATTAAATATTATTTTTCCGTCTACTTGATAAGCATGTATTTCATATTTTTTATTGTCCAAATACGGAGCATAATTTCATTATTTAGTATGTGCAGAATTTACTACACATTACAAATACTTTTATATTTATATATATTTACATCAATACCCTTACGTTAACTTTAAACACTATAGAGATAAAATAATATTTACATATCAAATTACTGGCAACTATCATTAAATATATTTTCTCCGTCTCAACTCAAAGTATTATTTTTGTCATTTTCATTTGTCTTACTTAAAAGTATTTTTTTTTTATTTTAGTAAATATAATTTTATATTAATACCAAAATACTTTTAATTTTTACCTATATTACAACCATATTATTATACTTACAATTAATTTATACGTAAAGTCAAAAAGCAAAAATATAAAAATATTTTATGTACTTCAATTAACTAATAAAATAATATTATTTTTAATTTACTACAAAATCTCAAATAACTAACGAAAAAATAATAATTGTTAAAATCCGTATAGTAGTAAATTTTTTTTTTTTTTTTCAAATCAACGTATGAAGTATAATATACATAGTATTAATAGTATATATAGAATGCGAAGATTTTGAAAGGAAATATAGTTTTTAAATTATTTTAATGGATTATATAATTAATTTATTACTATTTATTTTGTATAATAAAATATTAAATAAAATTATAGTATATGTATTTTTGTTTGATTATATGATATAATTATTTTTTTATTCAAAATATCTTTTATAATTTTATTATTACATTATAATTTTATACATTCTTTTTATTTTTAATTATAACAATATAATATTATATAATAATATATATTAAAATTTAGTTGCAATATTGTCATAATATAAAATACGATTCGATATATTTTTAATATTTGTTAAAATATATTTAATTCTATCCTTAAAATAATAAATTAAATTTTTTAAGAATATATACTTTATATCATTCTTTATTACTATATATTTTATTAATTGTTTAAATATATTTTAAATGAAATTAAAATATATTAAATAAAAATATTGTCATATAAAATACTTCAAATTAGATATTATATTAAATAATACTAAATTATTACATTGTATAATAATTCTATAAATTAGTACTCCCTCTCGTATAGAAATAAAGGTAAAAAAATTAAATTATCTTTATTAGTATTATATGATACAAAGGTAATGATGTTTGTGTAATATATTGTAAATTAGAAGGATAACTGTAATGTTAGGTATATAGTATAGTTACTAAAAAAAAATAAATTGATACTTTGTTATGAGACGGATAAAAATAAAAAAAAACTGATATATTGTTAAAGGACGGAGCTCGAAAATATTATTTTATCGAACCTTTAGAACCTAAATATATTAAAATAACTATGAGATTGAATCGGATAAAATAATAACATTACTAATTTTAATTTTACGTAATAAACTCGCTCATAAAAAATTATATTATAGATTTTTTCCTAATATAATATATATGATTTTTATGATTATATTTACAAGATTAAAAAAGATATATCATTTTTGTTAATAAACTATATAGTAACATTGATATTTTAAAAGTCGTCATTTTCATCATTTGGTCAGAGCTAGCAGGGGGCCAAAAGGTGTTCAACCCCCTTAATTATTTGAGTTTTGTAATTTTATTATGTATTATTTGTATAAATTTTAAATAATTGATCACTCTTATAAATTTAATAAAAATATTATTTTATCTATATTTAATTCAGATATTTAAAAAAGAATTGGTTTAAATACTGTAAATATTTAGAAATATCTGGAAACACAAGATGAAACAAACTAAAAACCTGTTTATAATTTTTTAAATTTTTTAATTACATTTAATTTTTAAATTATTATATACTCCTTCCGTCCATTTTGAAAATTTACATTTTGCATGTTAATATTTGAATATTAATTATTATATCGAAGCGTAATATAAATAAAAAAAGGGCAAAAATATTTTCATTAATATCTTATAATGCAAATAAAATGACGTTTATATAAAAAACTATACATATATAAAAATATTTTTAATATTAAGTATAATAACGCAAAATATAAATATAAACTTTCAAAATTGACGGAGGAAATATTATTTATATCCGCAAAAATATTTTACTATATCCGCCACTGTATCTAGCCGCGCGTGGAACAGCCGTCACTTAGCATGACGTGTTGCCGGAGAATAAAAATGATATTTTTGCAAGCATAATATATTTTTACCAATAAGATAAATAAAAAACAAAATAATAATTAGATATAAGAAGATGAAGTATTTCGTAATTTTCTCGTCAATGAAATATATTTGTTTGAATTAGACATAAATTTTAATAAATATATATATATATATATATATTTTATTGTAGTATAAGTAAAATATTTAAAATTATATGCGTGGTTAATAAAATGAGACAAAATTTTTTATAAATTAAATGTCTAAGATTTTTTTATATATATATAATTCCAAAAACACATTTCAAAAAATATATATATATTATGAATTTATTATATTACTTATATAATTTTTTATCCCTTATATATATATATATATAAACTCTTCAAACTAAACAAACACACCCTAAATAGTTTAACATATTTATAAATAAATATAATGTTAAAGATACATATTAATGAGTGTTTAAGAATTATTATTTAAAAATAAATAGTGTGTTTTTAATAAATAAATAATACTCCCTCCGTCCCAATGAAAGGTTGTCATTTTTCATTTTTCGTCTGTCTCAAAGTAAGGTTATCATTTCCTAATTTAGTAATTGTATTATTTACCTAACATAATAAATACTCTTCCAACTTACAATATATTACACAAATATCATTCATTTTATATTACACTATACTAATAGAGGTATTTTTATTTTTTTTACTACAATCAAATATAATACTAATATTAAAAATCTAAGCAAACACCACTCTTTCACGTGACGGAAGGAGTATGTTTTTCTTTAAAAAAAACAAAAAATATAAATATAAATCTGACGGACATATAAAAAATAATTTTTATATTATATTTTATGATAAAAAAAAAATCAGAACTTTTGATGTCATTTGTTTTAATATGAAGATTAATAAATATTCTTTCCGTCCCGAATATTTTGTTCGTTTTACTGTAAACATAAAAATTTAAGAGATGTATAATTCGTAAATAATTAATAATGTATTTATGAAAATAATTATCGTATAATAAAAATAATTATAGATTAAAATTAAGATAACTGATTGGTATTATTAAAATTAAAAAATTATAATTTAAAAGCTTTAAAATAAGACTAAAGTGTATAATTATTTTCAGAAAAGTGATAAAATAAGTGGGACGGACGGAAATGGAAAGGTGAACATGAGAAGTGAGACGGACGAAGTAATATTTAACTATAGAAGTTAAATAAATAAATAGAATAAAATAAAATAATTATTAAAATTTTAATTAAAAAATAGTGGAATAAGTTAAAAAAAATCAAGCATTAAAACAAGAATAATAAATATGAGGATGATAAAATTATTTACTATAAATAAACTATAAATAAGTTTAACCGTAAAAAAATTTACGGCAAAAGTATCCAGAGAGTAATATATTTTTCTTGAAAGTATTACACACTAAAATAGTAAAAATTAAACTTTGAAATACAAACCTCATTAAAAGTTTGATTTTGCATTATTTCTACAAAATTCTATCTCTAGAATACATTAAATTTGAAAAAAAAAAAAAAAAATGTACAAAATTCTCAACATTGCAATGCTTCAACAACAACTGCTTCATCCATTGTTTAAATTTTTGGAAGATTATGTAAAACATTTTTTAAAATACTTAATTTATATATAATATTCCTTTTAAAATATTACATTATATATATATATACATAAATTGAAAGTTCAACACAGAAGCATTAGAAAATTAGTAATGTAAACATTCATAAAAATATATTATTATTCACATCAAATATTTTTTTTTGTATTTTTATAAAAAAAAAATTAAAATTACAAAACATACTATACTTTTTTTTAATGGATTTATATTCAGCAATCAAAATAACAAATGAAATATATGATTTACACACAAAAATATCAAATTAAATATCAATTTTCAATTCGAAAATATTGATGAAAGAAAACTTATTTGCAACAAATCAAATACACAGTTACAGATAAAAAAAAAAAATCAAAAGTAAATATTAATTTTTGATTGAAACCAATTAATATGTAAAAAAAAGATAAATTTATTCGGCATTCGAAACAACAAATCGAATATATAAGAAAATTAAAATAAATATCAATTTCAATTCTACCAAAATTTCAAACATCCCAAAACACAAGTTAAAACACATTAGTGAAGAAGTTTGGCATTAATGGCTGCGAAAATAAATAAAGAGAATGTTTGCATCGTCGATGGAGAAGCAATCAAGTCAAATAAGTATTCATAAAAACTTAAAACGTAATTAGAAAAATCTTTAAAACAAAACGAGATTATTGAAAAACAAAAACTAACTTGTTAAAAAAATATACATGAGAAGACCCAGAAACGAACAACAATAAAATCATTTAAACACACAAATATACCACAACAGTCGAACCACATAAAAAAAATTACATAAATTTTTTTTATCAATTGATACGAAAAGAATTCTCAAAATTTCAGAACAAAATATACGATTATATTCAGCGTTCTTCGTTAACAAAAAAAGAATATAAAAACAAAGATAAGTCAAGGTTGAATCCCTTACGTCCAATACTCTTATACGCAGAATACGCAATTGCATAAAATCGAATTTATAAATAAGTGTACTGTATTTTTACTATAATTTTTGAGAAAAATATGATTGAACTAATAAAATAGATAATATTGCACAATGTGTATTATAACACATTTTCAATGAAAGTACTTTGAATATGTGGTTTTGTTCCTCTGCAATTGAGTATAAGAAAATACTTACAAATTTGAGGGTGTGTTCGGTTGTTTGATTTTTACAAAATTTTACTATTCATTCCATTTTTTTCCTCAAAAAACATCAAATCAAACACCTATTTTTCATTTTTTATATTATACTGAAAATAAATTTTACATTCAAAACATCACATCAACACTTATTTATATCACATCATACAACAATTCAAATTCAAAATTTTTACTATTCAAATTCCAACTCAAAATCCAAAACCCCAAACAAACACACCCTACTTGCTTCGTAAAAATAAGAAAATTAAAGTAAACATAGATGTAAAAAATACTATTTTTCTAAAGCATTTTTTTTTTTTTTTTTTTTTGAAATGGTGTATATGAGTAGAAATCTTTGTCATTTAATTGTATATATAAACTGCAATTAGAACATTCACTACAATTTCAAAAAATAAAAGTATTTATAATTTCTTTATTGTGTCATTACAAATGTATAGGTAACAAAAAAAAATGAATAAAAAGAGGATATCCTTTTAAAGGAATAATGCACTAAAATCTAATTAATTTTTAATCAAAAGATGTTTCTTTGAAAATTGATTTGTTGATATAAGGATTTGATTTATAATTTTAAAATATTTGTAGATCGACTAAATTATATATATTTTCAAGATAGATGAGTTAGTTGAAAATAATAATAGTATTTCCAAAATTAATAGATATGCTAATCTAATATTCTCTATATTTATATATATTGTTAATATAGTTTAGATTTGTTAGGTTATTAATGCTTATTTAAGATAGTTTATTCATCCCTTATATAATTATGTATATATATATATATATATATTGCTTGCAATATTGTTGTTAACATAAATTTATATTAAATAAAATAATAAATTTATTGATAGAAAAAAATAAAAATAAAAAACACAAAACTCAATCATACAATGTGAGTAAAATAGGTGAGTTATAGGCACGTCTCTTCTTGCTTTATATCTAATTTTTTTTATTGCTTTGAAATTTTCAAAATAATAATAAAAATAATAATAATCTCTCCGGCTCACTTACCATATCCATCTTTTTATTTCCCTCTATCTCACTTATTTTATCATTTCTTTTTCAAAAAAGAATTATACATTTTAATTTTATTTTAAATTAATTTTAATTAGACTTATTAGTTTTTAATCTATAATTATTTTTATTATGATCTCTTGGTCTAAAAAAAAAAATAGTTTTATTTTGTTATTTTCATCGGTCACAAAACAATAGTCTCATTTTTATTTTTGGTAACAACCTTCTCATATTTTTACAAAATTATCTCCATAACCTCTAGCGTCCTCTAAGAATTCACTAGGGCAGCGATGGCACAATTTTTTTTTCACAATAATTATATAAAGTATAAAGTAGGAGCATTTTAATAAAAAAACTTTTACACCACTTACTATCAATGTAATACTATTATTCTTGAATTTTCGTATCAATACCAAATATCTTTATTATTTTGAGACGAAAATAATATAATAATTTTTTTTAGTAATATAATTTTTAATTATTTTCTAATTATACTCCTAAAATAATAATTAAAAAAAAAGTAACAAAATATAATATTATCAAATATTATTTAAATAAAAAAGTCAAACTTACAAACCTGAGTTTTTAATTAAGAGATACCACAGTACAAACGTAATCCTCTATCCCCAGAAGCAAAGAATTATTAATATCCATCCAAGAAGAAGAAGAAAGAAACTCACATATCGGCGGCCAGCCGTTTGTACAGACTCTCCGGCAGTCGTGGCGCCACGACGGCTTCCAACGGCGTCGTCATGTACGTAACCATCCCCGGATTCTCCCTCATATCAATCTCCTCCGGCCGGACTCCGTTCGGAGGCGACCACTTGAAATGGTGCAGCAAGTGCCCGATCATCGACGTCACCAAATTGATCCCGAGCTGCGTTCCCGGGCAGATTCTTCGCCCGGCGCCAAACGGCAGAAGCCGATAATCGTGCCCCTTCATGTCGACGTCCTCCTCGAGGAACCTCTCGGGCCTAAACTCGAGAGGATTTTTCCACACGGCCGGGTCGCGCGCGACGGCCCAAACGTTGACGTGCACGTTGCAGCCCTTCGGGATATCGTATCCTCCGACCTTCACGTTGGCGTTGGCGCGATGAGGAAGCATGAGCGGCGTTGGGGGATGTAACCGGAACGCTTCCTTGGCGACGCATTGGAGATACGGGAGTGACGAGAAGTCGAGCTCCGTCATGGTCCGGTCGTGCCCGATCACCGCGTCGAGCTCCTCCTGCGCCTTTTGCTGGACCCTCGGGTTCTTGATCAGCTCCGCCATCGCCCACTCCGTCGTTATCGCCGTCGTATCCATTCCCGCCGTGATCATGTCCTGCAATTTCGACGGTCGGGTCGTAAGAGAAACCCGATTCGCTAATTGGACTAGTTAAAAATGTTCGATTCTCACCCAAAGAAGGCCGATTATGGTGTCTTCGCTGAGGTTGTATTGATCTTTGAGCGTCAATAAGGCGTCGAAAAAGTGTTGTTTGGCACCTCCGGTGTTTTGTCGAGCGCGGGTGTGTTCTTCCATGATTTCGCGGGTGAGACGGTCGCGACGGGCTCCGTGCTGCGCGAAGGCCTCCTCGTCTAAGGGAAACATCCAGCGGAGCCACGGGATGTGCTCGGACATGGCGAGCGAGGCCCCGATTTTGATCCCATTGCTGACGATTGCCTTGAACTCAAGGCCTTGTTTGTCGATTACGTCGTCGGAATTTACGAACCTCTTCCCGAATGCCAGCCTTGTAATGTTGTTGAAGGCCACGGCTCCGATGAAACCTCGCAATGTCATGTTCTTCCCCGAGTTTTCTGTACAGTTCGAATTACCGATTAGAAGGTCTCAAGAACACATTTTCATTAACAAACTAGAATAAGATGTACAGTAACAACTATGGGTGTGTTTCTTTAGACCCAAACCTCCGAACTTTGCGTTTTAAAAATTATATATATTTTTTTCTGTCACAAAATATTTCATACCCAAATCAAACCTTTTTAAAAAAAAAAAATTCATTTTTTCTCTATTATAGATTCATTTTTTTGTCCACAATATAAAGTGTTCTCATTTCACACTCAGTGGAATGACCTTTATTTTTTTATACAACACAATACAGAAAATTGAAAATTTAAAATATATTAATTTTCGTATTATTTGATGTTTATAAAAAAAAAATGAATTTTGTTTATTTTACAAACTTTTATACTATTTAATTTTATAATTATTAGAAAAAAACATTTTATAAAATATTGTATCAAAACTATTGTTTAAATGAAACAAAAATCAAAATTAAAATTAATAAGATAAAATAAAATAAAAATGTACTAATTAAATACTCCATATTAATATTTATTTGTTAAAATACTTTTTTTATTTTTTATTGGATACATCGTTTTGTTATCAATTATTTTGTCCTTTTTATACTTTCTCTATTATATTTCTTAGACTAATTCTCTATTTTAACAAACAAAAAAATCAATTTTATATTCTTTGTTGAATTTTTTCCTTTTATAGTTTTATCTCTACTATATTTCTACAGTTTTATTCTCTATATAAAACACAATTAATATTTTACAGAAATTTATTATCTCTAAAATAATATACTATTGATTATATTTTTATTAAAATATTTTACTATATATTTTAATTTTTAATCAAATATGTTACTATATTATATTTTGTATTTCTATATTCTCAATCAAACATAACTAATTATTTTCAAAAAGTCTTTTCTAAATATACCCTGTTGCTATATTATTTCAAAATTGTTTTATTATAGTTTAAAATTAATTTAGAATGGAATGTTAAATTTATTAAAATAGTATTTTGATACATCCTCTTGAAAATATATATATATATTTTTTATTAAAAATCGTACAATATAAATAAAATAAATTTCAATTTAAAATCTTAACAAGAACAAACTCAAAATTCCTTCAAAGAAAGGTCTAATTCTTACTCCTTTCGCCTCAATTCAAAGTATTTTTATTATCTAAAGTATTCATTTCCTATTTTAGAAAAAATAATTGTACACTGATACAGAAATACCCTTAATTTTTACTTACATCACAAAAATATTATTACATATACAATTACTTTATACAAAAAGTCAAATGACAAAAATGTTAAAATCTCTTGCACGTTTTCACTAATCAATAAAATACTATTATTATTTCTTAATCTACTACAAAACCTCTAAAAAGCCATTTGAAAAGAGACTGGTAGGAAAAATATTCTCTATTATTCAAATTTATATCTTCTTTTAGTTGTCATTAAAAATAATTTTTTAGTAAAAAATTTATTTTTACTATAAAAAGATTGTTTATTACTCTATTCGTCTCATTTACCGTGTTTATTTTTTCATTTCTATATGTCCATTTAACTTTTTTTTTAAAAAAAATTATACACTTTAATCTTATTTTATAAATTTTAATTTATAAATTTTTTAATTTTAATTAGACTAATTAATTGTCTTAATCTTAATTTAAAATTATTTTTATTATATGCATTCTCAATTATATACTCCCTCCGTCTCCCTCCGTCCCAGATACCATGTCCATGTTGCCGTTTCTGTCTGTCCCACGTATCATGTCACTTTCCTTTTTTGAAAAATAATTACACATGTTAATCTCATTTTAATTTTTTTATTTTAATTAAATTAATTAGTTATCTTAATCTTAATTTATAATTATTTATATTAGAGGATAATTATTTTCACTAATACATTTTTAATTATCTGCTAATTACACCCTTCCTAAAATACCTGTAGACACGGTATCTGATACGGGAGTATTAACTATACACTTCTAACTTCTAAATTCTTTGTATTTATAATAAAAGTGACACAATAGCCGAGTTGGAGGTAGTATTAATTATTTTTATTAAAAACCTATGTACAACCAAATAAGTATAGGAGGAAAAAAAAAAAAGAAGCTACAAACAGCCAAAACAAAACAAAATAAAACAAAAGGCAAAAAAAGACAGACAAGTATTGGACCAATAAGTATGCTACAACTAAACTGACTCCTCGCTTCAATGTCCGACAATGCTAAGTTTGCTTGGATTTGATTTTTTATTTCAAACACAAATTTTTTTAATTCCTATTATTTTTAATAAAAAATATATTATTTGTTTTTTTTTCCTAAAAAAAAACATCAATTAAAATATTATTTAATTTAAAATTTAAATCAAAATATCAATATCACTCTCAATCATAATCAGAAATCAAAACCAAACAAACATATCAATACTGCAAAATGTTTTGATAGAAAATTTAAAGTCATGAAATTTTTTGAAAATAAAAATTATTAAAAATGAAATGTAATATCCTGAGGAGGACAATGAATACATCTTTTTTAAATATATATATATATAGAGCCAAAATTTCAAGAAAAAATAAAAATCATGTAGAAGATTCTACCCTTATATTATTATTATTATTATTATTCTTATTATTATTATTATTATTATTATTATTATTATTTCATACGTGTCACATTAAAATAGACTACCGGTACGATCAGAGCACTACAAAATCAAACTAAAATGGAATAAAAATTAAATGCGTGTTGAAAATGAAATTCAAAAAATTAAAAAACGCACCAGAAGAAGTACAATATTTGTAAACGGACTCCACCATAGCCGTGACCTCATCTTCCCTAATTGGGCGCAGAGCCTCGAGCCGCTTCGGCGAGAACAGCTCCAGCGTGCACACTTTCCTCACCTTCACATAGTGCGGTCCATAGTCCGCCCAAATCAAATCCTGACCGTCCTTACTGAACCTCGCCGCCGATCTGGACCGGTGCCGGTCCGCCAGCTGCTGATCCTTCTCCTTAAGCACCTCCTTCGCCAATTCCGCGTTATTAACGACGACGTTTAGCGTCGAACCGAACCACACCGAGATAATCGGACCGTACCGCTCCGCCCACTCTGCGTAGCACCGGAATCGCACCGGCTTGATGTCGAATAGGTTGCCGAAGATCGGCAAGGGGCGGGGACCGGGCGGGAGGCGATAGCGGAGGCGGAAGTAGAGGCTGTAGAGTAGGTATAGGACCGGAGGGAGGAGGATCGGAAGGAGGAGCGTAACGGCGACCATGGCGGTGTGTAGTTGGGAATTAGCTGAGAGGGGAAATGGGAATTAGGGCGCCATATATTTGGTTCGGTGTAGTTGGTGGAAGGGTATTAAAGTCTTTTCACAATACCCTAAACCGTAATCATGATGTTGATAAATACGGTGGTAACAATCCCACCCACTTTCTAATTTCCGAATCCATACCTATTTATTGGAGTACTATTATTATTATTATTATTAGTATAGTAATTATTATTGATTATGTGGTAACCGGAAATAATTAGTATGTTATTAATTATCATTATCATGCAATGTTATTTACATACTATATATTGTGTTAAGATTTAAAATGGATATATATATATATATAATTTCATATATTGTATAGATTATTATTATATGATATCAGCCTATATAATTATTATATTTTTTGTCTTTCAAATTTTTTATTCGTTAATATATTTAATTTACTCCGTTACACTAATTATTATTTTTTATTAAATATTAATTTTATATAAAAAAAACGATAGTACAAATTAAAAAAATATATATAAAAATATTTTTAATAATATTTTATAATGCTGTCATAATGACATTAATATATAAATTATAAAAATATAAGAATATTATTAATATTAATTACAACGATGCATAAAATGTAAATGTAACTATTGCCATAAATATAAGGATATTATTAATATTAATTACAACGGATAAAGTATTTATTTACCATAACTATCGTTATATTTATTTCACTCTCTTTTCATGTGTTTTATTAACAATTACCTTTTAATTTTTTAATTTTTTAATAAAATATTTATTGTTTTTAATGATGTAGGAACCTATAGTTACTATTCAAAAATACATTTTCATTATTATTATTAAAATTAAATAGTGGTATTTATAATTTATTTGAAGGTAGAATTTAATTGCAAAAATGGTAAATGATTGCGTCCGTAACGGGAGAGGGTTACTTATCGTTAGGTTTAGATATTGAAGTTGTCGGATCTGATATAGGAATGATCCAACGGTCAGAAATTAATAGGGATTAGGTGGGAACTATACGTGAGTTGGTGAAGGGTGGTTGGTGGAATGCAGGGTGTCCAACTAACACTCACTTTATTATTATTTTTTTATATATATAATTAAATAAATCTTAATAAAATAAAATTAAGACTGGGATTGTCTCACCATTAGAAAGTCGTCTCTCATTCTTTTTATTATTTTTTGTTTCTTCTTCTTAGTTGTTAATAAATAATTCTATTTATTTAATTTATTATTAAATTTTATTTCTATTGATTAGACACATATCTGTATATTTTTTATTTATTAATATTAATTAATATTTTTTTTTGGTTAGAAACACAGTATTTTAAATAATATATATTATTAAGTTATTAATAATAAATTAAAATAATATTTTATTATTTACACTACTAAGTTTGTAATATTTATTACTAAAATCTTTTAAAATTATTAAATTAAAATATTATTTAAATATAATAGTATTTGTTTGAGACGACTATTGAGACCCTCCACCAAATGTATGATAATGATTGGTTGAATATTATTTAAGGGTGTGTTTGTTTGGGGATTTGGATTTTGGATTGAGATTTGAATAGTAAAAATTTTGAATTTGAATAGTTGTATGATGTGATATAAATAGGGTTTGATGTGATGCTTTGAATGTAAAATTGATTTTTAGTATAATATAAAAAATAAAAAATATGTGTTTGATTTGATGTTTTTGGGGGGAAAAAATTGGATGAATAGTGGAAATCCTCCAAAATCCTTCAAACAAACACACCCTAAATATGTTTTAGAATTGTTAGGTGGTTTAGAAATTGTAAAGTATATACGTATCTATTTAAAGCGATATGTATAAATATTAAATTTAATATTTTAAATAAAAATAAATTTTAAATGTAATTCCACAATCACATATCTATTATTTTATTTTATTTTATTATTTTTTATGTCATAAATCAATGGTCCAACTACTATATATAAATGGTAAATATGATCTATGTGTTACTATAAAATTACTTTCACATTTTCATTATTATTCTATAAATATTATCTTTGTACGTTAAACTAAAGACTAAGGTTATTTTATTTGTTAGTTTTATTCATCGGATTATATTTTAATTAGACAGCATAGAATAAGAAAAATGGCAAAATGCCCGGTTTATCTATTTTTATTCTATTTTATTACGAACTAATTATAAAAAGTTATTGCAAATCCAAACAAAATCGATACAAAACTCGACTTTGAATCTCAAACTTTTAGAAGAATTCATCTAAATTCATAATTTTAAAACCTATAGACAATTAACCATCACATAAATCATAAAATATATTAAAAGCACTAAGAAAAATAATGAAAACATCGAACATAATAATAATAAAAGACAGTGTAAATAAAGAAAAGACACGACATATTTATAAAAAGCACATGAAACAATGATATTATTTTTGTCCATCCAAAAATAAGAATATCATTTTATAATTTAGTAATTGGATATCTACTAACATAATAAATATACTTAAAAATTGCAATATACTCCCTCCGTCCACTTATAATGTATACGTTTACTTTTGGCGTAGTGTTTAAAAAATAATAGTATTTTAATTATAGTGGATAGTTAAAAGTAGTGCAATGACATTTTTGCAATTACTTTTTACTATAAAAGTAATGATGCGATGCAAAGTAAATATATTTGTGAAAAAAAAATAGGGTATTTACTGAAATGTTTACTTTGTAATTAGACGTCTCAAAATAGAAATATATATAATTTAGCTGTACGGAAAGAGTATTACACAAATGTCATTAGTTTTATATTATACTATACTGATAAGGGTATTTCTTTTCTTTTTTCCATTATATATCAATATAGTACTAATATTCATAAATCAAAGTGCAAAAAACAAATAGTGATCTTGTTGTGGACAAATGTAGTATTTTTTTCATACAATATAAAAAATTATTGGGTTTATTAAAAATAACAAAGTATTGTGTTGTTAGATTAACATATTTTTTAGATATGAAAAATTATGTTGGTAATACAATAAATAATATCCAGTGTTAAGTTGTTGACTTCTTATGAATGAATAAAACATATATTTTATATTGTGGTAATGTGTGTATAATGTATTTTTTTTAAAAAAATTAATATTCACTAAAGATAGTGTCATCCAAAAACCAATGTGAAGATTATATTGAAAAGTATGATCCTTTTGTTTTTAATTATAAAATATATAAAATATTTTTGAGTTGAAATTATTCAATTATATATCTTTAAAAAAACCTAAATACAATATAAATAAACAAATGATAGAACATATAAAGAAAACATATGTAGTACTATAATTATAATAAAAACAAATTATAAAAATAACGAAAACATATAACATACGGTTGAACTATGATGAACTCGTGATCGTGAGATTATAGATTTAAACTCTCGATGTCTTTAGGTTCATTTATCACACATGACTTACTTTAATGGATTTAATTTACAGCGTATCAAATTCGATCGAAAGAATTTATCCAGTATGTGTATAATGTATCTTTATCCATTTGGCTCTAATTAAACAAAGATTTTAGAGTTTTTTTTAAGTAATAAAAAATGAGTATTTAATATGATATTTTTATAAAAATAAATAAATATGTAATATGATATTTTGTTTTGAAAAATATTATTAATGAATAGTATCAATTTCTAAAAATGTGTATGACCTTTTCAATTCCTTAGGATTTGATTTTAAGTTGGATTTGTAATTTGAATTTTAAGTTAAATAATAATTTAATGTAATTATTTAATGAGAATTTATATATATATATAATTATATTAGGTTAATACTAGTATTATTTTTTACTATTCATTGAATAGTATTTTTATAAAATAATAATAATTATTATTATTTTTATAAAAAATTTTAAGTTGGATTTGTCTTTGGTTTGGTAAGGATGTGTGTTGGAATATATGAAATATAAAAATAAAAATAAAAACATGACGAATTATATACCATCACTTTGTCTTTTAATGAAAATGCACAAAGCGCTATCTGTTTTATTTATTACTTGAAATTTCTTATGTTAATATAAAGTTTGCATGTTTAAAATTATACTGATGTTTAATTTTAAATAAAACCTAAATTACACAAATTTTATATAAAGAAAAAAATAAAAATTATCTTAAATGTTGTTTTTTAAAAAAAATAAATAACTAAATAAATAATCAATCATTAATCACTAACACACCCAAGTAATTTCATACACTCCATTTCAACATTTATTTATTTAATTGATGCCTTATTTTATGTCACGTTCCTTGCTCTTGTTATTATTTTTATTTTTATTTTAGATCACATTCAAATATTCGTTTTAAGGTCTTAATAAATTTCTCAAAACAATAATACTACTATTTATTTATATTTTATTTACACAAATTAATTTTTTTTTTTTAAAAAAGTTATTTATTTTTAGCGGATATAAAGCTTACATGTGTGCATTGGTCGTGTATCCTTATTTAGACACACACGTGGCTCCATTTCATTGGCTATGCCTTCAGTGCCGAGTGAAGAGCTCCGTGACAACGAGTAAGTTTGATTGGTTACCGTTGAATTATTGAATTGAGAATGATTTATAATATATTTAAGATTAAAAAAATTGAAAATATATATTTAATTGTTTTAATAAAAAATATATAATATAAATATTATTTTATAAATAATAAAATTTTATATAATACAATACATAAAATATATAATTTTTTATTAATAATAGTAAGAAATGCAAGTAATGTAGGCGTCGGTTTAAAACCATGATCTTACCGTCGCAATTTATTATAATGGTTGATAAAATATAAAGTGTTTGTTGGAATTTTATTCTCGGCTCGACCCAAATCAGCCCAACTTGATCCGACCCAAACCTACATGACCTAGACCCGATTTGATTTGGTAGGTCCGACACGATAAGTTCTGATTTTTTTTTATGACGTGGCAATAAAAAATGATATTGATGGATGCAGAGCCCACCCACCCAAATCCAAGGCCCAATTTA